GCTTCCTTGTTCGACCTCGCAATCAATCGCCATCGTCTGCTGCGTACCAGAGCTCGATCCGATCAGCGCAGCTCACCAGCGCCCTGGCCCAGCGGATCGACAGCCGCCAGACACCCCCGCAGACACGCAGCAGCAGCGCCATTTGCAGAGCGCTGCTTGGGCTTGGGTCCGCTAACGCCACTGTAGCTACAAAGCCGCGGGGCATCGCCCATCCACCGCCGCTCTTCTTTCCACCATGAGCCCAGGAATCATGACGACCAAGGAGGTTTATCTGCTGCCGCTCAACGACGACGGCTCGCCGCAGGTTGCGGGCGAGTACATCTACCTCGACGCCGGCGGCGATGACCCCATCACCATCCGCTTTGCCATTGAGGGCACGTCGTCCATCTGCCGCAATGGCAGCCTCTGGGTCAACATCCCCGAGCAGGGGGCCGAGTTCAGGCGGGACAAGTTTCGCGAGTACAAGTGAGCGAAACGAGAGATGTCTGCCATGTTGCCTCTTCTAATGATATTCCGCGCCGCAGGCTGACTCCCGACTTCAACCGCACGCTCGAAATCTCCATCCCCATCCACCAGTCCGGCGTCTTTGCCTTTTACACCACCTATGCCCAGCTGCCCAACCTCGACCCTGACGACGTGCCAAAGTCGACCGACAAGGACGAAGCGCTGCAAAAGACCCCGGTATACTACATCGATGTTGCTCCTCGCCTCAAGCTGGACGGGCGTCCACTGCCTCTGCCCGCGCTGTCGCTCTTCTCCATCATCAGCAAGCTCATGGGCCGCTTCCCCGGCGATTGGGAGCGACACCTGCGGGGCATCAGCGAGAGGGGATACAACATGGTGCACTTCACCCCTCTGCAGATTCGCGGCGAGTCAAACTCGCCCTACAGCTTGTACGATCAATTGGGCTGGGATCCCGCCTGTTTCCCCAAGGGCATCAAGGACATTGAACAATTGGTCGAGCATCTCGAGCAAAAATACTCGCTGCTGAGCTTGACAGACATTGTCCTCAACCATACTGCAAACAACACAAAGTGGCTGGAGGAGCATCCCGAGGCTGGTTACAATTTGACCACGGCCCCATGGTTGGAATCTGCCTACGAGCTTGATACGAAGCTGATGGAGCTCAGTGGCAAGCTTGAGGAGCTGGGCCTGCCTGTCGAAGTCAAGAGCACAGAAGACCTCTTGGAAGTTATGGAAGGAATCAAGAAACATGTTATACTCCCGCTTCAGCTATGGGAGTATTATGCAATCAATGTCGAGCGAGACGCCGACGCCATCGTGGAGGCTTGGACTAGCGGCAAGACGTCCCCTCCCCAGAACGGCGCTGCTACGGTAAAGGACTTTGAGCACCTCAGGACGGCAGAGATTGATGAGCATGTGGCCTTTATCAGAGACTATGCTCTCCAAGGGACAGACCGTCTGGGAGAACGATATAGGCGAAGAATTGAGCCCTCTATTGCGGCTACTGCTTTGGCGTTTCACTTTGGTCGATACGAAGGCGAAGGCACCCAGTCGGCCGACAAAGCAGCCGCCAAAGCCAGGGCGGTTGAAGTCTTGGATGCCATAAACGTTGACTTTTATGCCGAATACGATAAAGATCTGAACCAGATTCTAGAGCAGCTTTTCAATCGTATCAAGTACGTTCGGCTGGACGAGCATGGGCCGAAGCTGGGCCCGATTAACAAGGCCAATCCCCTCATTGAGACTTACTTTACTCGGCTCCCAGTCAATGAAACAACCTCAAAGCTCACTCCGGGTGAGCGGGCTCTGGCTAATAACGGCTGGGTTTGGGGTGGTAACGCCTTGGTAGACAACGCTGGCCCAGACTCTCGCGTGTACCTGAAGCGTGAAGTCATTGTCTGGGGAGATTGTGTCAAGCTGAGATACGGATCTGGCCCAGAGGACAGTCCATTCCTATGGGAACACATGACAAAGTACGCCAAACTGCTGGCCAAGTATTTTGCTGGCTTCCGTATCGACAACTGCCACTCAACCCCAATCCATGTTGCAGAGCACATCTTGGATGAGGCCAGAAGAGTTCGGCCAAATCTTTACGTTGTTGCCGAGCTCTTTACTGGATCCGAGGAGATGGACTATGTGTTTGTGAAACGACTCGGCATCAGCTCACTCATCCGTGAGGCCATGCAGGCGTGGAGCACGGGAGAGCTCAGCAGGCTGGTTCATAGGCACGGTGGCCGCCCTATCGGCAGCTTCGAAGTTGATGACATTTCAAGGTCTGATGTGACGACGCCATCAGACACAAAGGGAAGTACCGATCTTACAAGAGAGGTCATTCGGAGGATCAGGCCCTCACCGGTCCACGCCTTATTCATGGACTGCACCCACGATAACGAGCCGCCTGCTCAGAAGCGTGACGCGCGAGATACACTGCCCAACGCCGCTCTCGTCAGCATGTGCTCAAGCGCAACGGGAAGCGTCATGGGCTACGATGAAATCTACCCAAGACTGGTCGATCTCGTCAACGAGAAGCGTCACTACACATCTGAATCGTCGAGAACTTCGTCAATCAAGATTGGGAGGGGCAAGGGGGGCATTGCTAGTATCAAGAAGCTCCTGAATCAGATTCATACTCTCATGGGCAAAGATGGGTACAACGAAACTCATATTCACCATGAAGGCGAGTACATCACCGTACACAGAGTGCATCCTGAGTCCAGAAAAGGCTACTTCCTCATTGCCCACACTGCGTTCCCGGGATATGGCAACGGAAGGGGAGAATTCAACCCCGTTCATCTGACAGGAACCCGAGCCAATCATCTGGGCAGCTGGATGCTCGAAGTTGACGATCGAGAAGAGACTGTCAAAACCGTCCTAGAGGATACAAAATTCCTTCGGGGCCTTCCCAGCCAGGTGGTGGATGTTGCCGGAATCAAGATGGAGTATCACGGCCAAGACACTACCATTTCGGTCCGCGACAAATTCCCTCCTGGCAGCATTGCTCTCTTCGAAACCTGGATCCCAGCAGCAGAGCACTCTACTGGTCTGGACAACTATGTCACTTCTGGTGCCAAACAGGCGTGGGCTAATCTAAACCTGATTGACCTCAACTTTTTGCTCTACCGCTGTGAGGCAGAGGAGAGAGATGCCAGTGACGGGCAGGACGGGGTATATGATATTCCCGGCCATGGGAAGCTCATTTATGCTGGTCTCCAAGGATGGTGGAGCATTCTCGAAGGAGTCATTCGCGACAATAACCTTGGACATCCAATCTGCCAGAATCTGCGAGACGGCTCTTGGGCTCTCGATTATATCGTGGGCCGAATTCAAAAGCAAAGCCACTCAGAGGGTAGTGAAGGCCTCTCAGGACCTGCAGCCTGGCTCCGAGAACGATTCGAGGCCGTCAAGGCCATTCCAAGCTTCTTGCTACCCCGATATTTCGCACTCGCCATCCGCACCGCATACAAGGCCAGCTGTGATCGGGCGTTGGAGCTCATGAACGAGCACGTTGCCAAGGGTCAATGGTTCCTTGGCAGTCTCGCCATGGTCAGCGTACAGCAAACCGGACTTATCAAGTCAGCTTCCCTCTGGCCAGACAAGCAAGTCCCTTCCATTGCTGCTGGCCTACCGCATTTCGCTGTGCAATGGGCTAGATGCTGGGGCCGAGACGTCTTCATCTCTATTCGAGGACTGTATCTCGGAACCAGCCGCTTTGCCGAGGCAAAGGAGCACATTCTTGCATTCGCTAGCGTCTTGAAGCACGGCATGATACCCAATCTTTTGAGCAGCGGCGCGGCGCCGCGATACAACTCGAGAGATTCGGTGTGGTTCTTCCTTCAGACCATTCAAGATTACACTCGCCTTGCACCAGAGGGGCTCGACTTGCTCAAGGTGAAGGTTAGACGACGTTTCCTACCATACGATGACACTTGGTTCCCTGTGGATGATGAACGAACCTATTTCAAAGAGAGCACCATTGAGGAGATTGTACAAGAGGCTCTCCAAAGGCACGCCTCGGGAATGAAGTATCGCGAGGCAAATGCCGGACCTCAGATTGACTCTCAGATGAGAGACGAAGGCTTCAACCAGGAGATCAAGGTCGACTGGAACAATGGACTCGTCTTTGGTGGCAACCAGTTCAACTGTGGCACCTGGATGGACAAGATGGGCGAGAGCGACAAGGCCGGGTCCAAGGGTGTTCCTGGCACTCCTCGCGATGGTGCCGCCATTGAAATCACGGGTCTTCTCTACAGCACTTTGAGATGGGTAGAGAAGCTTCACAAACAGGGAAAGTTTGCCCAATCGGGCGTCAAAAATTCCGAGGACAAAGCCGTTACATGGACGCAATGGGCCGATCTCATCAAGGCCAATTTCGAAAAGTGCTACTACGTTCCTCGCACTCCCGAAGAGGACGCAAAGTATGACGTTAACCCCAATGTTATTGGTCGCCGAGGTGTTTACAAGGACCTGTACAAGTCTGGCAAGGAGTATGAGGATTATCAGCTTCGGCCAAACTTTACAATTGCCATGACTGTGGCGACAGATCTTTTCGACCCCAAGCATGCATGGCAAGCTCTGTGCCTTGCAGATTCGACGATCCGAGGGCCCACAGGTATGGCGACATTGGACCCAGCAGACAAGGACTACCGTCCGTACTACCACAACAGCGAAGACAGCCACGATTTCGCAACAAGCAAGGGCCGAAACTACCACCAGGGGCCAGAGTGGCTGTGGCCAACAGGTTTCTTCCTCCGCGCACTGCTCAAGTTTGATCTTCAGCGCAGAAAGACTCCCGCTGGCAGGACCGAGGCGTTCCAGCAAGTGACTAGAAGACTGGCTGAGTGCAAGCGGATGATTCGGGAGAGCCCGTGGGCGGGTCTGACAGAGCTTACGCAAAAGAATGGAGAGCACTGTGGTGATTCCGTGAGTTTTTTTTTTTTTTTTCTCTTTCCCCTTTCCTCTAGCGCAGTATATCGTCATATTTTTAAATCCCCCCTTTTCAAATACTTATACTAACTCTTTACTTTCAGAGCCCGACACAGGCATGGTCTGCTGGCTGCCTCATTGACCTATACATGGATGCCATGGAAGAGCAGGAAGCTTTGAAGAAATGAATGGATGAATTATTGTTTTAAATCATAGACGGGACGATATGACAAAAGTTCACGAGTACATGACATTAGCGCGATATATGTATGTAGAAAAAAAAGACAGTTTTGGGCGTTTATTACGAAGTACACGTTAGTAATATATGAAGAGAAGAAAACAAGAGCGCATTTTTATTTTGATTTGAGTTACTGCCAAGAAGTGGTTGGTAGGCATAAGAAAAGCCACCTTTTGATGTGTAATGACGTATTTCTCGCTGCTCCCCTCTCTTAATCCTCCAATATCCCCCTCTCTTCGTATAGAAGAAAAGGAGACTTCGTATTTGGCAAGAAAAAGAAGAATATGATAGATTTCCTCGTTTCGCCCCTCCCAAACTCTAATTTCTCCACCTTTGTAAAAAAAGACATGATATGATAATATCCCAACAAAAACGTATAACACAGCCAACGCCAGATCCAAAAAATGGGAAGGGAAAAACAAAGAACAAATAACAAGAAGTGGATAAAATGATATAGAGAACCTAGAGAGGAAAAGAAAGATGTAAAATGAACAAGGAACGCTACATTTGATGGAGAGTATGTTGAGGGAGCGGCGAAGAAAAGTATAAGATGAATTGTTGTATGTCGTAGCAGATGTGCAAAATAAGGCGGTATTTTGGAAAAAGAATCGAGGCACGAAGCAATTCGTCGTGGTAGTCGTAGTGCTTCGTTCTTTAAATTAGGCTCCTATGATAGTTTGATTTCATCCATCGCTTGTATTTTCATTTTTCATCGTTTTCCTTGGCTCTTTTGGTTTTGATTTTGATTTTTTGTTATGTCCTTTTCCAAATTTCATGATCGATTGCTGCTGAATGGCCACAGCTTGGTCGTCGTGTTGCGCTTCTCGGATGTCGACGTGAAGTTGGGCAGGGCGGGCGTCGCGCTCGTAGTCATGGGGATGCCGGCGGCAGCGTCATTCGCAGGGGCACCGGAGCCCCAAGAGTCGGTGATGCCAGCTTGTTTTCGGAGCTCGCGCTTGCGGAGGTAGCGACGGCGCCAGATGCATGCGCCGATCCAGATGCCGGCGATGCCAACGACGAGAATGACCAGCATCACAACCCATTGCCAGTGGTTGGAAATCCTGGAGAATCGAGAGTTAGTATAAGAGTCGCAAAAGAGGCAGAATGGAGGGAAGAGCCTACCAATCGCCGCTGGCCGGATGCGATTGCTCGGGGATTGCGTTGGTCGAAGTGCTTGATGTCGAGGAAGTCGTCGAGGGAGCTACTCCTTTCTGGACGTTGCAAATGCTGTGGTACCAGCTGGTGATGGATGACAGGCCGCTGGGATTCGCGGTGCAGGCCGTGTCGCAAACGCCGCCGGTTGTCGTCGAAAAGGCCGTGAGTCGAGGGTCGAAGCAGAAGCATGACGTGTATGCGCTGGGATTGTTGGAGGGCACGGCCGGGGGCACACAGGCGCCATTGGCATCGTAGAGATGGATGCAAGCAGCCGCGCAGGCTGGCAGTTTTTGGATGTTGCCAAAGGGCACGATGGTGGTGATGGGCAGTTGATTAGCTGTAGCGAACGGCTGTTAGTCTGCGGGCCTCGCGGGAGGCTGGTTTGAGGGGGCGCTTACCCATGATGACGATGGAAAGGAGTAATTAAAAGCAAGTATTTACTGAGAAAGAATCGGAGATGCACACGGGTGAAGTCGCTGGGGAGAAATCTTGACGCCTGCGCCAATCCAGAAGAAATGGAAGAAGCGAGAGAAAGACGCTGATGTTTTTTTTTGTTTGTTTCAGAAAGGGCGCTTGACCAAACACCCGTGGGTCAGTCAAGTCACGGCCAATGATGCAAGTTCCGCGGATGTGCGCAAACGACAGCTGTCAGAAATAGCCGGGTGTTATGCGCCAAAACAAAACGCTAAGCGATTCGTGATGCTCGTCTTGTGTTGTTCGTATTTTTCGAATCTTCCTTCTTCCGTCTTTGTCGTCTTTGATCGGGGAGAGTCGAGTCGTCGCCTGGGAGAGGAGCTGACTAAAGCGAGAGCGAGTCTTTGCGCAGACGGAGAACCGGGAGAGCCGGGAAATGGCACGAGGGATCGGGCTGAGGCGGGCAGATAAAAGAAGAAGTCGAGAAACGTAGCGAGAGGAAATGCGAGCGAACGCGAGCGATGGAAGGCGAAGTTGGCAGCGAGAGACGAGTGACGGGTTCGTGAGAACTGGAGGTGGAAGAAAAAAAAAAGAGCACAGTGGATGGAGCGAGCGAGATGCTGGGGAAGACGGCCTGGAATGCAGCGCGCGACGCCCAGCAGGAGGGATCCGGGCCGGGTTAGCGGTGCATTCGTCGCTGCAGCGCACCTGGCACAGCCTACAGGCGCCAAGAGGGGCCCCCATCGGGAGCAGCGAGGGCCTGTAGAATCCCGTATTCAGCGCGCGTCAGCGGGAATCCGGCGCTGGGGGTGGGCTAAAGAGGCTAGGAGGAGGAGGACGACGGAAGCGGCTTTTTTGATTGGCAGGGATTGCATGTCAAGAATGCATTCAATGTTGTTGTTGAAAGCGGCTATTGAGCTACCTATTTTGGCGAGGCGAAGCTAGTGGTTTACGAAGAGCTGGGATTAACATTAATTACTAGTATAGTCCTTCTATTGCCTAGCACATATATAGGTAGGTGCACGCATATGAAGAAGAGAAGAGATGCAGTCAAGGCTCCGTGCTCTTTTGACAGGACGAGTGTGAATGTCATCCGTCCCATCATCCATCGATCATCAATCGATGCGACCCAATCAATCCATTTTTAGCTGCATTGGCTTCTGTTTGGTGGATTTCAGTCGCTGGCTCTTCTAGAACCGGTAGGCCAATGCGGAGAAGGCGGCGGCTAAAAGGGCAGGTCGCCGCTACAGCGGACATTTGTACCTGTACACGCCCAAATTGAATACGAGACGATTGGGACTCAATCACGCCCACGCTGTGGCATCAATAAAGTAAATGCTCGCAACGCTCTAAATGCATACCTGCAGTACCCAGATTGATAGGGCAAATGCCGTTATCAAACAACAATCTCCATGTAGCATGTTTCTCTCCTGGTATCCTCCAACTCCGGTCTCCGATGCAGTGGCTCCCCCCTGCCGCAGGTATATTGGACCCTGCAAATTGTTTCGTCCCCTTTACAGCCGGACGTCATTCTGCGGTAAGGCTACAATAGGCGCACGTGTGCTTATAAAGACTTGGAGGCGGCAGTACCGATACCCTTCTCTGTGTACTCTGTACTTTGGACATGCGGGCTAGGCACAGCATCCAATATGCAGCTCATTACGGATGGTGGAAACTGGCCTCGAGCATCAGTCAGTCGCCATGATCAAGAAATCCATCCATCTCATGTTGCCGTTCTTCACATCCGGTGTCGCCTTACAGTACGTGCAGCTACTTCAAGTCACTTGCAGATCCGGCGCCCATCTATCGCGTATCGTATACACGTCTGCGCTGCTCTTCTCTCTTTCTCTCTCTCTCTTCTCAAAGACCCCTGCGCTACGGCTTCTGATCTCCGAAACAGGGGGCTGAGCAATAGCTGGCCCGCCCGAGATTATCCATGCGTTGTTCTGTTTCTAGCCTCGTGCTCGTGTTCGCGCCGCTTGCTGCCGCTTATGCTTGGCTCTGCTATGGACACGAAAAGTCTCGTCGCAGACCATTGTCTTTCTATCGCCATGTAGCGCGGCAGATCACTGAGTTACAGCGCCATCACCACCACGATTCAGGCATCTCGTGATCAACATCTGCGTATGGATGCAAGCCGTCGATTCTCCGCTCCCATCTGTCAAAAGCGGGGAAGCAGAGCAGCTAGCAATTGCCCAGCGGCTACCATGGCATGGATCCCGTCGCTATTTCTCGGTGCAATAGTCGGGCTTGCGCCGATCACAGCCCTCAGTGGCCACGTCCGGCTTACAAGGCATGACAGGCTATTACGGACAGCAAACTCGGCCATGATGGGTGCATATACGAGACTTGGCCAGGGAAACGGCATGTATTGACAGCGAAAGCAGCTTCCAAAGCGCCATTTTCTTCTATATCCTAGTGAAGTCTCATCAAGTGCTCAGCCTCAGCTCCCCATGTTTCATACAGAGCCAGTGCAGTGCTCAGTCAAAAGACTGCCGACTTATGGAGCCTGCTCCAAAGAACACACCAAGAACGAATCATCTTCCTCGCCGATGACGCTCGACCTGCCCGCAGACAGTTCCGACTCATCTCTGCCTCCAAGATCGTCTTCTCGCCTAGATTATTTGCCAGAACCCTGGGTGGCCACCGTTGATCTGTCGTCGTCGTCTCGGGCCTTGTGGCTGCTCTTGACAATGCCGACAACCACCCCAGGCGCGTGCCAGGGGCCGCTTTCTGCGGTGAACCTCTGCATCACATACGGCACTTGGGAGGTGGCTATGCATCATGATTCTTAGCACTCTTCTCAACCATTTGGAGGTCGCATATCTTGCCTGCTTTGGAAGGAGATCCACTGGGCTTATTCTTCACTTGCCCTGCCTGCGCAGAGACGGTACTGCTGGTATTGTCTTGCGGCATATCGTACTGTGTGAAATTGGTTGCTATGGTTGATACTGTTCTGTGACTCTGTTTCAGTTGATGAGTGTTTACTGTTCAGCAGACTATTGCAGACACAAACCACCATGTCTCAGGGATATTGGCACGTTTTATACTCTCAAGAAATCCTCGGGAAACCCTTCCAGAATCTCGTTGCTGTAGTTTTCAGCTGGCCAAAAGGACCTCACACAAGCCAATCCTAGGATATCATATCATTTTCCCAGCTCACCATACGGCCCATTATGGATGTGTGTGCGAGGTATACACGTATCATCGCCATTATTGCCATGGTTTACTAGGGATGAGCCAGCTTCCACGGAGCTAGCTTGTACTGCTATCCTTATCATGCGACCCAGAGATACACAGCATAAGTATGGCCGCGTCTACTTCGTACAGAATGTTGCTTCACCGGGATCATGCGGGATCGGAACATCATGTCTCAGGCATGCAGTCCATCGTTAGTCGAACGATGAGGCAAGTCTGGATTTGTGTGAGGGCTTGGCATACATGATACCGAGGACTGCACTCGACTTGGGAGCAGCTGAGAACTTTCGTGAGATGACTCAATATCTGGACTCCAACGGCTATCCCAAGCGTTTTCGTCTATGCAGATCAGTCAGTTCGGACTGTAACCCACCGGTTCACACATTGTTTGAGATTTCCGCAGCCTTGGTTCCTTTCTCTCAGGCACGCCATCTTCGGTGCTATGCCCTTTACGCCACGACGTGGATAGATGGCGATAGGACAAGAGTCTCTTTGGGAAGCGCCATTCGCTACTTCAGGGACAGGTACTCTCAATGACGTGTTTGGATGAGCATAATCTTGAGCATGTTGCAACGGGCGGCTGCAGCGTGCGACAGAAGCATCGAATGTGCAAGGGAAAGATTGCCAACGAATGAGTTGTCCATTCCCTCGTTTTCACCGCCCCTTGGTCTCTTATCAAGGCACAGGCAGGATTCGGCTGGTGCCTCTGGCTGCCAGTTGTTGAATCAAGACTCCTGGATGAGTAACAATACGGCAGTAAGAGTACGATAACAGCAGCTGTTCATGACGAGGCCTCTCTTAGCCACCTTTGGCATGGCGTGATGTACGACGGGCACGCTGACCTCGTTGTCATTTCGGGACCTACTTTCAATAAAGTAATACTCAGCTTTGGCCGTACCTGGATATAATCTTACCTCACAGTCTTGATTGCTTGAAGCAACGCCAAATAGCCACTAAACCGCCAGACGCTGGATCGGTGAGTTATGCCCTTGTTCGGTAGACGAGAACCAAAAACCACGGAGGACTCTATCCGACAAAGTCTTATAGGTCTATCACACAGGGTGGCACATATCAACAGCTTATTCTTCATAACAAGGAGATGTCAGCGTCATAGGGAGCACAGCACCTGACAAAATTGCTTCATCTCGCTCAGGGCCTCTCTACGAGTTTCCTATCAGAGCATCTCATGAGCTCTTGGGTCGTACTGCACTAACGCAGGGGCACTCAAACGCCAAGCCACGATTTGCCCAGGCCGGGTCGTAATCTCGAGGCTTGTTTCTAAGTTTTGAACTATCCGGGTCATCTTTTACTTGTATCAGCATGTCGTCTCGGTAAAGGCAGCGGACGGCCCGTCTCTCAAAGGGACTACAAGTGCGCTTTGAAGATTATTTGCTGTCTTGATTTCATGACTGGAGCACTCAAACGTTGTAAGCTCGGTAGCATTTTACTCGTATTTAATTATCAGTGAGATGTTCATATATTATCCCTCGGATTTCTGTAATTCTCAGACGATCTACTCCACCAAGTTGAATCATGATATGACACACTACAGGCATATCCTTTGGAGTTTTCTATAACTTGGCTGTGGCTCTGTCGTAGCTCTTCTCCCTGATGAGTAGCTTTAAACGAGCAACAACGATGGTAGTATATGACGAGGATTACGTGGCTTTCATAGTGATATAGCCATGTAGCATGCGATAAGCACGATTTGATTCCCTTCTTTTAGTGTGAAACAATGCAATATTTCCGGAGGTTCTTCCGGGTCTTACACTGCCTCAGATCGCATGACGAATGGTGCGGACTCATAATAATATGCCAACAACAGAATAAAAGGGGGGGAAACGTATTATTCGGGGAGTTGTTGAAACCATGTGCTATGGCTAGGTAGTATCTCTTGACAGAATACTACACTCCCTCGGCGTCTTACAGCTCATACCAAAATAGCCATTGTTTTTGCAATGATCTGATGGCGTTGGTAACTTGATATCATTTCACGGCTGGTGTCATGACAAGTGGTGCCAATACATGTTTCTTTGATGATATCCATACGTTGTGCTCCGTAGCACCTCAGGCACATGCTCTCACATGGGTGTTTAAAACAAATCCATGCCTAAAGCTTGGCAGCTGAATATGCCGTTGACATGCCACGACGTTTTTTTTTTTTTAACTTCAAACGAGTTAACGGTAAGACATGTAGATGAGGCCACTTTCGCTCCCTGATTCTAGTGTTGCAGCCAATGATGGATCCGTGCCTCGACCCAAGCAAAGTGAGCCTGAAGGATATATTTGGAAGGTATCACAGACTACTTTTTTTTAATTTGTGTTACTCAGTCTCGTTTTTTCACGTGGTTGGGCCGCAATGGCTTTTGGCGGCTGCCGTTGGATTTTGGCGTCGAGTCCGTCGGCGGTGCTGAAGCTGCGTTGTCTTGAGGCAACGTTACGATTGGAAATGTTTGATACGGTTTACGGGGCTTTATGAAGAGACAAACAATCGAGTTGGGAAGTGGCAGTGGCACATCGGATGGTTGTCGGTGCTATCGCGAAGTGCGTGGCCTCGGTTGTCTACTGGAAGTGATGTTGCGATGGCTTTGAGCGATTACGATGACAGGATTGGTGATTGATGAAACCATGTAGCCGTATATTCCCTATTAAATTTTATTCATATGTAATAGGCCTGAATGCAAGAGTGGACAAGGCTGGTATTCGTTGGTTAGTGGCTGTTTTTGGCTATAAACACCTGTGTTGAATGGTGTAAGTCGGTGGAAGATGGATGAAGATGGCTTGACTCCTTACTTGAGCTCCTGTGGTTATAAATGTATGGTGAAATAAATGTTTACAGTGAACAATCCGAGAATTAACAGTGGTTAGTCAATACGTAGTAAACATGAGTCATGAGATGGCATTTATTATCCATTACAGCGTGGCGGTCTAAATACAGAAGCGAGGAGTAATAGCTTGAGACAGAAGCTCTCAATCACAAGCTCTAAAAAGCTAAATGATGACAATTAATTTCTATTGGCATTCAACATAATTGAGAATGCGGGGGACAATGTCCTATATCGGCGCCGTCTTGTTGGAATCATGTCCATCACTTCTGCTTTCCCAGCTGGGACATTGGGGGTTCAATGTCGATGTTTGGGCATGGAGATAGGAGCCTGACGCTAAAGTGGCAGCATAATAAGACATGGTGCCACGTCGAACTGAGGAGAAGCTTGTTAGTCTCAGACAGGGACAAGGATTTGCATTGATGGGTGCGATCAATAATGTTTTTCAAGTTGAATGAACAAACTTGTCGGGATTGACTCATTGCTGGAAAATCAGCATTACTGCAGCTTCATTTTGATATTCTAGGTTAAGCACTGTAGAAGACGCGTGTTAGTGACAACATGAAGCTCTGCCGCTATAAGCTCTCCAGCTACAAGCTTTCGCTCCACTGTCAATCGGTGGCTGCAGCGGCGGTGTGATGGCCGTGCGTCTCCCACGCTGTTTTCGCCACAAAAAAAAACAGTTCGCCGCTTAGCGCTCCAAAGTGCATAAATCATGCACTAAGCTAAAGCTACGTCACAAGACTTAAAGCATCAATGCCGTTGCCTTTATTTTCTGATCGCCAAACGCTGCTTTCCCCCTTTCCGCAGCAACCTCGCAGGCGATGAAGCGTCGATGAAGCACCATGCTCGGGGACAATAAAAACGACACGTGCAACGGCGAGGATTACATCCGGCCGGCGTCCAAGACGGTGCGCGATCTCGAGGTGCAGCTGGTGCTGTCGCTGATTCTGGGCATTGGGGCCTTTATCGCGTTCTGTGTAAGCCTCGACTCTCGTTTGCTGCTGGACGCGCACAAGACTAATCCGCTGCTTTTGCGGCGATTCGCAGATTCTGCGCCCGCGATGGCCGACGCTCTATGCTGCGCGCAAGAGGCGCCTTGATCCCACGATTGGCCTGCCGCCGCTGACCGACTCTTTCTTTGGATGGATCCCCAGGCTGTACAAGGTGACGGAGGAGCAGATTCTGGCGTCGGCTGGCCTCGATGCGTTTGTGGTGCGTGGATTCGGAGCTGTTGAATGGGCAAAGACTCGTAACTAACTCCTTTGCTGGCAGTTCCTGACCTTCTTCAAAATGGCCACTCGCATCTTCGCCATCATGACCTTCTTTGCCTTCGTCGTGCTGTGGCCAATCAACTACAGCTACCGCAACTTCCAGCCCCTGCTGGGAGGCAACCCCCCGACTGACGACCCCGACGACTGGGACGATCTATACCGGCCCATTGGCCTGCCTCTGGGCTCCGTTGCGATGGGCTTGGCAGACAAGATAGAGAAGGACAAGAGCCGCGAGAGGACGTTTCTCTGGGCCTACGTCTTCTTCACCTACTTTTTTGTTGCACTGACCATCTACTTCATTAACAAAGAGACGTTTCGCATCATTGGCTATCGGCAGGACTACCTGGGCTCGCAGTCGACCCTCACGGACCGAACGTTTCGCCTCACCGGCGTCCCCCCCGACTTCAGAACCGAAGCGCGCATCAGAGCCGTCATCGAGAAGCTGCGCATTGGCACGGTCGAGACTGTGTCAATCTGCAGAAACTGGAAGGCGCTGGATAAGATTGTGGAAGAAAGACACCAGATCCTTTGTAATCTTGAGGCGTCCTGGGCGCGCTTACGGAAGCAGCAGCGATATCTGGCCGCGAATGCCCGCCATCGCAACGGCCGCACCAATTCTTCGCGGAACAATCATATCAGTGAAGACGATGAAGAATCCGGCGAGAACTGGGGGCTCCTAGGCGGCGGCTCGAGCCAGACCCACGTCTCGGAAGGCGATCGACCACAAGTCTCCATACGCCACGGCATCTTTGGACTGCGGAGCCGCAAGGTCGATGCGATTGATTATTACGAGGAGAAGCTTCGGAGGATCGACCAGGTGGTCATTGAGGCCCGCAAGAAGGAGTACGCCACTACCGATATGGTGCTTGTGACTATGGACTCGGTTGCGTCGTGCCAGATGATTGTCCAAGCTCGAATTGACCCCCGGCCTGGGCGCTTCTTGACCAAGGCTGCGCCGTCGCCCGCTGATATTGTGTGGAAGAATACATATGAACCTCGTGGAGTAAGACGTATCAAGGCATGGACGATTACTCTATTCATCACAATTCTGACCCTTGTCTGGATTTTCCCAACGGCCTTCCTCGCTTCGTGGCTCAGCATATGCACTATCCAGAAAGTCCTGCCATCCTTCTCTCTCTGGCTCAAGGACCACGCCATCATTCACTCGCTCCTCCAGAACGGTGTGCCTACCTTGGTTGTCTCGCTGCTCAACGTTGCTGTTCCGTATCTCTACGAATATCTGTCAAACCGCCAAGGAATGATCTCTCATGGCGACGTGGAGCTGTCGCTAATCTCCAAGAACTTCTTCTTCACCTTTTTCAATACCTTTTTTGTCTTTGCTATTTCAACATCTGCTTTTGATTTCTGGAGCGTGCTTCAAGAATTTCTCAAAGACACGAGCAAGATCCCTAGAGCTATAGCGGCTGATGTGGAAAACTTGTCCGTCTTTTATATCAATTTCATCATGCTGCAAGGCATCGGCCTGATGCCCTTTCGAATTCTCGAGGTTGGGAGCGTATTCCTCTTTCCGATCAATCGAGTTCTGGCCAAGACTCCGCGAGACTACGCGGCGCTTAAGAAGCCGCCTCTGTTTCAGTATGGCTTCTATCTGCCGACTTCCCTGCTCGTTTTCAACCTCTGTGTCATCTACTCTGTTTTGAGATGGGGATTCGCCATCCTATTGTTTGGAACGCTGTACTTCTCCATCGGCTATTTTACTTTCAAGCATATGCTCCTCTACGCCATGGACCAGCCGCAGCATGCGACTGGGGGTGCTTGGCAGATTATTTGCAACCGCATCGTCATTGGACTAATCGTCTTTGAGGTTGTCATGGTCGGACAGATTGCTTCGCTCTCGGCGTTTGTGCAGTCCGTCGCGGTTATGCCTCTCATTCCCTTTTCGATTTGGTACACCTACTACTTCAAGAGGCGATTTGTGCCGTTGATGAAGTACATTGCCCTGCGAGCCATCAAGCCTGATGAGGGCTCTGATGAAGAGCAAGCTGTTGTGGATGATGAGGAGTCTGATGACGCCAGCCCAAGTCGTTCGCGATCACGAGAAATGTTGCGAAGAGGTAGTACGTTGGATGAACTTAAGGAGAAGGGTTTGACGTTTACGAACCCGAGTCTCATCGACCCGTAAGTAATGTCCCGCGATATTCTCTCTATGGATTATATACGTGTAATTATGATTTACTGACTTGTTCCTTCAGTCTACAGCAAGCATGGGTCTACACTGATCCGCCTCCAATCACAATGACAGACGAGGAGTCTGAGGATGGCGGAGAAGGGTCTGAAGATCAGCCGACATTGGTGCTGCCCAGTGTAGACAGCTCCCTGGGCATTGGAGAAGATAATGTCTGGCTGAATACAGCAGGACGAAATCGAAGTACATGATGAGATGAGCTGAGATGAAGATAATTTGTGACAAAATGCACATTGAACGAAGGGGGGGTCTGTGAATATGACGGGAAGGATATCTGCTCTTTTCTTTCTCATTCCTGCTTATTCTCATACGAGGGCGTTTTTGATTGATGACTGATACACGATGTATTTTTTCTGCGTTGGCCGCGATTACATTTTTATGCCTTGCTCTTTGCCGCTATTATATATATGGCAAGAACGATACCATTGATCATTCTATTTAGACAGCGCCTTTCTTTATCAAATTATGTATCTGGAGGAGGAGCTAAGACGGATGGTGAAGGAGAGCCCGAGGGAGAGTTTAAGCTAAAAATAACAACAATGCCTATATTCGCCGAATCGTCATTTCCCACTGCATGTGATGACAGCGCCTGGCTATCTTCAACATCATTCTCTGCTTGGACGACTGCCCTAAGAATCCATCTACACTTCTTTTTCTCCATAACTGACATTCTTTTGAGATATTAAAAATAGAAACGCCTCCTGCCCTGGAGGCTAATCTGACAAAACGTCCTCTCAAATCTTTGTCTCAAGGGGCGTTGCGGGAGCCCGGTCAACGAGATCGAGTGAAACTTCTCGACGCCCAGCGAATAGGCCTAGCGAAAGGATGGCGGTTATAGCGCTGGTGACGAGCGGCGACAGGAGGATATACGCGCTTCCTGGACAGCCGGCTGACGTGGAGACGGTGTATGGAGGGGGATATCAAGACGAAGATGAGGAGGAGCCTGGTGAGCGGTACTCGCTGTTTTGGGTTTTCCTCAATGTGATGCTGATTTGATATAGAGTTGTCTGCCGCTATGCAGCTCCCTGTCGAAGTGCTTCAGAAAATCTACCAACATCTATCGCCAATGGACTTTCATTCAGCGAGACATACATGTCGAGTATAGTATTTCGCATCTCTGGATCGCCCACTGCTCACGAGCATGCTGAAGCAAGGTGGATGGTGGAGCAGCATGATGAATATCCTATCGCCTATGAGATCTACAACCATGTCGAACCTAAGCCGCGAGACCATCATGAGCAAGTGGCTTTCGAGAGAGTGCAGCCTCTTGAGCTCGGAGAAGCCTGCCTTTGTTGAAGTCGGCCATACAGACTTTAGCGCTGCGGTGCCCAGGTCGCTGCCGGGCGATATGCGTGGAGCGATGAGTTTTACAGTCAGCCTGTGCGGCAAGTTCTTGATGGCGGTGCATGGCCGGATTGTTTATATATATGAGCTTAATCATGTGTGTTTTCCAGAGAGGCTGTTGTGGTCGCTTCCGATTCGACGCAGACAGGGGCTGCCGCTGGGACTGCTGCGGCTGGTGGCGAGGATCTTGTGTCCGAAGAGGGTGATTTATTGCAGTATGGATACCTCGTCGGAGAGATATGCTGTGGCGTTTCTGATGGAGGGCCGGGTTGGCATGGTTTGCGATATCTTGACTGAGAGGACGGGCACTTCGAGTCCTGCGTCGAGCTCGGCCAAGGCAAATGAATCACCGGCAGCCGCAGAATCTGCATCTAGATCTAGGTCTGGGTCTGGATCTCGAGTATCGTCTGCATCAGCATCGTCGCTATCATCGTCGACACAATGTATCTGTCATGAGCGACTGGTATGCCGCCCAGTGCCGTTGGAAGATGGCCCAAGATCAGTATATCGCAACATCTGCCATTCAGATGATCCTCCGCGCGCAGTTGCCATATGTCCTCAGAGAAAATGCGTGGCTTTTGGATGTGGTTCGGGAATTGAGCTACACTGGGTTGACGCCATGACTGGCCAGAATCTCAGCAGATGGTTTCCGCTTACATCTCCAAGCGACTTTCTCTATTTCCTGCCGCCACGAAGGGGAGTAGACACGCCGAGGAAACTGAGGCTGATTAGCTCGGCCGCCGGCTTGGGAGATGCTATGGACTTGCTAGATGGTATTCTTCATGGCTTCAGTACATCGTTATTGGGCTCCGGGATTACAGCGACGGTATCATCTCTGGATCCTGAGCCTTGGCATGCGCGGCGTGGATATGAAATGCCATTTGCGACCAGCGGATCGAGCCAAGATGCCGATATGGATCCGGACGAAGCTCTCCTGAGTACGAATGTGCCGCGAGATAGCCCTCTTCGGCGGCTTGCTGCTGCGAGCGCGGACCATTTCCGCGCGGTGCCATTGAGTGATGGCCATCACATCCTCTTTACCGACCCTCGTACCGGAAACCTATGTTTGGGATCTGATGCTCCTGTGGGCTCTCTTACTCGTCTCCTTCGCAAGATCTGGTTTCGCCCTCCCCCACAAGCATACTCACCTGTACCCCTATTGTATGCTGTTGGGGCTGATATAAGACATGGGGTTCGCGTGGTTGCGACTTTTGCGGCCAGGCGACAAGAAGGAGAGTTTGAGTTGTCCGATATAGGCCCAAGAGGTCTTGAACATGGGGACTCCAAACGACAGCTTATTGTTTTTTATACAGTTCCACCGGACATCTTTTACGATTTGCGCCGCAAGGATTCTGAGACTAGATTTACTGGACATTATTCTCCTGAAATCCTAGAAACAAGGCGCTCCGATTCGAGATACGGCCCCATTGACATATTTGGCGACCCCTTTGGAGAGAACTCGGTTTATCCACTGGAAATAGCTGGACATGTGATGGCAACTTGTGGGAATCTGACAGAAATTGCGTTGAACTCTTGTCCAAACTTGATTATTTGGGCTTTTGCTGCGGAAGGATGGGCCAAGACTTGGGTGTTGGATACGGGGAGACGTGAGACTATCGTGCGGTCTGCTGCTCAACGAGACGGGAGTATCAGACAAGTCGATGCTGATGGCGATGTCATCATGGTTGACTCTATGCCCTCGACGGGTTCGTCTTCTGAGATGAGTTCCCTGGACTTTAACCTCTTTGATGGCGCTCCGATCAGCGACACGGATGGCGAGCCGGTAAGGGGCAAGACGACGACGGTACGGCGCTGCCATGGCAAGAGACATCATGTGCGGGGGGATATTTGGGAGATGCAAGACCACATGGACGATACCCTGAGTATAGATTTGGTGGAGGAGGTGGGCAGCATTACGAGGCTGGATATTGAGCTCTTGACCTAGTTGTCTTAGACGTGGGCATGGCTTTGCCTTGGAGGGCTTGAGCTCTTGTCCAACTGGGTTCGAGATGACGATTATAGTTATGCTAGTATGGTTACTGGATAGAATAGTGTAATATTGTTAATGAACCAGTTGAGTATTTCTGTGCGAAATAAGAGGTGTGTCAATAGTATGAACGCATATAATCCGCTGATATTGTCTTCGCTGATAATGCATTTCCTTTACATATTGTACGCTTTTTACTGCAAGTGTGTTTGAGTTCACTGTTGATACATCATGATAACCCTTATACTTGTTACTGTAAATGTATGTTATTTCGCTGTTAATGCATCTTGACTACTCATACAGTGACATGCTGTCTCTTTCTCTAAATATCAGTAATAAAGAGAAAATCACCGAGCCACCTTGCTTCTCAATATCAAGCTCCAGGTTGTGATACTGGAGGAGTGCTCTCGTTACCATTGCCCATGGCCATACTGGGATAGACCATTGGCCCTCCTCCTTGCATGCCCTGCCAGTTCATGTTTGGCCACATCTGAGCGGCCATTTGCGGTGTCATGTGAGACATTTGCTGCATCATGTTGGGCATCAGTGGAGGGCTGCCTGGTGCCAAGGATGCTTGCGTTTGCGTTTGCGTTTGCGTTTGCGTCTGTGCTTGCATTTGGGGTTGCTGGGAGGGCATGTTTGGGTATTGGCCTTGGGGTTGGGCTTGCATGAATGCTTGGGGGTTGTACATCATGTTCATGTAGGGGGGGTAGAAGGTGGGTGGTGGTCCGTTTGCTGGGTAGCCGTTGGGGACCATGTATGGATTTGGAGCTTGAGGGTGAGGGTGAGGCTGGCCGGAGGAGAGTTGGTAGTGTCCGGCTGCTGCTGAGGAGGAAGGAGTTGGGGATCCGTTTGTGGTGGCGGGCATGTTGGGACTGGGAGTGGTTTCTGCCATGGCTGGGATTTTGTTGTCGAGAAATGGGATGGTGGGTGAAGTAAGGGCTTGTGGAGGAGTTGATGGTGGTTGAGCTTCTTCTTTGCCCTTGTTCTTGGGCTTGTCGTCGTCGTCGCTGTCGCTGGAGGAGTCGTCGTCGTCTGCTAACCTCGCGATGGCGGCTTCTCGCGCGCGGATGCCCATGTCTTTGGCGACTCTGTCGGCGTCCTTGCCGTAGATGTTCTTGAGGTAGCGCATGAACTCGAGATAGGCCGAGAAGACGGTGTTGATGTGGCCGTCGGACAGCGTGACCTGCGCGTCCTTTGCGTCGTCGTCGCCGGCGGCATCCCTTTGAGCGTCGAACTCGGCAATGGCCAGGGCGGTCTGGCAGGCGTTTCGGATCTGGCGGCCGTTCCAGCGCATCTTTTCGTTGTTTTGCCAGTAGTCGCTTGCATAGTTTAGGATTTGCTTCTTGTTGATGGTGATGGAGCGGTTCTTCTCTTGGAAGCGCTCCTTGATGAGGCGCAGGTTGAGCTTGAAGATTTTGCGGGTGGATTTGAGGTCGAGCGGCGGGTAGTAGAGGCTGACGTGGATGCGGGAGGCAAAGGCTTCGTCGAAGTCGCCGATGCGGTTGGTTGTGAGGAAGAGGATGCCGGCGTAGTATTCTAGGACGCGGAGGAAGACTGGTTGTGGGTGGGCAAGTTAGTTGTAAGTTTGGATATTGAAGGAGAGGAGAGATGTACCGGCTACAAGGCCGTTGCGGATAAAGTTCTTTGGGGATCGTTGGGCGAGGAAGACGTCGGCTTCGTCGAGGAGGAGGATGCTGCCCCAGCGGTTGGCGAGGCTGAAGTTGCGCTCGAGAGCGGTTTCGACTTCGCTGGCTGTGGTGCCGAGATCTCCTGTGGTAGACATGTTGGGTCAGTAAAGGTTGTTCTGGGTATTGATGTTTTCATGTTGGGAATGCGTACCACATGTGATTTGGAACAATGGCTTGTTGAAGCGTTCAGCAACGCCCTCTATGATACTGTGAGTGGGTGGCTGCAAAGATGGGGGTTGCATAGAGCCTACCGGCGGTGGTTGTCTTGCCCACTCCAGGAGCTCCGTGGAGGAGGATGATAAGACCCTTTCCTATGAAGCAGTCAGTAAAAATCGTTGGGCCCTTGGCATCTTTGCTTGCAATATACCCTTTCCTCGTACGATATCCACTTCTTCGTTATCACTGACTCTAGCTGCCTTGTCGCGAAAGTGTTGGGCGACTAAGCAGTGAACTATATCCTTGTGGCCCGTTGGGAGGACGAGCTGGTCAAAAGCTGTCTTCTTCTTTAGGACTTCGTCCACGGGAGTCAAGTATTTAAGATCGAGTTTTGCTGTTTTTTTCAGATGGTCAGTAACTGAGAGAGAAGAAAGCAACGTTGAGATATATTAGCGCACCCCATTTACGGCTTCGCAAGACGAATCCAAATACCCGATACGGCATGATCAAGAAGTCGTCATCTGTCAGCGAGTCCTTGGCTGCTGTCAATTCCTTTAGTGAACGGGGATGAATAGCCACGGGCGGCTCAACATTCAGCTCCTCGGGATCGGGCATGATGCTTGCCGCGTATTCTTCATATCTCTTCTTCTCAATGTAGGCGTCGGCATAGACATAGTCGCCTTTGCAGCACGCTCCCAGGCACGAGTGCGCGTCCTTGTCGTCTGATGAAGAACTTTGCCCCAAATCTCGTCCGATGATGGATTCCACCCTTGGCTGCCAGGAATTCACCTGGGCCGACTCGTTCATGGCGTTTGCCGCGGCGGTTTCTGCATCCTTGACTGCAAAGGCCTCTGCAAAGTCAATCATGACTTGGCTGTCGACCTCGTCGCGCGTCTCGAGCGCAAAGCCGTTGTAGTGCATGTGTTTAATATGTGCGACATCGACAAATACTTTGCCGCGCTCGACTAGTTTTCTTGTGTAATACATCTCACCAGTTTCCGTGTCTCCATTGCGGATGTGATGACCCGCGACTGCGAACCGGATGGGATAGGCGTCGAGAGCAGTGATGGCCTTTTCGCCGTCAAACTTTTCAATGGTAAAGGTTTGAGTCACGGGGCCCAGCTGTTTGCCGTCAAAGTCAATGTAGACGCAGTGAAGCGTGATGGTTTCCACTGGCGAGTTTTCGTCCTTTTTCCAGTTTCGCCAGGGCGGAGTGACCAAGTGGCCTGTGCTGGTGACGTTCATGACTCTGTATACTTGCTGTTGTCCTTGGCCGACTACGGTGTCTCCTGGCTTGAAGAGGTACCAGATGTGTTTGAATGCTATTGTTCGCAGGCCGGAGGGTTGTGATAGGTAGTTTATCTTGGCCTGGACAACGCGATCCATGAATTGAATGAGGCAGCCGAGATGTTGATAAGCAGTCAGGGAAGATGCATGTTCATCTTTCGATCCATCTTCAGCTGCATCCTTTGTCTCAGAGGCATCTTGCTTTTCATTCTCATTTTCCTCCGGGTTTTCGCCCTCGGGCTCCTCCTTGGATTTGGCCAGAATGGCCTCTCCTAGTTCACGATACTTGGTCCGAATCTCCTTGTCATAGTGCACAAGTGCTCGGTAGGGCCGGACCATGACGACTCCACTGTTGCCGTCGTATGGCTTAGGCTTCACTTGGAAGATTTCTCGAAGTATGTCGATGATATACTTTGATCTTATTCGGATTCGCTCGGGCACAACTTGCTTGCTCGGATCTGAACCATCAATCATCTCTTTCCACGTAGACAGGCTTTTCTCGGCCGTTGCCACAACGCCTACTGTGCTTTCTTGTGGTGGCAACGTACGGCGCGCAAACCAGGGATTGGTGTAGTCATCAAAAGTGATAACCGGCTCCTCTATCGAGATATCAATGACAAAGTATCGGCTTTCTAGCTGATTGGGGGTGTGCGGAAACTTGAACATTTTCCAGTCCATGGGGTTCAGATCGACCATCAGCCCGTCATTGAACACACCCGTTTTGGCATTTTCTTCCTGATCCTCGTTTTCAGTAATCTCTTCAAAGGTCAGGATTCGATCTCCAGGGCGTGCATTTTGAAGCTCGTCTCTCAGCATGTTACAATAACTCTGCAACTTTGCCGTGGTATTACGTAGATTGTCGCGCTCTTCTGAGGCAGTGTCCACAATTCCGGTGAGAGCCTCGATATACTCGAGCTCCCCGCCGATCTCGTATATCTTGCGCCTCAGTGAATAAGTTTCGTCCTGGGTTCTCTCATCCACCCCAGTAAAGTGATTTTTCACTTGCAGGAGCAGGCCTTTTATGTCATCGCCAGAAGCTTGTTTTGTATTCTCCTTGAGCTGCGTCTCAAGGCTTTCTCGTTGCTGCTTTTCTTTCTCAGCGTTTGCCTCTGCAAGCGCAAGCTTCTCTTTCAGCTTAAGCAGCTCCTCTTCAATTCCTTGTGGTTTTCCATTCACTCCATCGGATATGACGGAGCTTGAAAGCAGAGGGCCTGTAGTACTTGGGCTAGCAGGAACATCTTGGCTGTCTGTAGAGGCAACAATTGAATTAGCTAGTATTTCAGCCATGGTAGCTAACTTTTAGACCATTGAAGGCGAATTGCTGGAGGGTTTTCGTTGCCTGTTGTCCAAGTGTGAAGAGTGCGGCAACTAGTACTTCCTGAGAAACTGTATGGTGCTAATACTTGTTGATAGACCTCTGCTGCCTATTTGATCTCCTGTGAAAACCCCGCTTCAATGCGTCATTTTCGCACGAAAAACAAGACACCTAGAAGGCGTCAGTGATCCTAAACTAGGCCATATGGATGGCGCGGCAGAGAAGTAAATATAGAACACAATAGCTGACCACCTTGACAGGCCTGCTGCAGTGATGCCACTAGTGTGTCCAACGAGCTATCAGTTTCAGCTGCGTAAAGTGGCACCTCTGAAGGATCTGTCCATAAACGTATGGAGCCCCTCAGTTGATGAGAAATAAAATAAAAGATGGTAAAAAGCTAGCAAGAAGTTTCTATACTATAGGTTTCTGATACTACCTACTTTATCAACTTGAAAGATATAACTTATGCCCTTCTGAATGTATAGCTTCAGGTCCTTTGCTAGCTAGTAGTACAACCTAACAGTCTTATAGATAGGATTTGCCGTAGAAAGAGACTATAAGTTTCCTACAGTGCTTCAAATAACTAATGATATAACTAGCAATAATTGATTCGGAAACTTTGTACACAGTTGAGTCAATGAGCTGGATATTACTTGACTGGAGCACGCAGCAACCCCTGTCAAAGCGGGGACCCTTGAGGCTCTGAAACCAACAAAGTGATCAGCTGCGCCCTCCTGTCCCCGAGTTTTCTCCCATCAAATACTTGAGTCTGTAATCTATCATTAATCATTCTTTGAAGCACCCTGCTTTGAAACGTTATTGCAACGTTAAGAGTTAGCAGGGCTTGACGAGCATGGCGCATCCTACTATTCCTTCGATCCATCTCCAGCCCCCATCGGTCGACTTCATTGACAACCGGCTCCCCGCTATTCACGATGTTTTCAGGGATAGAGATGTACATTATGACCCTGTATTACGAAGATATGTAGAAAATCGAACCATTACCGACGGAAGTGTGTCAGATGCTGGCGAGAGCCAGGACAATAACCAAGCTCTGGTTCAGCCCAGCTACTCGTTTGGCGATGTTGGAGATTCCGAAAAGTTCTGGGGCCTCATCTTTCCAGATGCGATGAAAAAGTTCACCCAAGAGTATCCAAATGAGCCTAAACAGCGCGACAAGTCTGGGTACAGCATTCGAACGCAGACAACGTGGGACGGTGTTAATGAACAGCTCCACAAGGCGCGAGAAGTCTACGATGGCACAAAACAAGGCTTCCGGGGCCGGTGTAAGCGGGTATTCCGCAAAATCGGAGATAATACCGTTGAGCCAGCGCAAAACATTATTAAATTGGTCCCGGATATTGATTACGTTTCACCGGTTTTGGGTGCGGTGCAATTGCTTCTCAGTGTAAGAATTGACAATTTGCTGGAAAGGCTGCAGCTCTATAGAGGCATTGTCGCTAATTTAATCTTTTTAGGCTTTTACAATAGCTTCCAGCGTGCGAGAGACAGTTGCTTCGGGTCTCGAGGATCGGAACCTTGACGATCTCTTTGCCGATGTTGAGGTGTTCTTGATAACTTTCCCGGACATGAGCAAAGTCAAAGACGCTGCTGTGTCCCTGGTAGTCTCAGTTATGAAAGCAATCGAAGATGCTATAGGATTCTTCATATCTAACCAAAGTGAGTTTATGTGTTGACATGAGGGGTTTTACGCTCAGTTTATAACTTACAACTTGTATCATCTAGTAATTAGAGCAGCCTCTGCTATAGGTCGTGGGAAAACTGGGTATCAGAAACCGCTCCTTGAAAGTCTAGGAGCAATTCAAAAGAGCAGTCAGAAACTCATTCATCAGGCACAAAATGCCCATTTTGTTTCTACCCAGATTGGGCTGAATGCCATCTGGAACGGTAAGTGGCAGCTGTGTTTACCATCTAGTGTTGTGTGTCTAACAGCAAACTCTGATAGACACTGGACGACTTGTCATGTCCCAGCGCATGACGGGCCAAGCAATGGAATACTTGATCGATAAAGTCGATCGCGGTTATCGAGAGGGAGCCCAGTTCTATAACACTGTGCATAGGCTACTGCTGGACGCTGAAGAGAGTAAAAAAGCAAGAGATCAAAGTCTCCAAAACAAAATCGCCAGCTTAGAAGAGAAGATTGCCAGCCTTGAAGGCTCATCTAGAGCATCGACTCCTGGAACTCCAGAACATACCCAAGTTTGGCCAAATCAACAAACTCCTTGGTTGGGCTATCCACCCCAGTTTGGTTCATACTTGCCAGCTTATCATAACCCATGGCCTGGTGCTTTTTCACCACCAGAAATGATTACAGGGCCTTCGTTTAACGCAAGTTCATATAGTAATTTGCCGATCAACCTTTCGCATCAATATCACACAGTGTCACCACCGCCTCCACAACCGCCAAAGATTGTCAGTTCTTCTCGCCTTCTCGATCTTCTCAATATTCCACTCGATCTCGACAAGACAGATCTTGATGTCGTACAAGATGGCAGTTATAGGATTCCAAGGAAACTGCGTGCCCATGCGGAACAAGTGACACGAACATTGCAGTTCCGCGATTGGATCGTCGCGCCAAGCTCGCGTCGGTTGCTCATTCATGGCGAACTATCACGACAATCTCTCGCGACGTGGCATGTTTCTCCTCTGTCGCATTTTTGTGCCATGCTGATGCACATGCTAAGCGCGAGAGAGAATTACATACCTTTGGTGTTTTTCTGCGGATGCCACGTTGAGCCGGAAGACGGCAACATTGGCGCTGCGGCAATGATGAAGAGCCTTTTAGCACAGCTACTACGGCAGATTCCATTTGAGGCTTTGACCTTGGATAAAAGTGTGGAATTGAACTGCCTTAGCGAAAGCAACTGCAGTGTATCCAAGCTATGTGATCTCTTTGTTTGGCTGGTTCATCAGCAGCTGAGTAGGGAGCATACCTTGGTGTGTATGATTGATGGAATTGGGTACTACGAGACGGATGAGTTCGAATCCGATGTGGTAGTCATTATGAAAATGTTGCTACGACTCTCCGAAGAAACCTTGCGGGAAGACGATGATGAAGGACTTTTGCGCGGAGATATCAAGGTCCTAATCACTGATCCGTTTACTACAGATGCCATTCAAGGAGTGTTTGAGGATATGGATGGCAGTAGTGAAATGTCCTTTATATCAATGTCGGGACTTCCAAACATCAATGAATACCTTGATATGCCCGATGATCTGTGGAATAATGAGGATTTAGAGGATGAAGATGACTTGGACCAAAATAGCGCAATGTCAGATAGAGACAGCTCTCATAGTGATACGAGGGCTTAGATAGCGTCATCGCCTATTTTTGTTTTGCGGAATCACGCGATTCAAGGTTGGAAATCACTGGATTTGTCACACACCCAGATATACGTTTATTATAAACATGTCTCGATTTACCTTGCCGCACAGCCCAACGCCATCGCTGCCTGTCAAGAGGCTAAGCCGATTCGACCCTTGTCACTTCGACGGGACATGCCTTTTGGTCTGACAAAGTGCCTTAAACCTTATCTTGTATTTCTTGATATTGTTGAGTGATCGACCAGGGACCAATGTCCATTTAAGGTATAGAGCCTTTAGCTTCTGCCTTCTATTATACACGGCATCTCAGATCGCATCCTGCTATTTTCTCCACTACTCTGGAACCGCTTTAGAACCACTTTAAGAGATCAACTAGGGACCTATGTCTATTTTGGGACAGGTTGTTTGGCTTCTGCCCCCATAACGTACACAATATTTCACATAGCCAAACCAAGACGACGAATGATGTGAAACAAGTCCACTATTCATACTTTAGGATATGCCGACATACCGATATCTTCTACTCGCCATCATTTGGCGTTCTCAATTTGCGGCCCACACGGGATGATTGTGCGAAGAGGTGGGCCTCCCAATCCTTGAATTACCCTACCATGTCCTTGTCTGCTCGCTTTAGACCTGGATAGTGGGACTCGAGAAACGAGTTGAGAAACCCAACTACTTCAAATCCTTTGGAATTTTCTATCCAAAAGAAGGCATTGGTCAATTAGGCTATGGATTCTAGGGAGAGCGCTGAATAATGATTGATAATCAAGGACATTGCTGAGTGAAAATAGTGATGATCAATCAGGCGGTGAAAGCTTCCTCTCTATGACACGACATCACGGATTCAATATCCATGGTCTATGGGTATTTAGGCCCATTAAACTATTCGATCTGATAACAGAGATTATCTTATTTAAAAAACGACGTTTCTCGTCTTTTGCGTTTATCCTTTTCTGCGATTACTACAATATACTACACAGCGATCAGACTTTCCAGCATCTAGTGCTCCTCTAACAATCTAGTCAACTACCAAAACCACAGCCTTGAGTCAAGTCTAATACAGTCATAATGGGATCAATTTCTCCAGATGCGACCGCCCCTTCACGGCTCTTCTCACCTTTCAAAATCGGCGGCCTGGAACTAAAACACCGTATTGTCATGGCCCCCTTGACTCGCTACCGCAACGACGAGAACCACGTCCCTCTACCCTTTGTGGCAGATTACTATGCTGAACGGGCCTCTGTTCCGGGCACATTCCTCATCGCCGAAGCGACTGCCGTCTCGCCCCGTGCGGCGGGATACTCCCATCTCCCTGGAATCTGGAACAAAGATCAAATCGCATCATGGAAACGAGTTACGGATGCTGTACACGCCAAGAAGAGCTACATATTCCTACAACTATGGGCTCTGGGCCGCGTGGCAAAGAAAGAGGTCGCCGAGAAAGAGGGCATGAAGATCGTTTCACCAAGCAACATACCCGTGGACAGCGAACACTCGGAGCCCGAGGCTTTGAGTTATGAGGAGATACAGACTCTTGTGGCGGATTTTGGTCAAGCGGCTAAAAACGCTATTGAAGCCGGATTCGACGGCATTGAGATTCACGGCGCAAACGGCTATCTTGTCGACCAGTTCATCCAGGATGTTGCCAATCAAAGAACTGACGAGTACGGTGGTTCCGTTGATAAGAGGAACAGGTTTGCTTTGGAGGTTGCAAAGGCGGCGGTCGATGCTATCGGTGCTGATAAGGTTGGGTTTCGAATCAGCCCCTTCTCTACCTTTCAGAGCATGAAGATGGCCGATCCGTATCCCCAGTTCTCTGCGCTGGCCAAAGGTCTCAAGGCCCTGAACTTGGCGTATATCCATGCAGTCGAGTCGCGCATTGCAGGTGATAACGAAGGTGGAGGCACCGAAAAGCTTGATTTCTTGCTGGACATCTGGGGAGACGATGCCCCCTTTCTGATTGCCGGTGGTTGGAAGCCTGATGGTGCTCTGGAAGCTATGAATGGTCAGTACAAAGACAAGAATGTCGCTCTTGTTTTTGGTCGATACTTCTTGGCCACACCCGACTTGCCGTTTAGGATCAGACGAGGCCTTGAGCCAAACAAGTACAAACGCGACTTGTTCTACACGTTCAAAACAAAGGAGGGGTACCTGGACTACAATTTTAGCAAGGAATGGGAAGAGGCTAGCAAGCATGGCCTGGATGACATTTTGGCATGAAGGAATCGAATCGATTAGCTTTGACTTAACAGAACAAGTCAGTGTTGTATCTGAACGGAGTGATGTCAATGTCTTGGCCTAGCTATATCCAGACAAGTCTTGTATGACAGTACAATGATCCTTTGCAGACGACCAAGGCTTATATAAATATAGACGAGCACTTTTTGTTTCAATTTACACTTGGAGAACTACAAAGGTCGTGATTGTTGTTGCCTTTAAACAATGGGTCTAGGATCTTGCTTCAGCTGATCCAGACCTTTTCTGGTGTTTAAGCCTTTTCGCCCATAGGGTTGACGAGATCTAAATCCCTGTAGACTGCGAATTGCCCATGTCTATTATACCAAAGCCTTGGAGAGAGTTAAAAGTGCTGTGAAAAGCGCCAGCCGGGCCTCGCTCCGACGAATTGGGAGGGCTTGGTGTATGACTTCACTTATACAGTTATATTTTTGTACGAGGTTCAGCATAAGCTGTGATTCTATTTAGTACCATAGATGAATTCATATTTCATATGGTGCACTGTATAAGGGCATCCAAGAATTGCTGGATTCGATCTCTTCTAGTGCATCATCTAGCGAGCAAAATACATTTCGCATCCTCTTGCCTCTCTCCCCGTTCCATTTAGTTGCCAACCCGTTCTTATCCTTCGTACCACCGCATTAACCGCCTCCACCCTGGATGCCGTTGAAGAATCCAAGGCGGATCACTCCGTCAGTAGTGAGTTGAAGCGGGTTGCCAAAGCCTCCGGTATGGCCAAAGCATTGGTTGATAAAAGCTGGGAATGCGCTCTCCACAGACTCTTGGCTGAATGTGACGGCATCTCCATTGGCAAAGGCGCCGATGAATACCTCGCATTGTCCCACCAGCTGAGAAATAACTGACTCCTGAGCGCCGTCCTGTGCTGCTGGGATGCTGCATACTCCTCCAGAGCAGTTCGCGGCCAGTAGCTGTGGAATTGCCGTGTTGCAGTCGGCGAGATTAGCACCAGAGCCGCCGTCGTCACATTCGGGAGCTGCAAAAGTCAAGTCGCCCAGGGCCACTGTAGATTGCGCGGCTGTGGTGTAGGCGAAAAGCCCAGCAACCAGCGCCGCGGCTGCCTGTGCCTTCATTGTAGGCGATTTTGTCAAAGACTTTACTAGGAAGTTGTGTATGTGCTATTGGTTCTTGACGGAGTATAATGGAACAACTGATGATTGTTTTCCTCATAGCGAGAAGAAGCTTGATGCTCTATATTTATACCTCGAGATCATCACCATGGCTTTCCCATTTCGGCAGTTGGCATAGTGTGTAGGGATCGGACATCCTCCAAGCCATGCAAAAGAGCCTTTGCCCAGATACCTGCGGTGAGAGGACGGATAATTCAAGTAACTCGTAGTGTCTACTTCTGGCCATATTACGCACTAGTTCAGTGATGGCTCGAATGCTGACGGCCCCACGATGGCGCCCGCGATGCGGCAAGTAGTCTTATGCCTTGTTAGTACCGGAATCCGGGACTATTTCGAATACTAGAACAACAACTTCCACGAATAGGTTCGCTGGTGAGCTCAGCGGCGAGCGGCCGTTTGCAGGTATGTGTAGCAATCGGTGAATTTATTACTCCGTCACGGTATCCCGGTCCTAGTGAATGCTGGGGTTACCCACGATCGGGAATATTATTCTCTCCTTGGCATGGAGCAGAGCTTTCAAGCTCTTCAGATTGACGCATTCAATTCACTTGTCGATATTTGGCCCATTCAAGCTACCACTAACACGTAATGTGTATCGTAGATCAATATGCTAGCAGTGCCCGAATTCTTGCAGCTTTCTTGCTAAGATTCACATCTATATTTACCGACTCTGCGAGTGTACCGTGGTTACGACTCTACTGGAAGATGTGCTTGGAAATAAGGCATTATGCAAAAACAACGTGGATGCTCTGTGGATAGATGATGGAGCAATCCGATACTATGGGGCGTGTTTAGTCCGTAATCAAGCCTTGTATAATCATGGGTCTCTAATAGGCATTGCCAGTATTTTAGCCTAAGACTGCCATCCAATACCTCGACACACCTGCCGCGGGCAAATACAAGTATTGAACTCGCAAGGACGCACTGCATGAGGGCGTGAATAGCATAGAAGCTAACGCCAGCCGCCCGTGAGATTGCTGAGACCCAGAATACCTGCAGCTATGAATTCATCTGCCGATGCCCGAGACCCCTACGAATATAGCCACGACTGTGGCGATTACCGCAGCGAGAATAGCAGCCGGCGGCATCATTGTGCCCAGCATCGCCATGCTCGTCAGAGTCGCGAAAATGCCGCCTGCTGGGGTGAAGGCCCCATACATGAACGATTGAAACGCAGCAGCCATAGTTCCTTGATGCCTGATTAGCCGACTGTACACCGCACTTGTTTGATGCTATTTGTAGATATTTGTATGAGGGACGATCGCCTACCTGCGCCGATCCCGGCAGGCCCAAAGCCCAAGCAGAGTATAAGTGTGCAAACGGCCGTAAACGTAACGGCCCATGCCATGATAACCGCAAGGACATCTGTCGTTACATTCTATCAGTAATACGCTGGAAAATATAGAAGATCAGGACTCACGAGGCTGAGAGAGCCATTGGGTGAAAGAATCCATCAGCTCTAACAGCTGGGAGCCATTGTTCCAGTCGAAAAGCACGGGTGCCATGGCTAGTAGAGTATTCTAGATCAAGATTTGGCGTTTGGCAAGCTTATGGGTAAGCGTAGATATATGGGCGGTAGAAGGAATATTCGGTGCAGGTTCAAGGAATGCAAACAAAAGGGCGACGACAGCTCTGAATACTGTGTTTAATTGCTGCCCAAAAAAATAAAACATAAGTAAATCTAGGCCCCCAGGTGTGCGTTGGGTATTTATGTACAACGATAAGGCGTAGCCCGTCTTCGCCAATTAAATTCTATACTCGAAATACGTTTTTCCGATGCAAGGGGCGGATTGGTGTTACATTGAAGCCTTGTTATAGGCTGCATCGCTGCAGAGCCAGACTGGATACCGAAGAACACTCTTGCATGCGTTGAGGATGTCAACGTTGAGTTTGTATAAACTACCCAGTCAGCCTTGAGAGGGCCTAAATATGAGAAGAGTGCTGCCCATCTTTGATCCGGTACCGTTACAGCAGCTGCTAACAATACATCTTCTTCCAAGTAATAGCATTAACTATGCGAGGTATCCACAGCTGTGCGTATAAAAGGCAAATGTGATTGAACGGCAGATACTTGCTTCTCATAGGATTTATTGTTGCCCTGCTTTGTGTTTCGCTTTCATTGTTCTTTAAGCTAGATGATTCGGTAAGCAATTAAAACAAAGAATGAACCATGCTTGTTCAGCTTAAGCAACTTATAATGTGGCACTGCGCAGCTTTATAGGTAAACATCACCGGTACGGAAGATAACTTTTGGTATCCGGTAGTCTTCTTCACTTGGATGCATGAGCGAGAATGATGCATGTATTATGCTATGAGAATAGAAAAAGAATGCATCTACAATATAAACAAAAGGTGTGTCTATTTCACTTCAATTTTGCATAGTTCTCCTGCCAGCCTCCAAAGTTTACACGTAGTTGCTCTGGGTTCGCTGCGATCTTATCTTTGGCGGCAATCAATTCTCCCACGTCCCAGTTGGCCCAAAGAAAACGTCCATTGAGGAAATCTGAATCAGGACCAGCAAGCCAGACGGCAAAATTGGCCATCAAACTTGGTGAATCATGAATTGCATATCCTTTGACGTTGGCCTTGGCGCTCATGTCGGTCTGTACCATGCCGGGACTAACATTAAAGGCTTTGATGTTGGGATATTCGGCCTGAAAAAACTCCACCACCGAAGCCGTCGCAAGCTTGGATGTCAAATACCCGCTCATGGGGCCTGCAGCCGGACCTAAATGGTTCGCACCAGTGTTTACGCCGATAAATACAGGCTTTCCCCTTGGGGCCTGGGACTGGTTGATGAAGTATTTGGCGAGAAGATAAGTTCCCAGGACATTGATCTCATAGCCCTTCCACCACTCGCTTGTTTCGGTAGCAGCAATTTTGCCCGGCTCTGGCAAGTACCCAGCGTTGGCCACTAGAATGTCCAGAAATCCGATTTTGTTGATCTCTTGGAAGAGGCTTTCAACTTCATTCTCCTGAGTAATGTCGGTTTGAATGGCATGGAACTTTGTCTGAGGGTAAGTTTCTGAGAGCTATGATGCCTGTCAGATTTAGGCTTTACAGGCGAACAATGTTCAATAGCAGACCTTTTCCTCTACCTCTGTAAGAAGGTTGAGCCTTCTTCCAACTAAAAAGATGTGATCGGCTTTTGCTTTGGCAAATGCCTCAACTGTAGCTTTACCGATGGCTGTGCCTCCGCCAGTGACCAAAACAATCCTGCCTGTTGCAGAAAGATGCTGTTGCGTTGGATCAATAATTGGAGAGGGATTGTTATGGTATATGGTAGTCGGACTTGGGAAGCTCATGATGAGGTTTGTTTGTCGAATATTCGTTGGAGTGAAGTTTCAATCTATGTGGCATTGGAAGTTCAATTCAAAGCAATGCGATTGTAATCATGGCAATATATACAATTCGGAGCTTTTATATTCATGGAACCCGATATACGCGTTAGTTCTTCTCGCCATTGATTCGCAATATTACTTGTGGATATTCTCCGAGTCAATGAGATGTAATTTGCTAATATGAAGCAATTTCGATTTATCAGCTACCCGTACTTGTAGTTCATAGAATTTGTAACTATATGTAAGCTGTATGCCTTCACTCGCATGAGTTGGAGGATAAAGGCGCGTGTGCTCTGAAACCCTCGGCGATCCATTGTGGAGAGCTGATGCAGCAATATGAAAAGCGATGGGTCCATTGTTCATCGCTGGAAACAATTTCCGAAGACAGCCAAAGCGACCGCCAGTTCTCTGCAACTTGAAGTTGAATAACGGTATCAAATACGTCCAAACGTCTAGTTTAAATCCATTGCCCCAGTAATGAATAAATCATTACAAACCCGTTTGCACAATATAAATTATTAGTTTGAGTGCCAAATCTAGCGGAGCTCATTGTTTTTCACCATTTGTTGTCTCCATATCTTACTAATTGTCAATTGAATCTCTTAATGGGATGATAGTCATCTACATGTACTTCTCTGAGAGATTAACGACGGTATATAGCCTTGGAGGATACCGCGCAAATTAGAAACCTCATTGACCTCTTTTGCGCACATCTTCGCAACTTGACGATAGCAAGTGAGGTAAGTGCGCAAATTGCCAGAGGCATCACCAGTTTGCACAGCATTTTCAACCTCCCCCGAGGCCTTGCCACTTAAAAACATCATATGCCGATTAATCAAGCGATTAGACTAGAGGATACGACATAGTTTGCAGGCCAAATGCCTTGTCTGCCAGCTCACTTCACAGCATTTTTAACCTCCCCCAAGGCCATGCCGCTAAAGCCGTGGCGGTTGCATCAGCGAAGGCATCCATAACGTTTGAAGTTCGCCCGAGATCGCATAAACGACGTGGGTCTAAGCCGATACACGTGCCAATAGCCAGCTGGGTCTCCACGCCGCGCTTCAGTGATGGTAGAGGTAAAAGATATCAATTTATGGCAGAGCATGAGAACTATTCAGCTATTTGACTTGCTGGCCTATCTGGCACACTTTGTGCAGGCACACGGCGTTTCGCGCGAACTGCATAGCTGAACTTCCATGGGGGTGGCGGAGCTCATCTTCCAAGCTGTGTTACAGCGGATTCGACCGTGATGAAGGTTTTCCGCTGTTGTACCAACCGAGTCTTCGCTCTGCGATGTGTTTATGAGCGGCGCGGAACAACGAAATGATCTGGTCACAGTGAATCGTTGTGTACAACTCTGTAAATGGAGGCGGCATTAATGTTGCATTGCGGCGAGTCTGCCCGTCCATCCAGTAAAGAGATGCCAGCGAATTTGCGAGGCGAGGTGCATGAGGCAGACAGCAACATGTTTCATGTACATGTACACTGAATCCTTCGCCCCTCAACAGTGGTTGCCTTTTTTTTTTGCGCGTTCCGCCCAACTCTGCCTTGCAGCCCAATCAATACGGCACCAGGCATGTCCCCCTCTTCATTGTGCTCATCAGTTGAGAAAGGTATTAACTTGCCTGCTCATCTGGTCCCCTTGCTTTTCCCCTCTGTGCCCTTCAAATCGATCAAGAGCGGTGCGTACAGTAGCAAATGCAATCGCGAAAATGAGCACGAATGATATTCTTAAAATTGCTAGAGAGTTTTCAACAACTCTACGGCCACAAGACAAGGAATTCTTTGAATCGAGTAGCTACGGCCACGTACTACAAGATGTTAATGATGTCCAATCACAGCGTGAATTGACCAAAACAATGATAAATATGAAAAGGATACACCCTTTTCTCACGGGCATGGCCAGCCTAGAAAAAGTATTTATTGCCATCAACTTTCCGCAGGTCTCTAATGTCATGGCGTGCGTTTGGGGCTCGATCCGATTCCTCTTAAAGGTAACAGGCTCTCCGAACTCTTGGCCTAGAAACAATGAGAGTGGCTGATATTTTGGATCAGGCGACAAATCTCAACGATCGAGAGATTGACAACTTACTCGATGCGTATGAGGAATTAGGAGACAAAATACTCCCCTTGGATGAATATACGCCCTTTTTCACCGGGGCTAGAGAGACCGAAATATGCTTGCTACACATCTATCGTGATGTATCGACCTTCCATCAGCATTTATACAAGCTCTTTTCGCTTCGGCCTAGCTGTAAGGTCAATCTTGCGGCTTTAGAAATGCGACGCATACTAATATCCCCTCCCTAGTATCTCAAAGACTATATAAACCTACTTGGAAAGCATTAAATGATACAACCAAATTCTTAGTGGCATCTCTAGAAAAACATGGACAAATCATTAAACGTTATGGATCACCCTTGCAAAATTCTCCAGCAGGTCTGAATATTGAAGAGTCTCAGCCTCACATTACCCAGGATTGGGGTTTTGTGAGTCTGAAGCTGCAGGAGTATGACAGTGAAGTTGCAAAACGTCAAAAGAATTTTGATGAGGAACAGACATCGAGGAGAGAAAGCATGAAAACAAGAGTGTTGGAATGGATCTCAGCTTCAAAAGAGACAGAATCTCTTCACAAAAAGTTTCAAGACACAAAGAAATGTCCAGATTCCGGTCGCTGGTTATTCAGAAGATATAGCGAAGTCACTGATTGGATGAAAGAAGATTTGCCTCCAGAGTCTGCCATTTGGCTCCACGGTAGCCGAGGATATGGTAAGAATGACGCTCGATTTTGAGAGCGTCATTTGCTGATAATTCCCAGGCAAGACTATATTGGCTTCGATTCTAATAGATGAGTTGAATCAACGGAAAAATCGCAACGACATTGACCCAGAAAGCAAGGTCTATTATTTCTATTGCCAGGAAGCAGACGCTGATCACCGCACTCATCTTGGTGTTCTCAAAGGAATTCTCTACCAGATGGTTGATTCTAACGAGTACCTTATACCCTACTGCGCCGACAAAGCTGAATCTGGTGGAAGCACTACTTTGGCGCACGTCGAAGTTGCCCAAGCTCTCATCGAAGCATTCTTTGAATACAATCCCAGGCAATATGTCGTGATTGATGGACTTGATGAGTGTGAAACATCTGAAGAGATGCGCAAAATAGCAACCTTCTTCATGAAACAGGTTTCTAAATGCGACAATGATATCAAGGCAGGCCAATTGAGATTACTTTTCATGAGCCAAATGATACCAGAGATAGAAAAAGACCATATCATGCCGGAAGAAGATGGCCGCATACAGCTTAAGTCGACTGATAATGCAGAGGACATCCGAGCCTATGTGAAGGCGAGGATCCCAGAGTTCTCATTGCCGCGCGGTACGAGGGGCGGCTTTAATCTCTCTGGAGCCGATAAAGACCAAATTCTAAGCATTATTTGCAGTCGGAGCGAAGGTGCGTCTTTACTATATAACGATATATCGGTATAAAAAGCTAGAATGATTTGTGCTAATGGTTATGGAAGAAATGTTTCTCTATGCTCATTTGGCTATTGAGTATCTGCTACAGCTGCCAACAAAAGCTATGCTCCTAATGAAGGCTAAAGGAGAGATGCTACCAAAAAAGCTTGAACAAATGTATGCTTATACAGTAATGAAATTGATGGTCGAAAGTTAATGATTTGCTAACAGCCGGTGCTAGCTACGAAAAACTTTTGGGAGCAGTGAAAGACGAGCTATTGCAGCTTGAAGAGGGCGAGATGCACTGGAATATGGCCAAGCAACTTCTCGGCTGGTTGGTTTGCGCAAAACGACACCTGAAATGGAACGAAATGCAGGCCATTCTTTCGTATGCGCCAGAGAAGCAAGAAGTGGATTTTGACAACAAAATGCTACGACAAGCAGCCGAGAAATACCTGGGATCATTAGTCTACATCTTGGATGGCGGCGACATTCGCATTGTTCACTCCACAGCACGACGGTACGTCAAAAATGTTATTTGCTACTAAAATCTGCTCCAAATCTGACAAGAGATAGCTATATCGTCAATAATGCACATATAAACGCAGAAGAAACGCAGTGCCAGCTTACTATACGTTGTCTCAAATATTTATGTCTTCTTACTACTTCTAACGCAGAGCAAGATGAAGAGAAGCACTTGGAGAAAGTGAGGGGTGGATGGTTCGCTTTCCAAGATTACGCTTGTTCTCAGTGGCATAGTCATGTCGATACGGTAATAAAGACATGCAAAACTCTCTTCTGCGACCCTCAAAGCACCCAGACCGAGTATATGGGAAGTTTTGGCTCTGCTTTACAGGACTTTATCGACGCACACCGTCCAGACCTCACAGTGGACTGGCACTCGGATTTTGCGAGAGACTTACCCTCTGAATTAAAACAGTACTCAGAACTCCCATTTTACAATAATCTTTGCTTATTGTGGAATCACATTTATACGCATCAAAAGAGTGCATATGATATCCGAAATACAGTTGGTATTACTCGGATAGAAGAAGCTCTACTGAGGAATAGGACCTCTCTGGAAAAATTCACTCCCGATATGAAGGTCCACATCAACGACACAGTAGCGGACTATTATGGTACCAATCTGTTCAAGTGTAAGCGCGTGCTATGTAAATTCTTTTACATAGGCTACGAAAAGAAGGACGATCGCGAAGCTCACAACAGTCGCCACGACAGGCCATACCAGTGTCCAGCACAATGCAATCTGGCACCTCTTGGCTTCTCTAACAAGAAAGACTGGGAAAGGCATTTGCGACATTATCACTCACACTTGAGCGAAGGACCATCGGTATTTGAGGCTTTGCGATCCAGGCCCGGGCAAAACGGATTCCAATGCAGCCTGTGCGGCAAGGAGTTTACGCGGAAAATCACCCAGCAGGGTCACGAAAGGAGTCACTTTGGTGAGCGTCCTTTTAAGTGCTCGTTTGAGGGCTGCACCAGGGCATTTGCGAGATTGAGTGATAACCAAAGGCATTGGAAGATACATACGAGGAGACAAGGGAGGTAAACCAGGTTCTCATTCTTTGTTTTTAGTCTAAGACTATATAAGTGTTATTCTTTTTAACGACTTCTTGATTCTGCCGCTCAATTCTGCTCTCTAACATGATATCTTGCCTCTCAACGTCCTCCCACAGTTTCATATCCCTGAAAGTAGCCAACCCAACTCTTCTATATAGCCTCCTGCCTACTTTCACCACAATCAGGCCGATGCCATGCTCAAGACCTCCTTCCAACTTCATCATGCCCAAAAGCAAGTATTTTGCCATTCCAATTAGTTGTCCATTTTGGCCAATTTCCATGGCCGCGTCAATGAGATCTGGCTCTTCCTGTATGGTAGAACCATCAGCCTCATCTATACCGTCTGCGTTGAGAATACGGCATGCTAGTTCCACAGCGGACACGGTTAATGAAGTGACCTTGGCGTCCTCGGTTGAAATAGATCCTTTGTATTTAACCGCGCCATTCAAAGATGCCCAAGACCAACTGGGCGCCCGCTCAATATGTCGCATCTTTTCTCTCTCACTATAAGGCTTGTACCACGCCAAGAGCCCTATAAACCAGTTTTTCCATAATCCATATATGCATTCCTGTCGCCACAGAGTCTCTAGCTCACAGACTATGCCCATAATAGCGTCGAGTCTGTCGTCCGGCACCGTCAGGTCGCGCTCAGTATACTGCTCAACAACCGTCTTCCAAAGGTAGATCTTGTCAGTGTCATCGCTTCCGAAGTGAGGCTCTGAATCATCATCAAACACGACCCATGGGAGATCTTCCAGACGCTGCGTATACTCGAGACCTTTCTCAGAAACGCTCTTTAGATCTACTTCTTTGCACTGCCACAAAAGCTCATAATCTGAGAAAAAGAGTATCCGTGACGATAACATGAACTCTTGGAATGTCCAGCCTCTCGTGTCTAGATGGTGCTCTGGCTCGTATGGTTCTGCGGACATGTATACAGTGCCCACCCTGTTACCTGACATTGGGACCTGAAAATCGAATTCCGGACAGTAGGGCTCTGTCTCATTCGAGAGAAACCCTTCTGTTGCGCTCTTAGAGGAAGACGCTGCTATGGTTACTGCAGCATTTTTGTAGATGGATGACATACGAGTAATCTCCCTCTTCTTGTCGGTGGCACAGTTTTGGATAATGCAAAGCGCGTCGACCCAAAGGTAACGAAAGCCAAGTTCGCGAGTGACAGATACAGCATCTTGTATAGACCGTGGAAGATACTCGAAATCGATACCAGCCGTCAACATATCAATATTCTCAAGCAGTAACCGGAGTGGTTGCGGACCTCCCCAGCAATAACTCAAAGCCAGGTAAGACGCGTGGGTCTCTGTCTCGTTGAGTTTCAAGTTGAGTGTGGGCCGAGAGTCTCCAGAGTTCCCAACGTCAAGAACCCGTGATGGAAGTACGGTGTCTCGCGAATACTGGCAATGCCTGTGCGGCTCTGTAGGATGCATGCAACTTTCTAGCAAAGACTTTGCCGCTGAAAGCACACTAGCACTCTTCACATTTCGATGTAAAGGCCGTCGTTGTACAATTTTCCCCATAGCATTGTCTAAGAGTTGTCAGATAATTGATTGCTTCAACGATAAACGGAAGAGCGCAAACCTTCTTTAGCAAATGTATCTATAGTACACGTAATTACTTGGTCGGTAAGCCCGCGTTTGAATGTGCATTGAAGACCGTAGAGGCGAGAGTCAGTAATTGGCTTTTGTGGGTCATTATTGCGGAATATAAGATGGCTATTTTCATCCCAATCTCGATCATGATCCTTGCAAATCGCTAGCAAGATGAACTTGCAGATTCTGCAACCCTCATCTCGAGAGGCGATACAGCCGGCTCGGGTGTAGTGCCGTAGCCCATCAGCTGAATTCAAACTCTGCAGGCCTTTGCGAGAAAACATCAGCGTGCATAATTTGCATGAAACAGCCTCGGTACGTCTTCGAGTTCTCCTGGGTAGCGACCGGCCATCTATCTCGGGTGCAGGACGCCGCCGTCCTTGTCCTTGGAGCTCCATGGTATACTTCAAACTTATGCTGAGAATGGGTTTTCGTTACATGTATAACGTCAAACTGAGAAAGGATTCGGTGTGCTTGTCAGATTGAGTTCTATGAAATGAGCGTCTCGGAGAATTCGCGCCTATACTTTATGTACACGGAACATAGAAATTGGGGTGCTATGACACTCGGGCTTATTGTCGGAAAGGAACCTGTCAACTAGAACCCGACAAATAGATCAAATCAAGAACGCCTTTACACACGACTCGTGCATTATCGGCAATGCCTCAAGTCAATAAAGGCAAAGTTCGCCTTGCAGCCCAGGGCTTTCTGGCTCAACACCGAGCCAAGCTGTGATAGGTGCACGTAGACGCATTAGTGCATGCAGCAATATAATCCAGGCAACAAGTGCCTAAGCCCCTGAAAGGAGCCCGAGCTCTTTCAATCAATTCGTCAACTGAGTGCCCAGGCAAACGAATAACACCAAAAAAATGCATTGTGCGCACAGGTACAGCCTGGTTGCCTTGCCAGGGGCTCCGCCACCACAACCACCCAACATATGCGATTTCAGCCTCACTTTCGGTGGCAAATAGTCTCTGCCTCGTTCGCCTAGGATCCACTCATAGCTGCCCGAAGAGACGGAAATTCAACAACTGGACGGATGGGAAGCGGCATCTTATATACTCCCAAATCTCCCTAGCGATAAAATGGATGTAAACAGCAGAGGCACCTTGTCGGCGACTTGAGATTTGCGCGACCAAGCGCCACAAAATAGCCGCCATGTCTAACCCATTGAAGCGGCGATTCGATCCTGTCAGGGAATTAAATGACGATGGTGACGACGATGCATATTTGTATTCAGTCACTGGTATTGCGCCTCATGCAACTATGCCACAGCCTTACGATACCGGGCCGTGGCAAACTCAAGATTACGGCATGCTTGACATGCCCCGGCAGAGTCAATACCACGGGCCGGGCTACATGAATCCAGCAAGGTATGGCGATAGTAACTGTCAAACTCAACATGACGGTAATTAATTGAAGCAGCGATGTTCCCGTTATACCACAACTGGGTTCTATGGATGATATATTCAGCGGCATGTTTCTTGACCCAACTGTTGGCGAGCAGATGTCGACCTTGAATATCAATGAACCGTCTTACAACTTTGGCGGAGAGCTTCAAGATTGGCAAAATCAATTTGTCTTATCTGATACCGATCTCACGGGATCAGCTTCATTTTCGTCTGAACAAGCGTCTCAGCTCTCATCACAGAGTCCAGGGTCAACGGGATCAGCACCATTTTCGTCTCAAGAGGCGTCACAGCTGTCATCTCCAAGTCCAGGGTCAACATCCACGGGGTCAGCACCATTTTCGTCTCAAGAGGCGTTGCAATTATCATCTTTGAGTCCAGCATCAACATCGGAAGATGTAATTATGCTGAATGATCAAGATGAAATATGCTACGGGATGGTAAGTAAGAGACATTATCCACCTCGGCAGTTGCTGACCCACGATACATCAGCTGCACAATGTTGATGTCAAATTGCTTGGCGAAATGGAAGTCATTCACTCTAAGCTCAGCCAAATAGAGATCACGTATGAGCGTTTTAAGATCAAGAAAAAAGATGATCACGTATTGTTATCATTCCACGACGCCGATGATGATGATAAAGACGGGAAATTCGGTTACCTGCGCTCTGCTGTTGGCAAGACGCTTATGCCGCTCCTAGCTATGCCTCTTGTTTACCTTGAACCCATCGGGCAAGCGTCAAACCTCAAAGATATAATAGGGCGAGCCAACAAGGCGGCTGATGCTATTGCGAAAATTGACATCAACTTGTATGGACCGCGTTGTGCTGCAAAGGAAGTTGGTGACACGCTATCCCACGGCAAGCTGTGGTTACAGAAATCGAATCATATGAAGCGCGATGTCATATACGACAACCCCCACTTCCTTCGTCTCGAATTGAGTGGTGTTTCAATACAACCTACGCAGCCAGCAACCCAAAGTCGTAACGAGGGCTCAGCGGGTAAGCAAAAACGACAAGAACGGTTACAAAAGTTGGTTAGAGAAGTATACAACTCCATCGACCGTTCTCGGAACCTGGACAAGGTGAATGTCGGAGGATTGGTCACCCAAGAGCTACTCTCGTAAATATATCTCAATTCCGTTATGAATAGTTGCTAACATATGGCTGTTAGACATCAACAAGAAGCCCTCGGCTTTATGGTGGAGAGGGAATCTGGCGATATAAATGATAGATACCGGCTTTGGGAGACGAAAACACTGGACAATGGGACTGAGGAGTATGACAACCATGAAATTTCGCACATCGTATTGCCAGTAACTAATTTGAATCATCAGATATTGCCACAGAATCACCAAACAGAAGATTAAAAATGGTATACGACCAGACGAAAGTGGAGGCGGCATCCTAGCTGATGAGATGGGCATGGGCAAGACTTTATCCATCCTGGCTCTCATCGTGAAAACTCTGGGTGTCGCTACAGAGTGGGCTCAGAAGCAAGAGAGTAGCGCTACTGTTGAAGACGAAATCCAGAGATCACGATCAACTCTCGTGATCGTTCCATCTGCACGTTTGTTGATCCTCACCCTCGAATCTATCGTATGGGTCTTGCGGCTGACTTCATTGGACAGTTTTGGTATACAATTGGATAGACGAAATCAACAGGTAAGGTTCTTCCCACTTACAGCAATATCTGTATTAACTTACCAAACTGTAGCTACCTTAAAAAGGAAGTCAAGAAGATTAAATATCACGGGTCTGATAGACCTACTGAGCTCGAGGAAATCTTGGATTCTGATGTTGTTGTGACCACTTACAGCACTCTTAAAGCAGAGTTTCAGAACAAATCAAAAAAGTCTCTTCTCCATCGTGTTGACTGGTACAGAATCGTTTTGGATGAAGGTTAGTTCCCTGTACCCCATCTCAAGTTTCAGGCGAATGCTCACTCTTCAGCGCACATTATACGACGTCGAGCCACACTATTCTATCGCTCCTGCGACGAACTTCATGCCAGCTTTCGCTGGTGTCTGACAGGAACGCCTATTCAGAACAAGCTTACGGATATTGGCACGCTATTTGCTTTCATCCGCGCGGAACCTTTCTCCAAAGCCGCAATATTTCGCAAATGGATCGAAGTTCCCTTTGAACAGAGCACCGATGACTCCATTGCAGCTACTGCTGTTAAAGACCGTCTTGTTATGCTTATTGAAGCTCTCTGTTTAAGACGTACAAAGGAATCGATCGACCTACCAAATGTGCGGACTTGTTTGCGCGAACTTACTTTTACTCCTGAAGAGCGCGAACAATATGAGAATACGAAGAAAATTTTGACACGCATGATCCTCCATCGTGTAGGTGAGATTGATAAGGCCTCTCACTTTGGGACCTTTCAGATGAACTTGCAAATGCGCCTCTTGTGCAACCACGGCACTTATCAGCAGCCCTTCTCTTGGCGTCGCCGAAGCTATCAAGATGAACGAGAAGCTGCCGCTGGAGCTCTCGGTCAGAACCATGAAATTTGTTGCTCAGGCTGCCAGTTGCCAATGCCAATTTTGGGTTCTAGCTGGCTGCGTAGCGACTACAACAAGCGATGTAACCATGTATTATGCTCTGAGTGCATCGAGGAATCCGGCAAAAAAGCAGAGTGTCCTGTATGCCTGTCAAGTCTTGGGCCAGATATGATGAGAAACAACGCATCGACAAATGGTGAAGACGTTCCAGATTGGCCCGCCAATGAGGCAGCTGGAAACAGTGACGACCATTACTTCAACATGGTGGGCCATTCAACAAAGATGAAAGCGCTAATTAAGGATGTTGAAAAGGACTTGAATGAGACAAAAAGGTAACTTATTCTATGGTGCAGAACCGCATAAATCTTCGATACTAATAAGCATAGTATCATATTTTCTTGTTGGACCAGAACGCTGAAGCTACTGTCACGCTACTTGGAAGAAGCTAATATTCAATACTTCTGTATTGATGGTACCTCTTCACTTTCACAGCGGCAAAAGAAACTAAAACAATTTGCAAAGGATGATCAAAAGCGAGTACTCATCATGACTACGGGCACAGGGGGCTTCGGGTGCGTTAGCTGCATATCTGATGCCAGTACGATTGCAAGTTACTGATCAATTACCAGACTCAATCTTACCTGTGCCAATCGCATCTTCATTGTAGAATTACAGTGGAATCCCGGTGTAGAAAGCCAGGCCATCGCGCGCGCTATTCGGCTGGGACAGAAGTGCGAAGTAAAGGTGACGCGCTACCTGATTAAGGGCACTGTTGAAGAGGTTTGTCTCGGATAATCCCTCTCATCTCTGCTTTTGCTAACTGCTCTTAGGAAATGAGATCCCAACAGCGATACAAAAAGCAACTTGCTGCTTTGGGTTTCGATGAGCTGCATGAATCTGAGGATCACACAGTTCCAAGTAACCATGAACCAAACATGTAGATAATATCTTAGAATAGCATAGTATTGATGAACTACCTAGAAGGCGATGGTGTTCTTGCTAGCTCAGCTTACCTATATCCTCAATATTCCCAGCCAATTTTCCGTTTCAAATCTAGATACTTGTTGATAACGATGCAGCTGAGGAGATGTTCTTTACAGAGTTGCGTGTTGAACACAAGACACAAATTTTGTCTCAAGGAATAGCTAATTGCTTGTTTAAATAATCATCTACTCACTATAGTAGCTCAAGGCAGCGCAATTACTTCAATCTCAACGCTAGCATTTAACGGAAGCCCTTTAACTACAACACAGCTGCGCGCAGGTTTGTGAGAAAACCACTTTTCATATTCGGCATTCATTTCCTAGAATAATTAGCGACTTGACTAGAGTAAAGTTTTGTGATATAGCTCACCGCAAAATATCCAACGTCGGAGATGAAAACTGTGGTTTTTACAACGTTAGAAAGCGACGAATCTGCCGCTTTTAAAATCGCCTCAATATTTTCACAGCATTTTCTTGTCTTCTCAGCAATAGAACCATCAATTAAGACACCGTCGGAAGTGAGGTGGACTTGGCCAGAACAGTAAATAGCTGATGGAGTTTTGATAGCTTGAGACTAGAGGCAAGAATGAGTTCTCGTATAGCGTGTATATTAGAGATTATAAAAGCTTACATAGGGCGCTTGGGCTATACATGGTGGATTAGTACAAAGGGTATACTAGAGTTGGCTGTATAACACTAACCAGGGGCAGCATTCTTAGTATGTACAATAGTCTGACGCGATGTTGAAGAATTGTATCTCGAAGAAGCTGGCTGTGTAGCGAATATGGGCTTTGAGATGGAGATTGGTTTAGTTGAACATCTCCTAGCAAAAGCCGAGCACGCAGAACGAATTGGCGACAACATGATTGACGAATTGTGCCACTTTGTGATTGTAACTTGGAAGCAATATGTAGATCAGCAAATAACTTCGTTTGGCACTTGGGCAAAGCTACTATTTAAATATTTTATACATCTTCATAGCCAATGTGTCAAAGGAGATTACTTCCGTAAATACGCTCTGCCCCGCTTTCATGTTAGTTCTCGCAAAATCTTCTACTAAATAGGTACTAATAGCCGAGATAAAAACGATAGAAGAGACAAACGCCATCGATTAGTATACAAGTGTATATAACGAAACATATCATTTTTCCGCTTCAAGCCCGGCGGGCACTGATATTTAGCGTTGGTGAACTTTCTGCTGACTTTGGTGATATAGAAGATTACCAGTCGCTACAACGCATGAAAACTATTTAAAGCTCAGCTCAAACGTTACTAAGCGTGTTCTTTCAAGCAACCAAGGTAGGTCCTTAGCCATCACCGATAGAAATAGGCAATGAGTTCATCATATGCTTCCTGCGACTCGTCTTCTCCCGGCTTCTTACCGGTCAACTGGAATCGCAGCTGCTGGGCCTCGGCCTTGAGTTCATCACCCTCCTTAGTTTCACCAAACTCATGCAGCACTTGAGAGAGTTGGTATTTCGTTCGTGCAATCTCTGGGCGAGTGGCCACTGACTGCTTTTGCGTATGGACCTTGAGCGACAATCGGAGGTATTCACTGAACGAATATTTAGAGTCAGAGATGAAATTAAAACAATAAGCATATTACCCAGCGCGTACATTGCCATTTTGTACTCTCCTTGCTTCTGCAGAAACCAGGCAAGCTTGTTATAGCAGGCCGCTGTTTTATGGTGTGTCGGGCCGAGGACTTTGAGATGAACATTCATGCTTTGTGTATAAAGATCAAAGGCGGCGTCAATTTTTCCCTGGTCGATGAGGACATTCGCAAGTGCTGACATTGTCCAAGCTGTTCTATATGCCCATGTTAAAGCTTGCATTTTAGATGACGATTGGTTGAACATACTGTGCAAAAGGAGTTCCCATCAAATCTTCCAGTCTTTTGATGATATGGAGGCTTTTCTGATAAGCTGCCGTGGCCTTATCTAGCTCCTTGATCATCCACCAGCATCGACCAAGATTCATGTAGTTCAAAGACAACAGCTGCATCTGTTGGTCTGCGTACTTGGGCGACTGTTCTCTAATTCGAATGGCCTTCTCATGTAAGCGAATTGCAGCTTGCGGATTTGCACCTCCAATGAACACGCCAATATCCATATAAGAATTGGCTATTTGTGGGTGATTTCGGTCTAGAACCTTGGCTTTGACTGCGGCCTGTTTAATCTCCAGCGACTTTTTGGCTAATTCAACTGCCTTATTTGCTTGAGTCAACTCATTGTGTAGGTCAGATTGTAAGCTATATAGATCAGCTAGGAGTAACCCATGATCTTGAAGGTCCGCCCGATGATAAGCTAACTCCGCAGAGCCAACTATGGAGGAGCTCAGATCGAGTCGACCTCTCTCATACAGATACCTAGGTGAAAGTCAGTGTGAAAGGCTATATAAACATGTAATTAACTCACCATGCAGAGCAGTAAAGCAGTTCAATAAAGTCGTAAGACAGTGTCAATCTGATCTGAGCTGATAATCTGCAAAATCTCTCATTAAATGCGATTACGTGCGATATGTATTTCTCGCACTCAGTCCATTTCTCATTCATATGGCTCCGTGCTTCGCTTTGGAGCGGAAACCGTTGGTGGAGCAGGGCAACAGCGCCTCGGAACGCAGCTTGTGCTTTGGCTTCGTCAGAGTCAATCTCCTCAGAGACAGTATGCACAACTATTCTATGGAGCCGTAGGTTGGCTTCATTTTCCAATTTATCAATGAGAGAGTAACGGCCCAGGTCTCGCATAATTGTATTACGGTCCACAATGCTGGCGAGAAAGGGCACACGATTTTCTGTGTCCTCAAGCAATTTTTCTGGAATTCTATCTGGGTCCAAAAATGATAGTATGCCCAATGTTTGTAGAGCATTTATGCCAAGTTTTGAGAATGTGACTGCGAACGCTGTGGATGTGGTGTGCGCATAGCCCGGAGCTGAGAGTTCATTAGGCGTCGCGAGAAGTTGTTGTCGCTTTGTAGAATCCGCATATGCTTCCTGGAACTGGGAAATGGTACATTGAGATTCCCTTATATAGGAAGCCATTTGCTTGATGGTGAGGGTATGGTGTCCGAAAGACTCGGTAATGTTTTTCGCTTCTTCGTTCAGAACTGTGTTCCGGCCAAGTTGCTGGCAGAACCAGGCCGTACTTTCTTCTGGAGAGAAGGGTTTGACCTCCATGCCATTATTGGCAAGCTGGTACTCGGATGCAGGATTCTGGCTGGTCACAAGCACCGCGCCATGCTCAGAGGTTGGCCAAAAAGATGGGATTATGGTCAGATCATCTGCGTTGTCAAGTACAAGTAGCCAGGCCTCAGCTAGATTGATATGTTAGTGTCATCATCTCTTCTACCTACTAAGAATGAGGGGGAGAGAGAGACCAACGTGTTTTCTGTAACCATTCTTTGACCAGCTGAACAATTACTTGTTGATCGTTGATGGTTGTCCCGTTGTTCAAGTTCAGCTCCCTCGCTATCTCGGTGAACCCTTGAAAAAGTTTCTCCTCGCTACTTGCCGAGACCCAAAACACTGCCTTGAAACTTCGCATATTCCGATACACAAACTCGGTTGCAATCTGTGATTTACCAATACCGGCAAGTCCATACAGGGCGAATGATCGCAGTCTTAGCGTGTCTTGCATTGATGGGAGTAAATGCTCCGAAATAATCTGTAAAACATCATTACGCCCAAAAAATCGGTTGTTGCGAGGATATATGTTCAAGTATACTGATCGGCCAAGATTACCACTATTGTTGAGCATCGTTGATGACTTTGCGGCTTCAAGTCCACTGTTTGCAGCGAATAGCGCTTTCTGTCTGTCAACTATCACCAAACCTACAGACGTGGAAAGAGGGTCGTTCATGGATCCAACTCTTTGATCGAAATGGGACAAACCGTTGCCTATAGATTGGTGAATGAAGTCGTTAGCACACATACCATCCTGATACATTTGAGGCCTTTTGTTTTGAAATGGTAGACGCACTCTGTAATAGTGACATAATGCCCACTGGTGGGCTGTAGAGTGGGAGAGAGTAGATCAGCTCCTTTGCGTATGCAGCAGAAGCAGCTGCTGCGTAGGGCTGCCATCGTTTATTCTTATGGGAATCAGAATAGTCACAGATGCCACGGATGACCAAGCAATCTAGTCCATTCATCAACCCGGCAGCCTCCATCTCGAAGCACAGAATGCCGTGCTGCTGCTGTAACTTGTCTCGCACAATAGCATCTTTCATGACTATATCTGCCGATGCAATAAGCCCATAATGAATAACCGGACGTTGGCTCTGCCGTACTGGCCGAATTTTGATCTTGGCGGGGTCACACTTGTCACAATCTCCTTGGCCACCAGCGTGAGCATATTCCGCGAGATATAAGTGATCATTTTCCTCCCCCTGGTACTCAAAGGTACCTTTAAGCTTGTTGTGCTGTTGGACCATTTGGTCTAAATGGCCGAGTAAGTCAGGGTCATGTAAGCGGTGCTTCGACTTGAGATGAGCCATCGCATTGAGCAATATTTGCGGCGGCTTACCCAAGAAGCCGGTATGCTGAAATCCCTCGCCACTGAGTGTTTTGCCAAATGTATAGTTGATAACACCACCGTGGCCATTGGTAGGCTGACTGACAACTACATCTCCGAGTCGCACATCATTCTCGTTACTTGGAGCTCCTCCCCCGATCCCTACCATAAGTGTGAATCTCAGAGCCTGGAATGTAGACTGCATTTGTTCGGCCACTCTTGTTGCCGATGTTGTGCCATAGAGGCCTGCAGGTAAACAAGCTATGGCAATGTTGTGCGTTGCTATTCGGCCGACGGTGTATTTGTTATGATCACTGCGTGGTTGCGGTGGACAGTAATAATGCTCATCTAGCATGGCTCCTGCGACAACTAATTCATCTGGGAGAGCGCAAATCCATCCTATGGTGTACTCGTTTGCATCTGGAGAACCATTTGGTGACATTGTCTGAGTAGTGACTCTCACGATGTAAACTCAACTGCAAAAATGGAGATGAATAGGGAATAAGTGTGTTGAAACCTGGGGTATTGGCTCGATTCGCTGATGTGCTAGATGACGTATCTTTCTTGTAGACGCAAAGCCATCATTGAAAATGATGTTGAGTAGAGAACTGGTCTACGCCGACTATGATGTGAAGTCACCTTACGAAAGGTGAGGCGGAAAACCAATACTAGGGCAAAATGTGAAGGCAAACCATGCAGGATAGTGCATGTAGCATCCTTCTCGTTTGAAGTCGGCCACCATAGCTAGCCGCCCATGTATTTTCGCAAATGGCAACATTACTATATTTAGTTTTTCTTTTTTACATTATTCTCTAATTTTATCTTATGATTCTTAAATTTTTTTTTTTTTTTTTTTTTTTTTAATAAAAAGCACATTTTTGTCTTACAATAACCTATATTTAACTTCAAGTCGCTAAGATGAGGTAAGTGTGTTCTTCAATTAGGTAACGTTCTGTTTCTTTAAAGTAATGAACAATCACATGTAAATTGTTACGATTACTCCAATCTCGTATAATGTACATGGAGATACATGGTCGAACATGTTACACTCTACCATGGCTGTGGCCCATCTTGAAGCCTAGCCACAGCTTTCAAACTGTGTACACATATTGGCGGCCATATGACGAGGATACTGGCTCTAGCATTGAACAGGGGGTAATGACCGGCTGTGGTTGGTTCGTGGGACTTTGAACACATGGAAATCATGCCACTTTGCACTCTGCCAGCATCGCCGGTTGGGGTTCCATACCAGAATAGGTAATAAATGTTCACAGTGTATATATCTCTCCCCTATCCAAGTCTTGTAACACTGGTAGAGTGTACTTACAATACATTCAATCACGCAATGCCTACCACGACCAATACAGGCAGATGAAATTCGCCAAGACCAGGGCTTACATGCATCGGTGAGCCAAACTATCTCGCCAATAGTGGCTTCAATGCTGTTACACCACTATCTTCCTGCACTTTACGAAGTTGTCGTGGCACCAGTCAGACGAGGGGCACCGCGAAGGGTGTCCTACATGGTAACAGACGCAGTCACATTGCCAGCCATACCGCAATGTCATTTGTCGATTTCCCAGATAATGAATGGGATCAGCGAAAGCTGTGTGTATTGAGGCGAGGCGGGTGAAATTCACAGCAAACCCCGCACTCGCTTTGGTGCAGGATTGTAATACCCTGTTGCATGCATGCTTCACTGGATAGCGATCCTTACAATCATTGCAGGTTACGCCTTCCGGCCTTTCGAATATGTAGTAATGCTCTAGAGGTAGTAGACAAGATTAGGATAGTATATGCACTATTTGGTTCAATTACCAACCTTTTTGCATTTGTCTATTCTTCTTGAACATTGAAGCAACTCTACTGTCATATATTCACGCCTTACAGCTGAAACGATAGCACAATGGGTAGTATACAAGAGGAGCCCAAGATAAAACCGGAAACGCAGGCTGAGGCCGCAGAGATTGACCAATTTAATCCTTCAAAAGTTGTCTCCCTGATATTCTACATTGATAAACTACCTCTATATGAGAAGGAGAAGCCATTCTTCCTCAACTTCCCTGTCTCCGGTCCAGGACAAAGACAGTCAAACGTAACTCATAGTCGGCACGAAGTTGGCTTCACTAATATTCGAAGCCATGAAGACCTTTTCTCTCTTGACACCACTGGCTTCGAATACAAACACTTTGATACAACACTGGAGTACGAGAATTTCGCTTCACCGGCCGCCATTGAAGGAATCTTTCTCAAAGAGGTGGAAGCTTTTCTAGTGACACATCTCAAAGCCGACTATGCACTAGCCTGGGACTATCAGGTATGCTCCTCTGATTCCAAGCTCCTAATCGCTGGTGGCTTGCTAATTGAGTGTTGAAGGTTCGACGAAGGGACCCGACATTGCCCACCAACCATCGAGGACAGCCAGGAAAAGCACAGCCTTTCAGGTCTGTTCACTGCGGTAAGATTTGTCCTCAGGCAATAGACTAATGGATTTTAATAAGAGATATATACAGATGAGAGTGCTAGAGCCGCAATGCGAAGGCTGGGCCACTTCTACCCTGAATTGGCAGAAAAGTATCGGGGCTGTCGTATCCAGCTGTTAAAGTGAGTTGGTGTCTCATATCTCAATTTGCCTGTCCAAATATGACCTACTAAGGCCAAATCTCCAGTTTCTGGAAGCCACTTGTTGGCCCAGTCCAGGACGCCCCGCTTGCTCTTTGTGACTATCGCACCGTAGCACCAGACGATCGAGTACCGACAGACATTGTCTTCCCAGACTATCTCGGCGAGACTTACAATTTTTGGGCTAATCCACAGCACCGATGGTATTATATGGAAGGCCAACTTGCCACGGAAGCTTTGATCTTCAAGAATTTTGATTCGGAAGCCTTCAAAAATGACAGTATTGCCAAGTGTTAGTATGAAGACCCCGTCTCAAAAGCTAGGAACTAACAAGCCTAAAGTCTGTCCTCATGTATCATTTCTTTACCCAAACAGAGATCCCGAAAACACATTCTTTAGAGAGAGTATTGAGGTCAGAACCTACGTTTTCTACAAGGAATGAATAACAATCACACAATGTTCATATTTCTCCGTGCAGGAAGTAGTCAGTCAATATACGTCAAATTTTTCCCAACAAGGCTTCTTGAACAACTGAAATGCTTGATTGTGATTGTAGCACGATATTAATAAAGCTGTGGAAGAAATTTAAGATGGCATAAAAGATATTCATCATCGTTAACGCCCGCAATATCTCAAGTAGAGTAAATCTCAAGCCCCCTCAGCACCAGTCGAAAATGGGCCCTATTTTGTCGCATCATTAGGAATCAACTTTTCCTTCCAACAGGTTGGTCTGATTTAATGAGGGATGGAACTTACACAACCCCGCCCATTGCAATAGCTACAAGTGACGGGACACCATCCATCAACCGGTGCTGGCTCCAGCTCTGGACGTACCCATTGATACCAGGGCTTGTTGTTCATCTTTGTAGGGTCATTCTTCCAGGTGAGCCATGGTTTAGAAGCCAGCTCGCATTCAGTGACGGTAGATAAGTCTGGCGGCCAGTAGGCCCTCCAAGGTTGATTGGATGGGCCCAACTCTGGACTGCCTTCAAGATCCCACGGGTCAACGCCGTCACTGAGGCTGACAAGAGCTGAGAAGGTGATATCAGGGGCGGTAGCTGTAGACATTGTGTTGCTTTGAGTACAGATAACTGTCACTATTAGAGTCTTCAAGCTCGGAGAAAGTTATGTGATGATTTAAGCTACAAGAGATAGACGGAGTACAGACGATTCAGCGACATGGGAAACGAGGAATACCCTTCAAGCTGTTCATCCGCTGTAGCAGAGCCGCTTCGTGTCTGACGTCAATCCATACCCAGTCTCTGTTCAAGGCCTACCCCGCTCGGAAGCCAAGATGCATGCATCGTGTAAATAAGCGGTCGGCATCACATCACACCGAGAATTAGATATCATGCCACTCCTTTGCAAGGCTTGAGCAACGTACAAGCATGGAGGCAGCCTTTACAGGTAAGAGAGCGTCGAAGGATTAAAGGTGTGGCCAACTGCATATAGTGCCCAATAGGCTCCCGTGTTGGGTTGGCGCTAGCGTCTTCAGTGATACATGTAGCTATTTATTACATTTGCACGAAGGTATCTCGAGGCTTAAAGTACATTGGGTGTTATACAGTTTAACATTTAATTTATTACATAGGTAGGATGGAATAATAAGAAGAAGAAAACGAGAGTCGTTTAATAACAATATTATTACTAGAAATAGCTACCTTATTTATAACTGCATAATCCTACCATTCAAAACTTCTATAATAAAGTCACAGTAACTCTAATGTGCCGTGTCCAAGAGATACATGCATGTGTATCACACCCAGTAACGGTACGGATAGTGACTTTCTCGTGCCGTTACAGCAAGGTCCCTGTGACTTTCATCCATCCCAGGCTCGGGCTCGTACTGTGCAGCTCTTTGTGTTGGGACTTGGTCACGTTTGGCATACCGTGTGAGAAACCTCGAATAAGCGCGCCACAAATAGAATAGCACTGTGCTCAAAGGACCCTGTGCGATCACAGAATCACACTTCGCATGCGCATAAACTCTTTGTTTACGCCTCATCTTGGAGCTTCTTGTCCCGTCCAACACCTCTCCAGATATTTTTGGGCCTGCACCGACAGTTTCACAGCAGCTACCGCGGTATGGGCGAGGCTCAAACGAAGAAGTAGCTTCAAGATGGCCCGATCCAAACGCCAATACTGCACAAGCATTCTCGTCATCGCCATCGTCTGTCTCCTCTGTCTTGGCTCTATAGCTGTGGGAAAATCGCATGAGATGGCCATGCCCATCCAGCAACCTCCGTCGGTATTGAATTTAGGCGAAGCAGTTTATTTCGTATCGCCATCGTCCAAGGTATGTATATACTTCATCTCAACGCCCTTGGACGCAATTGAAGAGTAACGTTTTCCATTTTCCCAGCACAAAAGCACGCTTTCCAACAATCTATCGATTTTTGGGCCATGTACCGTCATCCGCCTCTCCAGTCCTTATGTCACATCGGAGGACCTCGTTGAAGTTCGAGAACGGTTTTCTCAAGACGACGTTTGGACCACCGACTTTTTGCCAACCCTCATTTTCCACTCCCAGAATACTCACCAAACCGTCCAATTCAGCGCCGCTGCCCACAAGACTCTCGAAAGTTGGGGAAGCCAAGCTATATCTATAGATGTCTCAGAAGACCCAGGTGCGCCATCTGGGCCTTATTACTGCAATGGAGTCCAGTTACATGAGGTGTACCGATTATATCCCGATACAGCTGGGGCATTCATAAGTGCGACGATTCAGTCACCGAATGACCCATATCTGTAAGCAGAGCAAATGCGATGGTGCCGTATGGTCGGTTATTGACAGCTCGATAGCTACAAGTCTTTCAATGTGTCTGTTTTCACAGAAGAGTACCCCTCAGCCTTGACCATAGGCGTGCCATCTCGCCTGTACTTTACGCCTACCAAGGAAAAGCCGTTAGCCGGACTGCGCATCGCAGTCAAAGACACTCAAAACGTCCGTGGAGTCAAGACAACAGGCTCCTCTCGAGCCTGGGCTCGACTGTATGGGCCCCAGGAGAAGAGCGCCACTGGAGTACAACGCCTGCTAGACCACGGCGCCATCGTGGTCGGCAAGCTGAAGTCAACACAGTTTGGCGAGAGTGAATGGGCTACCCGCGACTGGGTGGACTACCATGCGCCGTGGAATCCACGCGCTGATGGCTATCAAACTCCCAGTGCGAGTAGCTCTGGTAGTGCCGCCTCTGTGGCCGCCTATGAATGGTTAGATTTGTCGACGGGTACAGATTGTAGGTTGCATCTGCGTCATATCCAGCTCTAATGCGCAATGATTCCGATCACTGATGAAATGAATACAGGTAGTGGAAGTGTTCGAGCTCCTGCCGCGATCCATGGCTTATTTGCGATCCGACCATCCACAGATGCGATTGATAACCAAGGCGTCATCCCATTCTCGAAAAACTTTGATACTTTTGGCATTTTCACGAGAGATGTAGAGATTCTTGCATCAGCATCATCAGTCCTTTACAATCAAAAGGAAGAGATTCCTGCATGTTTCAAGGTCAGATACTCCAACTTACACGCACTACAGGATGATTATGCTGACATGCCGACAGAGTCCCACTAGGATATTATATCTTAGCGAATATTGGCCAGTTGAAGATGAAGCAAGCTCAGCAATCTTTGAAAGCACTATCCGACAACTCGAGAAGACTCTTGGTATAAAACGAACTGAGCTCAGCCTGGGCAAACTTTGGTCGGACACAAACACCATCGGAACCGAGCTCTCGATTGATGATTATTTCAACACGACATTTGTCACTGCATCTTCTCCTGATCAGTGGGCTATGCTCAAGACATTCCATGCAGAATACGAGAGCGCATTTGGGCATGCCCCTCCACTAAACCCCCAACTTCAATGGAAAATGTGAGATGCCTTGTTTCTCATCCTTGACTTGCACAGGAGTATATACTGACAGTCTCAAAGGGAATTTTTACCAACCCAAACAGTCGAGGAACAGAAACAAGGAGAAAAGGAAATTGAAGTCTTTCGTGCATGGTTTGAGAAATACGTGCTGCAAGCAGATGAAGACGGCTGCTCCGACACCATCTTGGTACTACCGTGGACACAAGGTGAACCCAGCTATAGAGACGAATACGGAGAGTATGTATCTTGTTTTCTGGCTAGGTACATTTCGATGTCGCTGACATTTTACAGTCGCCCAAATTGGACTGGTGAAGGGTGGTTCTTTTACTTTATTGCGGTATATGCAGGCACTCCCGAGATTATTTTGCCCAGTACGTCCTCCTCATTGAATTCCACACCGTGATGCAATCACTGACTCCTTTTAGTTGGACAAACGCCATATCACTCTCGCTTGACAAAGAGGCAAGAGTGGCTCCCAGTGGCTATTGGGCTAATGGGCGCGAGAGGCACAGATGCTGCCTTTACAAATTTTATAAAGGACACAGTGAAGGCCGCAAAGCTTCCAGCTACTGTCGACATTGGTCAGACTGCATTCAAGACAAGCATCTCTGAGACCAACAAAGCCGCTGCTGCCTCCGCAGAAAAGATACTCGTACATCAAGACCCTAATCACATATGATGGATGCTCAGCGCTCGATAATCGTTCCTGAAAAAAAAAAAAAAAATCAAGAATGGCCGGCGGCGTTTCCTCGAGAAAGGCATAAGCAAGCAAGTGATTTATTCCCGGAATCGATTTCCTCGTGTCTTTTTTTTTTTTTTTTTTTTTTTTTTTGGTGACATTTTCCGGATTAGAGAATCTTGGTCATTTATTTAGAGCTTGACTTGTGCTTAGGGATATGAGTTCGTAAGAAAAAAATCCATTTCAGGTTAGAAACAGAAGTAACAAAAGACTTTATTAATAGTGAATTTGTCCTATCGTTACCTACCTAATTGAAGAAAATAAACCTGATATTTCGAAGTGACAGTTATCATATATTCTGTCTCATAAGATAGGCTGGCCAGCCTAATAAGAAAAATACCAACTGCACTAATTGACTAACGAAGTAATATATTGTGTATTCTCCTTCTCACGATCCTGGTTAATGTATGTTTAACTCTTTGCCCATTCTATAACGCGGCGGGTGTACTCTGACGGCGGACTATTCGTCAAACCTTCTTTAACAAACGCAATGTGAGTCGCGGTTTCATCCACATAAATCTCCACTTGGTTGTGGTGTTTAGCCTGTGCTTCATTAGCATTGTAGCTCTATAGGATTTGATGAGATATAGCCTAGCACGTACCTTGATTACTTGAGAAAGCGTAACAGTATCTTCTTCAAATAACTCAAAACCACCAGATATAATTGTAATAGCCCCGGCTGGTAGTGTTTCATACCATTCTTCACGCATTTCAGATATCGGTGTTAACCAGGGGTTAATCAGATCAACCTCAGGATCATGATTACTCTCTATGATGTTCCACATCTGAGCAATATCGTCCACTCCAACCAAATCTCGGCCGATATTTTTACTCTTCTGTAGCGCTGGCGTAACAATGGGCACGGCGGGTGAGAGTAACAAGACTCGACCGAAACAGTCCCCAGATGGGATTGATAGCAGAGGAACCTTTGGATGCGGGTGCGTGATGTGATGCAAGATAGCGAGAATGAGGATTGCGCCAACACTATCGCCATAGAGGTCGATCTGTGGGCGGCATATCCGTTAATAAGTAATAATGGATCGGGATTGGAAGCTTATGTCTCACGTTTTTTGCGTCTCGCTCACGCATGAGATACACGATGGACGCGACCAACTGGCGAAGCTGGATTGGATAGACACCAGAAGGGCACGTATCTAGATTAATTAGCAGACAAGGACGAGGGATACACTAGTTGTTCGAAGATGCTCACCATAGCTTAGCACAGCCACGGCGACGTCTTCATCTTTTGAGGCGGCCGCTTTGTACACGTTATAAGCCAAGGCCATGTGGAAAGGAGTTGCGTACATCACTAGCCCGCCACCGTGAACGTGTGCTATCACTCTTTTGGCTGACGGAGAGCCAAACCACAAGGCAGAGCCACCGTCTGGCATGTCTTCTCTTACAGAAGGTATACCATGAGCTTGGACAAAGATCTCATATTGCTGGGCCGTTGGGACGGTGAAAGATTGCCTATAAGACAAGCATGAAAAGTGTCAGCAAATGCCAAATATTGCATCACGTCGCACTTACTGCATCAAATCTTCTGTTGTCATAGCCATCTTAAATTGTCTAAAATGAGAAGTTTTAAGGATTGAGGATGTTGAGTGCTACCAATCCCAGGATACTAGGCAGTTCAAACGATTCAATGAAGAGTTTATATGCGTTTCATTTCGGCTATAGCTCAGTATCCTATGCTCAAACATAGCCACACTCTCCCAGCAGCTCTATAAGAATGCCGTCATACTAATTCACGTCATCATAATAATACTCATCTTAATTTCTCAGCTGAATCGCGCTGCTACTTCTCTTTTTGGAACGAATTCGACAATTTGCGTTACAAAATGTACCCAACTGCCGAAGATTAGCTTGAAATAGCAAATGGTGGTAAGCTTGAGTTTCAGCTGGCTTACAAGTCTAGTATCATGGGAAATTTAACCACATTATACTGTAATCATACCTCTATATCACTTGCGTTCTGAATCTCCTATAGTTTGTAGCCATACGTGTGTGCCAGGCTGAATGCGGAAGTAACGGCGCTGTTGTTTTTTTGAACTGGAGCTATTATTAACTAGGGGGGGAACCGGTGTCAAGCGACTTGAATTCTGTAAAGAATGCTCAAAATTTACCAAGTGGATACATATAAGCTCTCTAGTCTATAATAGGCAGTAGCAGCGATCTCCATATTCCTCGAATTAGATGTTGAATAAGCAATGATGATAGGCTACACGCAAGCGGCAGTGCCGGTTGCCACAATTAATGGCAGCGTTCACTTGCGTTCACATGTATCTATAATAACTTAACAGAGAGATCGATCATGACTTATACCTAACATTGGTACAATACCACGAAACTGAAATACTATATAAATCGACCCAAGTCTGGCAAATTGAAAGCAAACTGTCTCAGCAACCATTCTACCATTGCAGACAAGGCTCTCATAATCTTGGCGACGAACTTCTTATATCTCTTTTCGCAATGGCAAATATGTCGTCTTCTGCCTCTGAGGACATTTCACTAGACAAGAAAAGAATACGAGTCTTGGACTCTGAAATAGCATATATAGATGTTGGTTCTTCTGGTCCCGAGACACCAGTGACCGTGTTTCTGCACGGAGTGCCGACATCTTCATATCTATGGCGGAATATTATCCCTTACGCAGCAACAAAGAGCCGCTGCATTGCCCCAGACTTGATTGGTTTCGGTGACTCTGACAAGGTGTCGGGGGCATATCACTTCGCAGATCACCAGCGGTACATGGATGCCTTCTTAGATGCCGTCATACCAAATCAGATGATTACGCTGGTCATCCATGACTGGGGATCTGCTCTTGGATTTCACTGGGCCTGTCGCAATGAACACCGCGTTGCCGGAATCGCATTTATGGAGTTCATCCATCCCGTGGCAGACTGGAGCAATTTACCATCTATCATGGTGTACAACTGGAAAAGATTTCGAGACCCAGATCCCCAAGTTGGTCGAAAGCTCTTGATTGAGCAAAACAACTTTATCGAAGAGATTCTACCTGGGGGTGTAATGAGAAGGATGAATAGTGAAGAGATGAAAGTTTATCGCAGGCCATTTCTGCGACCTGAATGGCGTGAGCCCCTCTTTCGGCTGCCAAACGAGCTTCCGGTTGAAGGTCAGCCAGAGCATACGTGGAAAATCGCACAGGACTATATGGCGTGGCTACTAGACAGTGAGATACCGAAGCTGTTCTTTTGGGCCAAGCCAGGAGGGCTTATATGGGAAGAGAAAGTCAATGAGCTGGCGGAGAAACTGAAAAATACTCGCAGTGTGTGTGTGGGCGACGGCATTCATTATATACAAGAAGATCATCCACATGTAATTGGTCGTGAATTAGCTGACTGGCTACCCTCACCTTAGACAGCACAAAGGAGTAGCCTGGCAGCATGGTAATGCACAGCATAGGTCGCAATGATACGTTCTTTCAGGTTGAATATCTGTGTGTCAATATTGAGAACTATTTATGAGAAAAGGCCAACAATATGCATATGCTCCTGTGAGATGGTATTAAAGGTTTGCATTCCAGCTCTTACTCATTCTCATCCGCAACTCTCCAGACCAGTTTCTCTCCACTCGGAGCTTGATCCCTTAACAAGCTCAAAGCATTCTCAGCTCGTTCCAGCAACGTCTTGCCTTCCACTATACGGATTTTGTTTGGCTGGATAATGCCCTTTTCCAGTAAAGTTGGCACAATCTCAGATTGTAAAAGCTCCTTGAAGACTTCGTTGCGCAGGTAAAAATGTGTTCGCGTTCCCATAACCTTGACACCTTCCCTCCACTCGTCTGGCAGCGACTTGGAAACGTCCATTTCGTATTCTGGTGGCGTATCTTTAGTCGCATGGACGTTTATAACAGGCAGCATAACGGCCACTTTGGCTCCTGGTTCCGCAATCTTGGTGAGTGGCCGCAATGTGCTTTCCAGCGAGCCAATACAGTCCAAGATATAGGGAATTCGAGGTTCAGCATCTGAGATCGTGCCAGCAAAACTAAGGATTTGTTCTACCACATTCGAATCATTGTAATCGAAAGTCGCCTTGGCACCCAGCGCCTTGAGTCGTTCGTGGTGTCTTCCACTTGCAACAGCAAGCACATTCTCATAGCCCCAATGGTGAAGGACTTGCAGCGCATAATCCCCGACGCTACTTGCTGCTCCCCATAGAAGGATAGGAGCATTACGGCTCTCTTTGCTTGGTTCCTGGACCGGCCACGGGAGCGGCAGCTCAAGGTCTGCTGTAATGGTGTGAAAGGCCGTGACTAGATTCGCGGGTACAGCAACAGCTTGTTCAAGAGTGAGATTTGCTGGCAGGCGGCTGCATAAATAAGTTGAGGTTGTCGAGTAAGTCTGGTGGCTTTTCTCCCTAGCATTACGAAAGGCGAATCCGAATACTTTGTCGCCCACCTGTAGCTTGGGGTTGTGGGAATCTGGATTGGCGGGATCGATAGGACCGACGGCCGCGACAGTGCCGCCAAACGAAGAGCCCATAACCTGGGGCGGCTTCACTAATAGCCCACCATCAGCCTGATGGAGGTCCAGAGGAGTGGAGGAAGTCCATTCGACATGAACAAGAACCTCGCCTGCACCAGGCGCCTCAGTCTGCTGATTGAGAATTTCGAGAGGAGCCCTAGCAGCGACAATAACCACAGCGGGATGAGTTTCTGGAATACTTTCGGGAAGAGAGCTGGCCATGATGAGATAGATGGATAACAATAGCAGTTATAGCCGAATTTGTAGTGCTGCCGCAAAAGACACTATTTTATTGGCGGCATTGTAAAGATCAGCGAAAAAGTCTTCTTTATATAGATGTGAGATATTCATGGATCTAACATTAAACCTGTAGGAATAGGATAGTAAAAGACAAGTCCTTTCTATGTAAGAGAAAATGGATTTCTAAGCTGGTTTAATAGGCAATATGAGTCGCTTACTCAATGGGGTGTGCTCTGGGTCCACTCCTGGGACCAAGTCCACAGCATTTGAACTCTATCTGCTGACAACAAAGCAGCGCCATAGGCGAAATCCTACAGAGCCGTCCCTAATGTCACAATGAAAGTAGAACTTTTTGTAAACACTCCAGGCAAGTGAAGCATGAAAAGCAATACTACAGTGGGAAAATCTCGAGTCTTTATTATGCTACACATGATTGGCTACAATGGCAATGAGGTGACTTTAAGAGTCAACAAGTAGTTCCAGTTTAATTCGCTCTGGCCTACACGTTCGATTAGGTCATAAATATCCCCAAGAAAAGCTCTGGACAGCGATCCTTTCGGTTAAATGGTCTCCCGCTGCTAGCTTTATTTACATGCATGCCTATTAAAAGATCGTTGGCTATATTGCGGCATGCTTAGCTCCCGTCCAAGGCAATAAGTGATAACTAACTCCTAAGTCCGTAATAAATGCTTATAACCATTGAAGGCTTCTAGTCGCGCCACATTTGCTTGCCTTTGGGAGTGTTAGTGAAACATGGGCGCTAGATTTCTTTCCTATTTATACGTTATCATGTTCATTCAGCGCTAGTTATGCTATTTGAAAGACACCTTGGTTTAAATGACAATCGTAAAAAGAAATTCCAGCACCTCTCAAAGACAGTTGGCCCTCATATTTTGACAAAGGACAATCCATAAAAGACAAACTGAATCGTGAGTTGAAGTTCATCGTGCAATTAGTAATGAGGCTGTGATTAATGCCACTTTAGGCCTTCCAAGCTCTATTGCCCCAGCAGAGTGAGATCTACCCGCTAGTCCCACTTTTAGTGACCGACTAGGCTTCGGAATCGGCTCTTAATTACTGGCCGTTCCAGAAGCAGTTCCAGAAATTCTTCCAGGCGAGATCTTGTGACCGATTATGTGTTCCTTGGAATTGGAAATTGTCTTTATATGCGAAAAAAGAGTCTTGAATCGACCTATTTAAAAAGGTTATAAGTGCACGCAGCAAATAAATCGTCCTTATTAATCGCCGTTTTGATCAACGGTTGAGGGTGCTTCGTATAATTTCCTGCCCTTTCATACAAAGATCTAACCCCATGCAAGCCGTTTCATAATCCTTTGAGCAGGCAATATCGTCTTCCAGATGGCTTCGGCAACTATCAGAGAGCAAGCGTATAAAATATTTCTCTGCTAGTGTCGCCGGGATATGAGACATTGTACATCCCTCTAGAGATGAGCTAAGGTGTATCACAGTCTCGCAAATGAGCACTGCTAACTGATTTGGAGTATCGAGGTCCATCGATAAACAAGGAGAATCGGCATCTAGTAGGTCTAATAAGGCCGCATAGAGCGTATTGTGAACAAATAGTTGACGGATGTCGAGGACTGTAGCTGAAAGCTCAAGCAATCCAGACCAATAGTATACTATTATACCTGGTATCCGATTGTTTGAGAAATGTATCCTAGGCAGATGATGTCTTCCACTTGTCAAGTTCCGTTGTTGAAGATATTCGTCTCCAAGTGTTGTGACTGAATGCCACCAGAGGCGGCCTCCTTCCGCATTCTCCACTGACTTCAGCCAAAGATGAAGCTTGTGAATGAGGGAATCACAGTCTTGGAAATAATCCAGAATCTGGCGCTTTTTGACGTTGGGGAAGCTCAAGTAATCCGGAAGATCCTGATATTCAGTATTCTTGCTCAACGAGGATGCGAGGAGCTTCATCTGTTCACCCTGCTCAAGGAGACCAGGTATATAAGCGATGATGTCTAACAAAGATTGTCGATAATCTTGAGTGGACAATCTTCTAGTAAGGGCGAGCCAATGGCCGGAAACAAGAAACGTTTCCTTCCGAAACTTTAGAGATTGGCCTAGCTGTGCGTCAAAGTATATCAGTACCAGTTAAAGAAAACCTCAAATGCGTCATGCTATTAGACTTACAGCAGTGGTTTGAAGATCCACGTATGCTGCCCTCACTACGGAAGACTCTAAAGCTTCTGATCCAGAATGTTTTATTAGCTCAAGAGCTCCATCAAGATGGAAACGGTATCCTTCTCCATCCTCGCCGTTGGCTAACCACTAAATTTACCGTCAGTACCCGACATTAGAAGAGCGAAGTAGAGTGCTAGTTGCTGAAAACGGTTCAATTGGCATATTCACCTCGAAAAAGAGCAACGATAATGAGATGGCGATTGCCAAAACCTTTTGGCTCGTTTGGCAGGTCTCAGAGTTAAGAACAAAGGCAAGCTCGGAACGAAACCGACCCATCGCCTGAGGATAGGCTGCCAGGGCCAAATCTTGTAGTTTAGAATCTCCTCTTAGCTTCCCAACATACATTGCCGATACTGAGAAAAGAGCAGTATCAAGTGCTTTATTTCTGAATGCTAGCGGAAGTATCGCTCGACTGCTTGTCGACAATGGGGATCCGCTTTGTTCTGGCGAATTAGAATTTGATGCATACGTTGCAGTCCATAAGTCCGCTATAACAGAGCGATATAGGTCCATAGAACAGCCGAGAGAGGCGGTTATTGGATGACGAGTTGTATTTTTGTTAGATCTATCGTTTGTATAAAAGCCCTCTGCAGAGTTTTTGGATTGGGTCGAGAGCTTGTTATTCGGGCTTTGGATTGCGTTATTCAACAACTTCCTATCCGATAGTCCCTGGATATTATTCACGTCTCGGTGAATGAATATTGAGCCAGTTCTCGGGCCACTGCATTTCATTCCGCTTTTGACACATCTTGTACAATTCGGTTGTTCAAGACCGCACTACCGTATATTCGCTGTTAAACTGTTTCGTGCTTGGGCATTTCAGGATGAACTTGGGACATACCTTGACTCGCCGTGCCTTGCACTCTTTACAACTTTTAGAAGAGCCTGGAATATTGACCATGGCTTCGAGTGAGAGCTGATCGTATCTTTAGAATGCAATTTTCAATTTAATCATCCACAAACAAGATATGTCTTATGCAGTCAATTTTATGGAAGACTTGGATCATTGTGGGTGACTTCGTTGTCCTCTTTTGTCCTTGGAGTGAATTTGAAGTAGACCGTGAATGTTGGTGGAAAGGCCGAATAGAAGGCCGAGATAGATTTAAAGCGAGCTAGGCTCTGCCGGGAGGGACCAACGATATTCCTAGGACCCTAGGAGCATACTGTAATTTCTCAGGTCAGCAATGCAGTCGCAAAGTCAATTTGAGTAGAGAGCTAACTATGCTAGAAGTCTATACGTTATGCGTCCTGTATGAGTCTTGGTTCTATATTAATTCTATGTCACAGCCTTGAAAATGCAGACATTACATTTCCGGACTGGATATCCATCATGCTTCGGATTTACGAGACTGTTCGTAAACATAGTAGCGCATGGCAAATTCACCATCCCCTCCATACACGGAATCGTCCTGGACAAGCTCTTCCTCCACGCGGAATCCAAGTCGGGAATACAATCCCCATGCAGATTTACAAGCAAGGATAAAGATATCCAGACCTAGCCTCTCTGCTTCTTTCATGCCGCTCTCTACTAAAAGGGTTGCGACTCCTTTGCCTTTATTCTCTGGATGCACAGCTAAATAGTCTAGACCTGTCGATTTATTAGCAATTGACGTTTTCCTTAATTTTAGTCCTCGATGTGCTTACACAAATACGGCTTTCTCGCCATTATCTTCTCCTTAATAATCCGGACTTCTTCATCCAGCGGGTCGGTGGCGTTATCCGGATTAAATTGGGTTGCTGCAGCGACTCGTTTGATCTCAGCTTCTTCCTCGGGGCTCACTGCCGGAGCCATTGCTTCCGGCCAGACCGGTTCACCATTCGCGAGAACAGTATATGATTCCGGCAAGACCCAGCGAGCATAACCTAACAGACGGCCGGTCTCGGGATCAACCACCTTTTGGTGGCGTGAGGTCTCAGGATCGCTTATCAGCCTGCGCGGATATCGCTTGGTCATTGTGTCAATGTGTTCCTCCAGCGTGGTGTGGCGCCATGCCAGAACCCAATTCGGGATTTCCCAGAAAGCCGACATGTTGTTGCGACTGAGAGCCGCGCTGTCAGCAAGACTACATGGAGCGATCGCCAGAGTGGCCATTTTTAGATATTGAAACGTAGTTCAGTGACGCAACTAGATTTAGCACCAAGTATGATGAGAATTACAGAACAGAAATCATGAATAGCCAATTTGCAAAGTGTGTTCTTAAACCTCTTCGAAAGTAGTCTAAGAGCTCGCCATCGAAGGATGCGGAGAGCCCCGCACCTTGGTTCTTCTCCCTGGCACTTCTGCCTACAAGTAAATACTCTTCACTAACACGGGCTTACATGAAGAGAATAGCATTAAAGGTTTCTCTTTTTCCTTGAGCAGCTTGAGAAAGCAGTCGCTTGCAAGTAGCGAGATAAATGGCAAAGTACATGTGCTCTATTCGAAGACCAAGTCCAAGAAATGTGCAAGCGTGGGCGCAGCGGCATCTTTTCACGGCACAAACTGTCACCTAAAGCACTTGTCGAGATAGCAATCTTGACAGCCCAGCTAATTTGCAAGATAGTCCAGTTTACAAGATACTTTTGCCTCATATGGGTTAAAAATGAAGGTGGCTAAGGAAGAGTACAATTGTTGGAAAGCAGGGAGCTCTCGTAGCGCTGAACTTCATTTTAAGATGAGGCTCTTAAGGATCTTGGTCAACGATACTGGCTTAGAGGCGGCTTAGAATTTTCTGTAAGAGTGCAAAATTATGTAATTAATGCATTTAGCGAAAGATCAGGGTTATGGAAAGTTCATCCCAAGGACTTATTGGTATGGGAACGCGCAGTTGGGGCGCGAGTATTTACAAGGGTAGAAAAGAGGTTTCCAGATCTAGTAGCATATAAAAAATTTCGTAGACGATGTATATCGACTCGAAGCAGCTTCAACTATCCACATGCAAAGTCACAACGTCAATCGAAGTCACGGTTTATGGTACTATACAATTGCTATTTGAGGAATGGGGTGACCAGGAATCCAAGGCCGTTGATTGATTTGTACATACTAGGCCAAACCGCTAATAGAAGTCAGAGCCTTGATCATCTAGACTACTATCCTCTCATGAGGGGGCAGTAAGATTTTAACCATTATTTCTGCTTACAGTTAACTCTTGTTAACATTGCCCGCAAAGCGTAATACAAAGACATATTATTCAGCGCCTAGCTTCAATATTTAATTCCAAAGCATAGACGTCAGCTTATAGCTTCACAATATACAATTCATACATTGGACAGTGTATATCCTTGCTTTAGAGTTTAGCTACGTACATACGTAAAATCCTACCTATATAATGACTTCGCCTTTCAATATTCTAGTCAGGCCGAGTGTTCCTATTTAACTACTATCCTGTACACTTCTCGACCTATCTTCTTTGTCACATACGGATTTTCTACACATCGAAACATGGCAGCTTCTCAAGACGGCAAAAACAGCGACCTATTTAATTGGGTATCGGAAGTCTGGGAAAAGACTTTATTCCAACCAGACGATGAGATCGCGGTTAATACATTCCAAAAATATTTCGCAAAAGATATAGTCATCAAGTTAGCCGCTTTTACAAAATCCTTGCTTTATCGATGGCTGACTCGCATTCTGTGATAGGATCAACCACGATCATGTCTCTCGCGAAGATTATTTCGGATACATTACCAGCACCCGTGCTGCCTACAAATTAACCCTTACACACAGTAAAGAAGTCAAGGTTTGGGAATCTCCCAACGGTGGCGGTTCACTTGTGTTTGACGGCGCGCTCAATTATACCGACAAAAAGACCGGAGAAGAGCAGACTGGCCATGTTGTAATGATTCTCGATATACGAAAAGATGATGACGGAGAGATGAAGATTGTACAGACGACAGAGTGTGTAACTAGAAGCGAAGGAAGCGTCAAGGCATTTGAAGGTTAGAGATAGTGCGAATGATTTTGAGGTGCACTGCTTGAGTACTTGTGCAAGTATGGATGTCTATGTAAATCTGGGACGATTTATCTGAGATTTCATCTTTATTCTGCAAGTTTTGCTAAAAGTAGACACCTTCACTACTTAATGAGGTAGCTTTGGGCATTGAGTTTGAGATATTGCTCAGACTCTTCAAAGAGTCTTGTTTGCCCAAGCCAGAGAGACCACCAAACTGTCGGTTCTTCTTGTTATAATCTTCAAATGCCCGAATCGCCTGAGCATGTCTTCTTTAGTCGTCATAGCCAACGCAGTCTCTCCATGCCGATCCACAGGAGCCTTATTGGCGCCCCCCTGAGGAGCCGCTGTACAACATCGTAGTAGCCTCCAAGTGCAGCATCCATTAGAGCCGTCCTTCCATCTTTATCCGTCGAGTCAATTCGGGCTCCTAGGTTGATGGAAATGGGCGAATCCCTCTCCTTCGGCTGCAGGGGATGATCAGGCATTGAGATTGTCTGAATTGCTCTTGTATGCAGGATCACACATCGATGCAACGGATAACAATGGAAGAACACCTCTCATGGCCGCTTCACGAATCGAATCTTCGAAACTAGTGGAAATGCTCATCCACTGCTTCAATATTAGCGCCATGTTCAATAAGAAAAGATGCCATATCTTTATGGCCCGAGGTTGTGGCGAGCACTAATGCAGTTGGGCCGGTGGCATCAACATTAGAGGTTTGGTCTATGCTTATACCGCGCTCGATCAAAAGTTGTATTGCTCCTTTGTAGCCTCTTTCAGCGGCAAAGGGAAGTGGATTTCGGATTTGAAGCTCTGCTTCTGGTACTAATTGATCCAATGCTTCACCCAGGATGAGCATCTTATCTGGAAACTGCTCCCGTCGGTAAAGCAATAGCCAATCCAAAGCAGGGCTGCCAACCCTCCTAACAAGCTCAATTGCCGCATTGTGTTCCACCTCGACGCCGAGTTCCCGTTCTCGTAAAAGCTGTCGAAGGATCAATTCTCCACTTGATTTGTTGCGAGCCATGGCCTTGGCTACCTCGCAGGTTATAGTAACCTTGGATCTCCTCGACTGAAGAAACCGTTTCATGCCTGTTGTGCTACACCATCTGACGAATATTTCAAACTCTTGGGCCGTAATTGTAGGGCTTTGAACAGCTTGATATTCCAGATACATTTGAAAGACTTCTTTACCCCATGGTGCAGTCTGTGAATCCGCGTATTTGGCCACTTGTTTCATGACTTTAACGTCAGGTCGTCGGTAATTAAGAATCAATCTGAATAATTTAATTCCATTGGTTTTATTGTAAATGACTGCACGCGTCATTTCATGCGAGAATTCCAAGCCTTTTTGCCTTTTCTCAAAAAGAAATGCTACCAAGCGTTCCTTGCATTGTTCATTCCGCGCAGCATTTTCCAAGAGTTTTGGTGTGACAATGATGTCTTTCTCAAACCGGTTGAATAGCAAATTTATCAATTTTTCAGCTTTTTCATTCATACCAGCTGCCACTTCTGCTAGCGTGGTGATTTCCCTGCCTTTCGCAAATGGCAAAAGCAGTTCGATCATTTGATCGCCGCAGCCCTTGTTCCAAGCTGCGGCTTCGGCTATCTTTGAGATATCCATATCGTTCACATAAGGTAATAGTAATCGTAGAACTTTATCTCCACAGCCACTGTTTCTCGATGCGGCTTTGGATAATTCATGGACATTGATAGCTGTGGCGAATCGTAAAAGGAACCCCAGCACTGCATGCCCACAGCCTTCATTTCCTGCTGCAGCTACTAGCATTTCCTCTGTTATGGCGTATTGATGACGTTGATTGCGAAAAATGACTTCAACGACTTGTCTAGCTGCAGATTCATTTCTTACTGCCCCCATGACCATTTCCCGAGTCGTTTCAAATTCTCTTGCTCGATATCGGTACAGTAACTCCGTTGCTTTTCCGCTTGAATCGTTGGAAACCAGCGTGACGATCAAACTCGTATCAATGTTGAAGCCTGGCCGTCTCAAAAATAACCTCATATTGTTTGTCTTGGAGCTCCCTGCGAGTGCTGAACAACTCTTGGAGTTTAGGTAGTTTAGATTTGCTGCAAGAGCTCGGACATCTGATGGTATGTATTGCTGCTCATACCTCCCAAAGTCGTCCAAGTCGCAGTAATAGATAAAGCGAATGACATCTCGGGTGAGCTGTTCCTCAGATTTTTCGTAATCCGGTAACAAAGCATTCGAATCTCTTGCGTCCGAAGAAATTCCTCTTAGTGCATATATAAGATCCCGCGACTCCGTAGCCTCGCTTGTGCCAAACATTTTCAGCAGGGTATACAGACTGTTGTTTTTGTTCCACCAGGTAGTCTCTCTCCATAGTCCCGGCATAATGTCTAAAACTGCCTGGCAATGCGCGCTGGGAGAAACGCCCAACATCAGCGGGGCGATGGCGAAGACACGGGTCGAGACAGATCGTGTACCGCAACATAGCAATGCGGATTTGGCATTTGCCACTTCTTGTAATATCCAAACTCTTCGGAACCAGGGCCTGTCCAGGAGAATATTCAGCCCTTGGCGTTGTTGATCTTCCAAGGTTGACTTTTCATAAGAAAAGCTGAGCTCCAGCTGAATCTCGCCCCAGAGCGTCTTCCACCGGTCGTCTTCTCGCGCCCAGGATCTGCATTGTTGGCGGATGCTCTTTTTTTGCAAGAGCTCCATAGACTTTATAAAGACATCGGTCTCATCCGTCCCAGGGCCGAGCCAAACTACCACGCGGTCGGCCTGCTTATAGATCTCTCCCATCTGCTGAACTTGATGACTTCGCTCCTTCAAAATTTTCTGATTAATGCAAACTGCATCTATCCATAATATTCGGTCTTTATCTGGCTGGCGAAGCTGCTGGAGCGCAAAATAAAGATTTATCGTGACGCTCAGTGGTCTGCCATTTACGACAATATGTTCTCGAACATCGGGTTCGCCCCAGGTGTAGGACAGAGCCTCGTATGATATCGAATCATCTCGCTCACATAGGCTGGCCTGAAAGAGTTCGCAGGATATCTCGCTACCAACTCCTCTGCAGAGACGAAGAAGTCGAATCGCAGGGCCACTAAAGTCGATCGGTTCATAGGATTATTCGCTCATGGTAGTGTCTTTCATTTCGTCTAATCAATGATGTGATTATTCCGATCCCTGTTTTCGGTATGGAGCTGGTGAAAGACAGCTATGCCAAGTGCGCATGGTAGAATCTTGACGTCGATGTTGGCAGTTTTCAGCTCTGACACTCTGTCGACCAACCACAAAGGCTGCATGCATGTCGCAAACATAGCCACAGTCACACGGTCACACTGCATGTGCTAGTAGTTAGGCACCAATGGACTAAAAGTAAGGGAAAAGAGTTGTTCGATATGTAATGAATGTAGCCTCTACAGTGGCACCTCAGGTAGAGTATGCAGAGGTGCAAAAACCCTAATTTTTAAAAAAATTAAAAGATAAAAAATAAAAATTTATATAGAGGCCTTATAGCTAAATAAATATAATACTTATATTACATATATATATATAGAATTTTAGATTTTTATTTTTTATTTTTTTTTGTTTTTTTAAAATTTGGAGTTATCGCGCCTCTGCACACTTTGCCTAAGGTGCCACCGTAAGCCTCGAATCCGTACGGCGTTGGTAAGTCGCTTATATGCGTCAAGTATAGCTAAGAACATTAGGGAGTTCGCCTTTTCAACCTCATCCACGTGTAACCGGTGTTCTCGCTACATTCGACCAAGCGTCACTGCAACGATGCCCCACGCTCTCAGATAAAAGAGATCTGATGCGTCAAGTATCGAATTATCGAGTCAGGTCAAGATCGTTTTCCATCACCACGATATCACCATGCTTTCAGTTTTTAGGCATATTGAGATGGACAACCGGAGCGGAACTCCGAGATTGCCTTCTCTCCATCTTGCCGCCACTTCCCGAATTTAAGATCGATTCCTAAGCGCTCGACCAATATACATGCCAACAAAGCCAATCAAATCCAGGAGCAAGAGACGCAAGCTGAGAAGAAAATCCTTGAGAAAAGCAAAGCTAACGTCGCTAGTGCAAATAGTTCCAGGCACTACTCAGGGGCATCAACGACGAAATCGCACTACATCTCAGCCGCAGCCAGATTTCGACAGGGATACTCCATGGCCAACACTCGATTTGAGCTGCTAGTGGCGTATTTTAGGGCAAAAACAGTGCCTAAACTAGCAGACCAGTGATGGCTATATTCGAGACTCAGCTAGACTGCATTGGCAAATTGTTGTTTTCCGGTGAGCGTGGCAAGCTCTCGTATAGCACATAGAGTAATATATACCTAATCTTTCTTGTTATTATGGTCATGACAGACTTTCGTTCATTCATTGATGTCTCTGTAGCCTATTGAGCTCTGAGCAGCGAAGATGATGCTGAAGATCATAGTCGGTGCCCTTGGCCTCAGCGCCAGTGTAGCTGCAACTCCTTTGGAGCTTGTCGAGCGCAGCTCCTGTAGGGACGACAGTCTATACAAGTGCTTTGCTGACTACGAATACTCTCATTCGGCTTCTTTATACTGCTCTGCCCTCGCACCATGCACCAAAACAGTCACGGTAGCGAAGCCCACGGTGTAAGTTTGCTCCTGATATTCTAGATTCGCAAGAAACAACTGCTAACGAAGACTGGATAACAGGACGAAAACTGTGTGGCACACACATACCGCGCCGACGTCGACTTGCCTCATCCAGTCTACAAAGACTGTCTACACAAGAACAGTCCCATCGTCCACGGTAGTCAAGACAGCAACACAGGTAGTGACGAAGACATCGACGGCTACAAAGACAGTCACGGCCAGCAGTCAAGCAACTGAGGTATTCAAGAGAGCTGTTGGAGGAGGAAAACCACAGCCACCAAGGTGTATGCTCAACAAGTGCTTCGCATACACTCCTGATCGCATTACTGCCGCCTGCAGATGCATCAACGTCCCACCCAAGACAATTACAGCTACGCATACGGCCTGCAGCAGCACCAAGACAGTGGTAGGTCTTTTCTCAGACATTGCTTTTTATCCTCCGTTGAGGCTAACAATACTGATTGTTTAGACATCTACGTCCACGACAACACCTAAAGTTACAGCAACATCATGGCATACGGTTGCTACAGCATTGACTAATGGCGTCACGACTACATGCACGACGACAACTGTCACTACAACTGTTACCACGACCACTACCACGACTACTGCAATTCCTGTAACACTGCCATATACAACTCCTACTACTACTACTCCTACTACTCCTCCTACTACTACTCCTACTACTCCTACAACTCCTACTACTACTACTCCTACTACTCCTCCTACTACTACTCCTACTACTCCTACAACTCCTACTACTACTACTCCTACTACTCCTCCTACTACTCCTCCTACTACTACTCCTACTACTCCTCCTACTACTCCTCCTACTACTCCTCCTACTACTCCTCCTACAACCCAGCCAACCACTCCCCCAACTACTCCCGTCACCACGCCCGCCACTACTCCTGCTACCACCTCCACCACCACTGCCGCTGCCACCACCTCACCTGCGGCGCAAAACGTCATTCCCGACGGCGACTTCTCATCTGGTCTAGGCCCCTGGTCCCAGATCAACACCAACCCAGCGGCATGGGTCAACCCGAATGTCAACAACAACAACAGCCCTGACGGCACATCACCCGATTTCCAGGTCACCAATACACTAAATTCCGGGCTATTCTTCCTCGCCAGCTCGACCTTTACCCTTCAAAGCAGCTCTACTTATACTTTTACGTTTTACGTGTCAAATACCGCCACTGATGCCTCTTGGCCCAGCAAATTGGGGGCTCAAATTGCCTGCGGCTCATATAGTTACGGCATAGCAGATATGACCCAGGCAACACCCGGATCCAACAATTATTTATTCAGCTCCACCACTTTCAACACACTCACAAGCACAGATCCACAGGTCTTGCAGCAACTGAGTCACTGTCAAGCGCAGATTATCTTCCACTCTGGCGTTGCACCGATCAATTCCTGGTTTTTGGCTAAAGTTGGTGTTTCCTACGTTGGTGCTGTGGCGCCTCCGCCGCCTGTGACGAGCGCTCCGTAAAAGAGGAATCCGGGGAACAGTATAATAGATGTAAAGAGAACATACAAACTTGCATTATAATTCCATTTCACCAAGTTGCAAAGATACACAAATTATAATAGAATAAATAATTCGCGCATTACAGCTATGCGATTCGCTGCATTTATTCGATATGATTGAACACGCTGGTTTTTATATGTGCCTGTGCTTGATCCAGACCCAATCACATGTGAAGGTTCAGATCAGGGTGACAACGCTATAAATAACCTGAAATTTGAATGACATCAGCTCACAGCTAACATTTGGGCTGATCTACTCCAACCGCTATTGCACTCTTTAATCCACCATTCCATCTCGTCACAAAGGGGAGAAAAAATCAGCCATTTCATATATACCAGCATCTTGATTTGGTTATTACTATTCAACCAAAATGAGTTCCGATAAACCCTTCGAGCCCACTCTAAGCGACGTCCTAGTCGTGCGCGCCATGCTGGCCAAAACCACGATCCTCCCAGAGCTTGTGGGCACCATCCTGGACTACGCCGAATATTGGGCACGATCATCTGCCAAAGCTCAGCTGAATGAAGTTATTGCCGCGCGCTTCGTTGGACGGGGAGAATTCGATTACGAGGAAACCCGATTTCTGGTAAGAAAAAGCCAAGTTTAAGATGAGGAAGAATCCATCAATTGTATTTCAACGACTAATACCGCTATAGCTTCGATCTTACCCCGTCGGCCTGACGGAGCGCGCTTATGAAGCAGAAGAAGACGGCAACGCCGACGACGACGACAGCAGCTCTCGTGAGGAGCGATTCTCAACTATAATCCCCGATCCTCTACCCGTCTTCAAAGAATTTGATCGAGATTTTTTCCAGCGAGCAATTAAGAATGCCTCTACTTTTAGCAGCCCAGCGCGCAAGATTGTCTTTCGCATCCGCAGCCACGATCAAGGCTGGACAACAGACGATGTGCCGGGCCCGTTTATGGCCGCCAAAACTTGGTTTGACGCCGGCATCGAGAGATTCGATGCTAGTAGCTCCAGTGAGTATTCTTTACAGTGGACGGCGGAAAATCTACTTTGCTAAGAATAACAACTCGCTCGCAGCAGATGAAGCAGACGGCAATGACATGAAACAGTGGACTGCGCGCAAACTAGGCACAATCGAGCCACAAGTCAAAGAAGCAAAAGACGCCCACCAAGGCTGGGATTATCAATTCCCCTATACACACTGGAAGGGCCCGTACGAAATCCAGCGCAACAGAATGGCATCTTCTGAATTTACAGACTACGAAGTCACTTGGACATGCTGGGACGTCATCACGCCAGACTCTCCAGAGGCGTTCGAGTTGATGAGGGAGGGGAAAGGGAGGAGGGTTGGCGATGGCCGGTTTGTGAGGAATCTCAAGCTGGGAGACGTCGTTACCGTATGGGGAAGAGCCATGCATCGCGGGTGGATAAACACGGTTGAGTCTGTTCAGATTGATATCTATTGGGCGCTTTAGACGAGACCACAGGTCAGATGGAAGTCGATATGCAAGCAATCTTCAATTGTTCATGGCAAAAAGATTCATCACTGCTCTGGTTATGAAATCAATGACTGCATGACTGCCTAGTTTCTGTGTTACACCATGTGCTCTCCACTCTATACGACACTCTATGCGGCATGACATGTTCTCTGGAACGTCTGAAGCTTGAGCCTCCTACTATAGTGACGATACACATAATCGGTTACCAGTTACACGTACGTACTTTGCTACACGTACCAAGGAAGCGAGGGAGAAAGACAATCACAGCTCCTACACTGTCCGCAGCCGGCGTCGAGTGGCTTCAAGCCCTCCAACGGAACTGTGCCTGCAGTCGCGAGGTTTATTGAGCAGCAATTTACCCACTGGTTGCCATCTTCTACTGAGGAAGAGCGGATATTTATCTTACAGAAGCAAAGAGCCCATGTCCCCATTGCATAACGCATCGTCTATGGAACAGCATCACGCGTCACCGAATCTCTCATCGTCAACAGCTCTTTGATGTGTAAGATATTTTATTATGCCATATTCGATCCTTAGTAACTCTTTAAGAGAGTAGTCTTTGAGCCTATACGGGAGAATCAAATCTCCAATAGGATGCATATTGCTGTATAAAACCCTATAGCAAGCCTAATGCCATTCAAGACAATGCAGGCCAGTCATCTAACAGTAGCATCCTCAAAACAACTTAGCTGGATATAACAAAGGCTGCGCAATGCAACAAACAACAGCTGGAATCCATGTAACACTTTTTGAGCTTTCCCAAGCGTGGTGCTGTACTCATATTCACTTATAAAGGCTCCTAGCAAGGCCAGAGATTGCCGCAATTCTAGAAATGACCCATCGGAGATCAATCACCCGCTTCATGCTGAGTGCCTCTTGCTTTCCCATGCGAATACTAAATATGTACCCCGTCTCAAGCGGACGGCCAGTGCAGCTGCGATATCTCTCAACAGCATCGCTCTCTTCCGGAGGAATATTCTGCAACATTCTTTGAATAGTGTCCATATTTAGCTCTGAGCGGTGCGTATAATCGAGCTGGTTTCGAGGCATCCAATGGAACTGAAGCCAAATGGCAGAAGCTTGGCGATCGATGGGGAGGATCCCAAGGCATTGAATTCCGAAAAAGTGCCCTTTCCATAATTCGCGTAGGTCAGGGCCTAGACTTATCATATTCCAACTCTTATCGCAGCGATCAGGCCCAGACAAAACGAAGGAGTTTAGCTCTGACCAGGACTCAGGGTCAAGAACCGTATTGAAACAATAAGCAGCGTCTGATTTCTGGATAGACGTCCAGCTACCATAGCTCGCAATGAAAGGCAAGATTTGGTATACTTTGGGCGAGCCGTTTTTCGTGAGTACGCAGCGAAAATTATCCCTGACGAGGCACTGAAATTACATATTAGCGTTGCTGCATTCTACAAGGCGCCAGGACAAGGTATCACCAAGTACCTTTTCTTTCTCAGCATTCTTCTGTGGAAGATTCTTCTTTCCTCTCTCTAGCTGTGTTAAGCGCTCGTCACATTCTTGATTCTGTTCTCGTGAATTCTCCTTTCGGTATGCATTATCTCTAATGGGACTCTCGTTCAACACTAGAAGCTGCATCAGCAAACGTACGTCATTGAACTCAGAAAACACAGCGGATATAATGCCTACTGCCTAGTAAAAACGATCCTATATACTCGATTTGTGCTTGTAGATAGCTCTTATGAAAACGGTCGCTAATGACTTTTCGAAGAGACGGTTCAGGACACAGCAGAAAATACGCCAGTTCCAAGTAAGTAAACCGAAAGCCTTTCGATTTGTTGCGTTGGTCTTTTAATACTCCAGCTCGGATCTCCTCGATCATCCTGAGCCTCCCTTCAATATTGTGCATCGGGATCATTGAGTCGATGCTAGCATAGGTTAAGTGGTCTTTGTGATACTGCATCAGCTGCTCTGTGGTTCGAGGAGCAGTGTAGCCTTCGGGGAATATTCCCGTTGAATCGTCCGCCAAAGTTAAACTATCCATGGCCGTCAAGGCACCTAATGTAACAGATATTCGAGGAGCAGAGAAAGCGAAGGTGGTGATGAAAGAGTAGAAAGAGAAGCGGACCAATCCGCAGTGGGAAGTGCTCTATGGAATTTTAGCTGGCAGTTGGCAGAAGGAAGGATACAGTTGCATGCGCCCTGCAGACCTCCAACGCTCCTGCTTTTGCTAGTGCATTATTTTTCATTCACCTGCACGCAGATGTTGGATACCTAAAAGCTGCTACTTGCATCTAGGGCGACTACTCACCTGAGCCTTGATTATGTGTTACACGACATCTCTGGTTGTAAGGCTCTGTGTTGTAATTCGTCACTCCGCAATACGCCACACACAAGGCAAATAGGAACACAACCATTGCAGCCCCTGCCACCTAAAAGCTGCATACAATCCCTGTTATAATTGCTTTTTTTTGTCTGGCAACAATCTATTTAAATCTGAGCTGTTCCCACCATTCCTGACTTCCACATCATTTCTCATTGCCCACCATCTGATCAATAAGTGAGAAGCAATCAATAGTAACTTTTCCAAAACCGCTACACTCAATTGCGATCCATACTAATAATACAGACAGAACTACTGCCACATTCACTGCATCTCATGCGATATAAATTCTTCTTCAAACAAATCAGACCCAATTGAATCATCCACCATGGATTCCCAAGCAGCCAAGCCTCAAGCTACAAAGCCTGAACCAGCGCCCAAAGATTTGACCGACGAGCAGCTCCCCGCCATAGAGAATCTTCGTCTACATCAACCAATGACCATGGGCTCTGGCAAGGAGTACATTGAAAAGCTCCGCTCTCTAGAGGATGGTTGGGGGCAGATTCATCACGGCGTCCAAAGGCGAAGCAACACGCTCAACGAACTTCGGGCCGGCTTCAGCGAGTTCAAGAAGGAAGTCGAAGCAGTAGAGAAACTATTGAAGTCGAGGAAATGGTGAAAGAACGAGACACTAGCGACATTTGGGTTGGATATCTGTTTAGATATAGCTAGCAGGAGGGAGGCAAAGGCATGAATATGATTATATTTCCTCGCATGTTTGAATACCACATTCACTTGTACAGATCAAGCCTTCAACCCTCACACCCCCCTCACCGGCAGCGAATCCCTCCTCACAAGCTTCAAATCCTTCGTCAACGAATTCCCACACGTCCCCGTCACCACAAACTCGTCAATATTCCTCAACGTACACTCCGCAATCTCCCCCAGCGCCTCCTGCGTGAAAAACGCCTGATGGCCCGTCACAATCACATTATGAAACGTCATCAGCCGCATCAACACATCGTCATGGATAATCTCCCCCGAATGGTCGTCGTAAAACAGCGCGCCTTCGCCCTCGTACACGTCCAGCGCCACGCCGCTGAGGTGCTGCGTCTTGAGCGCCCTGATGACGGCTCGCGTGTCGACAAGCCCCCCACGAGAAGTATTGATGAGCATCGCGCCGGGCTTCATCTTTGCGAGAGCATCTTCATCGATAATCCGCCGAGTGCTATCCATCAAAGGACAGTGCAGGCTGATAATATCAGACTCTGGGAGAACCTCCTCCAAGCCCCTATACTCCCCAATGCCCTCCAACGCCGGCGACGGATACGGATCATACGCCAGAATGCGACACCCAAAGCCCTTCATAATCCGTGCCGTCGCAATTCCAATCTTGCCCGTGCCTATAATCCCAACCGTCTTGCCATGCAGCGTCCTGCCCAACAACCCATCCAACGCGAAATTGCCCTCTCGCGCCCGATTATACGCCCGGTGCGTGTTCCGATTCAGCGTCTGAATCAGCGCAACCGCAAACTCAGCAACCGCCTCAGGCGAATACGACGGCACATTGGCAACCATGATGCCAGCCTTCTCAGCCGCAACAAGATCAACGTGATTGAAGCCAGCGCATCGTAGGAGAATCGCTTTGACGCCCTCCCGACCCAACGCCTCCACCACAGGCGCACTCAAAGAATCGTTGACAAAAGCACAGATGGCATCGGCTCCTTTCGCAAGTGCCACTGTATCTTCCTCAAGTGCAAACTCATGATAGACAATCTCGATATCTGCAGAAGCAGGACGACTCGCAGGCGATTCTTTGGCTTTCGCAGCGGCAGCGCTACGAGCTGCTTCAATATAGCGCTTATCGTACGGCTTGGTGCTAAACACGGCGAGCTTCATTGTCAAAACTGTCGTAAATCAGATTGATTGATTTTCAAGATTAGGTTCTTATTTCTTCCAAACGCAATTGAAAAGAGGGAAAAGAGGAGAAGGGCGTTTTATTCAATTGAGGGGGCACCCAATTGGCTTGGCACAGAATGAGGAGGTTATGCACTCATTAAGGTTTCCGCCAATGATTCGTCCATGCTAGCAGCTACGACCTGCAAGCGGACATTCACATGCTTCAACTTAACGCTGGGTGTACCTACTATAGCAAATTGGCAGTTGCTGGGGATCTTCTTATAGAATACTGCAGCCTGTGTAAACATACTCACCTACTGTAATAAAAGCAAGGCGAATTAGCAGACTAGTATAGATAGACAACTTCAAACATCCGGTGACATGTGAAGCTACAAAAGCCATCTTCGCATATTCTCATCTCAAGCTGAAGAGGTCAAAAATAGCCTTCCTATACCCGTCTTTATCTTACAGGCAAGGTCATTTTAGACACATCATACCACATCACAACATTTACAAAGAGCCATTTGCAACATCTTTTTCGTTTTCCATTCCTACTATCAGCATTACATCTCCCCCTTTACCCCTTTCCCTCCTATACGTAACTAGCAAACCGTGCACTTTAGAGTCTTTTTTTCCTCGTGTCCGAGACTACTTCCCCCATAAAGCAATTCCCAGGACAAAAAAAAATCATATGACAAAGGCTTTGAAAAAAGAGAAAAAAAGAGCAGTCATCGAGATCCATTATCCCCTATTGGATCTTTTGACTTCGAGCCTTTGTAACTTCCAAAAGTCATACTAAGCATGATAAAAAAAAAAGAAATATGTGTTTGAAAATGACTACAAAAGTTTCGACACGGAAAGCCAATTTTGTGCTTTTGACAGATGATCCGATCAAATCATTGGACCGTAAATGCTTGAAGCCTCGTCATACTAGGGTCGGCCAAAAGCAGCCCCTCGGCCAGCGGCGCCAGGAGGCATTCCACGGGCCTCAAAGGGCGATCCACCGAATGCTTCGGGGGGTCCTGGAGGTCCATTGAAACCGCCAAGTCCAGGAGGCATGAATCCGTGAGGGGGTCCATTAAAGAAGCCAGGCGGAGGCGGAGGCATGTTACGCGGAGGCATACCAGCCAAGGCCTCTGGAGGTGGTGGCATTCCACCAGGGGGAAAGTTGGGCGGGAACATGTGCGGCATGGGAACGTTGCGGCTCAAACCTCCAGGTAATCCAGGAGGAGGCATCATAGGGCCACGCTGCTGGGGTGGTGGCATCTGACCACCGGTTGCCATCCAGTTTGGTGGCATTTGATCCATGGGAGGAGGAGGTCGTTGCAAAATCTGTGTGGGCTGGCCGAGACGCGGCTCACGTTCGACATTGTGGAAAGATTCGTCGAGAGGGAACCCTGGGGGCGGCTGGGGGCGCATCTGGCGCTGTGGTCCCCGATTCTCTCTTGGTGAAAAGTCTGATTCCAGCATTGGTGCTTGCTGCTTCTGCGGCTGAGGCTGGGACTGGGGCATGCTTAAAGGAGGAACACCGGGTCCCATTCTCATGAGATTCATTAAGAACTCAGTGTTGTTGTTGTTGCGAGCCTGATCAGGGATTCCTGAGCTTTGACTAGAGAGGCGTTGGTGGTGGCCCACAAGATCTTGGAGAAGCTGGTCTGGCCGAGCAGATTGCTGCTGAGGCCGAGGGGCAAGAATTTCTTGCACATGTTGTGGCGGCGGACGAGCCATGCCGTTAGCTCTCTCTCCGCCATATTGTTGGAATGGCTCTGGGGATGCCAAATTACTCTTCTTTCCCATATCAGGGTGATTTCCCATAGGCGGCGGAGCAAAAGGCGAGGGGGCCGGAGGAGTAGCACTCATGCTCTGCTTCTGGAGCTTAAGAAGTAGCTGCTGGAAAGCTTGCTTCTCTTCTTCAGGAGGAGCTGCTTGCATGGGGATGGGGCCAAAGCCAGGGGGATACTGGGTGGCCTGAGGCGGTACACTCGTCGACTGTTCTACCCTACTCCGCTGTTCTTCTTGGGGCTGGTGGAAGAAGGATGTAAATCTCGACGACTTGCCTGCAGCCTTGGGCTTAGCAGGTGCTTCATTTGCTTCACTAGGCGGGGAATTAGGCTCAAGAGAGCTCTGGCGGCCGAAAGCAAGGAAAAACTTGTCAGGGCCACTCTCGATAGCTGACATGGGCTGATGGGGAAGATGAGGCCTCTCGGGCTCTGCAGCCTGTTCAGGAACAGGAGCTGATGCTGGTGGAGCGTCTCCGCCTCCTCTGCCCTTCTTCATCTGCTCCATCCATTTCTGGAAATCTTGCTGTGTGTGTGCTTCACGGAGTGCTTCGGCGGGCTCATCAAACCACTCGGGGTCACGTTCTACACGCTGCTCGCGATCGCGGTTCCAACGCCGGTCGGGTGCTGCCCCTCGTCCGTTTGCACGATCATCTATCGTTTCAGAAGTGTCTCGGTCTCTCCAGCTCTTTGTCCGATCTCGCTCTTTTCGATCAGTCGCCGGAGTGTCTGCCGCCACTAGCTCGGTCTTGTGCCAAGACTCGATTTTGCTTCTGCCAGCGCTAATGCGCGTGCGATTGTCATTCTCGGCATCTTTGTCTCTGGCCAAAGTGTCAGACGTTCTCGTCAAACGATCGCGCGTGGCATCACGGTCGTTCTCCCGCACTGGCTTCTTCTCGTCTCGAAAATTGCCACCCATGCGGCCATGGAAGCGCTCAGCACCCTCAGCTCCAAAACTCTTGCGGGGTTTAACAGTGCTCCACCCCTCGCCATCTAAATCGTTCTCTCCGCGGCGTCGAAGGGCATTAGGTGCGCGCAGACGGTCTGCCAGACGGTCTCCGTCTGCTTCGCTGGTTCGATTGCGCAAGCCAAAACGGCCTACTGGATCGATGTCTTTGGTCGCTTTGTCGCTTTCTAGCGTCTTGCTGCTTCGGCCAGAGGAAGCAAATGCCATCCGAGGAGGGGCAAAGACAATATCCTCGGGGTCTTAATAATTTATATTGTTAGCACCGCAGAAATACTCCCATTCACACATGAGATAGAACCAACTTGTACTATTCCGCGAGGCATGGCCGATGCCAGTGCGGCGATTGTTCTGGTCGAGGAGTGGATTATCAGAAGGCCGAGGCCGATCGTTGGTAGTTTTGTTCTGCACTCGAACTTCAGGAGGCGCCCTATACAAAGTTGAAATCAGTAAATTGTAGGCTTTGAAGAGCATCTTCAGCATAGCTGCACTTACCCCATCCATTCCTCTGCTGGAGGAAGCTTCTCAGGTTTCGTACATAGCGGCGAGTCTCTCAGGAAGAGCAAATGCTCTACGGTGTATCGAACGGCCATATCAAGGCGAGGAATTTGCGACGCTCATCCGGCGAATGTCTCGACTAATCGCTCAACAAAGTGGTGACCCTGTCACAGAAAAAGAGGGCTAGTCGGCCGAGAGCCGCAAAGGGAAGATGAGAGTGTCGAGTATTTGGCTTGTGGTGGGGTGAAGTAGCGCAGCGTATATGTGTCAATCGAGGGGCTGGGCACGGCGTCCAGCTCAGAATGCCGCGCAAGTATATATCTAGCAGTCGAATCGGCCGTAGAAGAGCTATAACGAGTAGAGATTGTAAAGGACGCGTTGCAATTTCGAGGAGGAGGCTGAAGCCGACCGCGGAGCTAGACAGCTGGGGTTGCCACTAAGAGGCAAAATGAAAGGAGAAGGTGGAACAAAGAGAAAAAGGAGGAGAATGGCTGCAAAAGTATGTAACGACGAAGATGATTTAACAAGAGGACAAAACTAGCAAGGACGTGAAAGGGACGGGACGAGGAAAAGGGACAATTCTGAGCGTCGAGGAATGGATTTGTTTGTGCGCGGGGAAGAGTTTGGCGGTCGGGCGGAAACAAGAGGACGCTGCGTCAGGGTGGCTGCGCGCCGAGGGAGCTGGAAAGGGAGGCTGATTGCGGTCTGTGCCAGTGCGGATAGTCGCTGGGATTGCTCGATTGTTTGTGGTTGGCGAAGCGAGGCGGCGAGGAGGGCGAGAAGAGGTCGGCTGTCTGGTTGATTCGGGAAATTGGTGATGATGATGGGAGCAGATTGCGTTTTGGTGGGGACAGCTTTTTAGGAGCGGCAAGAGAGCAAGGACCCAGGGAAATTGCCAGGTGGTAGTGGCGGCTAGCAGCGTCTTCAGTGGCAAGGAGTAGGGCTTCAGCGCCTGGCGGGCGGTAGGCAGACTGGGGCTGCAGGGGAGCTGTCAGGCTGGAAGCCCAAGGACGTAGGCTAAAGGCTGGATGCACGCACTTGGCTGTATTAGCGGAGGTGAATTACAGGATGTCTGATTAAAGAGTACATACTAGCCTTGCTCGTGGAGAGTAAAGTTGTCTAGTCTGGTGACTTTATTCAAGCTTGAATACGCAACAAACAAAGAAACATGAGGTGGCGTTGGCTGCCAAATCCAAAATCCACCTTTTGGGCATCATCAGGTGACTATTGACTACATGGAAAGTCGAATAAGTACAGCACCAGCCTTCATTAGTAGTTCAATCAACGCAGAAAATCAATAGATAGAATTAATTCACTTGAATCAAGCACATACCACTCAATTCACCAATTTACAGAAGGATCATGGTGCATTAAATCGTTGGTTTCATATTCACGTCAAAGTGCTCACATCTTAGGGTAAGCCCAGTACATGTAAGACAATCCATCCTCAGCTCTCACCATTGTCTCTTTCATCCTCCAAAACACTCCATCCAGTCAAATCCCTTTCCAATACACCCCCTTTCCCAATCTCACCAACACAATCCTTCCAAGTAGGAAAAAAAATCAAATTAACCACTTATGAGTAGGCACTTCATGCCCTCGCCGCAGCAACCTCCTCCTCCAGCGGCAAAATATGCGGCAGCGGCCCCAAAGGCGTAATGCTATACGGGTTAATCTGCGTATGGCTCCGTGTATAATGCCACTTGATGTGATCAAACTGCGTCGTCTCCTTAAACGCCGCGTGGTTCCAGTACAAGTTCCGCATCCACTTGTGCAGGCGCGGGTAGCCGCTGCGAATGTCGCGAATGTTGCACTTGAAGTGCTGCACGTACACCGGGTCGAAGCGCGCCAGCGTCACGTACAGCCGGATGTCCGTCTCGGTGAGCGTCTTGCCGAAGAAGTAGGGGCCGTCGGTCTGCGAGGCGAGGTGCTTCTCGGCGCGGTCGAGGGCCTCGAAGACGCCGATGACGCCCTTTTCGTAGGCCTCGCTGGAGGTGGCGAAGCCGGCCTTGTAGACGCCGTTGTTGATGCTGTCGTATGTCCACGCGTTGGCTTCTTCGATCTGGCTCTGCAGGCTCTCTGGGTACAGGGTAATAGCGCGGTATTTCTCCTCAATCAAGTCGTCAAACTGGCAAAGTTGTTAGTCCTTTGTCCATTCACAGGCCTCTCTGGAATATTAGACACTCACCTCTGATCCAAACATGCGGAGGATCTCACTGCTCTCGTTGCTAACAATCTGGTTTGTCTTCTTGTCATACAACACCGGAACAGTAAATCGCCCACTGTAATCCTTGTTCGAAGCAAAGTATACCTGGCGCAGGTGTGTGTAGTCGTGCAGCGGGTCGGGAATGACATTCTCGCCTGGAATATCCTCCGGCTTGTCCTCCTTGGTGGCAAATCGCCATCCTCCCTCTCCCAGATGCCAGTGTACCACTGAGAAGGTGATGAAGTCCTCCAAGCCCTTGAGCTTTCGTGCAATCAGGGTGCGGTGCGCCCATGGACAGGCATAGCTGACATAGAGGTGATACCTGCCCTTCTCAGGGGGAAACTCTGCACCAGACTCTCGAGAGATCCAGTTGCGGAACGAGCTGACTTGTCGCTTGAACTCGCCAGACTTGTCGGCCCAGTCAGTAATTTTGGCGGCCTGACAAAACACTAATTAGTATATATAGTTGTGTGAGCCCTTGGTGAAGACTACTAACCATGTTGCTTTGATTTAAAGACCGCTGTGAAGTGAACAAACGTTTCGTAGAGGTAGAGGGGTTATAAGTCGTAAAATTGCTTCGCGTATTTGTATTTGGATTTCCTCTTTGGGGCAATGCCTGATATGTCAAACTCCTCGTAATATTCAAGATAGTACCACGATTGAATCCGATCTTCAACTGTTGCTGAACTGCTGCTCCCATTTATCGAATTGATATCTGACCCCTCACTCGCCGCAAAGGAGCCCTGACGTCTATATATACAACTTGTTGTGGCTAACTGTTAGCTCTACGAAAATGCAAATAGCCCCTCTAGCGCTTCCAGCTGCTTCACAACCTTCTTCTGACTTAAGCATTGCTAAAGGCGCTGGGCAAACAGTTATGCCCTTTACCAATCCACATGTTGTACGGAAACTATTAGCGCGCCTGTGAAGTGTGACGTAATAGTGCCTTGAAACGCATTAGCGCCTGCATCACTCAGCCATGACTCTCCTTTAGTCATCGCTGAAGTCAATATTACTGGGCGGGATGCGAATATTACTTAATGCAAATAAAGACGTAGAGCGTCGAGATCCATCGAATAGCCTTTTGAGTGCGGCGGTTTGTCCGATGCTTATTCATTTGCCCTCTCGATTGAGCATAGCCAGCATAGAATCAATGGGACTGTAGGATCGCTGAGTATCAATCTACAAAAGTAAATAAAGCAATACACAATGACGGCATGATATGAAAATTCTCGGTGAATACTTCATTTTTGTTTCAAATATCTACTCATTTAGTAATAGCTACTAATGATCCGCGCCATGTCTATTGAAAACTAATCCCACTTATTTGATATTTACCTTGATGTACGGAACCTCCACATCCTCTTCGTCCAGATCCTCGGCTACCATCTCAAAGATCAGCTCCTTCTGATGCGAAGGAACGGGCTTCTTTGAAATGGTCTCCACCAGCTCGCTGAGCTTCAAGCCATAGCGATCCTTCAACTTGGACGGAGGGAAGAAGCTTGCATACAGCAAGCTGACGCCCGAGCTGAGCATGCTAATGCTGAGGCCCTTTGCTTCAAAGTGATCAAGAAGCTCCTTCAACGTGATATTGTCGACCTCAAATCGGTCCCAAATTTTGTCCAGCTTGACCTTGCCGTCGGGTCCCTTGTACTCTACCTTGGGGCTGGCAATGGGCTCACTAAATCCGAAGAATGGCAAAGCCAGGTTGATGAAGCCGTTCTTGAACTGCTCAATGTCATCCTTGCCATCGATGACCTTGTAAAGCTCAAGGACGACGAGGCCTGTGACAAGGGCAGTAGTGGTGGCAATGGCTGGGATAATTTTGCCCGCAATGAACTTGGTCTTGTGTCGATCGGCAGGCTCAATCTTGTAATTCTCTGCTCTTAGGTTGCTGCAAGCAGTGATGAAGTCAATGTGGTGGTTGGTATCATCGTCCTTTTCAAACTCAACAGGCTGCAGCTGGAAGCCAGCCAAAGTGCTAGCCGATGGAAGACTTGCGCTGAGAGAACTAAGCTCATCAGTGTCATCAAAGGTGCTGGCATTGGGATCCTGGAGACAAAGTTAGAATTAGAAAACGGGAAAGTAGATTATAAAAACTTACAGGCTCCTTGTCATCAGCTTGAATCTTGACGTTTGCGTCAGGGGAAAAGTCGGGCACAATGACATTTTCGAGTTCCTTCAGATAGATGGACCTATCAGTGCCAGGAGACTTGATGTTGAAGTTGAATGCATGGAGGTTGGCCGCAGAAACAATGAATCCAAAGTGAGTTGCATTGTTGGGGTCAAATTTGAGCGCATCTGGGGCTCTCTTCGGGCCAGACCAGAATGGGGTGCCGCCGGAGGTGGTAGAGTCCTTGGGGAAGTTGTACAGAAGCTGTTGGACCTTGTTCGCAAACTCCGCCTCAAAGAGCAGACGGGCCCACGCAATACAATCCTCAAAAGTGCGAGGCCGCTCTGTGGTCAGATAGTTGCGGATGGTCTCTAGAGTTTCCTTGTGGTTGCCGCCCTGCTTGAGCGTAGCCTCGATGAAGTTGGGCTGCGTCAGGTACAGGTTGACAGTCTGGGGAGACTTGACAAAGAACTTCTCAAACATGTACTCCTTGGACCAAGCAATCGTGTGCTCAATCTTGTTGGGGAAGCTTCGAATGGTACACATGGGAAACTCTTTCTCGGGAGGATCCTGAGAAGAGGAGTACGACTCTGTCAGGTGGGGCAGGACAACTTGTGTGTTGCCCTTGGTACCCAGAGTTCCGCTCTCAAGCAACGGCTTTCGGAAGAAGACGCATCGTCGGTCGACATAAGTTCTTGCTTCGACATTGTCCAGAGCGTTGGTGACACCATCTAGGCTTCGCCAGAATTCCTCGTTGAAGACGTGCTCAGTCTCGGGACTAACGCGCTCTCGCAGCGTCTCAATGTGGCCTACCAGCTCCGGGTTCATGCGCTGCACAGCCTTGGCAGCGCAGTCGCTCTTCATGCTGCCAACATCGGCGGCTCGGAAAAGGAATTGTCGGTTGAGGTTGCTCTTCTCGATAGAGTCCATGTCGGTCACGTAAATCTTGCCGTTGGGACCTGTTCCCAGGCCAATCATTGCCCAGTTCTTGAGTATTTCACAACCAATGGCACCAGCGCCAACGAGAAATTGCTTGAGGTTGGCAATCTTCTCTTGGTATTCAGTTCCGAAGACGGCGATCTGACCATCATAACGGCTGCCAATTGGCTTGCAAAGCTCTGGGCTTCGCTTGGTAGAGGTTGGAAGGGACTCTAGCGAGTCAAAGTACATCCATTGCTGGATGGGGTTGAACTTGCCAGACACGGCCTTGAGGACCTCCTGAGCAGCAATGCCACCAAACAATGCTGCCATGGGGCTAAGATCACCAAGAGCTTGGAAACTCAGCTCTTTCAAAAGCTTTTCATCAATGTCGATCTCGAGCTTTTCATCGGCGGCAAATGTTTTGGCAGCCTCGAGGACTACAATGGCATCCTTCTCATCCATGGGGTTGGGCAGTCGTCCATTGGCGACCTGGAAGGCATGAAGAGCCTGGAATCCCAGATGAAGCTGCTGAGGGCGATCGAATTTGGCATAGTCAGAAATGAGGAAATCAGGCTCCTTGAGAGCAGCTGTGAAGCTCTTGAAATCGACCACCTTGGGCATCTTGACCTGCTGGTAGATGCCTCCACGCAGATACTGTCCGAGGCCTGAGACATCGCCAATAGAGAAAGTATACGGCCCCTTAACTGTAACTTTGCGTGGCTCGCAGCCGTTCAGCTTCTCCATGCCCTCAACTTCGGAAAATGTGACAAAGTCGCCATCTTCAAGGCCATGTCGTGTTTCGTCGAGTGCCGACACCAAACCCTCCTCATCAATACCAGCAATAATGCCGCTCACAGGAGCCTCGCCGGTCGGATCGATGATGGTAAACTTATCGCCAAAATCGCAGAAGATGGAGCCAAACAGGCCAAATGTGTCGACAACTACAACGAAGATTCCCTTGGAGTGGCAGTAATCACCCACAGTCTTTTGTATGGAGATTGGTGAATTGGTCAGCACCACGACCTGGTACTTGTCGAACTGTGAAAGGTTATCCTCGATTCTGTGATGGAAAATTAGTTAGCTTAGATAACCAAAATTATGAAATTTTATAATAATTGATCATACCCAGGAGATTGGTGGACCTTGACGGGAGTATAGGCGTTCAGTTCAGCGACACGCGGGGCTGTGACCTCGTCCCTGGGCTTGCCAACATCCGCTGGGGTCAAAAAGAACTGAGCCGAGAGATCCGCAATCTTGACTGGAGCAGGGTCGTAGACGGTCAAGCTCTTGACACCGGCCAGGGCAATATTCTTCGCAATCTCTACACCAAGACCCTTGAGACCAACAACGAGGACGTTGGAGGCGCCCATGCGGCGCATGGCCTCGTGTCCCAGGACATAGAGCTGTCGGCTGTAGAGAGATTCGTCGATGTCTGTGGTTCCAATAACAGACTCGTCGACTTGCATTCTGGTCGCAAGATCGACCTCGGGAAGCTTGGAGGCCTTTTGAAACGGAAGTCTGGTCAGCTTGCTTCTCTTGCCAAATCACGTCATGTTATGTCACTTGTCGCCGAGAACAAAGAGGCAGCCAGCGCGACGTAGAAGGTTTGTAGAGAGCAAAACTCACAGCCATGGTCCTCTTGTGATCTGGTCGAGACTCCCCTTCGGAGAGTCTTCGCTTCGCCAGCGCTCCGGAGCTGGCCTGTGACGAAATCTTGGATATGGTAATCCAGCACCTAGGTCGAGCGAGACCCCACCTAGATGCTGCAGACGAGGTAGAGGGAGCCTGAGGGGAGGGTTTATGCGAGGCTGGCTGAGATATGCCAGAGAGAGTCTGTTCCCGAAGAAATGCAAGATGATGCTCGCAAGAGGAGGAGGTCGTGACAGCAAGTGCTTGGTTTGTAATGGAGATGCGAGAATCACGGCCGTCTGCTTGGCAAGGCGTTGGTTGATTCCAGCAAGGCTCCAGTTCTTTTGATGAGGTAATGTGGCCAATCGTTGTCACGGCACCAGTGCGAGCAACATTCAAGGTACAACGAGCATGTACCGAGAAGAGGGGCAGGCGGGGCAACAGGAGCGGGGCACTGCCTGCTAAAAAATTATTGACGGCGATTGGCCCAGGCAGAGAAGCGCCGTTGGGCGCTGTGAAGCTGTTGGAAGCAGCTCGAATGACAGCCGGCAGGTACCCGGTGGAAGCTCTCGGACCGCCATGGAAGCTCCCACCAACGCCAGTTTTGGCGGCTGCGCGTCTGGTCTCGATACATGTCATGAATATTGTATAATTTTAGGCATAACCGTCAAGTCAAATAATTGACTGTTTCTCCCCGACAGGTCCTTTTACGGCATAGAATACATGTAGCTGTGTCTACAACCGCGCAAATGCTTCGGGACGCAAGCTACATGTGCTGATAGCTGGTACGCATAGCGCATTTCTGTATTGACACTACCTAGATATCCAAAAGTCCTCTACATAGGTAGGCAAGTACTACTAGAAACCAGATATGTAGGCAAGATCTTGCTCGGATGAATGACAGTATAGATAACGGGCGTTACTTCGACGATGCTTTTTCTAACCAGCTATCATCAATTCAAAGTAACGTTATCAAACCAATTCGCGGGCCATGGTTTTCTTTGGTCCGCCGGCGCCGGGATGAAATTCAATAGCTCAACGTCACTATCGTAACTGTTAGTCGCTATGCTCGATATTAACACCAATCTGCCTTGGCTGGAACTTACAAGATGAGGTCTGATCTGGCAGGAATGATAGGTGGATAACCCCTGGCACCGTATGCCCAGTCGCTATGACCAACCTCTGTTAGTATGGTACTCGAAGATGTAGATTTCAATGTTACCGAACCATACCTTGTAATTTCAAGCCTTGCCTTCCCACCAACCTTCATGGTGGGAACACCATGATCCCATCCTATGAGGCAGAAAATGTGAGTAAAGCCGTCGTTTACACAAAGTAAAATTGGACACTATACCTCCAATGACGCTTCCTACTCCAATTGCGGTCTCGAAAGTTCCTCGCCCAATAGAAGAGTCAAATCTAGGATAAAGTATGAGTAATGTAGCCGATACCGCAGTTTAGTTGTGTTGTTTACTGTTTCCCCTTATTCTCCGGCTGAGAGGTGTCCTTCAGCCAGCCGGTGTAGTGCATGACGATCTTGTCTCCCTTCAGAGGACTCTCGCCAGAGCCTTGTTGCAAAGTAGTAACTGTGACACTCATTGTAGCTGGTAATTAAGCGATGGCAATTGTTTCGACAAGAATAAACAAGTCAAGATGCTATCCGTGCAAGCGAAGTTTTTATAGCTTCAAACAGGACGGCTCAACCCCTCCATTATCTTGTCGGCGGGGTAATAATACAGCGTCTCTTCCGAGCTGATCCACGATGACGACTTTGCCGTAAGGATAGGAGGGTGGCAACGCCACGTTGCTATCCCTAAACTGTTCTAAGGGGCACTCTAACATCCTCAAAGTCCACATTGGACTGCTGCTTACGAGCTCGCCCCGCTAAAGCCTGCAATGTGCTTGGCGGTAAAGCTTCCACACGCGCTGCAGCCTCGGGCGGCGGTGTCAAGTATGTGGCTAGCTCAAGGCACATTCGTGGCGTCCAAAAGGTTCAGCGCGACAGTATCCGTAGGTGAAGGAATTTTGGAGGCATCAATGCCAATCAAGAGCAGCCGCCCGAGGCGAGTCCCGAGAGCAACCAGGGATGCCGCGACATCAATATCCGATGCCGATATTTTGAATGTGGGCGGCAGCCAGAGCAAATTGCGAGAATCCCATGTAATCCACTCGCCGTCGTTGCTCAAGCCAAGCCCTATGGCTTTTGCCTCCTGAAGGGTAGGCGGGTCGACTGTAAGTGTGCCCACATTGGTAGTAATAAGCAGACTAGATCCGGCAGAGTCGAATTCCATATGGTTGGCAAGCCCACACATCTCTAGTTGAGCAATGCTGTGTCCCGTTGAGGCACAAAGAAACTCAACCTTGACTTTATCTGTTGTATAGAGGGCGATGAGGTATCGGGTGTCGGGAGAAAACAGAATTTGGCTTATTCCTGAAGTATGGGAAGCTAATTCATGCTTGGCAATGGACGCACATGTGTCTGTTTCCCAAATTATGACTTCCCCAACGCCGTAAGAAGCCAATGTCGTACCATCTGCTGACATTGTGATAAGATTTACCAGCCTCTCATGCGCCTCGCTCATTTTCCTCCACTTTCCAGTTGGTAAATGATATAACCGAACAGCTCCATCCTCATAGCCAAGCATAAGATAATTGCCATCAGGTGAAAACGTGAGATATGACAAAGCGTCTGTTTCAGTGCCGAAGGAACCAAGGAGTTTTTTCGATGCAATATCCCAATACATCACCGTACCTTCTCTGGACGCGAACGAAACTGCCGTATCGTTTTGTGAATTTGAGACGGATATGGTGGGACCGTGCTTCCTTTCATATAACAGCTCGTAGCCACCGGTGTCTGTGTCCCAAAGCTTAGGTCCCAAATCTTCACTTGTAGAAACAAAATTAGAGCCGTCTTGGGAAAATTGAATTGACCTTGGCCAGCCATATAGATCACTATATTCAATAATGTGATCATAAGGAGCCGAAAGAATATCGTGAGGTACCACCAAAGGCACCTTGGCCAAAAGTATGTGCCTTTCACCCGTCGTGATACACTCGCCAGTGGCAGTATCCCAGAGCTTGATGGTGCGCTCCCCAGCGGTAGTTACGGCCCTTTTCTTGTCTGGAGAAAGAACAACTTCGAGGACTGCGCTTCCGTGACTTTCTATTTTTTGTGGCTGTATTTCTGAGTTAGTATCCCAGACTTTTGAGTTACCCTGGTGATCCAACGATATAAGTAAAGTTCCGTCCGAAGAGTAAGCAATGTTGTATAATGGCTCGCTGTGGCCGATGTATGTGGCTATGCAAGACCCATTTTGTGCGTCCCATACTCTTATACTTTTATCGAACGAAGCTGATGCAATTCTCTTTTCGTCGCTTGATAGAATAATGTCGGATATATGGGCCCTATGGCCTTCCAGTACAATCTCGCAAATGGCTGTCATTGTATTCCAGATTCCAATAGTCCGACGTCCCGACCCAGCCATGCTCTGCAAAGGGCAAATTAATCGTTGGCCGCCAGACAAGAAGATCAAGGGTATGCGACTGCTCCCATCCACGCCTTCAGCATCCAAGCTAATACCAGTCGATATATCTGTAAACCTGATAGTGTCGCGTGCTTCAATGGATACCAATTTTTGGCTTTCATAAGAAAGAAAAGCTCTGCTGGCGCGGTGACAGTGGTTGTCGTACGTTAGCTTACGACCAGTGGCTTTTGAACCGAGAAATTGCAAAGTTTTGTTCGAGATTATTATAAATAATGCCCCATCCGGTGAAAATCCAATCATTTTGTCGTCACGATTGAATTGATAAGTTGCGGTACACCTGCCGGTTATCTTGTTCCATATTTTTAGGCTTCCATCACTGGACGATGAAGCAAGCTGTTGACCATCTGGAGAAAACATGGCGAATGTAATTGTGTCTGTATGGCCTCTGAACTCAGCGACACAGCTTCTTGTAGCCGTACTCATAATCTGAAGAGTTTTGCGCCAAGTAAGATAGAAGAGATCGTTGCCATCAGGTGAGAAACGAACAGATTCGGATAGTACTCCATTGTACACTGCGATGCAAGAAATCGTTCTCATATCCCAAATTTCCATCGTCCCTCCAATCAGAAAGAGAAATTTATCACTGGTAGGAAAAGATAGAATTTTGGCTCCTTGTGTAAATTGTGTCTTGAATGTTGCCAGACAAGGGTCCCAGTTCTTTTGCATTATAGGCCGAGTAGTCACCCATAACGGAATGCTTGTGTCGAACAGCTCTCGAACGATGCTCTGTTCTGGAGCAAATATGAGTGCAGAAGAATATATTTGCAGCGGCACTTTATTCATTGTGTCTAGATTCGCGAAGACAAAGCGCCGTGCATCTCGCAAAAGGTTTCCAACCGCTTGAGCGTCTGTTGTCTATTGTTAAATTAGCTGTCAGTTATACAGATCAAAGTATTATAATCCAGCGGACATGGATGTAGTGGATGTAGTTAGCAACTTGATTATCACGTACGTCAAGTTTACTCAGTAAAACATCCAGTATATGAATACTCTCGGCGCTTTGCTTCAGAATACTAAGCGCCTCAAGCCAATTGAGTAAGTACTTTGCCAAGAATTTGTGCGTTTCGTCATTATCACATATTCTGCGATTGCTAAATTTGCGATGATAGGCCCAATGTATGCAAGCATATCGAATTTCGGCGGGCAAACATTCGTCAATGACCGCTTGGCTTATATCTGAATGGAGTGTTTCTGGAGATTGAAGACAACAGACGTCTTCCTTGAGATTATGAGATAGCAGCTCAAGACACTGCGAGAATAACTTTGAGTGAGATGCTTGTTCATCTACCCAGAAGTCATTTTTGGAGTGTGTTTCTTCAGCGTCAACCAAGAAATCCCGAAAAGAGAGATGCAGCAGTCTCACAGGAGTATCTAAATCCGTAGGGACGCTAAGAACTGAATGCAAAAGATCGAGCTGATCTTCAATAACATCTGTTGAAATCCCAAGGAGATTAGAAAGGCTTCTAATGGATAGAGGCCGAGCCAAATTGATGATGGAGCCGATTAAATATCGGAATCTTTGCAGGACTTCTTGTCTTTTGCTAGGCAAAAGACCAGCAGTCAGGCGATCCAAGACTGGAAGATACGTCATATCCATGCCCGATATCTTTATTGTTTGATACTCGAGAAGTCTGTTGAGTTGATGGTGAGGGCTTCCTAATCTTCGGTCGCTCAGGAAACGGCAGATTGTTGCTGCGGCGATGAACAGAGGAATAGCTGTAGTAATGAGCTTTTGCAGTGAATCTGTTCCAGGCCAGTCGGATGCTATTTTGCGATGCTCGGAAACGGACATGTTATAATCTGCCTTGATTGTCTGAAGTTTATTTCGCATAAACAGCTCAATATCGAGTGCGATAGTAGTGGCAGGAACTGCCGCGAGAAGCAAATTATCATATTTTCCACCAATTTTCTCGAACCCAAGCCGGATTGGCAGCTCTGGCCTACTTGTGAGAAAAAATTTGACCCGAGGACTGATCGTATCCTGTGCCTTTGAGAAGACGCCGATCAATGCTCTCATATCATCCTCTGAGCCACATTCATCCAGAGCGTCAATAACAATAAGCAAGTTTGGCCCCCAGCATCGCGGATTCTTGCTTAGTGGGTCTACAATCAACTTTTGGAATTGGTCATTCAGAGGTTTTTCATGAATAAAAGGTTCAAGAACCAAAACTTCGCGGACATGAGGAGCGAGGCACGGCAGTCGGCGGACAAGCTGGGCGGCTATTGTGGTGAAGAGAAATGTTGCCCTCCCACGATTTCCTTCACCTCTTTTGAAGAAGAAGCTCGCTCCAAAAACATCATTATTGCCTGATAGCTGGGCCACTGTTCGAGAAATAGTCGATTTGCCAGTGCCCGCCATACCGTTCAACCAGAAGATAGACTGGCCATTCTGCTCGGTGCTCCAATGTCGGATCTGTGCGATGACTTCAGTCCGCGTGCCTGGAAGGCAGTACGACTGCTCTCCATCTACGCTGGAGTCGAAGGTAGCGGCTTCTGCGACTCTGAGTTTCGATAGAACAAATTCTTGATGCACGTCGACGAGGATTGATCTATAACATATTTGTCAGAAAGATGCTACTCGCTCGGAGAGGGGGATAAACAAACGTTTGCTCAATGCTCATATTTAGCACAATATTGGCCTTTTGCCTATCAATGGTAGCTAAAATATCGTGAATTTCTCGTTTCTTAAACGGCCACATAGCCCTAGTAGAAGTATTCTTCGCTCCTAGATCTAGTTTCGCTACTAGCTCTGCTAGCAGCTTGCGGAGGTCGAAAACGGTTTGCCGTAAGACGGGCGATTCTATCTTGGTGGCCCCTTTCGATCCATTGAGTAAGATTTCGAGCTCTTTGATAACAACTGTTAGCCGATCGACCTCCCTCAAGAGCAGCCGCACTTCTTTGGGGGCGTTTTTAACGTCGAAGCAGTATATTGAGCACATGACGCCGATTTTGACAAGGAGGTCAACGACCTGTGAGATGTTGGATAAAAGGCCCAACACGTCCATGATAACGCCATATATGCGCGAAAAGGGCAAATGGGTATAAAAAAATACAGCGGGATAGATTGCAGCCAGGCAAGAAATGAGCGCTAGGAAAGAAATCGCATCCAAGACAGGAACTGTAGCTAACAAAGAGATCGCATCTAGCAAAGAGATCGCATCTAGGGAAGAAATCACAGCTAGGGTGGAACGGGAGCTACCAAGAAACATAGAGAACCAGACGAAAGGAAGAAAAAAGAAGGCTGGAAGACATGAGAGAAACCTGTCATACATACCTGTCCGAAAAGAGAATCTTGTGGAACACGAGGCCGGGAACAGCAGGCGATGCACATGCAGATGCGGATGAGGAGGCAAGAGAGGCAGCGGTTATGAAACCAGGTGTGGGCGGGGTTTATGTGATAATGGCCTGTTCGGACGAGGGTTTGGATGAATCACGTATTATTTATCGATTTACCGAGAACATACAACCAACACATTGTTGCAGATACCCACGGCGGAGTCGGCCTTTTTTCGTTGTTGGTTGTTAGTTGATTGAATACTGTGCGTATTCACTCACCTATCACGGAATGCGCTACTAAGCGCCCACTCGAAGCGCCGAGCCGCGCAGGGGCCGTGATGGAATTTGCAAAAGGCTGTAGGATGAGAAAAGTGGGCTGTAATTGGGATGATGGAAATCATTCCCAAGAGCAGGCAGATGGTATTGCCAAATACAGGACTGATATGCGTTGTTTCCTAGTACTGCCGACTCTCTGATGGGAGTGCGCTGCAAAGAGAGAGCTGGAACCCTGAGGGACGCCAACTGAGAGAAAGAATTATATTTAGTAGGACCACGATAAAACCATGTATACAAATAGAATTACTTACAAATATGGCTCTTTTCTTATTTTCTAGTTGAAAATGTACAATTCTGGCTCGGGGTGCTGGATTCATAAAGTTGCCCGCATGTAAACAAACATTGAAGCGTCACAGTAGCAACCAGCGCACAGGAGGAAAGAGAAAAAGGCAATAGAAGAAAGCTACACAGGAGCCTTTTTGAAAGAGGATTTCAGGATTTCAGGATAGAATTTATAGTTTTGTACCAGATAAGGATACCCTACTGCAATTGAGTATATATCCAAGTAAACAATTCTTGCAGTTCTTCAACTCCTACACCCCAGACAACCTCCTAAAGCGCCACAGATCTCAACAACCCTTACAATTTCGACCAATTGTTTCTGGATACCATAGCTACACTTTTCTTTCTGGAATCTTCTATTATTAGCTATACCTTTGCTTGGCGGTGCACTGTGGTTGCATATACAGCTGCCAGGACCGAGTGCCAACTGGCCACAGGCCAGCGAAGATTGCACCGACCCTCATCGTTGCCAGCTGGTTACCCAGCTACCATTTGTTTATAATGCCAATTTCTGCCCGGCCAGTAAACATTGTTTTGTTTTCTTTTCCTCAACTACGCGAACCTGAGCGCGTTGTTTGGTTACGTTACAGTCAACACCAGCTTCCAGCCCTTTGGGCATCACAACACTTCAGCTACACCTTAGTAAGTACCTACAGGTGATATAAAATAATAGCTTCATGTACTAACCTGCATATAGTTTCAAAACAGTGCTTTCCATCAATCTTTCACCATGGTGTTCGGAGCACTTCGCCGAAGCCGCAGCTTGGAGTCCCTGCGCAAGGATCTCTTCCACACCATCACCAACACCACTGAAGGAGTCTACTTCCTGTCTGGCGCTTCCATCTTGCAAGACAAAGCCTCGGATAAAGAACTCCTCGCTGTGCTGTGCCCACAGGAGGGGTTCAAGGCAACGGACGCTGGTATTGCGCACCTGAGCAAGCTATTCGTTCAGTGCAACAAGTGGATTCCCGTCATCGAAGAGCGAGACTTTGACATGTATTGGGCGGTGGTCGCTACTACCACCTCTCAAAGTCAAAACATTGATCTGTCGCCTGGTATGGCCAGAGCTGTGGCTTTTGCCCTTTTGCGAGCCAGACAGCGCTGGATTCTCCGCCAAAGAGACCCAGAAGTGACCAAGAGCAATGTCAAGACTCATTTCTCCGCCGGCCTACAGCGCCTCCTGGAGCACTTTGAGGAGCGAGACAAGAATCCCGCAATCGACGTTTCCCTCAAAGACAACGAATGGAAGCTGACTGAAAGAGAGAAGAGAGTTATCACCAAGGCTCACCTGATGGGTCCTGGCAAGCGCATTTCTCGAGGCAGAATTGCTCTATCATTCGCCGCTCCGCAGGGATTGTATCCCATTGGACAGCTTGCCAGTATTCCGCAGCCAGAGACCAACCGCCTCGGCATGATCGACAGCTCTGTCGAGAAGATCACGCCTGCCGAAGCTGTTCAGTCTTTGATCTCGCATCGTCTTGCAGAAGTGCGTCGCGCTCAGAAACGCGCCACTGCGGAGGACAATGCCAGAAACAAGGTGCCCCGAAACGCCGCTGAAGAAGATGACGCTCGCAGCGCTACTACGCGTCGCGTCTTCCCAACTGCCTTGAAGACCAAGTTTAAACCTAGCTAGATGCGAAGTCCAAGCTTTGGAAAAGATTCAGGCAAACAGAGCGTCGAGTCTACTCCTACCAAGTCTACTCCTTTCAAGTCCACTGCTTTCAAGTCTACTCCCATCAAGTCCACTCCTAAGCGGGCTCAAACGGTTGGCACTCCAACCAAAATCAACGCCAACACTTCATCCATGAAGAGACGCTTTTTGAGCGAGGAGGCCACTACCGCCACCAAGAAGCAAGTGATTGCCAAAGGAAAGGCGAGGTCGGTCTCCATGCCATTTGTCCGCTCGCCGTCTGTCTCACCAGACAAGCGTGCAGAGATGTCCCGCTCGCCCTCTTTGTAGGGTGGTAAAGGACACAATTCAGAATGTTTGTTGTAGGAAGCTTGGAATTGGGATCGAATATTGGCTGCCACATTGAATTTCAAGATTTTGCTAGGACAACAGAATTGTTGATTATTTGCCGTTATGAAAAGGCCGGATTACTATGTCACACGGGTTGGATGGGATGGGCTGACATTATGCTGATCTGGCTTTACAGATGGATTGATTCGTGGATATGTGTATAAGCAACTATGTATGGTACAAAGAGTTTTATGAATTCAATAACAAGTTTTGCGGATTTGAGGACATGGAGTGAATTACAGCTGTCGCGATGTGAAGATGTGTGTACGTAAGAAAGCAAGAAGATGTTTCCATGTACCTTGGAGATGTAATTTATTCGCCAGGTTTATTTGATTTTCCTGCGAGTAACCGGAATATTTACTTTTGTGTATGGAAAGCAGGCAATAGGGATTCACATGAGTAGAGCTTGCTGGAAGTTCTCCTTTGTAAGTATTACTTCTCCGGATCCTAGGCGATCGAGAGTAACTGAAGTTCTTGCAAGCTAAAGTCAATAGCGCTCTTGAGAATAAATTCTTTATTTTGGTTGTGGCTACGTCGGGTATTGTTTTCACTGTGGTATTTGATCCAGTTATTCTCGTTGAATTCATCTTGGCGCAGTGGCAGTGCACTTGGCAATCCTCGCAGTGGTTGGTCCCACGATGCAGCTTGCCGGTGTTTTGGTCCAGACTCCAGTATCCACGGACAGATTCCGAAGCCATGCTGTCGAATGAACTTGTATGCACTGCATATTCTGCAACACCATCTCATATATAATTCACAAATAACTCGAGGGTTGATCCAAGCCTCCTAGTCTCGGGTATCGCCGCTGCATCTCATTTGCTCAGCCCCCGTGGCCCTGTGTGCCAAGAATGATGGACGCCCTGCAGCGGCCTGCCTTGGCGCAGCGTTAGCGGCCTGGAGCTCCCCATGTGCCCTGAAAAGGGATCCGCTGCATTTTGAAGGGACAGCGGGAATGACATCAGCTGTGGGAATAGACGGACTTGTGATGCCAGCAGAGGAGCATATGGCGCAGAGAAAACGCTGCAGCACTAACAGGCAAATCACCAAATAAAACCAGCTAGAGGGCAGAAATCGAAACAAAACCGCTGCCGCGTCTCGGGTAACCGGCAAGGCAACTGACGTAGGTGGGACGTCTCCGACGATGATCCTGCGAGGAATGCGATGGAGGGGCGCAGATGCGGGTTTTGGTTCTAGATCCCCTGCAGCGGTTCGCATGTGGCTTTGCTTTTTTTTTCTTTTTCTGTTTTATTAGATGCTCGGTACAGCCTCTTTTTGGTCTTAATTTTGGAAACTGATAACGGCTGCTGCTGGAATGCTGCGCGTTGGTTCCTGATAGGTATGTGCTTACTGACTGTTGGTCATCGTCTATTGGAGGCCTTTTTACTCTTTTCCCTCCTAGCAACGGACCTGACTGATCGGCTCTAGTTTCGCAGCTATATACAAGAGCTCAGCTCAGCTCAGCTCAGATACAAAAATCGCCAGCGACCCCTCACAACGTCATCTCTCCGGCTCTCTGCGAGGCTGAGTCGCGGGCAATCAAAAGTCTTGGCAGCCTTGTTGATCAACAATACTTTCCGCTTCTGTAACCATTCTCATATAACTATAGTCGCTTATTATTATTTTCTATTTTGAAAATATTTCACGTCTTTTTCACACGATGCCGGGAGACATCACGACGCATCACGACGACACCTCGTCCTCCGGGTCCAGCGACCACGATGAAGAGCACAAAGGCCCTCCCGGCGGCTACGACAAGACGCCCCTCCCAGACGCCCCTCAGGGATACACCGTCCGCTTCATCTTCCATTCGGCGTCGAATGTCCCCGTTGCGGATCTACACACGGCATCGTCAGATCCCTTCCTGGTAGCCACGCTCAAGGGCACGCAGCCAAAGCGCCACAAGGAGGACCCCGATCTCAAGTACAGGACGAGGACCATCCACCGAACCACCACGCCAGTATGGGACGAGGAATGGGTCGTGGCCAATGTGCCCCCCGGCGGCTTCACCCTCAAGTGCAGAATGTACGACGAAGACGTCGCAGACAAGGACGACAGGCTGGGCAACGTGACGGTCAATGTCGGCTCCATCTCTGAGGACTGGCCGGGCATTCCTCCGCCGGGACAGGAGTTTGAGGCCAAGAAGCGGGTCATGAGCAAGCGGGCGTTTATACTCAAGGGCATCGCCAGCGCCATCAGCCACGGGACTCACATCGCTCCTCGTCTGCGCATCAGCATGGAGGTGCTGGGCAAGTCGGACCCTCCCTTTGCGCAGATGTACACCTTGGCCCCGACGCGATGGATCAAGCACAACAGTCCCATGATTGGGCGCCTCATCGGACAAAAGGTGAATGCGAATGAGTCTGATGACGAGAAACACCACCAGAGCGATAGCAACGATCCCAAGTCGACGAAATACGAGTAAGCCACACTGATTTGAAAATACGCCTTTATGCATCCACTGACAATCATCGTGATTTAGCTTCCAGGCAAACGAGATACAGCTACAGGGTCCTGTGCCACCCACGCTCTACCACCGCTACGTGGAGTTTCGTCCCGTCATCGGCTCGCTCTTCTCATCGACCGGGCTCAGGGGGAAAATCCTCAACAAGGCTCTGCACAAGCAGCACCACCGCATCTACAACTACGACAGCAGCACCGAATACGGCACTTACAAGCCTTGCTCCAAGGAAGCCTCGCTCCAGTTCCTCCGCATGGTGCATTTCGACGAAGGCGGCCGCATCTTCACGTACGTGCTCACTCTGGACGGCCTCATGCGCTTCACCGAGACGGGTAAAGAATTCGGCATCGACTTTTTGAGCAAGCACACCATGCACGCGGATGCTGAGAGGTACATTGCCTACTCGGGAGAATTCTTCATTCGCAGACTGCAGCACCCGGATGCCAGTGACAGCGCGGAGCCGAATGAGAAGACGCACCCGGGTGACTCTATCCCCGGCGGTCCGCCAAACCAGCCTCCCCCTCCAAATCCTGCCTTTTACCAGCTCTTCATTGACAACGAGTCGGGAACATACCGTCCTGAAAAGTCCGTCTTGCCAGATCTTAAAGAGTTTCTGGAGAGGAACTTTCCTGACATGGGCATTGTCACCATGAGCGTCGAAGACGAGAAGCTGCAGAAGCTCAAGGACGAGCAGCGAGCCATCAAGAAGAGCGAGGGCCGCATGATGCACGTCGTAATGAATAGCAGTACCGACAGCCTCAGCTCTGTAGAGAGCGAGCTCAACGACGAAAACTACAGTCTGGAGACGGGAAGGAAGAGCAAGAAGGAGGCGGCTCATGCGGTCTTGAGGAATCCCAACTCTGAGCATTTCAAAGAGGCTGCAGACATAATGCTGCCACATCGCGAGAAGAAGGTGGACTGAGAAGCAGGAGTGAAAAGAAGACAAGGGGGAGTGATGGAAACAAGAGAGGGAACTTGAAAAAAAGAGTTTATTAAAGGAGGACTGTTGAGAATCTCTATGACTGTATGGATATGATATGATATGATACCACCGCTCTTTCCTTTCGATTATCAGTAGTACCACCCGTTGCCGTTAATATAATCTTTGAACCTTGTAATTGTAAATATCCCTGATAAATCCATGGTGCATGCGTGCTCTGGCGATGACTTATATCTTGGGCCTCACTGACACCCACGTGCTCGAGCACTTTGCAATCTCGATGCCTCTTCCATCCCGAATCTCGCACTTGATATTCGTCCTTCTCCCCTCCACGCTGTCCACCCATGCATTAACCAATACCGTCTCGTTGATTGGGCCCGGCTTCAAGAACTTGATCTCAAGACCGGCCGTTACATTTGCCGCGCCAAACGTGGTCCCCCTTTTGCCCAGAGCATTGTTGATGTCGTGCAGGACTCCCATGGACTCATCCGCCATGGTCATAATCATGCCCCCGTGTAACACGCCCTCGTATCCGCACAAGCCCTCGCCCAGGGCAAACAGGGTGCTCACGTGCATGATGGGACGCGAGGGGTCCTGAATATGCGTTTCATCTTCTGTGTGGAAGAAGGAAAGCACCTGCTGCACTCCGCGCGGCGTGGCCAGCGTGGCGCCGAGGAGCTGGTCGTGAGATGGGCTGAGGGGATTGAAGCATTGAGGAACGAATGGGACGGTGTTTGGCGTCTGAATCAGGCATGCACACCACGGGATTGAGAGGAAATGGGCGACTGCTGAGGTGTAGAGCGTTGGAGAGGTGTTTGGCGGGTTGAAGCCGAGAGGGGGGCTGAGGACGCGGTTGCGCAGCGTGATTGCCAGGGGAGAGGCTGTGGCGGATTCGTTTTGCTGCGTCATTGTGGGATCCTGAGAGTGAGGATGGAATTGAGGATGAGATTGAGGATGATGGCTGGACAAAGATCGCGACATTGGGATGAATCAGCCGGTGTTGGGCGTAGATGCGACGGTGTGGATTTGCATGTGGTGTTTTGATTGAGCATCAATCTCCCAGTTGAGTTGAGATTGCCGAGGTCGTCCACTTTTACCCGCTGGGCTGCTGGAGGCTGGACCTGGAGCTGAGGCGCTCTGAGTGCACCTAAATTGAAATAAAGTGCGGCTGCAGCCACTTTGTTGCCACCAACACTCGTGCCTTGAATCGCTCTCACAGCCCAAGACTTCTCTCCAAATGATGACCGGGATACTATCAGCAAAAAAGGAGCTCCTGCGAGCAAAAGATGGGGCTTCACCGGGATTCGAACCCGGGGCCTCCTGCAAAGGCGATTCTGAAGAATCGGGGACTTCAGGTTATTTTCCCGAAGCAGGAATCATACCACTAGACCATGAAGCCAGTTGTAGACTTGAACCCATCACTGGCGAAGAGGCCATTGGTAGGATGCTTATATAGGAGGGCTGGGTGAAGGCGACATTTGCTCTGATGCAAGTATGGATGGAATACATGAGCAGATGAGAATGAGGAATAAATGCGGAGATGAGCTTGATGTATCTGTTTCAACGACACTGAGGTGCTCTCATCCTAGGGCGCTGAATAGCGTCTTGGTCTTGCTGATGGAGAGTGAAGAGCTGGCAGAAAAAGAAATGCACACAGTCACAGGATAGCCATGCGCCAGCTTCGAGAGTGATTTCGAGGCATCGGAGCAAAGGCATCGGAGCAAAGGCATCAGAGCAAATAATCAAATGGTGAATCTCCAATATTCAAAACTCTAGATCAGTCATGGCGAATTACAGAAGACACAAAAGCGGAACAAGGTTTGAGTTGTTGCTCACATGACGCTCAGCTTTGGCAGCTGTCACGACAAGAGCTCCTTCCCTCGCTGTACAGATGGCACTTCTTGCCCCAGCTGTATTGCACCAGTTCCTCAGGCTACTCTCTTCCCCTATAAAGCACTCGACCCCGTCGTCTGCTCTCCAAATTTTCTTCGACTTCACCATTGTAGCCTTTCAGCTTAGGGTTACAACATACGCACTTTATTCTCATTACCCCCTTATCTATGCTCGAATATCGTTGATATCATACAAGATGCATCCTCCTCCCCACGATACCAGCGGATCGGAGCTGAGCGCTACGCAGATCGAGATCCTCATCACCATCGAGCGAACTGGCGCAGGCCTCTCGATGGTAGCAATCACGCTGACTCTGCTCTCCTTCTTGCTGTTCAAGAGATTGCGAACTACTCCCAACCTCTTCATCGTCTTGGCATCCATTGCCAACGCTGGCGCGAGCATCGCATCGATGATTGGATATGATGGCTTGGATAAAGGAGAGGAGTCGACTCTCTGCCAGGGACAAGGCTTCATCTTCGAGTGGTGCGTTGTAACTCTTGCTATCCTGACGTATAGGAGCCGGATGATTAACGAACTTTGCCGCATATAGGTTCATGCAATCTGATCCATGGTGGTCTTTCGCCATGGCTTTCAACGTCTTCCTCGTCTTCTTCAACAATGCTAACCCGGCCGTCTTTCGAAAGCGCATCTGGATCTACTGTATCATCTGTTTTGGCGGCCCCCTGATCCCTGCCGTAGTCTTGGTCTCTATCCACGACGATACAAAGGGCCCTGTCTTTGGGAATGCAGCGGTATGACAATCGGATCCAACCGATGCCATCCATGTAGATGCTAATGTTTCGCTAGCTTTGGTGTTGGATTGATTCTAACTGGAGCCTGGTCCGCCTCTATGCATACTATATCCCCATCTGGATCTGCATCTTCGGATCCATCTTGATCTACGTCGCTGTGGGATATCAGGTATTTCACCACCGCAACCGCTTGCGAAAGCTTACAAGGCCGATTACAAGAATAAGAAAAATGAGCAATATGCGTGCAGCTAGTGATGCCGGAGACTCTGCCGAAGAAGTACACACCTTCACTCTCCACCATCTTTGTGCTTCGACATGCTGATCCCTTCTCTAGAGCCTCACGCGAAAAATAGACCATTATGGCACTGCCACTACTGAAGTCCAGGTCACATCCATCACCCCTGAGAATGACTACCCTGGCCTACCTGCGATTCCTCCAGCCATATATGCTCATGGTCCTACTATTGTATCATACGGCCAATCGTGGGTACCAGTACACGGATTGGGCTATTATTCTCCAGAAGCATTTGGTAACACGCCCCAGCGATATGCAACAATAACCGCTAGACAACCAGAGCCACAAAGTACATTTTTCTCACGTTTGCGACACGTCAGATCAAATGCATCTCTCAAGTTGAAGCGATTGGATCCGGTCAAGATGGCTTATTTACGCACGAGTTTCATATTTGGGTTTGCGATTCTGATCACCTGGATCCCGAGCTCTGTCAACCGGCTCTATAGCCTCACATATCATGGCCGCGTCAACTTTCAGCTCAGTGTTGCCAGCGGTTGCGTGTTGCCGCTACAGGGAGTATGGAACGCCTTGATTTACTTCACCACGAGCTAGAAGACCGTTTGTGAAGAGCTGAAGGCTTTGACCGCAAAGGTTTGGACAAAGCGGCATCGAAACTACCAGAATGCTACAGAGATGAGCGACAGCGTGGACCCCATGGCTTACGGTAACAGAAACACGATCGAGTTACCCATGATTTCACGAAGCCAGACGTCGCGAGCTTACGATTGTGACGAAATAGAGTTGTCAGAGCAGCTTTATAGAAGCGGTTCCATCTAGGTTCTTAGGCGACAACACTCCAAGCTATGAAGTGAGATACTTGTGGTATACTTGTCACGTATTACTATTCAGCATTTAGCAAGTTGTCTCCGCGAGGGTAGATGTCGATGTTTATGGGAAAGTAGCTTCTTTCAGATTGTGGTATTCGATTGCAGCATATTAGGGAATCGGTAGAAAGGGATGTTAGTTGCAATCAATACCGATAGAATTTGATCTCATCGTCTTTTTAAACATTTGATTGTTCAGGCTTTCTAGTATCTTGTTCCTAGTTATACTTGGCGTATATATCTTCACCCTCGGCCGCATCGACGCCATCGCGGACTGCAGCAGCGACAGCTTCATCAATATCAACTTCGCCCTCGTGCAAATCCAACCACCCGCTCTTGACACCCTCCGCCGCAAGTACCCTGTCTATTACGTGCGCTACCGACTCTCTGGGAATATTTCCTTTGACTGTTTTAGTCTTACCCAGTTCGACCTTGCCCACGGGGTCCTCTGTCAATGCGCCAGGACGCAAGTCGATGCCCACCAGCGTCCGGCTCGTCTTGGAAACCTCGTACAGGACCTCGTCGGCGGCGAGCTTGGCCTGGTAGTACGTCGCCAAGGGGCCGTTGTTGACCTTTTCGTTGTACTCTTGCCAGTCGCTGGCGGGCCACCAGGGAGCGGCTTTGCGGCGGGAGCCGCTATAGGAGACGAGGAGGAAGCGGCTGATGGAGGGCTTGGCGGCGGCGGCGTTGATGAAGTGGATGGCGGCGTCGCGGTCGATGCGGAATGTGCCTTCGGTGCCGTATTTACCTCCAGCGCCTGTGTTTGAGTATGCATTGGTTAGCATGAACCGAGAAATAGAATTTTGTTCTTGTTTACTGACCGGCACTCCAGGCAACGTAATCGGCGTTGACCTCGTCCAGGATGCTTGCTGCCTTTTCCTGCGTGTCGACGGCCTCGATGCTGCGCACGAGCACTTGCAGTTTGCCGGGGAGGCCGGCGCCGAGCTTCTTGACGGCGGGGACTTGCTCTTCTTTGCGGATGACGCTGGTTACGGCCCAGGAGCGCTTGAGGAGGAGGGGGGTGAGGAGCTGGGCGATTTTGCCGTGGCCGCCTAGGATGAGGACGTGGCGGGGAGAAGCCATTTTGGACGTCTGTAGATGAATTGGATATGTGGATTGACAGGTGGTTGGGAAAGTAAAGTGATGTATATTTGGTCTCTATAGTAGCTCGAATTGTTATAAAGGTAAAGACTCTAGATGTTATATACCAAGATCAAATCCAGTAGAATGACGCCAATAAAGCTTCATGATAGCTATTCCGTCGGAATGGGATCACGCAAGACGCAGATGACGACACTGATGGCTTCATTTTCGGGGTTAGTGCGGGGGCGGGGCATGGAAGCATTTAGAGTTGCACGGCACTTCCCGAGTGAGATGAATGGGAGCCTTGTTAAAGCCGAAGGAGAGTGGTTGAGGCGATTGAAGATTGAAAAGCATCGGCTGGGTACTTGTTCTACCGAGGTATGAAAAGACGGTTGGAGAGGTGCGGGCTTGTGGCTGCTGGCGGCCTTTAGCAGTGGAATACGTAAACAGACTCTTCGGCGTTCGATAGAGATTAAAAATGCTGTGAATACATAGGTACTGAAGCGTGTGGAGTACGCATGCAGGACAGCAATATATCAAGGGGCTAGATGCTGCATTCTGCTAGTACCTAAGTAGGTGCTAATAAACATCTCAAGAAGACTTGCGAATGCTGTGAAATCGGAAAAATAAGCCAGTTACAGTAGGCTGCCCAGGTTTTGAATAAGTCAAGGGACCAAACCTCGGGCGAGCTTCAAAATGCTGTGAAGGCCTGGATGTTTTGCCCTGAAAAGATTACCTAGTTTATAGCTTTGGAAAGAGTTAAGAATGCTGTGAAGGACTATATGCCGAGGACATATAGGGTACAACGAGTACAAATTGTAGTACCAGTGCTGCACGCGCGGGGTTTAGGAAAAAGGATGGTAGTCAGTCAGACATATCTCACTGCTGACGAGAATCATAAACGGTAACATTAATGGTGTTGCGTATTGTGATGAAGCTACTAGTAGTTGAACAATAACACCCTCTGTGCCTATACAAGACGTGACTTGGTTTGGGGCAGGTTAAAAATGCTGTGCAGTGTCCGCCCTCGCTAATATCTCTGAAAAGGGATCATTCGACAAGACATTGTGACTTGGTTCGGGGCAGGTTAAAAATGCTGTGAAGTGCCCTGCCCGCAGAGTATCCGAAAAGGGATCATTTGACAAGACCCATGCCTTGCCTTGGGGCAGGTCAAAAATGCTGTGAAGTTTTCTCGATCGGAGTTTGAAAATTCTGTGAACTTTAGCAAGGAATGAGCCTGTCTTATGTCAGCATGCAGCCTCTGATCTCAGCGGCACTCTGACACGCGGGAGCTCTGTCTGAAGCTTGTGCAACGCGGGACGGTTTCACGCGTTGCGAAGAGATTGATGACTTCATAGTCTCAATTGATTATAACAATCAGTTACTTGGCTGCAGCAGGCAGTCTTTGTTTACATAGTGCAAAGCGCTCATTCACATCGCACCTTGGCTGCCCCTCACCCGCATTCGCGTCTCATCCTTGCCTGCATTTTGTCAAGATCAGAGTTACATGGGCTTGAGCTCGTGCAGGGGTCTCCGTCGAGTCATGTCCAAAACTGTTTGCATTGTGGGTAAGCTACAAACCAAAATCTCCGTCTCTTTTGATCAGTTCTAATGACCTGCAGGTGCTGGGCCCTCCGGCCTCGTCGCTGCCAAGACGCTTCTTCACAATGCTCCCAAGGGCCACTTCAAGGTCAGCGTCTTTGACAGCCAGGCCGCCATCGGTGGTCTATGGCCAACCTCAAAGACCGATTCAGGCCGTCTAGTCCATCCGTTGATGGTTGCAAACCAGAGCAGACACACGGTGCAGTTCAGCGACTTGGCTTGGGAGGACAGCGCGCCTCAATTCCCTCGCGCGTGGCAGGTTGGCAAGTACCTGGAGCAGTATCAGAGCAGATATCTCGACGGCCATCCCGACTTTGAACTTCAGCTGAAGAGCCGTGTTGCAAAAGCTGAGAAGCGAAATGATGGATCAGAGGGCTGGAAGGTACACATCCAATCGGAGGGCAGCGAGGAATCGAGAGACTTTGACCACCTCATCGTGGCTACTGGATACTTCGGCAGGCCCATCATTCCCGAGTGCTTCAAGAACGCAAACACGTCGATTCCTATCATCCACAGCAGCCAGTACCGGGATTTGAAAGGGCTTTTGGGCGAGGGCAGGGAAAAGGGAGGCAAGATTCTCATTGTCGGAGGTCAAATGTCCGGCGTCGAGATTGCGGGTACTGTTGCAAGCCATCTCTCAGCTGCTGTCAACTCTCCAAAAGAGTCGGAAATTGCTGGGACTGATAAATATTCTATTTATCATGCAATTCAGCGTCCTATATGGGTGTTTCCTCTATTTACTTCTCCAGAGGTAAAATGCCTTGTCTCTCCTCCGCCATCTAGCAGATTACTGACAGACACCAGCCGACGTTTTCATCAGCTCCTTTCGCGCCCTTGGACCTAGGTTCTTATAATATCAACAACCGTCCTCGGCCATTGGAGAATACGCAGGGTCATATAAGCGAAGAGCATGCCAATATGGTGCACACCATCTTTGAGGCCTCACTCGGTGACCAAGAGCAATTCTCTTCCTTGTTGATGCCCAATGATGAAGAAAGAAACCAGCCGGCCTACCTAGCTGTCAGCGATTGGTACACCGAGTTTGTAAGATCCGGAATGATCACTTTGTCTTTCGGCAAGGTCATCTCTCTGGAGAATGATCTTGTGACATTGGATGACAATGATGCTCAGATCGATGATATTGCTGCTGTTATCCTTGCTACTGGCTTTGACCCGTCACCCTGTGTCGATTTCCTGCCGCAAGATGTCCTTGCTACGCTTCAACACTCTCCGCGACACTATAACCAAGCTCTTGCCTTGGCGTTTCACGGCACCCACCATCCAGATGTCCCAAATCTCGGATTTGTGGGATTTTATAGGTCCCCATACTGGGGTGCCATGCAGATGCATGCCCGATTCATTGCGGACCTGTGGTCGAATCAGACGGACGGCCTGCCAGATGCACTCCGGCGCAAGCTTCAAGCCGATGACTCAATCAGGCGAACTCTCAGTTTGCGGGATAACCCCAGGCTCTCACAGTTCCCTATGGGAGACTATATGTACTTGATGCAAGAATTTTCTGAAGCTTTGTCGATACCCATGCACGAATCAATCATGCCGGATACACCTACGCTCTCCCGAAACAACCTTCCACTAGATACACTCACGCCTGCAAGATATCCTTCTCCAAGCGACGATGCTGCAGCGAAAGAGGAGGCCGAAAAGTCGCTGAAGCAGACTCGAGACCTTTCTATCGAATGCCTCACGACTCAACGGTTTGTTGCGCGCGGTGTCTTTAGAAGCCTGCTTGGAGAATGGCGCCTTGAACGAGATCTTACCAGTCGTCTACCTTCTCACCCGAGCGGAAAGTTTGTTGGCACAGCGCAATTTTTGCTCCGTGAGCGAACTTCTGAGGGCCTCCAATGCGCCGCAGATCCCAACAGCACTGTTAGTTGTGATGAAGATGGCGGCGAGGACCTAGAGTACCTTTACGTCGAAGACGGAGAGTTTAAAACAGCCGCTGGTTTCGGATTTAGAGCAACTCGACGCTACATCTGGCGCTACGACTCCAAGAAAGATGCCATCAGCGTATGGTTTGCTAAGCCCGACGACCAGAAGCGAGCAGACTATCTCTTTCATGAGATTGAATTCGAGTCTCCGCCGTCCGGGGATAATAGGAGACGCGAAAACGAGGGGTGGAAGGCAAAGGCTGGGCATCTTTGCATTGATGACTACTACAATGTCAAGTACGAATTTGCGTTTAACAAGGTGAATTTGAAGAAGTGGAGCATAGAGTATACGGTCAATGGGCCAAAGAAGGATTATACAATTCATGGGACGTATGAGCGGATATGAATGTTTGCTCTGGAGAGCGTTATATACAAAGCCAAGCTAGAATAACCTTTTGTCTTTTTAATAAAGCAACGCAGCATCAACAACTAGAATCTTGTCCGGATAGGTATCCCATCGGTGCATCGATGGTGGACGGCTTGGTGGTGATGACTTGTTTTGTGATGGAGAGATGGGATGCAGAGTTACTGGGGCCGACTTGTTCCATTCAGAAGCTCATCTCTCCATAGGCATTTGGAACAAGTGTATTTCTGATGAAGAAACAAAGGATTAGTTATTTGCAAACTAAAATTCCGGAAACAGCCAAATGGCTGTTTGACTGCCCTAATCACCGGAGCTTTGACTGGACGCTAACCTTGATGGCGATGTCGCAACATGCCAGCCTATTGCAAAGAACAAAGAATTCAAAATTAGAACGGAGTTCTTTCCCGGCAAAGGCTTTGTTATGAAGAAATGAATAGTAGATATTAGACGTGTCTTTGAGTTGCGCAGATCGCTAGTATGCCTTGGTAAAACGAGTTCCACTATAGAGATGATTTTTATACGGACATGAAAGAACACTCTGCTTCGCTAATTCCAACTTGTTGTGCAGTAAGTGGGTTCCAACACATTCTTTGAAGATACATGTCTACTAAGAAGCGTATGAGCAAGGATCAAAGAACTCCGACCACGTATAAACCAGGCGGCGAACAGTTGGTAGCCTAATTTTTGAACAGCCTCTTAACAAGTTTCGCCACTTTACAGTATCGCCAAACGAAAACAACTTTTCGATCCCACCTCCCGCACATTAAACGAACTGTTCCGTTACGGAATTACTTCTGGCACCTTCAACTATTTATAGAGGCGTATTTCTTCAATCGGAAAACACACCATTAGTTACACAGCCTTCAACAATTTTTGTTCCGGCACAAAAGGCTCTCCAGCCACTTTTCTCTCTTCAACCAACCTGCGTTTAATCCTCCTCTACATCTCTTACTACTCGTCCGCCTGCGCCATCTACATATTAGCCTGAGCAGCAGTCCAACTTCACTCTGCAGAATCGTACCATTACAAAGCATAAGAAAGCAAGCGCCAAGTTCAGAGACTGCAAAATGTTTATTAGATGGGTAACACACGAGGCGAAATGCCATATCATGTTGGGTATTCTTACAATGAACTCTATTTTTTTGGGTTATATGAATTCTCATGACCTTCACGTCAACCGAAGCATTGTTGTCGCCGAAGGTTTTGCGATTGCATGTGTTGTGATCAGTCGCTTTGACTCGTTTAGTAACGATCCAGAGGCCCGAAATAACTTTTTTTTGGATCATTCGTGAAGCTTTTCATATAGCATCCAACATATTCATTGCTACCGTGTATAAACAAGCTGCTAGAAAATGCAGAGGTTATGCTGATACTCCTTTTGGGGATATCACGCCCCGATGCGGATTGCCTAGTGTTCGAGAGTCATGTCGCATGCAGGAGGCCACCTTCGCCCTATCAATTGTTACGGTGTAAGTCCAAAACATCTACTTTTACCTTTATGCTTGCTAACAATCTTTCCCGAAATAGTATAATGTCAGCTTATTATATGCTACTTGAAATCTTGAGTTTGCGTCGCGATAAACGCTTTTCCACGTTTTAACAGTAGCTTTTCTTTGCGAGCGAGAGTTTACGCCACTTATAGTCACTCTAGGGCTTCAAAAGTCTTGATGACCATCAGACCGGCTATAGATCGCCATTGTGCCTTTGCAAAGTTAATATCATTTTGGACGCGTTTTTTACATAAATATCTTTAATACAAAAAAAAGGGGGGATTCTGCTTCGCTACTTTGCCAATCACAGTACAAGAAATATATTCTAAAACGGTCTTTGAACATAGGTAGTTACTATGAAGCGTTTGAACAAAGACCAACGAACGCTGGCTATGGATACGTTGAACAATGAAGTACTGGTAGTCTAACTAAACCGGAACACGCCCCATTCCTTTGAACGGTAGATATACAGTAGGAACATGAAGTTCAAAAACGGGATCCGTGGATATATGAGAAGATGTTTCGACGGGTTTTGCCACTAGGTAGTATCGCCAACCAAAAACACCTTTTCTGTGCCACTTCAACACATTATATGAACAGTTTCGTTGCGGAATTACCTCAGTCGTATTCAAATATATAAAGAGCAAAAAGATTTCTAGTCGCTCTCTCTCTTCAGCCAACTTCGGTTTGATCCTCCCCACGCATCTTATCCTTTTGCATATTCCCTTCACGCCATCTACATACTGGCCTTGGCAGCAATACATTCTCGCCACGCAGACATCTACTATGGCAGAGCATGATAAAGCAAGCAGCGCACTCGGACTCGTTCAGGTACTTGTGCGCTCCTGTCGGCTGACATTAACCTTGGGCATTCTTATAATGAATTCTATTTTCCTGGGTATGATGAATTCTCATCATCTTCATGCCACTCGGAGCATAACCATCGCCCAAGAGCTTGTGGCCGTAGGTACTGCGGGGAACCTCGTTACTTTGTTCTTGGGCCTTGGTACATTTTCCGGCGGCCGTAAGAAAATATGGGCTCTCTCACTTCTCATCATTCCTGGAGAAGTCTTTTTGACAGGGTGCTACATATTTATAGCCACGGCGTACAAGTCAGCTCTTGGGGATTGCAAAGGTTATGCTGATACACCGTTTGGAGATGTTATGGGAGTGGAAGGATTGCCCAGTGTCCGAGATTCATGTGGCATGCAGGTGGCCAACTTTGATCTATCAATCGTTACAGCGTAAGTCAAAGGGGAAAAAGAAAGAAAAAATCTCTTAGTACATTTATATTTATTAACAATCCTTCTCGCAACAGTATTATGTCGGGCGGATGTATCTTGACGGAAATCTTCAACATAATTCTCCATTGCCGCTAAGATTGATCCTCTGACTTGTTTTGGTGAACAGCAGTTTAAGCCGCTTATAGCCTCTCTAAGGCGCGAAGAGTTGGAATAATAACCAGAAAGGCTATATCAACGTAAGGGGCGGTTTGTACTATCAACGATCAGATAGTTGACTACGGAGGGTTGAAGGAGCTGAAGGGCCCCTTGCAAGCGAACGATGAGATTTAGATAGACTAAATATTAAATTCCATAAAAGCAACTCCCTAAAGTACTTGGAGCATAACGTGACAAAAAAAATGAGGCTGTTCAATAACAAGCCAGTTTAGAGCAGAAATCATGAATTGTAGTACAGTAGATAAATCGCTCATTTTTAACACAAGTCTTACTTGTGTGAAGAATTACGAAAAAGACATCGCGGGGAATGAGAAAAGGAGCAAAGAGAGTAATCTAGAACACTAAAGGCACTAAAACTCAGTTACGATCTAGGAGAGGTGACTAGAAACTAGAATGCAATAGTAATGAAGAAGAACTAAACTGAAGACGAGCTGAGGAGCAGGAAACAACTAGGTGTGCCGCAGTAGGTCACGTAAAGAAAAACAATCTATACCCATTATACCAACGTTAGAGGAGGCAAAGGACAGCATTTGTCAAATACGTCCCTTGACAGAATGGCCATTGCCGTCTGCGCCCACTCTGGAGTCTCAGCAAAGCTAACTTAGCTTCAACCCGAGATTCTCAGATGTATAGTCATTGTCAGTTATCTTTAATTGTCGCTGCCTCGTCTTCTTTTACCTGTCTCGCAGAGTCTTAAACAGGATATGTTCTCGGTCGTCGCGGAGGGCCTTTGGCGGCAGTAGGTGTGAGATCCCGATAACAGGAGACTTTTGGTAGAATGAAGCTTCAAATTCTGAATGCTCATAAACCCAGTATGCGGATTCTACAGTTTTGTTCGAAATCAGTTTAGATAAAACTGTTTCGCTCTTCCATACTTCACTTCGAAATCTTGGTCTTTAAACTAGTGGACAGTAGCTGATTGATGAATATATGTACTGAGTGATGCTGATGTGGGAATAAAGTCATATCAGGCTTTCATATTCGTGGGCTATTCGCCATAGTTGTGTTATTAAACATTAGTTAAATATTTTGGAGCGTATCCGTATTTAAAGCCTTGCGATCCAGCGCAGCGCATCCAATTCCCATCATTGCCATAAGAATGTGCAGAGCCAGCTGCATAAAACCACAAGTAGCGCCACCAAAACCCAGCGCAGTTCAATGGTAAACTTTGTTTCAAGCCAGCGTTGCCATGCTTTCATGCCCCGTTTGCGGTTGGGACAAGTGGGAGTGCCGTAGATGATGCAGCCCAGCCCAGGCCGTGATTCACACTCGATGTGCTCTCGCCGGCGCTTCATCAGCAGCCTGTTTCATATTAGCATTTATTCATAGCTAGATGTAGGAGTGGGATGTGGCATACGGTACGCTGCCTCTGCAAAACCTCAAGTCTGTTCCCAAGTCGCAGCGTTTGGAATTGGGACACTCCAGATGAAGGCGTCGGCGCTCAACCAGCCACTCCACCTTGAGCTCGATACCCGTATCGACAAAGCTGTGGAAATATCGGCTGGTATACTTGAGAGACAGTGCGTCGGGATATATCAGCATCTCCGAGATTTGTAGATGAATTTCTGTCGGCAGGCTGAGGAACGAAGCTCGTGACTTGCTGTCCATTTCCGGAAGAGCCCCGCGGTCCTTCTCGGAGCTGCATTGCGAGACGGTGGAGCTCATAGCGGAAGAGCCGGAGGGTGAAATGAGCAGAACGAGTCCAGATGCTGCTTTTCAGCAAGAAACAGGGGATGGCCGCATAAAGGAGAGGGAGGTTTGAAGAAGGCCAAGATGTCTGCTTTTGTGCATGTCCTTTGGCGGCTGCCTTCGCTGTTAGTGAATGTCTGAGCCTGATCCAGGGCTGGCAAGCCACCACAACAACGGGCTGGCCTCCAATACGAGTCGCCGGTTCCCTCATGTGACGGAAACCGAAACGGCGGACACGCGGAAAGGCTGCTCGGATGATGCAGGACTCCAGGCACGGCAGAAGGTCAAACGTGTTGGAGCTGCAAGGCAGCACCATTTACAAGGGCCGCGGCGCCTCTTGGGTGGCTGGGACCTGCGTCTAGTGGAGGCTGCTGGACTGACACACTCACTAGGGTCCGCTAGGACAGGCAGCGATGGAGTCTTTACGGGTGCCTGATCTCGGCCCGCCGGTCCCTATAGAGGCCGGATAACAGGCCTGGACGTCGATCTCAGATGTCTGGTTTGTTTGTTTGTTTTGCTGTCGAGTATCGGAGCGCGGTGCTTGGAGAAACGTGGCTTTGTGCTAGTTTGGTTGTGGCATGGTCGAAAGGGGCAGAGGCCGCATCTAGAAAGAGGCACATGAGCTTGACGTCAACGGGCCAACCAGAGAATATGGAGGGACTGTTCTGGATGCTGTTGGCGAGTCCTGCCGACATCTGGAACACAGTCCTACGTGGTCCCTGAGATGTGCAAGGACTCATATCCCTGCGATGCGGCTGACTACTAACAGCATCCCTCGCCGGAATATAAATGACAGCCCCGCCAACGGTGGCAATCTTTCTATTTTTATAGCGGCTTGGTGACAGGTGGTGTTCACTTTTATGAGAAAGTGTACAGAGTTTCAGGGCAGAGTACAAAGTACATACGCAGCCCAGAAGAGCGGTTGGTGTGCTTCACATCGACTGTTTCGCGCCTAATAATGCTGAAAATAATTGACAAGGCAATAAAGGCAGTGTTGCAACAATAAGTCTTCCGACACCTTTTCACTTTTATGTCAAGAAAATTGTCCTACCCATCTTTGACTGAGTTATATTGATCTCCAGTCTACAACCAGATACATTTTGACCACGTTTTTGGTGGGTCTACACTGGCCCAGCAAAGAAACAGCTATTCACGTTGGACCTCGATCAACATTTAATACGGCATGAGGCCTGAATAGCGAAGTGTGATAGACTTATGAAATAATATGAATACCGATAGTGTCTGTGGATAAACAGGTTACCTGCATACAATTGGTACGAGTGCGGAAGAGTGAAAATACTGTATGTGAACTTCTAGTGAGGGCCCCTACGCCACTCGAGAGCGCAATGTGGAGACATACTCCCGCCAACTCTTGCTCCAAGCCACATAAAAGTTGGTGCTACAGTTTGGTATTTCTCATCAACTTTTAGCAGCTGCATCCTCATCGTTTTCTGCCATCAGATACTGACACAGGGCGCCATCTGCATCCTAGATCATTCAATCTCTTCTGTTGCAAACGAAGCGAGTGTAATTAGCTGCCAGAGTCCGAATATTTCGGATCGCCGCGATGCCTCGAAAAGTGCGTCATGTCCGCATGATTTATCTTCCATCATGAGTCTGCTCTAACCATTTTATTCCCTTCTAGTTCATCACACAAGATGTTAAAGACCAAAACCGTGAAATCCAACGGCGTTCCAGAGCCCGGCGCGCTGAAGTAATGAACGATCTCAAGAAACAGGTGGAAGCCTATCAGCAGCAGGGTGCAACGGCGTCTTTGGAGATGCAAAAAGTTGCTCAAGCAGTCGCATTTGAGAACCGGCGCTTGAGGAATTTGCTCAAAATACATGGAGTATCACAAGACGATGTTGAACGATACATTGCAATGCCGTCAGCTCCCCTTTCTGATACACAGGCCAGTTCACATGAGCCTGGCTCCCTCAGGTGCAGAGCATGTGGCAGCACATCTATTGTGGCAGAAAAGCTTCCGGTTGCATTACTAGCTGATCAATCCCGTGTGGGTTCAAACATCTCACAGGAAGATACTTATCCACAGCCTTCAACTTCCGTACGATCCATGCCGATTCTACCGGACAAGAACATCGCAATAGAGACTGTCCCAACGGCAGTCGCTTTACCACCACGATCCAATATTTCTCATCAAGTTAGCGGCAAGCGCAGCCAAGAAGAGTCAAATTATGGACACCAATCTCAAAATCGCACATCTTACACAAGCAAAGACAAAGACAAGAATTGCAATGGTCAGACATCCTTGGACGTTGAGGCTCCTCTCTCAATGCCACGCGATCCCCATTACGCATCTACGAGAAAGGATCATTCCGACGTTATGGAAACTTCTTGTGATACGGCGGCATCCATTCTCGTGGATCTTCATCACCATGCAGATACTCAGCGTGCTCGTGCTGCTCTCGGCTGCAAGGGGCCAAACAGTTGTACTGTCAACAACATCAAGATATTTCAATTACTAGAAAACTTTTCTTGATACCTTTTCAACATCAACACTAGCTATTACTCCTCAAATAACATCTGGCTTTCTACCATACATAGCATCTCTCACAGAGCATCTCAAATACCTCATTTCCAACCCCATCTAGCAGCAATCCATCGAAGGGCATACACCAATCCCAGCAACACCGGCACTTCAATCAACGGTCCTACAGTGGAGGCCAATGCCTGATCACTATTCGGACCAAACGTCGCTACCGCCACCGCGATGGCCAACTCGAAGTTGTTACTTGCTGCTGTAAAGCTTTGCGTAACAAGAAACTGGTATTCGAAGCCCAGCATCCGGCAAATGCTTACGGTCGTAAAGAATACAATGGTGAAATATACAATGAGGGGAGCTGCAACACGAATGACGGAAACAACCTGATGCACTACCTGGTGGCCTTGAGCAGCAAAGAGGACCAAAATGGTGTACAAGAGCCCAATGAGCGACCAGGGCGAGGCAAAGCGAATAAAGACACGGTCATACCATGCTGGTCCTGCGAGAAACCGCAGCGTGAATCTTGTGAATACAGCTGCGCCAAGGGGGATGCCCAGAAAAGCGGCCACACTAGTTGCAACGACGGAATAAGAGATGGAGCCAACATCTTCGTGGCTGATGACACGGATGAAGAAGATGGCGAGTGGCGCGAAGAGAACCATCTGAAGAATAGAATTGACCGCAACTAGGATGGCGCAGTAGTCATTGTTGCCGCCAGCGAGGGCATTCCAGATCAAGACCTGGTCCCATGCGTGTTAGCATTATCCTAGGGGTGCTTCCATTAGGGCAAACTGGATGAACAAACCATGGCAATACATCTCCCTAGACCTACGAGAATGAGGCCGCTGCGAAGAGCACTTTTATCAGGAAGAAATGCCCATGAAAGAGCAAGCTGGTAGATTATAAGTATTGGCCGTTCGGATGGGGGTGGAAGCGGAAGAACAGAAACTAACCATCAAAAAGGGGGCTATGATCCAATTGATGAAGACACTGAAACCTATTTGCTTCCATAACTCTTTTTTGGACAACACTTTGTGTAACGACTCGTATTGGACTTTGCATAGAATCGGATACATCATTACCAACAGCCCAATAGCTACATTACCGTAAGTATGCAGATTGTAAAACAGGTTTAGGAAGTAAAGACCTACCTATTGGGATGGATACACCAACAAATGTCCCCTTTTCTAGAGCTGGTGACATTGACGGGACAAAGTTGCCAAGAATAATGCCAACAGCCATTGCCAGGAAGATCCAGACGGCGAGGAAACGATCCAGCAGGCCCAGGGACGCAAAAGCAGAGAAATTCCTCTTCCGCTGCAATTCATTGTTGTTCTCCTCTTGACCTTCTGTTTGTACCGTTATTTTCTCTGGCTGTATCTCCATTGTTTGGCCGAAAATGTGCTGAAAATCGACCGAATATGGGTTCTTAGTGGGCTTCGACAAGGGCGTATCTCGCACTATTTGGGGACAATTATTCGGTGGTAAATATACCCGGCAACAGTAATAACAAAATTTAATGATTCAAAATCTTAAATAAAGTCTTTCTTGATGGTTTAGAGAGAATCTGATGCTATAGCATTGCGATCATGTCCAAAGTCTTTATACCAACATCCCTAGTAGTAAGAATTAGGTGAACTGTGAGGAGGGTGGAGCTGCAATTGAAGTAACCAATGAAACGCAGGGCATGACACACTCCCTCGCCTCCATAGTAACAAGATGCGACGAGCTTAGAAATTTACAAACTTTTTAGTTATCCAGTCTTCTTTCGACTGGCGAAGAAACTATGAAGAAGAGTGTGCATTTAGCAAATATATATTAACACTTGTCTTGACGTGCCCTGATAAGACAACTAATTGACCTGTGGGACTCGTTTTCTACATGTAATCAATCTGCCATCTTACATCGAGCATAACTACCCCTAAAGAACCAGAGAGCTCAAACTGACATTACATAAAGAAAAAAAGCATCGTGAAAATCTGTAAGCTCACAAGAAAAGTTCCACTAAGCGCAGCAGATGTAACTGCACTGTTGCGAGACCCAGAGCCTGAACCTGAGCCAGAGCCAGGGCTATTAGAAGGGCCGTCGTTGTCAGTAAAGTTGGCTGGAGGATTCGACTGCCCGGTACTGTTGGCAACATCCTTGTACTCAATTCCTCCGACCCAGACCCTCGCAATATCTCTAGTGTTGGAGATGTTGACCAGCGGGTTGCTGTTAAGTAAAACCAAGTCAGCCCGCATACCAGGTGTAATCTGGCCGCGGTCCGTCAACTGGTGATGCTGAGCAGGGAGTATGGTTGCTGCTCGAAGAGCTTCGAGTGGAGTTAATCCGGCCTCGACCAGATTTTCCAACTCAAAATGGAGAGTTAGTCCCCACGGTATAGAGATGTTGGCGGTGACTGTTCCGACGGAGTCTGTGCCAGCCAAGATGGGTATGCCGGCAGCATGAATGGCTTTGACGTTGTCGTAAACATTTTGATAGTTATCTGGCCCACCAACCTTGTGGCCTGTAAAAGTCAATAATTCGACGTTGGAAAAGGCGTATCGAGCAATATTCATAGTCGGAGTGCTCCAGGTAGTGGAAGACTTCCGAACGGTCAGAATATTGGAAGCGTTGATACGGCCATTTGTAGGAATATGTTGAATGCCGTTTGTGCCCGAGATGGCAGCTTGTGTCCAAGCATTGAGATCAGAAGCATGAGTCATGGACAATTTGCCAAGATTGTGAACAGCGTCAACAAGAGCATTTTGCATGCTCTGGCTGGGACCATTAGTCTCGGCAGTGATCTTGTAAAAGTCGGAGTTGTTGCCAAAGGTGTAGGATACGACCTCTGTGGCATTTTGGTCGGGATAAATGAGGTACGGCGCAGTAAGATTGAATGTCTTGGAGTGCTGACTGCCGGGTCCAGTAGCTGGTATACCGGCTGAGATGAACGATGCCACGCCCTCTACATCACGGAGAGGGGCGCATTGAGTGTAGTTTCGACATGCCATGTTGATGGCGGTGGTGACTCCATAAGAAGCCAATATCTCTAAGCCAGCGATACTAGATATATGGACATGGCTGTCAATCAGACCAGGAATTAGTACGCCTCCATTGCCGTCAACTGTGGTCACGATATTGCTTGTGTCGTTGCTGATATTCTCGCCATCGATAATGACAGTTTGAAGAGCAGTGAGTTTGACGCCATCAAATACGCGAACATTTTTGATAGCAGTCTTTGTTCGTGGTGCAGACTCTTGTCTTCGGACCATGTCATTGGGGTCTGGTGTTCGCTCGTGCAATAGATGCTCGAGACAAGCAAGACTGCCTGGTAAAAATACTCCAGCGAGTGTAAAGAGCTGAGCTGGTTTCATTTTGAGAAGAAGGATAAATGATAGATGTTAGAAAGTTGGATAAATGATAGGTGTTAGAAAGTTGGCTGTCGAATAGGATCGAAAGTGCAACTCTCAATTATTAAATGTTATAAAGGTTGTCTTGATACTGCAGTCTATATTAATTGCCAAGAGGGACTCACAGATTTATATCTGATCATTACAATTCTTACTTTGTGTCCCCAATTCCATCCTAATTTCAGGCTTCCTTGAATTCTCCTGCATATTCGTACACTAAACTTCTACCAGAGACAACACCTCATGTACAGGGATTTCTACGCTTCCATAGGGCTTATGCATTCACAAGTATGAAACGTTTCCTGGAGAAATCGTCTTATTGCTACGGGGCTATGTTGAGGATTAAACGAACAGAGCTCGGACACGTTCTGGACGAAGTGACGATGTATGTGTTTAGTTTAGCGTACGAAGTCATCAATCTCCATTGCATTAGTTGACCTCTCCCCCAACAGCGTAGGATGACGCCCATCGAGATGCTGATTGGAGGAGCCACCACCACTGCATCCTGCAAAACTTACAGGGATCGGGCTCGTACACTAAGTCAGAGAAGGATAGCCTAGGGGTCCAACTATCTTCAGGTCTGCCTCTGCTATTCTCGTCCTGTAAAGCCTCGCCGGGCTGTGGAGTTTCGCAGCACTTGTGCAAATGCGCCTCGCCTGACTTTGCCTCATTGCGAAACGGCCTCCAGCTGTCTCTCGTCTCCATCTTTGCGATACCCATGCTCCATAAATGCATCGGACGCGGCGCCACCTGAATGCGGAGCAATTTAATTGAAAGACCCAGAGAAGAGTCTATCAAAGCCCAAGTAAATAGAGGGAAACATGGGTGGAGGTTCCCGAACATTTCACCACAAGTCGAGGAATGGCTGCAGCCGTTGCAAGAAGCGACGCGTCAGGGTTCGTTTATTCCACATCTTGTCTATTAGAATCATCCAGCATTGATTGCTCATACTTGCATCCTTTCATCAAATAGTGTAATTTACAAGCGCCAAGCTGTGCCAACTGCACTAGGAGAGGTGAAGTTTGCGACTACCGGTTTCTCGGCATAGGCCCGCAGGACCATGTATTTGCGCCCAATAGTCATACTTCATATATGAGGAGGCGCCGACACTCAACTGTCTCCTCAAGGACGCCACCGCCGGCTGGGTCTGTGCTGCCGTCCACATCTCTAGCTCCAACGACACAGTCAAGCGCGGGTGCTGAGTCTATAAAACCGGCATCTCCTTTTGGAGTTCATAGCCTGGCGTTGAGCTCCATGCGAGAAGACGAAAAGGACCTTATTCAGAGTCAGCTCGCTGATCAAGCAGATCCCAGCGAGTACGTTGAACATAATATGGCAGCAATTTCCACACTCCACGACAAATCCACCGACTTATTACTTCCCGATGATGGTGGTAACAACCTAGACCTCGCTGCGTATCAGCACCACAGTACAGCATCCAGCAAATTTCGACAGTCAGTAGGCGCCATCAACGATCGCAACTGGTTCAAGGTCCTCCTCTTCGCCATCTCCGTCCTCATCTTCCACTTTGACATCCACAGAAGAGCAAAGCGTGGACTCTCAGATGATGAATTCATGGAGCCCATCTTGGCACTACGAGGAGCTGCACTTCTAGGTATGGAGCTTGGTCCATGGCTGATGAAGAGTAGACTACTCGCTGCTATTAAACGGCGTGTCGAGGGTGAAAAACCACCTTGGGATGATCTCGCAGAACAAGCCATCTCGAATCTACAATTAGCAAACGAGACATTGTCGCCGCTTCAAACGCGTGCAATCTACCGAGATACCCTAAACAAGCTACAGTTTTGGTTGCGACTTTCATCGTGCAAACCGCGAACTTGGCTGCACTTTGTCTGGTGGCCGGGGGCTGTCGACCAGGAATATCTGGACCTTCTGGCGCGGAAAGACCAAATGGCGATGGTCATTCTCGTCCACTGGTGCGCGGTGATGAAATCTTCGCCGAAAAAGTGGTTTATGGAAGGATGGGCTGAAAATGTTTCTCGGCCCGTGATTCCACAGATTGGACCAGAGTGGGATGGTGTTATGGAGTGGCCACTATCGAGAATAAGAGCGGCTGCTGGCAAGTGATTCGGTTGTCCATAATATGCTATTCATTTGTAATATAATTCATCATCAGCTAGAAAAATGTAATACCCTCATAGAGTCAAGTAACAGAGCATCCATAAATATTCAGCTTACACCGTCCCCTCTCGTCCCCAATCTGTTGGCTCACTGCTCATCTCAAACTCAATCTTCTTCGCCTTTACAAACTGCCCATGTTTCAACAATGGTGTCTTGACTTCCTCTCCATCAACCTTTAAACTCTTCACAAATGCCTTCCCTTCAGAGCCCGCTCCCGGTGCTGAAATAACCAGCGTGTGCTCTTTTCCATCATCTCCCGGCCCCGGAGGTAGTTGAATCTCCACCTTGTCAAAGAATGGGGTGGCGACAACATACTCGTCGCTCGCCGGGTTGACAGGATAGAAGCCCAGCGCCGACAAAACGTACCACGCACTCATTTGCCCCAAATCCTCATTGCCGCTGAGCCCTGACGCCGTTGCGTTGTAGTTCTCCCACGCAAGTTCGCGAACTTGTCGTGCCGCATCGGCAGGATACCCGATAGCAGAGTATAAATAAGGAGCGTGATGCGAAGGTTCGTTGCTGTGCATATTATGGCCTCCCGCGAAATATTCGTCCATGCGAGCCTTCATGGCCTTCTTGCCGCCTTTGAATAGCGAAGCCAGGCCACCAACATCGTGCATTACATTCAGCGTGTAGATCCATTTATCGCCTTCGGTCCATCCCCAAGTATCATTCGCCCACGAACCGTTTGCGTTGCGGGCCTGCATAAACTCGGTTTCTGGGTTCCAGAGCTTCCTGTAGTTTTGCGAACGCTCTCTCAGCTCCTTTGCATGTTCGAGATCTCCAGCATGTTCGGCAACTACAGCAGCAGCATAGTCATCGAAAGAATAATCAAGAGTGCGGCTACCAGACTCGGCCCAGCGATCATTGTCGACCCATCCGTGTTCGAGGTAGCTTGTTAGCCCAGCTCGACATTCGTAAGGAGTGCTTGGTTCTCTGGAGTAATAAAGCAAGTCGGTGTCATTCTCAGGTGGCACGTAAGCGTCTACATAGACGGCATCCCACGCTTTAGCGACATCAAAGTCGTCAAATCCTCGGATCAAGGCATTTGCAATCACAGCGTCAACGTGAGTTGCAATCATTTCGTTATTCTCAATCATGTTGTTCCACAGGGGCAATCGACCAGACCAGTCGAATATCCGTAATAGAGAGCGCATCATGGAATCGACCCGATCCGGAGCAAAGATGGTAAGCAGCGAGTGCTCTGCTCGGTACGTATCCCAGATCGACCACGACTGGTAATATGAATCATTTGCTTCATGAACGCTGTCTGTGTATCCACTATAGAAGCGGCGCAAACCACCCTCAGACGAAGTTGTAGGCTCGGAATAGTCGCTAGGATACTGAAGAGCGTGGAAAAGGCCCGTGTAAAAGATGGTTTGGGGGTCGTGGTCTGCATCGGTCTCGTTCACTCCAGAGATTTTGATGCGGCCGAGTCTTTCTAACCAGGCGGACTTGACGTTGTCGACTGTCGTTTCGAATGTTGTCCCATCTGGTATGTCGATATCGAGATTCTTCCTTGCTTGCTCCACGCTTACATACGAGACTCCAGTCCTCACCTCAACTCTCTGAACCGACTCATCGAAGGTGACATATGCACCGACAAACTTATCCTCAATGTATTTTCGCCCTTTGTACAACTCACCCGCTCTAGTAACCCCGTAGGAGGCAAACGGTGCAGAAAAGCGCGATACAAAGTAGAGTCTAAATGACTCCGGCTTATCTGGGCCCAGCAAGTATTCCTGTCGCTGGCTATTACTTCCAGATACCTCCTGAGTCTCGGGGTCAATCTCGACGTGGCCCGTCCAATTGAGGCGGCTGGCCTGTATAATAAAATAAGGCTGTCGTGACTGGGTATCTTGGAAATCAACGCGAAGATGGCCAACATGGGCCGATGCACTCATCGCTACTTGTATGGAGTTTTCGTACTTGGTTTCCTCCAGGTAATTGGAAGCATTCGCAGATGAGCTTTGCACAGTATATTGGGCCTCTGGCTCAAAGACATAATCCCGTCTCCTTACACGACCGTTGGCGCCCTCAATCACGTCCTTATTTGGGATAAAGTTGGCGCCTCCTGGGCATGGAGGACAGGCATCTCCGAGAAGATCTGATGTTGCTTGTTCGGTGAGATTCCACCCGAATTCGCCCCCCGAGTCTGCATCAAGCGTCACTTCGTATACGTAGGGCGTGCTCCTCTCATCTCCCTTTTTGAATGCCAGTCCCCGGTGCTGGAACTGGTGGTGTATTTCATCTCCAAGCCCTGGCATAAGCGCTACATGGCCGTTTTCGCCTATCCAGATGGCCGGCTGGTGAGTCGCTTGAAAGCCGTGCATGCGGCGGTCGCGGTCGTTGTAGGGGACTTGTGAGATGAAGTTTTCGCGCGTCTGAGGCGTCCATCGCGTCATTCCAAATGGCGGCGATACGGACGGAATCATGCCGCCGAGATCGTTGGGATCGTAGCCCCGGGTGCCGACGAGAGGGTTGACATATTTCAAGACACCTGCGTTGGCGTGATAGTCACTGCTTACGGGCTGTGAAGCTGACTCTGGTGACAAAGATAGAACTATCGCATATGAGGCCAAAGATGAGAGGGCCAATCGTGATGGTAGATACTTCATTGTTGCAGGCGTTTTACAGCAACAGCATTCGCTGAAGCTCACATTTGAGAGGAATGAGACGGAGCAGATAAATAGTCAAGATATAGAGCGGCGGTAAAGCAGAGCGCGCAAATGACTAAGATCTCGTGCTGGCCACCTGACCTACAGACAAGGACTCAAAAACACAAATGTTACCCAACTTGAGTTGATATGCAATTCGGCCTGCGATTTGTAGCTTGCAAAATACAACGCCGAGGCAGTAGTCGCGATATTCTACATGTACCTCCATGCAGCCACCTTTTCGGTCCATTCCGGCGGTAGAAGCGTCGATCGTCCACTTTTTGCGGGGTTCCAGTCAATATGGCCTTTTGCATTGAAACAATAGAGTAGCCCATAAGTTTGGACATTCTGGTTCATTATGATACCTGAGTAGCAAGTTGAGGATACCATAGGTTTATGACAGCAGTAACAAGAGCAGCTTCGCCAGAGTAGTTGCATGCGCTTAAAGTACATGTACCTATGATGAGAAGATGGGTGCATTATAAGCGCCTTCACTGCCTCGAGGGAGGTGAAAAATGCTGTGAAGCGGCTGCATTGCAGCTTATGAGGCTATACACTGCGGCTAAACACTGCGGCTGCAAAATCAACGTTTCTAAATCAAGACGATTCTATCTATCTATTCTCTAAACAAGAAGAATTTAGTTATCAATATTGGCCTTTTGAGTGTTAACCAGGCAGCACATAATTCTCGCAACCGCTATGAAGAACAAGGTTTCAGATGTAATGAACTGCTACCTAGGAATGTAGAGTCACCTCGCCTCTCAACAGTATAAGAACTCTCAAACAAGCAAATAGGTATTTTCCAAGTTGTAAATTGCTATATATTATCATCATTATAGTTGTCAACAGTCATTCTTGCCAATGTTTTATGAAATTGATGCTCTCATTATATAGTTCTCATAGCACTAAGAGACGGTAGCCCATCTATATTATATCGCCAACTTTTTCATGCATACAATCTCGTCTCATCATAGCTTCGTTCCACTTAGATATCGACCTTGATGACTACCTTGCCCTTTGCCTTCTTCTGCTCAACTTTGTCATAGGCAGCCTGAAAGTCCTCAAACTCAACCACGCTGTCAATCTGCGGCTTCAATCCTCGCTCATCAATAAAGTCGGCAATCTCCTTCAAATCATCGCCCTTGCAATCCATAAGGAACCAAGTGCTCTTTGCCAAATCCTTTGTAACAGACCCAGGTTTCAACTCGTCCGGGCTGCCAACAACACTCAGCAAGACGCCGTTCTTCTTCACCGCGGACCAGCATTCCGCTAGAGTTGGTCCACCAACGCAGTCGAGGACCAAGTCCACTTCACGAGAAGCGTCTTCTTGAGCCCAGTCTGCGATAGATTGTTTCTTGTAATCGATAATCTCTGTGGCTCCGGCCTTCTTAGCCTCCTCGATGCTGAAACTACCGCACTGCGCAACCACAGCGCCTGCGCCAGCGGCAGCGGCAAAATGAAGCGCCCAAGCTCCCACGCTGCCACTTGCGCCCGTGATGAGGACTCTCAACTTGCTGTTGTGGGCTCTTGCGTCGGCATCTCCGCTAATCCCCTTCTTGTCCAAAATTCCCTGCGTAAAGAGTCCTTGCCAAGCAGTCAAGGTACTCAATGGCGTTGCGGATGCCTCAATCCAATCTAGTGTCTTGGGCTTCAATGCCAATTCTTCTGTGTGAATGATCGTATATTCTCGTAAACATCCTGGAAACCTAGCATGGAGGCGAAAGTATACCTCGTCTCCAGGCTTGAAAGGGCTGGAGGGTGGCGAAGTAGCGATGATACCAGCAGCTTCAGTTCCGGGGACACGCTCTCGGTTCGGGGGGAAGAGACTGGGGAAGTTGACCTCCCAGCCTAATTCGCCGAGGCACGGTGCTGTAGCTTTGATCTTGACGAGATGCTCTTCTGGGCCAGAAGCTTTAGGAATGGGTGTTTGTAAAAGTTTCAATGTTGTGAGCTTGGGATCTTGCTGGTAAACAGCCTTGATGGTTGTGGGGAGATTGGTTGTGGCCATCTTGACGTATTGGTTGGCAATAGTCAACAGGTTTCGCATTACTTCAGACAGAAGAAAACAATAAGAAAAAAGAATTTGTATAACAAATATAAGTTATCTAACATTCCGAAAGTCCAAATGCCTTTATACTTTTCCTTTTCCCAGTTCACGTCATTGCCACACTCAGGAAGCTCATAGTGCGAATGAGTAAATCCATCGGGTAGCCTTTCCGCTTGTTCAGCCTCTCCCAGCCGGGTATCCATGATCTACCCACGAATCGCCGAGTCGCGAAATGCCAGGCTTGGCTACAAAAACCTTAAAAATATTGTTACCTAAATTGCATCATGTGGCTTAAGTGGCGCCGCCGCAGAGACCGATCGCGGGAATCTCGTTATGCCGTTTGTATAAGGTAGGATGATATTCAGGGACTGCCGAAAACCATATGCATCGGGAACAGTAGCCACATTGGAACACGGCTTTTTCTAATTCCACTGACTTATACCCACTTCAAAGTGCCGTCTTTCACTTAGCAAGCATATGGTAATATCATCTCTATTCTGACTGCCGCAATGCCGAACCACTCGCCCCGTGTCTTCGGTCGACCCATCTCCACAGCCCCGGGGGTCCGCTGCCGAAATGTCCCAATGTGGCAGCATAACCCGATTCGGCAGATGCAGTTTGGCTGTTTACAAGTGACGATGCTGCCTATGCAGCTGAAAAAGAGAAGCTGTGTTTTATTTCCATTTTTGTCAACCGACAATCATCTTTATGATGCTGCAACAGCAATGTAGTGTTTCATTTTAGTCAGATACAATGAAGCCTGAGGTTTCAAAGTGAGCATCAGCAACTTCATCGCATAAGCATTATCTCTCAAAATATTAACTCTACATAATAGCATATTATTTTTATTTCACGCATATTTCTGAATCCACAAATCTCTTGCACGCGTGGCCTAATGGTGAACTCCTCCAAAAGTAGACTGGTCACAAGAAAGCTACAAGAGAGAAGCTAGACTTGTGAAGCAGCTACAAAAGACAGTTTAAGATATTGTCATATTAATACCAGCTCCAGTAAAACAGGCAGCTTCGCAGCAATACAAAGCCAGCATCTCAACGTACAAGTAGCCCAACTTGAACATTCATGCTTCACTCAGACTAAGCCATTCGATCCTGATCCCGTATGAGTTGCGCCGCTTGCTCAATCTGCTCTTCAGGAAGCAGGCTTCGTCACACAAAGTAGCACTTCGTCGTAACCCGAGAGTAGTAAGCATTCTCCACAAGGCACATCTTCCTTAATCTCGCATTGTCCCATAACGCAATACCAAGCAAACCGAAAGTGTCGAACGGGACTTCAGGTAAGGGTGAATATGCGTCCCTAAACGCAAGATCCATATAGCGGACGACTCCAAAACTATTTTTATCCGCGTCTATTGGTTTTTGTCCGCAGACTAGACCCTGAATGATGTAATATAGCGGATAGGGTTTCTTGACGAGCAGCTCCAAGCTTTCGATGGGAGGATCGGCAGGGATAAGTCTGTTACCAAGGTCGTAATATTTGGCAAACTTAGTTTTCCTGATATTTGGCTTTGGCATCTCAGTTATCCAACTCCGGATCTCAATAGCTGGGGGGCGGGGGAGTCGATAGTAATCTGCCAGTGATCTCTGCGGGGATTCACCATCTTCACCACCGAGCCGGCGTAAATACCCGCCAACGGTCATGGCTTCTTGTTCCATGCCATTAAGATAAAGGTCGGGAGAAGTCACAAAATCTTCTGGTGTAATATTCGCGATTTCTGCCATATCTTCTGCCGACCAGCCCAAACCATTTGGGTCTCTTATTGCCAAACGCTGTACTTCTCCAACCAGTTGCATCTTCCATAAGGCCCTCGCGACTCGCATTTCTTCAACCCAGCTGGGAGACCAACCATAGTTTTCCGTGACTGGCTCTCCAAAAGCACGAGTCCATGAATGCGTGGTGTTTTGCAAAAAGTCATCCAGACTGAAGTCCCGATTATCGCAGTGGTATGGGTTACATATACTCTTGTTACGCAGGCGCTCCAGATAGAACTCCAAGCAGGTATATGTCAAGACAGAGATTCGACACGCTGTCGCTAGGCAGGAGCGTAAAGATTCAAGACCAGCAGCCTTCAAGCTATCCGATGGCAGTGTAAGAGGTGGGGAGCGATAGCCACCACTCATCCACGGATCCTGTTGCTCGAACAGCGTCTTGAAATCACGCAGATTATCGAAAGGCAGAGCAGAAGAACGGGTCAGTATCACGGCCCGGACCAAGTGCTGGATTTCTATTTTGAGAGGGCACATTGGAAGTACAGCCTCTATTACTTCATTGGCATAGCGATCAAAAATGCGTGATGAAACCGGCGATGCTCTGATGAGGTTGTAGAGGGCATCCAGATCTGTCAGCTCGCACATGATATCCAGCATAATTTCGATTGGAAGAGTCTCCAAAGACGGCTGATGAGAGCGCAGACGTTTCCAGAGCCGGGACAGGCGTCTCCCAAGATGGTGTCTCCAAAGACGGCCCCAAGGGCCACGGATGAGAGAATGGAAATCCGGCTTCATGCTCAGTCCTTGAAGAAGCTGGCCTTTTCTAATTGCACAGATAGATGGAATAGTGGTCGAGGTGCTGCTTGCGGTGAATGAATTGGCTGGAGGAAGCGTTGAGAAAGAGTTTGCCTTTGTTTTGACGGACAACGTTAAATTTTGCCTTGTAGGAAGCGTCTAAAAGTCCATACGGTTCCTCTTGGTCTGAATCTTGGCGTAAATAGTTCCATTATTGTGTAGTGAATATATGCCGTAGTTATATATTCAGGAACTGCTAACAGTAGCTCAACGAGTTTTGAACAGTGGCTCAAAGTGTTTTGAACAATAGGCCAAGGCATAGCTATTAAAAGTTGAACAGTCGCAATTACCACCTTCTTGTCAGGTGACATGAATCTTTGCCACAACTGGCGAGAGCCGTGTTGCTACAGAGGAACATAAACTGAACAAAGGATCTGAGTTATCAACACGGGATGCAGGAAGAAATAATTCCATTAGAAGTACATGTGTGTACCTACTGTTCAGGAATGAATCATACTTTTTATTTACTCTTTTTAAAAGGCTACTAATACAAAAAGCATCACGGCATTGCTCAATGGGACCAAAAAATAACCTTTTATAACAACTTGTGTTTGGGATAAGGACTTGGTAATTTACATGGGAGACAGCCAAAATTTCCGGGTAGGCTGTTAGCTATGTCGTCGTGATGATCGACTCGCTTACACAAGTCACCTAGCTCAACGATACATGTACTAATTCACTGTCAATTCACACAACTTACGGAAAAGCAAACTCTGAAAGTCCATTAACCAGTGGAATCTTGACTGAGTCTAGTGATCTGATTGTGCGTTTGAATACGTTATATGATAATCCTGGTATGCATACCGCTGCCCGTAGTCTTACAACAAAACTCCTCCGTAATGCCAAGTACCTATCTAGAATCGCTACAACATCTCCCGCGGGAATAAAGCTCGGGGCATTTGTCACCGCATCATGGGCAACAAGAGCACGGATACACGTAGCATCGCATCCAAAGACCCTTACAGGTACATAGACTTACGTGGCTGGAGATCTCGCTTGCAGCCCCAATTGCAGGGTCCAGGGCGATCTCCAGAAAAAAAAAAGACGGGGAAAAAAAACGCCAATCCCCCCTGAAAAGCCGCGCGCACGGATTTCACTGCTGTGAAACGAATAAAGAGGGCAAAAGATTGATAGCCTGTTGAAGTGCTACAGCAGTAGTAGTTGTGAAGACTTACCTGCCTATTCTGTCTCTTCTGCTGTCTCTCCTGGGCCAGGCCATGTTTTGGACTTTTTCCAAGCCAAGAGTTTCATTTCACTTCTGCATCGTGTAATCCCGGGCCCTCCAAGCACACCGGCGCCCCGTGAGCTGTTATGCGCATTATCGTCACCGCTAAACTGCGGCGCCAAGAAACGGTTTAGAATCACGTCCCCGTCGATGGCCATTTCGCATCAAATATTACAGTCGGGTCTTTTAAAGGCGCTAAAATTAGCTCGGCTCCATCGCCCACGTAATGTATTAGCGTTCATGTTCTTGAAAGGGAGCGGCATTTGTTCTTGCGTTGGCTTATTTCTCATGTATTGAATCTTGCGTATTGGCGGGCTGATTGTATCGCGGGAGGCCGCTTTGGCGCCATGTAATATAGGCTTTGTTACGCTGCAAAGGATAGAGTATAATAACACGCTCCTGGTAAGCAGAGCTATTGGCACAACGTTTCGGCCTCGGTAGACATCAGCTCACTCAGAAAGTAAAGCACCCGGCAGTAGCATCGTGTAAGAGGCAGATGGCATTATGCCCGGTTATAACGCAGTCGATCCGATTTCACATAAACTATCCCCTGCCCTGTAACGGAATACGGGGTTTGGGTTTGGAGTAGCATCTGCTAAGTAGCATTTGTACGGAGTAGATTGGCTGTTAGCAATGCGCTGCTTTGAAACTATCGCCATTTTCAGCTAGTTTAGTTGGTCCAATGCCGGGACTGGAGCCTCAATAGCCGCTGAAAGCTGCAGTCTATCGAATGTAGGAAATAAGTGAAATGAGATGATGTAAAAGGCCTCCTTTTTTTCAGCTTCTCTTTGAAAGCTGACACTGAACACACATATCTTCACTTTCCTCTGTGGCACCATCAGATCAGTCGTCATAGGCCCTCATTACAGCCACAAAGTACTGGCTTCTGTCAGCAGCCTCTCAGCACGAGACAATTCCCCTCTTCAAGGCTCGAAAAATAAAAAACTCACGATGCCGCCAAAATCGCGCCCTGGGTTTGTCTCCCCCGATAAGTGGCGCCAGGTCCCGGATCCCGGTTCAAAGGAGTGGGCCTCTGTGCTGGGCTTCATTTAGCCCCTTGTTTTCCGTCGTCTTTTTCGTGCCCCTAATAGCCGTTTGGCAGCTCTTCTTTTCTCTCTCTCGCAGAAGAATGGGCTACCCCCAGTCCTCTTGTCCCTCTTCATCGTGAGTTTCGCCGCTTCTGCTTGTCACAAGCGGTCGCGTGCGCCTGACGCAGTTTGTCTGACCTTTTCACTCTTTTCTTCCTCCTCCTCTTCTTTTCTATACTTTCAAAACGCGCAACACGTTTTATAGACGTCTCTTTTTCTCGACGCTCTTTGTTTGACACGAGTTGTACACGTGCTTCTGGACTAATCTACACTGCCTCCCTCACTTTACTCTGCCCTAGTATTAGGTAGCATACGCCCTATCCGACGTAGACCAGGTCTGGTAGTACCGAATAATCCATATCTTTTGTCTCTTCTGCTGGAATAGCTGGCCGTGCCCTTCATCGACAGATCGCGGCCTGGCTGGAGCGGCGCCTAGTCCCGGTAGCTAGATGGCTCTCATTGTGGATATTGTGCGATCGGTCCTGTGCACGTCGTGGCTTAACCTTTTGCTTGTCTTTGTTCCTGTCGGATATGTTTCTTATTTCATCGGCCTCAACTCTACGATAATCTTCGTCTTCAACGCTCTCGCTATTGTACCTTTATCGTCTTTACTTACCGACGTCACGGAGAAGATTGCCAGCGATGCTGGCGATACCATTGGTGCCATCCTCAACATCAGCCTCGGCAACCTTGTCGAGCTGATATTATTGTAAGTACCGCGAGTTGTCTCTTTTTGTTGTCTCTCTTTATTCTTTTCTTGAGCATTGACGCCCTTGGTACTTGCCCTCGTTACCCCTCCAAGCTAACTTGTTTCTGTAGCATGTAAGTCGAATCAACCTCACGCGAGCAACGTACTGTTCCGCTCGATGATTGCCATACTAATCCAACCAGTGTCGCCCTCAAGAATGACCAAATCCGAGTCGTCCAAGCGTCCATTCTTGGATCTATTCTTGTGAATCTGCTCTTGATTCTGGGCTCGGCGCTTCTAACGACCAAGCTCCCCGACCAAGAGTTCCTCCACGATGCCGCCGGCACACAGCTACTCGGATCGCTGCTGTTTGTGTCGGTGTTTACTTTCTTGATGCCTGTGAGTGGCTGTCCCGCTTCATATTGTCTATTGCCGGAGTAGACCGTTGACCGTTTGAAATAGACTGCCTTTGACCACACATTCAGAGGACAAGAAGGCGCTGAGGGCATGAGCCTGAAGATGAGCAGAATATCTGCTGTCATGATCCTGCTCATTTACATCCTTTACTTTTTCCACGAAATCAAATCTCGCACGCCCCCTCACGACCTCGAAGCCGTACCCCACGACGAAGACGCCGACGACGTTACGTTGATACACGACGCTGATCAGGTCCCTCTTCGACCTATGCCTCTTTCTTCAGAAACCCTACACGCTTCGCAAGCCACCCACAGAGTCGTCAGATTCGTCGACGTTAGCCCCATATCAGAACATGCTCCTCTGAAAGATGGCGAGCGGGATAGCTTGGACGGTCTAGACCACGAGACTGAGCTGGAAAACGAAGACTATCTCGAAAACGGAGAGCCAAAGGAAGAAGCAGGAGAGGGCTTCCAAAACTCTCGACGAGCCAGGACACGAGGCCGCTCATTATCGTTGGGCTCAAGCAGGGGAGCACTGAGCGAGACGTCGGAAGGAGGAGACCGAACGGAACTGATGGCGCCATATCTCACGACGAGACAGATTCTTCGCGACAGCCACGTCAACCTCGACCGTATCGTCGCCAAGCCGAAGCGAGTCTCGTTTGGACCCAGGATCGATCGCATCATCTCCTACGTGATGCTCATCATCACGTCAGCGCTCATGTCCGTGTCCGCCGAGTTCCTCGCCAGCGCCATCGACGATGTGATTCGACAGGGCCACCTCTCAGAGTCTCTCATTGGTCTGATCATCATGCCAATTATCGGAAACGTCGCCGAGTACGCCACTGTGGTTATTGTCGCCGCAAGAGACAACATGGGTCTTGCACTGGCGGTTTCTGTGGGCTCGTCTATCCAGATTGCATTGTGTGTGACCCCCTTGACGATTATTGCGGGCTGGATCATGGATCGTCCGTTGATGTTGACCTTCAACCTGTTTGAGATCGCCACGCTGTTTGGATCGGTCTTGTTGGTGAACTTTTTGATTTTGGGCGAAGGCGTCAGTGGTCCGCTGCGGTCCAGTGGGCTGAAGGGTGGCCTGATGTGTGCATGTTATGTGATTATTGGGTGAGTCGAACCTGTGATATTCTCTTTTATACAGATTTTGCTAACGGATGAAACAGACTTGGGGCTTTTCTGTCTCCTTAATACAATTGGCGATATCGGACCTGTTTTTATATATAGAGCTTATGCATTGGAAGCCGAGCCAAATGATTAGATGCATCAAATAGAGATAATCATAATGAAGAAATTAAACAAGTAAAACTACTTGGTCAATGTGCCCGCATGTTGAAGTCATGCTGCAGGTGCTCTTACGTAATCACGTGCCGAGACATGTTAACCTCTAATCTCCTAAACAGCGAGTTCAACACTCCTTGTACGTCTCACGCAAACGTCGGCATGTTGTAACGAATAATACGGGCAGCGCAACCATTTGGCGACGACGTCTCGTCTTTCATCTCTACACACGGTCATGCGGCGTGAGCGGGATGACTCAGACGATGAAGACATTCCGCTGCATCATAAACGCCCCTTTGGCGCTGGGCTGAAGCGCACGAAAATCGAGTTTGTCAAGGCAACAGATCCAGATGCCAGCAACACGGTCAAGGCCGTCGGTGCGCAGTCCGCATCCATCGGCGATGTCTACGCCAGCATTGTTCTGGGCAGCAGCGCTACGGATACTGCGTCAAAATCCGAACTCGTCAGCGATGCAAAGGAAGACACGACGTCACTGCCAGAAAAGCAGGCTGAGCCTCCGTTGTGTCCTGTCTGCTCGCTCCCCATCACTACGACGCTGCAGAAGCACGAAGCCTCGCTTGCGCATCAAGTGAGCCTGGAACACTCCCACCCGCCATCTGCGCTGGATCGATCGCGCATGGGTTTGCGAGCCCTGGAGTCTCAGGGCTGGGATCCCGATTCCCGCCTGGGCCTGGGCCGTGAGGGCGAGGGGACCCGGTTCCCCATCAAGATACTCCCGAAAAAGGATACGCTGGGCGTTGGGGCGAAGCAGCCGGCAAAGCAAAAGGTGGAAGAGAAACCACGGCCACTGACTGCCAAGGAGATGCGCGCTCTGGCGGAGAAGGAGAAGAGGAAAGGAGAGCGGCTGCAGGCTGAGATGTATGGCCGGGTGGATGTGGAAAAGTATCTTAGGGGGAATGGAGGTGAGGATGGCTTATAAGTGTGAAGTTGACCATGTTTGGACAAGATATACAAGATATATATCGTACACGGAATATGGCTGCAGCAAACATCAAACCAGTAGAAGCACTTCTAGCCGGAAGTTCGTGCACCTTTGTGGCTGAATGAATGGTCGCGTGATGTGTTGTCTTAAACATGAATTAATTTGCATTGCATGATTCCATACTGAACACTCCATGTACACTACGTCGAAATTATATCGACAAGAAGATTTAGTATAGCATCAATGATGATCGTCCCTGAGATGAACTGGACCCTGAATCTGCACCTCGGAGTACAAAGGCGGTAGCTCTACTTCTCGTCAAGCCACCGCTAAGCTGCTAGAGCTGCGCATTCTTTACTGAACTTGTAGTGACCTCATCGGCCCCGCTAGCGCTAAAGTTAGGGGCCAGGCGCTAAAGACGAGCCTGAAGCAGCCTGGGTCGCCCGGAGTTTCAGCCTCTGCATTTCCCAACCCCGCCAAAACCGCAAGCTTGTTGGTGATGCTTCACAAAACAAACTTGACCTCCTTAGCCTCGGGACCGCTTGAGCTTGCAGCAGCTGTTTTGGACGCCGGCTCGCGTGCTGCTGGGAACTGCGTATAGTCAAAGTCGAACTCGTTATCCGAATAACGTCCTCTGCTTGTAGCCTGCACCCTCTCAGGCCATCGCCGCCGGCCTCTTCCACCATCACCGCCTGACGGGACAGCTCCGTCCACCACCGCCAAGATGGGGTTGTCCGTCATTGAAGAGCAGCACAATGGTATGGACTCCATTTTTTGAGCTCGAGAGTTGTTATGAACGGAATTACTGACTCTAGCTATAGTCATTCTACAGGAAATCAAGAACATCACCCAGAACGACGTACGAGACCGCCCGCCCCTGTTTATCCCCTACGATGGACCGAGATACTGACGCAGATCGCTGCAAACGACAGTGGAAGTGCTTGATCGTGGACGAAAACTCCAAAAAGATTGTAGACAATGCTGTCAAGGCAGATGACATCCTCAACAGCAATATTGCGAGTCAGTCCTCGTCTTCGTCTGCCAGGGACACCACCACATCACCACGAAGCTTTTCGGCTAACTTGGCTACTTTGCAGCTATCGAGCGAATCGAAGACCGTCGAGAACCCAATCCCGAAATGGATGCCATCTATCTCCTCAGTCCCGAGCCGCACATTGTCGACTGCCTCCTGGCTGACTTCGAGCGCCGGCGCTACCGAAGGGGATACTTAGTCTGGACGAATCTGCTGGAGCCAGGGCTGCGAAGACGCCTCGATGATTACCCCAATATCCGCCAGCTGCGTGTAAGCTCTCGAACGCTCTTCATCGACTTTTACCCACGAGAAACCCACCTTGTGACGTTCCGCGACCCGTGGAGTTTCCCGATGCTATACCACCCGTCATGTAATGCTCTAGTGCCCAAACACATGCAGCTTCTTGCGCAAAGGGTAAGCCGGATCGAATGCATTTACGCTAAATAGACTGGAGATGCTGAATTATTGCGCCAGATTGCAGGAATTTGCATTACGCTGGGGGAGTATCCAAAGGTAAGGTATTACCGACCGAAAAATGCCATCCACGAGGCTTCCGTACTATGCACACACCTGGCGAGATTCGTACAAGAAGAACTGGACGGGTATGCTCAATGGGACTCCAATTTCCCGCCTCCGTCAACCAGACCTCAGTCAACGCTGCTCATTACGGACCGATCGATGGATCTCATGGCACCTCTAGTACACGAGTTCACCTACCAAGCCATGGCACACGATCTGCTCCCTATCAAAGATGGCGACAAGGTAACTTTTCACACAACTATCAACGAAGGGACCCAAGAAGCCGAGGAGAAGGACATGGAGTTGGCCGAGAAGGACAAAATCTGGGTTGAAAACCGCCATCGACACATGAAAGACACCATTGACAAGCTCATGGGTGATTTCCAAAAGTTTTTGGATCAAAATCCTCATTTTACGAAAGAAAGCGCGGATCCGACAAGCCTGAGTGCCATTCGAGATATGATGGCAGGATTGCCCCAATTTCAGGAGATGAAGCAGGCTTACTCGCTGCATCTTACCATGGCACAAGAGTGTATGAACATATTCCAACACCACAAACTTTCTGACACTGCTATCGTGGAGCAGACCTTGGCCACTGGATTGGACGAGGATTATAAGAAGCCAAAGAACACCCTCGATTCCGTGGTGCGGCTGTTGGACGATGATGCGGTATCTACTGGAGACCGACTACGACTCATTGCCATGTACGCGCTATACCGCGGTGGTATGATTTTGGACGACGTCAAAAAGCTGCTGGCACACTCGGGTCTACCACCTCAAGATGTAGAAACCGTCGTCAATTTTGAGCACATTGGCGGAAGAACCATGAAACAAGGGCTCAAAGACCCTCAGCAACCAACCGTTCCCCTATTTCCGGTTGACCTGAAGAATGCGCAGAACGAAGACGAGTATACTCTATCGCGCTATGAGCCTGTTCTAAAACAAGTCTTGGACGGATTGACCAAGGGATCTCTGGATCAGACTAGCTTTCCCTATGTCAAACCACCGCTCGATCCCAACGAGGACCTTGTTGCAGCTCAAGCCGGGTCACTTCGTGCTGCTGGACGGCCGAACTGGGCAGCAGCGGGACGCCGCCCCCCTGAAAACCGCCAGAGGCTGATCGTTTTCATGGCCGGTGGTGCAACGTACAGCGAGAGTAGAGTATGCTATGAAATTGGCAACGAGCGCAGTCGAGATGTCATCTTGGCAACTTCTCACATGCTTACGCCCCAGCTCTTCCTTCGTCAAATTGGAGACTTGAGTCGCGATAAAAGGCAGCTGGATCTTCCTGCGGAACGCAAGAAGCACGCACCCGCTCATCTCTTCGAGCGCCCGGCGCCACCACCTCAGGCTCAGCCGCCACCGCCGAGGCAGCCAGTGCCTGCCGGAGGACCTCGACCAGGTGGTCTTCCAAGCCAACCGATGGCTCGTCCGGGTGGTCTTCCCAGCAGACCAGTTCCCAGCGGCACTGTTCCAACGCAGGCCATGGCGAACATGAGCATTAGTAACCCGCCTAACCACAGGCCCACGACGTCAAGCAGCTCACATGACGATGGCAAACTGCACAAGGAGAAGAAGAGGAGGAATTTCCTGGGCCTGAAGAAGTAGGGTTCTTCTCGGGAGAGGTCTTTTTCGTCTAGTTCTACAGCGTCAAGTAGCGGAGACAAGAGCAAGAAGCGGCATGCTTGAACTTTTTATATGTTTGTTGGAAGTAGAAGGATATCAATTTTCTCTTTCTCTTTTTTTTCTACACTACTTTTTTTTTCTTAACTTTTTTGCGAGGAATGTTAATTCTTTTTCAGCACTCCTTTATTTTTGGGTAAAATGTTTCTTATTGTTCTCTCTAAAAGCGTGGCGTGGAGAATTGAGCGACAAAGTTGTGTCATTTGCGGGTGGAGGAATGGGTTGAATGTTTTTATGTGCCGAAGACGTCTTAATATTTATGATGATGTCCAAGTAATAGAATTTTCTTTCTTTTGAAAAAAAAAAAAAAAAAAAAAAAAAAAAAGTGGGTGTAGCACTTCAAATGACATGGCCGTATATGATGTGTGCAATGAGAACAAGGTCAAATCGTGTAAGTTAACAGGGATATATAGAACAAGAAAAAGCCACTCCATGACATGCTCCGCTATTTCACCATGAATCATACATAACAAGAAGCAAATTTGCCCATCAAATCAACTCCGTTGCCAAAATTTCAAAACCGCGTCTCAACAGCCTTCTTGGCCTTATTCACCCTCTCCTGCGTCCTCTTAACCCGCTCCTGGTCCATACCCATCCTCCAAGAACAGCCCGCCGCGAATTCACACGTCGAGCATTTAAACGCCTCCTCAATAGCCACTCCCTTGGGCTTTCTGTCACCACGCCACCAGCTCATGTCGCCGGCGAGATACGCATCCAGCGTCTGTGGGGAAACAGGGAAGTCGTGCGCGTTGAGCTCACGGCCGTCTTCGCGGTAGACGTATTTTACGCAGAGGATGTGGCCTAGGGATTCTGCGCCGCGAGGGAAAGTGAGGCTGATTTCATGCTTCACGAGGGGGAGAAGCTCGCGGAGGGTTCCGTATTTGAGAAGGTCGGGTGTGCCAGGAGCTGAATCCGATTCAAGAGCAGTGCGACTATCGTCTTGGATTTCGCCTCCTTGTGACGCTGTTGTTGGCATCTCCCTGAATTCCTCTGCTGAACTCGTTGGTGAATCGAAAAAGATTTCGTCATGAAGTTCTCCGATTTGAGACATGAATGTGTCGGAGAAGCGCACGTCGGCATCCAGCCCATATCGCCTGAATATTTTGAAAAAGTCTAATTGACCGGCAGCCATGACGGACAAGAAGCGATGGTATAACAACAGTTGGATCTTTGCGGGGCGTATTATTGCTGGCGATATAGGCGACAAAGTACCCCGTGTTTTGACATCCGCTAGAAAGATCTTGCGATGGCTGCCCTTGGATTTGTTAGTAGAACTGGGAGGTGGGAAATAGTCAGAAATCATCGACTGGCCCTCGCCGGGCTGCAATTCTTGGTTGGACAGTTCATTCTCAAAATCCGGATTCGGGTTGTCGTAGCTTATATCGTCAATGACGCCGCTGACCAGATTGCCGTCGACGAAGCCCCAAACTTCCAGCTCTCTCGTCAAGCCCGTATCCCGCAGCGTTCTCAGCCCCTGAACCAAGTTCCACAGCCTCAGCGCAAACCCGTCTTCCTTCTGCACAATCTCAATCTTGACAGTTGTGTGGACCTCATCTTCAAGCTTCTTGTGCACCTTGGATCCCTGCTTCATGGCCGGTGTCCGGGTTCTGCGCCCGCCAGGCAGTTGCGTGAGCGTGTACCAGTACTGAAGCTCGCACCATGCTCCGGCAGTCAGGTCGGTTACAGTCAGAGGTCTCTTGGGGAACGCCCGAAATCTTTGCAGAGGTGAGAGATCAGCTTCGGATTCGGCCTCGCCATCGTCGCTGAGCTCTGTAGGTGGCGGTAACTGGACGGACCCAATCGCTTGTAGAGCGCTAGTTACTACAGCAAGAATCAGCATTTCATCACTCGATATAGAAAGGTGAGATTGAGTTCCTGCTCACAGTCGGGATATGCGACAGGGTCGTGAGCTGATGAGGCAGATGAGAAAGCCCGTTTCTGCTCTGCGCCCCTGGCAAACACATCTGGCGCTTTTCCCTTGTTACCAGGACCAAGCGCCAGTGCATCGTGAGGATATACACGCTCGTGGAACGCCTTTACCTCTTGCGATGCCTTGAGGCCTGCTACGGTCTTCTCTGCGGTGCTTGCAGCTGCGATGAGCGCCACAGCGTCTGTCGACTGCGCATTGGAAGCAAGTTGGATCAAGAGCTCCTCGTCGTCTGTTTCGAAATCGTAGCCAAACTCATCGTCGCTCATGGTTGCCGCAGAAACTGGGGCATGATGCTGCCGTTGCATCTGCGCGTGGAGGCGAATGCATGCAATGGCGGGGTGACCGTGATTAAGAAGCCCAGTCCGCGGCTCAGATTCGCGATCGAAACACGCGATCACGTGGGGCTAGGCATCTGCTGAGGATATGCTGTGGCATGTGTCTGGGTGACCTGAAAGATGTCGATTGCGGATACTGCCTCCTGTATATGACTGATTCCTATAGATGGGATGGCATTTGAATGAATGAGAGTTACTCGTTGATCAAGGTTGAATTCAATACCATGATGGAGTGCCTATTGACGGCACACCGGTAATGCTCACCGGCGAAATGTCGCCACAGGTGCATAACAGAGCCAATGTCCAACAGCTGATATAAGACCTGTTTCAACCCTCTGCACCGTTCCACCTCGTCAATCGCACGAGGCTAGTGCCGTCTCGCATCTTGGCAGGCAATTCGAGGAATTAATCTCTCATGCCCGCCGCAGCTCGCACTTATACGAACCACACATCTCGTATATGCAGCGCCGCTGTAAGTGCCATATCTAGACCAAGGCCATTATCCTGGCGACTGCCCAAGGCGGCAAGTGGGCTCAAGCACGAATCGTCACTCATCCGCAAACGGCTGACTAAGCCAGTCTTTGATCCTGTACTGTACAGCTGGCGACTGCGCTGCGTGGGACGCGAGTCCATCCAGGCTCCTGAAGCTGCGCCTCGAAACTGGCCTCGACGTCTGCAATTTCCCGCCTGCGACACTGCCGAATCGCCAATTCCAGCGCCCTCTACAGAAGCTGCTCCCATTGCGCAGCGAGCAGCGCGGACCACTGCGAGCGACGCCTGGCTGCGTCCATCATAACCCCTTCCGACCTGGCCTGAGCTTCGGCGGATCCCAGGGCCGGCCGCCATTACGACCACCTCGTTACGAACACCTCAGCCTCTTCAACCTCTGCGTGGCATGATACAACCACAACTCGACGATGCAGCTCCCACATAATGCGCCAGCAGCGCTCCTGGCGACCCTCCTTGCGGCGCCGCAGCTGGCATCGGCCTTTTACCTGCCCGGCGTCGCCCCGACCTCGTACAAGCCCGGCGACGATGTCCCTCTCTACGTCAACAGCATCCGCCCCGTGGCCGCGCCGCAAGATGCCCGACTGCACTCGGTCGTGTCCTACGACTACTACCATCCCGCCTTCCAGTTCTGCAAGCCAGAGGGCGGCCCGAAATATGTGTCGGAGAGCCTGGGGAGCATCCTGTTTGGCGACAGGATCATGACTTCGCCCTTCGACCTCAAGATGGGCCAGAACGAGACGTGCAAGTCGCTGTGCGCGGTCAAGTACCAGGAGAAGTCGGTTGAATTTGTCACGACGAGGATTGAGCAGGGTTACAGCTTGAACTGGCTTGTGGATGGACTTCCTGCCGGCCAGCAGATCCAGGACCAGCTCACGGGCACGACCTTTTACAGCCCTGGATTCCTGCTGGGACAGGACGACGAGGCGAGCAACATCATTTTCAACAACCACTACGAGATCTGGGTCGAGTACCACGAGGTCAATAAGAACCCGAACCAGCTTCGAGTTGTCGGCGTTGTTGTCCAGCCCAGCTCCAAAAAGTACGAGGGAGATGCCGATTGCGGCGACAACCACCAGTCGCTCATCTTCGCTCACGGCGGCGGGCCGCAGGATGTCAAGTTTAGCTACAGCGTGTACTGGGTCAAGTCGCCCACTGCCTGGGCCACCCGATGGGACAAGTACCTGCACGTCTTCGACCCCAAGATCCACTGGTTCTGGCTCGTCGACACGGCCATCATCGTCGTCATCCTTGTGCTTACCGTCATGTCTATTTTGGTCCGAACGTTGAAGAAGGATATTGCGCGATACAATCGCCTGGACCAGATCAATCTGGACGACCTGAGCGGCACTTCGGTGCTTGAAGATGGAGTTCAGGAGGACTCGGGATGGAAGCTGGTCCATGGCGACGTGTTCCGATCTCCCTCGCGTCCGCTGCTGCTCTCTGTACTTTTGGGTAACGGAGCCCAGCTGTTTGTCATGACTGGATTCACCATTCTGTTTGCCCTGCTTGGTTTCCTCTCGCCCTCTAACCGAGGGTCCTTGGGCAGCATCTCCATCATTCTTTATACCATTCTCGGAATTGTTGGAGGCTACGTCTCTGCCAGAACTTACAAATCCATGGGTGGCGAGCAGTGGAAGGTTAACATTGCTCTTACCCCTCTGCTTGTCCCCGGTATCGTATTTACCGCCTTCTTCCTCTTGAACCTTTTCCTCTGGGCCAAGCAGTCCTCTGGCGCCGTTCCTTTCACAACTATGCTCGTCATTGTCGGTATCTGGTTCGTCATCTCAATCCCTCTCTCCTTTACGGGCTCTTGGCTCGGTTTCAAGGCCGTTCAGATCGAGGCTCCCGTCCGCACCAATCAAATTCCCCGCCAAATTCCTCCTGTTACGACATACCTCAAGCCCATTCCTAGCATGCTCATTGTTGGTCTGCTGCCATTTGGTGCCATCTTCGTTGAGCTGTACTTCATCATGAGCTCAATCTGGTTCAGCCGTATCTACTACATGTTCGGCTTCCTCTTCCTCTGCTACGGCCTCATGATTGCAGTCTGCGGCGCCGTCACCATTCTCATGACATATTTCCTCCTGTGTGCCGAGAACTACAACTGGCAATGGAGATCTTTCCTGGCTGCTGGAATGAGCGGAGGTTACGTCTTCCTCAACTGCCTCTTGTATCTGATTACCAAGGTGAAGCTTGGTGGTTTTGCGGGAGTAGTCCTGTACATTGGTTACAGTGCTTTGATTTCCTTCCTGTTCTTTATTCTTGCTGGTATGTTGCAAGGCCATGTCCCCTTGTATCAAAAATGACCAAAAACTAACAAGCTATTAGGCACCATTGGCTACTTCTCTTCTTGGTGGTTTGTAAGAAAGATTTACTCTTCAATCAAGATTGATTAAACGATATAGAGCTATACGCGGTGGCGGCGAGGGTTCAAGAAGGGTGCTTTGAAAAGATTCTTCAGCAACTTGTAAAGTACATGTATGAACATGGTGTGCACAACGATTTCTCGTTGATTGAAAACGGACAAAGGAAGGAAAATCAGCGATCTTTCTATTTTGCACATTCAAGGCGACATTGTCTTCTTTTTTTCTTTTTTGGTGCAACTATGGAGAAAAGTGAGAGGGATTGGGCGGGAAAAGAACATTTTGCGGGATAGACATGTTTCTAATCGAAGAATATTGACTTTTAAATTAAGTAATGTGATTTTGGTACTGTTTGTTGTATTGATAATTTCCATCATATTGATGCTCTATTATCCAATTCTAAGCATAGCTATCAACGTGCGTTGCATGAGTTGATCAAACAAGGCAATTAATCCTCGTCGTCATCGTCATCCAAATCATCCAAATTCGTAAATTGAAACTGCTTCTTCTCGGGCCTCGCGCTCGGAGGTGCGTTGACAGCCGCATCTCCAGAGATACCAGCAGCGGTACTCGCTCTTCGAAAAGCAGCTTGTTCTTTTTCTCTCCGCAGCAAATCTTCCTTGCGGAGGCGTTCCAGCTCTTCTCGCCTCTCGCGCTCGCGCTCGGCACGCTCTAGCTTTTCTTTTTCTTCCTTCTCCTTGCGCTCTTCTTCTTCTTTGCGTTTGCGCTCCTCTTCTGCGACGGGGTCGTAGCCTTTGGGATCGATGCCTTGTTCTAGGAGGATTTGGTTGGATGCTAGGGCCCCAGAGCGGATCTTGTCTTCCAAGGGCCAGGGGAAGAAGAGCTGTCCCGAGAGAGGGTTGAGGAACTGGCTCATATTCTCCGGCAGGCTGGTAAGCTGAGAGGTTTGGCTTTGGTCGGGCAGGCCAGACGGTAACACGCCATTGACAGGAGCGGGGCTTTGCGTGGGATTCGGGGTCTGAGCAGAGGGCGTCATGCCTGCTTGAGTCTGAGAGTCGGGCAAGGGCGTTTGGCTCTCTTGCGTCGTCGAGGCTAGGGCGTTTAAGATTGCAGAGGGCGGCATGGACGTCTTGCTGATGCGGCGGGCATAGCTGAGGAGCTCTTCGTAGACGATGGGGTAGTTTGGCTCGGAGGGATAGACGGTGACTTGGGTGGTGACGATGTCTTTGCGGGTTGTCGCGAGGCTGGTGAGGGTTTCGCGGATTTGGGTGTCTAGGGACGTGGAGAGCTGGCGAAGTTGTTGGATTTTGAGGTGGTTGTTTTGATGCGTTTGCACTGGGAGATGGTCAGAGTGGTTAATCATGGGTGAAATGCGAGACTGCTTCAGCATACCTTCTTCCAGTCCTTTGCAGAGCTCATCGTCGGCAGTCTTGAGCTCCTCGGCTTGAACAGTAGAGGGGTGGTACTTGGTGACCGAGTCGATTAGATTAGCAAGAGCCTTTTCCAGGCGCTCAAAGCGGGTGTCGATGTACGTGTCCATTTCGTTGATGGCTCGGCACTTGAAGCGCGAAACGGGACATCTTGAGAGAAAGAAACGAGGCTGGTTTCATTGCCTGAAAAGGTATTGGATCACAGCTTGTGTGGGGCCAAACAGATGGGCTCGTATGATTGGGCGCCGCAATTCAAGATTGGCTTAGTCAGGGCCTCAGGCCAAAATCTCGCCCGAGAATCGCCGGCATACCATCTCCAAACTCGCGCATTTTTGAGTGACGGCGCATTCCCCCCACGACGGAATTGACGAGCAATTGAACGAATTTTGCGGCTTTACTCGCTACCTACAGTCAAGATGGTCTCTCAAGTGCGTCCCGACTTGTTTTTCCCAAACTGTTACCCCTCGTACGGCCGGCAGAATGGCCTTTTTCGGACAATCGAAGCGATGAAAGCTAACTTTTTTTGCTGCGAATAGACTCCCTTCCGCGCTGCGGAATTCAAGAGCGCTTTCGGCCCCAAGTACGTTCGAACTATACGATCCTGAAGAAGGAATATTCTGCGATTTTTGGGATCCGCCCTGTGTTGGAGAGGCTTTCCAGGGGTTTCTCGTGCAGCTTGGATGGTTCAAGCGGGCTAACATTTTCGCAAAGATACGCTTTCCAGCCCAACTTCAAGGGCATTAGCGTCCAGTCCGCTACCCGATAGTAAGTCAACGGACTTTATGTTTGTTTCAATTCCACGGTTGGAAGAGGATTTGAAGAGGAGTAGCGGGAAGAAGTCTTCTGGTCTGCATAGTGGGGTGATTGATACCGGGAATTTTCATGGGATATCTTGGCTACATTATGCGATTGTCCTAGACTTTGAGAGCCGTCTCCTCGAATCTTCTCCTGCGAAATCGACTTTTGGGAACAGATATATAGGGCCCTGAGCTTGCTAACTCGTCAACAGCGGCTTCCGATCTGCCACTATCGGTGCCGGCCTCGGTATGGCTCTGGTCCTCTTCGCCTCCAGCCTTCCTCGTTTCCGTGCCGACGTCCTCTCAGTAAGTTGTTGCTGCTGAAATGCTAGAGAATATATACTAACGTGGAGACTTTAGAAAATCCCTATTATCGGCAGCACCTGGGAGAAGAAGGAGATTCACCCTGCTGACAACGTAAGTTCTGTCCTGCTTGATTTTTGTCAGGAGGTTGGATTGCTAACTGATGTTTGATAGCCTTTCTAAATGTATTTATTAATGGATTGGTGTTTGGTGAAAACTGTAAGGCTTTGCGCAGCGATTGCGGTAGCTTGCCTTTGTATAAGAGATACACAATAGACATATTCTAAACCACAGTAATTATCATCTAGAGAAAGTGATTTGTTCATAAATAGACTGTAACATCTTTTTCTTAAAACCACATATGTTTGTATGTGAATAGGCGACTTAATCTTGTCTAAAAGTAGGCCACTCTTGACAGACAGCACAGTGCTTCTATACGGTTCTCACTGTCTGCGTCTCATTCATCTTGCCAGCTCATCTCATTCCGACCTGCTGCCAATTCAACGCCGTGACGCGCCTCAGCCCATGCAAATTTTTCGAAATGGAACGCTCATTATAATTGTTTTTTTAAAAATATTCACCTTTTCTCTTTTCTGAATTACTTTGAAAATTGAGCAAAGTCTCCTTTCCCCAACATGGCATCGCTAATAAGCGGCGCCCCTGACGCCCTTGGAACCTTCAAATTCGCATCCTGGGCTGCCGGCGCTGTCCCAATCGCCTTCGTCCTCCATGTGTTCCTTTTCAGAACCAGTGGAAACAGTGCCGGGAATTTGGGTCTTGGATTTACCGTTTTCCTCGCGGCGGCAGCGTTTCTCTGGCTAGGTGTGGTGTCTGAAACTGTTCCCGAGCCCTATCTGGTGAGTATAATTAGGGGAGAATCTGTAAAGTGCACAGTATGCTAATCGGATTGGTGAAAACAGGATGAAGTATTCCATATTCCTCAGGCGCAGAGGTATTGCGAGGGCAGATTCTTGGAGTGGGATGACAAGATTACTACGCCCCCGGGATTGTAAGTTAGGCTGCCGATATCAATATACAAGGGAGACTGACTAACGATGCGGCCAGATACTGGATATCAATCTTGATCCCTCAAGCAGCCAAAAGCAGCGGTCTGATTGCTTCTTATGCTTGTGATGCCAAGACTCTTCGGGCAACCAACGCAGTCGGCATCATCGTGCTGAGCTACACAGCCCTGCTCTGTCGAAAAGCAATCGAAGCACGTCTTCACCAAGCGCATTCATCCACCAGCATCAGCTCCACATCTCAATATGCGGCTCACACAGCTCTCAACATTGCTCTTTTCCCTCTTCTCTTTTTCTTTTCGGGGCTTTATTACACAGACGTTGTATCTACGGCTGTTGTCCTCGTATCCTTCTTGAACCATCTCCATCGCATTGGTCGTGATCAGAGTTCCTTCTTGAGCGATGTCACAACTATAGTCCTAGGGCTATGCAGCCTCACCATGAGACAGACGAACGTGTTTTGGGTTGTTGTCTTCATGGGGGGTTTAGAGGCTGTCCATGCTGTCAAGAGTTTGCGACCAAAGGTGGTTGTCCAGCCATACATGACGTCGCTGTCGGAGCAGTTGTTGTTTTTCTTCAAGAGATGGTCTGTTGGGCATGTACATGATCTACCATTGAACATGGCATACCCCGAAGGTAAAAAATGGCACCTGATCTAGCTTAGAGTCAAATGCTAATCAAGAAACTCCAGATATGCTATTCACCGCCGTCAGTCTCATAGTCGCAGCACTCTGCAACCCCTTACGGCTCATCAGGCAGATATGGCCCTATGTCACCGTCCTCGCCGCCTTTGCAGGATTCGTAGCATGGAACGGCGGCGTGGTCCTTGGCGACAAGTCCAACCACGTTGCTACCATACATGCCCCCCAAATGCTCTACATCTGGGCTTTTTTCGGCTTCTTCTCACTCCCGCTATTCGTCCCGTATGCATTCCTCGCAATCGATGCTATACGGAGCGTCTTCATTTCACGTAAAGACAAGGCCGTACCCAGAAAGAGCAAAACAGCATCCCAGCCGGCGCTGTCACTCCCACTGAAACTCTTCACCTTCATCTTCAACAATCGACTTCTCTGGCCACTCTACTTGGCCGCTACGTTTGTCTTGTCTGGCCTCGTTGTTCGCTTCAACACCATCATCCACCCGTTTACTCTCGCCGACAATCGCCACTACATGTTCTACGTCTTCCGATACACCATTCGCCGTGCGCCTTGGATTCGCTATTTCCTCATCCTACCGTATACGCTCAGTCGCTGGCTCGTCTGGGGCACCCTGTCCGGCTGTACGAATTGGATCTCGGGAGCTCACAAGGACGCCTGTTCGGCATATTACTACTCATCTCGCCCGTCGCCATTTACCTGCGACCCCTTTGTCGTAGCAGATGTTGGCGCACCTACTTCCAAAAATCCTCAAGAAGAGACAAAGAAAAACACCGAGCAGGATCCTCTCTTATTCTCAACAGAGCCCGCCCCAACATCCACCGGGCTCATTTTCCTGCTCGCCACCAGCCTTTCGCTCATTACGGCGCCATTGGTCGAACCTCGCTACTTCATCATTCCGTGGGTCATATGGAGACTTTTGGTGCCTGCCTGGAGACTGCACGACCATCAGGAAGAAGAGAATAGTCTGTTTGACGGCGCCAGTTCAACATCCCCCTGGGGGAAACTCATCAAATTTTGTCGTGGTTACGACGTCCGGCTGATTCTGGAAACAATCTGGTTCATTTTGATTAATGCCATCACGGGATACATATTCTTATCCAAGCCATATGTTTGGAAGGCCGAAGATGGAAGTATTCTTGACGGAGGCAGATTACAGCGCTTTATGTGGTAGACCAAAAAGTTATAGACAAAGAATTGTATTTGCTCAGAGGCTGTAATAAAGCCCCATTTCTTATGCCAGATAGAGTATGATGGTAAAAGCTTCAGTTGTAAAAGTTTCAGTTGTAAAAAAGGTTTGCAGATAAACAATATTCCGAGCCCAAGTGCAAAACAACGCCGCGCCCATGTTCCCAATATCCAAAGCCCAAGGTTCCCAAGTCAAGGCCTTTCCTGTAGGCATTGTTTTGATGATTTACATCCTCATGTTGCCCATGTCCAAAAACTCGCTCTAGTCATTTATATACTTTTTTTCCCCATGCTGATGGTGAAGTAAGAAAGAGTGAGTAAAAGAAGAAGAAAAGATGATGCAGTCATTCTGAAAGTGTTTTCATGATGATGTCGTCACCAGCCTATAAACTTAGGCGATCAAGACTCAGGCCATCATTACTCCTCACCCTTCGAATGACGCCCATCTTGAAGAACTTCTCCTCTCCCGCCGCCGTCCTGCCGCCGATATACCACTTATCCGCGCCGAGCGCATCGCGAAAGCCTTCACTACTGCTGTCGCTGCCCCTTCTGCGAGAGTTGGGAATAGGAATGGGCCCGCCAGGAGAGCCGCGCGGCGTGTGGATGGCGACGTTGGTGGACGATGTTGTGGCGGCGTTTGTGGAGATTGCGCGGGCGGCCGAGGATGTGGTGGAAGATGCTGCGGCGGCTGATGTGGAGGCGGCGGCAGCAGCAGCAGCAGCAGCAGATGCAGAAGCGGCCTGCGATGTGTGTTTGGTGGCCTGTTGAGAGAGGGCGGGCGCTTGTTGTCGGAAGGAATTGAAGAAGGAAGAGAGGAAGAATGGACGCTGTGACGGCATCGTTTTTGTGTTCCTCTTCTCCCTGCGTGGCGATGTATAATTTGACGTAGTTGAATAGATACCGATGACTGATGCGAGCTGATTATAGGTAGTATCAAAGTTTTTTTATTCTGATTTCGCGCGTGCTTGTGCGTGCGCGCTTGTGTCTTTGTGTGCCCGTAGGTAGGGTTGAGATGGCACGGTATGCCGCTTGTGGACGTTCCCGGGCTGCAGATTTTAATGCAGAGTGGCTGCCGCTGCAGATGCCCAGAGCCTATCGATCAAGACAAAAGGTCGTCGCGGTTGGGCTGCGACGCGGTGAGGCCCAGCGGTGATGCAGAGACGGCGCAAAGAGTCGTGTCTGTGGCGGATAGGCCGTCTCGTGTTGAGAGGAAAAAGCCGAGGAGATGAGAGGCGTCACCGTCAGAGGCTGCCAAGGGAGAGATGAGACGGAAGAGAAATGGCGGGTCGCACAGCGTCGGGAGAGTTGAATAGGACGAGCAACGTTCAGGAGAGGCCTCGGCGCGATTATCGAAGACGCAAGGCAGAGCTGGAGGGTAAGGGCCGGTCGTCCGGAGATGGAGCTGGCAAGATGGTCGCTGGTGGTCCGATGTTTCTGAGACCGAGATTCTGACGTCGAGGTCGGCAAAACTCGGGCTCTGGCGACCAGGGCAGCAGGCGGCGGCCAGTGGCTAATGGCGGGGCCGTGATAGGCTGGAGGGCCTGGAGGAGCCTGGAGGAGCCTGGAGAAGGCGCCTGGAGCCGCTAATAGCCTAGTAGGGGCTGCTAGAAGAAATCTGGGGATCATGCCCCAGCCTGCAAGTCACACTGTGCACGTGCAAGAGAAGATGAAGGTGGCATTCATTGATCGATCTGGGACTTGATATCTGCGGACTTGGCAGGTGGACTTTTCTATAAATGCAGACACACGGGCTTTATATCTTGATGCCGTTTGGATGCGTGGGATGCGTGGATGGATCGCGAACACGATCAAGGAGGGAGTCCTAAAATGACTGGCCCGGCTCATAAACGGGGCGTCGCCCGGCGTAAAACTTTGGCCTGCCCTTGACACAACATGGCGTGAGCTTTCGGCCGGCAGATCTGACCTGCATTTCTTCATGCACGCGCAAGACGCCGTTGGTCGCATCCATGAGGCTATTGATGCAGATTCATTCGATTCTCCGCATTCATTGTGCGGCAGCTCTGGAGTCGAATCTCGGGGGGTTGCATTCCAGGGTGCCCAGAGCGTCGACGCCGATAATCAAGTGATCACGTTGTGCAGTGCCTGATGGGGCTCCTTTTGGTTTTGAGCTGTTTTTTGTACTCGATGCTATTGTACTTGCTGTAATGGTTACTAACGAGGGATCACTGAGTGCATGCGGGAAGCGAAATGGGTTGGGACGGGAGTCATGTGCTCTGCTTTTCCTCGGGAAAAAAAGGAGCAGGATGGATGCGGCAGGGACTCGCGGCTTAAAGGAAGAGTGAGAACATCACACAACTGTGCTCGGGGACATGGGGGATTCAGCTGAAGTCTGGGATACTGTCTATTGAATGCTAAATGCCAACACAGTGAATATTGGACTTGACTGCCGAATGATTCAAGGATGCCCTATTCATGCGCGTTTGCTGGGTGAGAAACAGGCTAAACCAGAAGCAGCAAGAGATGTGCTCGGCAGTCCATACGTCTCTAAGAATCACAAGCCGCAGCAAAACGCTTTGCTTTTGCCCTCTGCAAGCACTATCAAACACGCCTACGGCAGTTTGCAAGTGCAGGGATCCTTCGCCGTATCTGAGCATAACTACCCCGTATTACCTGCATCAGCGCGTTCGAATCTGCATTGCTAAATGGGAATAAGCGTTGGAAAGATGGACATGTCCGAGGCTTAATACGATTGTGAGGTAGGACTTGCAGATCGAACTACCAACACGAAATCAAAGACTTATGGTTTAAATCAACGAATAGTCTATTTCTATCGAATAACTGGATATTTTTTGTACGCCAAATCATGCCGCCAAATTTAAAATCACAATTCCTCAACTACACCATGATACCCCCATTCACCAGCACCGTCTGGCCCACAACCCATGAACTGTCTCCGCTAGCCAGGAACTTGACCGTGTTGGCGATATCCTCCGGTTCGCCAAGCCTGTTAAAGGGGCTCCACGCCTTGATCGTGTTGACCAGGCCCTCAGGCTTGCCCTTGTAGAACAGCTCCGTGGCAGTTGGGCCGGGAGCCACAGCGTTGACGATGATGCCCTTTGCAGCCAGTCCCTTGGCCATGACCCGAGTCATCTGCTCGATAGCTCCCTTTGTAGCCGCGTAGAGGAGATACTTGGGCGAGACGGATGAATGATGGCAGACGCCCGTAGAGATGAAGATGACGTGCGAGCCGGGTGGCATGTGAGGAACAGCCTTTTGAGCCAAAAAGTACGGGCCCTTGACGTTGAGATCGAAACTCTTGGCAAAGTCGTCCTCGGTGGTGTCTTCGACGTCTCGCATCAGCATCAGGCCCGCATTTGCCACGATGGTGTCGATGCGGCCGAACTTGTCGACGGTTGCCTGGACGAGGCGTTCAATGTCGTTGATGTTGGAGGCATCAGCCTGCACGGCAATTGCACGGTCTGCGCCAAAGGAGTCGACGAGGGCGTTGGCGGCTGAGGCATCGTTTCGGTAGTTGACGACGATGCGGGCGCCTTCTTGGTAGAGGCGCTGGGCGCAGGCCTTGCCGATGCCGCTGGAGGCGCCGGTGATGAGGATGACTTTGTCTTGGAGAGACATTATCTGTGTCTTTTTTTTTATGTTTAGATACTCCAGTGATGGTCGATGGAAGATGGGATTAAGAATTTTTGTTGGAGTGTATATTGCTATTGTTGATGATTTGCTGTTATTGATGAGACACTTGCAAAATCCCGGAAGAGACTGTCCATATATATACAAATACCTATAATGGAATTTGCTCTACATTTGTGGCCAGTTTTCAAATCGAGCGTTTATGACGCCATCCCGGACCAGCGAAAACAACATGATTGCAGCCGCACCGGATTTGAGGCCGTCGAAGAAACTCCCGAGCTGTAAATTCGAGAGCTGTAAAATCGAAAGCTGTAAAATCGAGAGCTCGCGGCCCCGGTGCATTTCCGGGACTGGCGCATCGGGCGTAGAGGATCAAGGCGAGAGCCTATAAATCCGATGGCGCTAATCGCCTCGGCTTTCGCTTTACTGCCAGAGTAACGTGAATATTCGTCAATAAACATTTCTATCAAAGTTTATTCCGAGAGAAGAGAAAACAATGGTAGAGTGAGTCACAGGAGGGGTTAAAAATGCTGTGGACCGGGTAACTGCATAACGCCTCCATGGAATGCTTGATGCTCTGGGAAGAGTTAAAAATGCTGTGAAGTCAGTGAATGGTGATGGCCATCTCATCACAAAGTTCCGAGTTTTATCGGACTAGGAGCACTTTAGTTGGGCAATCCACTGGCCAGTCTTGCGAAAAAGATATATGCCCTAGTAGTAACGCTGGTCATGAAGGCATACATGGCATTTATCAGCTTGATTTTTTTCCAGCTGTTTGAGTACGCTTATAATATGCGCATGTCGTTGATGTCAAGCTCTCCACAATCTCTAGGCGCTCCACTTTAGCTGCAATCACTTAATCCTGCAGCTTCATCTATAACCGCGATATACTACTAGTATCTGCAAAATAGTACCAGATACTTGGGTAGTAATAAAATGCCATGTAAAATAAAATGATATGTTTGAAAAGTCATCAAAGGTCTCCAAGTAAGTACAAAGTATAATGATTGTTCGCCTACATGTGCGAGCTGCAGTTGGATATATGTGGCGATGACAGTGTCTAGAAAGAGCCATAATCACATGCTCTCCCGCTTATTCACTCATTCCCCAAACGCGCATCTTACATCGCAGCAATTTCACGCAAACTTAATCATGGGCAGCTGGCAAGCATATCTCGGCTCGTGGATGGTCTGGTGGCGATTCAAAGCCTCGCTCCAATCCACCAAGGCCCTCCGCCAGCGCATCGAAAATGATCGCCAGACCAAGAGCACGCGCCCGCCAGCGCATCTAGAAGCGCAGTTCATCATCGAGGAGCGCCATCTCGGCGGTTGTACCCTCTACGATGTAGCACCGAAATCTGAAATGCCGAACCAGGCTCGCATCTTGTATCTTCACGGCGGCTGCTTGTTATTCGAACTAGACGCGGTGCACTGGCAGCTGGTGGGAATGCTTGCAGAGCGACTCCAGGCCGTGGTGACGATGGCGATATTCCCGCTGGCGCCGGAGCACACCCTGATGGAGATTTTTGATGCCGTGAGGCCGGTGTACGAAGACTTTGCTCTGCCGTCACAGGAAAAGACGCCCTTTTTTGTGGTGGGCGATTCTACCGGCGCGAGCTTGGGCCTTTCTCTTACACAAGACGCTCTGAAGGCAGGCCGTCCAACGGCGTCGCGGCTCGCTTTCATGTCTCCTTGCGTGGAGTTTACTTTTCTAAATCCTGAGACGCGGGAAGCCGCCAAGACGGATCCGTGGCTGGATATCCCCGGCTTTGAAGAGGCGGTACGATATCTTTGCCCAGACGTATCGCCCGATGACTCGCGAGTGAGCCCGTTGTACGGCGATGTTAGCAAGCTTCCGCCAACATTGATATTTGCTGGATCAACAGAAATGTTGACACCGGATATCAGGAAGTTTGTGGCCAAGGTTGTAGAGCAGGGACGAGAGATTGAGTATGTGGAGGGAGAGGGCTTGATGCATGTGTGGCCATTGATACAGTTTATACCAGAAGCCAGAGAAGCCGTGGATAAAATGGTAAGGTGGCTAGAATTAGGTAAAGGCGTATGATGTAAGATTGTAGAGCTTGGGTCAGAGATGTTTGAACTTGAAAGGATTTATCTCCTCAGTAAGATGGAGTGGCATATGAACAGGATACTTGGAGGATTGGATTGGACGTTTGTTTTCGTTATTGTATTGAATTGGAAGCTTTTTCACGACTTACTTGAATATATCAATGTGCAAACAAGAATATAAAATTACGTTGCAGCTTAGTTCACAAAATTATGACCTACGCAACGCTTCACAACCATCTGACTGGCTCCTTTGTATTTCTCATCTCGATTCTTCAAATGTATACCAATGGTATTCACGTTGGCAGCGTTGCTCATCTACCAAGCTTACATAAATAATAGTATATACTATTTTTCTTCAGTAACAAACATCTGACCGATATGCCTTCCCGTAATCTGTAGTGCCCGCCGTTTAGTTCTTACCGAGCAGCTCCAAGTAATGGCCCACAACCGACACCACTTGTTCCTCGAATCCCTTTGCCTTGAATCCAAAAACCTTCTCCGCCTTGGTACCATCCACCTGCGTTTTGAGCGTCACCAGCTTCTCAACAGTCTCAAAGCTGAATATACCTTCGGCAGCTGCCTGTGGAAAATGCTTCTTGATAATGTCGGCGGATTTTCGCCAGTCAAAGTGCTCGAGATGATGTGATCCGGCCAAAAAGTCCTGGTTGCCCTCCACTTTAGGATCCAGGGACAAGACGTGAAGTTTAGCAACGTCATCGACGTGGACGGGAGCACCTGCAATGGGGGTTGGTCGCGGTGTGCCGAGCAGCGGGCCCATTAGCATGTTGTTGGTGCCCTTGACAATCTGTTCGGCGGTCGTGACAGTCTCGTCGCGTCCGAGGACGAAGAGAGGGAAGATGTGAATGAGGTCAAAAGATGGCTTTCTCTCAGCGATAAACTCTTTTGCTTTGTTGAATGCTGCGGATTTGGATGCACCGTAGGCGTTAAAGAGGTTCTCAAATGGACCGTGAACTGTTGGGGTACGTGTTTCCTCTGCTCGAATTAGTAAAAGGAGCCAACAAGGCATTTTAGGCGCATAGGATTAGAAAATTCGGCTAGATGGCTCACCATTGATGTATTGACCTGAGCCAAGGACTTGTGGAGTGACGATAGAAAGGATAGACCCAGTAATGACAACTCTCTTAATACCGGTGGTCTTGGCTGCGGACTCCAGGATGCCCACAGTACCTTGAATAGCTGGTTGGATCAGGTAGCTCTCATAGTCAGCCCCGGGAGGAGTGTTGCTTGCTAATGGAGAAGCAACGTGCACAATGTATTCGACGCCCTTGACAGCTTCGTCATATGCTCCTACAACGGTGATATCCGGCACAATTACGCTGGTCAGCTCTGAAGAGTATGGTGCAACAGGCTTGAGTTTTGATACTCTGTCAAAGCCGGCTTGGTTTCGCACTGCAGCCCGGACTTTGTAGCCTGCTTCGAGGAGGAGAGTCAAAACTCGGAAGCCAATCATGCCAGTGCCGCCGGTAAGCTGTAAATGTTTAGTGATGAAGCTTTATCATGAACAGAATGCTTAATACTGACTAATACGAGTTCGCCCGCCATGGTGATTGTTGTGAACTGAATTACTTTATTAACTTGGGTATAATATGAATGCCAAAAGGTGAGTGTTGAAGAAAGGATGTTGATAAATATAATTATTTATGAGACACAAGTCAAAGAGAATTAGTTATGAGTTTTGCTATAGGAGCTGGAACTGGTCTTGATATTAGTGAAACTCTGTATATATAAATATAGTTGAAGGATTTATTTCAAAGCCAGTTGAGGCTAAAGAAACGCCACAACACTCGGAGCCTCGGACACGGCGGTGTTCGGTCGAATCCATCCTATGTTTCAATCCTTCAGTTGTAGTTCATCCAAGGTTGTGTCTTAGAGTCAATAAATAAAGATTTGTAATACAAGTTAGAATGAATCAACCATTCACGCACGCCATGATATCGCTACGTGCAAGCCCAGATTGCATTTCGGCCGCCTATGGAATTATTAGTGGGTGACCCAACGAAAGATCCAGCTGCTTTCCGAATGCGCATAAAGGTCTGCAGATGGTGCTATAATGGCGCACGTTAATTGGCGGGAAAGATCATTTTCCCGCAAAAAGCCGAAAAGTCCACCAACACTTGGCTAGTTTTGTGGAGAGTGCCTCGGTCTGAGAGAATGATTAGTATTGACTATTTCGATGTCTCCAGCCTTTGTTTATCCAATTAATAATATTTCTGCAGATGATATTGCAAGACATTAGCTTATTAATGTTCTTGAAGAGATGAATCGATATAGATCGTTTGACCGTCCGATTGTGAATTCGCACCAGTCTCCACTGCGCACAAAAGCCGACAGAGCTGGTGGCAAACGGAGTTGACATAGTACAAGTTCAGATAGAGGCTCTTTGGGCCTCTTACAATATCAGCAACGCTTTTGCTAATTTTTTTGCTTATCGATTTGTCTCAGACCAATACTGTCTGTTTCTTGGATAGCTGCTTGTAATCTTTGCTGCCGGCGACACGAAAGAGCAAAGACGTCACTGTGCTATACAGGGCGCTTTAACCATCCTCTTCAACTCGCTGACTGGCACTTGGTAACATCTGACGAAATACAAAGATGGCCATATCGCATGCAAATTCGGAGCACCTTTTGCCTCATTCGTAATTGCCCCTGATTATGGATGTGGCCTTTACAATCTCGAGCTGAATAAGACGGGATTTAGTGGACTGTGATTTCGGACGGTATGGCACAATATCTGTGAACGAGAAAACTCGAGTTCAAGCTGGAAGATTAACAGTTTTTTCTCTTTGCTTTTTATAACTAAAATCCGATGCATTAACTCAACGACAAGGGTGAAGCTACCATATGGCCCGAAAACACTTTCATACGACGAGTCAGGAATGGACAAACGATCGGACAAATAAAGAGCGATTTCTTTGAAGCTGGTGCCTCGAAATGTTCAGTTAAACGCTTTCAATTATTAGATAAGCTTCCCTATGGTGGCAATGTTGAGAAGACGATGAACGCATTGCAACCTTAGGGGCCACGAGGATCAACTTCTTATCAAATTGAAGCAAAGATGGATGAAGAATTCCGTATCTTTCAAGTATTGCATTGAGCAATACTTAATTATATCTTAACTAATAGAGGTTCAGATTGGCCGCATTCGTGAATTTGTGCGATAAAATGTATTATTAAAGCTTTTATGCTTCTTAGCCAGACTGCCAACAGCAAGATGGTCTTAAATTCAGCCGCATGTGAGTACGATAGTATTTAATCTTTAGAATGAGATGAATGAAGAAGAAAATAAATTCGACGTTAATGTTCGCGACACAAGCGCTTTTAAGAGTACGTTCAGCCGACGTAGAGTGCGGTTTCTGAGACGCTTAATAATTCTACCGATGCTAGACGGCAGTATCGCCAAAACGTTTTACACATGAGCTACATATGTAAGCCAAACTATCGGCGAGCTTAGATGGCCACATTTAAGCTTCAAGACTGACGTAAATTTTCATTGTTTGCGCAAATGAATTTTTTTTTTTTTTTTTGGATTTTTTTTTTTTTTTCCATTGAACATCCATGCACTTGGCCGCCATGTTTGACGGATTCGACACATTCGCCATAACAACGCAGGTTGAGCCGCCTGTCTCAATCTTCGGCGTTAGAAGCGGCGATGCCTCGTCAGCGAAGCGCCCACCGTTACTACTCCTTCACGGCTTTCCCCAAAGCCACCATATATGGCACCAAGTTGCAATGCAATTAAGAGACAAATACAACATTGTCATTATCGACTTGCGGGGATATGGAAATTCGTCTAAACCGGAAGATGTATCGCAGTATGCAAAGAGTTTCATGGCTCGGGACTGTATAAAAGTGATGGATGAGCTTGACATCACTGGTCCATTCTTCATCTGCGCTCATGATCGCGGCGCAAGAGTGGCGCATAAGCTGTGCGTTGATTACCCGGATCGTGTGCGGAAGGCTATATTCCTCGATATATGTCCTACTCTTGCAATGTATACGGTGAAAAATCCGAACTTTGCAAAGATGTACTGGCACTGGTATTTTTTGATTCAACCATCGCCGCTGCCTGAGACACTCATATCCGCAAGTTCTCGGCAGTTCGCGGAATTGTTCATGGGAGGACGGCAAGCGAGTGGACTTGCAATATTTGATAAAGAGAGTCTAGGTCACTACGTTTCTCATCTCGGAGATCCAGAGACGATACATTCAATGTGTCAAGACTATCGAGCGAGCGCTAACTTGGACCTGGACGAGGCACGAGAGGATATCAAGCTGGGGAGGTTGATCAAAAACCCATTGAGGGTTTTATGGGCTAGGCATGGAGTGATCGGAAAGCATTTTCATGCGATCCAGGAGTGGAAGGCTGTAAGCGATGCTGAGGTTGATGGACATGATGTTGATTCTGGGCATTATCTTCCGGAGAATGTGCCAGATGAGGTCGTATCCAACATTTTGGAGTTTTTACAATGAATCATCTGCCACTGTATGTTTATAGAGAAACTTTCACCGAAAATTGTATTTAGTCTTCGTTACAATTCCGATTATATGATGTTGCAACGAGTACATCTACGTAATTAAGCGCAGTTCCGAATGTCCCAATGAGTCTAGGGATGCACAGGGACATGGAGTATGAGGCACAATACTAGCTCTACGTAGGACGCAATCTAAGTACGGAGAACAAGTCATTATAATGTATATGGTGGTTTAAACCCCGTGGGCCATTTTTATTATTGTACAATTTGATGCTACAATGTTCCATTTTTTGACGTCTTGGCAGGTAGATGACCGACTTGGCGAATTACTCAAATAGGAAGATTGACTCGGGTGAGCTTTCTAGCTACGTCATTTGGAGTTTGAGCTGTTCATTGCCGCGCAATCGTGTGTAGAGAGCAGTACTGATAAGTTTGGCAGAAAATTCAGCCTCTACTTTAAATAGACAAATTATACAATCAACACTCGCGGCTGGTCTCTTTATATGCGCTCTTTGCGGTGCTTGGACGCTTCGGAGTACATGGTGATGTCTTATACCCCGCCATCGCCGGCTGCTTTTGTATGCGAAACATGCGGCACAAAGAACAAGCGTACAAGTGCGTCTGTTGATCATTTGCTACGCACCTTGATCATCTCGCTTTCATCATTTCATCATAAATGTGTTTCGAACTGTTCGACCTATTCTTTGAAGCATCTCTCCCTACTACAGCAAGACAAACATGGCGCCCAAGCCTCTCAAGATCGCAGTCATCCCAGGCGATGGCATCGGCAAGGAAGTGATGCCAGCAGGCGTGGCATGCTTGGAATCTCTCTCCAAAATTTACAATATTCCGATGCAACTTGAGTGGTTTGACTTTGCGAGCTGTGATTACTACCAGAAGCATGGCGACATGATGCCTCCCAACTGGAAGGAAAAGCTTCTTCAGTTCGATGCCATATACTTTGGCGCCGTGGGCATGCCCGATATCGTACCAGACGACGTCTCACTGTGGGGGAGCCTGATCAAGTTCCGTCGCGAATTTGATCAGTATATCAACCTTCGTCCATGTCGCTTGATGCCGGGAGTGCCATGCCCTTTGGCGAACCGCAAGCCGGGCGACATTGACTTTTGGATTGTGCGGGAGAACACCGAGGGAGAGTACAGCAGCATTGGAGGAAAGATGTTTGAGGGAACGGACCGCGAGGTTGTCATTCAAGAGACGGTGATGACGCGAACGGGCGTTGATCGCGTGCTCCGATATGCCTTTGATCTTGCACAAAGTCGGCCGCGCAAGAAGCTGACCAGCGCGACAAAGAGCAATGGAATCAGCATTACCATGCCTTACTGGGACTCTAGGGTACAGGAGATGGCCACCAAGTACCCAGACGTCAGCGTCGACAAGTATCACATCGACATCTTGACGGCTCATTTTGTGCAACGGCCCAACATATTCGACGTGGTAGTCGGCAGCAATCTATTTGGCGACATTCTATCTGATCTGGGCCCAGCTTGCACAGGCACCATCGGAATTGCCCCATCGGCAAACATCAACCCCGATGGCAAATTCCCAAGTCTCTTTGAGCCCGTCCACGGCAGCGCTCCGGACATTGCTGGAAAGGGCGTCGCAAATCCGGTGGGCATGATTTGGGCCGGCCAGATGCTGTTGCAGCATTTTGGGCATAAAGAGGCTGCAGATGAGCTGCTTCGGGCGATTGAGACCGTCATGGCTCGCGCCGAAGTAAATGTGCTTACGCCGGATGTTGGCGGTAAAGGGACGACGAATGGGTTTGGAGAGGCAATTTTGGATGAGATTTTGGCGAGGGCAAACGCATCAAAGGCATAGATAGAAGATGCTTGCAGATTGGGCGCGCTGCTGGATTTTGTGCGACTTACATGTTGCCAATAACCCCTAGAGTGACGCTTGACTCCAGTTAAGATGATTTTACATGCTCAAGATTATGAGTATGTTTGTGTTACAGGACTCGGATCTTTGAGTATCAGAGCAATAAGGAATATACATCCCTTCCCTATCTCGTCTTCTTCCCATCGTCAACGCCGTGATGTAAGCAACGTGCAACTAAGCCACATCAACGCAACCCTGTAAGAGCCTCGAAAGCCCAATTTGTCAGCCTCGTTCAAGTGCTGGATCCGCACTTTCTGCGGCAATATCACCCCCATGTGTCCGCAATATACCGCACCGATTAATCAACCCGAGGCCCATCCAATCGCCCATCCAGCGCGTCGCTATCCATCATGAGCCGCCGGTACGAAACTCTGGCGACTACTCCGGCGCCCTTTGCGTGCCTGGCCTGCCGGGATTCTAAGCGCCGATGCGATCGCTCCATTCCGCAGTGCAAAGGCTGCATCCAGTGAGCCTTTCCCCATCCCCCCTTGCATTGCAGTGTCCACAGACCACATGCACTATAGAGGACTGGTATTAATCAGTGACAATGCCCTGTTAGGAAACGAATTGTGTGCGACTATCCGTACCGCCGTAAGAAGCGAGAGCGAAAGCGACCATCCAACAATTCTGCAATCTCTCCCATTTCAGGTCTTCTCACAGACCGTTCTCCGGGTTCCGGCTCAGCGGAAAACTCTCAAGCAAGCCCGGGCTATTATGAAAGCCTCCATCTCGCGCCTTTGCATCCAACCGGTGCCAATTTCCTCACCGAGCGGTTCCTGGACCCTGAAGGCTTCCGCAGCGCCCAGCTGAAAGTGCCCGAGTTGGATGTGGATTACCTAATTACAAAGGATGTATCTGACTTTGTTGGCGATGTTGCAAACATCAAAGCCATATCGGACAAGTTCTTTGATTCTGTCCACGAGTGGATGCCGATTGTATCCAAGATCCAGTTTCTGGCCAACTTGGTCAGCTCCTTGACTCACAAGCGCGCCGAGCTCTTTTTCCTCATCCTCGCTATGAAACTGGTTTGCGAGCCAGGTTCAAGTTCAAGAACACCGCTTTATCAAGTAACGAAACGGTTACAACATCAAATTGGAAATTCTGGAGTTTTATCTCTTCGAGTAGTTCAAGCGTCAGTCCTCATTATCATCTACGAACTGGGCAATGGTATATATCCATCGGCTTTTTTATCCATTGCTAGTGCTGCTCGATATGCAAGTGCGGTTGATCTCGACAAGTCGATTCTGTATCGCGAAATTAACGGCATCTCATGGCCGGAGTTGGAGGAACGTCGTCGAGCTTGGTGGTCACTGCTTGTCCTGGACAGGTGCGCGTTATCCCTCCCTATATATCCCATAGAGAGATCCATCTACTATGCAAAGATACAAAGACACACACTAAACAGTGCTTTAGGTATCTGAACTTGTCCGATCCGAGTCGCCACCTGGTGACTCCTGACCCACACATAGAGAATTGGCTTCCAGTTGATGATGCAACATTCAATGATGGGGTGAGTAACTTTGTACAAAATGCCAATTACGAGTCATTGGTCTTTAACATGAAACTCTAGACATCCCGGCCTGAAGATGCATTTACTTTGGCTTCGGCTAATGCTCTCAATCTCGGCCGATTTGCTCGCTTTGCGCAAGCTGCCCATTTACTCGGCCAGGTTTTACATCACGTTGCTGTAAAGTCCCCAGAGAGCGAAACCGCACAGTTGAGACGGACAATCTTCTCACTGGTTAATGTTTCCACCTTGGAAGCGGAATTCAGACGGCTAGAATTCTGCTCACAATCATCTGTGTGCTATTGGTAAGTGGGATCCATTACGTCAAATCCTGCACATACTGAAACATAACAGTGGAATACTTTTGCTCGATTGCTCTCAACGGGAAAGAGAGTTGAACTCTCCCATCATATCCCTCGACCACCTGTCTGTGGAGAGCAGCCTGATATCGCAGACAGTTTTGCAAATATCCTTGTACATCACGCAACTAACTGAACAAGAAATACATGCTCGCGCGTCTCCATTCCTCCTGCATATGATGTATAGGGTGGCCATGCTCTACTTGAAGGCTTCGAGAGCTAGTCCTAGCGAGTCTCTTACTGATAAGCTGCACCTTATCAAGCAAGGGCTTGAGATTCTCGGACGCCGATATCACGCCGCTCGTACGTGTCTGTATCCATCTTTTCTTCATTATATGCTAACCAAGTACACAGACTCATACATCTCTCTATTATCCCGGCAAGAAATAATGCAAGCCATGCAGTAAACATGAGGAATAAGGGCGTTCAAATCTTACACAGTAGTCCTTTAACGTTTAGCGAGCGTTGTTATTGAAAACAGTATATAATAAACGTCTTTGACGTGACATCTCTACATATAACCTGCATCTTTTGCAATTCTATCCAAAAGTTTATGGAGCTTCACAGCTTTCTCAAAATCCGAATAGCAATCCTTATCCAGCGCATAAGCTTCAAACAGTCTTGCCGTGTTGACACCGGGCGGAGCGACGTTCTTGATATGACTCGGCTCATCCTGTTCCCAAGCAATCGTTCGGGTTTCTCCGTCTTTTGAAATAACTCGCAGGGTTCTTGGATTAGAGCCAACTTGATACCCTCTACCACTCGTTGTGAGCTCCAACTCTCCCTCTGAGCCGGTAATGAGCCATCGCAGACTGTGTCCGTCAATCGGCTGCGGCGGTGTACGCGTGCTAATGCTGACCATCGCACCGCTTTCCATCGCTCCTTGAACGAATATGTGGTCAGGGGCTGTTCTGCGTTTTTCTGGGTTGACTACTTCGCCGGTTTTGCCGCTGACTAGTTTCACCACTGGGTTTTGGACAGCAAATGTGGACTTGAGGCTCGCAAGCTCTCCAAGTACATAAGTGAAACCGCTCAAGACTGTCCACAGGTGCATGTCAGCATAACATAAATCGTAAATGCAATGAACAAACTTACAATGAGCAAAGAAGATGTGAAATTCGTTCCCACCACTCTCAAAATCCAAATAATACTCAGCTTCCGCAGTCCAGGTATCTACTGGTCCAAAAGGAGAAGAAATTTGGACGTCAGAACTGGTGACTCTGCCAATTGTTCCACTCTCAACTAGTTGCTTGGCTTTTGCAATCCATGGATCTGCGCAAAGTTGAGTGCCAACCAGAGTCTTCAAGTTGGCTTCTTTTGCCAACTGGAGCATCTCTTCTGCCTCTGCTGTACTAGCCCCCAGCGGCCATTCCACAAAGACCTGCTTCTTGGCTAACAAGGCCGGCTTGGCTGCAAGCAGGTGCTTCCCAACCTCAATTGACACGTCAACGAGCTCGACATTGGGGTCATTGGCCAGGTCCTCAGCACGGCCATAGGCCTTGACAGAGGCAGGCAGCTTGTGGAACTCGATTGACCGGCGAGCTGATTCAACAGATGAGTTGCACACAGCTACGATTTCGTAATGGGGAGAAGGATGGAGGGAGGCTAAGTGCGCTGACACTCCCCATTTTCCTTGGCCTAAGCCAGCAGGCTCAGAGGTGAGGCCAATGAGACCAACACGAATGGGAGACATTTGATATGATATGAAGATTGAAGATGAAGACTTTGAAGGGGCACAGATGAAGAGAAAGGAGGGAAGAGTTGACGACGTCAGAAGCCTTTCAACTTATATCTGATTCATAGCTGTATCGGAATTCCACCTAGCCTCAAGTCCGTGAGAATATACGAAAAAGTATCTTTGAAGCACATCGTCACGGAGTTTACTGATTATGCAATACAGATAGACAATTCACAAAGGCCGTCGCGATATAGGTATGTTGACAAATCTTACTTACAAGACCACCAATACCGTCGCTTGGAGCCCCGAGACCCGCCACAACTCCGCCGAATGTAAGATCGCCGACCCATCGGAACTCCGTCTGCTAGCATGTTACGCTCCACCTGAATTCCGTATATTGTTATTGAAGACTCATCTTATTGAGTTGATAATTAAATATTAGAATTATTGGAAATTTTATCTGGCATGTCCCTTTCAGGAGCTGCTAACTTCTGATTTGTCGCTTGACGATACTTTGCTCGCTTAGACATGATCTTTAGACGTAGTGGTTCTCTAGGTTACGCTCTCCGATAGTGGTCAGCTATAAGCACGTAGATACGTTACATGTCATTCCGAATGAATATTAATATGTACATCCATATATAATGTCTGAATCGGTTATCTTGACCAACTTCTTGCTCTCTGCTTATCATAATTTACCAGAATTAGCTAGTAGTATAGAGGGAAGTAGTAATAGGACTTGCACAGCTCAGTCGAACCATATTTTGGACTGTAAATCACCAAGGTGGCCGTGTAAGAAGCACTAATTTAAAATACATGGCAAATGATGAGAAAAGCCAGCCTTTGAGGGATGCAACACCTATCCACAGTATCTCACTCGTTTCACGCTTGTTGAGGCTCTATCATACCAAATCAGCATATTGAACGTCAATGTGTAATAAAGCGCGTAGTTCTTACCGCACATACCGTTCGTAATCTACTAGAGCATTTACTTCTTCTTCTCAAACAGCTCTAGAATATCTCGGTTACCACACGCAGCAGCTGCATCAATTGCTGTTTGTTGAGCATCGTCTTCCATCATTGGATCAAGGCCCATCTCCAAAAGCTCCTGGAACCGCTCAACATCTCCTCTCGCAGCAGCGTGTAACAGCCCTCTGCCTTTATTATCTCTCACAGAAAAGTCGCCTCCAAACTTTTCTAGCAAGGGTTTGACATATTGTCCAGTAGCACCATCTTCCTCATTCAGAATCCACATATCTTCAAGGGTCTTGGGATTGTCATAGAACGAGAATAATGCTGTTTCGCCACGAGCGTTGCGAGCGTTTATGTCGATGCCACGTTCAGCTAGAGACTCGAAGAGCGTACGTAAGCCTGCCATGGCAATACCTTTACCTAGTATGTGTAGCATGGTGTCTCCCCTCTTGCTGATAATCATAGGATCTGCTCCGGCTTCCAGTAAAATTTCTGCTTCACTAGTATCATTTCTATCGCTTCTGTCCACGGCGCGGATCATGGCATGGTGTAAGGGAGTTTCACCATTACAATTTCCTTGATTCAACAATTCGGGAGCATTTTGTAAAGTATAAGCCAAAAATTTCGCGAATACGCGGTGCTCAATCTTCTTTTCGCCAACAAGCATGTAATGTAAAACATTGTGCCCAAAGTTATCTTGGGCTGTCAAGTCTGAGCCCAGAGACAGCAGTTGTTGAAAAGAATGAACGCGCTCTTCGGGCATGTGATTCACATCTTCGACATGTGACCCGATGATGTGGTCTGGGCCTTTGCTACTTTCGCATACCATATGAAGAAGAGTGCGTCCTTTCGCATCCCGATGGTGGACATCCAAGCCGGCGAACTGAAGAAATGTATCCGCTATATAGCCATTCAAGAGCACTTCATGCAGAAGAGTACACTCCACATAGCCCTCCGGTACTTGTACGGAAGTATCGATTGCCGCTGGGAAATCCGACCTTTTTTCCACGTGTATAACAGGCTTCAAAAACTTTGCAAACGGATCGGCACCATGGTCTAGTAACACTTGAACGACTTCCATTGCTTCTGAAGCATCCCGATAGCTTTTGTCTGACGGACTATAATGCGGCCGTAGTTTGCTGGCGGCATAATAGAGCGGAAATTCTTCATGAGGCTCTATGGGATTATTCTGAGACCCCTCATCTGTCTCGAGCGGTAGCTTATCTCGACGTGTATTTGGATCCAGGCCTCCGGATAAAAGTGCGCGAAGCACTTCAGCATTGCGAGAGTCAATTGCAGCAAAGATGGAATCTACCATCACAGTTGCGCCGTGTTCGATAAGAAATTTAATCATATCAGCGTTGTGTCGTGCATATGCGAGACAACTCTGACCTTTGCTATCAACTGCGTTGACATCGGCCCCTCTTTGAATCAATATCTTGGCTGCGTCCCAATTGTAAGGACCAGGAACTTTGGCGTCTCCTTGAAGAGCCATATGCAATGGCGTCTGACCCTTTTCATCACGCATGCTAATATCGGCACCCATATCAAGCAGGTATGGCAGTGCTTGGTGGACATGCCACCAGTGATTTCCTCGCACGACGTGAAATAGAGCACATTCGCCCAAAGAGTCGCTTTCGGCGATGTCCACTGCGAATTTTTCAACTAGTAACCTCACAATGCCCATGTTAGGCGACGCTCGCTGAACTGCAACGAGGATAAAAGGCGTGAGTTGAGAAGTTGTGTCGTCTCTCTTTGCGTGCCATAGTCCAGGTCGTGTTGAGTCTCCGAAAGCGTGCCAGTCACCCTTGCTTAACACCAGCTCCGTTTCACGGGACGCTATGCTTTCAAAGAGTGATACCAAGCCAAGGCGTATGAGATGATATAAATTACAGTGTTCATCTTCCATGGAAATTGGGAGGAAGCTGACCCCTAACTGAGAAATTTCTTCGATAAGGTGGTACTCCCTCTGCGCCAAACACCAAGTGAGGACTTTTGATGATATTGTCTCGTATTCGCCCTGACTCTTGACAATATGGGATTTCAATAGTCTCAAAGCTTGCACTGAACCCTGTTTTCGATATTGGTGCATAGTTTCAGTTAACCTTGCGAGGTCATCCTCGTATCTGTCAGTCTCTAAGCTGGGGGACTTTTTCCTCAGAACACGTATCAAACAACCAGCCGTGTAGTATTTGTTCTGATTGATGGCTCTTTTAATAATGCTACCATGGTAGCTTTCTCTGCCACTCTCGATGAGAGAGGGATCAGCTCCAGAGTTGGTGAGCATATCCATTATTTCTTCAAGCCTTGCTGTGTCGTCTAACCGTAAATCAAGAGCTTCTTGGTGAGATGAGCTAGGCTCGGCGCCAAGAAACAGTTCGGAAGACTTCCAACGATGCATCTGGCTTATTTTCCGAATGCTCCGTGCTGATTGGCGTTGATTCTGGATATGAATCTCTTCTTCAAACTCAAGACAAGCTTCAAAGATGTTGCCCATTTTAACATCAGCTCCAGCATCAAGAAGAAGTGTAACAGTTTCTGGTCTTCCCGACATAACTGCATAGAACAGTGGCGTGAAAACTTTGTCACCATCAAGCATTTGAGCATTTACTCCCACTGCTGCCTCTGATTCCGTAGCCTTCTTGTCCAAAGCGATGCCTTCAACCTCTCCTGGCGGTATCAAAGTTGGTGCTTTATTTTGACGGTTCTGCATTGCACTCAGAAGTAGGCCGACTATATTACTCTGCCTGCTTAGTGCAGCGAGATGGAGTGGTGTCAGCCCTTCATGAGTGTAAACCAGAGGATTTGCACCAGCGTCAAGGAGCTGCTTTGAGAATGTCTCGCTTCGAGTAACAGCTATATGGAGAGGTGTAACCCCATCGTTATCGGGGACATCAAGATTTTTGACTCGCGACATGACAAAACTCAGTGGCATGACTTCACTTTGAGTAGGCACTTCCGGAATAACGCCTTGAGGGACTGTGCTTGTGCACAAAATATGCAGCGGCGTGCGTCCAGCATGATTTTTCTGCTCTAGATTTAAGCCGATGTTAATGAGTTTTTTCCACAGCGAAATCAGTTTATAGCCCCCTGTGTAGGAGCCGTGGATGTCGTAACGCATAGCAAGTGTATGGAGTAGGTTATTTCCCTTGTAGTCGACAGCCTTGACGTCAAGATTTAAGTTGATCAAGAAATCGAGCCTATTTTTATTGAGCTGTTTCGGCCCTCCGTACGGTTCCGCAGTTGTATAAAGCATGATTGCCCTATGAAGAGCCGTTTGGCCTCGGTAGTTGCGCTGAGACGGTGAAAGCCCTTGGTCGAGTAGATATATAAACTCTTTGTGTGACTCTTCCCCGAATATGTCGGTACGGTGGGCGAGAAGGCGAAAAAGAAGATTATTCCCATCTCTGTCCACTTCATGAATATCAGCACCAGCGTCTTGAAATAACTCGATAACTTCTGTAAACGCCAAGTTGGCGTTGTGAAGGCAGAGCAGAGGGGTTAGCCCTTCGTGGTTCTTTGCATTTGGATTTGCGCCCTTTTCAAGCAACATTTTGAGAACATCAATGTCTGTCATATAGTGTTGCATGAAAACATGTAGCGGGCTGTTGCCTTCTTTGTCTGTAATGTTGCAGTTTGGTCCATATCCCAGGAATTTCTTCACAATGTCCTTGATATACAACCCCAACAGAGAGTGAAGAGGTGTCGCTCCATCTGTTTGCACCGCATTAATATTTGCATGCCCTTCCTCAATTAGCAAGACCATCGAATCGAGTGACGAATTTCTATGGTTAGACATGATGTGAAGAGGTGTTTGGCCAAATTGATTGACAGCATTTGCATCGGCCCCAGCCTCAAGTAGTAACCGCACAAGAACTGGAGACCCGGTTGCGATATGCAAAAGAGTTTCACCTATTCTATTTCGAAAGCTGACATCAACTCCAGCCTCTCTCAATAGTGTAAATATTGCTCGTTGCTGTTCTTTATAATCTTTGACGCCATAAATAACGTGTGTATGGCCACATAGAGCATAAAGGCAATTCAGTTCTGTGGAATTATCCTCTTCATATGTCCGATGAAGAGCCCCATCACTTCCAGCAGTGTAATGGATGGAAGGGAGTGCGCCAGCCTGCAAAAGGATTGCCACCACCGCGGTGTGTAATTCCCTGCAAGCTATATATAACGCCGTTTTGCCTTCGACAACTGCATTGACATCTACTCCCGGATGCTGGAGAAGCCTCGAAACGACTGCTGATGATCCCTTTTCCACTGCCCACGTCAATGCTCGATGCACAAGATTAATATTTTCTCCAATAAATGGCAGAAACGCTTCTACTGCCTCTAAATGACCACCGCAGGCAAACATTAACGGCGTCACCCCAGTTTCTGAATAGTAAAAGGACACAAGCCATTTGTTATCAATAATTTTTGGTGTCAGAGGATCGACGCCGGCCTTTAATAATGCCGTTACAGCCGCGGAGTGGTTGCTGTGAGCTGCCCTATGCAGAGGTTTTATTCCGGTGACATTATCTGGCACATCTGGATCCGCGCCGGCGTCCACCAAGATGGAAATGACTTTTGCGTGTCCTTCCACAGCAGCCCACCAGCTACGAATTTTGAGAATGTTAGAATCATCGGCTGAAACGAGATGGATAGAGAGACTTACACTGGTGTCCTATCGTAAAAATCGCGCACATTTGGGTCAAAACTGGCCAATAGCTCTTTGGTATATGATATCAGACCTGTTTTAGCAGCAACGTGGAGCTGCGTAACTTTTTTGGCTCCTAAGCCTCTGCCGGGCCACCTCATCTGAAGCCATCCCGCCAAGTTATTCCCCTGCTCGAACAGCTGATGAAGCCTGGCGTTGATTTCGGTCTGGTCTTGGCCAGCAGCCTCTGACTTTACGATATGCAGGTGCCAATTGTTGACTGCATACTCAAACAGCGGATATTTAAGCCTCAACTGGATTTCTTCGTCGGATACTTTGCTTGTGCCTGTTCCTGGTCCATATTTGCTGACAAGCCCCCAGTCTCTCCAGTACATATGCGAAGGATCGTCACGGGTGTCGATTATAACCATGTCTAGGCACCCAGATTGTAGATAGAGGAGACATTGAAGCGCAAGCTGAGCATGTGTCGATCCCGGTTCTAGCACGGGGTATCCTGCAGGATGACTCTCATCTGATCGGGTATTTCCTTTAAGATACTCAGTAAAGGAGTGGTGAATCACTGAGATTGTCTCATCTGGCAGGATTTCCAAGAGTGGCCCACAGGCAGCCCTAATAAGCTCTTTGGTGGCTTTTATATCTCGCACGGCACCGTCAGGACGGCTGACCCTAATCATTTCAGCAAGTTCAAGCAGCCGCAGTGGACGAGTGGCGTGGGTGACGGCTTGTAAGATGAGATGCTGGATAACCTCTGGCACCCCGGACCTTGTGGCATGCTCATTCAGTAGATTGGTATACAAGCTGTTCAAGTCTGATGGAAGCTTCGAAAGCACTGTAGCGATATTTGCGCCTGGCTCGATGAAAGCATCCATAGCCAGCTTAGCGTAGAGAAAGAGGCCATTTGCACGACCTGGCACGGCATTTGCAATAGTATCCCACTCGGTTTTTGGGATAGCAGACTTTGCTAACACGAAGTGCACATATGTTGAGATATCCATATCCACCAAGGTTTCTTGCAACCGAATTTGGAGGCCGTGAACCGTTCTCAGAGGCACTTCGACACTGGGAACTGGGCGGCTGGTGATCAACACTTTGACTGTCTTTGGCCGCCAGAGGCCCAGCTTTCCAAGCGTTTGTATAAATTCTTCATGGCCTCGATCTATTTCATCGAGTGCATCAGCGACACAAAAGACCTTGTCAGGCAAGCTGGCAAAGGCTAGGCGCAAGTGCTTCCATAAATCTTCCATCGATATACTCTCAAGAGACCGACCCGCTTCTACATAAGCCTTGAGCTGTTTCTGCAGAGGCGGACTGTAACTTAGTATTTGGTCAAACCAATCTCGCAAGAGAGCTCGGGGCTCATGATTCGCATCAATGATTTGGCGGAAGAAGAATAATAACACTGGAGACGTTGGATTTGATTGGGCAAGGTCATGGATCAATTTTGCTGCCATGACCGATTTGCCCGATCCTGGGATCCCCTTGATCCAGAGCAGCCCATGCTCATCACTTTGCAGCCATTTCTGATACGCATCACTCGAGGTGAGCCAGGCCCCTGTACCAGCAACATGGGAGGATATGTGCTTGCGGTATTCTCCTCCAGCGATATCGTATGCAGTTGGCTGCAGCCAATCTCGGATCTTCTCTATGACATTGGGAAGCTCCGGTAGTATTTGTTCGGGGTTGTAGTCGCTGATATCGTCGCGACCGACTAAAACAACATCGATATCCTCATCACTGACCCTACTTTCACGGCCACTTGTTTGGTTTGGTATCATGGTGCTGGGACCGCGGAGATGTTTAGAGCTCCAGTGCTAGTGAATTGGTGATGGAGTTGAGCTTCAAAGAGAGTGAGAAACTAGGCTATGCTAAAGATTAAATTATAAGATATAGATTCTAGTATCCTACTGCGGGGTAGGTGACGCTGGTTGACCACTTTTTGAGGCTCAAGTCACGACCGAAATGTAAGACTTGCATTGAGTCAGAGACGAAACAACTGCCTAAACCTGATCCACCCCAATAGCTTATCTAGACCATTTCCAGCGAACGTCCCCTGATGATTGGTCGCTCTAATGCTTGATGCTGACGTTATTTACTGTCAGAGTCAAATGCTCGTATGCAAATATAGATCTAGCGCCAAGACTTGCGCGCAGATGTCCTGTGTTGAATATCATTTTTGGCTTGATCAAGAATTCATCATTTCACCCGTTACATGTAAACGTTGGATAGCTGCTAGTTGTCGAAGCAAGTCGGTCATCTGTATTGCCCTTGGCTATTACTCTAGCGCTGCGGCTTAGCAACCAATGTTTACGCCAGTAGAGCACGAAATACGGATAGGCACCCAAGATGATGTGCCTCTCGAACGACGTGTGAATGCGTTGTCAATGAACGATTTATGTATGAGGCCGTATTTAAGAAGAAAATGTATCAAAACACAGACAGATAAATAATTGGTATTTCACCTGGAAAGAAGAGAAACGGAAAACAAGCATGAAAAGAAATAAAGGAAGCGAAAACAGACAAGACTTTATACTGGTACTCTAATGCCCATTGGCTGAATCAATTCCATCATCCATTTGAATTATTAAGCAAATGACATATTGAATGCTTTACGGAATAAATGATTTGTAGGAGCATTCACCTATAATACCGAATCCTACGGTGAGCGGGAAAATTATGTAATTCCAAGACCACACCGGACAGCGAATATAGCGCTTCCCTTGCTTGCTCATATTTAGCAGGCTATCAAAGTCTATAATACAAATGACGTGCGATGAAGACTTTAGTGAGCATAGTTACATTCGCTTTCGCAAGAGGAAAGCATTAAGAAATAGTAATACTCGCTTGCCGTGATTATAAATACATCTGCGGCATTATGGCGTGAATCTTGATTCTGAGATGTACAATCATACCAGTAATTCATTTGGGTGCAGATTTGGAATCATCCTTATTGATTAATGAACAATCTGGAACATACAACTGCTTCAGTTATATGTATACGAATATCAGTATAAATATCGACAACGCCCCATTATAATTCAATCAACAAGCACCTTCCAACGAATCTTATCAATACAAAAAGTCTTATAGTTCAGAACAATGGCGGAACAAAAAGCACTATTAATTACAGGGCCTGGCGATCGAATTGTGCTGGGAACCAGACATATACCTACCCCAGGACCAAAAGAAGTTCTAGTAAAGGTAGCAATTGCCGGATGTACGTGCCATGATATTCTAATGTTTTGTTACTACCACTAACTTGACTAGTGAATCCCCATGATCAACTAATGCGTGATGTGGGATTTTTCATCGGCAACAACGTGCCTGCACCCATCGGTATAGATATTGTTGGAACAGTGCATGCCCTTGGAAAAAATGTCGACAACTTCAGAGTCGGTGATTTGGTGTTCGGAATTGGAGACCCTTTTGATGCAGATTACATGGGCACCCAAGAGTACGCACTGATGGATATCGATTTCTTGGGACATGTGCCATCGTCCATCACACAAGATGAGGCTGCTACCCTGCCTTTGAACGCACTTACAATGTACATTGCTCTTTTCGATGCATCCACGCACGACTTTCCCTCTCCGTTGACTCCGGCCGGAAAGTCATTCGACTACAAGAATACGCCACTGGTCATCCTCGGAGGCGGCTCCAACTGTGGGAAATTTGCCATTCAGCTTGCCAAATGGGCCGGGTTCGGTACCATTATTGCAATCGCTGGCAAAACAAAAGCCGATTATCTTGTCGAGCTCGGTGCTACCCATATAGTTGACAGAACCTTGGCCGACGATCAAATCGAGTCCGAGGTACGAAACATTGTGGGAGATGATCTTCTGCATGTTTGCACTGCAGTCTTTGCAAATGATCAGACACTGGGTGCCCGCCTTCTGTCAAATAGCAAGAGAGGGACTTTAATTACAGTGACTAGGGGCACAGTCGATGAATCAAAACTGGGCGACAAAAAGGCTGGGTATGAGGTGCGCGGATTCTTCTGTCGCCCGCATGCAGAGGAGAAGCGTGAGCTGGCAACGCTCTTTTGGAAATCTTTCCCAGATCTTATCGAAAAGGGCATTCTCAAGCCAACTCCTTATGAAGTAGTCAAGGGCTTGGATGAAAATAAGATCAACGAGAGCCTCGATGCATATGGGCAATCTAAAGGACCGACTAGGCCAAACATTCATGTAAGCGGCGCATAGATAGATTGCTTTAGATGAAAATAAATCAACGCTATTATTGGTACATCTGCTATTTACAATGGATCAAATGACAGCTTGCAATCATAACATCTTCAGACATTTGCCAAAATACTCATAGCTGAACTTTCAAATACTTTTCCATTCCCATTCGGCGATAAAAGTTGACTTTGTTGTTATCAACCACCAAAGCAGCCGATTCTGAACCGTCCATGACAGGATCAGCAAACATTCTAAAGGGCTTCTTCCCCCTCGGAATGTCTGACAGCTCCGCTAGTATATCAGCCACCATGGACGGATCAGCATCAGGCGGACACACATTCATCGTGCCTGTCATGGAGTCTTCCCCCATGCCTTTTGTGGGGCCATCCTCATACTCTGCTGCGATGTTTGCAAATGCGGGCTTTGCAGCATCAGCGAAATGGTTGGTGCCCTTTGTAAAGACGCCGGGGGACACTAGAGTTGTTTCGATTCCCCAAGGCGCCAATTCGTGAGCGTATGCCTGTGCAAGATTATCCTGTGCGGCTTTGGCCGCGAAATATGGTCCAATCATGGGAGACTTGCCGCCATACGTCGAGCTGCTGCAGATCCAAATCAAGTGTCCAGAGCGCGCCCTGCGCATATGAGGGAGTGCTGCTTGATTCAGCCTCTGGCATCCAACGACATTGACATCGTATTGATCAAGCAATTGCTTTGGGCTAAAGCTTTCAGAAGGGCCCCAGCACATATGGCCTGCGTTGTGGACAACAGCATCGATCCGTCCGGTAGATCCGACGACGGTTTTCACAGCTGCATCAACAGAGTGTTGAGACAGAAGATCTAGAGGCACAGCCCGGAGATCTACCTTGTGTTCTGTTGCGTATTTTGAGAGGTCGTCTTCATATTGTTTGGTGTTCCCGCTGTGTGAGTACATGCCTGCAAAGACGGTGTGGCCTCTTTTGGCAATGGCACGGGCTGCCAGAGCTCCGAAGCCAGTGGAAGCTCCTGAGATGAGATATACAGACATGCTTGGAATTGGCGATGTAGATTAATTATAAGCGATAGAATTTGAATGCGGACAGCTGAGATTGTAACTGAATAATCGATTGTGGTTGGGAATCATTGTCAATCGAGCCCATCGAACAATTGTATTTATACACTTTGCTACTCTACGTGAATGCGACTCTATTGATTCGTTTTTCGGAGCATTGAACAATGTTCACAACGATATACCGAGACATCTATTCCCGAGTACATGGTGGAAGGTGATCGGGATAAGGCCTGTCGGAATTAAGGTTAAACCGCAACTCGAACCGCCGAGTCGCCAGTTTCAGCTTCAAAAGTGGCTCACAGCATTAGTCAGGCTTGCGTATTCGGTGTTAGGCGTTATTCATGATTAAGCAAAGAAGATCCTATTACCTCTTTTGTACTGCCAAGCTTTTAGAGTTAATAGGGTTATAGATCTAGTGGATAGCAATTTGAGAGCCTGATGCTATTATTGGTATCTTCACAAAGGTTTTTGGGATAGCTGTTCTAGCAACTAAGCCATTTACAGTAATTATGCTAAAGCTTATTCAGTCATGAAGTCTCTCAAGCTAGGGATAGCTGTTACTTTGGCGACTGAGGTATGGTATAGAGAGCAGGAGCCGGACGTAAAGTTGGCCTCGTTGCTTTATTTAAATATTGTCAAGACGCAGTGGCGGTGCGGTGTGAAAAGAAAGCCATTGAAGTTATTACAGCTATACTACCCTAGGTATATTGCAATAAAATGGGTAGGCTGTATTTGGTAGTCGCTCATATTATGGGCTGGGAGGCTGTAGCCGAAGCCACTCATCTTGATTTCGCGGCGTGCCACATGTAGAAAGTATTAGATGCTACACTTGGTTCCTTTTTTTGACTGAAGAAATACATTACCATGACCACAAAAAAATGATTTAATCGATGCCATTGAGAGACATGGCATGTGTGTTCTTGGCATTAGCCAGCTCGCGTTTCGGACTTAACAATCTCCACCATGATTAGACGATAGCATAGGGCATCAGAAGAAAATAATGTGTTAGATCCCAGTTAGACCACAGTTTAGTCACACTGCAAGAATGGCAATGAATCGTTTGATCCACACTGCAAAGCAAAGCAATAGCCGGCCGGAAGTGATTGTATAGCTGGTGCTAGGATAGGGTCAACTTTACGCTACCTTTTCTTCCTTATACAGGTCTTTGACCATGCGTTCTTTCAGAGTGCATGACATCATAAAGGTTCCTTGAGAGAGGAGAATTTCGCGCACCTTACCATGTTTGCTATAAATGTAACATCGTTATAGGATTTGCAGCAGCACCCTGGCTCGCATATCTGCCTTCATAGATACCTCATTGGCCTCGTATGCAACACTACACTGTAGACTTCTGCCCATCACAAAGGATAATAAAGGATAAATTAGCTAGAAAGAGGAACAAGCAAATGGGGCGAGCTACTGCGCTATGGGATTGATGCAGATACCGCTTTGAGACCAGCCGGACTTTGCGTTCTTTCGTAGGGAAAAAGACGATCGCCCCACTAGCTCTTCTATGCTGCAGGTAGTCGGAAGGTCCCGATTTACAAGCTGATTGGAGCCATGCTGCTTTTTGCAAAAATCTCCCCGGATATATCGCTAATTCAGCATATCCAACATACGGGAGATGCTATTTTTCAGCCGTGAGATGGGTCTATCTTCGGAATTCCTACCTTTCAGAGAAATCCATTTCCGATTGACTGTGACTCTGAAGCGCATTATTATGGATCTGATGTTGTATTTGCGGGTGCAACACTCGATGACATGATGAAAGCCCACATATATAATGTACAGCCTGGCCTCGTCAGTCACATCATTATATCACTTCACTTTGCTCCATTTCACTCTTCACCCTCGACTTGATACCCTCTGACTTACTGTGCTTCATACAACCAAACACCACAATGTCTCTCCCCAAGACCTACAAGGCCATGGTCACGCTCGAGGCCAGCAAGCCCTTCACCCTGCAAGAGCTCCCCCTAAAGCTTCCCGAGCCCGGCCAAGTCCTCGTCAAAGTCCTCGCCTGCGGCGTCTGCCTGTCCGACGTCGCCATCATCAGCGGCCACATGGGCACAACCTACCCGCGCGTCACCGGCCACGAGATTGTCGGCGATGTCGTCGCCGTCGGTGAAGACGTCACTCGCGTCTCTGTCGGCGAGCGTGTCGGCGGTCCCTGGCACGGCGGCCACGATGGAACCTGCCGTGCCTGCCAGCACGCGCAGTTCCAGTTCTGCAGCAACCAGAAAGTCAACGGCGTCAGCTTTGACGGCGGATATGCCGAGTATGTGCTTCTGCGAGCCGAGGCCGCGGTGCGCGTGCCCAAGGAAGTCGACCCTGCAGAAATTGCTCCCTTCTTGTGTGCCGGCGTGACCGTCTTCAACGGGATGCGCAAGCTGCGTGTTGAGCAAGGAGGCCTGGTGGCGGTGAATGGACTGGGAGGACTGGGCCACTTGGCGGTGCAATACGCCAGCAAGATGGGATACGAGGTTGTCGCCATCTCGTCCGGAGACGACAAGGAGGCGCTGGCCAAGGAGCTCGGGGCCAACCACTACATCAACGCCAAGAAGGCCGATGCTGTCGCCGAGCTTGTTAAGCTGGGCGGCGCCGACATGATTGTCCAGACGGCTCCCAACCCCGACACCATCAGCAAGCTCGTCAAGGCTCTGGGCCCCGGCGGCAAGCTGCTCAACCTCTGTCCCATTGGAGAGGTTCCCATTGACACGATTGCTCTGGTTGCCAAGGGCGCCAGTGTTCACGGCTGGCCGAGCGGACACGCATCGGACAGCGAGGATGCGATTCGATTTGCACTTACACACGGTGTTCGCTGCATGATTCAGAGATATCCGCTGGAGGAGGCGCAGCAGGCGGTGGACGACTTGCTTGCCGGCAAGCCTCGGTTCAGGAACGTGTTGGTGATGAACCAGTGAGCTGGGTGGATGAGTTGGAGCTTTATTCTTTGTTGTATGGCTTGTTATATGCGAGGGACGGATGAGCTACTAGTAGAGGTTATCAGATGGACTAGGTACTAGATAGACTAGAGGCGTCATCGAAGTCTAAAATGAGGACAATGCGCATTGTGGCGGCGACAATCTACAGGGTCCTGTACATCATGAAACATGTTCACAACAAGTTCAATTTGTGTCTCTTGTAACACCAACCGAACTATTATGCCGCATCAAATTCACTACAATCATCGTTGTTCAGATAAAATTAAAATAAAAAACCACCAGCAGACAGAGCACCTGTCTTCCATTTTAACCGCCATTCTCGAATGTTCCATCCCCCCAGCATTAAAAATCCGCCGTAAATTCCGCTCCGGCGCTGCCCCGCCACAAGAAATTCAGGGTCCTTCCGCTTTGAATCTGCTACCGATTCCATGGATTCTTTTCGGACATCCGACGAAATATCACCAGCTTGTCACAAATCGTAGCTCTCTTTCCCCTCCTTGTTCACTATTCCCATGTCGCGTTCAAATCTACGATAAGCTCAAGTTTCCACCTTTTTTTCAATGTCTTTGTAAATTGTTCCCGTACTACATGGTACCTATTATTATCCCCTAATACCACCCATTACTTCTCCCACGTCCCGCCTCTCACGTCGCATCGGGCGCCACACCACTTTCTCATCCCAAGTGATACATACATCAGCGTGCCGTACAAAAAAAACACAAGAGTACACAATTTCACAGCCTTTTTTTGGGCGGAGCAATAGGGCCGTCGAAATCCCTCGGCTGGGCACATTTCGGTACCTAAACTGCTCTTTCCCAGCAAACCACCCATCCCTCCTCATCCATCTTCTATAGCGTCATCGCCATCAATCGCCGCCACCATGTCCAGGTCCCTGCAACTGTCCCTGCAGCTCAAGGAAGAAGGCAATCACTTGTTCCAGGCCGGCAACTATATCGGCGCAGATGGCGTCTACTCCAAGGCGTAAGCTCTCTCCCCCAACAGACCGAAACCGGGGAAAGTTGTCCAGCACTCTTGCTATAGCAGACTGCTGCCTCTGCTACTTCAACGTGTATTTAACAATTATGCATTTACATGTAGCCTGGCTGCCTTGAGCTACAGCTGGACTGCTGGATAACTTTCCCCAAAACCAATCGTCCCGCATAAATCTCACATATATACAGCATCATCGTCGACCCCAAAAACCCAGCGCTCTACACCAACCGCGCCATGGCCCGCCTCAAGCTCGGCGACTGGGAATCCGTCATCACCGACTGCCAGACCTGCCTCGGCCTCGCCCCCCAGAACATGAAGGCCCACTACTATCTCGCCCAAGCACAGCTCTCCATCGGCGACTTTGATAGCGCCCTCAACAACGCCCTGGCCGCGCACAAGATTTGTGCAACCATGAATGACAAGTCGCTCGGCGCAATCACAAACATTGTCCTGCGCTGCAAAAAGGATCGCTGGGAGGACAGGGAGAAGAAGAGGCTGCGGCAGGAGCGGGAGCTGGAGGAGGAGATGCTGGCGATGCTGGTCAGGGACCGCAACGACATGCTCAAGGCGGAGAGCGATGAAACTGAGCGGAGCATCATTGCGGATGAGGCAGATGAAAAGATGAAGACTCTCAGCAAGGTCTTTGAGAATGCCAGACAACAGAGCCTGAAGCGACGTGAAGTCCCTGACTGGGCGATTGACGACATCAGCTTCGCCATCATGGTTGATCCCGTCGTGGTAAGTCATGTTCTCCTTGAACCAAGAATTCGGGTTCTCTCTTTATTAACATTATATAAAAAAAAATAGACAAAAACTGGCAAATCTTACGAGCGCGCCACCATCATGGAGCATCTCCGCCGCCATCCTTCCGATCCTCTCACCCGCGAACCGCTCAGCGACGCCGAGCTTCGGCCCAATCTCTCGTTGCGCCAGGCCTGCGCTGACTTTTTGGAAGAAAACGGCTGGGCTGTGGACTGGTAGCCCCCTCCTCACTCTCTCTGACTTACATCTCTTCATTCTCAATCTTCATCTCCCCCGTCTTTGACAAGCGAGCGACTTTCTCTTCCACTAGCTACGTATTAGCCGCGACGTTTTCTTGATTAAAACTATTTAGTCCATGTATGGGATGTACCGGCTCTTCGATATATTGCTTCCTTATAGCTTCGTTGTATTATGGCCGGATGTGGCATGGAATCGATGTGATATAGGCATCGCATGGCGTTTCAGGACTTCCTTTATGAAAAGATTTTTTCACAGTTCTTTAGCAATGCGGATTTAAAACACAAAAAATGGATCATTATTACTTGTATCATGAATGCTTGCCGTAGAAGAAGCGGAAAGCTATCCACTACCCTGTTCTATTATCCAGCACTTCAGTGATACTATACATCTGCTACCTACCTGTATGCTACTGATGTTACTAATGCTGCTCCTTTCAAGCGTGTTTAGTACTTGCATGCATATATCTTGATACTTAGACTGGCTGCTTTATCAAGCTACAGCTGGGGCGTTCAATAATGAAACTGAGACTGGATAACTTTTCCCAAATAAAAGACCAGATAGTGAAACATAGAGCCCAATCATATACATCGTGTATTGCTGTCCAAGCGCAGAGCTCATCACGAACCAATCTTCCTTTTTCTAAACCACTATATACAAAAGACACATTGCCTTGCCATCATTCATTTGTATTTGCACAAGCACGTTGCCACCGCTGCCACCTTTCTTCTTCTTCTTTTCTACACATCCAGAGCCAAAAACGCATACATCTCTAGTTGTCTTCACCTTGCTCATGCACAGTTAAGGAGAGGGTATCGTCCCGTCATGACCATCCGTTTTCAAATCAAACCAACAGCTCGCTTCTAAAGCGTACATCATTGAATAGTGAATGTGTGAGACCAGCAAAAAAAAAGAATGAAGCCGTCCTGGATAAAAAGGCATAATGAAACAAGCAACATAAGCCATTCAGAAAAATTGAAATTTCATCAAACAAAGACCGAAAAACGCCGACCGAATGCAAGATATTATCATCGCTTCACCGGTTGTGACCTGCACTTTCTTATCTAGACAAAAGCTGGGGCTGGAGGGTGTCCAACTCCTCCTCCGCCTGCCGCTGGATCAGGCGACCCTCCAGGCGATGATCCGTGGGATGCTCCTGCTGAGCGATCTGGTGATCTTTCACTGCCGTCGGCGCTGGGTTCCTTGACAAGCCCTACGCGTTCCTCTTCAGAAGGCTGGGGTGTCCGTCGGAAGACCCTGTTGAAAGAGAACTGACGCCGTGTTCCGTGAGGTGGTGGAGTCGGAGCGAGGAAATGGGGGGCGCTGCCGGATTCGGCGCCGCGATATTCGGTGTCGGTGTTTGCGTGGCCAAAGTACATGTGCTCGCGGGTCGGGCCATAGTAAGCACCGGCTTCGTCATCAGGCTTCTGCTGGGGTAACGTAATATGCTTGAGAGCGAGCGGATGCATCGGACTGGGAATCTTGTCGGTACCATATTGCGCCTCTTCATCCTCGTCCATTTCGCTGACGCTGAGAACGTGATGCTGGTTGTGGCCCCGACGGCCACGGATTGTTCCTGCAATGCTGGAGAAGACACCGGGGGAGCGTTCATGTTCTGCGAGCTCTGATTCCGTAGGGAAATGGGACATGCCCAGCGGCGGATGAGGAGTTCTCGGCGGGGCTGGAGAAGGGGGAATCGGCGTTGAAAGCCTAGTCGACCTGGTGTGCATACTGGACGCAATAGTTCGTCTTCGCCTTATGCCGTCCCACTCGTACATCGGCTGCCCATCTTCGCTGATGGGAGCCATGCTCTCGGCCATCTTCTCTTCGTGAAGACGCCTGAGCTCCTCGGCTTCCATCCTTAGTCGTGCGTTGGAAATGCGCCTGATAATAGCAGCTGCGCCTCGGATTGCGTCAGCTTTGGGTTCCGTCTCGGGCTGCGCCTGTTCGGCAATGGTGTGAATCTGGTCGAGATCGCCATTGAATACGGCAGCGTCGGGGACATCCTTGGCAGACTTGGAGAGCTGTAGCAGGACCACGCCGGAGCAAATAGTAAGGAATCCCAGCACGACGGTAACAATAGATTGGGCGGTGCCCTTGAAACCTTGAAATAAGACTGCAGACGTAATGATGGTTGTGCTAGTAAAATAGACATAATATGTGGGTGTAACGATAGCGGCGTTGAAGAGATTGAGAGCTTTCTAAAAACCGATCTCGGTTAGTTTTTCATTTCGCTCCTGTTTCATAGATCCATCATGAAAACTCACGTTGAGGAAGATAATTTCGGTAAGCAGAGTGCCCACAACGAAAACAAGCAGCACCCACAAGAACCACTGCTTGTACTCGGGCTGCCCGCCGGCCCATGCGATGATGGCGGCGCCCAGGCCCTGAGTCGACACGACACTCAAGCCTCCAATCCAGCTGCAGATGGAGATGTAGACCAGCATATTCTTCTTACCATATTTTGGTCCGACGAAGAAGGCGACGATGACGGACCCGACAATGATGACGCCCGTGTAGGATAAAAAGCCCGGCGTGATGACGTACTTTTGCATCTCTTCAATGTTGGCGACGGAGGATTCCTGCGGTGCGTTCATGACGATGACGACGGACCCCACGATGCAGAGAAAGCATGCCACTTTGCCGACCAGGCTGAGTCGCTCCTTGAGGAAGATGGCAGACAGGATGGTGGTGATGACGACGGAGAGCGCACCGAGCGGTGTAACCAGGATGGCGTCGGTGAAGGCGTATGCGACAAAGTTGCAGACCTCGCCGATGATCATGAGAATCATGCCCGCCCACCAGTAGGCGTTCTTGAGGTAGCTGTAGCCTTCGCCGGCAGCTTCGTTGTACTTTGTGTTTGCCTTTAGCAGGCCGACCTTTTTGAGCACAAAGGACGTTCCAATAAAAAGACCCGAGCCAATCGCCAGGCCAATGCCGATGGCCTTGTAGTATCCCGGCCGCACAGAGCCTTCGCCTCCCGGCACGATGCCTCGTGGGAAGAGGAAATCATCGTCCATGGCGGATGTCGACTAAGCCCTGGAGAGGGCGAGTCGAGGGGAGCGTAAGAAAGAGAGGTGAGAAATGTCGGTTTCTATTGTCGAGCTTATTCCATGGGCGAGTTGCGGGATCGACGGAAGGGCGGATTATGGTTTTGTGGGAGCTGTGGGAGCGATTGATGATGCGACGGGACGATCCAAGTGGCGGTAAAATGAGGCTGAGAACCGGGCACCAATCGAGAGGATGGCGTGGGAGATAGGGTTCGTTCGGCCGTGGAAAAGGATAATGTCGAGCTGGAAGCGTAAAATGAAAAAGGACAATCACTAAAAGGATAAATCGTCGAGAAAGCAGCGAATGGTTATGCTAAAAAGAATTTGACAAGAAGAGAAGAGGGCTGCGAGGCCTAGGAATAGGAATAGGAAAGGGAGCTACGCAGCAGGGTGTTGTTGGAGATGCGGGCTGAGACAGCGAGTGGCCGAAGGGGCTCAACTGCAACGTGCACGCTCTGGAGATTGGGCGTGTTGGCCCAGCCCACTTGGCATCATCCACTAAAAGCAGGCTGGGGAAGACGCTAACAGGGAGCTAGAGCTGCTGGGCTGGGCGCTATAAGGGGGCCCCTGGGCGGGCGGCGAGGGGCGTGTGACAGCGCCCGAGGCCTGCTGAGGCCTGCTGAGACCTGCTGAGGCCACTGCTACGGCCGAGAGGACAGCGGCGGCATGCTGTAAGCAGCAGTTGATGGCGAGCCGCATGCATGTGAGATGCACTGGGCGAGTAATTGAAGCTAATCTCGTCCCTGCAGAAGGATTTATGCTGGCAAATGCGAGTGAATAGCAGCTGGTTTTGACTTGCAGATTTAGGAAGTAGCAAGGCCGCAATTACTGCGAGCTTATTGTCTTTACATTTGCGTGTCTATAAATAAGCTGCGCACAACGCCACCCTCTCGAAATACGCGTACGGGGGGCAACGAGCCAACCAACAAAGAGATTGATCTGTTACACACTGGAGCCAAATTTGAGCAGAGCACGCAGTTTCTGTGTACCTCAATGGAGCATTTCCTGTGCTCCCCATCTCAACATGAAGCCATCCAGGCTTTCTAAATAAAGCGCATGTACTGCTACTCCATCTGCGGGCAACGCCCAGCTGTGCCCGCAGGTACCACTGCTGTACGAATACGACGAGGGGCCCCCTGTTTCTTCTGTGTGCTAACGTGCTCTTGAAGAGGCCAGAATCTGGTTTGGAGACCACTTGAGAGGCTGGGGTGCGAGAAAAGATCCGCCGCCGATCAGCACCGGCTGACGCAACGGCGACGAAATGCATCCGTCCCAGCACAGCCTCGCTGTGGCTTCCTCGTACCGGCAAGCACCATGACGCCTTTATGGGCCTTTTGGGACTGGACCGACAGTTGCTGGATGATAACCCACCAATGGCTTCAGCAGTGCCAGAGAATGCTGGAGGCGACGCAGAAGACACGCTCCGTGTGCTGCATCTGCCAAGACTCGGTTGGCCCATCGCGCGTTCAACGTTTGCCCGGCTTGTCCGTCCTTTCCATCCTCTTCATCGCCTTTTCTTCGCACTCCGTACAGGTACCTACATACGTATCTGTTGATTCCATTGATCTGGTTTGCCGTCCCCAAAAACGCTGCTGCTAATTTTGTCCATGTCCAGTTTTTAAGCCCTAGCCTAGCGCCAAGCGCCCCTGCATCCTGGACACGTCTCAATGTTACCTTCCAGCCCGTCATTGTAGAGGCTCCTTGTCTTTTTCAGCAGATAAGATTCAATCGTCAAGGCCAATTGTTTGATACCGATATGCCTGTCATTTCTTGTTCCCGCGGGCTGCCTCTACCCATGTCCGTGTATTCGATGTTTTATACTGGGGTTTCTTCTCTCAGCTGAGCTGACTGCGTCACTAGCCACCATGGAGCTGGAATCATTCCACGTTATAAGCAATCTTCAAGCATATGCTCTTCTTTGGATCTTTTGCACAGCTATTTTTGCAATCCTGTGAATTCACCCTCCGTCGCTACAGGGCGCTTCCCCTAACCAACCGCCCACAAAGCCTCGGGCAATGTGAAGCAGCCCCCGCCCTTAGACCGCCCCGTAAATTGATACGCAGGTACCTGCATCGGCGCCTACAGCTCCAATGCAGATCATGTACCCCGTAAACGCCGCGAGGCTAGAGCCGGTCCAGGGGTCGAGCTTCTCAGACGCTGATACTGCGCGCGCCGTTTCAGCTGCCCTGCGTCTGTCACACAAGTTGGACACGCATCATTCGATTTGATTCGCTTAAAATGCGTGCCGCGTGTTTGAATGGGCTGCATGTCCCTACCACGTTACGTAGCAGCAGTTTTTGACCCTATCAATGGCCAATGCCTGGTTTGCGATCTGCTGATCGTTTGGCTACGAAACGATAAGTCTACGATTAAAACAATCCCTGATTGGTGTTGCGTATAAACGGATATTCTGACCACAGCTGTGTATTGACTGGCGAAGCAAGAAAAAAATTGAAAAGATCTTATGAAGTACCCAGGTAGACAGACAAGAGTAGCACCTCTTTGACAAGTCCAATCATAAAGATAGCTGCAGCAAGATGGCTGCGGCTGTTATAACGTGCATGTGTGTACGGGTACTATTCCAAAGATATCCCTCACTTCTTGTCAATAAGCACTGATATTACCCGTACAATTACTGTCGGATAACTGGCTAAAAACAGCGTATTGTGTTCAAATAGCGGCCGCTAATGCTATTTTTGTCGAGCAATCCCATATTTAGCTACCTTTATGTTATGAATAAAATGAATCGAAAGCAGCAACTATGTCGCACATGTCTGTTACATGTGTTTATCTACATCAATGGCTTAGCAGTACTGTAGTATTGCGCCAAACCGTCAACTACATGTACCACTCGTGTTTTATATCCGTCATCTGGTTACTTCAAGTCACGTCTTCAAACACACTCTGGACCATATCCAACCCCTAAAATCCTTGATTGAGGGTTTATGATGGCAAGTGTCTTTCGTCTAAACCTTTACACACAGCATCATTTCCAGTATCAGCTCGCTATCGTCAAGATCCTCCTGCCAGGGTTGATATAGCGGCCTCAAACGAGACTTCCAGTCAACTGAATGCTCACCCCCTCGATAACGGATAGCATCCGCAATTGCCTCATGTTCATCAACCACAGCCCAGTCCAATGCCGTTAGGCCTCTTTCATCTTCTATCGATGGCTTGATCTTCGAGGACCCCAAAAACGCCTCGGCTGTAACCCTATTGCCAGATTTGACAGCAACGTGAAGAGGAGTACAGCCATAGTGGTCCTTTGCATTGACGTCTGCTCCGAGGGATTCAAGCCGACGAACATATTTCTCAAGCTTAAAAGCAAGAGCATGATGGAAATCTCCTGTTCCATAACTCTCATCGTCCGAGTCGTATAAATCTGAACCGGTCTCAGCATCCCCTCCGCCACGGCCCTGTAATTCTCTGGCCTGCCACCTTGCCATTCGATGCAGAACCGTTTGACCAAAAGAGTCTACATCGCGAATCTGGCGCTTCAGCGTCGCTGAGCCAGAAGGAATGTTCTTCAATATATAGTCGACGAGCTGCGGACTCTCACTCGAAAGAGCCAAGTACAATGCGCTGCGCCGGAACTTGTTTAGTGCATGTATATCAGCCCCGGCCCTGATGAGAAGTTCCACGCTCTTCGGCGAGCCAGAGGCTGCCGCATAGTGGAGAGGCGTAGATTCTGCCTTGTCTCGCAGGTTCGGATCTGCGCCCAGCTCGAGTAAGACGCCGACTGCTGGGCTATTTTGGAAAATCGAGGCGTAGTGCAAGGGAGTCCGGCCAAACTGGTCCTTCACATCCACTTTCCCGTGCAGCACTCCCATGCATTTTCGTACAAAGGTATCGCTATGCCACATCACCAACAAGTGCAACAAGCTTCGCCCGTGTTGATCCTTGCCGTAATTATGAACCGGTTGCTTGAGGAGGAGATACGTTATGGATCGGTGCCCGCATTCAGCCGCTATGTGGATCGGCCGTCTACCTGATGCATCGTTGAGATGATAGTTGGCTCCAGCCTGTAATAGACACTCGGCTGCCATTTGGTTGCGACTCTCTGCTGCGACGTGGAGTGCGGTGCGGCCATCGTTGCTGGCATGGTCCAGCCAGCGCAATGGCTTCGACTCGACCAGAGAGCTGATGCTTCTCCAATGGAATTCAGATGCCCAGTGTGCGAGTGTTCTGCCGTCGGCGTCGATTGCCATGGAATCAAGCTCATACTTCAACAAGAGCTTGTTCACGATGGCTTCCCAATCTTGCTGTGCACACAACAATAACAGCTTTGTGCCCTGATCGATATCCTTGTTGAATATATTTGCAGGCAGAAGCTCCAAGATTCGAGAAAGACTCTTCTCCATACCATGGTAAGCATATCTCTCCAGAAGCGTCAAATGATCGTGGTCCTTGACCAGAGCTTGGGTAGGGTCGCGGGTCAAAATCAGGTCCTCCACCGACTGCCATTGCAAATAGCTCGATCGGTAGAGATAAGAAACCGGAATTGGGTCGCTCTCTACCCAAAATGTCTCGTAGTCAATTACCGGCTGAGGTAGCTGACGCGGTGCTCTCAGGTACCAATTGTACGGCACATCCCGTCTTCCTATAACTTTGAGCGCAAGGTCTTCATACAAACCTTCTAGGAATATTTGCTCAAGACATGTCATGTCATTTGCATTTGGCGTGTTGATGTCTAGATCGCTACGTTGCAGGAGGTTGATTGCAATCGGCTTCATTTCCGTCCTGGACACACACCAGTGGAGAACTGCCCAGCCTTCCTTACTTCGAGCATTGACGTCAGCTCTAGGGTCATCCAAGAGGCGTTGGATCAAGTCTCCATTGACACCAGCTTTGCATGCAAGATGGACTGGGTTGTCTTTGCATTTCCTTGTTGAGCCAAGGCTAGTCTCCTCGTGGGATAAAAGGACTTCCAATGAGTCTCGTCTTCCCTCGTGCATGGCCCATGTCAATGGTAACCATCCATGGCTATCCATTCCGTTGATATCCTCTCCGCGTTGAAGAAGGCTTTGGACAACGGTTGGGTGATCGCCACAACGAAGTATGAAATGCAACGGAGGTGACCGGGCGTATTGATCAATATCATCCCAAAAGGCGCCTCGGTGATATTTCGCCATACCCAAGAGCAATGCCACAAGATGGAAGAAATGTGACTGCCGTAACAGTGCAAAGCGTGTGAGCGATTCAACCACATCTGGATCAGATGTTGCTTGATTACAGTGATAGTTCCAGTAGGACACGCAATAAGAAAACAAGGTATGAGTACGCTCATCAAGATCCGCTTTGCCCAGCACTTTTTTGGCCTGTATGAGGGCTTCCTCCTCCCGGTCGTTGTCGTCGTATTTTCTGAACTTGAGCGACATCACATCTTCTCCAGATTGCAATGCCGTTACCAAAAAGTCTTTCATGCGCTCAGATAGCGCTTCCCGCGCAATATCTCTCAAACGCACAAAATCGCGAAAGCTGAGCATGATGATGCAGCCTTTCGCCAATTCCGCATCAATCTTGTCTTGATGGATGAGAAAATTTGACAATACAGCGGAATTGTGCGGAGACAACGTTTCCGCCGAAGACGTCAACAGCTCCTTCACCGTAGCATGTGCAAATCTAACGTGGTCGTCTTGGTCTACACAGAGCATGTATCCGAATGTTTGCCCAAACTGAGTCTCAAAGTTGAATCCAAGCGAATTCACGAGGTCGACCCAAGTACTCTGGCCTGCGCTTATTGCGACAGCGTGTTGTAGTTCTGCGACGTTGAGCGGCTTCCGTGATCCTAGGACCCAGGTGAATCCGCTTTTGGCAATTTCTCGCGAATCTTCAGGTATGCGCTCGAGAAGGGAGCAGTAATAAGCCGCCGCTTCTTTTGATATGCTTTGAAGACCTTCCAGCTTGGACTTGATGACTTGAGGGGACCAATATGATACCCCGGATCGAAAATGTGTCCATGCTAGCGTTGACTGGAGAAAGTTGCCCTCGGATATGTCGACCAGCGTGTCCTCGATTGAGGTTTGGTATTGCCAGGGAATAGCTCCGCTTGAGCAAAGATCTTCTAGTTGAGTAGAGATAAACTGACGCACATCATTGCTGATTGCGCTCTGGTTATTCAAGTCGATGTGAACAGCCTGTTGCCTAATATCACGAGAGGTCGGCGGATTGCGATCTGATATCACAATTTTAATCTTCCGCCCAAGATCGTGCTCAGTTATACGACAACATTGACGAAGCAATTCGGTCTTGGATTGTGGTTCAAGTTCGTCTATAGCATCAAGGAATATCCAGTATTTGCTGTCCGTACTTCGCTGAAGAATCGTCCGTAAAGAGCTCCATAGGAAGTCCAGACCGTCCTCAACTGAGTTTCCAGGATATTGCTTGATGATAGATACATAGTAGTCGATTTCTGCCTCGTTTAGATAGCGAAACAAGTAATTGGACTGCGATAGAATCTGATATAGCAAAGAGCTAACCAATTGGCCTTGGGTATTGCGAAGCCAGTCTTTGGAATCACAGAAGAAGAATAAAACATGAGACTCCTTGCTCGTTGGCTGCTGGTTTCTTTGTAGGCGGCGTCGTAAGTTCTCGACAAGAAATCGCATCATGGTTGTCTTTCCAGCACCAGGGATGCCAGAGAGCCATAGAAGTCTCTTTTCATCAAATTCGAGCCATTCCTGAAACTGTTTGACTTCAAGGATCCAGTTACAAGTTCCAGGACTTGCTCGTGGTACCTTGCGAAGGATGTCTTCTGCGTCCAGCTTTTTAATACCGAGAAGAAACTCATTTCGTGTTGTAGTATCGTCTAGAGCATTTAGTATTTTTCGCCAGAAATCGCTATAATAGACGACTAACAGGATTGTCTCTCATGCAAGGCGTCATCCACTAGCTCCTTGAGACAGTCGACTATCATATGGTATTTCTCAGTTTTGTTGCTGGAAAATTTACACATGCTTCTATGGTCAGCTTCGATCGGGATGGGGATCTCGTTTGGGATGTTAAGAACAGCAGAGTTCTCATCAACAATCTGCAGAGATTGATCAGCCTTTGCGTCAATGATCCGAGATTCTAACCCACCAAGCCGGGTATGCCCTTGATTTTGAGCCTCTCGTAAATGGAGAATATTCGGTGCAAAGACTTTCCTCGTTCGACAAACTGCGAGCATATCGAACCCAGACACTCAGACCTTGGCTTGAGATCATCCAAGAGTTGCGTCCGCACGGCGCCAAGAGTGAACACATCCGCCAAAGACCCAAAAAGCTTCCCCCAGAAGGCGTTATCTGAGCCTCGATGAGGAGTTCCCAGAAACATCACACCAAATGTGTCACGGCTGATAGAACTGTATCGATCGCTTCTTTCATGGGCAATAATGAGGGCTTTCTTCAAGACGATCCCGCCCAGACTATGGCATATGAATATTAAGGGCCTCTTTTCCGGCCCGGAAAGTTGTCTTCGTTTGGCTATCAGCCTTTCCAACAGAGTTCTAGCAAAGTCGTCAATCCTCGACACAGATCCTGTAAATGCAGCCTTGGAGTTATAGCCATAGGCGAATATGCGAGCATTGGGAAGGTCCGCTGGCAGCAGATCCGTGAGCCACAAGCGACCGTTCTCAGACCATGTCCTAGTAGCATGCCCATTTAAGCCGTGTATCGCAACGATACTGTCGGGTTCGTCAGCAAATATGTCTGAGGCCTGTTTTGTACAAGACAAGGGTAAGCAAACTCTATTCGAGTGTTGTCGTCCCAATAATGGTCGACTTTTGGCGGCCAGAGCTCAAAAAGTCCGTAATCATGATCATCACTGGAAGTGTCCCCGTCACTTGCTGCAAGCGAGAGGGGTTGGTCAACATCTGGATCGGTTTCGGGTGAAACAAGGCTTATATCTCTTGAGCCGTGCCGAGGTATGCGTCCCAAAATTCGATCCATAACTACAGATATTCAAATGTATTCAAAGGAAGTTGTGGTGTCTAGAAACGCAGTATAGTACATAGATGTTTGATGCGGGGAGTTTGCAACAATAGGCCATTCACCAATGATAATCGAGATGCATGCCAGCCTGGATGTGGGGTATGGATGGACGACTGGAACCCTGGTTGGCTATTGCACACCCAACTTTCCCCTCGCAATAATCACGTGTATTGTGTAAGATTGATTGCCTATATTGCCAACAGTTGCTTTCTTGCCCGGCAATCTTTATGGAAAGGAAGAAGACGTTGATCAAGTAGTAATTGCCTCGTTTGGTCATTTAGTTGTCTAAATTCAAGGTCCAGACAGTAGGTTGAAAACCGTTCAGCTGCGGTGGAAGGACATGAGCGACCATTTATGAATTGAGCACATGTAATGGGTGAAGAGTGACATTTAGCTCTCGACTATACCAACTATGAGGAGCAAGCTTGATGGCTGTATCAACGGCTCTTCGGGCTATACATCTAATATGAGGTGAAAAGAATGATTTCGAAGGGTTACAACGTATCCAGGAGATAGTGTACAGTACAAAGACTGCAAGATGCAGATATAAATTGGCTCACGAAAATTTGTTAGTGCCGTAAAGCATTGATAGTCAAAATCTCTGCTAGACTTTGGAATATGAGAAAGATAATGAAGATCGCAGATTAAATGCACATGTATCTATCGCTGCTTCGACTATAAGTACATGTATCTACATACATGGGCATCTAAGTGTTGCCGTTGCACAAAGCTAATAAGGGCAACTACTATACAGCTGTTCTTAATCATTGTCATCGTTGGTATTAATTGCTCATCATCAATATCCTTGCGACTGCCAGTTTCCTGGGCGCGGAGGATGTATTTTTGAAGATTTCTTTATTTACAATTTCTCCATGTACGCGTCATTGATCCTGAGGTTAGGCATACGCGTTTTCTATCACTAACGCTCAATTATGTTTGCCGAGCCTGATTTAAGCAGAAATTATGCAGAGGCGCCGCCCCCACGGAGTACATGTATCAAGCCTGATCAATACGTACGCGAAAAGAGGGCACCAATGATAGACGCGGGTGGCTACATATTGCATCAGTATCGCAACACGTACAGTATACAGACCAGCCCTTTAAGATGCAATAGTTTGGTAAAATAATACGGCTGGAACCGGTTCAAGATCTCAACGGGATGCCAAGATGCCTGATCGCCCCCATAAGATTTGATATGACCCATTATTTACATGTATTGCTCCGCAATTGCGATCAATATGGCTATGGGAAGTCTAGCCGATCGAGAACTTTCCTATACATGACACGGGACAACAGGATGGGGGCCGCTGCAGGGGTTAATTGACATTGTCCACGAATGTTACCTTATCTATATATAAACCACGCTGATTTTTGGTCGAGAGGCTTTTCGTACACACTCCTCCAGGTCAGCTACAGCAATCTGTTATGTTCATCGAACATCCTTCTTGGACGCCCCTTCTCAATGCCGTACCCATACCAAACAGATCCTTTCAGCAGGCTGCCTTTGTCGGCTCGTATCGCCATTGCAAAGGGCATGCCCGATCTGGCATCTCTGCATAGCTTTCGCCTCATTTCATCCGCGTGTGCCGCTGTGTTTATGGAACCAAAGATGGGAGCCAAAATCGTCGAATTGGTAGCCAGAAAAAACTTGGACTATATGAACCAAAAGGTATTTGGCTACATCTGGGCACTGCTGCAATACCCCGAATCAAATTGGCCGATACCCCTCGGACGGCCTTTTAAAATCTCACCAATGTATGTTACTAGAAGCTGGCTCGGTTCTTCGACGCCGACAACCGAATCTACGCTTCGCATCTTGGTATTAGGCAAGACGGTCCACGAGGCTGCTCATCGGTGCCTCCATACTCTTTTGCAACGCTTCATCGCGCTGCGACCATGGCGTCCAGAAAACGCCAAATGCAATCTCAAAAACATGGGGTTCTGGAGATATTCTCCAAACACCCCCTTCCGGCTCCCTCCAGAGCGGGAAGGCCAACTGGTTGGGATCAATCTCAAAGCGGCAGCAGGTCCGTTGGAATGGTTCGAGGAGCAGAACGTCGTCTACGGTGCCTGGCTGCTTGCTCTCTACGCTGTTGTGCGTGACACGCCTGAGCCATACATCTGGCCTCCACCTGGATCGACAGCCGGGCATATAAAAGCGTTGCAATTAGAGAAAAGCGTGAGAGCAATAGAGATGCCACAAGTGCTCTTGGGCAGGTCGGCAACGCCAACTGCGCCCATACTACATCGACCATTATCGACTTTTTTCCCATGGGCACCTTCATGTAGCGAGAGTGGCTGTTCGATAGCACGAAAGTGGTTTCCAGGTCCTGAACATCTCCAGATCACATCCAGGGGCAAGCAGTTTCTGGGCGACGCGCGTGAAACGCCTTGGTCGGCGATCAGAGCCGCCCCAATCGGGGCCTTCCGGGCTCTTGGCTTCTCAATATGGGGAGAGTACAGGTTCATAAACATGGGCCTGCTCACTGGTAGTCGTGATCTAGCAACGCATTTTGCCAACGCCACCGATGTGGCAGAGTGCAGTGATGGGTACGCATGGAAGAGCGTGCTGACTCTGCCACAGCTTGAAGCGTTGAAAGATGCACAGTATGATGCATGGGTACAGTGGCAGCAAGAGGCAGCAAATAGGAGAGACTACATGTAATTTGATGAATGCTAGGGGAAGTTTATGAGATTAAAGAATTGTATGAAGAAGTGATTTTGTGGCTAGAATACATTATTAAACCAAAGTGACTATTTATGCGGATACATGTGAAGCATGTATTAGCTGTTAACAAGTCAATCAGACTCTAGTTTTATTGTTAGCATGTCGTGTTTACACATGGCTTTTTATAAATTCTATTCTGTATTTTAAAAGATCGACTTCCACAAGCTCGACATTAAATTACAAGATTTCTGCTTCTGTAGTGTTTTCTAGCCATTTCCGCCGAGCTTCACCATTCGTTGAGGAATGTCCAAATACCAACTCGTTACCATCATCCGTAAAAGCTCGAACTTCAGTATATGGCGAAAAGGGAAAAGGCAAGAGCCGATCCCTATCACCTTCAGTAAAAACAAACCAATCCCAAAGAGGGTCCGTTATAACTCGACATGGCCCGAGGCAGTGATACGTGTTGCAACTGAATCTCCACTCCTCTTCAAGAAAGTTCTGTGTGAGCGAAACATCGTAGTCTGTCTTACAGATCAAGCATGATCCCATTCCTGGATTGAAGCCGCATGCTTTCCAGTTGCTTTTTATTGCAGGAGAAAATTCAAAGTCAAATTCTTCGGCGCGACCACATGGAATAGTTTGAAAATACATGGGAGATACCGGGTGCATTACAATGATGCAGCTCATGTGGTTGCAGACTTTCGGCTTTATACTGTTCATTAGCCGTGCGAGATGGTCCCAAGGTACGTTAGGCCCAGCAAACGTAAATGAACGGGCCAAGTACAGTTTATCATCGATGATCTTGGGGCTATATCGAAGGGAAAATCTCCACACTGCGTTTCTCCGCGGCTGCTCTACAGGGATCCAGTCGAAAGTAGGTTCTTCAGCTGATTCAGCATTGGGCTTGGCTCTCCATCTAGTTTCGATAGTAGGGAGCAAGCCGTGTAAGCATCTATCCAGCTCGAGCTCAGTCTCAAACGATGCGCAACGCGTTAGGTGTCGGAGGGATATGCCGCGTAGAGGGCCGTAGAAATGCCGATTCATGATCAAATGTGCATCCATGAAGCGAATATAGCCATGACTCATGAAGGCCTGCCAATCGTTCGGGAAGATGATGTGCCTTTGAGGTTCAAAATGGCGGTTTCGCCACATAGAATTCGGCAAGTATGCGCTAAACGAGCAGATGGTCCGTATGTAATGACCTTGGCTCGTCCAGTTGACCTCGGGGTTTAATCTCTGCAGTTTCGAACACCAAGGGCAGAGAAAGGTTTTCGGAATGTCCCTCTGCAGAGCGAGAAGGAATCTCCTTTTGTCGGGGGGATCAAGACGTGGTAGGCTGCGTTCGGGGGAAGCGAGCGACATGAGGAATTTGCAGGTTAATGCCAAAAGCATACGCTCTGGTAAGTCCAAATAGCCCGTTATACCACACAGGACCTCATTCGGAAGTTTCAGGAGAGATAGAGAAGATGTCTCTTGGTTCGCCGGAACCTGGCTCTCTGCCCGCCGCTGTATGCTCGTAGAAGCTTCGGCCTCTGGCAAGACCTGGTTTTGGCGCCCTTGTTCTTCGGTGTTACGCATCTTGGGAGATTCGACATAGAATATGAGATTATCGTAAATTCGAATTTCGACTGCACTGGAGTTCGACTACATCAAAATCTCTCCAAGACAATGGAAGGAATGGGAGCCTTTATATTCCTTCGGTGTATTTTTAGTATATGACCGTCATACTGGCCTATAGCGTTTACTAGGAAAGTTTCTCAACGTAGATACACATAATAAAGTTCGAGTCTCTGGGCAGGTACAAAGTATTGAATACTGGAACTCATACGTAGCAGGCTAATAATTCTATGTTCCCGAATACATGGAGGCAAATAGTTGTAGCCATGGCTGGGTACATGTGTATAGTTCAGCAAATTTAAGCATTATAGCTCTTGTATTTAGCTTTCTGCAGCGATACTTTGGCAGCTAAAGCTTCACTAGGATCCTTTATAAAGCTAAACTTGTACTGCTATAGGCCTCAAACTCGAGCATTTCCTGTGCGTCGCCATTCCTCCCATAGTCTCGACCACCACTGATTACCTGTAGACTGACGACATTTAGCCTTGGTATTGGAGCCATCAGAAGAAGTGTCATCAAACTTGATCGGGTCGTCTGCGTATGCACTCAACCTGTCAATTACCCAAGGCCCAGCATTTCCGACTGTCGAAATGACTCCGGTGGTGGATCCTCCTCCCAACAAAACCGTAAATATGCCACGCAATGGGAAATCCCGATACGCCGGCTGCGACAAGTCAAACGGCTCGCCGCGCTGCCAAACCTCGGCTGCAGTATCGGCCTTGATCAGAGAAGAGTCGAGCTTAAGAGACAAGACTGTAGGATTGATGTTCTGATAATCAGAGTTGATATCGACATCTCCCAATAAATAGCTGCCTCCCGTACCCCAGTGCTCAGAATCATACTCGCTCGAGACGATATCCGCCACCAGTGGTGCGCGACTCGCAGGAATCTGCCAAGGCATCACGGGCACCTGCAAACTTATACTAACATCTCGGACAAAGTCGTAAAAGCGACGCCACTCGTATGGGCCGTAGAAATAGCCGTTGCTATAGGCACGCAGAGTCCAGTCATCGGCTTCGTAGCGGTCTATAGCAAGGAAATCGGGCGCATACTCGCCGTCATAAGTGCCGAGCGACTTGATGTACTCTGCAAGTTTATTTGCTTCGGCGTATGGCTCATTGTTATCCGAACCACCGTCGTCATCCGAGCCAGTGTTGTAAATCCAGGTGGAAGTACCGCCGCCCCAAATATTAACTTGCCAGCCAAAAGTAACGCTGGGGGCCACTGTTCGGATAAGCCAGTTGACGGCATGAGTATACCCTGCAAAGGTATCGACAATGGAGTCAGGAATCTCCGCTTCGATCTGCCAGTGATCAAGGGCATCTTGTAATGGCTCTCTGACCGGCACGCCATAGTCAACGAGGTTCGCCTTTTGGCCTTCTCCCAAGAAGTCGGGGTTAACAATGAAACCAGCCGGTACTGGGTGGTCCTCATCAACTGCACTTTTCGCAATGTTGAGAGCCAAGATCAGATTTGCAAAGCTGTGGGTCAGCCAATCTTTTCTTCGAAGCTGCTCATATATGTCTCCTTGAGAGAGATTGCAGGTATAGGAGATCATTACTGGCAAAACTTTACTGCCATCTGCGAGCTCATTTTCAACCTCGAGCGCAAGTTGGATTGTTCTGCTAGTGGAAGAGTCATTGTCCAAGAACTTTTCCTTGTCTCCGGCGCCATCAGTGCCGGCGTACTTGAAGATGGACGACACTCGAGCCGCAACAAGATCTTTAGCATTGTCAGGTGTCAAATCAGCGATGGCACCGAAGCTCAAATGGTCAGGAAAGCCTTTGACTTGAAGAGAAGCTCCCTTCAGCAGCTTAAGGTTGAGCTCCGTGCTACCATCTGGTAATACAGTAATATTGGTTGCGGTTTCAACCACATACACTGTTCCACTGTTGACAAAGCTTGCGCTACGAATCGAGTACTCTCCTGGAGCTACCAGCACGGAGAACGGCGTAGTGCCAGCTTGAGCAGGGACCTTTTCGGTATAGATCAAATCATCCGAGGTGAGGCGTATCAGAATATCTTGGTCGACCTCAAAATCAGATTCTATGACGATAGGTAGCTGGACAAAGCCTGAAGTGTCAATAGGCGAAGACTTTACATCATCTTCACGGTATATAATAGTGAATAGCTTGCGCGGAAGACCCTCATTCCACACACGGAACGTATAATCGACATTATTCAAAGTAATATTATCAACGATCACTGCGAAAGATCCTGTTTCCGGAAGGCGTCGCACCGGAGACGTGTGGTTTGTAGAGCTATAGAAATCCGTGAACGGCGCGCCGTCAATGAGCAACTGCACGTGAAAGTTTTCTCCCTGGAGTGGTGGAATGTCTCCAAAACCCAAATCCAAGGCACTGTACTTTGACACGGAGCCAAAGGTAATGCTGACACCAGTATACTCTCCAATATTGACATCCAGGAATGTGGGCGAGGCCCGAGTTTCAGCAACAGTAGTTTGGTCTTCCGTAGCGAGGTCCATGACTGAAACATTGTAATCGCCCGGTGGTACATTTTCCAAGATGGTGCCCACAAGAGGGAGATTGAAAGGAAACTTTGCAAATTTTGACTGGAGAACAATAGACAGCTTGCTGGATGCAAGGGCTGGAGTAGGAGCGGGTGGGACATGGATTTCAACTATCCCGGTTGCGTAAGGCATCTGATCGGCCTCGAAGGAAAAAGAATTCTGATAGAAATCAGGGTCATCGGTCAAATCACCATTGATACCAAATGATATGGTATCAGAAAGGTTGAATGTATAAGGACCCTTGAATTCAAGCCTCACTATGACGAGAAAGGTCGAATCGCCAATCTGATTGACCGTGACGTCTGGTGTGACTTCCTGCCAGGGGTTGGTCCCCACAACGATATCGTTTTTTCCAAGTCTAGCAGGCGACTTGAAGACAGTGCCAAAGAAGTCATTGATGGTCACTGCTGAGTCATCGTCATAATGAAGATTGGAGACAACCAACTGGCCGTAAAATGGGGTCGCACCCGAGGCAACCTTTGCTTCGTATTTAATAGAAGGCATGGTATCGTACGTTGTCAACTTTTGATGCTTTTGATAATAGCTGTTTGACAGCACAGGATAGAGAAGTAGCTTTGAAAAGACTAATATGGAGATGAATGAGGCGATGAAGAAAAGATTTAGACAGAGGTGTCCTGTCTCATTATATATACTTTTCAAGTCCCTGCCATATCTTGCATGTCTATTCTTCTGGCTATTTCTATTTGTCATAGTTATAATCGTTATTATTCGCTATTTTCCCTACAACTCTCTTACATGGATAGTATAATATAATGTTTGTTAACTTTTTCCCGAATTAGCTTTGCTGCATATCACGCAATACGTGTGCTGCGCCTGTGTCACACACCGATCGGAAAGTTTATCGAATTAGATGACTGGACGGCTTTGCATTTCCGCCTCGAATATCTCAATTGAGCAGCTTTGAGTTCAATGAATCCAGCCAACCTATATAAATCATCAAATTAATGTCTCACGATAGCTTGGCAGAACAAGTCGTGGCCTTTACAAGAAAGTCTATTCGACGATGGCAGCACACTTGGTTGCATCTGTGCAGATACGGAGTTTGAGCTATATTGCAGTAATTCCTTCGCTGTATAACGGTCAGGTGGCAAATATGACTTGCCATTACTTACAAAGCTTGTGATAATATCACAAAGCGAGGCAACACACTAATTAAGCAAAGAACTCATTTCATGTTTAGCTGTTTATATATCTACATTTCCCCACTGATGCTATAAAAGCACACGCCTCAGTGAAAGCGAGTGTCGGGAATGCGAAACACGGCAGATCAATACATAAGAGACTAACATTTGGTTTAGCTTTGCATGTGAAGAATACCTATAGTATTTGATATCTCTTAATTTGTCTGCTTATATTCTTGGCTGCTCCAACTTTGTAACGCCAGTCGTTGAATGGAATAATATATTCGACTGACTGTCTCATCTTCTTTGTTGACTATAAGTGTCATGTGGGGACAGAGCATTTGCATTCTATTGGTAGGAAACCGGAAACTGGATGCACAAGTCTAAGCTATATTCAAGACTTGGCGCTGCTTTTTACGTCGCAGAAGCCACATCGTATGACTTCGGGCTGATGTTATGTTTTACAACTGAGAAAATTTGATTTAACCATTTCGATACGGTGCATTGACAGTTGTAACATACCACTTTTTACCTCGTTGGCACATTTGACTTGTCATCAATGTGTGATCCTGTGTCTAATATAGCCTTGCTTGCCATAGTAAGGCCTTCTATAAAGAGTAGTAGCATAAAAAGTAGCATCCTAGTAGTGGTAAATCGGTGGGTAGTATTCCAGATAGAGTCAATCGTTCAGTCTGTCCGGGGTTGGTATGAGCTATAGCGATCTTATTTATAAATAATTCCGCCTATTGGATATCAATTTTGGTGTATTGTTGTACAATGGAATAGAGTAACCTCAGGTTGACTTAAATGATAAAAGAATATTAACAATAGCGATTTCAACTCTCTCTACTAATCGTTATTATAAATTTACTCATTGCAAGTGTTACCCTACATGGAATCATTTCTCAATAGCAATCCGGGCTTTGTGTAATATAATCTACATGTAGGTTAGTCTACAAGGCCTTGGCGATAATGTTATACAGAGGGCGCTGCATATATCTCCGAGGAGTTCTTAAATGTCCTATGCCAGTTACTATGTAGGATTTGAACAACCGTGCGATTATGCACGGCCGCGTCAGATTAGAAATACACGTGTAGCGGGCGTGTGGTGATTGGATGTTTGTTGATTTTGTCTAAAACTTGAGTAATATTACTATGTAATTACTTTGGTAATGATTCATCTTCTTATTTCATGCTATTATGATGACATTATACTTTTTCTGTTCAAATGCAATAGCCAGCAGCACCATTTACATCTCAGAACAAATAACCTACACGAAATATCATGCGCTGCCTAGCCTTTTTATAACTATTCCTTGGCCTTTGCTCTTCTTGTCGCTGTACTTGGGAGATGTATGCGTTTCTTATAAACAAATTACTATACAATACTTCCATCATAGTATTTCAAGCAAGACTCACGTTACAATGTAAATCCATGTGGTGATATCTATTTTTAGGTAACCAGGCCATAACCCTTACACCCTTGCTGTATTGATAGGATATATATTTAGCAATTATCTACGTCTCGTAGTCTGAGCTTCGCGATCGGTCCGAGTATATTGCTCTCTGGCTTCCCATTAGGTTCGCTCTGGTGGAAGAAAGGGGTATAAAAGAACTTGAAGGCGGATAACATGTCATCGTCAGTACCGTCAGCAATATGATGTATCAGTTCAATTACATTATGAAGCCACGTCATGGTCTACGTGGTCCGAAATTCGCTCTTTACAGACGAGTAAGGAATCGTTTCATCATGTTGTCTAACATAGTTCATAGCTACTTGGAGAATTTCGGTTTTCTCCGATCATTAAGGTCAAAAGGAACTCAAAATGTCCATTTCCATAAGAAGCATCATGACGCTCCACTGTTTCTGATATGTACATGTTCTGCCGATATGAATCGAAGCGGTCAATGTAAAGGCCAGCAAGTGGGAGGATTCCGTGGATGACAAATTCGCTTGGGAAACCTGGTTGAGAGACGTACGTGCGCCACGGATCTCGGACTATAGTTCCTGCAGATGATTTGAGAGGTTGAGACTGTAGAAGCTTGAAGTCAAAATGCTCAGTGAGATGGATTGATGCCTTGTCTCTCTTGAAAATAGGGGTACAGTGGCTGGGATGATCAGGCTTGGCGAGACTACCCGCCAGTCCACAATTGGGGCGTATTCGGTTGCATCAGATGCAGGCAGCAGCGAAGATAGATGTATAGGGGCTCATATACCTTCACCGTCCTTGATTTGCGGACCCCGAAGTCGCTTTGGCCCTTCAGGTTGACCTACAAGATGTTCTCGACTTGGCAGGGGTGAACAAGGGCAAGAAAGTGAGATGTGCTGGATGGTAGTATCGAGTGTGGCAAGCCACGCCATAAGCATCCTGTTCAATGGTAGGTTTGGCCACCCATGAGACGGACTGAGCATGTACGTGTATGCCTGGAGCGTCAATAGAATGCCAAAAATGGCTCAATAATGGCAATGGTTTGCCGAAATAACCGAACGCACCCGGTCCAGGAGGGATTTCGAGTAGTATTTAAAGAATCTGCCTAATATCTGGTATGACAGAATGCCAGAGGAAGAGATTAGCGGGGACACTAAACTAGAAGATTGCGGGGGACGAAATTGCCCGATTTAAACTACCGGGTCAAGATTGTATGCCAGGCTTTGCTGCGGTAAGACGGGTCAGAAGTGTAAACATCAATTAGAGTGGATAGTCTGAAAGAGTTGCCTCAATAATGAAGCAATTGCAAAGACATGCTACAATAAACATTCCCAAAAATTATTACTATTAGACTTGGATCATATATTCACATGTTATATCAAGCTAAAGAAACAAGCAATTTTTGACAGATGGAGAACGCGGGGAAAACGCGGGGGAAGCCAGGGTGTTTCGGTTGTTTCTTCAGGAGCTCAAGTGTCTGAAGCTGTCATGGGAACCCTATGCCAGGGGTTGTGACATTACTATTTGCGCGCTTCTTGGGGGGCATGAGGCCGGTCCAATCTGGCCAATTGTTTAGTTGCTTGCAATTGCCGGACCCGTATGAGGTGTAACCATGTTTGTTGTCAAACCAGCCTGTCAATTCAATAGTTTTAGGAGATGTGATAATAACTAGCAGACAAGAATATTGAACCAGGGGGGCAGATATTGATCTTTTTATTAGACATGTTCTTTATAAAAAGACAGCATCCTCAGCCTTTCCGGTAGCTTCTGAACCCAGAGCATAAGAGTCAAACAACTATTCACCTCTATCCATCAGTCACCATCGTCATCTCCCGTGATGAAGGCTCTGCTATTCACCTTTGCGTACGCGCTTCACTCAGTTGCTGCCACTTCACTACCAATCCGCCCGGATTCAGACGAAAGTGCGCAAGCATCATGTAGCTCATCGACGTTTACAAAGGTCCTCCCCCAAGGAGCGAGCATTGAAAAGGTCGCATCCGTACCGCAAAACGGACAATATGGCGAAGGAGCGGCAGACCTCAATTATCCGTATAATCCAACCGGCCTGCCTGCTTTATGCGCAGTAACTGTCAAGGTAGTCAGCTCCAACGAGTCCAGTTACCGGTTCGGGCTGTTTTTGCCCTCTTCTAGTCAATGGACAGGCAGACTCTTGGCCATTGGAAATGGGGGGTTTGGCGGAGGAATCAACTGGCTTGATATGTATGTAGCAGCTCTGCTGATAGCCGCATCTTTGTTTATCTTCGTCCAACTTACACCGTTCTGCTAGGGGTCCCGGGACGCATCTCGGCTTCGCAACCGTTTCCACAGACACAGGCCATAACTCCGCGACAGCAGACGTCACCTGGGCGTTGAACAATATCGATACCAAGTCAGACTGGGGCTGGCGTGCGATACATGGAAGCGTACAGCTCGCGAAAACACTAACTCAGGCTTACTACGGAGCATCCATCAAGTACTCATACTACAGCGGATGCTCGACTGGTGGCCGTCAAGGGCTCAAGGAAATACAAACGTCTCCTGACACTTTCGACGGCGCCCTTATCGGTGCTGCAGCTTGGTACACGAGCCACCTCAACACCTATGTAGTCCAGCTGGGTATGTACAACTTGCCCGTGACCGATCCGAAACATATTCCACTCGCGCTCTTTTCAGTCCTTGGGGCCGAAGTTATCCGCCAATGCGATGGGGTTGATGGGGTTGTCGACGGCATCGTGAGCAGTCCCGAGCTATGCAACTTTGACTATACCCCAATACGCTGCAAGGGTTCCGCTTCCTCAAACTGTCTTACAGATGCTCAGATTGGAACTGCCAAGAAGATCTACAACGACTGGTACTCCTCAGTGGACGGCAGGTGGCTCGCCAATGGTCTCACTTACAGCTCGGAGGACCAATGGTCCCTCTACCTTAATGGAACTGCCCCGCACGCCTTTGGAGTGGAATACGTGCAAGACTTCCTCCTCAACGATCCCAACTGGGACTGGAGGACATTCAACGAGAGCCTCGTCACTTATGCAGAACAAAACGATCCTGGCAATCCAACAGCCGATCAGGTCAACATCTCCCCCTTCAAAAACCGTGGAGGAAAAATCATCATGTACCACGGTCAAGCCGACGGCATTGTACCCACGAGAATTTCGGAGACGTACTATAACCGCACCATTGACTACTTTGGGAGCCTGCAGAGCACCCAGGATTTCTTCCGTCTTTTCCTCATTCCAGGAATGCAGCACTGCGGCTTGACAACGGTGGGCGCGCCGTGGAACATTGGAGCTACTTTCCAGTCTACGACCATGGCCACGAACCAGTGGTCAGTTCCGGGCTTCAAGGACAAGCAGCATGATGCGCTGCTGGCGCTGGTGGACTGGGTGGAAAACGGGAATGCCGTGGACCAGATTGTTGCGACGAGTTGGAACAGCGTGATAAATCCCAACTCGGGTGTACATGCGCAACGACCTCTTTGCCCTTGGCCGCAGAAAGCAAGATATAGCGGTTCGGGTTCTGTAAATGATGCGAAGAATTGGTCGTGTGCTTGAGGCTGCTATGTATATACATGTAATCAGTTCAGCTATCGATTATCACGTTAACACGCCTTATAGAAAACGATGAGTTTGGTGGTGGAATTTCGGTCTCGTAGAATGACTGCTAGAGCAAGCCTGTGACTGACTGTCGAGGCAGTTACTATAACATACGAACCAGTAGAATCTCTTGCATAGTATCTGCCAGTTGGCCGCTTTTTCCGCGTATAGGCGGGCCATACACAATCATCAATCTAGAGGCGTGTCAGCACACTAATAACACCACATATGGAACTTAGCTAACGGCCAAATATGAACCTAACGACCCCAAAAGACAAGAGACGCCCGCAACTGTCTCTAGCCCGAATTAGTAGTGTATGGAATCATTCCGCAAATGACTCAGTTGTCTCTTCTTCACAAAAAGCTCACCAAAACCAAGTCGTTGAAAAGATCGCAATGTATATAATACTGGACAAGGCAACGGGGAAGTCTATTTTGGAGCTATAGTCAAGCCTCCGCAGCTCCACATCGCCAACCATACCACTGAAACTATTGGTGCGAAAATTCCACTTTCGAAAAGGTAAGCTTCAACGTAGCCTCATATAGGCATTTACTCTGCCAGCTAAATTCTTACACGCTTAGGCCTTTCTTGACACAATGTGTTGTTTCGCCTTGGAGTTGTCCGATCTGGACGTTTCTGCGTCCAATCAGAAAATGTATATTGCTGGAACTAAGACTCCGTGGAGAAGGGATCCATCGTCAGTGCGACAAAAGAGCATATTCGCTTTCCGTGTTCAACTCATAGTGCCTATTTATACTTCAAGGCTGCCTCTGTGATTTTTTTTCTTGTTCTTTCCTACGTCTTAGCAAACACCTTCGAAATGGGTTCCTACACGGGAGAAGATTACACCAAAACGCTGGAATCTATTTCAGCTCAAGTACGAGATGCGATTGGCCAACTGCCCCATTTCAGTGATTTGAACCATGACGAGACCAGTCCAATCTTTCGCCCGGCCGGCGAAGAAGACCTAGCCAGAATTCGGGAGCTGGCGCTTCCAACACAAACACGCACAGTTGAGCAAGTCATTGGCGAAATGAACGACATCTATTCCTTTAGGGCGCGTGTTGGCCACCCGCGCTTCCTCACAGCAATTCCATCCGTTGCAACTCCTGCATCTTGGCTTGGTGACATTCTTGCATCCGCATTCAACGCCTTTTCTGGGGTGTGGCTGGGAGGACCTGGAATCGCAACCATTGAGCTAGAGCTTATTGCCTGGCTGGCGGCCCAAATTGGTCTGCCCGCTTCGGCCGGTGGAATCTTCGTCTCTGGAGGTTCCGTGGCCAATTTGACGGCTATGACGGCTGCGCGCGACCAACGCTTGAAACAGGATGATCGAGGCAAGGGCATCATCTACTTCTCCGACGAAACCCATTTCTGTGTACCCAAAGCCCTCCGGATTCTAGGCTTTTTCGACCACCAAATGCGAAAGATACCATCCGATAAGAAGTTCAGCATGGACGTGGCCAAGCTTGAGGAGGCCATTGTTGCAGATAAAAGCCAAGGCCTGGTCCCATTCCTCATTGTTGCCAACTGTGGCACAACTAATACGGGAGCCATCGACCCCATGGATGAAATTGCAGACTTGGCTCAGGAGCACAACATGTGGCTGCATGTAGACGGTGCCTATGGCGCCTCTGTTGCGTTATCGGGACAATACCGTTCGTTGGTAGCAGGGCTTAGACGCGCCGACAGCGTTGCATGGGACGCTCACAAATGGCTATTCCAGACGTTTGGCTGTGCTATTACACTTGTTCGTGACAGAAAGCATCTAGCAGAGAGCTTTACCCTCAGCGGCGACTATCTGCAAGATACTGTATCCGGAGAGGATCAGCCGAACCTCTTCAACTACGGCATTGAGCTTACACGGCCGGCTCGCCACATGAGACTCTGGTTCTCGTTACGAGTGCTTGGAGCGGACACCATTGCGCAGATGATTGATCATGGATTTCTAGTCGCTGCAGCTGCAGAAGCCAAGTTGGCGACCCTTGAACATTGGAAGATTACGTCGCCGGCTAGACTAAGCACCATTACTTTCCGATTCTGCCCAGAAGGGATGGATGAGGATACTGCGGATCAGTTGAATGGCATCATTTCTAGAGATGCATTGGAGCAGAATATTGCCATGATCCAAACTACGCAGGTTCATGGCCAGACTAGTCTGCGAGTTTGTTCCATCAATCCGCTTACGACTGTGGCCTGCATGGAGCAGATTATTGAGCAGCTGCATGTCATAGCCTGCAAGAGTGCATTAGAATTGTAGATTAGATAGGAAATTAATTGCATGACTTGAGTTTACCTGACGAGCCTGATTGACGTTCAAGGCGTTGCGAGACATCAAGTTCAGAACACTAAAACGGCCATGATGCAAATATCATGCTGATACGATTCATTGTGCAAACCTGCATAGTGGAACTTCATGCCCCGTTGACGCAGACAGAATTGCCGAAGCCGCCTTGCCGCCGTTGCGTTTTGGCCCCCATCCAGATGATTCTGTCCAATTGCGACGCAGCAGCTGCACGCATCCAGCAATGCAACATGCGAAGGTAATATCGCTTGAGACATGCAATCTATTAGCAGTCGCCTGCTTCAAAGTATCCTCATGAGGTCAAATACGCAGACAAGGTAACGGTCACTCAACTACACTCACAACTCTCCCTTGCCTATAACGAGAGATTCATTTGAAACACCACTTATTCATGTGATCAAGAAAGAATCCAGTTGGTTAGTTACACTAGAGACTGCGAATGTCTATAACTTCCGCGTGCATTTGCCAAATTAATTACAGGTATCATCAAACTCCTTTACAACCGTTACAAGCAGCCCTTTGCCGAAATTACATCTTCCCCTGCAAGTGCCACTGGAATATCTTCCTGAAGATGTCCTTTCCATTTCCCTCGAGGACATCTCCGTGGCAAGGAATCAACGTGGTGAAGTCCCACTGGTCAATAACCTTCAGGCTGTCGCTCATGCTGTTGCGATCCTTGGCGAGATGCCAGTTGAACCGCTTGGACCAGGTGGCTTCTCCGCTGGTGTTCTGCACGCTGTGGAAGATTTTGTTGAGGAACCCGCTGGGCCTCTCCGACTCGGGCACCTTGCTGTACTGCTCGGTCGCCGGCAGATTGAACATCAGATCCGCCTCGATCAGGACCTTGTCCGGCCTGTAGTTGAAGACGAGCTCCTTGTTGGCGTGGCCATCGACGTACTCATAGTCAAAGTCGGCGTCAAACTCTTGGCTGATTCGAATGTCGCGCTTTCCCTCCTTTGTGAAGACGACGGCAAACTTGTCGTCGTTGATTTTCGGGTCCTTGGTCTGCTTTGCGCGCTTCTCGGGAAGGCCCTCTGGGCCGATGATCTTGGCTTCAGGCCACTGCTTGGCCCATTCAGAGATGAAGATGTGGTGCTCAAAGTCAAGCGCGACGATGTACGCGACGTTGCCGCCCAGCTCTGCGGCCTTGGCCTTGGTCTCTTCTGTGAGGGCGACGGGAGAGAAGACGGCGAGGTTGCCGGAAGTGAGCCTCACTGTTGGACGATGCGATTAGCACAGGTGCATGTACTGGTGAGACATTCTGGGCGCTAAGCCCTTATTATGTGGGAATGGCGAGACATTAAACATTGGATGAATGCATACCTAGCGTTCCACGGCCGCCAATCTGGATTCTGCCGAATCGCGCAAAGGGCACGGAGAAGGTCACGACGTTGGGCGTGACATTGCGGATGACCATGAGATCAGCCGGGTTGGCCGGGATCAAGCTTGCAGACATTTTGTGCGAGATTGAAGTGCTGGGTGAAACGTGAAGATGTCGTGTCGCTGCTAGAGTTGTGTGTTGAGGCGTGAAATAGCTGAGGAGAACAGTCTTTGTGATGATGTTATTGCTTCCGAGTCCATGACGCAAGACTGGCGACGATGCGACGCGGCCGCTATTTAAGCACCCGGGCCATGCAGCGAGACGCTGAATCCGTCTCATCTGCAACTCAAATTATTTCCTGGAGCACCTATCTCGGATGCTTCCCTTTGTCAGCGTCCAGGGGCCGGTGAGAAAACGATCAATGCTAATCGGCGTTAGGTCCCTAGTGGCGATAGTAGCCGTTTGGAAAATTCCAAATTCTGAAATTCCTCGGTCGCAGCGATGCAGTCAGTAAACATTAGTGGCACGATACGTGTAAAAAAGGGCACGTAGCCGAATGCGGCTGTCAAAGAGCCGAGGCTTACACCCAGCAGCCTGCTCGAGCTCCAGTCATTTCGTCCCTTTCACGATGCTAGATCTTACACGGGATCATGACATCAATCGGGCTCGGGAGGAAAATGGCCCGTTGGGCTGGGTCAGGCGGTTATTCGGTGCTGCTGAACAGCCCGTCGAGATAACATGATATGATGCCGCGCAGGGCTTGTCCGAGCTCGTCCGGAGGGCTGCGCTGGGAGGCTGCGCTGGCTGCAAACCACGGACAAACAAGGCCTGTAAATTATATAATTCTACCGCCGGCGCGCTTAGTGGGGACCGGTATAGGGCAAAGGCTGCTGCTATGCCGCGGCAAGTCCCCCGTAAATGGGTGAGACGCCTAATTCTCACGTACATGGATTGAGTCCATGTTTTAAACTCGACTCCACCGCCACAAACAAGCCAAAAGCATTCGTACCTAGTAGTTGTCTGCTAGGAAACTTTAACATGGTACATGATTCTAGCCTCTTTCCAGAAGCTAGACCCTTGATGTGCCTTGTAAGTCTAGACGACGCATTTCTTGAGTTGGAACAAAGGATGTAGTATTTTATGAATCCCCCAAGACTGTTATATCCAAAGCTCTACGTCAAGACAGGGGAGGTTGTCAAGGAAGCAAGCTCTGTAGTACGAGGCTCTCTCGGCCGAAAACTTTGATACGGTTGAACCCCAGCGCCAACCTTGCTTATCCGGTCCGATCAGCCCGGGAACCACCCAGTCCACTTTGCTCCGAGCGAATGAGCGGTGCCTCTTTCCTATGCTGAGCTCATACTGGGGTCTTGGGCTTTTGTTATAGGGTTTTACATAAGAATCGTCTAGCTCTCAGGAGAGCTATACGCGTATCTGATTCCTCGTCAAGCGGCGTCCACGGAGGAAGAGAATGACATGCACTGGAGGCGATAGGCAAATACACGTTGAGACCAAAACCGACATAGGCATCGTGACTTGCAATTTATGAACAATGTTGTAAAAGACTAACTGAAAATGTATTGATCTCCGTGGTATTAATACGCCAACTAATGACAGAATTGATCGCTGTGGTGATATGCACTAAATAATAACAGGATCTATCGCAGTAATATGTATGTCAAACAAAATCTCCTCTTTCCAATCGCTCTTTGATGAAAAAGCATCAAAATCATCCGAGCACAAGGTTTCTGGCGGCAAATTCCTCATCGAGTCTTTTGTACCACGTTTGCTCCGCTTCTCCTCCAAGGGGATGATCAGATTCCATCAAATTCTCATGAGGATCCTGATGCCTTGTCGAGTAGTTGTTGCGAAGACGACTCCATTTTGTATCGTATGGAGAGCGACAGGCCCCGAGACAATGGTACGTGGACAGCCTCAGACTCCACTCCTGCTTGTCTTCGTCTCTCTTCAGAAGAAAGTCATAATCCGCGAAGCAGTCTGACATGAACCGTATTGCTCGTCCATCTCTTTGTCAAACATGGCATACAGGACGTTGATCGGCCTGTCGGTGTGTTGAATGAGGATGTCGCCGTACGGCTCCGCAACAATTTCCAGGTGGTGGCAGATTGGCAGGTGGATGCTGCCCAGGAGCGCTGCAAACTTCTTGAAAGATACCAAAGGTCCGTCAATCCTGTTGAATCTTCCAATGTAGAGCTCATTGTTGATGATTTTGGGGACGTAGTCAAAGGAAAACCTCCAAGGCTTCTCCAAGCTGGCGTGTTTTGACGTTGGTCTTTGGTCGAAAACGCCTCGATTGAACGAGTCCAGACGCCGGCGCCTCCGCGTCATCTCACGATGGTTATCCCAATCAATCTGTCCGAAATCCATATTGTCATGTAGGACAATATATTTTTCGAACGCAGCGTGTCGTTCCAGATTCTTCAACGGCAAACCATAGCGACTGCCAAGAAAATGCCGGTCCATAACCAGGCGCGCGTCCATGAAGGCGAGTTTGGCCTCTTTCGAAGCGGGATGCCAGAGGACCGACCTGACGACCCAACCCGAATACCGTTTTTGGGCCGAACACCAATCCCACCAAAGCCAGGAGGAGAAGCCGCTGCAATTTTGATGGCTCTGATCTCTCCATGTGCCGTTGGGGTTCAAGGGACATAGTTTATTGCATGCGGCACAGCAAAAGGTGTTGGGGAAATCTCTTTGCAGAGCCCTTGTGAACTCAGCAACGTCGCTATGCTTGAGGGCTAGCTTTCCCCTCGGGAAAAGACCATCCACTGCCTGGTAAAGGTCCTTGCGAGTCATGGCCAGAGACATGATGCTGGATTTTGGCAAATAGTCTGTGATCTTGGCCAAAATATCCAGTGGGCAATCTGCGAGAATGCATGGCGATGTCGATGGCGATGGCGAGAATGGGACCGGGGATGATTTATCTTGCGCGGAGCTCATGGTGGTATCTTCCGGCTCTGTACTTTTCTCAGACGCATTGACGTTGACACTCATTGGAAGCCAATGATTGTTGTTATGTAACCTGAACATTGTGGTGATCAGTTGGGTATTGATTTGGTTGTTGGATAGATGACGCTTCAGAGCAGTGTGATGACCAGCTTGGTATTGATTTGAGTGTTGGATACAAGATACTTCAAATCAATGTGAATATATTGGTCGTCTCTTGGCTATTCTGTTCTGCGGTAATGTGAATAAACAGATGCAAACGAACTTTCCAAGAACTGGCATTTTATACACTTCATGGTGCTCCGAGTACGTCTCCATTTCAGGAATATGAGTCTTATTTGGATTTTGATATACTTTGTGGCAAACGCTTGCCCAGTTATCGTATACATTTGTATACTTCTTCCGCACCGCGAAGCTCGTATAGTTGGCGGTGGAAAAGACCAGTGAATACATATATATGGGCCGAATCTGGTCCATCTTTAGATTCAACGCCGCGAGGCGTCCCTATGTGGGCAACTATTGAGTTTGGTCTCCTACGATAAACTTCGACGTCCATCCGTCCATCGGTGACGAGCAAATACATCTAGAAAAATCCCAAACTCCAAAGCTCTCTACGGCCCAGGGCAAGTGGTACACAGAAGAGTAAAGGCATACATGTATCTGACTCCTGCGGTCTGGATATTAACTTCATGTTGCGATAATGTGGAGGATCTTTTGTGGGTGCATTATCGGTTTGAGGCGTATGGGCGTAAATCGAACAAATTCTATTTTGTTTCGATAGCGATAGTAGTCACGATATCACCACTTACACAAGCTTTCAACACCCACCTTTTCCTAGAACATGTAGCCTGAGATATCTCTGTGAATATTCATGCACATAGTCCTTCTCACATTGAAGAGCCCTACAATCATCATATGTAAATAATAAAATACTACACCTATTACAACATCTCGCACGTTCTCTCTCCTTCTTTCGCCGGGTGTGAAGTGGTTTGTGGGCATGTAGTGATGGTACAGTGTGCACTGTACCCCAACACAGTACGCCGGATGATCCCTCCCGATTTCCCGACCTCGCCTGATCCACTTGCAGCTTCATCTCAGATCGCTGCTTCACGATCTCCTTCCAAACGCCAAACTACAAGCCATTGGAAGCTGACGCGGCGCCGTGTTGCGCCAATCATGTCCGCCTCACTCCTCCGACCGCGCTTGGCCGCCACAGGCCTCAGAGCCGCTTCCCGACCGACGATATGCCCGCATTCGCATAAATCCATCCCCCGGCGCTACAATTCGAGCTCGACAAGCACCGGCAGCAGCTCCGGCAGCGGACTCAAGGTCGCGGCCTACAGCGGAGCGCTCGCTGCAGCCCTCTACGTCTCTTACCTCTATGCGACCGATACGCGAGCGTTTGTCCACCGATATGTCGTCCCGCCGCTGCTTCGAACCGTCGTCCCCGACGCTGAGGATGCGCACCACGTGGGTGTCAATGCGCTGAGGTTCCTGTATGAGGCGGGCTTGCATCCTCGAGAGCGCGACTCTACGGCCAACGACTCCAGTCTCTCAGCCTCCGTCTTTGGGCACCAATTGGCAAATCCCATCGGTATATCTGCGGGTCTCGACAAGGACGGCGAGATTCCCGATGCGCTGTTTGCACTGGGAGCTGGCGTTGTCGAAATCGGAGGCTGCACGCCGCTGCCTCAGGAGGGAAACCCCAAGCCTCGTGTCTTCCGGGTGCCCATTTTGGACGGAATGATCAACCGATACGGCCTCAACTCGAAGGGGGCAGACGACATGGCGATCCGCCTACGCGACCGACTGCGACGATTCGCGCGCTCAATAGGAGTTAGCGAGGAGGAAATCATCAGTGGTGAAGCCGGTGTTCCTGTGGGCAGCTTGAAGCCAGGACGGGTACTTGCGGTGCAAATCGCCAAGAACAAGGAGACAAACGAAAAGGACGAGCAAGCCATTGCTTCGGACTATGTCTACTGCACAAAGCGGCTGGCTCGCTATGCCGATGTTCTGGTCGTCAATGTCAGCAGCCCCAATACCCCCGGCCTTCGAGATCTGCAAGCAACGGAGCCTCTATCACGACTCCTCTCGGCGGTCGTCGATGCAGCCTCTCAAACCGACAGAAAGACCCGCCCGAAGGTGATGGTCAAGGTGTCTCCTGACGAAGATGAAGACTCTCAGATGGAAGGTATCGTCCAGGCTGTGCAGAAGAGTGGCGTTGACGGCATCATCGTCGGAAACACCACCAAGAGAAGAACCGGCCTGAACCCCAAGGGTGCCCGACTCTCTGTCAGAGAACAAAAGGCTCTGATGGAGGTAGGTGGCTTCTCCGGCCCAGCCATGTTTGAACGAACCTTGGATCTCGTTGGGCGATACCGCAAGCTGCTTGACTCACAGCCCGACGTCGGTAAGGGAGAGCAAAAGGTCCTTTTTGCGACTGGAGGCATCACAAATGGAGAACAGGCGCTCAAGGTGCTGAATGCCGGCGCAAGCGTAGCGATGGTGTACACTGGCTTGGTTTACGGAGGCGTTGGGACGGTTACGAGGATGAAGCAGGAGATGCGTGAGGCTCTATAGAGAGATTTTATTTGAATTGGCGGCTGGAATGTTTGTATGTGAAAATTTGGAGGAGCGTGTTAGAAGCATTAAAAGGGGAGACATGATATACTACCAGTAACTTGTATTTATAACCAAAAGCCAGATAGCAACGTTTTATTGCTGCAACTGTATAGATCTTGAAATTTTAGTCATCCGTCGAGTATTGTATATACTTGACGAGACTGATAATGATTATTGTTGCTCTTAATTCGTAGATTTTGTATGTTGACCCTTTTTTTGCCTCTACGATTTTTAATCTGTTTGTATTACTATTGGATGGCCTTTGATACGCAAGCGGTCTGCAAAAAAGCGAGTCTAGAAAGATATTGAACACAACATAGCGGTAATCATACTCACACAAAGCCAAGATTAGCCCACGCTAACGGTGCTTTACTAATGATTTATACATGGATATTCATTTTGTGGTCTCGATTAATTTGCAGATGGCTTGATACGTTACAGTTATACGCGGATTCAAACTGGGTCATTCGGTGAGCTGCTAGTAATACCTACCTACTAGGTAGTAAGTATTACATACTGAGTATAAGCTATACTTTTCCTTACTCTCGTGTGAGCACTTATTTTTTATCAAGTTATATTAAAAGTCGCACTTGGAAATATCATCAAGTAAGCCGTAATTTATTGCTTTAATCTTGACTAATTTTTCTGGACTCTTGTCCGGAATTTTTCCCGCGAAGGGACGGTGGATCTCGTATTGCAACTTCATCGTCAGCAGGAAGCGTCAATTCGACTGTTGAAAAGTAATATTCTAAAGCTTCAGGATAGCCCTGAAACGCAGCCTGCCAGGCCTCATTTATATCCCGTTGTGAAGGCTTTTGAGCCTGTTCAGGGCGTTCCGGAGATATGCAATCTTTCTCTTGATAGCCTTGCGTACGGACCTTTTTATCGCGTTTCTTTTCATGACCCTGCTCTTGATGACCCTGCTCTTGATGATCTTGTTTTGGATGATCCTGTTCTTGATGGTCTTGTTCGTGGTGTTTGGGAATCTCTTCTAGTTCAACCTTTTGTTCTTGCTCTTGCAATGAGTTTTCAGGATTCAATGGCTGTTCCAGGTATTCTTTGAAATGTTCGAGGATCAGATCTTGTGCATGACCAGTTGCCCACATCCTTATATCTCGGTAAATTCTCGCCATAATCTTTTCTTCGGAATGTTTGATAGCAAATTCAAGTAGCTTTGCCTCGCAATCGCATTCCAAGGGGGCCGGAGAATGACATATGGCACAGTCTGGGTCTATCATGGCCATCGTCTTTCGCATATTAGGTTGCCGTAACGCAAACGCCGATATGATCGGATCGTCAGGATCCATGTATGTTTGATGAATATTGGGCAAGAATCCCCATTCATAGACACGATAGTGCGCCTTATCAATGTTGTCAAATAAGCGATACTCAATAAACTCTATAGACGGATCATAGTGATTAGGTGTGTCCGTGATTTCAGGCGGTGGGGCAAAGTGTGGGATTGCTGGCGAAGATGAGTCGTGAGTTTGGCGGGGGAGTGTCGTGCCGTCAGCAAATTGGGAGACGTAGTTACGAAATCCACCCCAGGCTTTATATTTTGATGAGCCATCACTCCGACGATTAGATGGTCGCTGCTTATCAGCATCCGTAAGATCCATAAGAAAATCCTCTTTATATGTTATTTCGATTGTGCTGCTCGCACATGAAGAACATTCCGACATCTGCTCGATTGTGCTTCTGGTGCGCGCACTTGATGAAGAAAGCTCACATTGCTCGCCTTCTGACCAAGTCTGCTCCTCTGTGGGCTCCTCGTAGCTGGGCAGAGACTTGAGCGCAAGGAGAAGTAAGTGTCCCACAATGTGGTCTTCCATCTTACCGGTAACGTCTTCGCTATTGCATAATGGACAAGACTTGAACATAGGGCTAGCCGTCCGAGCGTTCTTAATAGCCAAGATATCGAGTTGCTCATCGGTAAATTTGTCGGGATGACAAACTTTTATGTGGTTGATATATTCACCTTTAGTATTGCATTGAAAATTTGAATGAGACTTTGATATGCAGCGCCATCGCAAATTATGTGAACGCATATGTTTAAGCCATGTACTGTTATGGCTATATAATTCTCCAGGCGAATCGCAATCCTCAAATAAGCAGACATATGGGTCCAGATCGCTTTTCACATGTAGCCTACGTCAATGAGTAAGTTGTTCCAATTAATCATTAGTAGCTGACGGCTTGTTCCAGGATTCATGAAGCAAATTTTAAGCTTAGACATGTTACTTACTTCCATTTCTTCTCGTCAACAACATCCCGAGCTGGTAAGCTCAAGAAGCAAAAAGGGCAATTGATTTCTCCAGCCTCTTTAAGAATATCGTTCCAGTCCGCCTCTAGAGTTTCCTTGTACTCCTGACTAATATGCTCATCATGATTTTGTAGAAGTCGGTCTTTAGAAGAGCTGTATTCGGCTCCTCGTTGTTTCTTCAACCTTCTGTACTTTCGCATAATATTGCCACATGGCGCAGGCGGGAACGGAAGAGCATTCCCGTAATCGCTTATCACAATACTCCTTAGCGCTGAGACAACAGATGGAGTTGAGGCTCTTTGAAAATTTGAGGGAGAGAATGTCGTCGCTGTTTGTGTTACCGATTGTACAATGGTTCGAGGCGGTAAGATATTTGTCGATGGACTCTCATCATGATGTTGATCAGCTGCTAATGCGTTGATTTGGATCGAAGGCCGCGTTGGGCCGGCAAGTATCGGCCGTTCTGCGACTTTGGCGGGAGATTGACCATAACGAGATCTCCGATAAAAGACTCTTTTGCGGCGTAATACCATGGTATTAACGAGGCGCTCTTGGATCGCATCGCTAACCTCTGGGAATCGATCGCGTATGTAATGAGCGAAGACGCTTTTTAAACAAGGCTCCAAATCATTGCCCACATCATCTTCGATCTTAAATGTTGTCGCAGCTTTGAGATTTTGAGACTCTCTACTCGCTCTGCGAATAGCATTTGAAAATTTGTGGAGGATAGTAATTTGTTCCACAATTTCCTGAAGGGCTGAATCGAATCTCTCATTGATAGCAGGTAATACTCTATTGGATGTCACTGGACTAAGAGTCTTGAGAGTCGAGGTGCCTAAAACACTTATTTTTTCAGTAACTCAGGTCTACGTGATATTGCCTCTGTGTGCAAAGATCGACCGACTCTATTTAAGCGGGTACAGACATACAACTCAGGATACGATAGTTCAATGTTTCCACCACTCCCACAATGGCGTCTTGTACATCAAATGCGTCTCGCAAACGGAAATCTAAACATCCTCGGCCTGAATCAAGCGCTTTGACATTTGCGGTCCAGAGTGAGAACCGTGCAAGCTGGTTGTCTAGTAGCGATAATTCTCGAGCATGAACGAATGCTGCTTCATGGAGGCACGCCTTGAAAGATTCGATACACCGAGAGGCGCAATCAGCAATAGTAATTTTGGGTAATTCCTGGCCCAAAGAAGGCATATTTGCCATCTGATCAGGTATGGTGATGCAGAATACTTCGAATGCTAGTGGAAGAGTAAAGTGTACGAAGATCACTGGCATTACGACGATGCCCGCCCTAAGTTTGGCCGTCAGTAATGCCAATTGGTAAGATTTATTATTTTCTCGCTTCAAGTACGGAGTACATGTACTCCCGTTCCGCATAACGAGTGACTGCAATGCAAGTCAGTCTTGGTATATGTACATGATGATTCTGACGCATGACGTGATCAAAACAGAAGCTGTGTAACCATTGTGAATACGTATTATTCCGTCTTCCCCGCACGCGGTGCGCAAATTATTGATGCCTTACATGCAGGCATTCATTGGGCAGCCAAAGAAAATGGCGGATAAAGGAATGAGCATGTATCGTCCCAGGCCATTCTTCCCCGCACGCGGTTTACAAAGCATTGTTGCCTTACATACAGGCATTCATCAGGCCTCCATAGAGGGTAGCCGTGAAGAAGCTGATGGATGAATGACCGTCGATACCATACTAATCTCAGACCGTTCCTGAATACGGATTTTACCTGTAAAACCTTCTGCAAGGGTATACCAATACAAACGTACGCACCATGGCCAACTCTGGGACACCGTCAAAGCATCAACAGGCTTACCAATTACAGATCACTTCAAATCGCACCACGAAAACATACGCCAATAGGGCGCCCCTAGAAATAGAAATGACTTCATCGCCTAGGGCCAATACTCTTGCTGTTATTCAATTGCTGGTAACAACATTTGCCACGATACGGGATGTCACCAGACTCTTGCGGACAGAGGAAATAGATAATGAGCTTAAAGCGTTCTATGCGAATGTCAATGCCAACTGTACTTTGATGACACGCGATTGGAGCCGCATAAGCAAGTCAGCATATGGAATCGATGAGGATCTTGTTTCAAGGACACTGAGCCACCTGGGATCCATAATCACGACAAGCAGCCTCAAACCGCTTCAGGGATCAATCTCCAGTGCCACATGTTATGGAGGAATGAGAGCATTTAATCAAGAATGGAATCTTATTCAAAAGCAGAGCGATAAAAGTATGAGGATTCAGCACGTCAGATCCTGCACGAACTTTGGGAAAACTCTAGAGGAGCGCAATCGATTCATACAGCGGCTGAATGAGTACGAAGATGAGCTTCAAGCGCGATACCCTGATTTTCAACCAGACTGGATATCTGAGGATCTTCTAATCAAGAAAAGTATAAGACAGCCATCTTATGCGGTGTGGAACGCAGCACAATCCATCTTCAAGGCTCTTGTGGCTTGTAGCGATTGCGAGTGTACACCTTCCCATGAGATGTGGGCTCAGCTTGGCTTGGGTACATATCGAAAAGCAAGTCTAAACGAGGAGATTGATATGGACAGTGGTCTCGACTTTGACATGTTCCTTTCGATAAAGCAGGATTGGCAAGAGGCTCACATTCTCATGTCAGAAGAAGTAAAGGAAAGAGCTGTAGTATTTCAGGATGATAGTGAGGTAAAAAAACCTCAGACAAGGAAGTCGATTGCCAAAACGAAGCAAATGCGGGTAAAACGACTATGCGAGCCAATTGCCAAAATGAGAACTATGGCAGCGCATCGTCTTGAACTCAAGGTCATGCGAGATCAGCTCTTCAAGCTACGGTCCGAAAGAAGTACTTCCCTCGTTGATACGACGAGGAGCCCCATAACTTTGGAGCAGTTTCTTAAAATCGGGTCACGATCCTTCACTGAAAGAACAAGGCGCATTCTTGCTGTGATCCTCAGCTATGCTGTGCTTTACCTGCACGATACTCCATGGCTACAGCATACATGGAGCTCTTCTCACATCCTATTTTTCCCCACAACCTCTTCTGCAATCCCGCTCCGGCCATTTATCCAAATTCAGCTGGGACAATACCAAGAATCTAGACAGGGTCAAATGGTAGGGCTTGGCTGCGACGGCCCGGACGATCTAGACCCAGACGACCTTGACGACCCAGACGACCTTGAACTTGAGAATCTGGATCCGGATGATTTGATAATGCATCACTGCCCATTTCTGGTTACGTTAGCAGTGATGCTCATGGAAGTTTATTTTGCTGTTCCTTTCAATGTGCTGGCCAAGCGATACGGTTACGACATCGCGCCAGACGCGGAATCTTCTGTTTCCACGCGGAGATGTGTCGACGTCGAACTAGTGTTCAAAGCATGTAGAGAAGAGATTCCTGAAAACTACCAGTTCCACTGTGCCGTGGATAAGTGCTTGGATCCCGCGGCCTGGGAAGATGAGAGTGGAAACAAATTGGATAATGAAGCACTGACCTTGAGAATTTATCAAGAAATTGTCTTGCCTTTGGAAACTGAGTTGGGTCAGGCTTTTACCTCAATGCCTATTGACGAACTTGACAGAATCGCTCAGGAACTCAATTTCCCAAACTGGGACCAAGATGTGCAGCTTTGGGGTCATCAAGAAACAGCTATGACTTCATCTGACCACTTGAATGGTTATGTACAAACTCATGCTGGTCAGGAAATAAAAATTACACCACTTGGCCATTCTCAACAGTTTTCTTCAACTGGATCATCACATCAACACCTTGGATTGCCCCAATGGAACCTTTATGTCAATGGGACCCCTCCACCAACGTACGATGCATCACAAAGAATACTGAAAGACGTCGGAAGTATCAGATATCAAGCCTCTCGTTTCTTTGACGATGAAATGCCTTCCGAAGCTCATACCGATGAAGCGTAAGTAGAGAGAGATATTACCCGTTACCTGTGTCTGGCATAGACCAGATTAGGGTCATAGTATCTATATTTATGACATTACGTTTAACAAACTCATTTACTAACATGAGCTATATTGCAGACGCTTGAACTATCGGAATTGGAAACGTATCTATCAGGATGTTTACGAAAAATTCATCAAACCCAGCTCGCTCAATGCAGTATCATCTGTGAAGATTGCAATTCTCGATACGGGTGTCGACTTATCGCATCCGGATTTTGAAGCGCGTGTTGATAACATCAAAGGCAAATACAACTGGCTTAGCCCGAACAGTAACAAGCCACATGTAATCACTGACCGCAATGGTCACGGCACGTTTGCGGCGAGCTTGATTCTCGACTATGCTCCTGACGCTCAGCTTTACATTGCAAAAATAGCTGAAAGCGAGCCGTCCAGCGCTGGTATTATCGCCAAGGTAAGTCATTGAGTCGCCATGAGTTGATCACACTCTAACAGTCTTGACATAGGCCATTAATCATGCGGTTTCTACCTGGGAAGTCGACATCATCTCCATGTCATTTGGCTTTCCTACTTGCAATACGGCCGACTATCACGAACTGGAAGCCGCCCTCGCACATGCTCATGCAAATCGCGTGTTACTATTTGCCGCAGCCTCGAATAGCGGAGGCAAGCTGGGGCACGCGTACCCAGCTCGCGACCAGCATGTTATTGCCATACATTCGACTGATACGAATGGTAATAGATCGGCATTCAGTCCCACGGCCATGGACCACGACATTAACTTGGCGACAGTTGGTGAAGCTGTTGAGTCGGCATGGCCTGTGTATTTATCAGATGAGACTTCGAACCCTAATTTTGTTAAATACAAGTCTGGCACGTCATACGCGACACCCATAGCGGCTGGGATTGCAGGATTTCTTCTGCTATATTCGAGAATATACTTGCCAGACAAAGCCAGCGCGCTGAAGAATCGACAGAAGATGCAGGCGCTACTGAGACAGATAGCAGAGAAAGAGCGGGGACAGACGGTAAGGGATGGATATTATTTTATTGATTTAAGTCTCTATGCGGATTGCTTGTTTGGCAAAAGTCTAGACTTTATTGACGCAACGATTCGGAATGTCTTGAGCACCTGATTATGGATGATGCTTTCAAGAATTATTTATATCTGCAGAAACTGGGAGGAAGTGGCACTTGATCCAATATCAACGTTAGGTGGCTGTATATTCTAATGAGTACCTATGATGCATGCCGAAGACTGCATCAACTCAAAAGCAATTGGATGATTTGTACCCAGGCATGATGGAAATGTTCTGTCTTGTTCCTTCAACAGAATCCCAGCTTCATCCCCATCAAATGCAGGGTAGCATGCAGAATGCACTAGCCCCGATTCAGCAAGGCGCAGGAACAGCAAGGATGCGCCACATGCCCCGCTAAAAAGTTCAATCGATATCGATTTCTCAACATCCAAATTTTACCACCAGCCTAAAAGTTGCTTTTGCTGTGCACCAGTATCAGCTTCCACCACATCATGGCCGCCGCAACAACATTACCCGCCTTATTGGCCTCACTAACGCAGTCGCTGTCCCTCGCGCAAGAAGGAACATCCAAAATCTCGACAATTGAGCACCCCAAAGATGGAATCTCGCTCCTCGACGTCAAGAACGAGCTGCTGCTCTCATATCTCCAGAACCTCGTCTTCCTGATCCTCGTCAAGTTACGAAATGCAAAGTCTGACGGAAAGGGCGAATCGAAAGAGAAGGACGAAGATTTAGACGAAGTGGTGCGATCGAAACTTGTCGAGCTGCGCCTCTATCTCGAAAAGGGAGCCCGACCGCTGGAAGAGAAGCTGCGATTCTCCATTGACAGATTCCTACGAACGGCGGAAGATGCGCAGCGGCGAGACAAGATGAAGGAGATCAAGGATAGCGCCAAGACCGGCTCCAGCACAGATGAATCAGGCTCCGACTCTGAGGAAGACGACGAGGATGAAGACGACTCCGAAGCCGAAGAGACCGGCCACTCCAAGCCACAGACCAAGAAAGGAGCCGTCTCTGCCGCCCCCAACATGGGCTCTCTCATTGATGATGTCGCCATCCGTCCCGCCAAACGCGGCGAAGATGACGGCGCCCCTGCCGGCGTATACCGCCCGCCTCGTCGCGAGCGCCAAGTCATGGAAACGACAGAGACCCGCGAAAAGGCCGCTCGTCGCCCCATGCGCTCACACACCATGGAGGAGTTCGTTGCTTCCGAGCTCTCATCCGCACCCATTGCCGAGCCTAGCATCGGTACAACCATCGTCCAAGGCGGCCGCAGAATGAAGACGACTCAAGAACGCAGAGACGAGGCCGAGCGAACCGAGTACGAAGAAGCAAATTTTACTCGTCTGCCTCAAGAGAGCAAGAAGGACCGTGCCAAGAAGGCGAAGCAGGCTAACCGAAGCGGTCGGATGCAGTTTGGTGGCGAGGAGTGGCATAACCTCGGCGAGGGCATTGATCGCATTGATCGCCTGACGAAGCGAAAGGAGGGCGGTGCTGGCTCTGGCGTGAGAGCCATGCTGGAGAAGAGCCGGAAACGTGGAGCCGAGACGGAGGATGGCCCGAGAGGGAGTGGACACCAGATGGGAGACAGATTCCACAAGAAGGCGAGGCTGTTGGATATTGGACGGGGAAGCAGAGGCAAGGGAAGGAAATAGAGGCGAGATATCACATTGTAATGGCGCAATATCTGTGTGCGTATTCATACATGGCGTTTTGGGTTATAAAAGAGTTGTATGGAGGATTATCAAGGTTCAATGGTATGATGATTGCATTATATCCCTGCCTAGCTATGCTGTCCCTAAATATTATACAATGAATGTCTTGAAACTACAAATATCATCATGTCCGCATAAATGCGCCTCTTGTGCAATTAATTCTATACCAGATACCAATCCTTTTACTTGACCTCGAGGGCTTTGGCCTCGGGTGCCGTATCCTCAGGCTTTATACCCTCATGTTTGATGGCCTCTGGCTGTACAACCTCAGATATGATAGGCTCGGGTTTTATAGGCTCGGGTACCTTAATCTCGGGCTGTACAGCTCCAGGTTTTGTAGCATCAGTTATCTTCGACTCGGTTTGTAAAGCCTCAACTTTCTTAGGCTCGGGCTCTCTAAACAACTCCTTCTCCATCTTCTTGGGGCACAGGTCTTCCCATAAGACAACGCTCCCTTTATCGGTAGGAATACCCTCATGGAGCTGAGGCGCGCCCTCTTTGCGTCTTTCCTCCAGCAGCATCCTCGATCTGCCATGCCACCAGGTCTGGTTCCACTGCTCCTCTCGGTGATACTTTTCCACAGAGTTGTGGTGTATCATCACAGGAACGGTGCCGATGCAAATTTCTGTGTAGAGTGGCATGGTCTCCCATTCATTGGGATAAGACCCCGCGAGCCATGGCAGTTGCTGACTTCCAGGCAAATCCAGTGGGAGAGGCAGCCTGTCGGTTTTGGGCACGCATTCAAAATTGCCCTGTTTGCCAATCTGCGGCTTCAAAAGGCGGCTGTGACGAATGTATCTTGCGTCAGTGAGAGCATTCGAAGTCTGGTGGCCGAGCAGAGACCAATAGTCTAGGGCGATGCCGAATTCGAAAGGCTTGTCAGGGAGATGCGTCTTGTTGTACTTTTGGTGAGTAAACCCTGGCTCCAGACGGTCAATAATAGGGGCTTGTTGAACGTCAGTTGGAGGAGGCTTCGATCCAGCTCGTCCTGGAACGACTTTGTCGAGCATGTCGTCCATTCCGGTTCGGTGATGTCGTCGCATAACCTCTCTGTAATACTCCTGCTCGCCAAACATCTCAACAAAGATGCTCTGATCGCTACCATGATAGCAGAAATCGGAAGCTCCTGACTCGTCATCAAACGACGCATCTTTTCGGTTCTGGCACTCCTTCAACTTCTCCAGCGCTCGCTCTAGAACGCGACGCATCTCACCAACTGGACCAATCGTGTATCCCGAGTTGAGATAACGAGTGCGGAAACTGGCCCATCCATTGATTCCGATGAGGGTGTCCGTGTTGCCTCCGTAAATGTCATTCGGGAGCGGTGATTCAGGTACGGGATAGCAGGAGACAGAGTTGAGCAAGTTGGGCGCACACCGTTTTCCTGCACCAAAGACTATTTTGGAGTTGATGCCTTCGTTGTTGTAGGCCCGTCCCATGCGGTGGGCTACACGGGCATTTTCTTCCTCGATAATGGCGTCGTAACGAGATAAAAGCATATTCAACGGTAGCTGGAACCAGATATCGTAGGCGTCAAGCATGAAAACAAGCTCATCATCAAATCCAGGATGACTGCGGCGCACGGGGTCATTGATATAGTCCAACGTCCGCGTAATCTTTGCAAAATGCGAACCGCCTCCTAATAGGCCTTTGGCTTTGTCCTTGTCTTCCCAAGCAATAATTGTAGGGCTAGGATAGCCGAGAATCGTCATGGTGAGGAGCGTCTTGCAGAAGTTGACATTGCTCTTTGTGGCTGGGAGCAGAATATGTATCTTTCTATCCGCAGTAAGAGAGACATTCGCCGTTGTACCGTTCTGATTCTGGTTCTGGTTCAATGGCGACTGAAGAATGCGACTTGTTGTCCATGGCTGCTTGATGGTCTCTGAACCAGGCTGTCCGATATTGTGCTTCTCACGGAATGAGTTGATATACAGGGCGTACCGGCTTCACAGACGACTTACAGGCGTTATCACTATCAACAAGAAAGTACTAAGGATGAAGGCGATTCCGACCAACGTCGCAGGACGCCGGCCTCGGAACAATAATAAATTCAACATTATTAACGAGTGTGAGAAATAAAAGAGCGCGGGCGAATTTAAGCTTAATCAAATCATAAAAGAGTGAATCGTAAAAATACCGTTCAAAAGAGTGACAAACGTGAAAAGAGTGTAGAGAAGCACCGTCATCACACCCAGCTAATGCTGGCAGTTACCTCTGACTAAAGCGATCTCAGCGTAAAACGCCTATCAAAAGTCAAACAAGAAGAAAAGGAGAGGAGAAAAAAGAAGAGAAGAAAAAAGTTACACAACATATTATGGCTTCAATATCGAAAAGGGCGTTTCCAGATTGGTGTCTAGCTGTATCTTAGGCGCTGAAGCTATCAAATCGATAGCGCCGGGCTGGTTCAGCTTTTCAGCCGCAGATTGCAGATCCTCCTTTAATCCAGGAACGAAAAGTCAGCCGCATTAGGTGTGAGTCTATAAAAAGTCATTATAGCTACACAGGGATATGCTCTTGGTAATTGAGATGGCACACAGTTACATGCCAAGACACAATTTTAATAGTTCACGTCGCAAGTAAATGTCTATTGAATGCGGCAAAACTTTTCATGGTCGTTTGTGGCATATAGAGCGATTCTGCCCTTGATGTTTTGTTCCACCCGTTTTAGCTCTTATAGCGGGGACTGCCAAGCCAGAAATTTCCACATCCATCGCCCGGTTGTTTTACGCGAAAGAGGGCGATTTACCATTTCCTACGAATCCTGATGGGTTACACGGCAAATGTGACTGACGACTCGGTCATATTGAAGCCATGGGGTGCTGCCATCTGGAAACCAGTTTCTCAAGGATCCTGCCAACCGTCACCGAGGCAGTGTTCCCTTTGTGCAAGAGATCTTTGGCGACAGTGTCTGGCATTATGTTGACTTGTTGCATGATTGGGCTATATTATTGTGAAAGTCTACCTATGTAACTACATATTGTAGTTTAGCTGTTTGTTTTGTTCCGGCGTGGTTGATCTCCCAGGCAGTTTATTCCCTTGAATTGGTTGCTAAAACTAAGATTAATTCTTTGCCTAGTAGAGCAATGAAAGAAATGATGGACCATCCTATTTTTCCAATGGCCAATAATACCATATCAATTTCTCCTCAGTTCTCTATAGCTAATATAGCAAAGCTGTCAACCTCTGCCCCCGGCATTTGCCCAATTCTTAAATGTTGATTCCGCAGTTGGCAAAGCCGAATTCTAAACCAGCTCACTAAGTCTTTCACAACTGCCCCTCTTCCAGTAAATTCGATAGCCAGCCTTTCTAAATTGGTACAGCTGGAAAGGTACCTTGGCTGCTTTGCCATCTCATGGCACTCGTTCTCGGATGTGTTGTCTAAGCCACCAGCTGTAATGACGACAATAAGGTCTCGGATGAAGCCCACCGCGAACCCGTGAATGCCCATAGCCCCGCTAGTACCATGAAGGAAGTCGTCAAGCGAGTTCCAACCGCCCTATAAGGGATAAAGTGTAAGTTTGTTTTTTAAATGGGTTATTTATTAATGAAGAGGCAACTAGCTACAATTTAAGAGAAAACAAAGGCCCTAACTTCTATACTTTGTCGTACAGGCAACTGCTTGTCGCTGTCTAGGTTAGAGGCCGCATGAGGGCATCCTGAGATATGTTAGGTCAATGCTTGTTGGACGGGTACCTTTATCTGCAATCCACCGGCGCGTTAAAAAAGAAGAAGAGAGGTCTTTCGATAAGTAGTTGATATAGACACGTAGCGGGGTGTACCATCGGGACCGAGATCGGATGCTGTTGGTTGTGACATCCAGGAGCACCCCTTTGTTTCGAGAGATTGCCCTGCTGTGGGCTTTTTGGAAGGCGTTCTGAGAGCCATTCATTCAGTGAAGCTGCCCATAGATGTGTCTTTCAAATAATACTTAAATCCCCCTTGGCTTTCCCCTGCCAATTTCATATTCGGACATCTCACGTTGAAACCCCTACCTGGAAATCGACAAGATTTATTTCAAAGTCCACCGAGCGCAGCATACAACATGGAGCCTTCTGATATCGTGAAAGCCAGAGTCGAGAGTGTCTTGCCGACTGCGAAGCGACTCATGCAGATTGCAGGCACGCCGGGAGCAGCGATTGCCATAATTCACAATGGCAAGCACATCCACAGCGAATACATCGGTTACCGTGACCAAGAGCTCAAGCTGCCGGTAACTGACGCGACCATCTTCCCCTGTGCGTCTTTGACCAAGGCTGTTGTTTCTGCCGCCATGGCCATCTGCGTCGAAGACGGAAAGCTTGGATGGGACACTCCAATCAAGGATATTCTTCCCGGTTTTAGCACGAAAAGCGACATCTTACGCAACCATATGACAGCTGTGGATTGCCTCTCCCATCGAGCTGGGATGCAAAGCTCTTTATATTGGCTGGGCAGCATGAACAACGTGCTCATCTCCAAGGAAAACAGCATGAACTTGATCAACGACCTGAAGCAAGTAAAGCCGTTTCGAAACGGCTATCTATACAACAACCTAGGATACGAAATCGCCTCACATGTGCTAGAGCAGGTCACTGGGGAGCCTTGGGACCAAATCTTGCACTCCCGAATATTTCAACCGCTTTGCATGTCAAGAACTGGAACCCGGCATTCTTTCAGCCAAGCGGATGATGATGTAGCCAAAACTTATGAAGCACTGGACGACGCTTCAGTGGTGGAAGTTGTCCCGATGCTATCAGGAGGTGATACTGTTGGGGGGCCGGGATCAGCAATGCGCAGTTGCATCAGAGATCTGGTCAAACTCTACACAGCATTCATCGAGTCCGGCGAACATCAATTCGAGAACCACACTACATCCACCCCAGGCTCTCCCTTGAAGCAGGTTCCGTTTCTCTTCTCGCCCCAGATAAGTATGAATCCGATCTCTCGCCGCGAGACTTCCTATGCCCTTGGGTGGGCTCGAGTCCAAACTCCAGGGCCTATGGGTGCTATAGGTCTCAATCCTGATCTCCTGAAGCCCAAACCAGTCCCGGAAGTCGCGCGTGGTCATCCATCTGAGCTGATCCTCTATCACCAAGGCATGATGCCAGGGAACTTGGCAGCTGTCAACCTCGTTCCTTCTACCAAAGGCGCAGTTATCGTACTCACAAATTCTCTGGCGCTCAACGACACTGCAGACTGGCTTGGTCAGCTATACCTAGAGGCCTATCTCGGTGTGGCTGATAGGAACGACTACGTCGCTTTGTCAGAAGAGACAGCGAAAGCCACCCTCAGCTGGTATCCCAATGTCTTGACCGAACTTGAGAAAGATCGGATCCCAGGGCCTGTGCCACGAAATCTGTCCGAGTATACTGGTAGATATTCTAACGAGGCCGGAACTATGATGATCGAGATCTTCCTCGACAGTGGCAGCGAACCTGCCCTTAAACTCGCATTTCAAGGCCTCCAGTCCGAGATATACCCATTGACGCATTGTCATCACGATGTATTCACTTGGCTGGTAACAAGGAATGAGTTTGCTCGACGAGGACGCTTTCTCATGAGGAGTTTGAACAATGCCGAGTATTTTAAGATCAATTTTGGCCCGGGAAGCACATATCTTACATGGTGGCACGACCCATCCCTAGAAGAGCCAGAAAGGTTCATACGAAATGAACAGTAAAGCCATTTTTACTACAGGGATAGACGCGAGATAACTAGTAGAAGATTATCTTGAACAACATGTTTAGAAGGCACCGTTACTATACACATAAATCTAGCAAGGCCAAAGCATTACTCAGGGACACCACACACAAGAGGAAAGAATATCTCAGAAAATATGTGTTGCAAAAGAAGAAAGCCTGGAGATTCTTATTCATCATGGCTATTTATAACCCTTTCATTGTGCGATAGGGTTAACCGTCGGATCCTTGCTAGGATCATACTTTGCTATCCCATCCAAGGGGGCATATTTTTCGCAAAGATAACACATATCATTGTATGCTCTAGTTAGGGCCAGTATTTAGTAGCGAAACCTGCGATTGGTATGTATATGTACTCACATGGTCCTTGTTATGATACCCGGATCTGTAGCTGACCAGTTTAGATTGCATTTGAGGCTGTATAACCTGTTGCGATCATCCCATTCATTCGCTGGCTCAGCAGGTGGGCATAACCGTAAATACGCCTCTTTATAAGCGCTCGCGCCCAGGGTTTCAGCATAGATTACCCTCCATATCCCAAGCTCCATCTCATTGTGAGCATAGTATGAGCCTGCGTCGTAAATGATAGTCTCTCCTGTCTGGAGCGTGCCGACGTTGGCATCCCATAGATCGCCATGAATCAGACTCGGCTGGATCGGTTTGCCGCGCCAGGTCAATGATCCGAGCAGTCTCGGCACGACCTTGGATACAATCTGCTCCGCTGCCCGCTCCAGCTCCGGCCAAGACCCGCATGCTTCGGCATCCAAACGGACACGGCTGCGAAGGAGGGTTGCGTAAAATGCCGACCAGCTCTCTTGCCACGCTACCGGATGGGGAAGAGGGCCGTCGCATGTGGGAATAGGAAAGCCAAACTTGCCTTCTGGGGACTTTCCGCCGAGGTGCATGCCCACAATGCGGGCGGCGAACTCGTCAGGATCGGGCACTGAAGGCTTGCGGAGCTCGAGGAAGTCCTCGACAAGAAAGTAGATGCTATGGCCCAACGGTCTGCTCTTGAATTCTCCAAAGCCGACGACGCCTGGAACCAAGCCCGGGGATGCAGCTTCTATAGCACGGAGGGATGCGTGTTCGCCTTCCAGCATCATCCTGCCCTCGTCACCGCTAGCACACTGTAAAGAAATGTCAGCAAATGTCAGGAAGGGCCTTGGGAAGGGCCTTGGGCATTCTTCTCCAGCTACAAGAGGCAGTATGCTTATTTACCTTGACAAAGTAGCTCTTTGGAGAGCTGTCTGGCAATATTCTACCGTCGAGACGGCCGGTAATGGAGAAGTCAGACTTGGCAAACGGCGTCGCAGATAACAGAGTAAACGACTTTGGCAGAGCTGTCAGTTATAATCAGCGCGATTTCACAGTCTAGGCAACCGTTTGTATCATATTGTGGCAGATTACCTTGCTCGAGGGCTTCGTCGAGCGGGAAAGATCCCTCCACGTGGGAGAAACTAGCTGGCTTGCAAAAACCGCCATTGGCGATCAAGTCATGCAGCTGTGACGGCATCTTTCTCTAGGACGATTGAAAGGACTAGTAGCTACGAGTCCCTGATGCACTACCGATTTCCAGGCACTGGGCTGCGAGCTCGTTGGCAAGGTATAACTAGAACTCAATGCTAGAGAAGGGCGAGTAAAGGCAAATAGTTGACTTTTACCATCTGTCGCATTGGGGTTCTGCGCATGGACAGAACTGCACTCCCCAGCTATAGCAATAGTCTGCCTATAACAATAGAACTCTAGGAACACAGATAAAAAGGGCTCTGTTGGTAATTTTTTACACCACTTTTATCCCTACTATAACAGGTTCATAGTAATAAAGATTTTGTTTAATTAGAATATAATATTAATAAAAATACTTCAAATATAAAGACTTATATCTTTATGGTAAATATATTTTTGTTTCATACCTTTTTTATTTATTAAACCCTACTTATCTTTAATAGAAGTAAGTTAAATTTCCTATTTGGGCGTCCAACCATACTGATCAACTGGACATGGTAATACCAACGGGCATTCTAACGTGCATTGTTATAGCAAATATTACTGTGTTATACTGCCACCGGCTCGGGTGCTGCACCTCATATCCTTGCTCTGGAGATGTGACATGGCACATCTCGCGCGCTTCTGATTATTGTGGTATATATGACCTGTTGCCCGGCTTGAGAAAGCGATGCTCGGACAGAGCCTGATTAGCCAGTCTTTGACGCATCCTCCACACCCACTCGCCGCAGCATATTTGGAATGCAGCCATGCATGTACAAGGGGCTGTGTCTGTGTGTGTTTCAGGCATTAACTGTGCAGCACACCCCTGGGGTCACACTAGAAGCGACGTTGGTCCAGCAATGTACATGTACTGTACATGGTACATGGTACATGGTAGCACAGTCCTCCTGCTCTGCAATTATCGGAGCAGCCGTAAACGAAAGAATCTCACTTGGACGCTACAACCTATAATCAACCACTTCTATCATCATCAGTGTGATAAACTACACGATGGACAACCGATCTGTTTGGCCAACGACAAAAGATGAGGGCGTTATTGTCGGTGTGACGGCATTTGGGGTAAGCAGTATTTACTCCCGGCCATTGAAGAACGACTTCCCATGTATGCTTGCCTATACCAACTCTAACGTGTCCGTACGTAGCTTTACGCCGAGACCCATGATTTCAACGCGTCCAATATGGTCCTTGCTGCGTTGCCGCCAATCATCACAACTCGAAAGAACCCTGCTAAGAAGGTTTACATACTCAAATACCCAGAGATTCATGTAACATATGGCTCTGTCTCCCAAGCAGTGCAAGATATCTGGAACCCAAAATCGGCAGCGTGGTCCATGTCGGCAGCAGCCGCTGATATCGAGTACGATGATGCTGATGCCTTGAAAGTCAATTTTGTTATTCACCTTGGTCAGATGCGCAGCTTTCCGGGCTACTCATTTGAAAAGCTTGCAAACAGAGATGGGTACCTAAGAAGGGACCTGGACAACCAGCTCCCCGCAATCATCAAGAATGCGACAGGGGATTCGGTTGAGGAGCAGTTCACCTCTTGCCCAACTATTCTTAAGCCTGATATCGACGTGGAAGTTGTCACAACCGAGGTCAAGACGCGCATGCCGGTATGTATAATGCTCCCATTGCACAAAGACATTCCAGCTGTATATATTTACATTCCCCAGAACACTCTCATTCGTGCGTCAACCGACGCTGGGCGATTTTCATGCGAGTATATCTTATACTCATCATTAGCTGAGCTTTGGAGAAGAGGCTTGGAGAAGAGAGTAATGTTCATGCACGTACCGGCCAAGAGCTCTGAAAAAGATATTATAGAGGGTGTTGATGTGGCTATTAATTTGATCCTGACAATTGTAGATATGTTAGAGTCATGATATTAGATCGGTTGTCCCATTAAAGAAGTCGCTGACAGACCACATCATACAGGACGTGCGGAAAGTCAGCTCTTTGACCTCAGCAACAGCAAATTCCCAGTCGATAATGGCAGTGATGTTGCAATCCTCGTCAACTAGGGTATGATCGCCCTTGTCGTTGAAGTGCTCAAGGTAATATTTGCTAGCTTCGCCTTACCTTGATAGTCTAAAAATTCTTCGTCCATTTCCAAACAATGAAGCCACGGAATATCCGCTGGCTTCCTGTATATGGAAGTTGCACTTAACTAATCCGATTATTGAACATGTGGCCAAGTAGTATAGCCCTTTACAACGTCCGTCTTTTGCGGCTTATTTAAGCATATATATTTGGAATTGTAGATTGACGCTCTCGGTATACATATTCTATCAAACATCGGCCTTATAAATCATAGAAAGCACATCAGGTCAAACCTCGCTCGCAAGGGGACCTGATTAGTATGGATTAAAAATTACAAATATTACCTATTAGAGTAGGTGGACTGGCATTGCAGCGCTGAAGAGTGGACCGATCGGATTAGGGCGGATTAAGGCGGAATAGAGGAGTTTGCGGGATACAGCAAGAATACACCCTTGTTATTCCGTAACCCGCAGCATGTAAAGAGTAAGAGGAAAACAATTGGCTCCAGGGTTGGAGATCTAATGTGTGAAAGTAGAGAAAGGTCAGCTTGGAGTCAAGATAAACAGCAAGGTGAAGACTATATAAGGCCTGCCGGCTACCCTCATCAACACAATTTCTACAACTACCAGCAGCTACACAAACAAGAACAGAAGTAATTATTCGAATACCACCTTTTCGAAATGTCAACTCAAGAGACAGCCAAAACACTGTACCTGGATGCAGACGGCATAAAATATGCATACCGGCTCATTGGAAACTCTACTGCCGGCAGCCACTCGCCTCCTTTGCTCATGCTCAACCACGTCCGGGCAACAATTGATACGTGGGATCCTCAAGTCATCAACAACTTTACGGCAACTGGCCGACAAATCATAACATACGATTATGCTGGAATAGGACATAGCCAGGGCAACGTCGCACCCTCCATCCGAGGCTTCGCCGTCAACTTGCTCGCATTTCTCAACGTCCTCTTGCCGTCCCTGCATACTCAGCACGTTGATGTTTTGGGTTTCTCCATGGGCGGCTACGTTGCTCAGCAGTTGGCTCTCGACGCCCCCAATGTGGTTAACAAGCTGGTTCTCTCGGGCACTGGACCAAGTCTTGGAGCAGACCTGCAACGACCGATGAATGAGGTGCAATCCACTGTTTTCAACCCAACGCCAGATACCTCAATACTCCCAGCATTCTTTCCGCCTTTTACAACCGGCGACGAGGGCCTTGCATGGCTTAATAGAAGCGTCGGTTCGCGACAGGGTGTTGCTGGAAAAAACGGAGAGCCTGCTATTGCATCATTTACCTCTGGAGAAGCTCTAGTGAAGCTTACTCAGGCTTATTTGACCTGGGATGCCGATCCAGTTCCCTACTCCTTGTTGCAAACAATACAAAAGGATGCCCTTGTGACCAGCGGAGACAATGATCTTATTGTTCCGACGCAAAACTCATTTGTCCTGGCGAGACAGCTATCACGAGCAAACTATGTCATGTTTCCGAGCAGCGGGCACGGTCATCTATTCCAGTACGCAGGCTATTTCGCCAAGGTGGTTGGAGAGTTTTTGGACGGTAAACTGCCGACGGTGCCATTCTCCGCTGGGCAAGTTCCACCATTTGGGACATATGGAAATTATAACTGAGACCAGTTTCCGCATCTAGAGCGCACGTCTATATCAATCGCGCAGTTATTTCCCATATGATTTTCCATTTTACTTCCATAGACTGCTTCCAACTAAATGAATAATTCTTTTTTCTACAGTTGTTAATAAATTATTAAGAAAGGATGCTCTGTTCTTATCACAGCTTATCTAGTGAGTTCAGTCCGATGTTATGAACAGGAATAATTCTGTATCACTGCCGAAGCATTCATATATATATCATCTTCTCTATGGAGCAAGAATCATAAAATGCTCATAGAATTCCGGTGACCATTCGTGCATCAATCATTTGAGCGTACACAGCTAAATAGATTAGCTCTTAGCTCCTTTATGTTTCCAAGATGAGAAACTTACAAGCAGCTTTCCACCTCTTGCCAATAACATCGAGAGCCCCCTTGATCGCTGCACATGATGCTGCCTCACTTAATGTACCTGTACGGGAATACTCCCGTCCAAAAAATACAGCCGATCTGTATATTGATTCAAGGCACAATGGAGTAATCTCATCTGGAGAGCAACTGCCAGAGTGTATAGCCTCAGCTAGTTGCAGCATACCATCTGCAATATCACGTTTAAAGTCTTGGGGTATAAAGTCCTCCGTTGCGGCAAATGGAAACTCGTCCACGGCATATCTTTCTTTATCATGTAGAAGCAGACGAGCAATATCGGTAAGTTAGCGACGTGCTTTGAGATGCTTGGAATTTACATATTACTTACCTATAGCAGATTGTAGAGGGACTGCATACTCCAATTCCACGATGGCGGCCCTCCTCTAGTGACACGCTCGTCAGCGCAACGAGCGTGCTATCGAGTACTTTAACATCGTTTTGCCAGAATGCCTCGGAAAAGGGAGGCTCATGTATGCTGCGAAAGACGTTTCCTAACAGGATTGCAGATTGCGCCGTCAAAGAGAACCGACCCATTGCCGTTGTTGGTGGCTCAAAGAGTCTGCGCACTGGGGCATTTATCTCTCTCTAACTGGTGTAAGCGAATAAATCTTTGATGCTGGGCTGTTTGACCTACATTTTCTTCCCATATAGCGTCGTCAATGGGAAGTATGCTCTTCTTACTTGGGTCTGCCGTAAGGAATGCTCTATCAACACATCCTAGGTTCATATAACTAGACTCTAATTAGCCAGATGGAATAGTCAAGGATGGGGGAGTAAAAGCAGGGTGAGAATATGATGAGTTGTATGTATACTAACCGATCTAAGACGAGAATCGCCCACCAGCTTCTTCGCCGCTCTTCTGACTCTGTAACACTGAAGCCCTCTTCAGAATAGTGTTCCACAGCTTTATGGAGACCCAGCGCATTTCCATATCGTACGCAGTAGCCAACAGTGAGATATGCAGCTGGATAAATAGCATGCCCAACTTCAAATACGGCCATCAAAATAATGGCTTGCAATACGCGTAGCTCCAGACTACATGAGCTCTCTGCTTCCAAGAGACTGCTTTTTATTGAGTAATAAGCTCTGCACCGCGGCCCCTGTTCTGGACGCTGATCTGCTAGTAACTTCATTGTAGCAATGAGGAGTATACTTGCTGGTCGTGGAGGACTGAGAGGATTTAGTATCCTCTCTGTAAACTTCTTCTTTGATAAAAATGGCATCGATGGATGAATAGTCGAGAAGTACAAGTGGACAAAGTCTCTGTCGGATGTAAAGTCTCCAATAAAGCTCAGTAGTGGGTCTGTGAAACTAAGTTCCAGCTCTGGTAGTCGATTCATGGAGCGTCGAAATAGGACAGAGTCGAGAAAGAAGACTGCGTGGGAGCTTTCTTCACTCTCTTGGGCGGCTTTCACAGGTGACAAGGATGCGTTTTCCACGCTGGACATTGATGCTGAGTCATCTCTCAAGACGTATACGCATTCTCTTCCGTATCTAAGAATTGCAGCATTAGGATTCTAGTCTCAAATTCTCTTTTCGATTGAGCTGTTCAACTTACCGTATACATGCAGAGCAGTGTGGCTTTCCCCGGTCACACCGTTTCTTGGATCGCTGACACTGTATGCAAGACGGTCTGATCCGAGGAATAATTATCCGACTCTCGCTCGCAATGTCCATGTTGTTGCTTGAGCCGCAGATGCTACTTTTGCAAACTTCTACTTGCAATGTACCGACGTATGGGCCTATTTTTGAAAGCAGTTCCCAGCAGACAAATGCTCCGTTGACTCCACCGTAACAAGATCGTTATGCAGCTGTGTAGCGGATACTGACGCATTTAGCTGTCACTGGTATAGATGTAATTGGATTCGATGTAAACACATGTACCGATGAAAACTTCAATCAAGCACTTCACTACGAAAAGCATACATAGGCAGCTACACGCCACGACGCAGATGCTACCGACATAGCAAAGGCCAAAGAGGTCTTAGTCTCATCTTTACGGTGGAGATATTTTGCCAAACCGCCTTACGTGATCATGATTACAATTGCAGAGTGCCGTCATGGGGATCAACACTTTTCTAAAACATTTATGCATGTATGAAGAAACAAAAAGATTTTTTACCATAAATCTTGGCCGCGGGGCTGAAACTCAATGTCAAATAAGCGTATTTTAACGTTAAAGCTTGAGAGAAGGCCATGCCTCTTGCTCTTCTACTAACGCTCAACCCCCCAGGACTCACACTTGTTATAGAAAGGCCGAAGTGGAATATCGCCTTGCTGGGCTCCTTATGCCTGCATAGCACTGGCATAGCAGACCAGTATGTTCCCAATGTACGTATATGATCATCATACATATCGGCAGTTGCTGTATCTTGGTAGATTGGTAATAAATGATTAGTCTTCATCGCAGACCCTGGTCCAGACTTTTATGTCAGCCCGTCTGGAATAGATTCAGTCGGGATAAGGCGGAGTGGGGCCGACTTGAAGGCCCAACGCTGCTATAATTACATGAGAAAGTGTCAATCGTTATTTCGCAAGCCATTTGGCGCAGATGCAATACCGAGAATTTGATAAATGGCGTAGGATGCTTACTCTATCAGGGTTCTGAGCCCATGCTTCCCTGACGGCAACGAAGTACTCAGTTGTGCTCAATGTTGTTTGGACGCTACGAACATGGGTATGTTCAGCATGCTTTTCCGCTATAATGAATGTTAACCTGCGAACAACATGTTTTTAATCAGTGTCGACGTGGAAGCTTTTCTTGTCGCTTCCGTATGCTATTGCCCTAGTAGAATTAGATGCCTCGACAGCCGCCAATTTTTTATTTCTCCTACAGTTATTTGACATTTGACTATTGCTTCTCGAATTGTACCATGCTCGACATCTGTCTTCGAAGACTGCGTACCTATTTTAGGAAAACGTAATGAAAACGTAATGGCATTTTCTTCCAAGTCAGACATCAACTATCGATACCTCACTTAAGCCAGCCCGATAACGCCAAGTCTCAGGTAATTATCATCCGTCTTCAGTTTCTGCTCATTCTCTCCTGAAAGAAGCTCATCAATGTCCCAGTGCGCCCAAACAAACCGACCGTGCAAGAGGTTTGCCTCTGGACTGGCGGCCCAGACGGCAAAGTGGCCAGGGAGGTTTTCTGCAATAAAGGATAACGTTAATTTTATACCGGCGGCAAAGAACGCTGTAGATTTTGTTTCCATACCGTCGTCCCAGTCAATACCACTTGTCTCGTCGAATCCAGCGTTTCTGGCAGCATCGGTGAGGATCTGTCCGGGGTTGAAGCTCACAATCTGCATGTCCTCGGCTGTAACGTGGAGGGCGGTCTGCTGGAGGAAGAATGCGGCGGAATTCTTCGTGAAGCTGTAAGAAGGAAGAAGTCTGACTGGTTCGTCAAACTTGTGGATCACTGCGCTCGAGACGTTGACAAGATATTTCTGGCACGGATGATATTAGCCTGGTACGATTCAAGATAGCTCTGGGACTGGACTTGGGGGGGATGAAATGATCATCTCTCGTTGTAAAAACTCACCTTTTTGTTACCAGGCTGCTTATGAAACTGCTCCGTGAAATAGATCGTAGACTGGACATTCATGGCGAGATCTTGCCACACTTTGGTAGTTCCTCGTTCCAATATCGGCCCAGGGCCACCTTGTGTTGCAGCATTAAGCACCAACGTGTCAACTATGATACCCTCTTCTGCTAGCTGGCCCCAGAGAGCCTTGGAAGAATCTAGATTAGCAATATCGCATTGTTTTCCCAGAATGATAGTATCGCGGCCTTGGCTTTTGGTAATATCGGCCAACTTGGTAACAGCATCATCAATTACAGAAGTGCGGCGTCCAACAATGATGATGCGAGATGCAGCAGCGGCAATGAAGGCTCTGCATATGGCGAATCCGATGCCTAGTCCGCCTCCAGTTACGAGTATCGTTCTGCCTGCTTGAGACAGCTCAGCTCGCTCAGGAGAAATCGCCGGATAGGGCTTTTTATGCGAAGTTTTCGTAGGGATTATGAGCATTTTGGCGATGTTGGACTCGTATCAAGATACAGCTCAGGACCTCTGTTTGTGGGATTCAACATCTGATACTGTTGAGTATGGACTTCTTTTAATTATAGTCTATGTCCTAGGAAGCTCTTTCGCCATCCTGGCTCAAGTTTTCGCGAAATAAGGCGGAAACCCATCCGCTGCTTAAAATCATTCCATCAACAGAAATACTCCTTTTATGGGAATAAAACCAGGAATTGTTCTATACAAGATGATTCTCGCAATTCGCGAGTCAACTTTTCTATGCGGAACCCTCTCCGCCATATAAGCGGTGGCTACGGCCGTAGTGGGACAGTCTGCGGAGCTCACCCCGCCAACTTCACCGATCTTGTACGTGAACCGTATTCTCGCCCTTTCAACACTTACAGCTCGCTAACAAGCCACTGAACACGTCCATGATGCCAGACAGCGCTATACGATTGTCTCCGCCGCGTTCAGCGTGTATCGCGTGTGCCAAAGCCAAGAGACGATGTACCAAGAACCTGCCGGCATGTCGACGCTGCTCACAGAGGGGGCTGAGTTGTCGATATCCGCCGCTCAAGATGACGATCGAGCTGCCTGATGAGTTCGACGCCATGCCAACGTCAACCAACAACGGGAGTTTGGCTGCGGTAGAAACGCCGCCGCCATCTCAAGTCTTATGGAGCTTCAGGGATCTTGTTCATAACATGGACACGTATTTGCATCCACCTGCCTGGTTCTTACTACCCGAGTCGTGGGTAATTGCTCACCAACCGGCTCCATATCAGCAGTCTGGTTCCTTAAACGGCGGTCTCCTGGACTCTACAGAAAGCATCTTGTCCTGGCTGCAACAGTGGGTAAACGACTGCTCATGTCCCTTTATTCATGCGCATCTATATAAAGACGACTTGCCCAGCTGCATCCAAAATGCTTTTACCGCCACTGCAGCATACTTTACCAAGACTGCAGCAAACAAAGGTCTCATTCTTCGCATTATCGAAGGCCACTGCAATAAGCTCCTTGATCAGCTTGAAGATGGCCTGGATGTTACCGAAGACACGATTGCATCTGGCACATTTAACCACCTGGCGCGAACCCAAGCTCTACTAATATACCAAATTATTCGTTTATTTGACGGCGACATTCGGTCAAGAGCCCAGGCGGAGAACAACATGGACCTGCTCTTGTCATGGGCTGGCCAATTGTGGGAGAGCGCCAGCAAGGACGCGGAATTAGCCATTTATGAAAAGGCCTCCATGACTTCCTCTATGGCTTCAGATAGATGCGGCGGTGTATCAGATTCAAACGCCTTTCGCGTTGACGGGAGTGTGGCGGCTCTCTGGCACGCATGGTATGTTGCCGAATCAATCCGGCGGACATACGTTGCCATCATCTTTGTCCAAGGCATGTACCAGACGCTGAAACAGGGCTGGGCGTTTTGCCCTGGCGGTGTCAGCTTTACCGTCACAAATGGCCTGTGGGACTCCCCGTCTGCGCATACGTGGTGGGAGCTGTTTCTTCGAGATACAGCTCCTCCGGCGCAAAGCTTGCAGCTTGAGAGGCTGCTGCATGAGAACCAACCAGCAGAGGTCGATACATTTGTACAACCTCTGCTTGTTGCTTCGTACGGTCACGAGAGAGTAGATCAATGGATAGCTCAGCAAGCATAGAGGGTATATTAAATTATGGTGGTAGAGAGGCGCTCAGCTGTAAGTGGCGTGTAACCATCAATCAGATAATCAATACCCCAAAATTAAGAAGAAAAGAAGACAAGGTAAACAAATGAGATACACTTCCGAAAATGTATCTCAATTTCCCTTTTGACGCACTAAAAACTGTGGATTCACTATAGATATGTATCCATTCCGAATTTATCTACATGTATCAAAAGATCTCGCAAAACTGAAGGTACAAAGGCGAGCCACAGTGAATGGCTGGTTGGCGCAACTCGACTTTGAAGTGGTATTCGTTATTATTACCTTGATGAGACTTTACATCTAGTATCCATGCTCTGCGGTGTACTGGATAGGTAAGCCACTTTATCGACTGCTGTTTTCTTTGAACATCTCACCTCCATGCGGATATTGATGTATCCGCGCCACTTGGCATATTAATTCACCACTGACAATACACGTCTCGTTGTTGAGCTTCAGTCGCATAATTTTGTCTTCTACGGAAGCTGCAAAAAGGTTCCATTTCAAACTGCCAAAGAGCACAACTATGTACTCTCGTCCCCCGGCCCTCGGTCAATAAGCAATGCGGATGTATCAGAGTTGGATTGCTTGCGGTTTAGACATGGCAGAGGTTTCTTTTGGGTAATTGTTCGTTCTATTTCAGGCGTTGTGGAGGTCATGTCTCTTCTATCGTGCCAATGTAAGCCTACAGCATCAACCCTAATAGAACTCTCAAGGACAAAGTAGCTGAGGCTTCTCAATTGGATGTTTCTGTCGCTCCACTAATACCACGGAATATACCAATAGGATGACGGCTTTTGCCAAGGTACTTGTTTGTAGTCACGTAGGATTCTAGAATCAGGCTCTGTGTTGTTGTTTGTGTTACACCAAGCTGTGGTATACGTTTGCATGTTACATATTTTTAAAAACCGCCACACCACTTAAACTCCTTCCTATCACATTGTCCACTCTTAATATTAATCGCCGTGTACAATGGCACATGTGAGTACTCTGGTTCAGTGAGAAGGGGAAGGCTTGGTAGTTGATAGCTAACAAGTGAAAACAAAGAATCCTCCATTTCGCAAAGACACGTTCAAGACATGTCAGCCAAATATCATTTTGAATGAGAAAGCAGAAGATGCTACAATCTCTACGCCGACCACGACTTCGGACGCGGCATCGACCACAAGCGTAAACGCCCCGCCGACGGAAGAGAGGTTGCTGCTTCCTGCGTCACGTCGGTCCTTCAGTGATAAAATATGCCATATCGTCCATATCAATACCTCTACTGTTGGCGACTATGTGGCGGAGGAACTAAGCGTCAAAAAATTGAACAGCATTCATGATTGGCTCTGGCTTGCTGGACGGCCTGGAACCCCCAGATCGCTGAGCTACCAACAATCATCGTCGCGCGAAATTATCATTGATGAGAGAGCGGACATACACCTCGTCTGGGTCCCTGGACGAATGTTCTTGAAGCCAATCCCTCGGTATTTATTGGATCATGACTTTTGGACGCGGCATATCACGAGCCAAGATACTCACATGTCTGCGCTCGGCTTCTTACGCTCATATGTTGCTTTGATTCAGTACGAGAGCGATTTTCGAATCGCCAAAGAGAAGCACTTGATTCCAGATTATGTGACCTGGGAAGCATGGGTCGACTTTGTGGATCAGTTCCTCGGACTTGGAGATTTGACGACGAAGGTCAACAAGCGTTACCATTACGGCGAGCTTCGATTATCGCGACTGAACAAAGTCTGTTGGATACAAGGTCGCGTCCGAGGACACAAGTTTCCATACCAAACATATGGAGAGATGCTTTCCATGAATATGGCGCCAATTGGAGCAGCAACGGTATATATTGCGATCGTGTTGACGGCCATACAAGTCGGGTTAGCCACTCCACAGTTGGCGAACAACAGTGCGTTCCAACAAGCATCCTATGGGTTTACAGTGTTTTCTATCATTGCTCCGGCAGGCTTCACAGTGGCGGTTCTTATTGTCATTTTCTTCCTGTTCATTTACAATTGGCGAGCTACGATGAAGACTAGGCAGCCTGACGCTGAAAATCGACAAAAGTAGCAGATAAAGTAACAGAGATATCCTAGTTATTTTACGAAGAAGCAACTATTCAAATAGCCAGGTAGTATATTTGATAGCGTTGCGATTGTTACAAATTTTTGGCTGCCTGTGTTTCATGGCGCCGAATATGCAACTGAAGTGGCTTTGTAGCATTTAGCAACCTCTTATGTGTAACTTTGTCCCAGTCATCATAGAACCGCAGTACTCTACAATATTTGATGAGGGTGAAATTAGCATTATCAGGCACTATGAATCAGATAGCAACAGATGAAGTAGGACAATGAATGGCAAGATAAAAAACACCAAATCAGGCTACCTATAAATCGCGAACACTCAGGCATGATTGATGATACTCAGATACTTCGCATCCTATAGTGTCATGGTACTGTATGCAGGACTCAGCCTGATTGGGGTCATACCTACATGTAGTCGTGGCCCAGTCATTGGCAATGTGCGGCGTTTAGGCACCGTGAGGGGTCGAGAATTGCTCCCAGCCCTCATATCCGTAGTCAGATTAGTACTGCTTCCGTTCGTACAGCCTGACGCGCGAGGGATGTTTTGCGCGTCTGATGCTACAAGATCTGATTGGCCTTTGATGAGCTGTGCATTTGTGGGACACACCTTTCAGCTCGTCATTCTTATCCAACCGCAAGAAGACACGTCGTCTACCATTGGGAATCCAAGTAATTCTGGGTGTACCCAGTATTACAGCTCTGGCCCCACGTTCATCTCAAGACATCTTACTTGACACATACAGACTGCGCTCGCGATAATCAGTCTCTATGATGGAGTGGCCTCTGATGCAGTGGGTTGCAATGCCACGAACGCCTACCGCGCCAGAAACCATCACGACGCTTCTTTTGCTACTTCCTTTCTTGAGCTCCCTGCTGTATCGTCTCTACGCAAGAATAAAAAGACGAGACGGCCGCGCAGTGGGCCTTCAGATTCTCTCCAACGCATCTAATGATGATCAAGTCAAATACGAGTATGTCACATCGCTCGACTGATTTAACGTCTCAATATCTCACATTCTAGGATCGTTGCTGTACATGGCCTTGGGGCCAATCCCGAGCACACCTGGACTTGCAAATCGAACCCAAAGTCCAGAGCCGGCGATATTCAACCGCCCGTTCACTTGCTTAAAGATCTGCTCATGAAAGACGAGAGATTTTCAGATGCGCGAATACTTCACTTTGCTTACAATTCAGATTGGCTTGTCGACGCTTGCTTTGAGTCAGCTCGAGACATTGGACTTCGTCTCATAGAATCCCTCATTGAGCATAGAAACCATCATCCTGTAAGAGATTTATAGCAGTCTTAAGTTAAACACCACTAACACAACTTTCAGCGTTTGCCTCTGATCTTCATGGGACACAGTTTCGGTGGAATAGTCATTAAAGAGGTAAGTTAGTCTTCCAGATATTGTTCTCCTTCGCACATTGTTTGCAGGTTTCAGTACCTTATGTTCTTCATAGGCACTATCTAGCGACCCAAAAGATTCTCAAAAAATCTTGGAGGACACCTGCGGCATAGTTTTCTTGGGCACTCCTCATCTAGGAAGCCCAATTGCCGGGTTTGGAGCCGCCATTGCCTATTTGACTGGCTTTCTTGGCTCAAACACTGGTTTGCTATTCTTACTACGAAGCAATGGAGAAATGCTCGTCAATTTGAGTATTGCGTTCCAGCAATGCTTAGAAAGGAAATACCATAACCTGGATAAAAGGACCAAAATTATTTCAATTTGCGAACAAAAGCCCACATATCTGTTGAATTGGCTTTACGCTGGCATGGTAAGTTCGAATATTAGATACATTTGCTGCGAAAATGTCCTAAACGCATATAGATTGTACCATTACATTCGGCAACATTCAGCACCAACTTTATGGACGTTGTCAAGGTCGACAAAGACCATTCCGGACTGAATAAGTGCCGTAATTCAGATGATCCTCTTTACAAAGAGCTTACAGCACAATTGGATGCGATACGGCCGTAAGTGATAGCATTCAAAACTAGAAGCTACTCTCAGCTAATGATCACAGTAATACACCCCCTAAGATTAATACGCTTCAGCAAGCTGTTATCGACCGTTTGATGCCTCCTATCACTGTCCCTGATGCAGAATTCCATCCTGGGTTAGATGAATACGGAAGAGGCAGCCTGGAATGCCTCCCCCAAACAAGAGAAGAGATACTGAAAGAGATTTGCGACTGGCTTGATGACTCTACATCTCAAAAGCATATCTACTGGCTTCAAGGCAAAGCTGGAACGGGAAAAACTACCATTTCCCGCACTGTTGTCAGCAGAATGGCCGGAAAGAATCGTATCATCGCCAACTTCTTTTTCAAAAGAGGTGAAGGTGACCGGGCTAGACTCAAACGATTTTTTACAACTTTGGTAGCTCAACTTGTAAGAAAATTGCCTAGCTTTGCCAAAGCCATTCAAGACGCTTTGGAGTCGGATCCTTCGCTTCTAGAACAAGACCCGAAGGTTCAATTCAAGAAGTTCATCCAGGAACCTATACAAAAGCAAAAATTCGAGAAGTCCAAGACCATAATCGTTGTCGTCGATGCTCTCGATGAATGTGATTCCAAGGAAGATTTAGCTGCTCTGATTCAGCTGGTTAATCAGCCTGTTTTACCAGATGGTTCATCTGCTCAGCTTCCATTCAAATACTTTCTTACTAGTCGCCTCGACCATCATACGCAACCCATTTCCAACAAAACTCCCGAACAGATTTGTGAGAAAAAAGAGCTTGAAACCGCCACATTAGCGACTATGAAGCGAGACATTGAATTGTACTTTCGTTTTCACTTGAAAAATATCGATGGCCTTTTAGATCCAACTCCAACGGGAGATCCGTGGTCCAACCCCTCCAACTTCAGAATTCTCGAAGAGCTTACGGAGCGAGCGTATCCGTTATTTGAATTCGCTGCCGCTGCTTGTCGTTTCATCGGACAGACTACAATCCCGGGAGAGCCACTAGACAGACTGAATGATATACTAAAATCCCAGATTTCTGGAGACCTAGATATGGTATATGAATCTATTTTGAAACAAAGGTTCTACAATCTCAAAGGCCAGTCTTACAAAAGCGCAAAAGCCCAGTTCCAAACAGTTATTGGTTCAGTTATTAGCTTAGCGGACTCTGTCGATGTCAGATGCCTTGCTCAGCTTACAGGGTCGTCTGAGAAAGCTATTCGCCAAGAGTTACGTTGCTTTGCGTCAGTATTGGTCGTTCCAACAGAAAATGATGATCAGTCTTTGATCAGACTATTTCATGAGTCATTTAGAGATTTTCTCACTGGGCTTGATACAGACGAAGAGTTCAAAGTTGATTCAAGTAGCGCTCATAAGCTCCTGGCATCGCGCTGCCGCCAATTTTTGTGTGAATCATTGCAGGAAAACATCTGTAAACTGGAGTCTCCTGGAACTGATCGACGTGAAGTTGCAGATGAAACTATCAATGAATTTCTACCGCATAAAGTACAGTACGCATGCCGGTTTTGGATTTTTCATGTCAAAAGGAGTCAGTCAAGTATCAAAGATGACGATGATTGGCATTCATTCCTACGATCCCATCTACTCCACTGGCTCGAAGCACTGAGTTTGCTAGGAAGAACTTCAGAGAGTGCGTCGCTGGTAAAAGAACTAAAAACCATCATACATGTTAGTGTATTTCAATTCTTACTTTGCTTTCATATGCTAAGTGAAGCAGCCTTCCGATGGAATACAAGCCAAGGCATTCTTAGAAGATGCTGAACGACTTATTCTCTCTTTCCGACACATCATTGACGCTGCGCCATTGCAACTCTACAGCTCCGTTTTAACATTTGCTCCAACTGGGAGTCTTGTTCGGGAAACTTTTGATACATATCGCGCCAAATGGATCTCTCGTACACCAAACGTCGATTCCCAGTGGGGTCAATATTTACAAACACTTGAAGGCCACGTCAAGGGAGTTTGTTCCGTTGCCTTTTCTCCTGATGGCAACCTAGCATCTGCAGATAATGATAACATAGTCAAGATATGGAATCCTATATCTGGTATTTGCTTACAGACCTTCCGTGTGAATGATAGACCCGGCTGGGGAGTCGTAATGGCTTTTTCCGAAGCCGGTAAGCTTGCTTGCCGGACCCCTAGAAGAATTGTCGTTTGGGACATACGTCGAGATATTCGTTTACAAAAGCTAAACCTGGAGCGACACATTAAGTCTTCCTATGGCTACCGTAAGGGTTCTATGGCTTTTATAGGTGAACAGAAACTTCTATTGGCGGATTTGGGCTTATCTAAAGTCCTCAAACTAGAACTGGGACATGGATGCGAGGAACAATTGCATCCTTTACTTGATAACACAAAGATAATCCTATCATCTGACGGTCAATGGGCTGCATATGCATCTGAAGGGGAAATAAGGGTCCTCGATTTGAGCTCTCAAGTCAATCCTTCTCCTAAAACACTAGAAGGAGCTAAAGATCCCCGGTTTGACTTGGTTGCTTGTTTCTCACGAGATAATCGGTATCTTGCATGTGTGCAACAGGATGATACTGTGGCTAAGATCTGGGATATTTCATCGGCTATATGCTTGCAGGCTTTTCATGAGAGCGAAGAAATTAAAGCGCTGGCATTCTCACAAGATGGTCGATTACTAGGAATGGGATGTTGGGGGGGGAAGATAATCATCTGGGACTGGAAAAACAACCCTCGCCATCAGACACTTACAGGACATGAAAGTTTAATCCTCTCCTTGTCATTCTCAACAGACGGGGCATGGCTTGCTTCGGCCTCCTTTGACTGCACAGTTAAAATTTGGGATGCTACAGTACATGATTCTGAGGAGAAATATACACCCCACGTCGACGCCAGAGAATCTATTGAGGCCCAGGTTGGTCAACGACTCACTTTTTTATCTCCCTCAAGCAGCCTCCAGGTGTGGGATACTTTTACAAGCAGCTACATTGCACATCTATTAAAAAAAGCATACAGTGATATAAAAATCTCTGCCGATGGCCGCATTGTTGCCGCTGTATCAATAGATGAGGAAAGACCCGGGACTGGCATCGAAATCTGGCACGTGGAGTCAGGCAATTATTCAACCATGTGCAGTCGCTATTCAAATTCCGAAGGCTCGATAGCCCTCTCAGGGAATGGTGAGAGATTTATAATAGGCTTTGATGAGGGTATTATCCAGGTATGGGAGTCTCGTACAGGCCACTTGTTGAAAGAGCGGCAGTATGAACATCCAAGTGGAGAATATTTCATGATTCGGGCTATTTCTTTGAATGGTGAACAAATTGCCTGTACTATCCAAAAAGTCCATGAATTGGAGGATGAATTGGAGGATGAATGCATTATTCATGCTGAGAATTTGAGCACTGGCGCTCTTCGTGAATTTTGCTCTCTTGATTCTAGGGTTTTCGATTTAGCCCTTTCTCAAAATGGAAAGCGGCTTGCAACTATCGGTCTATATTGGAGCGGAGATATTTGGGATGTGGTAACGGGTGTCCATTTGGCGGCGTTCTCCTGTGATGATGAACCACCCAGGCCGATATGGGATCTGACTCCAGGCTTCATCAACCTTGATTTCACCGAGACCGCCGACTCACCAGAATTGGAGGAATGGGAAGACTATTTAGCCAAATACTACATCAGTCGTGATGGCGTTTGGATTATAAGAAATGGTAAGAAGCTGCTATGGATACCGCCGCAATATCGGCCAAAAGACGCGTTTGCATCGGGATCAAATATTGCAATTAAGCGAAAATTAGGTCGCCCGTTTGTCATTGGATTTTCAGATAAAGGCCTTGATGGCCTTTAATTAAATAAGTCTCTGCTGATAAATCAACGAAGTGTAACATTATGGAACAAGTAATCATTGGAAGGATAGGTTTAAAAGCGCATATATTGTCATTTTCATCTTCATACACATGCGCAAAGCTATATCTCAGCGTAGCTGGTGCCCTCCTACAAGAATATTCCCTCTAGATAGAGATGATCAGATGGTAGGTATTGTTCTTAATTGCCTTAATTACAGGTTGGAAATTATTAAAAAATAGGTGTATTCTGATAGTTCAACAAATATGATCATGTCTGCGGATACAATCGCCGGAGATTTCAGAATTCTTGCATGATTGGCTAAGTGGACAAATATTATTGGGCAGTAACGTAATAATAGGTGATAGGATTCACTAGGAGCGGGGAATCGCCTCGTGTTGCCCTCAATCTGAGTTTCCTGAGCTTGCCTTTATAAAGCTACATCTCGTCAAGCTGGGGTTTCTCCTTGGACTCAGTATAATCATGACTAATCCCCACGACTACACTGTCGGGTGGATATGCGCTATCCATACCGAATACGTTGCCGCCCAAGCCTTCCTTGACGAGAATCATGAAGGACCTGATTATGTATCTCCCAACGACAATAACGACTATACGCTTGGCAAGATCGGAAATCACAACATCGTTATCGCCGTGCTTCCAAACAGCGAATATGGACTTTCGTCTGCGGCGGGCGTCGCAAGAGATATGCTCCATAGCTTTCCCAACCTCAGAGTCGGTCTGCTCGTAGGAATTGGTGGTGGCGCACCAAGTCGAAAGCATGATATCCGACTTGGTGATGTTGTAGTGGGCGTTTCCAACAATAGTGGGAAAAGTGCTGTATTCCAGTATGACTTTGGAAAGGCCATGCAGGGCCAGGAGTTTCTCGAAACTGGATTCTTATATCAGCCACCACCAGTTTTACGAACAGCTGTCAATGGACTTATGGCGCAGTATGACATGGAGGGGAATCAATTGAGTGAGGCAGTCAATGATGCTTTGAATAAGAAACCCAGGCTACGAAAGAAGGGCTATTCAAGGCCTGGAGCAAATACTGATAGACTTTACCAGTCACAATTTGTTCATGCCAATAACGAGATGGGTTGTGCGGAAGCCTGTGGTGACGAATCATCCAATCTAATCAAGCGAGCCGAACGGGATGAAGAAGACGAAGTAATGGTCCATTATGGCCCAATCGCTTCAGCAAACACACTCATGAAGGATGCATTAGTTCGAGATAAGCTTACATCAAAGAAGGACGTTCTATGCTTTGAAATGGAAGCAGCCGGACTCATAAGTCATTTCCCATGCCTAGTCATTCGTGGTATCTGCGACTATTCGGATTCACACAAGAATGATGAGTGGCAGGGATATGCAGCCATGGTAGCCGCAGCATATGCAAAAGACCTCCTTGGTCGAATCTCTCCAACCAGGGTTCAAGCTGAAAAGAAGATTAGCGAAGTATTAACCGATAGTCAGTGAACCGAAATCCCAATAGCGGCTACTCTAACACTCCACAGTTCAGAAAGATTTGTTAAATGTACAGAAAACGGCACAAGACATCAAGGCGGATGTACACGCAATGAAAACCGATAGCCACGTCGCAAACATCGAGCGCTGGCTTTCACCCGCCGATCCATCCACGAATATCAGTAATGCAAGAAAATCCCGGCATCTCGGAACTGGGACATGGTTTTTAGATAGCCACGACTTTCATCAGTGGAAGCGTGGCTCTCGTCGGCATTTGTGGCTTCACGGCATGCCAGGCTGTGGTAAAACAATCCTCAGCGCAACTATTTTCGACCACCTTGCCCAGGATGGTTGGCTAATTCTTACTTTCTTCTTCGACTTCACCGACACCAAGAAGCAAAAATTGAGTGACATGCTGCATTCACTTGCATTCCAACTCTATGCCTCCGACTTGGACTCTCGAAAGGCCCTTGACAATTTACTTGCATCTTCCGACAGCGCTGGCAGGCGGCCAGATACAAATGAGCTATCTGAATGCGTTAGAGCCATAATGCGGCCTCATAAAAAACTCGTCATTCTATTAGATGCTCTGGATGAGTGTTCAGAAAGAAGAGAGCTGATGCAATGGATGAAAGAGCTAGTGCAGGATATCACAAATGTCCAGGTTATAGCCACTGGTCGGCCCGAGCACGATTTACAACAAGAACTTATCCCATTGTTGGGAAAGAAAAACTGCCTCCCTCTCGATAAAGAGTCGGTGGATAAAGATATTCGCTCTTATATCAAGGCCAGGCTCGAGGAGGGCCAAGAGTTCAAGAGATGGGCCAACTTTCCGCATGTGCTGGAACAGATACGAGTTGCAGTCAGCAGCAAGTCCAATGGAATGTGAGTTTTTCATAAGATAAAATACCACTATTCCGCGTATACTAAACACCTGCATACTTAGGTTTCGGTGGGCAGCTTGCCAACTAGATAATTTGCGAGAATGCCTTGATCGCGAGACACTGCAGGATGCGCTTCAATCTCTACCCAAAGACTTGAACACGACATACGCTCGAATTCTCCAGAATATTCCTAAGGAGCGTATGAAAAAGACAATCCGCCTGCTTCAGTTCCTTCTCTACTCTGAACGGCCATTGGCCCTTGAGGAGGCTGTGGATATAATCGCAGTTCGCCCCAACGAAGGCCAATTCGATGTACAAGACCGACTCCCGTGCCCTGAAGAGATTACTGGATACTGTTCCAGTCTTATATCGCTTATACAAGCCTCTGGCTCGACTGCAGCGACCAAGTTACAACTAGCCCATTTCTCTGTGAAAGAGTACCTCCTGACCTATGACTCTCCTGATTTTATTTATCCAAATCCCAGAATTGCTATTACGGAAACTTGTTTAGCATACCTTGGAAGCATTCCGAATGTTGAAACTGCTACGATAAAAGTACAGTTTCCATTGGCAGAATATGCAGCACAAATCTGGATGGGTCATGCCAAGGTTGCGGAAAAGTCAGAGCCAACCCTTGAGAAAATCACGGGATTCTTGCTAAAAGGGGGACAATTCCAATGCTCGATCCATCTATTCAATCCCGATGGCCTTGTCTATCGTCTTAGAAAAATGCCTACAGCCTCGCCACTTTATTATGCATGTCTCACTGGACTTACAACAACTGCACAGAGACTTTTATCAATTGGCGGAAACCCAAATGCCCCAGGCGGCCACCAGGGCTATCCGCTTACAGCTGCTTCGAAATGTGGTCACCAGGAGATTGTCCAGCTGCTGTTAGATAGCGGTGCCGACGTTGATGCCAAAGGCGGCTTATACGGCGTTGCGCTCAATGCCGCATCTCAAGGAGGCCATGAAGAGATTGTCCAGCTACTTCTAGATAACGGCGCCGATATCAATGCTAGACAAAGCTCGTTTGGCTCTGTGCTCGCAAGTGCCTCGGCAGCAGGTCGCCAGAACATGGTCCAACTACTGCTAGACAACGGTGCCAATGTTAACGCCAAAGGTGGCTACGATGGATTTGCGCTCGGAGCTGCTTCAAGATACGGTCACCAGGAGATTGTTCAGCTGCTACTGGATAACGGCGCCGACGTAAACGCCGAGGGGGGCGAATACGGGTTTGCGCTCCAGGCCGCTGCAGTAAAAGGTCACGGAGATATTGTTGAGTTGCTGTTGAATAGAGGCGCTGATATCAATGCCAGAGGTGGCTACTACGGCTTTGCGCTACAAGCTGCTGCTGCAGAAGGGCATCAGGAGATTGTCAAGTTGCTATTGAAGAGAGGTGCTAATGATAATGCCGCCGGCAGCCATTCTGGCTGTACATTCAAAGCTACTTGAGACAGCCCTGTGGTTATATCCATGGGAAGAGATAGTTGAAGATTGGCTAGCTGCAATGATCGACTGCAAGGGTTTGCCCATGATTATTCGGTTAGTGCTTCACGGCGATTTCAACCTACCCCAAGACCAAAGCAATCTTAGGGTTCAATTTTGGCAGACATCGTCAAGTTAGCTTCACAGCGATTTTAACCTACCCCAAGGCCAAAGCAATCTTAGGGTTCAATTTTGGCAGACACCGTCAAGTTAGTTTCACAGCGATTTTAACCTACCCCAAGGCCAGGCCCGAGTTTAAATTGGCCAGCGCCCATGGGTTGTAAGAGAATCAATTGAATATCGCCGCAAACCATTGATATAGAATTTACCGCACCAACCCAGCAGTGAAAGAGAGCATTAAGTCTAGTTGAACACAATCGAAATAAATTGGACGATTTGGCAGTGGTATGTTGCCTGTGTAGTTGGCTGTCTCCTGTAGCGAATCATCTGGTAATTCATAGGCCGGCTATTGAAACGTCCGTCGAGTTAGCGTGAGCGACACCTTCACAGCAATTTCTTTCTACCCCGAGGCCGGCCAGAATGAGGCTAGTGCCCCACGTTTCCAGAACAGCAGCGCCTCCGATAAGCACCGATAAGAGCTGCGTCAATGAATTTTCAACCAAAAGATTCAGACTCACCATCAACAGCAACCAACCCGCCATACCACTCTTTTCTCTCCGTGTAATATTCACTCAATCAAATCAATCAAATATCTTCCTCGCTCAATCATCCTCTCCAAAACCTCATCCCCCTCCACCCCCGCAGCCATGTCCGCCATAGACCCCGACCTCATGGACATCACCCTCGACCCCAAACCCAAACACCAAGACTCAACCGAAGACGACGACCCCATCACCGCCAGCTACCAAGTCTTCCTCAACCCCTCCCTCCCGCTCGGCCGCCGCCTCCTCGTCCTCCAGCACCCCAACCGCACCGACAACACCCCGCGCCCGCCGCCCACCGAGCTGCGCCTCAAGGAGCACTCGGGCATGGTCGAGGTCGACATCCCCCAGGACAACACCACGGCCTACGACCGCGAAAAGGGCCTCAAATGGGGCCGCGCGCTGCAAAACTCCATGGCGATCAAGAATGGCGGCAGTCACGGCCTGGCCGGCGGTTTTGGCGTGGGCGCCGTGCAGCAGCGCGCGCCGCGCAAGAAGAGCGATGTCGAGGAGGACGATAACCTCGACTGGAACGATGCCGTGCGACAGGGCAAGGTGCTCAGCACGCAGACGCTGGGCGGCCAGTATCCCGACGCTGACGAAGTGCAATACATGGTCGGCGTGTTCCAAGGCAGTACGTCAACCCCTCTATCTATTCATCTATACCCAAATAACTAACATTCTTCTCCCAGAGGACCTCCATCTCACCCCCGTCTCCAACCTCATCCACCTCCGCCCCCAACTACACCACCTCGACGCCACCACCCAGCAAGACCGCCAATCCTCCGCCGCCGCCGCAGCTTCCTCCAAAGAAGGCGGCCCCGCCCCAGCAGCCGCCGCCCGCGCCATCCACATGACCATCAAGACCGCCGCCGACGGCACCGCAGACGGCGTGTCAACAGAAACAATGGCAGACCGCCTGCGCTCAGTACAGACCGAGCCCTGGCGCAAGATGCGCTACACGGATGAAAACGAGGAGACGGCCTGGGAGGTGTACAACGACAGTCTGTTTCTCAGACCAAAGGCGGATCCGACAGCAGCAGCGGGAGAATCTGTGCCTGCGCCTGAGGATCATGATCTGGAGGAACTGGTCCCAACGCTCGGCAACAAGTGGAACGACACGGAGTTCCTGGAATCCATTTCCGGCATCACGAAACCCGAGCCAGCCCCCGTTCAGCCGGTAGAGAAGAAACCAGAATCTAGAGCCGTCACAGCTCCAGTGGAAGAGGCACCACCTCCCAGAACTACTGCTCGCCCTAGAGCCGGTGCTGCTGCGGCATTGGCTTCTCGAAGAGGCGGAAGGTCAAGAGCCACAGGGGCCTAGGTCTAGACCATCATCTTATTTGCATTGGATCCGGTGTTTTTGGAGTCTTGTGGATTTTGACATTTTGAGCTGTAGTCTTACTATGAGACAGTAGCTAGATGCTGTTTACATTTACAATTATATACAACAATTTTCCTACTTCATCATCATGGCCTTTGCATCATCGGCTACATGCGCCAAACTAATCCAAGAAAAAAAAAGTATTATCCTCAATACCAAGGATCAATTTTCGAGCTGATGATAACGAAAAAAAAAAAGAAAAGAAACCCCCCCACCATGATAAACCACTCCTTACTTATACTACCGCTCAGCCCTCTCCGAATGTAATTCCCATCGCTGCTGCCCCTCGCAAGTCGTTGGTATAGTAATAGTACATCTGACATGACCCTAACGATAGTATCCCGCTGAATGCCCACGAAAACTAGCTACCCTTGTAACGCTGCATGTTTTCACTTTTCTTCTTTAACAAATCCTGAGCGACAAAGTTTCCCTCCACAGTCGCCCAAGCTTGTTTTTTTTCCTCTTCTTCCCAAAGCATAGCATAAGCACAAAAACTGCTTGTAGTCCAATCCTTCCAATTTGCTTTACGCATTCCAGAATTTCTTGGTGTAAAATAAACATGTAATTTGTTTTGAATCTCTTTCAAAATCAATCAGGGCACCTTCAGGTCGCCTTTACTATCCCATCAGCATGTCCGCATCCAGGCCAATGGAGTGCAGGAATAAGTTGACGCTGCTCAGCCGCTCCTTTGCCGTTGCCGGAGGAAGCGTCTTGGCTAGAGTAATGGTGCCAATGACACGGTCTTTGACCGCAAGGACCAAACGAGTCTGTTGGTCGTTGCTGGCACCCAGACCCAGAGCTGCAAGGAGCTGCCAGACATAAACGTCTGATCCGGAATCGATGCTGCCGGGGAACATGTAAGGCAGCGACACTTCCAGTCGGCTAAAGAGGGTCTCGTATGTTTGGTCCCTAGAAAAGATGGGTTAACTAACATGCAACTGAAGTGATCGGCTATAGAGTTATGACTTACCACTTCTCCCATTGTTCAGGGGTACCGTCACCATTCTGCTTCAGAAGCACAGCACGGCTAAGAATCAGGGTGAGCATTGAGACTCCAACTCTGGTTTTGGCAATCGCATCAACGTTCAAGTTTGTAGCAATTAGATTCAACACGCCATCCACAATGTCAAGCCCGGTATTATTGAAGAATTGCATGAGCGATGGCATGACAGTCGACATGAACAGATCAATATTCTCCCACATCCTTGGGTTCAAAACAGTCTCGTCATCAGATACATCCGCTCCCTTCACGACGTCCAGCTGGTCGAGGTGGTAAATGATCATCGTCATAATCGTGGTCCGTTGCTCGAAGCTGAGGTGAGGGAAAATTCGGGGAATAGCCTTCTTGCCCTTTGCGCAGGACAAGAAAGCAATAAAAGGGTGAGGAACGATGACTCCTATGGGCTCGTGTACCTTCAGTTCTTCCCAGAGCCGGGCATTCAGAAGCTCGAGTGCCGTAGCCCACTCTCGATGCTTTTCCTGCAGCGCCTGGTCTGCTTGGTCGGTCAGAGGAGGTGGCATGAGTCGAACGTGGTCTTCAATCTGCATCAAGGTAACGTAGACCTTCTCGGCATTGCGCAAGATGGTCTTACGGTCAAGGCTGCTAGCGGGTGACTTCCTTTCACTGCCAGCTCGGTGGTGGTGAGCCTCGTTCTCCGCGGTACGCTTGATATTGAGTAAAGGCTTTGGAGTTTTAGCATTGCTGAAGGAGATCTTGCCCAGACTGCCGGCAATTACGAGCTGAGGATTCTTGGGCTTATTCTTGGCCGCCTCAACAGCCCGTTGGACCTGCTGTTCCATTCTTTGAATATGATTCTCAGCAGGTCTGCCATGGCGGCGCATGTTGCCATGGCGGCCACCAGTCTGGAAAAGATAGGTCTGAGCAAAATTGCTGAGCGGTTGGCGAGGGTCTTGATGCTGGCCGGCACGGATGTGGCTATAGACTTGATAGTAAAAGTCCTCGGAGAGGGAGGCGTCGGAACTCTGCTCGGTAGGATCACCAGTTGCGGAAACAAGCTGCTGGAGCTGGATACGACTGATGAAGCTCTTGTCTTGGCGGGTCATGACGCCGTTATCCTTGGACAGAAGCCAAATCTTATGGTTGCGCTTCGCTCTCTTTGTCTCTTGATCCAAATATGCTGCCTTTTCCTCCTCAGACATGTGGGCCAGTTGAGGATGAGCGCTCATTTGCGCCAGCTTGGAGGCAACGCTTGGCGATTGAGAGTATTCTTGGTCAACAGCCGCACGAGTTGCATCGGTCGACAAACGGTTGGGATTTTGGAGGATCTGCATGGGCTGGACTGGGGGAACGGCCTGTCGTTGGAAGTTGTTGTGTTGGTCATGCTGCCCGGGAGGGACAGGCAGCTTGGCCGCCGGAGTGGGTGTAACCTTGGCCTGTGAGGCTTGGGGTCGCTGTAAGATGGCGACAGGTTGCGCGTGGCCGTGTTGAGGGAGAGGAGAGGCATGCTGAGCGGGCGGGTAGCCAGGAGTGTGCTGGTGCGCAGCAAGCTCCGAGATGACTGGCTGCGGCGATGGCTTTGCCTGCGCGCGCATGGCCGCCTCAACCTCTTCCAAGCTCATCATCTTCCTGCCGACACTGCTAGATAGGGCCGGTTGAGGAGCCGGTTTCGGGGCAGCAGCTGTCTTAGAGGGGCCGATGCCCCAAATGCTCTGGTCGACATGCAGATCAGGTAGAGGCTCGGGTTCATTGTACTTTTCATAACCGGTGCGAACAGGCACGGGCTCTGTATAGTAAGACTGTCCATATGACTGCTGTGCGTAACCGTGTTGAGCGTATGGCTGCTGAGCGTACGAGTGGGCGGGAGCGGCAGCAGGCTGGCCCTGGTGCTGGAGTCTGAAGCGGAGATGCTCCTCCTCCGCAGAATTTGCGAGTTTAGCAGTGTTTTTAATGAAGTCGAGTTTGTCAAGCTCGGCGGCAGAAAGTGGATTTCCGCCAGCCGTTTTGCCTTGCTCGTCGACGTCAAAAGATTCCTGGCCAAATGTTTCGTCATTGTTGGCATCGTCAGCATCGTCAAGTCCGTAATAGGTATCTTCGAAGTCGAGAGCATCTTCGCCATCGCCATGTTGGCCAGAGAGGGCGGCAAATGAATCATACGGTTGGGCAAAGCCAGGGGCGGCCGAATTGTGCGCGCCGGGGCCAGTGGGATCGAAACCGAAGAAAGACATATTGGGTGGTTGTTGAGGAATTGTGCGTTATCGTTCTAGGAGATATATTGTTAGTTTGTGGTTCCAGGAGTACGTGTACATTGATCGAGACGCTACAAAGCAGCTCTAGAGTTCGAGCAAGTTCGCCCAGGCAGGCTGTCATGTCCAGCTCGGTTATCAACCCAAACTCTCCCAAGAGCCATGAACCTCGTCAAGATCATATTTGCACAGCTCTCTGTGAAGTCTTTGGCACGTGGATGTCTCCGCATTTGTTTGCATAATCTGTCGTCTTTGCGCTTGGCGAGGCTGGCGGCGGGAGCAATCGACAAAGCTCGATGCCTGACACAGCTCTTCCGCTCAATCGCACCCAGCAGAGCTTGAAGAGGACGAATTCGCCGGTCTCGTGTAGGTGTGATATGGAATAGAAAGCGACTTACCGCTAAGATAAAGAAGGGATCGCGAGAACTTCAACAGCGCACAAACCTATCATGGTGTCTTCCCGCAGCAAAGCCGAGGAAGTCAGAGCCAAGTAGGTCGCAAGCTCAAGCTCAAGGTAATCAAGCCGGCAAACGCTGTTTCAAAAAACCAGCCCTGTCCAATAGGGCCGCGGCGTAGGAGGAGAGTCGGAGGCGATGAAGCGAAAGCAAAGCACCTGGAGAGAAAGAAGCCCAATTGTGCGGATTTGGTGAGGGAGACTGACGTTGAGCGAACAACCCCACATGGGCAATTTGCGCCTGGTGGCGGGGACTCACTCGGCGAGCTGAGTCACGTGGTCGCTGGGCCATTCCTACGATGCACTACAGCAAGACATGTACAGTAAAACACAATACAGGCAAATACAGGGAGCTTTCTTTGTACTAGAAAAGACATCCACTCTATCTATAAACAAATGAATTGTCTATTCACAGATATTGATAGGCTATTCGTCAACTAGAAATGAACCTCTCTGCATTCCGTTCGTAGTTTATCTCAATGGACTCAAATTGCTTTAAGCAGTGGGCTATACTATTAGATGGACAATTCAACCCTCTCATCACACCGCTACTGACGATCAGATGAAGTTTTAAATGTGTTGTAACAAGTAAGTAGTATTCGATAACTGCGCAGATTTTGCCATCATCATTGATCTCGGTGGTTTTACGTCAAAATGCCGATCAGCCGCGGCGGTTCGGCAGCCAAGCCCAGCTTCTGGTGAGATGGGAAAACACTGCATCTCTTTGGGCGGGATGGCTTCCCTGCTCCAAACAAATAAATCCACCCACTTGCATTCAAAAGAGAAACAAAAGAGTGTGATGCTCATTGCAGTTTTGATCTGAATGGTTGGTATCAATATCAAAAGAGTTGATTATCTAACTTGGTATCCATTCGTAAATCCTACCAAATACGAGGCATCAGACGAGTTGACAAGGGAGTGGATTAGCGAAGATCAGCGCTGAAGAGCTGCGAAACAGCTGTGCGCTAGTGGTTACAGGGCGGACATGGATCAAGACAAAAAATGATGGGAAAACACATATCTCGAGACCTGGTGTGTTTAGGTAACTGTACATATACATAGCCTCACCTCGTATATACTTCTCCTTTCTCGAGCCGTATTTACTGTACAATCAATTCGTCAGCCCCCTTTGCCCTCTGCACCAGCAGCCAGCCTTATCTCTCCAAGATCCCGCCTATCCGTCTCCTGAATCACAGGCGGGGCTCCCTTCGGCCAGTGCTGGATCGAGAAGCCTTCTAATCGCAGTATAGCGACATTCCATCTGTCTGATGCCGCTAACAGATTAGCAAGGCCCAACTGTCATTTTAATCTGCCTTCAAGGCTATGTACTGCATACTAGGTACTTACGCATAGTAGTAGTACTAGTAGTAGGGATCTGATAGTGGCCGAGGGGCTAAGAATACGCAGATATGTGGTGCTACGACGTACTGCAATACTCGCTTCCGCGGTGCTGTCAAATGATGCGCAATGATGCCGGCACCGACACAAGTAGTAGATACCTCGCACCAGCGCCTGCAACCGCCCAACGCCGCGTACCCGCAACTCTTCCCTGCTCCCAGCCCTGGGCTCAGCTGCGTAATGCTGCGTACGCCATCCTGCATCTCCTGCAGCTGCTAGCCTGCTCCTGGTATAAACCACAATACGAGACACGCAAAAAGCACTGGAGGATCAAACGACTGGCCATCCTTTTTCCTCGTCCTCCCGCTGCCCTTCCCACAATTCTGGACGGATACCCGCCTCAGCCCAAGCAGCGCCTCCTTTTTCATCATCTTGTGTTTCAGAGTCTTCATATTGTGCACTCCGGCATTCATCGCTTGCGCTGCACCGCACGGCTCCGTGGCTGATCCGACCCAAACCTACTGCAGCGGGTGGCGCCAATCTCTCGCCGCACTCGAGCTTCCCTTCTGTCACGAACCGAATTGACGAAATCGGCCATGGGCGTCTGACGGCACTTGTCCCCGATTCCAGTCGCTGCCCATCACCCCTGTCCCATTTGCATTGTTTCCTCGATCCTATAAACATATAAACAGATCGCCCTCCTCCTTTTTCGATCGTCTCCATCTCGCCTCTTGCACATTTCTCTTCCTTCTTCCTCTTTTTCATTCTCTTGGCAATCGCTGCCGCCCAGTCACCATCATGGCGTCTGGGAATGCGCGCTACGTGCGCTACCTGCTCATCGCATTCTTTGTACGTGGCTCTGCCAGGATGGAAATTGTCGTTGACGCATGGGTGTGCTAATCAATTTGTGGGCAAAGACTGTTTTGATCTTCTATTTCGTCACCAATTCCAAGTACGAGGGCGTCGACATCAGCAAAGGCACATTTGCCCCAGGCTCCAATCAACAGGCCCAAGATGGATCCAAAGACACCAAGCCTTCGACGCAAAAGGCTCTGACCGGCGATGCCAAAGATTTCCCTCTTGCCATGACGCCCAACGATGCCGGATTCAACGATCTCGTCGGCCTCGCCCCCGGTCCTCGAATGAATGCCACTTTCGTCACTCTCGCCCGGAATAGCGATGTCTGGGAGATTGCTCGCTCGATCCGTCAGGTTGAGGACCGCTTCAACCGACGATACAACTACGACTGGGTCTTTTTGAACGACAATCCCTTCGATGACACGTTCAAAAAGGTCACCACATCTCTCGTTTCCGGCAAGACGTTCTATGGCGAGATCCCCAAGGAGCACTGGTCGTTCCCTGAATGGATTGACCAGGACAAGGCCAAAAAGGTTCGCGAGGACATGGCTGAGCGCAAAATCATCTACGGCGACTCGATTCCCTATCGCCACATGTGCCGCTTCGAGTCTGGCTTCTTCTTCCGCCAGCCACTGATGATGAACTACGAATACTACTGGCGAGTCGAGCCCTCCGTCGAGCTCTACTGCGACATCCACTACGACCCCTTCCGCCTGATGGCCGAGCAAGGCAAAAAGTACAGCTTCGTTCTCAGCCTGTACGAGTACCCGGCTACCATTCCTACTCTGTGGGAAAGCACCAAGAAGTTCATCAAGAACCACCCCGAGCATATTGCTGCCGACAACACGATGAAGTTCCTTAGTGACGACGGTGGTGACACGTACAACAACTGCCATTTCGTACGCACTCCCCTCCCTTGCACAGCCTGAGCGAGAAAATGACTAACCGGAGATGACAGTGGTCCAACTTTGAGATTGGCAGCTTGGATTGGCTGCGCAGCAAGCAGTACATTGATTATTTCGAGTCTCTGGACAAGGACGGTGGTTTCTTCTACGAGCGTTGGGGAGATGCGCCTGTCCACTCCATTGCGGCAGGCCTCATGCTCAACAAGAGCGAGATTCACTTCTTCAACGACATTGCTTACTGGCATGTGCCCTTTACACACTGCCCCACCGGAGAGAAGACGAGACTCGACCTGCGCTGCCACTGTGACCCCAAGGAGAACTTTGATTGGAAGGGCTACTCTTGTAAGGCTCCTGCTGGTGACCCTCTAATGACTATGAGCATAACTAACTCTTTTTTTTTTTTTTCATAGGCACATCCAAGTTCTTCGAGGCAAACGGCATGTCAAAGCCCGAGGGTTGGGAGAACCAAAAAGATTAGAGAGATAAAAACGAAAATTATTCACACTTGACCATTCATCAAGCTTTCAATGGCTTGAGTCAGTTTCTACTTGGTTTTATTCGGTATACTTGGGTTTAATTGGCAGGCAGTGCCGGCATATTTTAAGCTGCATGGAACGGATAAGATAGGAGGCAACGAACAGAGAAAAAAGGGAAATGAATTGTTTTTTTTTTACACTGCCGGGAGGAAAGGAAGGATTATAAAGGGGCGTCTGACTGGCTTGACACGATTTGGACAATCATTGCTCATGTAAATATATGGTGAAATTCGAAGAGATGTACGCGTATGTTTTGACGTGAAAAGTTTACTTGTTCCTTTGTAAAACGTGAAACATGTGATTGATAATGGCTTGCTCCTTTTTCAAAACGTAAAATATGTGATTGATATTGCTTTTGTTGGTATTGTACAGTTCTCATCCGTCTTTAATCTATGGTTGTTTATACAGTGTCTAACCAATACTCTGCTCAGCTCCGGGAGATGAAAACGGAGATATTCTTCTTGTTGTTTTCGCTTGAATTCCCTTTAACCCACGGTGGCCTTCTTGGGCTTCTTGGTTCCGTATTTACTCCTGCTCGTCGTTCTAGACGCAACACCACCCTAAAGCCAAAAATGTCAGTATTAAGTCTTGCTTCAACAACTCGTTGTAGAGAAAATGGAAAAACATACCAAATCCAACGCTCCTCTAACCAAATGATATCTCACACCAGGACAGTCCTGCGCCCTCCCTCCCCTCACAAGCACCACACTATGCTGCTGGATATTATGTCCCTCGCCAGGGATATACGCCGTAACCACCGCCCCAGACGAAAGCTTCACACGCGCCGTCTTGCGCTCGCCAGAGTTGGGCTTCTTGGGCCTCACGACACCGACACGCAGACAAACGCCTTTCAGAGCCGGGCAGTGCGTGTTGGACAGCGCGGGGGAGACGGCGTGGCGCGCGCGCTTGCCCTTGCGGATGCCGCGCAGGACTTGGTTGAGGGTGGCTTGCGGTGCGGGAGTTGTTGAGAAGGCTGCGGCGGCACGGAATGGCGAGAGGATTGATGAGGGTGAGGAGGATTGAGATTGGAGGAGTCGAGAGATGGGCGATATTGAGGATGATGGCGCGGTGGCTGTGAGGGATTGGCGGAGGGCTGGCGAGAAGAAGCTGCGGAGGATTGAGGCGGCCATTGTGGGCAGCGCAATTGGACTGCTTTTGGCAGTCTGGACGATGCGCGATGCTGCGATGGATAACTGAGTCGCTCGATATCAATATCTCGAGGCCCATCACCAAATCTTCCAACAAGGCAAGTGGGCTGGCTGAAAACAGTCACGTGATATCTACAATCTCGGAACCGCACATCTACCGCATCCCGAACTTTAAGCTGCTTCCCTCGTCCAGCATGTGATAATCCAGACCCCGCCATGAGCTCGCCCAGCCAGCAACGGCTAAACACCGGCTCTTCTGCCTCGGAAACCATCTCCCCCGCGTAATCCATTCAATTCAATTTCTCTGCTGACTGTTCTTGTCCTATGTCTTTCGATTCGGCCCCGCACACCGAACGGTCCATACCAAGGTCCAGCGGTAAAAATGGTTACCCTCGGCTTGATGGTCGACACTCCACCGGCATTAAGAAACGTTCTGGGGGTAAGGAAAGCAGAAGACCGAAGGAATAGACCAAAGCTAAGGAATAAAGGGATTGGATCGTGAATCTTTCTTTTTTTTCCCTCTCTTCTTTCTTCTCGTCTTTGTTTATTCTCTTCTTCTTCATTTCTGCTCCTTCTTGCAGCTCGGCTCTTCTGTCTTAGTGTTTCTCGAGCTCCCTCACAGCTACACCATGTCATCGTCATTTACACGAGCTCTCCGCCCTGCCCTCAGCAGCGGCCGGACCCTCGCCCAGCGCGCCGCAGCTGGCATTGCCCGTCCAGCCATCCGAAGCAGCATGTAAGAGTATACGTCTTCATATTCTGTATCCAACACAGCTAACATCATGACAGCCCCCTCCGCCACCTCTCCACCACAGCCGTCAAACACTCCCCCATCGACATCTCCGACATCCCCCCCACGCCAATCACCCACCTCTCCGAAATCGAGGCCGCCATGACCGAGTCCGTCTCCAAATTCGCCGCCGACGTCGTCCTCCCCAAGGCCCGCGACATGGACGAGGCCGAAACCATGGACCCGGCCCTCGTCGAGCAGCTCTTCGAGCAGGGCCTCATGGGCATCGAGATCCCTGAGGACTACGGCGGCGCGGGCATGAACTTCACCTCGGCCATCATCGCCATCGAGGAGCTCGCCCGCGCCGACCCCAGCGTCAGCGTCATGGTCGACGTGCACAACACGCTGTGCAACACGGCCATTCTCAAATGGGGCTCCGAGCACGTCAAGCGCACCTACCTGCCGCGCCTGGCCACCGACACCGTCGCCTCCTTCTGCCTCTCCGAGCCCGTGTCCGGCTCCGACGCCTTTGCCATGGCCGCCCGCGCCACCGAGACCGCCGACGGCTTCGTCCTCAACGGCTCCAAGATGTGGATCACAAACTCCATGGAGGCCGGCGTCTTCCTCGTCTTTGCCAACCTCGACCCCTCAAAGGGCTACAAGGGCATCACCGCCTTCATCGTCGAAAAGGGCACCGACGGCTTCTCCATTGCCAAGAAGGAAAAGAAGCTCGGCATCCGCGCCAGCAGCACCTGCGTCCTCAACTTTGACGACGTCCACATCCCCAAGGAGAACATCCTCGGCGAGCGCGGCCAGGGCTACAAGTACGCCATCAGCATCCTCAACGAGGGCCGCATCGGCATCGCCGCCCAGATGACCGGCCTCGCCCTCGGCGCCTGGGAAAACGCCGTCAAGTACTGCTGGAACGACCGCAAGCAGTTCGGCTCCCTCATCGGCGAGTTCCAGGGCATGCAGCACCAATTCGCCCAGGCCTACACCGAAATCGCCGCCGCCCGCGCCCTCGTCTTCAACGCCGCCCGCAAGAAGGAGGCCGGCGAGGACTTTATCAAGGACGCCGCCATGGCCAAGCTCTACGCCTCCCAGGTTGCCGGCCGTGTAAGTGGTCTCGGCGTCGAGTGGATGGGCGGCATGGGCTTTGTCCGCGAGGGTCTGGCCGAGAAGTTCTTCCGCGACAGCAAGATTGGTGCCATTTACGAGGGCACCAGCAACATCCAGTAAGTTTCTTTTCCTAGCATGAAAATCGATTTTTTTGCATGATTATATGGTGACTGACATGATATGACAGGCTCAACACCATTGCCAAGCTGCTGCAAAAGGAGTACACCAACTAAAACAAACTGTAAAAAGCAATGATAAGAAAAGAAATAAATGAATAAAAAAAAAAGTAATAAAAGATAGAAAGGGATGGGGAGTCTATGTTTTGTAAATATCCTCATATAGATGCCAGTCTCACTACCACCTTTTAATCACAAACGATAAAAAGTCGTCTACTCTCCCACCAGAACTGTAATATCAGCCGCATATTTATCAACATTCATTCAACATACAGTCTTGCAAACATGACTTCAACTCATTCTTGCAACCCTTTTTGAATCATGGCATCAAATTCTCTATTAGTAGCTCTGTATAAAACTCTTTTCGCTGCAAAACATCCCCTCGTATTTTCAACCCCGGCTTCCACATATCAAACTAAACGAAAGCAATATGAAAAAAAAGTCAAACCGCAACAATCTTTTCAAAAAGAAAGTACAGAGACAAGATGTATCCCAATCCCCCAAAAAGAGATTTTGCTTTTCGAAAATGAAAAAATGAAAAAACAGTCGCTGCTTTAAAAGAGTTGCAGAAAGAAATGAACGGTAAAAGGCGCACAAACCGTAGCCTAAAAAGTGAGGGGTCCTTTGATATTATGCCCCTTTCCCAAAAATAAAAGACACTCAAAAGCTCGCCGATTTTTATCCTCTCTACCCCATCCTGTAGGTATCACCAGTTGACTGTCATATCGTCTCGTCGCCTTAGCCAGTAAGAAAGAAAAAGAATCCGCCAGACGCATCTGCCGCGCCGTATCATGCTGGTTGCCCGAATAGCTAGGGCAAGGGTCGTTTGATATGGAGCTTCCATCAATTCAGCCGCATCCATTGCATTGCCGTAGTAAGCTCATCTTGTTCAACCGAGGCCACATCGTCGCTTACATGAAATACAACCCGGAACACATCTTCAGAATCGCTCACATCTTCTTCTTCATCCTACTCCAAATCTGCCGTGTAACTAAATCCGCGGAACTCTTCTTGCATAGCTTGAGACAGGACTATAATAGTAACATCGTTAGTATGCGTAGATAAAAGGTGACAAGAGTAAGGTCTGTTAAACTTACCAGACTGAACTGGTGTGAGAACGGGAGTAACGCTCGTAAACTCAGAGTCAAAGTTGCTCGTATCCGTGGCGCTCTTGATCTGCGGCAGGAAAGGGGGCTGCACTTTCTTGTGATAAATGTCATCCCAGTTGATGTTGCGGAAGAAGGGCTGGCTCATGATTTCCTGGGCATCCGTAGGTCCGCTTCCAAGACGCTGGTCAGGCTCTCGGGTGAGGAGCTTCTGCAGAATAGACACCGAATCCCTAGGCATGTGGATAGGATACAGCGGCTCATCGGCGAGAATAGCATCGTAAATCTCGTCTTCATCTTCACCTCTGAACGGAGACTGCTGCAAAAGCATCTGATAAATCAAGACGCCAAATGCCCACCAGTCAACCGCTCTTCCGTACTTTTTGTCTAGGAGAATCTGATTCATCACTGTTAGCGTTTGCGGTGCTGAAAGAACATCCTGGCCTCTCCAAGATTTGGTTGACATACCTCTGGGGCCATGAACTCGGGAGTTCCACAGAAAGTGCTCGTTGTTGATCCGTACCACATGTCCTCCTTGCAAAGACCGTAATCGGCAATCTTGATGTGTCCATCAAGCGTCAACATGATGTTGTCCAGCTTCAGATCACGGTAGATGACACCATTCTCATGGAAATACTTAAGAGCCAAGCAGACTTCGGCGGCATAAAACCTAGAATCAAAACGTATCAGTTCGCCTGCTCGCAGAAAGGGGGGTGAAAGAAACAACACGCTGGATTGACTCACTGTGCTCGCTTAGTGCCAAACTGGCCGCGCTGAATATGAAGCATGAGATCACCACCGCTGATGTACTCCATAACAAAGTAAACACGCGTCTCCGTCTGGAAACAGGCGTGCAGGTTGGTCAAGAATGGGTGCCTTTCCCGGTTGGCAATGAGGAACACTCTCTTCTCCGACTTGATACTCTCCACCTCGTCGTTTTCAATAATGAATTCCTTCTTAAGTACCTTGATGGCAAACAATCGTCTGGATCGCTTGGTCTCCGCCAACATGACCTTTCCAAAGTTACCCTTTCCAAGAACAGCAAGGAAATTGAAGTGATCAAGACCAATACGCGCTCCGGTACCTGGATCAGTAGCAGACGGCAGAGCCTTGCGCTGAGCGCCTCCGGGTCCTGTGGCAGCAGTTCCCTGGGAAGCAGCCGAGGGGGCAGGGGATTGCGGCTTGGGGGCAGCGGGTTGCTGCTGCTGCTGCTGGTACTGGGGCTGGCTCGGCTGCGCTGGCAGCGGCTGCTGGGGAGGAGGCTGCTGGGGAGGCATCTGGGGGGGAGGCATCGTCTGCTGCTGCTGCTGTTGGGGCGGAGGTCGTTGCTGAGCTGGCTGCTGAGAAGCAGCGAAACCCTGGTCTACATTGGCATAATCGGCCGGGTTGTACCTGTGGTGCGCTGGCGTCTGAGGGGCACCGCCATATTGTCCTCCTTGAGCATAAGAATCCTGCTGTGCCGAGTCATATCCAGTACGGTTCTGGGCAGCGGCCATGGCTGCAGAAGCTGCAGCGGCAGCAGAAAGGTCGGAAGGCGCGCGGCCTGGGTGGTCTGGCCGCTGAGGCGACGTTTGGCTGGCATACATGAGTCGTGCTGCCTCTGTGGCTTCAGCAGAGGGAGTTCCAGGAGTCGAGCCTGCTCCGGCGCTCGAGAAAGAGCCTGATGAAGCGTGGCCGGTGATGGGGCTCTTGCTGGGGCCTGATCGCAGCGTCTTTTCTGACATGCGCTGCTTCTGAACTCTCATGCCTTCGAGAATTTGATTGGCCACAGCCATGGACATGCCACAGAAATCTGGGACCAAGTGAACACATGCGGCGTGACATGTGAGGCCACATTCTATCGAACAAGTCAGACAAGCATGCTTTGAAAGTGAAAGAAAAGTGAATACAACGAGCACGGCGACTTACCTGAACACTTTCTGCAATTCTTCTTTCCAAACGGAAGTATGTAGCCGCAGTGGCAGCACCAATTGGCCGTGACGTTGGAGAAAGGCTGGAACCTGTGCGGAATGCGGTGGTTGATCTTTTCTTCGTCCGGATCGGTTTCGGCGTTGCTCTTGCTGATACACTTGGTGACGACGCTAGGATAGCATTTGTTGTGGCAGGTATACTTGCAGTCTTCGCACTGCATGCCAGCAGAATATTTGAGAAAATCTCCGCAAAGCGCACAGCGCATGATGTTGTAGAACTGGTGCTGGACAAACTTGTGACCGTACATCTCGTGAACCTCTTCCTTGCGCTGTCGAACAGCGCCCTTTCGTCCCAGACCAAGATCCACCTGCCTCTGTCGGTTTTCTTTGACGAAGCTGAACTCGAGCTGAATCTGTCCAGCCGGCTCAAGGTTGAACCACCCATCCACAGGGCCAGTAACAACCTGCGGCTGGGGGCCCGGATCGCCAAAGGGCGCAGCTCCTTGGCCCTGGCCGCCCCCGGGAGTTTGGGGTGATGCTCCAAAAGAGCCAGACGTTGGGCTCATTGGGAACTGGCCAGGTCCAGAGCTACCCATTCTGTCGGCGGACACCCAGCCGGAGCTGTTCATCTCGGCCTCGATCCTCTTGCGACGCATCTCCTCGACGATATCCGATATCCGGACCCAGAGCAAGCCGATGGGCATAGGGTGCTCGGCAGGCTTGTCGTAGATGGTAAGCTCAATCTCGTTGGCCTTGTCAACCTCTATGTTGTGATACTCGGCTTCCCAGCGGTCATTTCTCGACGTCCTTGTTCGGGCCATGACAGTGTCTTCGACCTTGACGGCAACGAAAGTTTCTGGCCCTCGAGCAAATCGCCCGGTAGTGGCGTGATCCACGTCCTTGATGGCCACGACACGAATGGAAAGCTGACCGCTTAGGGGCTTGCGAAGGTTGGGAGTGTTGATGGAGTCGTCTGGGAGTAACTTGTTTAGTACGAGGAAGCTCAAAGTAGATTGCCATGCGTTACTTACCATCTTGGGCGTCGCTAGTGTCCATGTCGACATGCAGCTCCTCGTATCTCTTCAGTGCCTGCTTCAAGAGAAGAATCTTCTGCTTGCTTTCCACTCTACGAGCAGCGGCATCGGCTTTACTCTTCCGGTCGCCTTCCATGCCATACAGCTGAACCATTTTCTCAACGCCCTTGAGATACTGCTCTTCGACGTTGAGCTTGAACTGGATCTGCGAGAGCATGTGCTGGATTCGAGGGCCAAGGTAGGGGGTATCGTATTTGATCAAGTCTATGAGCGGGTGAATCAGGTTAGCAACAGCTTGCCATCTTGTAGGCAGGAAGGGATAGAAGATCCAGATGGGGAGAACACCGGACAGGGGTGGGGGGTGGCAGCAATTAAGAGCGAGGCGGTGGGCATCATCATCGCAGACATACCTAGCTTGGTGAAGTTGGGGCGAGTCTTGGAGGCTGCTCCTGGGCCCGGAGCACCAAACTTGGGATTCGGAGGCGGCAAGTCGCTGGGAGGGCCGTCTCGACTCATTGAGCCGTAGCCCTGGTCTCCAAACGACGACGAGTCCTTTGGCGGCGGAGGAGGGGCGCCATCGTCGCCGCCCAGCGACATGCCCTCGACGCCCTGGCCGACCTTTCGCAGCTGAATGTCCCGCAGCTTCTCCTCGAAGAACTGCAGGTTTCGGCGGCCATCGCGCATCTGGGAGTCGAGTCGGGAGCGGACGGCCTCGTTGTTGGTCTGTGACCGCATGGCATTGGCGGCGTTGATGAGCGCCTTCTCCCGCTCAATCTTCTTGGTGATGTTCTGGATAGCCTCGTCCTCATTCATGGTGCCGGTGGGGGGAGCGCGTTGCGTACGCGCAAGACGGTCTTTGTCTGGTTGGGTGGTGGGAGGTGAGGAGGAGGGAAAGAATCCAAGAAGCCGAAGCTACTACTAGTAAGAATGAGGGGAGGTGGTGAGGAGAGGAGCACGGCTGGCGGAGAGAAAAAAAACAAGCGGCTCCACGAGCAACGGACTCCACGAGCGTGGCCAGAGAGGCGGGCGATACGAAGCTGCTGGCGATGACCGGAAGCAAAGGGCTGGGAGCGTCTCTGGCGGTGGGAAGGGGAGAGTGCAATAAAATAATAAGAGCCTGTCCGTGGCCAAAAGGTGGTGTTTTGGGGTTGGTGGATGTCGTCAGTGATGGGGGGGGGAGAGTCGCTAGGCCTGTGGCGGGGTTTGTTGTCGAGAGTCGGGTGTTTTGCAGACGAGTAATACAGGGCGCTGTAGGTTTAGGGGGCACACGCCGACACTAGCACTAAAGCACGGCCGTCCCCAGGGCTCTAGAGCCAGCTGCGATCCTCCAGAGCCAGCCACATACCACCCACACAGCATGGATCAAATGCTAGGAGCACTTTTACGATTTAATGTAGGGATGCGTAACAATCACAGCGTGGGGTGGTTTGGCTTTCAGGATTTACGGCCAGGATCGTCGTGCAGCTTCCGTGGGCTAGGCCAGTTTTCAGCTCCGAGGCTTGTTGATACTGGTGCCTAGTCGGTATGCTACAGTGCTACCAGAAATCTTGTTGTCAACAGATCAACACTCCATGTTGCAGCGATTCTCTGGGCGAGCACATGGTTTGTAAGTATCTGCTCAGCCGAATATCACAAGCTCTTGTACATACGGAACTCTTGTTCAGTGCTCAATAAGCAATGAGTCGGACTTTATGCGTGATTCCACATCATCTCATTCATCGCCAGGCGGGCGTTTGCCGGTCACATAGACCTACCCTATATACATGTAGTGAACAGAAGTTGCAATTTCCCTTTATACGAGATGATGCTGGGCCCCAAGCTCTACACCAGCTGTAGCCAAGACAACGAGATTCATATTTTGTGACATCTCTGATTGTGCTCAGCCAAATATTTGGTGCTGGGTGCCACCGTCTGTACCCTTGTCCAACGCCGTATCGGTCGTTATGAAAGAGGCTACGATCAGGCCGCAACCAAGCACCACCCGTGTATTCACGATGGACTGGATACTGTAGACGTCAATATCAACGCGGCCCTTTCAACATTCATATAACCAATACACGTATCGACAGCGGGCCAAATGATAGCACCCCATCCTATCTCCTCAAGAAGACCTCTCGTATAAACAAATGCGAAACCAACCACCCACATTCCACACCCGCAACTCCCGTAATATTAAACACTTACATATAGAATCCCTCGACCCAACTCAAACACAACCAATCGAGATGAGGGAACAAGGGAATTCTCGGCTCGTGAGAGCACAAAAAGCTTGACCCAAAAGTTTATTTACCCGCCACAACCTCCGTCCCATCACAAAGCAACCAACAGACGGGCTCCAAAAACGGTGTGGGTTTCCTTTGTACGACTCGTTGGCAAGAAAAAGGCAAAGCTTCCTCGGTTCCGGTACCGAGTGAGAAAAGAAAAAAAAAAAAGTCCTAGCTTCCTTTCACCTCTGCTTCGGTAATGTACTTTGAACAGGTAACGAAGTCCTAGATCTAGGGATGCTCCCCCTGCCACTTGGGCTAGGATATCAATGGCTACATCGGCTGATCGGAGTGATTTGCCTCATTGGCTTTGTCGCATTTGCTGCCTTGCTATTATTTGTGAATTTCTTGATCCAAACGAGATCCGGAGATTGAAAAATGTGGCAGCGGCAAGTCTGGGGAGCGGCGGGCTTGGTTATGCCGTCGGTGAGCGTATTGCGCATCGTCTTTCAAAAGAGAAGCGTATTGACATGAATGAATCTCTGCCACCGCCACCTCCTGAGGCTTAGACAAGCTTCAATTATCGAGTAGGAGAATCAAGTTATGTGGTAAAGATTATGAAACAAGACAAAATCTAGGCGAGCTCCCTATCGTTTCAACAGCATCAACAGCAGACAAGACTCCAATCTGAATCATATGTATACATAAGATGACTAAAAAGTACTAATTCTTTTGCCCCGGCATCTTCATTCATCGTGTTATATGCGTCTAATGTTTCTCCTTGTATATCCCTCAAGGTCCAATATGGTACTGTTTAGGTAGTGTCTATATTACATCATAGTCGAATCGTTACAATACATCCATACACACGCACGTCTAAGTCGCCGCTCTCTGCCATGCCAAAATCATTTTCGTCCAAACAGCGCTCCCATGCTCCAAGTGATTGCTATGCCAGTAAGGAGGCCCTCGAGCACCAGGGCCGAGGCGTCCCGCATGCGCATCTCCAGCGGGCGCACGCTCAGCAGGTCCTCGAACCCGGCCTTCCACACCTCCGGGTCGGTGATGAGGGCCTTCCATTGTGAAAAGAGTTGCTTGCATTCTTCAAAGTTGCGGATCCAGGCGCCGGACAGGGCAAAGCGCCACGCCTCCTTGATGCGCTGCACGTTGAAGAGCCGCTCGGCGTCGCGGTCCGGCGTCCGGGCGGCCACGGTGGCGGCGGCCTCGGCCATGAGGTGCAGGTCGGCCTTGATGAGGGCCATCTCGGCCTGGACCTTTTCCAGGACTCGCTCCTCTTCGGCCACGACGCCCTTGATGAGTCTCTTCCTCCGCCAGGGCTCGGCAACGAACTGGAAGACGACAAAGAGGACAAAGTTCATGCCCATCAGGCCCCAGGTGCCCCACGTCGAGGCCCTCCGGATGCGGTCGCTCCAAATCTGCTCTTCGTGATAGCGCTTCAGGATGCCGGCGTTGAGCTTCTGGCTGAGCTTCTGCTCGTCCGACTCGGCCTCGGTCAAGTTTTCCTGCGCCGAGACGACCTCGCCCTCGAGCACATGGTCTGTGCGGTACAGTTCTGTGAAGCGTTCCAGATCCAGCGGCGTCCATGTATCCTTGCGGGCGAGCAGCGTCGTCACCTCCCTCTGGGTCGACGCTCGCTTGTTATTCGATGTCTTGTACGCCTGTCTTGCGGACCGCACCCGGGCCTGGGCCGAGGCCAAGTCACGCTCGAGCTGCTCGTTGACCATTTTGATGGTCTCGATGCTGGTGTATCCGGTGATCTCGTTGAGCTTCTGCGAGGCATTGAGGATCCGTGACTGCATGTTATCCATGACGTCGCTGAATTTTTTATTCAGGGCACTGCGTCGCTCCTCTGATATGGACGGCAGCTCCAGCCAGCTTGGCCGGGACCACGAGGCGGCCGGCTCGGCATTGTCGCTTTTTGCCGTGGTCGAGGCCGGCTCGTCGACCTTGGGCTCGGCGGCGTTGGGTTCGGATTGGGGCGGGCTGACGGGCTTCTCAGCATTGTCCGACGGCGGCTTGGAGGAATAGAAGCGTGCGGGATAGGCAATGGCCTGGACCTGGCACCGCACGCAGGCGGCCGTCGAGGGCCATCGGGCTGCGGCCGTGATGCCGCTTTTCGGTGCTGGCCGCGGCCTCACAGCGAGCTCCAGGCCTATCCTGCCATGCCTCCAGACTGCGCGGCCAAAGGGCTGCATCTCTGCCCAGGCAGCCTCTGCGCTGCGGGCGGTTGCTGTTCTCACGGGCCTGGACCGCCGGGCCTGTGCAAAGCGAGCAGCAGCGTCTCGGGGGCTGCGGTTTGCGTTGTCGAGATGCAATGGCTCGAGGTTGTTCGTAGCGTGGCCCTGGTCTCTTTTGGCACCCGAAGCCGTTGGTCACCTGTAAACTGGAGGGAGAAAAATAAGCCGCGTCGCACCAGTAGTGCCAATTGCCCAGGGCCGCCTAGCAAGCGTGAGCGATAATGTACCCGAACCTCCACATTTTGTGCTAGAAAAAAAGAGAAGAAAAAAGAGAGCTTCCCCGTCGGTTGAGCCCGGGTCGTTGGGCCGATCTCGACGGCATCTTGGGGCTCCAGCTGCGAGGATTTTTCTTGTCCAGGTAGACCGCCTTTGCCAAAATTCGCGCGCTGGCAGAGCGGTGCCCGCATCACGGCGGCTTAGTGAAGAGCACATGCGGGAGCCAAAAGTACGGCCGAGACGGATATATTGGGAGCAATATGGACCTAAATATACAATTTGACGCAAACATTGAAGCCATCTATAAAGCAATTGGATCTGATTATACCCATGGCTTGCCTCCATTCTGCGAGGCTTGCTGTGGCTGACTTTGCATCTCGACGCTTCATTGTCCTCGGCAAAGAGACACCAGCTTCCAGTCTAGCAGCCGCTGAGGCGCCGGTTCTAGTGCTGTGGCGGGGCATGCCGGCCCCTGTTGCCAGGCCGCTGTGGCGGGGCACCTCAGCGACTGAAGCCGCCAACGAAACCGCGTGGGTGACGACACGCCGGTTTTGACTCCCTGATCGGCGCCGTGCCAGGAAGGGATTTGCTGGATGCTGGGCGATTGCGAATCTTTTCCTAATTCAATTTGTGCAATTGGCTGCTCTTTTCTTCTATTCTGTTCTATTTAGATTTCTCACTAAGCAATTAGCATCTTTTTGACGACCGCATCTTATTTCGTCTCGTTATCTTATCCATCTCCGCTGTCGCAATCGGATCTTGATCGCCATCGACTTTTGCCCCTCCATCAATCTGCCCCTCCAACAATTTTAATCTTTTTCTCCTCGTCCATCTCAAAGACGCACTCCTCCATCTTGTAACACCCTTCAGCGCACATTTCCTCACAAACTCCAGCCAAGATGGGATCCGTATCAAACGACACGCCGGCCATGGCCACCAACCCCAAGTTCATCTTCTTCACCGACTTCGACGGCACCGTCACCACGGCCGACTCCAACGACTACATGACGGACAACCTGGGCTACGGCGCCGAGAAGCGCAAGCAGGGCAACGCCGACACGCTCTACGGCCGCATCCACTTCCGCGACTCGTTCCGCGACATGCTCGACAGCGTCACGACGCCCCTGAACGAGTGCGTCGACATTTTGCTGGAGAACATCAAGCTCGACCCCGGCTTCAGGGACTTTTACAACTGGGCGCAGGACAACAACGTGCCGATTGTGATTCTCAGCGGCGGCATGGAGCCCGTCATCAGGGCGCTGCTGGACAAGCTGCTGGGCAAGGGCTGGGACATTCAGATTGTGAGCAACTTTGTGCGGGCGCGAGAGGGCAAGAGCCTCAACGACAAGGGCGGCTGGGAGATAATCTTTCGCGACGACAGGTAGGCCCATATACTTCTCTTGGCTGTATATCTTTGGGCACTAACACAACTACGCAGCATCCACGGCCATGACAAGTCCATCGAGATCCGCAAGTACTCCAGCCTTCCCAACAGACCAACCATGTTCTACGCTGGCGACGGCGTCTCAGACCTTTCAGCCGCCAAGGAGACGGATCTGCTGTTTGCAAAGGCTGGAAAGGGTAAGGAAACCTGCTGCTCCTGATATATACTTGATTGCGATGCTGACTTGATGCGTGCGTAATATATAGACCTGGTTACTTGGTGCGAAAACGAAAAAGTTCCCTTTGTCACATTCAACGACTGGACAAGCATCACCCAGACGGTCAAGGATATTGTCGCTGGCAAGACCACTGTCCAAGAGGAGGCCAAGGGCCGCATTTAATTTACGATTTACATGACCATGATACGAAAAAACGGGGTACTAGAGAGGCCCGCTTGGATAATTGTGTTAAAGAGGAGGACTAATGGATAATGACGGATCTTGGGACAGCTAATTTTGGGTATCCTCTAGAGGTATAGATCTATCTTAAGGTAAAAGGCTGGCTTATATCCTGTATAGAAAGCAAGACGGATAGACAACAAAGCATATAAAACGAACGTTTTAATCTTTTTTCAATTCAAGCTCACGCTATACTCTTACTTTTCCCATGAATACAATCAATACATTTACGCCATTTTTAACATCATGTCCCCACGCAACAACCAAATAACACCGTCTCCCAGATATCATCAATCGGCATCCATCACTGCTTCTTCTTCGAATCCGTCGGAATGCCATACCAGCACAGCAGCATCACCACAAACAGCCCAATGACAATCGGATGCAGCACCCACGTGCCCACCGCCTGCGCCAGCAAACCCGTCACAAACGGCCACACCGCGCCGCCCAAGCTGCCAAACGCCGTAATGGCCCCCATGCCGCTGAGCGTGTCGCGGTGAGACAGGCCTCTCATGAACACGGCGACCGCGCACGGGTAGATGGGCCCCAGCAGCAGCCCGACAATGGACACGGCCACGGCATCGCCCACGACGTTGGGCACGAACCACACCAGCAGCTGGAAGGCAATGGCGCCGACGACGAGGCCGTACACAAACGCCTTTTCGCCGATGCGCTGCGCCGGCGCCGTCAGGAAGAAGCGGCCCAGCGTGATGCCCGCCCAGAAGCCGGCCGAGACGTAGCCCACCGACGACGGGGCGCCGCCGCGGGAGTTGATGAGGAAGGAAATGACCCAGCCGGAGATGGACACCTCGGCGCCCTGGTAGGTGAAGATGAAGGTCGACCCGAGCAGCACGATGCGCAGCTTGACGGCGGCAAACATGCCCAGGAAGGCGGAGTTGTCGGGCATGGCCTCGCGCTCCCTCACCGCAGGGCTCTGCTCGCGCTCGAAGCGCCAGAACGCCCACGCCGCCAGCGCCATGGTCACGACGCACATGCCCAGCGTCAGCGTGTAGTAGTTGCTCCACGCCGTGTGCGCAACCGTCACCAGCGCCGTGGCAATCAGCGGGCCCGCCGTGCCCCCGATGCCGTAGCTGCCGTGCAGCATCCCCAGCAGGAACGTGCTGTTCTGCAGGCTGCCGCAGAAGATGTTGCCCATGGCCACGTTGACCGCGATGCCGAAGCCGACGAAGAAGAAGGCTGCGATGACGACGCCAAAGGGCGCCGCGGCCACGAGCGGGATGTAGGCGCAGGCCATGCCCAGCTGGCCGAGGCCGATGAGCTTTGCGCGGCCGAGCTTGGCGCGCAGCGAGTCGAGGACGAAGGCGGCGAAGACGAAGCCGAGGGCCTGGCCGACGAAGATGAGGGAGACGACGGCGTAGCCAATGTCATAGTGTCTGAGATTTGTTACTTTTCTGTGTAAGTGACAAGAGGCAAGAGAAACTCACTTCTCCATGTAAGGAATCAAAGCACCAGCAGCGCTGTCACTCAAGGCATTGCTGAAATTCGACAGGCAAACAGCCAGCAGTCGGAACCGGTTCATGTACGGATCCCATACGCTGGGCACCACTTCCACGGCGTCAACCTCGAGCGCAGGACTGGCCGGGCGGCTTCTCTCGAGATCCGGATCCAGTAGTACATCTTCTGTCCCAGGAGTGGCTACACCGCCAGAAACATAGCTGTCATCTCGGGGCAGCGATGGCCTTCTAGCGTTGGAGGGTTCTTCCTGGCCTTGGTAAGAATATGTTCTCTGGTAGGCCTTTTGAGGTGCTGTAGGTGGTCTGGATGGTTCGCCCGGAGAGGGCTGGGATTCGATCTCGACAAGGTTACGCAGGAGGATTGCGTCCATTGTGAAAAGGTGGACGTTGTCAACACAGAGTAGACTCGCCAATGGGGGGCAGCAGATTCAAAGTTTCAACTATATATCTGATGATGTTTATGAATGAATGAATCATGGGCTCCAGAGAGATCAAGAGAAAGCTTCCCAAGTCGATCAACTGATAAGACATTCAGGACAGCTCGGCAAAGCTCCGCCAGCTAAACACTCCCTCCCGCCCAGGAACCCAGACTCCCGCAACTCCAAGGCCCAATTTTCCAGGTCTCGTGGACCGATAAGCTTGGACTAGTGGAATGTCCAGTTCCGGCTGATGAATAATTAACCCATATTGGCATCGGGGAATGGCGATTGAATAAGAAAAAAGAAAAAAGGCAGAAATATGCGGGTCGAGACGATATCGGCTGTTGTCCTCCGCGAGCCGGATCGGCTATGTGAGAGGATGCTGCCCTTTTTCTAGCTTGCCAGGATCCTGGTCTAGCATGGAAATTCTCCGCCGACGAATCCCCCGCCAAAACTCGTCCCCGGTGTAGGAGGACGGGCTTACACGGGTGGCTTGAGTTTGTCGCGGTGGTGGTGTGCGTGATCCGGACGAGATTGGCGCTTCACCTGCAGCCGTGTTTAGCTCCCATGCCCTGTGAGTCAAGGATTGATAAACGCCAAAATAGCAATTACGCAATAAAAGCTTTTTTTCTCATATTGGCCCGGTGTTTCTCCCATTGGGGCGATTAAACACTTCGTATTGAGCAGTAGGTAGGTAATAGCCTATGGACCCTGAAATCGGCCACGCCCAATAGGGGAATTCCGCGGCGGATAAAGATGCCCCAAATCCAAGCGCCCAAATCCGATCCTTATCGCGGGAATCTTATCGTACATGGTGCCCCTCCATCCAAGCCCCGGTTTATTTCCATCCACCAAATCTAGAAACTTTTTTTGATATCAGAGGTGTCAGCTAGTCGAACCAAAAGTTCTGAGAAGAATCGAAATTCAAAGCCGCCATGGGCAAACCAAAGCGCAACGTCCTCGCCGCCGCGCAAGAAGCGCTCTCTCCACCAGCCGAACTGGAGCCCACCCAGCTCATTGTGCGCGTGGTGAAGCCCGAAGGAAACAACCTGTACGCTTGCGAGATGCCAAACACGAAGCCCGTCGTTCTCGAGCTCGCCCAGCGGTTTCGCAACACCATCTGGATTAAGCGTGGCGGATATGTCCTGGCCGAAAGCTATCCCGCGGGGACGCAGGATAGCAGAGCAATTGGCGAAATTATAAATGTCGTGCGAGACGAGAAGTTGTGGCGAAAGCAGGCATACTGGTACGAGAGAGATCTGTCTGCCTCAATGTTGTATAGTCTATGTATTAATGAGATATTCTAGGCCCAAAGAGTTTGCCAAAGTGGTCGAGGAATTCAGCGACGAGGAGAGTGATTCCAACGTCGGAAAACTGCCGCCCAGCGACGACGAAGAAGAGGAAGAGTGAAAAACAGCGCTTCTATCAAGACAAGCCACGAATTACAACTGCTTTGGTTTTGCTGTTCCTGGTTGGTACGCAGGTGAACTCGCTTGAGAGCCGACAAACGCCGCGGCAACCGTAACGGCCAAAATACTCACGACGACGCTTGAGCTGAGAGGCGTGCTGGGAAAGACATTCCACGCCCACTCCTGCGCCAGCCACAGCGGCACCACGACCAGGAGGTTTGGATACGCCGTCCACAAGAGGAACGGAGTTGCCCATGCCAGATACGCATAGAATTGGTAATGCAGAGATCTGGCGAATAGCAGACCAATCACATTGGCCGACAAGATGGTGGCAAGGACGTATCTGGGCGTGACGACCTTTTTGGAGACTTTGGCTTCTTCTTGCTCAGTAAAGGGCGACTGGAATCGGACGGCGTACGTGATGATTCCAAGGAGAGATCGTTCCTGGAGCTTCAGCCATCGAGCCGCGATGAACACCAGGAGGGTGACAACATGGAATGTCAGTAGCGTGATAGAGAAACCCCGGCTGAGGAACGTCTCCTCGCCCATCATCCGCCAATTGACTGTCCATTCAAACTTGAACTGCCTCGATAGCTCGAACGCGCGTCCTAGATAGCCGGCCCAGTTTGTCGTGATGAATGGAATCGCAAGAACCAGTTGAACCTGTGCCATTAGCCACACCAGTCGCAGAGCTCCCTTGAATCCACGGCCGAGGAATAGGATGATGACGACGGCTGGTAGGACGAGGAGCAGTGACATTTTGACACCCAGACCGAGGGTGTATGCCAGAGCACCAAAGGTCCAGGCTCTGTTCTGGAAGCTGTAGATGCACAGCCATAGGAAGAAAGCCGCAAAGCAGTCGTTGAAGCATCGCAGAACGAAGACGCTGTGAAGACGCTTTGATAGAATCAAGAGTGGGAAAATGTACGGCGGAACCTGCATCATCCCGAATTTAGCAAATCAACCCCCCCTTAAACAAAGGCAAAGACTCACCCTGGCCTTCCAGTAGCTCAACATGACCACTCCCAGCGTAGCCATGTACAAGACGGCAAACAGCTGCTGCGCAAGCAAAATGTCCGTTCCCCTATTCGTCAGATAGTACAGCCCCGTGTAAATGTACACATGCGCAGCCGGATAGACCAACGGGCCCGTGCCGCCCTCCATCTTGGGATAATCCCGCTCCCCGTTGACGAATTGCGTGACTTGCTCCATGTACGCTGTCCAGTCAATCTCTGTATCTAAAAATTCGTCAGCCTTGGAATGATGCAGCTTTTTTTTTATATTTATAGTTGCGTCCACTTCTATAGGGATCACACATGGATTTCGACTAACATGGCACTTTCCATATAACCAGCCCGCAGAGAATAGCATCTGCCAGAAAGAGTCCCACGGGGATCAGCTTTGAGAGCGCATGGCGGCCGGTGGCCACGTCGGATGCGAATTTGATGAGAGAAGCCATGGCTCTCTCTATACCAAAGATGACTATTGAAGATGAACCTTTGCAACTTTTGAGTTTAGTCTCTCGATAATTGTTTCAATAACTAGGCATGTTGTTCGAGCCTTTCTCTGGTCAAGAACACGTGAAAACGCCCTTGTTGTGTGTTTTGATATATAGCGCCATCTGCAACGTGTGAAATGAAAAGTTGCGTGAAGCAAGCCCCGGAAATTGCATAGCCCCGCTTATCGTCCTCAACGACCTTGTAAGTTCCAGCATCATGAAATGAGCCGTGAGACATCATCTCAACACCAGTCTCGTCATAATTCTATAGTAACAAATTAAGAATCGAGAAACTATATTATAAGACAATCAGTAAGCATATTATGAAACAATCAGTTGAAGGAATCAGTGCTTCACAATACTCTCAATTCCTCCTCTGAATCTCATCCACCAACTCCACAACCCTCTCAGCACATCCATACGATCCCTGATATCCCCAACCCGCATGCCCATAGTTATGCACAACACTCGTCCCATCCTCCAAAACCTCGTCTTCAATCCTCACCCCGCCCTTCCTATTCGGCCTCAGCCCAACACCATGTCTAATCACGCTCAATCCCTCAATGCCCTTTCCCCCCGCCAACTCCGGCGCAACTCGCACCGCCCTCTGCATAATCCGAACCGCGATATTCGGATCCGGCACCGATTCCCAGTTGCCCATGTCGTATGTGCCCCCCAAGATGGTCCCTCCGCCAAGAGCTCGCTGCATAATGTACGCCATCTCCGTCTCGCCGTCGTCAGTGCCCGACGTCGCTACCATGGGAGAACACTCGTTTCGTACGACGACTACTTGTCCACGGGCGGGAATCATAGCCATGTCTTTGACGCCTCCGAGTTTGAGAGAGCCTAGGGCTGTGGCGTTGATGATGATGTCTGCTGGCTGGCCTGTGTGGCTCAACAGCTTTGCATCCTGGATATTCGACAAGACGGCTCTTTTGAAGACGACGCCGTTTTTGACACACTGGCTGAGGAGCCAGGGTAGATAGATGACCGTGTTGATGCACACACTTGTGAATTCGCATCCCGAATCATGGCCTGGGATGACTTCTTCTTGGCTCAGCTCGCGATAATCTGGGAGCACAGACTTGTACCAGGGATTCGAGTGGAATAGAGTATCAGAATAATTAGCTTCCTCATCCTTCACTCTTCTATAAACACGGGCTTCTATAAAATGAAAACTCAGAAGCTGGTTACCAAATTGAATAAAGGGGGGACGGGGTGTCCATACTCTGAAAGTGGATTCCTGCTTCAGGCACTTCTTCCGTCAAACGCTTCAACTCGGGCCATGTACGGCGCTCCCATCTGCTATTCTCTTCGTCGGCCATTCTAATCCACACTTTGTTAAAACCATTACCAAGAAACCAAAGTTTGATAGATCATGTAAGCTGAACTCACGGCAACACATTGGCCCCAGCCCAAGGCGAGGCATATTCAATATCATAGTCGCCAGGCATATGTTTCGCAACGACAGTAATCTTATTGGCCTTGTTCCTGGAAAGCAGGAGCGCCGAAGTGAGGCCACTCACGCCAGCTCTATAATAGACATCTTCTTTGTTAGTCAATGCATCTACTGCGAAAAGCTTGAGGCTTGAGGCTTGGTTTATCATCTCACCCTGCAACGACAATTACATTCGCCATATTTAAAGAGTCGTACAATGAATAGCTTAGACGTTGCTTGACTTATCGAGCATATAAGCATTCAAACGCTCCAGCCTATCAAGATTGTTGTCAAGATATACTCGTGTATTCTCATCAAACGCAAGGTTTCGCAGCAGTCGGACCGCGTATAAGCGATTGCGGAACGGCGTGACTCCAGCGGCGTCTCCCCGCACTCGGCGAACCATCGACATGCTCCATTAGTCTAGTCAAGATTACCCAATCTACACAGTCTATAATGTTATCTTTGGATTTTAACGTCTAAAATGCCAAGCATTTGGCTCCTGCTTTTGTCATGGGCACAGAACAAGCTCGGCCTGTGGTGCCAATGGAAATGATAAAAGTTTCTCTACAAAGCACACACGAGCTTTGCGTGTAAGTGGACAGCAAACGGACGCAGTCTATGCAAGCGTCGTTTCAGCAGGTGCCTTGTCCTCTTCGTCTTTAGTTCCTCGTTCCTTTTTAACGAAAAGGATTGATAACAGCTGGTGAAACAATCAGTCAGCGATTGGATGAAAATTTCTACCGCCGTCGGAATTCTAGGCTCAGCCCAACAAATCCTTCCAGCCATTCCGAGATGCAGGATTGATCCTGGATCCTTGCATCCCGGAGCACTCTTCCAGATTGCCGCCCTGATGCTAGAACAGATACGGAGAGTACTTTCGATTAGTGGGCTTGTTCCGTTGCAAGTAGGTAGTTGTCGGGCACCAAGCATCTTGACGCAGAAAGATGGGGTTTGTGTTTGAGAGCAGCAGCGCCTTCCAGTGCTGCAACCAACCAATTCACTCATCGATGACGCTGCCGTGGCGAGTTATTCCAACATCCATTTCTCATTGACGGCTTTCATGTTTAATTGAGAGAATAGCCACTTATTCAACAGCACAGCCCATTAGCTATTTGTGGTAATGTCGATATGCCAAGCACAGATGCTTTGTGGCCTCCGTTGGATCTGCTGGGTCGTTGATCCTCTCCTTGCTGGCCAATGGCGAGGTCTGCACAAAAAAGAGGTTGTAGGACAAGGCCCCTTCAAGAAATCAGATCGTTTCACGACGCCGTTGCACACTCATTACACGCCTTGGCACCAATTGCATCTGTGGCGTACGGCGTCCCGTTGAGGTAATTCCAAAACCGATATAATTCGGTACCCCTTCCGCAAGATTTCCCTCAAAAAGGATTCAAGGTAGTTGATTCAAAAACAAGATGGGGACAAAAAAGGGGATACTTGATAGATGGTGAATCATCTACGGCTTCTCCCCGTCTCCCGCGTGCTGTAAGACGGGCCTTAGCCTGGCCAGATGGTTGATGTGGCGTCGTCGAGACACAGTTGAGATTAAGTCGGGCCCTAATAGAAAGTGCCATCCCGTCCACGTGGTCACCCATCATCCGCCGAGATGGTTGCGAGATGGAAATTTTTGCTTGTCCCTGCAAGGCGGGTAGGGAGCATGCAGATTGAATGCTACTCGCCTGAATTTCCCGTATTGTTTGCTGTTCACATCCATGCTTATTAGTGCCAAGTATGCCCAAGAAAAGGCGAGGCACATTGCATCACCGACGCTTGTACAACGTACTTGTACTTGCAGAGTGGTTGCGATGATAGCAAATGACAATGTGACGCAGCCGTATTGGGATGCAGAGGACAAGTACCTACATGTACTCTGTGTCTGTGAGAGAGGATGAGAATGTACCGCTACCACGAGTGTTTGTTGGCCACCCCTTGGAGCTAAGCAAATCTCCCGCCTGGGCGTTTAACTGGTTGCACAACGTTGGGATGACGGGGGCAATTGCATTTACGGCCATATGTGGTGGCACGGCCATCTTCCCGAGCTCGCAGCATACAAGGAGTCGCAGTAGTATATGGATGCTCGGCATGGCAACTCAAGGATTGGCGAAGAGCAGCTTGGTTAGGTTGCTTGCATGTTGCTTATCCAAAGCAGGCAAACAGTGGCTAGCGAAAGCTGCACTCATAGGATAGCTCACAGCAAGGATACATGCACATCGGCTTCATCGTCTCTTTGAATTCCGAGCACGGAGGCAAAGAGTTGAGAAGGCGGCCGGTGGTGCTGGCTTGAGCCAAAGAGGCAGAAGAGCTTGTCACCTTCCAGGCACAACATGACACGGGCAGGGCATGTCCAACGTGTCGTCGTACAGCTCAGCACGGAGCAATGCAATGAGGGGAGTTACAGCACCAATGCAGCGATGACTTGTCGCCTGCAATCTCGGAACGTATGTGGGCGAGGCTCCCAGGCCTTTGCTGTATCGGGTCGAAGTCGGTAGTATCAAGTTGGTGAAGTCGGCCAAGTTGACAGGACAGGCACAGACATGCCGACTTTCAGCATCGTCCCAGACATGGACGGTAAAGAGGGGACAAGTTCCAGAAGACAAACACACATAAACAGCACATGGATCAATTAGCACGCTCTGCAAGGCTCGCTCAACCTGCCTGGCGAGCCCGTCTCAGCCCTTTCGAGACCCAGGCCAGACTCAGCCGCGATGACGTCTGGCCGAAACCAAAATCTGGCAGATGTTTTCAAGGATTGAGCGTCCGTCGATGAAGCTGGTTTGGGTTGCAAGGCCCGAGAGCTTTATCAAGCCTGAAGGGCCGATCTTGCCAGGATGCCATCAGGTCATGACGCAAGGACGCCCAAGGAATCGAGCAGCAGGGGAAGCTTTGAGCGGCAATCCCTGTCCAAAAGGGAAGCATGCCCTTAACGCTCTCCGTTGGGGTTGGATGGGGGGACGGCTCACTATACATACAGTACAAGCTCTCCCGGCCGGAACCTGTTTTCCTATTCCTTGGTCTAGCTGATGAGCGGGCACTTGGCGTGGGGCGGCCTGTCGCGGGTATATTCTAGTCTCTGGGCGACTCCCAACTGCTCTCAACGGCCGAGTACATGCAAGGTACAAGGACTTGATGGTGGTCAGAGAAGGATCGGTGACAAACGGTGACATTTGCTCGAGGCAATCGACGCCTCTTGCTCGCTGGCTCTCCTATTCTCCCGCCTCGTCGTTTTGTATCGTCTCTCTCCTATTTGCTTAGAATTGACCGGCCAGGTAGCTTCGGGTAGCTATCTCAGTATCGCAGGTCATAGCTGCCATCTGACGAATACGAAGTCTACTGCGGGGGCAATTCCTGGTTCCTCAGTGATACGAAGACGCGCGCATAACCAAGAGACAGACTGGGCATCTCGCAATCTCGCCCATGCATGTACATGTAGTCATGCCGTAGCGCACGCAGAGGTAAACCGATATGGAGAGGCGACCCGTGCTGGCGATGGGCGGACAGACCACCGGCTTGCATGGGAGGCTTAACGACAATGACTAGGGGTCTGCTCCATTGCGGCGTCGAGGTTTGCTTTACCTGGGATCGCGGGCCTGTAGCGTGTGCTAGGCAATGGTGGCTGGCCTTTGTCAGCGGGTGGCATTGGAGTTTGACGCCGTCTCTTGGGCATCAGACCCCGGAATCACTCAATTGGCCAAGCCATCAGTCAAGCCGAATCAGCGTAATCAAGGCGATTAGCGGCGGCGATATTCAATCTGACCTGCCTGCGCACATGGACGTCAAGACGTGTAGGATACGTGATGTATTGAGCATGTAGGGAGCTGCATCTGAGCGTCTGATGATCGGGATGGCGTCGAGATCGGGCTATTCTTGTGAGCGCACTCTGCTAAGAGACCTGGCGTCCCCACTCGGCCGGTACCTGTTCGTCGAGGCCAGACGTCAGTCGAGCCACCAAAGAATGGAACGGATTGAGAGGTGGATCCAGGCCAGACAAGAACATGTCTCGTTTGGGGATCGGGACAAGCTATGCCAGGTCTCACAAGCGGAGCCAATGGCGGGACGTTGTGCTTGTGCGAGGAGTAGCAGTTGGTAGTTTGCTCACAATAAAGACGAGCAGCAAGTCTGTCAACGGCGCTCAAATTTCTGGCCGACGCAACACGGCCTGGAGACGAGAAGAAGCCTGCGATGTGGTGTGGACGCAATCTGGAGGGCTGGATCGTGGCATGAGACCAGCGCGGAACACGGAGCAAGGAGCAGCCGGGCTGATTTTCCGAGCCCTGGAGAAGCACCGCGGCATGTACTCGTACCAGACCAATATAATCAACGACATCACATCTCTTGTCTTGGAACCAGTGTGGCTGCGCGGTGGCAAGCCGTTGTCCACGAGACTGCTCCTCCATTATGCCCGCGACTGGTACATGTACGCAGCACACCTTTTTCTCTTAATCCCCAAGCGAGAGCCAGGCGGGCGTCGCTGTGAATGGACAGCGCCAGGCCATCTGATTTCTTTTTTTCGCCTGTCCATGCATGCTAGTGGCAGAAATGCTCGGCTTGCCGGAGCCATTCGCAGGGCAAGGCGCGGGCATGACCGGCTGTCATTAGCCACTTGGCTTTGGAGGTGACATGCCAGGCCTGGATACATGAGAGAAGAAGGAGCCTGAATGGTGGGCTGGAAGTCGGCTCGACGCGCCTCGGTGTAGTACCGTTCGAGAGATTGGCGTACCTGTACTGGAAGGTGGCTGAGATTGATATGATCAGGGGCAAGGCAAAAGCAAAGAGCGATGCAAACAACCAACAACAGGCTGCCTAAGAATAACACAAGTCGCAGTCGATGCTGCTGTTGGGCGAAAAAGGCACAGTCACGAATGGAATCAATACGATGGAGTCCAACTGGAGTCGCCTTGGAGCCTGTCAAGAGTCGCTGCGGCCGCAACGGTCGAGCGCGGGTAGGGCAGAAACTGCGCTGCACTATAAACCGTCCATGTAGCACTGACCCCTCGACCCCTCTAAGCCCCGGGGCCTTTGGGGGCTCTAGGGGGCTCCAGGGAGGGCGATATGCTGGGGCCTGGCCCGGCGGTCTATTGTTACCAGACGAGCAACAGGGGACCTGGTGTTTGGTGCTTGTGCTTTGCCTTGCAGTTGAGCCCCTGCCACCCCGCCACATTTGATTGTCTGGTTCTTTTCTCTCTTCTCTTTCTGCCATTCTATTTTCTAATCTGTCCCACTATGAGTGTGGAATACGATGCGCTATTTGGGGCGTATATACTGTAGCCCTGAGTGCTGTATGAGTACATGTAGTTGTACATGCGCCTGTACGTGGGGACGCCATGAGAATGGACGGTAAACCCGACTTCTAGCGGCCTTCTGAATCAGCGGAACAAGCAAGTGACTCAAGCCCGCGACCACGACACAATTGAATTGATCTCTGCTCCAAACCGAGAAAAGAAAGCAGCATGAATGCAACATTAGCGATGCCACAGCTAGCCGCCGCTCCCCAGCACGTGCAGCGCAGACGCAGATGCAGACGCACCTACACGTACGTACATGGTACAAGTCGAGTATGGAGCGCTGTAGGCACTGCACAGCAGTCAGCAGGACCAAAGTACATGTCGTGCAGTCCATGCAGCAAGCGAGGTACATGTGCGCCAATGCGCCCGTGGCCGGCTCTTGATTGCAGCGCTAATAGTGGAAGGATTGATTGGAGGTGAAATCCATGGTTGATTGATTGAATTTGCCAGCATCGTGCAGTTTGATGCCAGCACTTGGCCGCAGGAATCGCCGCCAGCCAACTTGTACAAGCACCAGTTTAGCACCAGACCCTACGCCGACTCGACTTGGCACTGCGCACACGCACACGCACACACATACGCGGCGTGGACAGCGAATATTCCGTCTCGGTACTTGCGCCTCCATGTACACATCTGTGTGGCCAAGGTGCTCAGGTACAGCCACCACGTGTGTGCGGCGGTACCGGTACCCACGCCAGCAAATGGCGCTGTGGGCATGAATGTCGCTGGGGAACCCCATAGGGGCCTCTCCATCGGCCTGGAATGAATCGCCTCGATGCGCTCCATTTGCTTCTATTCTTGTGTATGCTCTCGTCCTAGCAGCGCTCTGCCGACTTGCCCAACTGGGACCCTCGACTCCGAGTTTTCGTCCAGTGGCGCTAAACCAGGCCCCGGCAGCAACCAGCGCACAGGCCGGCGGGTGCCACTGCGTACTCCAGGCCACGGCCTTGTACCTGTACCTGGCCCTTTTAGCGGCCGGATCAGCGCCCACAGGGACCCTCTGCAAGTGTGTGCCATCCGCTAAATTACGTCGCTGCCGCCCACTCTGCTCCCTGCTTTTCTGCTTTTTTTTTCAACCCTACCACTTGACGTCTTTTTCCTTTTTCTCTCTCTTGACCCCAGTTGATTTCCTTCTTGTGCAAAGATGCTGGCCAAGTGCAAAACAATAGTCTGACGCCTTCCAACAAACGAACAGGAAAAAAACTTTGTCTTTTCATCTTCGCCTGAACAGTGCCTGATTTGGCCAATAGAGGGGGACGGGCTTCTTCTCTCTTACATGCCTAGCTGCGGCGGGTCCGGCATCTCATCTCATTCCAATTCCTCCATCGTCGAATGCCACTTGGATTCGCATTAGCATTTCACATTCACAACAGCCCTGGTCCGTCCGCTTCTTCACAGGGCGCCGCCGCATAAACTCCACGCCCTCGGTCGACGCGCCTCGTGGCATGTGTTTCGCATCCAGACCCCTTACTGCTTCATGCGCGGCTGCCGGCGGAGACTTAAACGACCACCATGCTGCTTCACGCCTCACTGGATCTGCACTTAGGGATTAAGACGACTCGCCAGTAAAGCAAAAGGGGGGCATCTCACCCGCGAGGTGAAGCAGCTAGCAACAATGGCCCTGTGGCCCTTTCGCACCAGGGGCCACGACAAGCGTTCTAGCGGCTCTGGCGCGGCCCTCTCCGCTGCCGGCGACGCTGGAGCGAGCAATGCCGCCAGGCCGGCTGCCTCCAGGCCCAGCCGCGATGCTGCGCCGAGATACAGCTTCTCGCCCGATGGCCCAGATGCCATCCACGTCGGCCGGGCCAATCGGGCCACCCCCAACGACCCTGTGCCTGCGCCAATCCGCTCCTTGGAGACCCGAGTCCCAACTCTACACCACAAACGAAGCGGCAACCAGCCCTCGAGGCGCAAGAGCAGCAAACGGAAGAGGCAGGATCCCACCAGAGAGGCCGAGATCAGGGCCATGACCGTCTTCACGCCGGCGCGAGCAACCACCGACACATTGGCCACGGCTCGCAGCGTCAAGCACGACAACAAGCGCGCAAAGACTCTGGGCGCCAGAGCCCCATGGGACAGTCCTACCTCTGACGCATCGCCGCCGATGCCCATCTCAATCACCTCCCGCCTCTCGTCCGACTCCAATTACTCGTCATATCGAGTAACCGCCCTCGATGCCCTGGCACCGAGACCGACCCTGAAGTATCAGGGCAGCGCACGATTGCTTCCGTCACACGCCTCTGTGCCGACACGGTCCGAGTCCCAAAAGAAGAGGCTCGATGCCTTTGACGAGGAGACCGTCCGAGCGCACAAACGCATCGATGACCTGGCTGATGATTTCGACGCCAGCGAGCTGCGTGAGCTCATGGAAAGAGACAAAAGACGGCGCGAGAGGAACCGGCAAAGCGAGCGAGACAAGGCCGAGAGGAGGCTAGCACGCAAGGCCGAGAAGCAGAAGAGAGAGGAGGAAAATGCCAGGCAAACAGGAACACCGCCGCCAGAAAATCTAGATCGCGGTGTCATGGGACGAGAGGTCGGTCTAGGCATAGATCCCCCGTCTACTGTAGTGACATCCTCCAAACAGCGCACTTCTCCAGAACCAATGTCTGACGTAGAGGAATATCCACAGACGCCCGACAAGGGCAAAACGAGGGAATCTCCAGAACCTTTGCAGACGTTTCACAGAATCGATACAGCACCGCGTGATGCAGAGTTGTCCACAGCTTCTGGGAACCAACCCCAGGCTTCTCAGAAACCACAGGAGCGTCTTCCAGCCATTCCGCCTGCTATCAAGCGTGAAGGCAACTTTGTACCGAAGATATCGACATCCGGGTCGACTTTTGATTACGACAAGGAAAAGACATCTTCTGCCATGGAAGATGATGGCACAACGCGCAAGGATTCCGAGTCCAGCAACAGGTCTAACCGCATCTCCTTCTCTACCTTGCTTAGATGGGGAAAGAGTCGCCGCAGCCCCAGCGGTCCCTCGTCATTCGCAAACACTTCGCGCGAAGAAATGGGGGCAGTACAGGCGCAAGCTAGAAGCACCGCCGACTCCCCCGCTCCGTCATTTACTGGCAACTACCTATCCAAGCCGGCATCAGTCCCACCGAAACGGATGCGATCTCGCTTCCGAGAAGACCTTCCAGAACTCCCAATATCACCACCCGAGTCCCGCGTTCAGTCGCCCGAAGCAGAGGCCCCGCTGCCCAGTGCGGCAGAGTATAGGTCTCCCAGCGCTGAGCCCAACACCAATCCTCCCACTCTGCGAGACGATACACCAACTTCAGGCCATCGTTCCATTTCAATAGACATTCCTCAAGCGCATGTGTCGCGAGACAAGATGTACGGCAGCCACTCGGCCGAGCCGCAACTATCAATGTCTTTGGCGTCTGTCGACTCAGAAGGCTCCTGGCTCTCAGGAAGAGTTGGCAGCCAACGGAGCAAGCGGATGTCATCCGTACGCGACAGGACACGATCTCGACAACAGGATCACGAACGCAGAGCGGATTCTCCCTCCAATAGCGCCCACGACGACCTTGAAATCACCGAAGACGACTACATGTCACGCCTCAGCCCTGACCCCACCACTCTGCACTTCAACACTCGCCTTTCGGGCGAGGGCCGTCCAAGCAGCGATGAGGACGAGCTAATGCGCGAAGGAGAAGTCAGGTGGGGTGCTGTTGGCGCCCAAGCGCAGTTTGTCCAACGCAACCAGAATCGGGATACTGTCCGCAGTCGCGAAGGTCTGCTCAATATCGACTCGGGAGACGAGGAAGACCAAGAGCCTCCCATTTCTCCCATTTCTCAGATTGCCCCGAGCATTGAGAAGGCTGATTTGCAGCGGGCCTCAAGTGTGCGCGTGAACCGTCCGTCAAGCGTAAAGCTGCTGAAGATACAGCCGCGGGCATCTACCGATGACAAGAGAAAGAGCCAAGAGAACCCAAACGGCGCATAAATTTGACGCATGATTGATACTACGATTACAACAACCGAAAGAGCCCCCCGAAGAGAAAAAAACAAGGAAAAGGAAAATATAAAAGAGCATTCTTCGTGGTCCATGTCGCGATGGTGCTTTATTGACGAATTTCCTTTGTTTCTAGCTACCCGAAACTGACCCGAGTCACTCATTTATTTCCTTATCACACTCTTCAATTTGATGACGGAAAATCAACAAAAATCTACGAAAAAAAAAACCGAAAAACACATTCATCTACAAGATATAGTACCAAAAAGCGGAAAACAAACTAAAAAAATGACGCAAAATTAACGACTAAATCGGGAGGCTCTTTTGACTTTGAATCGCTGGAATTTGATGCGGCGGATTATGCTCCTTTGGACTTTTGCTCTCTCTCGGCAAACGTCTTTGTTGTATATTACAACCTTTTGACGAACATGACTGGCGTTGGATTGATTTTTATTTTCCCTTTTTTTGATTCCCCAGAGTAAAAAATCTTTTTACTCTCATTTTTGTTACAGGCACATATACCAGATTTGATACCCACTCTGTCGAAGAGAGGTCTTTGCTGTTTGACCTCTTTTCGCAGCTTGTCTTGTGTGTTTCAGGGAGGCGAGGTTGCATCGTGCCGGGAAAAAAGTATTTATACCCAGTATCTGGCGAAGAGGATGGATGATGGTTTTAAAAGACGAAAAAGGGTGGATTTTGAGGAGGCGTGATTTACTTTGCTTATTCTTCAAGCATGAGGCTGAAGTAGAGTCATTTGGTCTTGATTTGAATCGTTTGCTGAAGCAAGAGGGAAAAGAAAACTGACATGAGAAAAGAAAAGAAAAAGAGAAGAGTTTTTAACTTATAGAGGCCTCATTGTGGCGCGGGATTTGATATGATTTTGCTCTTTTCATCAAATTCTTTTTACCCCAGTTCGCAGCCTATGGAATCTGGAGATTTCTTGGTCGATGAAGGGGGATTTGTATATAGTTTAAAGTCATATTGTTGAGCATGTGACGAGCGAGATGGATGAGGATTGTAGTGAGATGATGCATTATTGTGCCGTAATATCTGAGCTTTGTCTTTTTGCTATGCTGTGTCGCGAATGTTACCCGTAAGTATGTATTTTATTTGTTATAGACATATACCCATATATACATGTGTACTTGGGTTCAGCTTCTACTGACTGAGATCATCTACAGAGTTTTCTCGTTTCAACAGCATCTATTCAAGTATAACCGTACTCCCATGATGTTCAGCATCCTTAATCGCCTCCCCCTTCATAAGTCCCGGAATAATCGCCGGCCCAATAACCTGATATCTCAACCCCTTGCCCTCTTCCCTCTTCGGCCTCATCATAATCGGCATCCGACACCCAAATAGGATCCAAATCTCATCCCCGGCCTGGATATCGCTCGTCCGCGCCATGCTGCCCACGCGCGAGCCCTCGGTGCCAAATAGCACCACGGCATTGCTCTCTACGTGCAGTGGGTGGCACTCTTCGCGCACGTCTGCCGGGATGATGTCCGTGGGCGTGTATCCGCCGCGGATTATGTCCCCTGTCGACAGATCCTTTTGATCGGCTTTTTGGGCGGCGGCGAGGAGGCTGCGGATGAGGTGGATGCGGCGTTGGGGGTCGGGTTTGTCGAGCTTCCACATGTTTTTGTAGCGTTTGGGGCTGAGGCAGGGGAACATTAAGGAGGTGACGTTGTCTCTTTCGTACAGGGGGGTTGAATCATCTGCGTCAGGCCATGTTTTGCGGCAGAAGGATTCTATCTGGTCGAGCCATTCGGGGATGGGCGTCCAGCCACGGCCGTCACCGTTGATTAAGCAAATGTGCTTTATGGCGTCGACCTTGATGCCCTGTGCGTGAAGACATTGTGTTTCTAGGTCGATAGAGGCAACGTGAGGCGTTGCGAGCACTTCGCCGCATGCTCTGCTGGCGTTGACGTAGCTCCAGCAGACGTCGGCGTGGGGCATCCAGCTGGGAAATCCTTTGCGGGGAGTGTAACTGCCTCTGGGATTGCTCTTGTTGAAGCAGAGGAAGCTGAGGCTCTTGTAGCGGTGGATGAAGTGGCGGAAGATTTGGGCGTAGACCCAGATGGGGGAGGCTTCGTAGGTGATTTCGAGATTGGAGTCGTGGGCAATGTCTGTGGCGAGGCCGAGGATGCCGTAGAGGCGGTCGCGGGGATCGGTCATTCTGACGCTGGAGGATTGGAGGAAGAGGTTGAGGAGGGAGGAGGCGAGTAGGCCTCTGGTGATTTTGAAGCCTTGAGAGGGAGATGGTGGTGAAGTAGAAGATGCTGATGATGATGACAGCGATAATGAGTAGGCTTCTTGGGCTTCCCGTCCTTCACGCATGTTGATTCTCGCCTGGATGACGCCACTACCAAAGATCTCGGGCGTAGGATCAGCGCTGGTATTCCCATCGATATACCGCGAAAGCACAAACTCGGGCCCGCCCAGCCTCGTGCGCTGCGACTTGACCACATTGACCTTTTGCTGAAACTCCAGCAGCTGCTCGCCCGAGAAGACGTCGCTCCGACAATACACATCCACTTTGGCCGCCAGAATGAGCTCCTGCTGAACCCACAGCCTTCGCCAGTACTCGTTCCGGAAGATGTCCGCCACGGGGTACCAGTACTCCGGATCGGCAAAGTCGTCCAGCTCGACGCCCCTGCCGAGACTCTCCAGGTCGTCAAAGACGGAGGTCTTGGGACGGACGTTGTGGTCGAGCCAGGCGCAGACGACGGCGGCGCGGGAGTAGATTTGGTGCATGAGCTGGATCTGGTGGCCCTTTTCGACGTTGTCCTTTTGGTTGATGCAGATGGCGTCGTTCCAGACGAGGCGGGGCCGGGATTGGAGGCGGAGGTCGTCGAGGGCTTTGCGGAGGTTGCGGCCGACGGGGAATGAGGCGAGTTGGTCTGTATTGCTGTCTTTGTTGTTGTTGACGTGGATGAAGATGTCGTATGAGGGCTTGGGAGGGCCCCAGCAGTAGCTCAGGGCTTCATATTCGGGGTTGTCGTTGAGGGAGACGGTGTGCAGTTTGATGGAGATGCGGCTGCCGGGCTTTCCTGGCAGGAGTTCCAGGAGTCTGATTTGCTGTTGGAGGTGGTCGAGAGGCTCATAATGATGAAACTGAGTGATTCTTTTTGTTCTTTTGGTATAGTTTGGCTGAGATGAAGTTGGTGGAGAGCGGCGCTTTCTTGATGCGGCCATGGCGTTTCACAGGTTTAAATTGAGTTGTTCGAAGGTGGTATGCAGTAAATAATAAATTGCAAATCTTGCTAAAAATGATTCATTGTATATCTAAAAGCAAAAGTCAACTCCTGCATCATCTGTAACAGATTGTGTTTATGTAGCTTCATGCCCCTGTCGCTGTTGCAGCCTTGAAGGGCCTCCCAAACAGGCCGGCGGCTGAAGGAACGCTGACTGCGCCACTATACATGTATGCATGGGTGTAACCAACAGGCCTGAATGAATCACCAAGATTAGACATTACGATTGAATTGAAGAGCCAGGATTACCAGAGAAGAGCTCTTTTGAAACATGTTGATAGCCATGGTGTTGAATACAAGTCGAGGAGCCTTAGTCATGAGGTCAATTTAAGCCGTCAGTGCATTTTATCGATACAGCGATGCCGGCTTACCTCATATGGCGACCCAGAATATTTTACTCATCCAGATTGCCACTAACAAATACAGCACAACTTCATCTTATAAATCGCATATCCAACAACTTCTCTCTCTCACTCATTATAACCAGTTCTTTAGTGGAATTAATACCGAAAACATGCTCTCAACACGCACATTCCGCCCGGCCCTCTCAATCGCCCGCCAAGGCGTCGCATCTCAGCGCCTCTTCCACGCCAGCCGCGCTGCTCAAGCCATTCACTTTGTCAAGACGTTAGTTGCGTCCCTATGGAAACATCGTTGAAGCTGTATAAACGCAACACATGCTAATGGAATAAAATGAAGCGCCGAGGAGTACAAGCAAGTCATCAAGGCGCAGGACAAGGTCATTGTGGACTGCTTTGCAACCTGGTGCGGGCCATGCAAGGCCATTGCTCCCATCCTGGAAAAGTGCGTTGAACTCGGCATCAAAAGAGAATCCTGAAGATACTAATCAAGGCAATCAAATTTTAGAGCCTCTGAGGAAGCAGAGTTCAAGGACAAGGTCCACTTTGTCAAGTTTGACGTGGATGAGCTGCCAGAGTTGAGCCAGGAGCTGGGCATCCGCGCCATGCCGACGTTTCTGTTCTACAAGGACGGACAAAAGGTTGACGAGCTGATTGGCGCGAACCCGCCCATGCTGCTGCAGAACTTGAAGAAGCTCAATGTCTAGAGATATACAATGCATTGTAAAAAGATTAATGGAGGCAGTTTAAATGCTTGTAAGATATGGTGACTATGCTAGATATGGGATACATGAGGATGTGCTATTGCTGTATCAATATAAGCACAGTCCGAGTTTGATGCATCAATTTCTTCATGCTATACACCATGCGGTGTCTTCCTCCTTCCTCCTTCCTCTTTGTCAACGTAGCCTTATAAACACGTCTGCTTTTATATTCACCCCTTCCGCTATATAGCTATTCATTCCTCTTCGCCGGCCTCGTGCAAAGCCTGATATTTTCTGGTCATGTTCATCTAGACTTCAGCTGTACTTGATATCTTTGTGCCGTTTGGTAGGAGACAACAAGGGCAACTGCGCTATGTGTGCTAGGACCGTAGTGCTCATGTTAAAGCAATGTTTTCCATCGTGGTTGTGGTTGGTTCCCACGATGGACTGGGTGTTTGGCAAGGATATGAGAAAGGGCAACTTGTGAGTAATATGATCGATGATAGACTTTATCTGGCTGTTTAGATCTGTAACATCGCCATTTCCGCTAGCGAAAAGCCATTCATTTGCCTCAGTCAACGGCGATGATGCCATCTCAGCGCCGTCGAGTGCCCGACCCGAATCCTCGAGAGTGGTGCGGGCTTCTTGTTCTTCGACTCGCGCGGTTGTGAGGTCGTCCTCTACATCCGAGTCCGAGTCGATGATGAGCGGATTGAACTTGTCCTTGCCTTACTATTGTTAGCAGATCGGGCGAGAGGAGCAGGCCTGGGACACGAACCGGATTTTTTTAGAAGACCAACGATCCTTTATCGCATCAGATTTTAGAGCTGCAAGAGGGCCTTTGTGAAATGATTTCTATGTCACACTTGTAATAAGGGGGAAATTCGTTGACAAGTCATTGGTAAGTTGTTGGTTAATGGCGTTATCTATTAGGCATATCCACCGATTTATTGCAAATCAATTGACGAGAAGGGGTCGCTGTCCCTGATCCTTGATTTGCTTGGGATGTGCGGCTGTAGAGAGGCTGGGCCTCGGCTGTCTATACTGCACTTGCAGGTCACTCATTGATTTTGCCGCAGATGAACTGTATTCGGCGGTCCTAGATAAATGAATAATACATTAGCAAGTGGTTGTCAATAAGTTGATTAAATACCTACGAGCTGCTGCCTCTCGTTCTGCCACTGGCGACGACCACTGTGTACCGTGGCAATTTCCAACCGATGGAAGCCTCGAATATGGGCTCGGAGGTTTCCCAAGCTGGAGAATTGTGGGAATGGGCTCTCCGTCGATCTGCCACTTGTTTATTTTCGACATAATTCTTCAAGTAAGTTCCCAATTCTAGGTCTTGATCAGGTGGTATATGTCAAGCTTGTTGTATCAGTCTAAAGAAGCCCAATATTGATTACCACAAGAGGGAAATGCTTAGTTTCTTTGTTTGTTGAACCTTCAACAAACTGGCCGTATGGTAGTTGAGACTCAATGACCTTGTGACAAGCAAAGATGCTCTGCGTGCGCCAAAATAATCGTGTGCATCGTCAATGGGCTCACCGTCACCCTCTGTGTATGCTAATATTCCCATTTATTCAGCAGAAACAGGGGAGTAAGTCCTCTCGCACTTTTATAGACCCAATGTCATTGAGAATATTCCGCACGCCTTGACGTCGCCAGGGAGTTTGTTATCTTCCAAAGTTGGGTCATATTCGCTTCGCCACAGACCATCCGGGCGACCAACCTTCTCACTAATACCCTCCAAGTCGATATCAACCTTTCTCCACATGAGTCCAAGAGGAGACATGATGTCTCTTGAGCTGCTCATAACAGGAGTGCCTGTGACCCAGATAAGGTGATCCCAGTTTAAGAGTCTGAGTGTATTATTGAAGATTCCATCTTCATGTTGTGCCATGTGCGCTCCATCGACTATCAGCATCGCCTATCGGACAGCGCCTAGTTCCTTGTGGGTGATCTTGTATTCCACAGGGTTTCTGTCGAGCTGAATCTGGTGACTATCTGCCTCGCCAGGCAAGGGGACAGACTCCATGCGGCGGATCGGCGCCGTGCTGGCCGGATTGACAAGACAGCTAAAAGTCGAAATAGTTTGCCAAGTACTCGCCTCGCGCCACACTGATTACTTTGCTATAAAGCACAATCGGGTTCCTGGAAGATGCATAAAGCGAATCGCGCGATCTTGAAACCTCTCACCCTGGCTGGTATGATCGCTGTGTATTGACCAAGTGTTTAGGTTTGATAACCCGCGTATTCTGTTAATGAAACTGTACCTGTGTGCCGTAGTAGACCCAAATGTTTACAGTGGGGTGTTGCTTGGATTCTTGAAACGTTTGAACAATCGTATTAACCGGATTAACGATGATTGTTGGATAGAATTTGACTGTGATGTTATAGAGCAACTATTGTAAGGTTACCAGAAGTTCTCAGAGTCGTGAGTGGTTTGGTTCTTTTCGTAGCCATAGTGCTTTTGGAATACCATGTTCGGTTGTTGAAAGACTCTATAATAGCTCTTTATCAGAGCTCTTGGTTTTACTATTTTTGGGACGCTCAAGAGTTCAACCCTTGATAACCGCTTCGCAACTATCCATTACGAGTTCCCCAGCGGCTGTAATTTCCGGCCGAAAGTGCGTTTCCCGTTTATTTTGTGATCTGAAAGCATACCGATAAGCTTTCACGAGGACCATGGCCCCGAGGCGTGATGGATACTCGTTGAAAATCCGTAGCTTGTGATGAGACTGGACATGGCTATTGGTTTCCTCCTATTTGTCCCACGCCTTCTCCTCGAATACACAAATCCGTTTGATATTAATATCTGAGGCTTGGAGGCGCCCAATTGAAGCCTGGTACTACTCGTGTTGCCGGTCACCAGGCCCGCGCTGATACACGGTGAGAGGAGGACATGATAAGCAATTACTGACGGGCCGCCTAGGTGACCTGAGCTCAGCTATGCTGCAATTTTTGTCAAGCAAACTCTGCAGATGTTCCGCGAAGCTTGGCCCGACCGACTGACGGTGTGGTGGGAGCTTTCGCCCTGTCAATTGATCGACAATTGGTGCGGCTTGGGGACCTTGGCCTCTGGTCTGATGCCTGGAACTTTGGGTTCCCTCCAGTCAGGAATTCCAAGCCATTTGCATGTCGATTCGAGGCTTTCCGTCGTTCCGGGCAAAGTCTCCATCTGTGCCCGAAGTTCCCGTAACCTCTCCAGGGATAACTTTCTATTCTCTGGGTTGCTGTCGCGGTGCTCTTCGGAGAATTCACGTTCTTCTAAGTGTTTTCAGTCTCCCTGTCGGTGGCATCATTCTCCGGGCCATTCGCGTTTGCTTTCTTGTCGCGCTTTCCGCGGGCTCTACGCTTTCGGCGAGGCTGCGGTAGCGACGGGTGCTTCGACAGTAGAAGCAGTAATGTTTTTTTTATAAATAGGAGTAACGCTGTCAATAATGGATTCATCCATTTGTTGGGGTGTTGACTTCCCACTATATAGAAGCGAGCTTGAAGAATGCCTGCAGAGTGATGGGACAGGAGCTGATATCGTTGTGTAAGAGAAGTCTGACACGAGTCGTGGAAGGTCAGCTCTTCCGATGTGACCGTCATTGGCAGCAGGTCAGCCGCAAAGAACGATGAAATCCCGTCCGGCAGCATAATGCAGTCGCGTACTGTTCATGTATGTTCGCTTCGAAGCCAAGAGCCCGAGAATCTTGGATACTATAGCTTGCCAAAGGCACTCGATCGTTGCGTTGGCCTTGTCCGTAGATCAGATAATGAGATTCGGAAACCAGCCGTTGTTATAGATGCATACACGGTACTACACATAGATTAGTACAGATTCCTCACCCAATAAAGGTTCATTTCATCAGAGACTTCGCCAATTTCCGCAGAAGTCTAGTGAAATACGGCACAGGGATTCACTTACAACTGTATCCGTGGTGTATCCAGGGTGTATCGATGTATCCACAGTGTGCTCTCCTAAAGGGAAGCCGCAGTAGGAGAAGAAGATAATAAAAGCAACTATCTTGGAGATGTTGATATCTTTGTCATTTCTTTTGCTGCCATTCCATATTTTTTTTTGGAGTTTGAGTGCCGCCATTATTCGGCATGTCAGAATCTCCTTGTTTCCAATATAATTTGAAGTTCCCAGCTTCCAAATATATATCCGGCGAGTTTGACCAGCCTCCCCTTGTGCTGTTTCTTGACTACCCTCAGGAAGAAGGTGCCATAGGTCAGGTTCTGGAAAGATTGTTGTCGGGACTGCCGTGTGATAACCCGGTGTTTATTAGCCCAGCGTTGTTTAGCAGGGGGGAGATGTTGATGTCTTACCCTCTGTTGCCACCACCAAGTTCATTGAACATTTCATAGCTATCTTTAAATACCCATGGGCTGTTGCATCTATCTCTGCCACCAATCATGAACTCATGTGGACCTCAGCAACATCTGGCCTCTGCTAAAAGGCGAGATGCGACACCGTTCGGATTTTAAGCTCTTGAAGAATACCACCACTTTCGAGTAACTCGATGCCACCAAGATGCGATGGGGGACTGCAATATTGATTGGCTGCATTGACTTTGCGCTCCAAGTCGCTCAGCCGAGGATCGAAAAGGAGAGAGACAGAGTAAGTCTCGAACTCTCCTTAGCCGAGCGACGACGCGGGTTTCAACCTCCAAGGGCCTAATGAAAGCCTCTGATGTAAGTCTGGAGGTTTACCAAGCTCGAAAATAGTCCATCCTAGTATATCCGAGACATGAGCAATGAATCAGCAATCAATAGACAGCGTATTATCCATACGTATTGCACATCTCTCCATCTTCGTTCACGTATTAACAAAAACACTCGACCGTCGTAATGATGATTTTTCCATTCTATGCAGAATAAATTAGCAAGAAATTAATAAAGACCTGGAAATAACTTACCCATCCGTGGAGAAGACCTGGACATTCGGCCAACGCTTAGCGAGTCCTCGCCATCAGGGCCAGCTCTGTACGCGACGGCTATCCATCTGTGCCTTACGCAGCTTCCTAGTCGTCTCTGCGTCCGCCTTTGCCTGGTTCTATCGTCATTTTCTAATCGTAAAGTTAATCTAGGAGTTCGTCAAGATATCCCTGCGCTGTAATGAGGCTTAGAACTGCTGCTCCGTCAAAGTCTCCCTCCTCCAGCATATCCTCATCAGAAATCCCATCGTCAATAATAGCGTCTGGCTGACAGTGATTGAACACTTGCTGGGATGCATCCCCATCGATGCGTAGCAGACTTCTCTCGCCCATAGTTATAATAATCCGTAATCTGTGGGCCCTTGTTCTTGTAGTCTATCCTCGTTGATAGAGATGTCTCTGTAAACGGGGTGATTGTTCTAGAGGAAAAGAAATCATTGTCTAATGGTGTTGTGTCTAACATGGAAAATTTTCTTGGATTGTATCAGATTCATTGACTAGACGTCCGTCATCGAACGCCTTTTCATATGTCTCGTACGTTGGTATGCCGTTCTTTGCTGCCATTAGATGTCCGTCCTTATCATCAGGTGGCCCAAACAGGTGCCGCGCATTGAGGCTGATTGGTTTCATTAGCGGGGCCGCAAGACTATGATGTCCAGGTCGGGGGAGAAGCGGTAACTGGGAGTATTTATGGCGAAGTCAATTATGTTGAGACGGGTCTTGACAATAGTCAGCTTTGATAATCCGTTTGCTGTTCAAATTGTTGACCACATTGATCGCGTCCTCGTCTGTAATTAGGCCCTGCCACTTGACAGCATTCCCTCGTTATTGGATCCTTGAAATGTTGTTGGTTTATATTTATCCAGTCACAGCCACGGCCGACCGCATGTGTCGAGACAAACACAATGGACTTCCTCTGATCGTCCGTTGAGAGCTCTTCAAACTTGACATCGAAAAAGACCTTGTAATTCTTGCGCAGCCAATCGACGACCATGTATATTTCAGTTCCTTTAGTTCCTTTAGGTGCTTGAATCCTTTTGCGCTATGCGACCTCCGCTGGCTGTTTTACCTACATCACAGGTCCGTTTTCGTTTCTGTTCGTCCTTGGAAATGAGATGTAGAGGACGTATCAGTGCTGGTGATGGACATTGGGAAATTATAACGTCTAATTCCGGAGCGAGAAGAAAGAGTTGGTAATATACGCTCCCGGTACCTCGACGAGTATTTACAACATGTCCGCGGTATTTGTATTGCTAGCCTCGATACTGGAAGATCTGCATGTGCACATGAGGACGCGAGATAAGCATCCCGTCCACTTGTGCCAATTCCGGGGGGAGAGTATATCCCGCAATTCAAGGTTGTTGCCTGAGCTATAGAAGAACGGCATGTCCGACCAAGTGCAGCATCCTTTTGTTGGCAGGTCTTGCAAATATTGTCAAGAAATTGTTGATCAAACTATGTGGTAAATGGCTTAGTATCGCCAATGAAGAGGGCGGCCACATCGCCGTGCTGAGGGGTTGGAGTGTGCCATTGCTTTAGTGCGTCTTCCTGCTTCGTCGACAACAACGAAGGATGTGCGGAGCGACTCCAGTGGGTGCGAGTTGTGGGTGAAGGTGCTTCATCCGGGTGTTGGCTATCTGCAATAAGTTTTGTTTATATGATGATAATTCTGTAAATTTGATATCTGTTGCGAGATATTGTGTTGTGTCATTCGAGCATTATCCAGGGTATATTTGGTATGCTGCTCATGATGTTTGTTGCCCAGCGGCATATGTTTTCGACGATGGTCATTGTTGCCCGTCACGGCACAGGCGAAGGAGGCGATGTTATATCCAATTCTGCCAGTCACACAAGAGTGTGGCATGGTCAAGATGCCACACAGCTCCCTGTGTCCCAAAGAGGTGACGTTTAACTGTTCCATTAGGCTCGACGAACGCTAATAAATCTCGCCAACTGCATGACTAGGCCGGTGGCCTCCTCCGTCATATGTATCATCTCTCTCAGTGATCCGGTGCGATAACATGGCAGCGTATGGGTTGGCAAAGGCGTTAGAGACTTAAATGGCTCAAAATGGTCACTGTTGTCTGGCGGGGGGCAAACAGTGACTGTGAAAACAACGCGAATAAGAGCTTCTTCTTTCAGTCACCTTTTGTTCAGGTCCGTACAAGATGCTTTTATGCCCGTGATCGAATCAACTGGTCTTTCAGATGGGCACACCGCCAGTAGTTTGGAAAATGCCATTTCTATGGCTGATAGCATGGCCATGTACAGTTGAAGATGTGATAAATGAGTTTCTCGGCGAATATCCTGTCGGAGTTGAAGTGGTCCCACTGGGCCTTTAGTGCCATTGTGTCAGCTCGGTGAAGTGCATCTAAGGACTTAACGGTATTTGTAGAGACTTACCTGCAGTAATACAAGAGGCTTTGAAGGGAAGAAAGAAATAATAAATTCTCGGGATGATCTACACCACAACAAGGTGGTATTGGGAGCCGGCAGTGGCTACAATTGGAGACGCCATAATAAGCAGCCAACCAGTGGCTGCTAAACAGGGAATATTAGCCCCATAAGCCAAAAGAGAGAGTATATCATTGACTTACTCTGTATGAAAAACTCTGTAGTAACAGATAAAAGAGCAGGGGTCGCGAGAGGAAATAGCGATGTTGGCCGTGAGTCGATAAATGAACGCTGCCAACCGTCAGCAACAGTCACGATTCGTGTAAGTCATGCCAACATACTCCATGCTGGTATCTCAAATTGATCCTTGTGGTTATAGCCGACATAAAACGAGCGTAGCCATTACCGTAGTATTACATGGGTCCAACACGTTCAAGTTGTATGGATGATCCATGGCAGTATCAACAGTCATAAGAACTGTAACAATGTAACGAGACAAAGAAAATGAAAAGAAGAACAAGAAGAAAGAATTAAAAAGAGAATTCGCTTTGATATAAATATTGGTTTACCATCCCGCTCCACGTGTTGGCTCATCAGCCGCGGAAATGCACTCATCCGCGAATTGTGGATTGAAAGGGGCGATACCGGGCCGTGATGAGGCTGTTTATGTAGGATTTCATTTATTATACTTTTTCTCTTCCGATAAGACGTAATATTATGTTACAATGAGTTGTACAACAGCTGATATGCGTAGAAATCTTCCGATATCATGTTGCGTATCGCAGGCTTACTTCGTCATAGAAGACATTGTTGAAATTGATAAGGAGTGTCGATTCCGCTTTATGTAAGCGGCTGCGAATTTGCCTGCTTTACGCCTGTTTCTTCATATAACTGTAACTCAAAACTATCTCAGATGTTTGAAAATCAATTCTTCAGAACATTGAATAGAAAAACTGGAATGCCAGTGATTAATGCTGTATAAAGATTGTCGAGGTCGACTCATCGTAGAAGTAGCATCACGTGACTTGCATAGAGTTTCTGCGGCAACCCCATTTGGCGTATTTACATGACTGCATATTCGCACATTTACCCCACGACACGGATTACGATTTTTGTACAAGCCGCCGATTGATTGCATTTTCAACAGCGACAAGTTCGATCCGCGCATGTTGCGCTCTCAACCATCGCAATGGCGTACAATCCTCGAATGAGCATCATCCCCCCCTCGCAGCAACAATCGCGGTCGAGGAAAAAGGAAGAAGAGGCCGACGCGTTTATGCGACTGCCCGACCGCGAGATCGTGGGATGCATCACCGACATTGGCATCAACTTCACCATCGCCGACCTCCAGAAACCGAACCCGGCGCATGTCCAGCAGATCTTTGAGTGGTTCGCCGAGCTGCTTCTGAATGCGACCCGCGAGACGGTCGAGCCGGCGATGCGCGCCGCGGCCGAGGACATTTGCGGCGAGTTTGCCGATGTTGTTTCACCAGACACGCGCAACCTGATGGGCTTTTTTGTCTCGCTGCGACGGCTGCTGGTGGAGTGCGGCATCCAGGATTTCAGCTTCAACGACTTATACAAGCCCACATACGAGCGCCTGGTCAAAATCTTTAGCTACCTCATCAACTTTGTCCGGTTTCGAGAATCTCAGACAAGCGTCATTGACGAGCACTATAACAAGGCTGAATCGACAAAGACGAGAATAGAGGCTCTGTACGGCCAGAACCAGGATAACGAGTCGAGGTTGGAGGACATGAAGAACAACCGACAGGCCATGGAGGCACAAGTGCGGGAGAAGACGATGCGAAACGAGGAGCTAAAGAGGCGTTTGCTGGAGCTGCGACGAAGCCAAGAGAAAGTTGCAGCACGGTTAGAAGAAGCGAAGCAGAAAAAGGGCGAGTTGACAACGTTGCTGGAGCAGAGGACGCAGGAGAAGATCACGATGAAGCAAGAGAGCGCCAAACTACGGCCGTATGTGCTACAAAGCCCGTCCGCTCTCCAACAGAACCTCACAGAATTACGAGATATTCTCAACAACGACAAGACCCGCATTGATGCGCTAGACCGACGGGCACGAGCGCTGCAAACGTCGGCAGATTCCTTTGGCGTAGTGGGGAGCGATGTCGCATCTTGCATCAAGATCCTGGAAGAAATTGCCATGGAAATGGCCAAAGAGGATGAAGAAATGGCCAAAAACACAAAACAGCGCGAGGCCCTATCAGAACGAGGAAATAATGCGCGCGAGGTGGAGCGGGCAGAGCAAATGTTGAAACGACAGCTTGCCAAATGGAACGAGCGGACAGAGAAGCTGCGCGAGCAGAGCAACCAAAAGGCGCAAGATGCCAAGGAGAAGATGCACGAGCTGCGAGCCACGCACAAGAAGCTCACGGAGGAACAAACAAACAAGGGCAAGGAAATGGAAATTCGAAGAGTGAGGATCGAACAGACGGAGAAGAAGGTATGCAACCCTTTGTGCTGGGTTCAGTGCTGGATCGAGATACTAACAGCGGCTAGATGCTTGACTTGAAGGAAAATATCGAGAATGAGGTTCATTCAGCATATGACGAATATCTCAAAATGGAATCCCACATCAAACTATACATTACTGAGATGGAGCAAACAGTCGGCTAAACGAGTCTCACAGAGAGAGAAACATTTGACCCTTTTTATTTTGAGGCCCGATGGGCTGAATGTATATGTATATGTTGGAATGTGGTGACAAAATGGCTGGTTCACAGGCGTATAAGCGACAGAGATAGAGATACCACGGTTAGGGCGTTGCGGTTTATCATGGGAATCTAGTATTTATATGTGGGATGGTTATTTTGACGATGATGTGGGCATGATTATTGATTCGATGGGAATCGGCCATTTCCTTTTTGTAAAGGATTTAATTGGAACCGGCCATTGCCTTTTTTGTAAAGGGGGCTAATTTGGCGCCAGAATCAACGGGAATATTTTTTCTTCTTTAAAATGCCATGTTCTAGAAACACACACGCTTCTTTAATTCTCTCATTTGGAAACAGTGAATCTGTTAAAGTTACCGAGTCAAGCCACAAGTTGATTACCTCTGCAACGAGAAGATGACGCTTTATCCCGGACTGGGCCTGCCCCTGAGGTATTATCCTCGAGAATATGCTCCTCAGGAAGATGCCAGGTTTTACCCGCTGGGTCTACACGTGAATTGCTATGACTCGCACTCCGCTCTGCTTCCTGTGCGCGAGGTTGCGATGATGAATATTATGGAACAGTTGACTGACAAGGAGAACTGGCACAATATGATCTTCAACGACGAGATTGTGAATCAGTGGCGGAAAGAAGCGCTCGAGCAGCCGAATCGGGTTTACTGGAAGCAAGCTACTGATAATAAAGGAGCAGATGCTTGTATTGACTACCTACCACGGCCGCCTGGGATCATGGATGTTCCTACTTTCGACTATGTTTGTCTCGTTTTGAAAACTCTAATGTACAATTTGCTAACCGCACAAGTGCGTCAAAGAGCTTCGGAATAAGGCAAAGTACTATGTAGAGACTGGCATAATTCCTACTCTTGAGGCATCTGCAGCCGTTGCAAAGTCAGACGTACTGGTTTCAGTAAGCCTCCAGGCTGAATTACAGAAAGCCTTCAATAAGCTCAAGCTGGATCAAAGCTCGAGACCCAACTGGCACCCAAAACCCAACGACCAATTGTTGGATCTTGTGCATCCGTCCATGTATCCTCTGGTATACGGACGGACCAGAGTGCTTCAAGACGAGGTTGTCGGTACTACTGATGCGATCAACAAGTGGGCGGGAAAAGGAGAAGCCATCGCCAAGGACACCAGGAATCCTAGTCTCGAAGAGCATCGATATTTACCGCCGGTCCCGTATTGGTCCAACACGTACCAATGGCTTCCCGCCAATGTGAAATTCATGGAGGACGGGACTGTCAAGTTTACGAGCTACATCAATAACTTGCATCCTCAAAAGTACCCGCAAATATACCGCACCATTGAGAAGCTTGTTGAAGCCGCCCTTCCGGCCTGGGATCAGTGTCTGTTACTACCACTCAAAGGTGGAACAAAAAGTGGTGCTGGACGCACTGAGCCTCGGTTCCCGAAGCAGGATCTGTGGTAAGCTGTCGCATACTCTTCGTATGTTGCCTTTTCACACGACTAACAGTCTATCTAGTGACGAGGTCTCGGGTATCTGGGACCCCTCTAGCCCTCCGCCGCTAGATGATGTTGATGAAGACGATGGCGAAGACGGCAATGAAGACGATGATGAATCCGATGATGAATCCGAAGAAGAAGAAGAGGAAGAAGAGGAAGAAGAAGATGATGATGAAGATCCGGCTATTCGCGAATGGAAAGAAACGCGAAACCCAGTGCATCCCCGTGTGCCTGAGTTCGAGGATATTGACTATACCCCGCGTGACAATATTCGCCTCGCCAATAAATTCAGGAAGACGGGCCTTCAAGTCATAGTCAAAATGGTTTCTATTGAGCTCACACCAGAGAAACCAGAATTTCCCGCTGGGGAGTGGCACGTAAGTACGGAGTGGTCGCTCGCGTTTGCTGCCAACTCGCTTGAGATGCTCGACCCTCGACGTCTATACTGACATGGCAAACGTTAGGTTGATGGACAGATGAACGAACACATCTGCGCTACAGCGCTATATTGTGTGGATAGCGAAAATATTGCGCCTAGCGATATCCATTTCCGAATGCAAACGTTGCCATACATTGGCAATGACTATAAGACCATTACAAACAATACTTGCTCCTGGTTGGAGCGCACTCACGGAACGAGACTCAGGATATTCGGGGGGGCACAATGTCTTCAGATGTACGGAGCCGTACAAATGCAGGAGGGTCGTCTGTTGACATATCCAAACGTATTGTGAGTCAGAATAACGATATCTTCCCGATGGGGAATCTCCTTTATCGCTATCCATCTTCATTGATGCTAACAAATAGTTCAGCCAGCATAAAGAATCTTCAATCAAGCTAAAAGACCCCAGCAAGCCAGGAACCAGACATCTCATCTCGCTACGACTTGTTGACCCCAGTATGCGAATCATTTCTACGGCCAACGTTCCGCCACAGCAGCGTAACTGGTGGCTTGACGCAGTTTCGAGACAACCTCTTTACTCCGACGGCTCTACGCTAGCAAACCTGCCGCCTGATCTTGTCGCGATACTGGAACAGAAATATGTCTCTGGTGGAGAGCTGCCTGTTGAAATCTTGGACATGGTACGAGCCCACTTATACAATAACGAGTCCTTTCTGCCGATGATGGAGGAAGAAGCCAGAAAACATCGGGCCGAGCTATTGCAAGAGCGCATCGAACACCATACTCGAGCCTGGCTTTCGTGGGATGATACACATTATTATCATTTTCGTGACTAGCCATTAGCATCAACGCCTTTGCGCCTTGGTATATTTTATACAGATGCCTAGATATATAACCAGTAATGAAAGAAGAGTAGACTATATAAACTTATGATGTACGCTAGTGTACTATCTTAATAAAGATGATATTAAATTTCTACATGCATCTACAATTTTAAAGCCTTGTGATGCGTTTGAGCGTGCTTCCAGCCATCAAGCGCTATAATCATCTTTTCTCCTGCCGCTCAAATTCGAACCAGCGAGCAAGCACTCTTTCCACAGCAACTGTGCGTCCACTCCACGTTCCATCACTCTTCATAGCAGTGCCACTCAAAACGGGCAGCTTTTCCGCTAGAAACTCGTCCAGAGCTTCAAATCCCATTGCCCCTCTGGGTTCTACCACCGCCGCTCTAAGGGCGTTTCTCGCCGCGGCCTCGATAAGATATGTTGCCGTGGTGCCGATGCCTTGGGCCGACCACTCGACGCTGTCACGGTGGAGTTCCAGCAGGCCGTAGACAATGAGCATTGGCGGACCAGAATCATTCGTGTCTGGCGATGATGATGGCGGTGGAGATGGAATTTTGGAATCTGAGGCGGAAAAGGTACCGAGGAATGCGCGGAGATGAGTGCTGCTGGGGACGAATAAGAGGCGGATGTGGCGTGAGACGGCGGTTTGAAGCAGAGTCTTGCGCTGCAGAGGGTGAGTTGGAGGTTTGTCTGATAATAATTCTTCTTCTTCTTCTCCTTCTTCCTTGTTAATCCTGTCGTCCTTTTCGGCTGCTGTTTGTGCCTGGAGATGGAGCTGCAGGTTGACGTCCTCGATGAGAGCGTCGACGAATGTGTGTTTGGGCCATCCGATGAGGACCGTGGTTGGGTATCTGTGGCGAGTGACAATGTATTGGAGGAGTTCGGATGGAGTTAATGGAGAGAGTATGATGGGGTTTGAAGAAGAAGATGGCATGATGAGTTATTGATGTGGTTGTGAGCTGTGAAGAGCATCAGTCATGTAAGTGATGTGAATTGCGGTTTATGGCGGCGGTTAATTTTCCCGACGTTTTCCCGTAGCACACATCTCCTACCTTTATGTTATCATGATTCATTACGACCAGAATGATGACATTTATTTTGAATGTTCAATATTAATAATGATACGGCATCTGCTTACACGAATTGCGGTATTGCCATTTTTCTCCAGATCCATTTTGATCGCTTCGTTGAAAGATGCTCCAAAGAAGGCTGTTATATGGACATGCCTGAGCGCAGTAGGTGCGGTTATTTGAACCCACAAATACAGATACTGTTGAACAAATAGGTAGTAGATGAAAATTTGTTTTTATTGTCTATATGAGATTTATTGTATAGTATATTATTCTTGGTAAGTAGATTAAGTTTTGGGTATATGATATGATTCCAGTCCCTCTATAATGTCCTTCAGAAAACCCCATATATAAAAACTAAAATATGTACTTGGGTAAAAGTTGTCAAGATTATAGTACAATCCAGTCAACTTGGCACTCTTCCGGAAGCTCGAATCGGGTACCGGCCCTTGTCTGAAACGTCAGATGAAAAGATCCTTCCGAAACCAGCCGTCGTGATCCTCGCGTTTCTTCAGACTCTTGCTCCACAGCGCGGAGCACCATACCTCGGATCCGCGCTCGGGAGAAGGGTACACCGAATCCAGGAGCATAGTTTGCGTTTTCGAAATGGCTTGACAAAACGACAAAATATGTCCCGGAATCTCCTGCTCGAGCCCCTGTGCGAAAGTGAGGCAGGTTTGCCAAGTTGAAAGGCTTATTTTTTTTATTTGTTTGTTCTTGTTCTCCTCGTCGTCGTTCGATCATCGCCGGACTGCCATCGTCGAGAGCGGAGCGGGCCGTTGAGATAGCAATGCAGCTTGGGGCTAGTATACAAGCTCTTTTTATGATAACTCGGCCGAGTTCATCGATGGTCCACGATGAAACCGAGTTATGTGCTTGTGTATTGCCTAGCTCAAGATCTGCATTCCTCCCATAGCATTGACCCGTTATTCCAAATGGCATGAGAGAGCCGCTTGTGTCGGACGAGCTCGGGCCTGAATAGTCGTGTCCATCGAGGCAGGTAAAGGGGTGTATTGCCTTGATCCGACCGTCTTCACGTATCAGGCAATGTTTGCTGTAGCCTGTGTAGAACTCGGTCGGAATCAAGCGCTTTACCTCGCTGATGAACGCTCTGCAGTACTTGTTCAGAATCAGGTCTGACTCTGGATTGTACTGGCCCGCAGCAACTCTCTCATACCACCGGGTGGCGCCAACAACTGACATTATGGCCTCTGACCTTGCTTCGTTGCAGTACCGCAGGTCTCCAAGCCGGATAATGTCAATCTGTCGGAGGGTCAGCAGCTCGCCGAGGCCGGTCAACGTTTCCCACCTGCGCAATTCCTATATCGCGTCAAGCAGGCGTCGTTCCGTGATGCTCCCGGGAGTCAGGCTCTTTTCGTACTTTTGGAGGATACATAGAGCCCCATTCAAGGGGATCCGAGTGTTTCCTTGCAAACAAAGAAACTTCCAGTCCGACGTCGCAAGCCACATGTCGGGTCTTAGACACAGTTCTTGCAGTGTCCATAGGGAAGTGAACCAGAAGTTGATAGGTTGGCTCATTTCTTCCCCGTGCCCCATCTGTTGCTTGCTCCATTGCTGGAACCCCGGCCCCTTGGGCGTATCCTCCGGCTTCGAAAAGAGCTCTGCTAACCCATCCTCCATCTTTGTTAGCGCTCGAGCCATTCTCCGCTCTCGTTCATGCTGCGACTCCCGCGTGAGCGTCTCGCCTATGCCGATCCTTGACAAGGCAGCGAATTCCATGAGCCCCCCAAGGCAAGAAAAATCATCGACGTCGTGAAACCAAGCAATTGCTCGCTTGGCATTACGGAATATTGAGCCTTGTCGCGATATTTCTTGCCGTTTTAGAATGTCATGTTCTTCATCCAACGCTTCGCCCTTGCATCCTTGTGGTATACAGACCAGATCTAACCAGGCGTAATCGGTATCGATCTTGGTACCAAGGTGCTGTAGGCTTTGCGGTAGTGACTTTATATCGAACATGGCATTGTGAGGGACGCGATACTTCATACCGTTTGGTATCAAGTATCCATCGTTTTCGCTCATCCATCTGCCCCATGTGTGGCTGATCGCGGTGTAGGCAGGTCGCTTTGGCCCCAGGTCCCGAGTCCGGACCAAGCATCTGTCGTTTAGATGCCACAGGTACTCGGGCCATCCTCCAAGGCCAAAGGGATCTTCATGCTTGTCCTCAAGCCATGGACAGGCTGCGATACGAGGGCCACAATCAAGTGTCTGGGGGCAGTATGGATCGGACGCTTCGACTGGACGAGCCCAGGAACATTCGTGTGTGAATCCGGTCCCATTTCTACCTGCAAGTATGGGACCAAAGGATCCATGCCGAATATCAGAACTCCCATGGCTGATTTGCGAACAATGCAACGAGGCTTGCCGGTAATAGGCCTCTCTTGCCGCATGTATTCTTTGAGCGCGCAGCAAAGAGTAGTCTTCGCGGGCCTCATCGATGCATGTTCGGAAGTCGGCAAATTCAGCCATGAAGAGTTGATACAGGGCCTTGTCGTAATCGGAATGTCCTGCCTCTCTGGACTGCAAGTCGCTCAGTGTCTCCAAAAGACTGTTCTGTATGCAGATCCACAGCTCTTCGTAGTCGTCGGTAAAGCGTTTGGAGCGTGGATTCTGGTGAACAAGAGACTGTAACTGAGAGCAGTATGAGAGAGGAGTCGAGTGGCGATCGGAAGCTGCTGTCCACCAGTCGAAGAGCAGCCGGTATGAGTTTCGCTGCTCTTCCCCTAGTAGATCAGCCCAGCCGATGAAGACGAGGTGCTGGAGACGAAACCAGTTGATCAACGATCGGGAAGTCTGCATTATATAACATTTCGGGGCTCCTGGCCTTGATGTCACTTTCCAGTCTAGAGGTGCGTAGACGTCTTCAACCAGTGACATTAGCGGGCGGGCTTTCGGCTTTCCCTTGAGCGCTTCGGGGTTCAAAACTATTTCGAATATTCTTTGTTGCATTATCTAAAGACGCCGGATATAGTAAGTACTTTCATCATGAATGTCACTCGTCTTCACCAAGGATGAGGCGCACAAAGAAATGTCCACCACCAACGTACCACTTTTGGCCACCAACAGGGGCGTGTAGACGGTCACGAATGTCGCTTGTTTCAGGTGAAATATGTTCAAATAGTGTGTCCTTTGTACTGTACATTTATTGTACAGACTTTGTTCATGCGGCGAACGGGCGGTATACGCAGGTGATGAGCGAAGAGAGTAGAAGCGTATTGGATCGTGCATCTTTGTTAGTTCACGAGTGTGTTGAAGAAGAGGGAAAAAATTCAAGGCAGCCATTTGAACAAAGTCAGTTTTTATATAAATAGACTAGAATCCCTGTTATTGCCTATTTTGAACACCTTGAACACTTGGGACACTTTGGGTTCTTTGAACACTTTGCTTGCTGTGGTCTTTGAACATGCATGTGGCGATCCCGTTCCCGAACTGCGCCCTCAGACACTCTCGGGAGGACCCTTTCAAAGAACAAAGAAAACTCCGCCTACTATGCGTCACGTCACAGTAAATCAGTTTGGATAACTATTGAGCAGAATCTGGTTCACACTTCATCGCCTACGCAAGCGAACGATAGCTTGGATTCGTACTATAGTACAAATGCATTTTCTTTGTTTATATCGGCAGTGACTTTAATCACAATCTTTCTGGCCACCGGTCAGCGATGGCTTCTGCGTGTTCTAGGAAGCGAGCAGTAATAAGCCCAGTCGATGTATCTGCGAGAAGACCAGCTGCGAGAGTAAAAGTCCTTGCCTCCTTATATGCCCCAGGCACAGATCCATTCATTTTCCGGCCATTGGGATTCGGTGTTGCGCAACAATGTCTAGACATGGAAGACTCCTTGTTTTTTTTTTTTTTTGTTTTTTGCTCGGAGAACTCCCTGCTAGTATTCCTTCAGGACGGGATGAGACGTTTCCAGGCTCTCTACTGCAAATCGTTACAATAATGAAAGGGCCAAGGCGGTAGAAAGATGCGAAAGGACGTCCAAAACGAAAAGAATACTTTGAGACAATAGATTTCCGATTGCATCTATTATTAGATGATGATAGAGAGTCTGAACTGCATCTAGTCAGAATCACATACATAGTTGCCACAAGGGGAGAAAATGTAAAGCGACAAAGGCTTCCGATTATCCACATGAGGGCAGAGCTAAATTTAGTCCTTTGATCTGATCTAGCTGCTATCCACATGTGTTATCTGAATGTAGCAGTAAAGACGCTTCAACGCCACTTGATCCTCTTTTAGTCCCAACATCTACCCCTAGCATCTCGCATTCGCGCTCGACAGACGCTCTCTTTTCAAGTCAAATTCGATGGTACACATACACTTCATATCTTCTATATTTGACGTTGCCTAGTGAGCTACATAGCGTACTCCTTTTGGAGTATATCGGAATTCCTTATAGCTCATGTGGGAGGAATCTAGAGAGAATATGCGTGGGCTATTAGGCTGCGCAGTACGCGCATGGTACATCTTGCCTTTTGCCCACATGTATTCTATGCCTTTCCAAGAGGCACAGATAGGCGGTTGGCCGATGGTCTTTGATTCCAGGTACATTGCACTGAATCAATGCACGCGTATCGGCCTGGTCTCTCCCCTGTATCCTGTAATCCGCAACCGCGCATTGAGCAGCGTTGCCCCGCCACTCTTGTCAAACGGCGTGAGCCAACCAGTCCAGCCATTGTGTGACTTTAGCGTGGTGTCGTTTGTTTACTTGTCCGTTTTGCTGCTGACGCTCACTGATTCAGTGGTATATTGAACGCCATGACTGCGGAAGAGGGCAGCAGAAGCCGCTGGTTCCGATCCCGCTTTTGCTAAGTTTCAGACGAACGAAAGATATCCGTCCCATGGGGCATCAACCTATTTTTAGGGGGGAGCGGGACCAAGAATGTCTTTGTTTACCCCTGGTTCCTGCCATCTGGCTGTGAAGCAGAGCTGGATACATGCAGTTACACGCACATACCTCTTATGGGGCTGATGATGAATCCCTACCTACAAGTATTATGGGGGAAAGCTATCCAAGGCACATCCTGTCATCCGACATGCCGTACATGTAGTTGATCCGTATGCAAATGTACAAATGCATATGCCTATGCCTATTAGATACATGTAAAACTACGCGATGTAGCTACCTCGCAGCAGCCGCAACAGTAGAAGCAGTAGCAATACACATCAATGTAAACAGAATTGGGGCGTTGAACAACTTTCGTCCTGTCAACGTATGCCTGACGCCTTTCATGTTTGTTCTGCCTAACAACTCCAGCTAAAAGCACAGGTAGTAAACATGGTAAACTAGTACAAAGTACATGAGCTTCGCGTCCATATATTGAACCCAGTCCCGTCGCTGTGTGGCCACATTCCCTACACTTCCACTTTTCATTACCCTCATCTCATCTTCTCTGCAACAAACGCAACAACTCTACACGGCATTCATTGCACTCAAATACAGCCATGGAACGCTCACTAGCCAGCGTCTGGGGTTTCTTTCATCCCCAGACGCTCCTCTCGCTTCTAGAATCGCCATTTGCCTCACTGTCTGCTTCGTCATATGCCAGCAAAATGGCCAACCCTGACACGGGAGTCTTTGGTGCTCTCGGCGCTGTTCTCGGATATGTCGGTGCTGAGGCAGCTACCGGCCAAATCTTTGAGCGTCTGCTATGGCCCCAACGCTCCTACGCAAACGTCACGCTGAAATCGATCCCTATCCTGGCCATTTTGATGCCCATGGGCGGACCGCTACACATCATCGCGCTCAAGACCTTGGATATCATATTCGCTCATGGCTTATTCAAGGGGGCACGAGTTGGCCACATGCTTGGAACTTGTTTCTTTCCCGATCAAGACTGGACTTACACCAGCTGGACGAGCAATGGCCAAAAGATCAAGACGGAGTCGGTGCGCAACTGTCTCTGGGTTCGCGCTCTGAGCTACGTTCCGATTCCCAAGCTCGGCTGCGATATGCAACAGGCAACCGATCAGGCTCCTGGAAAGGCCGCTGCCAGATCGGACCAGGTCCGGGCCAAGGTGGCTGTCAGTCATCTCACCTTGACCAGAGCCACAAAGCAAGACGTCGAGTCCAAGATGCCGTTTGTTGAAGCAGACGTTGGAAGACCGGCGTTCCAAGTCTTTCTAGCAATATTCGTCACAGAATTGTCAGCAATACTCACAACCATTGGCGTAGCTGTCCATTTCAAATCACCATGGGCGCTATGGTGGCTCGCTCCCCTGCTTCTACGCCTTGTCAGTGCCTTGCTTGCGATAGACCGGAAACCTCTGGAGCCTCTGGATCTCGCATCTCCAAACGAAGACATTTGCGATTACGAGATCCACTGTCCTCAGTCAGAAGGAAACTTTATGCTTCTCACAGGCCCCAAGTCTGTCGTCCAACAGTTTTTCGTCCATTACGGGCACCCAGTGCGCAACCGGTTTCGAGAAGCAGTACAGCTCGCAATGGTGGTTCTCTTTGGTTTGCTTTTTCTCTTTGGTCTGTTCTTTTCCGTCATTTGGATGCCCATTGCGGTCCAAAAAGTCTGGGTATGCTATCATTTCTACTCTGGCTTTGCCATGATCGTTATGCGGTACACTTCTTGCGACACATCCACAGAAGCCATGATTGCAAATCAGTTCAGAAAACAGGAAGAAAGCTTGTCCACTATCGACGGTGAGAAGAACGAAACAGCGATCCTCTTTGGACACACTCGAGACGGCAGCGAGACTATTAAAGTCAGCTTTGTTCCAACTTATCATAACCGCTTCTTGGAGGGGCAAGCATGCATGGATAAACTTTTGCGACGCAAATCGTGATATTTTCTACTGCTGATACCGCTGATACCGCCAACACTGTTTTTATTTTTGTTACTGCTGTCATTTGTTACTGCTGTCATTTGTTACTGCTGCTATTTTTGTTACTGTTGTTATTTTTGTTACTGTTGTTATTGTTTTCGTCGTTTCTACCGCTTCTAGAGCTATTAGTGCTACTTCCAAGTACTTAGATTTATAGGTCAATTCAACATTTTCTCTTTTGTAAATGAGCCGTATAATAAATGGAATTTCTAAGTTGGCAGTCTAGCCACGTTCAAAATTATCGTCATCTTTGAATCGAAATTATGTAGAGAAAAAACAGCAGCTAACTACTAATGTCCATTTCATTTTCTTCCTCCTCCGCAAAAAGGCTCTCCTCGTCTTCTTCATCGTATTCTACTTCTTCAGAAATGCCATGAACCAAGTCATGTTCAGCCTGCAAAACTCCATCCCAAGTAGAAGGACACTCTCTAGCCGGAACTGTGACGGTGCCTCCAACTCCAAAGTGTTGCTAGAAGAAAGTCAGAAAGGATATAAGTTGAAAGAAATGAAGGGAAAACCTACAGCCATCGCCGCGAAGTTCAATGACAAGGAGTGAAGAGAGTTTGCAATATCAAGCTTGATTTGAGAAGAAAGAAACTCTCGGGCGCGAAGCTGGGTTACTCCCGGAGAGGAATCAGAAGCAGTCGGAGACGTATTCTCTCGAGCTGTTGAATCTGCCTTGGACTTTCCTTTCTCGCTCTGTTTCTTCTCTCGGCCTTTGTATTCTTGCAGAAACTTGCGACACTGGACTTGCAAACGTCGTACCACAGCCTAAAAGTCGATTAGCAATAAGCTTTTGAGAAACTGAATCGAATAACTCGCCATATTCGGGGATGGCTTAGCAATCTCTGTTTCCAATCGTCGACATATGGATCTATGGCCAGGATCCATATAGAGGCAAGGCTTTCCACCCTCATAGTTTTTATTCTCGCGAACGCAGCGACTGCACTTATTGCTAGCCGCTATGATGATGTCAGAAAATGATGGTATCAATCTATGGGAGAAGATGTATGTATATACTCGGGGTTGTGGTGCAAGAGGGCTTTTCCATGCCCTCCTTCCAACGGCCTAAATGATAGCAACATCTCCGACAAGGGCCTTGGCTGCTGTTAATCAGCTGAGCATCTGTTGGAAGAGAACACACATGTACTCACCGCAGTGGGTTTGAAGAACGACGGCTAGCTGAGACTTCAGGATTGGCAGAAGAGGTTTGCAGGACATCTTGCGCTGCGTCTGATCCATGAGAATGCGTGAATGATGCCATCTCCGCCAGCCAGCCGGTATGGCAAGGTTACAGTTCTGGCAACAAAGATATGAAGATCAATACAGCTCACTAGCCATCTCTTTCTTCGTGATGTCTCTTCCAAGCCTTGAGGGCACAACAAACGGAGTGACACTGCAAAGGCTGTGGGAGTTGGCTTGCCAACTGCCATCCAAGGTCACCTGACACTCAACAGCAGCCAAGGTCGCTGCAGATGCAGAAGAGAGAAAATGTATTCAAACTGCGATAAGAATGGAGCACTCTTATTTATCTATTTCGCTGCTGTTCTCAAACTGCTTATCCAGCCTGTGCGACTAAGCTGTGTGGTCTGAAGCTACTTGCACGGAAGGGCAGCATTCACACAAGAAAATCCGTATTTTTGCACTCCATTCATTACGTGCTCCGGATGAAATCATCTATGCCAAGAAACTTGAGAGATTTTCAGTGTTTACCTTGCAAGAATGGACAGGGTAAACACTGCCACTAGACATGAATAGTTCAACAATATAAAAATGTCTACATATGAATCAATCATCTCGCATTCTTCATTTCCGCCTACCTTTCTGTGACATGAATGAGATTCGGCTAGCATTCAATAAATTCAATTGCTAATACTAAAAACATAGGTCTGTGCTATGATTGCATTTGGCTAATACACAAGTATATACGGAAACGATGAGAATTGAGGAGGCTTCAAGTATACAATTGGAGCGTGAAATGGCAAATTACGAGAATTAATTCCGAACAACTTTTATACAGCATATATAAAATCTAATTATTCTCATTTTTTATTAATATTTTCCTTTTGCAAGCGTCATTGGCGAACATATTATACTCAACTATTATGGTGGGCTCTCATGCCATTTACTAAAATGGGTGCCGTGGCACTCAAGACAGCCTGGGCCCGGCTATAATGGATTCGGTATGTAGCCAGCATGTCTAAATTTTCCCTCGAAATATGAGAGACTGCATTTTGGAGGAGATGCTTATTGAAGTAGATATTTATTATGGCTTGCCCAATTTTGCTACTTACAGGTAGACGTAGAAGAAGCTGAGACAAATGCTATGAACAAGTACATGTACCTAGGTAGTGTTGAGCTTCGAAGAGCTTAGTACTAATGCTTGAAATTATCTCGTATAGGGGACTTTTGGCCAGCATTATCTTTCAGCTTACCGCAACGCTACCAATTATATCGCTTGCTACCAATTATATCTCTTACTTGAGAGGTAATTCGCCATCCGCCAGTTCGAATATCCGGTGTTTGGTGGTTTATAGCGGCTAATACGCAGCAAACGCCGTTAGTGCTGCCCGCGCTAAACCTCAGCTGGCCCTTCTGTAGATCCAGCGCCAACCACGTCATCTCGGCCGTCTTCCCAGCTGCATGCTAAATCCTCGCATCTACTGCTTCTTCTCACCAACCCACGCGATCAACCACGAGACTCATCCATCGCCGGCTTCAAGAAGAGCTGCAAGGGGCCACTTCACCTCGTCCTTAGGCCCTGCTAGGCACAATGGAGTCAATATCGAGAATCTCCGGCCTGCTGGAGGCTGGTGAGTCCCAAGCCCCGCGCCGATTGCGATTCGACTGAACGAAAGAGCTGACCGAAATCTGCCCAACTCGCAGCCAGAGAGCTCACGCTCGATGCGGCCCAGGCCACGCGCGGCATGCGGACAAGCTCCAAGCTGCTGGATCGCAACCAGATGCGCAAGCTGCTCGACAGCCGCAATGAGCGAGAGGTGCTGGAGGGGCTGCGGCGTGTCATCGCGGTGCGTTTCGCTCGCTGTTTGAAGCTCCTCGTGGACGTTTACTGACGAGCTGGTGCTGCAGATGATGTACCGAAACCACAAAACGCTACCCTTCTTCTCCTCCGTCGTCAAAAACGTCGCCTCGCCGAATCTCGAAATCAAGAAGCTCGTCTACATCTACCTCATCCGCCATGCCGAACAGGAGCCCGACCTTGCTCTGCTTTCCATCAACACAATCCAAAAGTCGCTCTCGGATACGAATCCCCAAGTCCGAGCTCTCGCCCTCAAAACAATGTCGGGCATCCGTGTGCCTGTCATCAGCCAGATTGTGTCGCTTGCCATCAAAAAGGGCGTCGCCGACATGAGCCCTCTGGTGCGCAAAGCCGCCGCTCTTTCGATTCCCAAATGCTACAGGCTGGATCCAAGCCAGTCTCCTCAGCTACTAGAATACCTGGCTACGCTACTAGGCGACAAGCAATACTACGTTGCTGGTGCCGCGGTGTCGGCCTTTTTAGAAATTTGCCCCGAGAGAATCGATCTGATACACAAACATTACCGCGGACTGGTCAAGAAGATTGTTGATATGGATGAGTGGAGCCAGCTGGCAACGCTGAAGTTGATGACGTACTATGCACGGAAATGCTTCCCTCGACGCGCTCAGCCAGTTGCCGCATCTGATGCCTCCCAAACCCAGACGCAAAGTAGTAATATTGACGACTTTTACGCCGAATCTACTTCATCAAAGCCTTCAACCCAACCGACATCACTCGATCCTGATCTGGCTTTGTTGTTGAACGGTATCAGGCCTCTGCTGCAGAGTCGAAACTCGGGCGTTGTTGTTGCAGTCACAAGGTGTTATGTCGACGTTGGAACTCCAGATCACCTCAAACACGCCATTGGCCCACTAGTTGCCCTCTTGAGGGGAGCTCAAGACATTCAACAAATCGCCCTATACAACATTGTTTCGGTTTGTCTCGTGCGGCCACTTGATTTTGTCAAGTATGCAAGCCACTTTTTAGTTAGAGCGACAGACAGTGCTCCGATCTGGGAGCTAAAGCTTGAGGTGTTGACACTCATCTTCCCGCATAGCCCAGTCCATGTCAAGAGCCTCATTCTAAAGGAACTGGAGCATTTCTCCCAGGGATCCAACAAAGCTCTTGTTCTGGAAGCGGTTCGAGCTATTGGCCGCTGCGCACAAGGCGACGCCACCACTGCTCCCAGATGCTTGAAATTACTCTTGAGTCAGATCACCAGCTTGGACGGAACGCTAGCCGCAGGATCTTTGACGGTCATTCGGCACTTGATTCAACAAGATGCGGAGGCACACGCCGGGACTGTAGTGCGCCTGGCTAAGAATCTCGATTCGGCAACTGACCCTCAAGCGAGAGCAACAATCATCTGGCTGGTCGGCGAATTCTCCGGCCTAAACGGGGAAGATAATATCGCGCCGGACGTTTTCCGTATTCTCCTTAAAGACTTTGCGAGCGAATCCGAGGCTGCGAAGCGTCAGATTCTACTACTAGGTGCAAAGGTCTATCTTCATCATTTGAATCGTAAGAGCGAGGCGGAGAAGAACAGAGTAGGAGAAGATGATGCTCCTATGGAGGAAGAGAAGCACCCCATTGAACGACTATGGGATTATGTCCTACTCCTTGTCAGATACGATGTGTCGTTTGACCTGAGAGACCGAGCACGCATGTACCGCGCCGTCCTCGCTGTGCCACAGCTTGCTACCCTGATGCTGCTCGCACCGAAGCCGGCTCCCCAAGCTCCAAGTCCGTCCGAGTCTCGAAAAGGATTTTTGCTGGGCTCTTCGACCCTTGTCTTGGCTGGAGGTGGTGGCCTACACGGTTTAAGAGGTTATGAGACTCTCCCGGACTGGGTTGAACCTGGCAAAGAGCCGGATCCCCGTCTACGTGAGCCTGATAGGGATGCTGCGGCGTCACGCTATGATAGTGATAGGCCTGCGGCAGCGGCAGCTGATAAGCTGGATGAGGCCGTTAGGTCGGCACCCGCTGGCAGGTCGAATGGGTTTGGAGAAAACCTTAGAACGAAGACATTGGATGATTGGCTAGCTGAGGAGGAAGGAGAGGAGGAGGAGGAAGAGACTGAAGAGGAAGAAAGTGAGGAAGAAGAGGGTGATGAAGAGGAGGACGACGATGAAGAGGAAGAAGAGGAAGAGGAAAGCGATGATGATGGGGAGGCGGACAGATTAGTCAAGGCATGATGATCAATCAAACTAGACACATATTTGAATAGAAGGCATGTGTTCTTGTATAAAGCAGGGTGGATCAACATTGTCAGTTATCTCAGCAACTACGTTTGTATATACTACAATGCAGAGTGAAAGAATACTTTCTACTAAGGGGAATCTATGATATATTTTGCAAGCAGATAAAATTCGTATATTGTATGAATAAAGCCCTTTTGCCGTATTATCATGAGCCAAAGTGAGGCAATCAAAGTAAAAGCAAACGCCAAATCTAAAAACCAAGATGCAAGTACTGGAACGAATTATGAAAAGGCGTCCCGGAAAAAATGGTATCTTCTAACCGTCCATCATCATCGTTCCGCCATGATCATTTCAACCTCTTTTTCTTCACCCAACGTAACGAGAGAGGGAAACTAGTTTTACGCAGCCACTTTGATGCCCTCGGTGGACGACAAGCCGTTTTCCAGCTTAATCTCCTCGGCGGGTCGCAGGGACTTTTGGCGGTCTCGGCGCATGTGCGGAAAGTAAATGCCTGGGTGGAAGACGACGAGCAGGAAAGTGGCGACGAAGATGAGGGTGCTGTCGAGGACGAGGAAGCTGGGCTGGTCTTGCATGATTTTGTTGCCCCAGCCGCCGGCCATTTCAGCAATACTGTGATGAGATACTCGTTAGTTGTTTATTCTGAAGTATTCATTGTATGATGGCAAGAATGAGGAGAGGAAAATCATACCGGTAGATGCATCGGATCAAGATGACAAAGTAAGCAGTAGAGATGGCATAGCGGAATTTCTTAAAGTTGCCGTCGTGCCACAGCTTCCATCCATCCGTGTTCTGGGCCTCCGGGAGAGTCATGTACTTCCTCACGCGAACATAGTAATCCGTGCTGAGGACTCCAAAGGCGATGAGCACGACGACCTGCAGCGCAACGCCGGCAATGATGGCACGGTTTCCGGACTCGGTCAGCTTGGGGTTGGTGTCGCCGCCAGCAGCTGCGATGCCGCCACCGATGGCCTGGACGATGAGGCAGCTCAGGTCGGCGGGGAGGAAGATGATGGGGTACCAGCGGGGCTTGATGCGGGAGACGGCGGAGTTGAGGTTGAGGGCGACGTGCTTGAGGGTGAGATAGATGGAGACGCAGATGAAGGTGGGTGCGAGGATGATGGCGCAGATCTGCAGTTGGAAAGCACCGCTGTTCCAGGGGTTGGAGTTGAGCTGGATGCGACCAATGTAGCCTATTGAGAGTGTAAGTGAGTTGGCTTGTATATGTGTGTATATAAGTGAAGAATATGAAGAAGAAATGGCGGGATAACAATGCTGTGTAATTGGAGAGATGTATCACGTACCAAGCATTTCAAGTAGTAGACCGATGGACAGGCCGATCGCATATGTATACGTCTTCTTCCATATTCCCAGAACAAGAGAGCCGACTGTCAAGATGCCAAACACAATGGCGAAAAAGATGCCCGATCCCAGATTGGGATAATATCCCAGCACTGTGGCGCCGACCGGGCACAGCGCCGATATCTCTGTGCAGTCTCCGTGCGCCATTGTGTGCGAGTCGATGTACGCGCTCTCTCGACGATACGATGGATGCCGTTTCCAGATGGAGTAATCGGATTAGTAACCCTCTTTTTTCTCTCTTCTGTCCTTCGGCCTGCTTTCCCCCTATGATGGACCTCTTTTTGTCGTCGGGTTTCGGAATCCGGAAGCGTCGGTTCCTTTAGGCGTTTCCCGTTATGAGCCGGTCAAGAGCTGGAGATGTCGACCAAGGTCAAAATATCCAACAAACAATCAGTGACTTTGACCAAGACAAAAAGCAACCAGGAAAGAAGGAAAGAGAAAAAGAATGAGCATGGGGAATGGGCTGAATCCGATATATACGGATTATGCACCCGCGCGCCTTATTAACCATGGGGTTCAGGCCAACCCCGAATTCCCAATCAGCGGCTCCATCCACTTCCAAAACAGCTAAAAAACAAGGGCAGAGGGATTTCGCATGCAACCGCCCCCCTCCCTCCAATCGAATCCATCCAACAAACGATCCTTGCCTGCTGCAATCGTCAGCCAAATTTTTTTAGCTCCTTGAGCCGCGCTAGAAGAGGGCGGATAGATTGGCCGAGAGCAAGACAAGAGGATCGGCTTTGCCTGCTTGTTTGATGCTAATTCGTTCGGATGGTCCCCCTTCCGGACCAACCTTCTTTTTTCTTCTTTCGTGTCTTTCTTTTTTGCCTTCTTTGAGGAGCCCACATGGCAGCGTTGCTTGGTTGCTTCACCGGCAGGGCTGCACAAACCTTAAACAGAGCTGCCTAGTCTGCTAGACCGCAGCTTTTTCCATTCCCGGTGTAGTGTAGAGCCTCTCGAGATATCGTATCGAGCCGGCATACCCCCAATGAAGGATTGCGTGCCTAGATGCCATCATTCGTATACCCCCGTGTTTATCGCCTCACAGACCCCGTCATCCTTCAGCTTTCCCCAGAGCGCTCGAGCATCGATGACGGCACGTCCGAATAGCCATTGTTGAGCGTCCATCATGGAGGTCAACAATAAGGCCAGGCTTGTGCGTGCCTGTCAGCATCTTCGTCACGGATCACCAAGCGAAACGGCGGCAAAAAGCCACAAGCCGCAAGTCATCCCGTGCGCCGAACCGTCGCAATCAGGTCCAGACGCCACCCGTTGGTAGCGAAGAGGTAAAAAAACGAGGCTCCACAGAGGCAAAACCGCCCATATACGCGTGTGGAGGGCCACAGCGGCCGCCCTGCAAAAAGTAAGCACTCGCGAATGACTAGCATGTTGCTTGGGAAGAGATGCTAGAGAGATTGCCAAGTCCGCAGGGGTTCGGGTTCGGGCTAATTCTAGAGTCCACCTGTAAGAAGTGCAGCAATACGGCCACCTAGAAGGTGAATACGGCCACCTATAAGAAGTAGAGCAATACGACCACCTATAAGAACTACAGCTATACAGCCACCTGTAAGAAGTGAATACGGCCACCAGGAGAAGTGAATACGGCCACCTATAAGAAGTGCAGCAATACGGTCGCCAAGAGGTGACTAAGCAGGCGGCTGAGACATTGAATCCGAGAATGTACAGTAGTGATCAAAGAAGATTGGAAAACACAAAAGGATTCAGCTGAATCCGGAATCCTGCGCCGACTTTTGAAAAATGAGCCTTTTCCAGCCTTAGTTGCCAGCAATAATGCTGCACATCATCTGCGCTCAAGTACGTGTATGGCCCCGATAATGAGGCTGTGCGATCCGTCCATGTGCGAATCTCGATCTAGCCAGGATCTGCAGTTTCGCCAGCAGAGCAAATGCATGAATCCCATACCAGCGAAATGTCCACCGCGTCTTTCTCATCTCCGAACCGATTATGCATCCGAGAGATAAAGGTCACCTTGGCATGGGCTCGAGCAATGCTTTTGTTGGGTCATTGCGCAACCCTTTATTCCCCAGTTCGTGCTATCAAGCACGCCATTCTCAACACAACATAGTTCTTCCAAATTAAGTTTCATTAATTCGTTACTTGTTCTTTTTTATCTTTACTCCTCCTTGCCTCCCATATATCTATAAACAACCGAAAAGTCCCGGTTCTTGCAATCCTCCCTCTCCGCTGCCTTATCATACATGCCAAAGCCCACCGTTCCAAGCTCCGTCTTGGCCTGAGCCGCCTCAGCAGCCACCAGCGCCAACCGAAGATCCTTTCGCATCAACGATATGCCAAATCCACCGCGATAGTCGCGGCTGGCGGGAGCATTCTCGAGAACGCCCTTGACGGGGTTGTTGATCTCGCTCGGCCAGCATCTACCCGTGCTCACATTCAGCACGTTGGCGAGAACTTTGGGATCCAGGCCGCATCGAATTCCCAGGTTCATCGCCTCTGCTGTGGCAATGTTGTTGAGGGCTAGGAGGTAGTTGTTGGCCAGCTTTGCTGACAGACCGGCGCCTTGGCCACCGCAATGCAGCACCTTTTTGCCCATGAGGAACAGCGTAGGTTCGACGCGAGGCAAGATGCTGGATTCGGCGCCGAGCATAAAGGTCAGAGTACCGGCTGTGGCACCGACAACGCCTCCGGACATGGGCGCGTCCACAAACGTGCCCTGTCCAGCATCTGTAACGGTTTGGGCTACTTGCCGTGATGTTGTCGGGTCAATTGTGGAGCAGTCGATGAAGAGGCGGTCCTTCTTGGGGAGGGAGCTCGTCAGGATGGAATCGTAGACGCCTCGTACGTGCTGAGGTTCTGGCAGACAGGTGATGACTGTGTCCTATTGTTGGATCTCATGTCAGCATAGGTCTATGGGACATGAATTATAAACACGGAAATGAAAGCAGCAAGAAGTAAATGGTGAGCAGTGGCATTATCAATAACCAATGGGCTGTGTGCTACGTCGTGGCAGCCAAGGGGCCGACAGAAGCCGCTCAACCTCTGCTGCCATCGGAATGCGGTGAAGATTCCTAGAGCCATTGGCGATGACTTACAGCTTCTTTAGACGCATCATGCGCGCTTGCTGCAATATCAACAGCAGCTCCCGACGACGCAGCCTTCATCTCTGCCGAAAGACTCTCCAAAGCCGTCGGATTGACGTCAAAGATGGCGACTTTGTCTGAAGGCTTGAGCTTGGACTGTAGATTCTTGGCCATTTGGTAGCCCTATAAGCAGCGGATGTTAGTATATCATTCTACCATGGACAATGAATGCCATGGCTTATAGCTGAGCGGCGCCAAACAAGTCATGAAGGCTCAATGAGAAGCTCACCATCTGGCCAAGCCCAATAAAGGCATAATTGTCCAACCGCCTCGACGTGCTCGCAAACCCCCTCCTCTGCACCAGACCTCCCAAACGTGTGACGGCGACTCTCATACTGGGCCAATTGATAACAACAAAATTCCTCGCGTAAAGGTAGAATCAAGCAAAGTAAGCGGAAACAGAAAAAAGATGAAAACAAGCCGCAGCATTAAATGGGATGAGACAGATCCCAGGGCAAAAGGTCAAAGGCCGAGGATAACACATCCGAAGCAGGAACAATGTGGGGGTGGATCAAGCTCCCCCGCGAAAGCCGCACATTGCCGGTGCCAGCCATTCCGGGGATGCCTAGTTCCGAGTACCTGCGGTCGGTATGGGGAAGAGATGCATGGCCTGGGTACTCCCTTGTTACGCTGCTTATGCGCAGGAGCGCTAACTTGCTGCATTCCAGCCCGAACGCTACCCTATGAACGCAGCATGAAAAGAAGAGAAAGAGATGAATACCTTTTTCAACCAGTACAACTTGGACGATGAACAGTAGCATGAATAGCAGTATGCTCGGTACTATTGTATCTAGGATGTAGAAAGAACAGGCTGTTGAGTTGGATAATGTCAAACTCGCCATCTTGATACTCGTAGAAACGCCACAATACTTCACCGAGTCGGGCCAAGTCAAGCCATCGCCAAGCTTCTTCAGAGCACCGAGGTAACACAAGACCCCAGCAAAGATTAACCCACACAAGCATGCTTCCTTTAACGTGAGATTTCCATTTCCTCTTTAATTCTGTATTACACCAGCCATTCCCTCTTTCAAACCATCCCCTCCTCCCTCCCTCCCTCCCTCCTCCTCTCTCTCAATTCCTCCATTCTTCCCATAAACTTCCCATGCATTTATCCATCCGCCATATATGTGAGCAACACAGAAAACCCTCGTGGGACGACAAAAGACTCTGTCATATAAAAAAAGACAGACAAATCCATCATCAGATCCACACACACACCACACACATACACCCACCGTTCGTTATACCGTCTGCTCAATCAAGAAGCGAAATATCGTCAATCTTTCTTTCTTTCCTTCTTTCTTCGATTCCTTTCTGTTTCTTTGTTTCTTTCTTTACTCTCAAACAGAAGAATAAAGAGGTTTATAATCTCGCGTTTTATCATACTCTGCCAATCGGATGGCAGAGAAGAAGAATAGCTTTCAACAAGGGTCGAATTCCAACGAGAATTGTAGAGAATAACGTTATGTCCAACGAAAGAGAAGTCTCGCACAAGGAAAAACATAAAAATGATAAGGAGGTAAGGAAATATGTTTCGGCTTTGGGGAAAGATCATCTCTTCCCCCTGTGGTGTGGAAAAAAGAGTAGAAGAAAAAAGGAAAAAAAAAAAGATAATCACAGACAGATTAAAGGATGACAGGTAAAAAAAAAAAGGAACAAAAACGTTATAAAAGAAAAAACCAAAACCGCGCCGTTCCCATCCTCATTCAGCCGCCATAAAGATCAATTTATCGTTCTTTCAGAGTCAGATTTCACAGGACACAAAAACACATGGCCACATTTCTTTCCGTTGTTTTATAGGAAGTTTGCAAGCCAAGGCACAAGCGCGCTGCAACATCGTTAGTAAATGACAAGTAAGACGGACAAGGTGCGAGGAGAAGGAAAAAACATACCCAACTGCTACTGTGGCGCCAATGCCAAACAGGGCCCTCTTCTGTATCCTGCCCTTGCGAACCTCGACCTCGGTCTTGATTTTCTTTGATCGGGGAGCGTCTCCAGCCTTGTCGTCTCCTTCGGCAGCTCCGTCCTCTTCGCCAGTGTCGGTAGCCTTCCGCTTGCTCTTTGAGAGAGCCTTGGTCTGAGCAGCCGCTTCCTTAGCAGCTTCATCAGCCTTGGCCGCCAGATCCTTATCTTCCTGCACCATCGCCTTGGCGGTGGCCATCATCTGTGCAATCTCATCTGCGCTGGGGGGCTGGCCTGCCGTGAAGGGGAGCTGAGCAGAGGCATCGGCAATCTCGGCCTTGGCCAAGGCCGGCTCAAACTCTGTCGACTTCAAAACCGCTTCTTCCGTCTCTTCTACAACCTCACCCGCGATCACTTCTGGAATTGGTGTTGTCTCAACAGGCGTAGCCTTTTGCCTGGAGGAGCGCTTTCGAGGAGACGCAGTTGAGCGTCGGGTAGTCGTGGTCTTTGTTGGGCTGGCCGACCGACGGCTACGACCGCTTCGCGTGGTCGGAGTGGGAGAAATAAGCTGCGCAGGCGCCTTTAGACGATCGAACTTGGGCGGTGCAGTAATGGTCTTGGGCGAGGCATCAGCGGGCTGGGTGGTGGAAATCTTGGCCGCGTCGAGCAGGGCCTGGATCCAGATGCCAATGTTGTACTCTTCCGCGAGGGTGAGAGCAGCTTCCGGGGGGATCCAGATGTTGCCGGCAGTCTCCTCGGGGCTCGTCGTCGCCTGGGCCTTGATGTATTTACGCTCCGTCTCTTCCTCCGCGGCCGTGGCGTAGGGAAACGTGGCCTTGAACATGCCGGTGGCGGAGATGTATCCGTCAAAGCTGCGGCGCATCAGGAAGTAGCTGTTGGGGCTGGACTTGAAGATGCCCGACACAATGCCCTTGGGCAGCGGCGCGCGCAGATGGGCGTAGTCAAAGAAGCCCAGCGCGCCCGAGTCGGCCTCTTCGCTGCCGACCATCTTAGGAGTCAGCTTGGTCTGGCCGAGACGGCGGCGCGACACGAGCTCGGAATCTGCATGTTGCACGTTAGTCGTCAACTTCTCCTCGGGCGCATCGGCAGCCGGAGTCTTGGATCTACATACACGGAGGCACATCGTCGATGAGAAGCGGGTTGCGCTGCGCTGGTAATGATCTTCCTGCGGCGGGGGCCATTGTGAGATTTCCGCTTTGGGCGCTGCGAGCCAGAACAGATAAGCCTTGTGTCGATTGTCACGGCGCAATGCCTTCGAAACCAGAGGCAACTCCTTACAGGCCGCTAGAGTCAATGCAAGACAATTAGGCGCGCGGAAAGCTGCTGCAAGTCGACGGTCTGATGCGACGAATATCTGTCAGTCCTCAAAAGCCCGAGCCGTTGGATGGGGGGTGGTTTTTTTTTTTTTTTTGCCCAACGTCGCGCAGGACGAGAGTTTCGCATACATGAAAAAAAAAGCAGCTACTAACAGCAGACAGATGCGCGCGGCGCGTTGGGTCACAAAGGTCAATGCACCTAGGGAAAAAAGACAAGACAAGAGATGAAGTCGAAAGCCGGGGGAGGGCCTCGGCGATTGAAGCCTGATCAAGACGCAGAGGCAGCGCGGAGAGGCCAATGAGCGGGATGGTGCTGGTCGGGCTAGCAAATGAAAAAGGGTGAAGAGAAAGATTCCCTCGCGATGGTGGGTGAGGCCAGACGTCGCGCAAATTGCCAGGTGCGCCTGATCTGGCCTGGCCCCGGGGTGCGCCTCCGCTGCTAAGGCATGTACAGGGTACCACTTTTTGCTCGGTCGGGTACATCGGTAGGGGTCTTGCGTGAGGGGCCCTCGCTGAGAACACGGTAGCGCCCAGCACAGGCGCAAGCACTTGAGCGTAGCTGCCCGCCGTGCACTAGAGCCGGCCACCGCACCACCAGAGAGGGCCGCTAGAAGCCACGGTGCTGGAACCGCTGACAGCCCGCTTCAACTTGTTGGGAGTGCTAGCCGTCGGTTAGTGGCGTGGCGTGGATGGGCGAATGTGAGTACCGAGCCGTGTGTTTTGTACATTGTAAACAATGAGGCGTTCTGGTTGGCGAGCAGCGGCACTGCAGTTCTGCGGCCAGAAACAGCTGAGCTCCAGCTCGCTGCTCTTCTCCCTGCAGCCCGGCACATCAGCGAAAAGCCACAGCAAGTGCCGCTGCTGCTAACACGGCTCGATAACCCGGTACGAGCAATTTTGCCGGCGCAATAGTGTGCCCTTGGTGTACCGCGCTAGTGCCTGGCAATAACATCACTTGACAACCCCGTCTGGCCTGTTTCCAGGGTAATGCCATCGCCTGGCCTCGCCCGCTGAAGCGTCTCCCAAGCCCAGCGCCTCAACCCCTGACGACGACCCCCCCTCAAAATTCCCTAGAGCTGTCGCCGAGCCGCTGCGGCCAATCAGCCGCCAGCCATCGCCGTCGACCCCACCTGCCGCCCGGGCTGCCCCTCCATTATGGCAGTGCCACTATCACCACTTGACCGACATGTTTTCTTCTCCTTTCGATCCCCATCAGCAGCGCCGTGTAGAACAGCATTCTTTTCCTCTCTGTTTCGTTTCTTTGCTTCTCTTTGACCGTTTCCGCGCAGCCTTTGAAATATCAAGATGGCTTCCCACCACGACGATGATACCATGCCCGAGCAGACGGAGGGCTACAAGCTCTCCCAGCCCAAGCAGAGCTTAGCGGAGTACCACCAGATGGGTAGGTTGAGCTCTTCTTTTCCTTTGTTGTAGCTGCCTTGAGGTGGAGAAGGAGGTTGAGGGAGATGGACAAGCTCCAAGAGCTTGCTGCTTTTTGGGAACTGTTCTGTTGCGTTGCTTCAGTCAGGTCTGGGTGCGCAAGGATGGCTTTGTATGACGAAACATACCTCAGAAGCAGCATCTCCTAAATGCAGATTCCACCTCTCTTGCCCTCTTTGCCCTCAAACATCTCCACCATCATTGTCGCCGCGTGTACTTACTTTCAAATTCAAAAGATGCCGGTGACGAGTCCCTCCAGCGATACAAGCAGTCCCTTGGCCTCGGCGGCGGCACCGATCTCTCCGACCCCAGCGATCCCCGAGTCTGCATCATCCTCTCCCTGACCATGAGCTCTCCCGGCCGCGATCCCGTCACCATCGAGCTCTCTACCCCTGGCAGCGAGAAGACGCTCAAGGACAAGCCCTTCCAGATCAAGGAGGGCGCCAAGTTCACCATGAGCGCCGAGTTCAAGGTCCAGCACGAGATTCTCAGCGGTCTGCACTACGTCCAGGTCGTCAAGCGAAAGGGCATCAAGGTTTCCAAGGATTCGGAGATGATTGTTAGTTGGAACACGCCCAAGCCTTTAAAAGGGGCTTTTTGTTGGAATAGAGTGCTGACAGACGAATGCAGGGAAGCTACGCTCCCAACACCGACAAGCAGACCACCTACGTCAAGAAGTGTACGTATCAGCCCATCCTTGACATGAAAGGAAAAAGATATTTTGCTTACAATATCCGACAGTCCAAGAGGAGGAGGCTCCTTCCGGAATGCTCGCCCGTGGCCACTACAACGCCATCTCCAGCTTCGTTGATGACGACAAGAAGAAGCACCTCGAGTTTGAGTGGAGTTTCGATATCGGCAAGGACTGGTAAATCTTTGGTTTATCAGCATTTCGAAAGAGTTTGAAAATGGGCATTTGTTGTTGTCGCCGTCTCCTGGTTTTTTGCATTCGTTTTTTCATTTTTACCCCGCCCCTCATCTTACCTCTGCTATCTCACGAGATATGAAGACATCCGATCTACCTATAAAAAACAACACACATTTTACACACATCAAAATGCAGGATACCGAAGCTGCGGTTCCCTGGTGGAAAAAAAGAGAGCTTAGCATAAATTCTCAATCAAATACATAACATTTTGAACATGGGACCGGTAGATGCTGTGACATCTGCCTTCATGCTCTAGTGCAACACGCAATTCTATATATGATGACAGAAACTGAATGCAATTGGTTGCATGGTACAATGAATGGTATATTAGTGGTACATGTATTTGGCGGCATTATGACGATGGATATGATGGATTATGGCGAGGACGGCTGTGAAAGATCCAACGACTTTCTCTTTCTGTTATAAGAAGTAGTCGGGTAGCGAATTTCCATCCGCGGCTTTCTCGAGCCCCTGCTGCATATCCTTGTGCTGGTCATTCTCGGGGGCCGCAGCAAAGACGTTGAAGAATCTCTCGCCTTGCGTATTGACCTCCAACACGCTGGCCATGTTGCCACATCTGTAGCAGTAATTAGGGGCGCTCCAGACGGTGCTCAGACGATCGTCGTAGAGCACCTGGTATCCTTCCTGGCAGAGCTGGTGGGCCCGGAGGATGTGAGACATGTTGTTTACGGCCAGGAACTTCTTGACGACTTGTGCGCCAAAGGTATATCCCGCGCCTCGCGGGGAGAGGGAGAATTCGTCTCGGTCGGGATCTGGATCAGACCAGACGAGATCAGCCATGGGGCCCTCGTGGGGAATTTCTCGGAATCGGTCTATGATTTTGATCTGGTCGATGGAGTGAATGGAAGGGGAGAGACCTGTTTATACAACTCTCGCCGTTAGTAATCTCAAACGTTTTTTCCACGTTTTGACGGGGCTCTGGTTCTGAGACTTACCTCCGTGTACGCAGAAGATCTGGTTGTCGATGACGACGCTCAGCGTCAAAAAGTCAAACATGTCTGTGAAATAATGCCATACATTGGCATTGCCGTATTTGCGTGAGCATTCGGTGTAGAATCCATAGGATTGGGTGACGCCGCGCGACTCGTGGTTGCCGCGGATCAGGTGTACACGTTCGGGGTATCGTAATTTGAGGCACACGAGCAGCGATATCGTCTCTACGCTGAACATGCCGCGGTCGACATAATCGCCTATTTCCCGTCTGTCAGTCCAAGACCTTGTTATCCCTATACCTATGCAGTCTTTGTGTGTACGAACCTAGGAAAAGGTAGTTTGTGTCAGGGCAGTAGCCGCCGATTTTGAATATCTCAATGAGGTCGTAGAACTGGCCGTGGATGTCGCCGACAACGGTGATTGGGGCCTTGACGTGCACCACGTTGCTCTCGCGCATGAGAAGCTCCTTTGTCTTGGCACATACTGCCTCGATGACGGACTCGGCCAGCAGTTCTTTCTTATAGAGGCGCGAGATGCACTCGTCCAGGTCGACGGAGGCTATGAGGGGGGAGTCATGATGTGTCAGAGCCGCTGTCGCTTGCGAGATGGCTAGAGAGACAAAAGAAGGCTGCCAGGGACTTGAATCTCACCTGGTAAAGACGGCATGGTGGTGGTAGAGTTATATCGATAGACAAACTGAAGTCGCAGAAGCTGTTTTGACAATTAAGCGGATGGTCGCACCAGGCTGCACGTCGACTATACGGGGCCGGCACTCTTGAAGCTCATCCAGGTAATAGTCGGCGCCGTGCAATGGTGGTGGATGGAGGGGCAGTGGCCAGGTGCTGCACCAACATGATCGAGGGGGAGTTTAAACCGCACGCGATCTTTCCAGATGCAAGGCTGGGCCAGGGCAACGGGCGATGGCTCCGTGCAGCGCAGGTTGGCGATGGCGACGGCGATGCGAAGGTGGCCACAATGACGAGGTTTGGTTCGCAGCCAGGCAAATGAAAATGCGGCCCGTTGGCATTTAGCAGCCTTGCCTTGCTGAGAAATTGCGGATTGACAGCGCTTCCCGCCGCTAGCGCTGCCGATTTTACAGCGGTTGGTGTTGGCGGTACTTGGGATTACGTAGGGGTTCGCATACAGATGCTCGGTATCTCGGTATCTTGAGCTTGACACTTGCTGGTACAGCTGCAAGGGGGAAACATGCATCGAGACACTTCATTCAGCAAGATTGCCGTCGCTGGTATTGGCGGTTAACTCTTTTTACCAACAATCTGCTCGGCAAAAACGTTTCTTCGTGTCTCTCGCCTAATCCAACACGATTCATCAGCAGTTGCCTGGCTTGAACGTCGCACTGTTCATGCTGTGTAATGTCCACTGCCAATGCCCGAGTTACACTGAACAAAGCCACGGATTTTCTTCTAATCGATACAAGGCAATGGCCCAAAGCTGAGAAAACTCGTCTCTTTTTATGCGCCTCAGCAGACACCTGAGCAAGGTTGGGGTCATGTCTCTCTGAGGAAGCGAATTATCCACCCATTTGGCGCCCTTTGCGCGCCGCCCAAACCGACTAATCGTCTCGGGTACTTGTTTTGAGGCCTCTGCGGCCTGCTAGGAGCAGTGCTGGCGTCCTTCTAAGCCACTGAATTAAGTTTCATGCGCAACACAGGTAAGTCCCAATCGCGATGGCAGTCTCTTGCAGCACCCAGTTTTGGTTCTTCTCTTCCATACACATTTTCCATCCCGTCCCATCTCCTGTTCAAACACGACGCAACACAACCGCTCTTTCAGAACATCCTCATGCAACAGGACGCAAAGCTGAAGCATCCCATCTCGCCTCTCAACTCTACGTTGATATAGCCGCGGCTAAAATTCGGAAATCCAGCTCCATCTGCAAGATCGGTGGCCTGTGCGCAGCCTCACGTGGCGGCTGATCCAACGCGACTCTCTCGATTCCGTTTGCCTGTCTGCTAAACGGCTGGCTCAGCGGCGCTCTTTTCCAGGCTGATCATTCGGTACTCTCTTTTGTTTCTGCAGGAGCCTCGGGCCTCTGACGCTGTGGATGAGACATTTTATCCGTGCGTCTCGAAACGGCTTGGGGAGGGGGTTCTGTTCATAAAGGGGGTTCAAGGCATCTGGGCCGTCTTGTCCAATACAAGGTCATCCAGGTATGGTGCCTCGCCTGCGCCTTGTGTAATGTGACGAGATTCTGATCTGGTTTGGCGCTCAAGCGACAAGGAATCTCATTCTGTGTGTGAGTCCTTGGCGAGGGATCAGTGAGAGCTCCCATTTCCTTGGTTTCAACCCTCTCTTTTTGTCACCAACTATACAACCTCCTCCAGTCGTTGTCGGTTCCGCCGTCCATCTAAAGCGTCTACGGCCGACAACTTACCTCACAGCCTAACCAACTCCCCCCATTCTAATACTCATCGCCCTCCATCGCCAAAGAAATGGCTGAGCCTGCGCAGGGCTATTCAGGGTCTGATGACCCGTCATGCTACAACTGCGGTCTCAGCGGCCACTGGGCTGTTGCTTGTCCGGAACCGACAAGAAGGACTCCTGCGTAAGCTCACTGCCCCTTGTTCTGATTTGACGTTACTTTTTCAATTTCGACATATTCCTCTTCTTGATTCCAATTACCGTGTCTCTAACATGTGCAATCTACAGTGGCCTTGCCAGAGCCAATGCCTTGAGGAACTCTCCAAACACCCCTCAAGGTAATGTCCAACATTCTCACAGAGGCCCAAAGAGGTCAAATAAGGGGCCCATCATCACAAAATATGCACCCCCTCCTCCGCCACCACCTTCGCTGCCTCATTCATCCATAGGACATGGTGCGCCGCCATACCCACCACCCGCTGGGCCAGCATATCAGCAGCCGAGCCCTCAGTTCCAGAACTCTTATCCTCATCATCCGCCTCCTATTCACTACTCAGCCAGCTATGGTCCTCCAACATATGCACCGCCGCAGTACCTTCCATCGTCTTACGGTGCTCCTCCTGCTGCCCCAGTAGGATACTCGGCTCACCCTCCTGTGCCACCAGCACCAGCGCCCGCTTCATATCCTCCCTCCTATGGCTCATATCCACCACATGTTGGGCCAGCTGGCTCGCCTGGCTACCCTCCCCCGGCTGCGTATCCCCCTTCTTATCCGCAGCCGCCATATGGACCGCCCCCTGTTCATTATCCTCCTCGTGGTGCGCCTATACATCATCCTCCCCCGGCAGCAACGCCTCCCAAGCCGCCGCGTTCTTCTCATACGCCGCACTCTGCATTGAAAGAGCCCATGAATGCCTCTCTTCCACCCAAACCCCCCAAAAGCATCCATACACAACATGAGCCACAACGTGATCATAGGAATAAACGAAAACACGACCGCCAAAACAACAAGCATCGTGACAACAGACGTAAAGATCAAGGGGGCCGGCGTCGCTCTCAGCAGAAGATGCAAAACAAGGCCAATCATTCTGGCTCAGCTGCTGGATCTTCACGGAAGGCACCGGCGCCGGCTAACACAAACGGCTCCAAAGATCCCAACCTTTCATCAGCATCTGGCTTGGAAAAGAATGCTAGGGCTGAATCCGAAGCATCAACAAACACAGTTGAGATGCCACCACTCAACAATAGAGAGGAGTCTCACCAGGATGATGGCCAGTCTCCCGAATCTCATGCTAGGGAGCTTGATGAAGAATCTGTAGTTGCCGAAGAGGTAAGTACAATGAACTAATTGTGACATTGAAACTGCCACACTCTCCTTTGAACGAATGCTAATTATACCGAATTACAGCATTTCGAGAATCACACAGGAGACGAGTCGGAGAATACGGCTCAGGGACTTGTAACCAAGACTGGAGCAGTGTCAGCAGGCGATGACGAACCATTTTCTCAGAATCCTCAAGACAGCGGATATGACAATATCTCAACTCCAAGTAGTCATCAGTCTGACAAGCCCCGTCCAAACGGTAAACACAAGCGCTTGGATGACGAGTCAGGAGATGAGAAACGGCCAAAGAAAGCAAAGTCTTCGGACTCCTTGACGGATGGTCAGAATGGCGCTCAAAAAGGCAGTCGGAAAGAAACACGTGATGATGCAAGACAAGCTCAGGGCGATAATAGCCCACCAGGGCGAGATGAAGAGGATGATCAAACTTTGCCCACGCTAGAATCTCGTTCTCGTTCTCGCTCTCGCTCTCGCTCAAGGGAACAACATCAGAAACCTGGGTCCAAATCGAGGAATTCGTCGGTCTCTAGTCGATCCTCCGACTTGAATTCTCTCGAAGCTGAGCTTTTAGGGCGACCAGATAAGAGGTCCTCTGCAGAACCAAGCCCCCGTCAACGGCGGGATAGCTTGACGATACCAAAGACGCAACGACGCCGCCAACGGAATGCAGATTCTGCATATAGGTAAGAGCCGAGAACTTGCTCTACGGGTTGACATGATATGAGTCCTAACATGAATGTAGTCGCCGCTGGTGATGCACCTTGCCATTCACCCGAATGACAGCTGTAGCAAAGAGCAACATGTCTATTGGCTCATTTATAACTGCCCATCTCCTTTCTGAACTGAAATTAGAGACGTTTCTTCTCGATTTCAATGTCAATAAGGCATGCTTATTGTCTCCAGAAACTCTACCTCGTACTACTTCCAGAGGCGATACGCCGTATTTTCTTCCTACTTTCTTCTTCCTTTTTACTTCCAGATCTGCATGGGACTGTAGACTTTTGTCAGAATAGCCGCGGTGAAGTATTGCTGGCTTCTATTTTCTTTTCGTATTACTACTAGTAAGGCTACTTATTAGTTTGCATGGTTGGCGTTTTGTTAGAATCTACGAGGAATGAGTGAGTTATCATCGAATCGTTTCTCCTTCTTTTTTCACAAGAAGCCTCGAAACCTTTGTTCTGTAGAAAAATCTGGTCCTGGATAATGTTTGTCTCGTTAAATTAGAGAAAAGTGCAACACTTGCTTGAAGATACTTGAAACCTTGTCAATGTCTTTCCTCTATTTCATATTAATTTGTACGCTCTATGTTGAGTTTGTGATTGACTGTCAGGATTTCTCTTCATGAACTTGTGTTGGGATCACGATTAGCCAAAGCTCTTGATTCAATATTGTTCAGAGTCGTAGACTCACAGGCCACTCCACTTGAGTTTCTTTTGTGGTTCATAAATAATGTGTAGATATACAAAAAATCTAATGCAAGAAGTTCTATCAAGATGAAGACAAATGATTCTGTAACTAATATTGTTATGAAGCTCTTGCACACACCGCTACCCTGCATTCTAGGCCTAGCTATCGGCGAGTTGTAAATGAAACAACAACCAGGTCTCCTCTTAGCCGTCGATCAATAACATCCGATGAAAAGATGAGACAACCTGGTTGGACAGGACGACCCCATTGAAATATTTGCATGTCGCGTGATGCCGATGCAAGAGATGGCTCACTTATCACACCCGATGCGGCAATGCGCAATACAGCACACTTTTCACGCCTTCGTGCCTGGAACAGTCGCCGCTATGGGGCATTGTAGTATTTTACAAGTATGCACATACTACATGTATGTAGCATGTAATAGCTGCATTGCAGCAGTCCATGCAGAATACCCTTGAACAATGCTGCCACACCGGACGTACAGATGCTTGGCATTAATTGGTGAAACGTAAAAAGCTTTTTTTGCGGTTGAGTCAGTGATCGGCAGTTGAGAGCCGCTATTCTGGTCAAGGGTCGGTGTTTAGGCGCAGATGCAGGCTGGGGGGTGGTTTTTAGGCCCGGCATTAGGGTCGTATTCGAGGGGGAGGATTTCATATATTTTAGCGCTAGAGGGTGCAGTAGTTCCCGCTTTATGTTGCAGCACGCCGTCGCGTCCTTTGGAGTCGATTGTAGTCGCAGCGTTTCATTGATATGTGGATGCCTGAAGGGGCGAGTTTGCTGGGTATTCTTCTTTTTATAGCAAGAATGCATGTAGATACAAGTCTATTTCTTTGAGCCGTTTGGGTTAGGCTACATGACGGGAATAGCTCGCCCGGGAGAAGAGGTACGACTACAACACAGCTATTAAGAGTTTACTATTCATTGGACTCTACTCGACTGTGCCCTATTGTTGATAGTTTTTACAACTCTTGACACAATTTGACCCAATAGTTAATTTGCTAGGTTCCTGAGCTATTACTGCTACTGCTATGGTTCGTGGTTGTACATACAGGACGCTGCTATCAAAAAGAATCCAAATCAAAACCAAATGTCGCTTCAAATCAACACAGCTCGCTATTTGATGAGAAAGACAAACAAAAAGAAGGAAAAAAGAGCACACATGGGAAATAATACATGCCGGGCCAATAAAGTGCAGGTACAAAAATGGAAAAGCGTGGCAGTTGCCCCAAGACGCTCGGTACCTGAGGCAGACAGATAATGCACAGCCACGACCTTCTGAAGAGCTTCGTCTAAACATCGCATCAGCTTCAACAATCACACAATAAGATACTCAAAGCCTCTCTCCTTCAAGCCCTGCAGCCAGTTGGAGCTGATCTCGCCATTGGAGCCCCGGGTGTCTTGCAGCTCCCAGGCCGCTTTCAACAGCTCAATGGCTGTGAACAGATAGCCCCAAGGGCAAGTCTCCCAGATGCCCAGCAGACGCTTCATCGCCCACGTGCGCTTCTCGGTGTCACGAGTTTCTGCTCCAGCAATAAAGGTAGGCCAAGACGTGGCCTTGTAGTACGGATCATCCACACTAATCTGACCCAGATTGCCAAGAATGTCCCCAACCAGGAATTCGGTATCCACAGGGCGGACGGCCCGCACCAGCGGCAATGCCTGCAGAATGTACAGGCAAACGGCGGACCTATGCGCAGAAGCGATGTGTATACGGCTCTCAATATCCTGGACCTGGGGGTTTTGCCGCAGTTTGTCAGCCCAAGCGGGTATATCAAAAGCAAGCGCCTCATCAATGAGCGTGAGAGCCTCGTTCGCGGCGGACAATGACCAATCAGTGAATGGTGTTTCGTAAGAAAGCTTGGATGCCACTAGAATGATGCGAAGGATCTCCGGAGGACATGAGAGGTAACTATTGACTTCGACGCGTTTCATGACCGGTAGTAATTCGAAAGCGTAGCGTGCGATATTGGCGGCAAGACTACCCGAGGCAAGCGTCGATCCTAAGATGTGGTATCTGTGGATTAGTGAAACAAACAGTGTCAGTCGTGTTCTGCACAAGAATCCAGGATGCAGTGATTTGTTCGCTGGCATCCTAGTGAGACCAGACAGCCATCACTCACATGAAACAATCAGCCACAACGCAGTCACGCAACATCCTATTGGCCTCGCTTCCACCGGTTCCTTGTGTGAGTAATGCCAGGATATTGCTTGCCCCCTCCAGATGCGTCCTCCACCCCTTTGCATCATTCTTTTCCAAGTCGATCAAGTCAAATTTGATGAAGAAATGCATGGCGGCAAGAGCAACTTCACTTCCGCCAGGATCCAAGGAGTCAAGCACCTCCTGCAGGTGGCCCATGGCCTTTTGCTTCGCAGTCAAAGCATCGATAAGTGCTTGCCTGGAAACCAGGTCTTTTGATCGCAGCTGGGCGAGATATCCTCCAGGATCACTAAGACCAGTGGGAATGGCAGTGATTGGGCGAAAGATGTTGGCCCAGTGTATCGCTGAGGTGGCAACGAGGATTTGAAGCAGCAGAGGATGTCGGTTGGTTAACGGGATAAGATCTCGAAAAGGATTGACCCCTGGCCCGTCTCGGGCCACCAAGTCTTTACAGACACGATCGGCAACTTGGGATGCATTAGCACAAAATCTCGCTCCAGTTTTCGACCTACTAGCCTGTATCGTTTCGGGTCTGGAGGTCTCTTACAATGAAATAGATAGTATCGCGAGTTGCGATCGAGGTCCTGGAAAATGGGATCTGTCAGGCTGCCGAGTGCTGCCGGCCTCCACTTCTGAAGTTCCAGCGGTGATTCCTGGATTGGGCTTGAGGCTGCATCTCTTGTTGGCTCCGGTGTAGCCGACATCGCTGCGGCGCTCCTGTTGCGTTTGAGGAGCGGCGAGGGGCGGCGAACAACCGGGATAGATCTGCCTTCGCTGACGGATGCATCATGTGCTGCTTGGCTACCGGGATCAACACCACCGGGGCGGTGGCTAGACGTTGGATCTGGGAAGAGCGGGAAATAGCTGTTTGTGACTGACGATGAGACCTGTCCAGAGCCTGAGCTGAGAGGTCCGCCAAGTGGCGTCCTGCGACTTGGTGATGGCTTCGGATGTCCATGAGCATCAATCGCCTCGGCCCAGATAAAGACCTTGCCGTATCCAAGGCACTCCTGCCCTGAGACCGCACATTTGTGGCAGGTCGGCCACGAGCGATCGCAGCGCAGTCGTCGACGGCGGCAGTTGTGACACGGCTTGCTATTGCTTGGCATATATGCCGATAATGAGTGGTCCGGTGGCGGAAACGGTGGATGAACGTCTTCAAGCTGATATCGAACAAAGAGCCTTTGTCCTGCCTCACTCACTCGCTCGCGTTTAGTCGGTCTAGCAGCGGTCTAGCGACGCGCAACCAGGCCAGCGGACGAGAGCAGCAGTGGTGGAGAGTCGTTCTCACTAGGCGGGCCTTGTTACGCCGTTGGTGGCATGAACATGGCGAGAGTCTCGGGCTGTCTCCAGAAGATGATCTCCGTCTGCTTAGCAAGAAGACGCGCGCACGTGGGCGAAGGGGCAGAGGCGGCGCTGGCAAAGATGATGCCTGGAGAGCTCCATGCTTCTGAGGCAGTCTTTGAAGGCAGCGTGATGTGGCACGCCATCAATCCAGCCAGTCGCTATCCACCGGGCAAAGCATGCGGCCCACCATTATCGCTAGTTACAGGATGATGCTGGCCCCGGCACCATCTCCAAGCATTCCCCTCCTGGCTCTCCAATGGCCACGCCGCCGCCCCCGAGCCTAGCTAAGGGTCATAACACAGACAAGCTTTCTCATTACGCACAAGCGCACCTAAACGGGAAAGCTCTTGACATTCTCTGCGTCCGATGCGCGGCGACCGCTACGCGGGACCTGCAGGACTGGTCAGCGTTGGAAACCACCCTTGTCCTAGGTCCCGAAGCTTGTTGGCCTGGGCTGCCGGATACTGTCCATCCAGAGGTCACACAAGCGCCCAATACGGAAATCCCTTTACCCTTGGTGCAGCGCCTCGATTTCGGATGCAGGATGGGGATTGTGACTTGCAAAGAGGAAACACACAATGCCGCTGCTGAACCTTTACGACTAATGATTAGTAGTCCTGCCACGGTTCAGCTGTTCGACTGAGGGTAAGATGTATTACTCTTCAGCAGTCACGCTGGGCATTTAGTACTAATGTTACCCAGTTAACAAAATTCTCCGTATATACCCTGCAAACTCTGTTAACTCTTTTATGACCGCCCAGGTACGGTAACGATCTCCAGCGAATTGGAGGGAGCTGAAAAGCAACTGTAAGAAAATTTTTTAATTCTTTTCTTCTGGATCGGAAGAGGAAGCAGCGAAAAGGACGCCATGCCGGCGGCTCCTGAGTCCCGTATCCGTCCATGCCGCCAAAGCAGAATTACCCCTGCAAAATAGTCACGATGTCTTCACAAACTAGCTTCTACAGACCCATTTGGGCTGCTGCTACCGGGATTAACAGTTGCCCAACTCTTATCATCCCCACCGGCACTTAATTTGCGTTGGTTCTGGAACGAGGTCCATGACACATTGAAATCTTTGCTCGACTCGGTATCGTATGGCACGACAATGCGAAAGAGCCATGAGCATCGCGAAGATGGGATTTGGAACCATGGGTAGCCACTCTCTACCGTTCACTCGGCTTTCCTCCCGGGCAGAATAGAGTGGACCCCTTGTCAGATCGATAGACCCTATTCTTGTCCTGGACTTTCTCAAACGGGAAACCTCCAGACAACTTTTGCGTTTCTTACCATTGTGGCTGGAGGGAGCGTGACAAGGTGTGAGAATTTGCAGGCTCATGAAAAGCAAAGCTACGCGGACCGACAACGGAATGTTGTTAATGAGACTGTCCACACCATGGCACTGGCCGGCGGATGACGATAGCGCATAGCTAAGGCGTATAATTTGGCAGAACATGATTCGGGGCGTGTCAATTCTCCTTGGTGTCGGCCCCGTGTCCGTACGAAGGCGAGAAGACTATAAAAGAGGATGATGGCTCTTGGTTCAAAGCTCAAGACACTGGTATAACTGTCAGTCGATGGATATACACTGCTAAAGAGTGCTTGAATAGCTCTTGGCTTGCACTTCTCGAGTGTATCATACTCTTTTTGCCCCGTCCATCTGCTCGTCTTGTTGCAATGGCAGAAAAGGATAATGTCCAAGATGCCGTCGTCCTTGTTGCAGAGACCCACGATGAGCTTTCTCAAACTATCGACGTTGAGAAGCTAGGAAGACAGCGTCCTGCAGCGTTTTCTTCTGCTTGGATGGAAATTGCCTTCGTCGTTTCCATCTTGGGCTCCCTTTCTATGGCGGTGGGTCATCTATCATCAACAAATGCGGGCAAGACAAGTCACATTCCTCAGTTCACGGGGAGTTTGCACATGTCTTGCGATCTTCTGCAGCCCTATGCAGGAAATACGAAGAGCTAATCAGTGCCTCATTCATTTAGGACTTTGTCATTAGCGGTTTCCAAGTCGTTCTGCCTAACTTGGTTGAGCCACTCGACATCCCCCTCGAAGCACAAACATGGCCCTCGAGCGTCTTGACTCTGACCGCGGGTGCATTCCTGTTCCCCCTTGGGCGGCTGGCGGACATGTATGGAGGATATCTGCTTTTCAACGGAGGCATAGCGTGGTTCGCGGTGTGGTCCATCATTGGTGGCTTCACCCGCAACTTCATCATGCTGGTCATCTGCCGTGCTATGCTGGGCATTGGCGCGGCGGCGTTCCTCCCTGCTGGCATTTCCCTGCTTGGTCGGATTTACAGGCCCGGGCCGAGGAAGAACATTGTGTTTAGCCTCTATGGTGCTCTTGCCCCGCTGGGCTTCTTCGCGGGTATCATTGTCGGGGGCATGGCTCAGGACTTGCTCTCCTGGAGATGGTTCTTCTGGCTGGGCGGCATACTGTCAGCCGTTTTTGGAGTGGGGACGATTTTGACAGCTCCCCGCGACTATGAGGAGGCGCGAAAGATGAATGTCAAGATGGACTGGTGGGGAGTGTTTACGACCGTGCCGGGGTTGATGCTTCTCATTTATGCGCTGACGGACAGCGCCAATGCTCCTGGTGGATGGGCCTCTCCTCGGATCCTGGTCACACTCATTCTTGGACTCATCTTCCTTGGTGCGGCTGTGTATGTTGAGGGCTGGGTCGCCGAATCACCGCTTATTCCGGCAGACATCTTCCGCGTCAAGTGCATGAAGAGAATGCTGCTCTGCCTCTTTATTACATGGGGCGTGTTCAACATTTATCTCTTTTATGCCAACTTCTAGTGAGTTTCTTCCTTTTAACACTTATATATATATGCACTTGAACTAACAAGCGATAACAGCATTGAGACGATTTTGAAGAAATCTCCACTGTTAACTGCGGTTTACTTTGCCCCCTGGGCAGCAGGCGGCCTAGTCTTGGCCACAACAAGCGGCCTCATTCTTCACATGCTTTCCGGCAAAGTGCTCATCATCATCTCTGGCATTTCAAAAGTTATTGCAGTGCTCATGTTTGCACTTATTCCCGATAACCCCAACTACTGGGCGTGGATCTTCCCGGCTATGCTTTGTGAGGCCGCCTGTGTTGACGTTTTGTGGACTGTGAGCAACGTCTTCCTGACGACTAGTCTGCCTAAGAACCGTCAAGGATTAGCTGGTGCACTCATCAGTGTGATGCTCTTCCTTGGAGGAGCCTTTTTCTTGGCAATTGCAGATGTCGCCAAAGGGCAGTTTGTGTTGAACGGAATGGATCTTAAGCATCAGTACAAGAGCGTCTTTTGGATCGGCGTGGGGCTTGCGGGATTGGCCCTTGCCATCTGCTTCTTCATGGACTTGGACAAGGCCGCTGGTGACCTGACGGTTGATGAAAAAGAATTGCGAAAAATGAGCAATGCTTCTTCGGAAGTGTCGTCTGTTGCTGAGTCTGCTACTGGCGGCGCTCGAGTTGAGCCGATGACGGGCGTGGTTGTTGATTCAGCTGAACAGACTGACAATGAAGAGAAGGAAAATAAGACTGCTGCTTGATGGATGGGCTTGTTAAATATTGGGATTTAAAAGGGATAGCATTTAGCGTGGATTTGATGGGGAGCGAGGCGTTTGGATATTAAAAATTGGGAGCGTTTTGTACAGATTTTATGGATAAGATGGAAATGCATTGTCGCCAAGGAGCATCAGATATTTTAACTAGGCGACATTTGAAAATGAGAGTTGCATCTACTATAAAGCGTATACTTGAATGGTTAAGATTATTGCATGGGAAACAACACGTCGGTGCGAATGAATTATAATTTACTTTTTCTTTGAAGACTTTGACGCTTGTAAAATGTTGCAGAAAGAGAATTAGGTTTTATAAAGCTAAATAAAAGTATGCTATGGCATAATAGCTCTTCGCCCTCTTTCACAGTATCAAAAGCATTACATCTACAAAGTGTCGATGTAAACTTGCCAATAGAGTTCGAAATTTCGCTCGTAATCTATCGTGTTGGAAATGATCCTCCTCATGTAAATAAGCAGAGCCGATTTCTTTATATAATACAATAATTAAGTCAGCAGCATCAATCAAAACCTGCCCGCTTGGCTAAGCGGTATAGCGTGTCACTAGTATTTCTCTGACATGACAAGGTGATCAGTTCGACTCTGATAGTGGGCATTTCTTTTTGCCTTTTTTTTTTATTTTTTTTTAGAGGTATTTGCCGTGTCACTAGTACTTCTTTGACATGATAGCGTGTCACTAGTAAACTACCTACCAGGCACCAAACTTGATTTCTTTTTTTTTTTGTATCTACCCCTTGATGAGCTATTTGTATCGCAGAGTAATTTGTTTGTTCTGAATAGCCATTTACACATTTGGAATTTTGGCGCAGATAGCTTCTGAAATACGCTACCGAAATTGCAGTAAAAAAGAACGTATTCAGTCCATACGCTTGGTTATGATACTGGATCTGCCTCTTCTGCCCGCCGCAATGACTTGCCATTCTTTTAATATGGGCCATGGCCCTGCTCTATCATTTTTATTCCTCTTGGATTGATTTAGATGATAGCTCGTCTACTGCTCAAAAGAGTCTCGATAAATTGTATTTGAACGTTGGAGTAAGTTCATAAAATATCTCGCAGTGTCAGCAGGCTCGGGAAGTGTTGAGAGTGCTAGTTGTTCCTGATACGCTTGTTCACTTATACCTTGGGATGATGCTAACAATATATCCTGGATCTAGGCTATTGGCCCCTTGGAAACCTATGACATATCTATTTACGATATAACTTCTCCTTTGGCGTATCTTGGAAGGTGCCCGCAGTGGGCTCGATAAAGGCGCAGATTTGCTCGCCGTATTTGGTGTCAGGTACGCCTATGACGGATGTTTAGGCGATAGATGGATGGGCGACAAGACGATCTTCGATTTCGAGGGGGGCCGCCGCGGATGATCATGTCTTTGATGCGGCCGGTGATGACGAAGAAGCCGTCAAAGTCGAAGAAACCCTCGTCACATCCGTTTCGTCTCCGCCGCACAACAAATTCACTGGGATATCAAGCTTCCATCAGCGTTAATACCGCCTCGTACCAACAGTAACTCGGCCTTGAGCCCCACTCCTACCGATGGCGTTGTGATAAATACAATGCCAACAGCAAACTAATCCAACACAAAGCTCAAGACTTGGCAATTCTCTGTTAACACTTGGAAATTCTCTGTTAACAGCTGTCAGCACATCCTATCGCCAGTTAATAACACATAAGTACTGTAAATATATGCTATTTGATCGTTACACGTGACGCGCCACATCCTTCTTTCTTCTTTTCCGTCTATTTATTTCTCTCTTCTAGGCCCAACTTTATATTCTAATAACCTTTACCTGGATTCTCTCTTTTCATTATCGTTGACTCTTGCCGTTGGTGTCTCTGCCGACGGTCTCTCTGCCAACTCTCCCTCCCCTTCCATCAACAAGTTAACCAAGCATGGCCCAATTAACGGCTCGCGAAGAAAGCATGCTGCGCCACTTTAGAAGGCTAGACGATGGTCAACAAAAGGAATTATGTCGGTGGGGTGAATTCGCGAATGGTAGTATGTTGAGGTATATTCTAATCGATCGAGAAAACAACCGTTGGCTTTCAACGAAATCGCTCTTGATACACTGTATGAGGAGCAAGTCCTAGATTATATCACTGATCTAGAGGCCAGAGAGGGAATCCTTATTAATATTCGACACATTCTAAAGCAAGCCAAATCGCCTTACCAGATTGATGTGGCATTTGCAGCGGTCCTTATGGTTGCCCTCGATGTTCTTCGACACAGAGTCTATCTACTAAGAGAATGTATTTCAAACAACGACTTAGACGCTGTGCGTCAAATTTTTAATAGCAGTAGTAGCAGTAGTAGCAGTAGTAGCAGTAGTAGCAGTAGTAGCAGTAGTAGCAGTAGTAGCAGTAGTAGCAGTAGTAGCAGTAGTAGCAGTAGTAGCAGTAGTAGCAGTAGTAGCAGTAGTAGCAGTAGTAGCAGTAGTAGCAGTAGTAGCAGCAGTAGCAGCCTAAGCTACAGCTGGAGTCCTAAATAATATAATTGGGGTGCTAGATAACTTCTCTCTTTTTTTCTAGGGTGTTGGATAATAGAACTGGGGTGCTGGATAATGGCTCCCTTGTTGACAGCTATTTTTATATGGAACGGCCGGGACTAGTGTTTAGGGGGCTAAACGCTATAGAACCTGTTTATTTAGAAGATAATTACTCTGCGATGGTGGCCTGGTAACACGTCCCTAAATAAAAGTGCACCATGATGTAACAGCTCTTTGCCCGCTTGGCTACAACTTAATCTTAGTCGTCTAACTCTTCTACTCGAGGAGTTAACATACGTTGCTAGGAGGATGATCGATATCAATATGATCCTTGCCCCAAGTAATCCCCGAAAAGGTTAGCTAATTGGCTCCAAATGCGATGGCATTTTTCTCTTAACTTACCTGAAGCTCTGGCCTTGGTGTAATGGCCGCCGTAGCGTCCTCAGCATTCCAAAGTTTAACAGTATGATCTGTTGAACCCGATGCTATGAGTGTCGAATCATGAGAGAAGGCTATTGCAAATATTGCATAGTTACTAGAATCATTAAGTGTCTTTTGGCATCGGCCAGTTGCTATATCCCAAAGCTTGATAGTTGAATCCCTTGATCCTGACGCTATTAGTGTTGAATCATGCGAGAAAACCACCGAGCGAACTGTATCTCTGTGGCCTTTGAACGTCTTAAGGCATTGACCTGTTGCTGTATCCCATAGCTTGACGGTCTCGTCTAATGAACTTGATGCTATTAAGTCTGAGTTGTGTGAGAAAGCTATTGAACAGACTATTTTGCCGTGTCCCTCAAAAGTTTGCTGGCACTGGCCGGTAGCTATATCCCAAAGCCTAATAGTTGCATCTCTTGATCCTGACGCTATTAGTTTTGAGTGATGAGAAAAAGCCACCGAGCGGACTGCATCTATGTGGCCTTCGAACGTCTGAAGGCACTGGCCTGTTGCCGTATCCCACAGCTTGACGGTCTTGTCTAACGACCCCGATGCTATCATCTTTGAGTCATGTGAGAACGATAGAGAGTAAGTTGTACTGTGATGGCCCCGAAGTATTTGTCGACATCGACTTGATGGTATATCCCAGAGTATAATATTCGCATCACTTGAGCCTGATGCTATTAATGTTGAGTCATGCGAGAAAGCGACTGAATAGACTATACCCCTGTGACCTTGGAACGTTTGTCGACATTGGCGTGCTGCTCTATCCCAGAGCCTGATTGTCTTATCCATTGACCCAGATGCTATTAGCCTCGAGTCATGCGAGAAGATGACTGAGACGACACTTCCGCTATGGCCGACAAGTGTTTGATCCCACAGGCTTATCGATGCACCTTTCCTAAGCAATAAACGCACAGCATCTCTGTGCCTCCTCTGAACAGCCACTTGCAACGCCGTCAGACCATTATAATCTCTCGAATTAACTTCCACTCTGCCTAAGTCGATTAATAGCTCAATTATATCGACATGTCCTTTGCCTGTAGCTGTATGTAATGGGAACCACCCATCATTCACAATCGTTGCATCAGTACCTCCGCAAAGAAGCAATTCAACTATCTTAGCATAGCCATCTTCGACAGCCCATCGAAACAGGACCACATTTCTTGTCTGCTCTAGTTCGTATTCGCTTTGGTTACCATCCATCTGCCGGAGTTCGCGTAATTTGGTTTGCGCACATATCCATTGCTCGGATAACTGCTCTTGCCTCCCCTCAACGTCTGCTTGCATTTGAGATAGATTATGTACTTCTCCAGCTTTATCTATTTCTTCTTCGCCTAATTTTTTCTTTTCCATTTGCAGTTTTCTCAGCTCATCGTCTATTTGTCTTCGCCTATCTTTGATTTGACTTAATCGGGTGTCGAGAGCTTCTGCTTCGTGGCACAGTCGTTGCCGCTCTTTGTCATTTTGATCGCTTTCTCTAATCATTTGTATAGACTCCCGCATTAGATTGAACTTTTGAAGTTTTCTCCTTGAAGTATCAGCCAAAACTTCTAGCTGCGTCTGATTGTCTGCGTCGAGTAGCCGCACGATTGTCTCATGTCCGCTCATAGCAGCCCAAGAAAGTGGTGTCAGGCTTGATTGATCTTTCGCCTTGGAGTCGGCCCCCTCATTAAGCAGCAATTGCACGACAGCCTCATGGCCATTCTCAGCGGCCCACGATAGCGGTGTCCGATCATAGCTATCCTTGAGATCTGGATGATTTGAGTTAAGCAGGGCTGCGACAGCTTTCTCGATTCCAAAGTACGCTGCCAAGTGAAGTCCACTCGTATTCTTCGGAAAATCCTGGCTATAGCCAGGCTTTTTCGATTCTTTGACGACGAACAATGCTTGGATCGAAGCTTCCACCTTTGTCTCGCTCTTTAGAAAATCTAGAACTAGTGGGTCGAGAACTTCTGGTTTCCGAGCGTGATGGCCCCAATGATGGGCCGCATAATCATAGAGCTGATTTGACTGCATCCGCATTTCGAATGCGGTATCTGTTGAAGAAACTCCAGTTTCGAAGACGTCAAACGAGAGATAAGTGATGCAAGTCTGTGTAATATCGTTTTCTGCATCTGGAAACCATTCAATTTGCGTCTGTTCGAAGTATTCCTGTGCTGTATAATGGAATAGCCGAATGGTATTGCTGTTCTCGTCAAGCGTGATCAAGCCGGCGCAAACTGTGATTAGGTCGTGGACCTGTGGAAGATATTCTTCATCAAATTTACTCTCGCCAATCTCTATGGCAAGAGCATGCTGAAGTTCTGATATAAATAATGGCCGTTTGACGCAAGTGACCCATGATAGAACAGACTTGGCAAATTTGACAGATTTTGGGCCTTGATGCTCTACCCTCTTCATAATTCCCTGGTATGCATAGTTATACGCTTGTGAGCCCCTGGGAAGACTTTTTAGTCTTTCTTTGACTTCTTTGGGTAATTTTGCATCCAAGAGGGAATCCAAATCCAGCTTTGCTAGAAGGAACCTGGACACCGGATTAGCTGATGCAGTTTGCGCAATTCAAGTATACGTACATCCCATCGGCGGCTTTCGCTATTCCTGTAGAGGCCTCTGCTCGCATTTTGAGTAAGATTCTTGATCTTCCCTGTGAAATCTGGCCGTTTACGTATGTGCGTATGTCATCAGCGCTTGCACGTATCTCTAGCCAAGTGCTCTTGTTAAATCTGTCCGTGATATCCGTGATGGGCCTCGAAGTCGCTAATATATTTGCTCCACACTGTTGAAGGACAAAAAGGCCTTCTATAAATCGCATTCGGCAACTGTTAGATTCTTGACATTCGTCAAGGGCGTCCACAATGATGAATACGCGTTCGTAGCTTATTCTGATTATGGATTGGAGAACTTTCGAGATCTTCTCAAATGAGGGGCGGCCTCCATTTCCCTGATGATCATAATAGAGAGCCTTCAAGCTTGCTGGTAAGGGAAATAAGCCTTCAGACAATTGCTTTAGCAGCGCTGCAAATAAGTCTTCGATCCAATGCTCTTCTTGTTGCCAAAAGTTGAAGTAAGTATAAGCAATTCCCACTTTCGGATCATGTGCGAACCGTGAAGCAAGATTTTGCACAACAAGAGCTGTAATAATTGTTTTTCCAGCTCCAGGTATCCCTGGACAGAATAATATCTGTCTTTCAGTCTTAATCCATGTTTTAAACTCGGCGGAGTCTAGAAGCCATTGGCCGGTTCCCTTTTCATGCATTTTAATATATTTTTTTTGCTGGACACTGTAATCACTCGACGTAAGCCAGTTGAAGATTTTTTCTCCTTCGCTTCTGTCAACCATTGTAATCAATTGTTCAACGACTACACTATGTTAATTAATCGCTTCGTACAATTTTGATAGAAAGTTGACTAACTGTCATCAAGCGCCAGCTTTGCCGAAGGCTGTCTTTCAACTTCAGCTGGTAATACATGCTGCAAAAGCTCCTTCGCGCAGGCTGCTGCCATAGCCGCTGCATGTTCCTGCCAACTATCGTTCTTGTGTGAGTCGGCGTAGTCGCTGATTCCGCGAATGACGAGGCAAGGAAAATTGTTCATCAGTCCCGCTGCTTCCATCTCGATGCAATAAACTTCGTTATCAAAGTACTTATTGAGACTGTTTCTGGAAATACCATCCTTGACGACCAGGCTACCTGATGCAATCAGGCCGTGGTGCACGCGAGTTTCCCTAGGACTTCTTTTCAAGACTTTCTCCTGGTTGCAATTTTTGCAATTTTCTCGTTCTTCTTCGCCGTCCTCCTCATCATCGCTTTTCTTCGCCTTGACATGGTTGTAGTCTGCTTTGAATAACACGTCCTTGAGTGATTCCGACCGTAAGTACTTTGGTGCCAACCTTGGCCATTTCTCTTTGAGCGTCTCGAGGTATTCGAACATTCTAGGCTCATTCATCTCATGATACGATTCTAGGGTTGCCAAAGCCGTAAGAAGCAAGGTGGGCGGGTTATTCAGCGATCCTGTTCGTTGAAATCGGCCACTTTCTGCCTTCCCCATATCCCACTGGACCACACCAGGGTATTTCCCCGTGGGCGCGCTGATCACGACATCACCAAGCCTAACTTTGGCAGGAATGCCGCCGCCGATACCGACCATGAAGCCGAATTTGATGCGTGGAAAAGTAGAGACCATCCAAGTGGCAACAGTCGCTGCAGAGTAGTTGCCGGTCTGCCCTTTGGGCAGACAAGCAATGACAACATTGTGATCGCCCATGGACCCAAGGCTATAACTGTTGGGGTCGTTCGCAGGCTTTTGGACGGCGGCATGTAGTTCATCCAACATGGCAATGGCCGCCGTCTGCTCTTTGGGCAACGCGCAGACCCATCCAACAGTGTACTCGTCGCGGGATTTGACCTTTGGCTCAGCCTTGGGCTTGTTGGCTGCCATGGTAAATGATCAGAAGATGTATAATACGCTCCTAATCAAGAAATATAATATTAAATGAGACGATATTTAATTGTTCGTCTATAAGAACCTCCAAGAAGTAGGAAAGCATAAAACTGCTACAAAATGTCTATCTATAATACTAGTGGATTTGCTGCTATATACATCGCCTTCAGACACAAATCCTTTCTGCACGCGAGAACATGTTTAGGTTCAATTACTGTCTGAGGTTGCGGCCTGGCTACTGCCCAATCTGTCGCCTGATCATGTGGCCTAAATTTCCTACCCAGTTGCATATGAGTTTATGCAGAAGCAGATACCAAACATAACGTGGACCAATGTGGTTTCCTTTCGGTGACATGTTGTGGGGTTCGTAGTCAAGTCAGGCCTCAATGCCTTTGCATGCTTATCGGATAATATTTCTTTTGGGGCGGATAAGTCGGCCAATGTAGACTTCTAAGCAGCTAGCTTGGAATTAAAATCTTGGCAGTGGTCTTGATACATCTCTAAACAAATCGTTACCACGATGTGGTACAGCTGGCAATATCAGTCATCACTGCCCTTCCCTGGATTGTCGTACGGTGATGCTGAAAAGCAAATAGTTGGCTTACACAGAAACGAACTTTCTTTTCTTACATCATAGGTTGTTCATGTAATCATGATCATGGCGTAATGTATGCTTCCGTCTAGCCACTATTCACCCAAGCCATTTGAAACCTCTTCTTCTGTTCTTCTGGATGCAACACAGATTACCACAAGTTAGTATGTCAACTATGCGAAAACATTTAGCTGCTGAACTGAAACTAGACAAAAAAACGAAGATCTCCGGGAAAAGAACCATGCTCAAGCAGGCTGAGCCTCTGGTGTATATAATAGCCCGTTCCACATTGTATCCGAACCAATGGATTGTCTTCATTTTTTCGGTACAAGTTATATAAGCTATCCGATCAGACATTTCACCAAGTTCGTGGAGAGTTTCAGCTTCAATGACAGTTCATCTACTTAGTCTTTGCCCAATTGTTCTCTATAAAGCTCAAAAGCTAGTATTTCTCTCTGCTGTAATGGTTTGAACTAAATCGAAAGCAAGGGTTTGCTAGAAGGTCTACCTAAGTCTTGTACCCTATTGGCCATTGATAGGTCTATTAGCCCTTGCTACATTGATAAGGTCTAGATATCCAATTGGCCTTGAAGGTATTGTCAAAATATACTCCGCAAAGAACGTCAAGCTGCAACATCTGATGATTCGGGTAGGAGGGATCTTCAATGAATATCCTGCCTCATGTTCCCACAAGATACTGTTATGTGTGCTCATTGTGCCCACAGAACCCCCATCTTTTGGAATGTGCTCTCGAGGAACTAACCATGTCTTACTCTTACCACGACAAGAATTTCAGAATCAACTGTTGGACATGGCGATTTATCTCCGGATCGATATTTGGTTTGATCTCCGTCATGGAGTGCTAAAGGAGTGAAACCACTTTACAAGTGCTTCGTTCGGCACCAAAGAAAATATAACATCGGGAATATGTAGCGAATGGGTCCGACGTAGGTCTTTGAAGTTTTGAGGTCTTCAAAGAAGCATTTGGACGGAAAGATAGCGTCAGAAGCGTGGCCCCTAAATATATTAGCTAAGAAATGTCAACGGTTTTGCGAAGTCTTACAACCATGCCCACTGTAATAGATACTTTCGAGACAGTGGCCCAGAGTAATACGCACGATTGAAGTGCTGAAATTTAATTTTTCTAGCCATTTAGGAGCTAGTAGGCAAAGGTTTTCGTGGAAAGTGCTTGTAACTCTGATGATAGTGGTAGCTGCAGCGTCGAAAGAGACTTGATCGATAACCGCGCCTGATGGAACGGTGATAACTGCAAGCGCGCTTGAGATTCTTCATTTGGACGTCCCTCTTCCCGCTGCTCAGTCGTATTTTTCCAAGAGTTGGGAAGCCCTTCCTTCGAGTTACCAGTTTCAAGCCCCGCCAAGAACGCCTTGATTTTATCATCTCTGCGGCTATCAATATTTTTGTTCAAAATGGACTTGAATTTGGCGACCGCTTTGTGATAGCGGAATCGTGCGCTGCGTTCACGAATCTTAATGCATTCAGTGCGTAATATGTCCATGGTATTTGTGACATTATAGATTTTGTAATACAGAGGGTTCTTCTCCGGATCATCTTTAGGGCTGGGCGTTGATTTTTCATCTATTTGCTCTAGGAGCTCTTTTGCGGATATTAGTAATTGAAAATATAATAGCAGCCTGAACTTACCTGGGTCCAAGCATTGTGAAAGATAATCAGCCAAGGAATCGAGAAGGCGGGTAATGTATTTTCTTGACTGTGTCCTTCGACGCACCCTAGAGCCTAATAAAGATTCCCCCGAGACGGAAGCGTTGAGGACCAGAGAGCAAGCGTTGAATTCATTTCGCCCACTCGCGAGGCATTTTTGATTTTTCAGCTTTGGGTGTGCGTAGCATGCTTGAAACTTGTTCGTGCATATCTCAGTTCTATCACGAATTCCGCAGCCCGAAAGATCTGAATTGCAAAGCATGTTTTGTGTTAATGCTGCAGAAAGATGGCGGATGAAGCGAATCATGTCCTGCACAATATCGTGGTACGAATCAGAATTGACTGGAGCAGAAAGCTTTGATGCAGTAATGCCACGACTGGGCTCCGCAAGAGGAGCGTTGGATAGATGAACAAGAGGGTCGGATAGCAGCTGGGCTTCAAAGAGTGTCTAGCTATTTTCTCGCGGGCAATACGAACCTAATCGAAATCTTAGTAATGCATAGCTGGCTAAGAATTTGGTAAATAAGTCCAAACCACTCCAACTATACAACACAACCTCTATTGAACATTATTGTTCCCACGCGGGAACTAGTTTTCCTGGCTGCCTCTCATAGATACAGGGGGTGCTGTAGACTGTGTAACCGCTGACTTTGATTTGTCATTCTCCCTCACTGAACAGCTACTTACAATTTTAAAGAAGAAAATAATTCGGTCTAATTATGCAATGACATCATGAAAATATCTCCGTGTCCCTGAGAAATAAGTGGGTGGTGTAGGCGTTCACAGAACATACCTTGATCTCGAGAAAAAGTATTTCCCGGCTGCCTCTGATAGATAAGGGGGGTGCAAACTGTTCAATCGTGAACTTCAATTTGTGGTTCTCGCTTGCTGAACGGCTGATTGTTCAATTTATCCTTGTGTTCACAGACGGATTGACGAATACTATTAATAGCCAGCAGTGCCCAACTTCAGTGAAATCTGCGTCGAGAGAGTTTTGAACCAAGACGGGGACGCAACCACAGTCATACACGTTCCGCGAGAGATCTCACTGAAATACCCTGCAAAATTGAAGCATAATGGAAAAATGCTGGTTTGTCCTGAAGCAGAGTCATTATCCACCTCCTCAGCTTCCAAAGAACCGTTTCGGCATCGGTATCGGGAACGGGGCGATTTGTTTGGGGCACATCATTCCGGATCTCACTAATCTAGACGGGGTCATCAACCGAAGTGAAGAAGGCATAGAATTCACGCCGGCCACTCCAGTCTTTCACACAGAAATTTAGAGCCGGGACTGGCGAAGAGACATGGGCCTGGAGCTTGAAGTGGATGCAAGTATAAGAGCGCCGATCGGAGCTTGGACGCCAACTTCTGCGAAACGGCAAACTAAACTTGCTTTTGAGCGCACCGTGAAGAACTATAGAGACTTTGACACTCTGGATCAATATATCATCCAGGTGGATAAACGTTTCATAAGGAGGATTCTCAATGACGAGGCGGTGGCTGCTCGTATAGAACAAATCAAGGGTGTTCGGCTTCAAGGGCTTGGTGACCGTTGGAGCGTATTCATGATCACAGGCATTATTGTTGCAAGAGGCGCCAAAGGAAAATCTGAGGAGGACGAAATGGTCGAAGCGATGTCACCAAACGCCACGTAAGTCCATCATCTTTGCTTAGGTCCCTTTGCTGATAATAAGCTAATTCATTGTGAATAAGAAACGTTGCCAATTCGGCATCAATTGACGTACCAGCGAACTTTGCGAATCAAAACAACACTTCTTTATCAACAGAAAAGACAGCCGACTTCGTTTGGGCTGTAAGGCTCCAGAAGATATGGAAAGGTGCCACGGAAATTGACTGGAAGTATAGAACAGTGAGTAAAGGGGCCATTGCCGGTATCGGTTACGAGAAACCATGGAAGGACAGACTTCAAAGCATACTTTCACAAGAATTGTCCGCCGTTGGAACGTTTCAGGCCTTTGACCTGTCTGAAGAACAGGGCATGATTGTATGCCTGGATCCTTATACACCAGCAGAACGTGATCGAATGTCACTTACAACGAATGGCTGCGTATAGTTGCACGATCATATTAGCTTGTGTACTTATCTTCGTTATTGGGTGGAAGTGAATGGCCATTCTATCGCTCCGAGTCCTTATCACGAATGCTGGAGAGCGCATACTCTGCTAAGCTATATTTTGAATTGGTTCTTTTCTGTCGAACGGTATGCATGGGCAAAGACGAAACTGCGAATGATCGACTACGAATGCTTATGATGCACTCAAAAGTCCAGTAATTTAATAGAAACTTCACATTTGCTATTTACAATATCCTACATTCCACTATGTGAGTCATTTGGGAGCGTTTGACTTGGGGAACAGGATTTGAACACTTAAATGACGATGGCTATTTCAAAAACATTGTTCCTAACGTTAAAATGTAAATCTAGGCGACCCATCTAGGCTCACTGGTACCCGCCAGCTTCCTGTTCAATCTGGTGTAATGCCACCACAAAGAGAAACTCAAAACAGTCCCCACAGCTAGAAAACCTGCATTGATTCCATGTCCTAAGCGGTAAAAAGGCGCATCTTGCGCTCGGTAGATCCAAACACCTATGATCTGACCAGGCCCCGTAAAAGCAATATTGAGTCCCGTAGCCAGAGACCCAGCGGTGGTAGTCCGCACATTGTCTGAGATCCAGGCGCATAGTGGAGGCAGACCGGCAAAGACACCGGCGGTACTAATGCAAAGCATAGCATAACGAGCAGCGAAGAGATGGCCTGGTAAACAAGCTGTAAAATGCGTGTTAGTTTGCAGCCCATTACGGAGTTGCGATGGAGAACAGCCTTACCTTGAATGATGAAAGCAATGGTCCCAAAGAGAAAGCACCCGCCCGCCACGAGACCTCTTGTCCTCTGACGGTCAGATATCATGGCCAAGACGAGAGTGACGACATAAGCCACTGCATAGGGAGGGATAGTAAAGAGTTGGGCCTGAAGGTTCTTGTACCCAAGACCAGCGACAATTGTAGGGGCAAAGAGTGATAGCGAAGAGACGCCAACACCGATGCACAAATATGTTACGTAGTGCACGTATAATCTGACGTCTTTGAGGGTCGCCTTTGCGTCTTCCCAGTTGAGTTTTGCGGCACTGTAAAATATTAGTCTTTATTCAGTGATGAGAAGAAATGTGCATACCCGTGAGACGAATTTACACCGAGGCGTAGCACTTGGATGGCCTTTTCCTCTTCGGTAAGCCAGTTGGCCTTTTCCGGATAACTTGGCATGAATAAGAATGTCAAGATTCCAAGAGCAACTGTATAAAGAGAATAAAATATTAGAAGGCTTATTTATACGAGACAGAGGTAAAGGGATTGATGCTTACTGGAGGGAACGCCTTCGACAATGAATAGCCATCGCCAACCTTCTAGTCCAGCTCTGCCATCCAGATGTCCAACCCCAAATGCGATGGCACTATAGAAGCACAGCCACTATTAGCTATCTTCATAACATGAGATTGAAGTCGTAGTGATGCACTTACCCGCCAAATGCACCAGCTAACGTAGCGCTACAAAGAAACAATGCAATCCGAGTTGCCCGCTCTTCCGCTTTATACCAGAAACTCATGAAAAACACCATTCCAGGAAATATACCGGCCTCGAAAGCACCCAGGAAAAATCGAAGTGCGGAAGTGCTAGCAAAGCTCTTCGCTCCGGCAATGGCTGTGCAAAAGGCTCCGAAGCCAATGACCAAGAAGCCCAGCCAGCTATTTGACAAACAAGACTTTATTAGCCAACAAGCAACTTATGGTGTACAAGGGACATCGCACTAATTAGGCTGGAGAGCCTTTGCGGCGAGATTGCTCGGCGCCTCGAAGATGGAATATGCCACTAAGAAGACCATGAGTGCAATGGTATACTCTTTGGTGGTCATGTGCGTTGAATCTAGTAAATCGTGGCCTTTATCGGCATTCAGAATCTTTGCATTGCCTGTTTTAATGGTTAGCTAATACGATGTATTTTTATAAAGAGGAGAGAGCTGAAACTTGCCGATATTGGATCTATCCATGTAACAGAGGAGGTAGATCAAGACGGTAAAAGGCATTAACCGCGTGTCAATCTTGCGCACGATTCTAAGAGGGAAACGCTGTCAGCTTCTTTTTGCATGAACTAATCGAGTTTTTGTAACTCGCCTCTTTTCAATGGCTGGATCAATGTCCTGAGCGCGCTCAAAGTGAGAGCTGACACCATCCTCAATGGTCTTTGGTAACTTCTCATCCTCCATGGCTTCAACAAATTATAACTTGAAGTATACAAAGAAATGATTGTAGCAGAGCGTAAAAGGTAGGGGTAGATAAACTAATGCATCTAAGCTGCAGCCCTGAAAAGAGATTGTGAATTAAATGCGAAGCGAATTCAGTAACATTTATAAACAAATTGAACGGAAAAGCGGCAAGGGAGGGGATAGCAAGACAATGTTAGACTCGATATCTCTACCTAGTCTCAAACCTGCCAGAATGTTGAGATGAAGTCTTGGCCAAGCACCCTCCTTTGACAGAAAGGTAAGACATGCAGGCCCTCGTCGAGCCCCTCCCCGCCTTTGCTTAGAAGCATCTCCCCATGGGGAAGCGTTAGTGGCATCAAGATTAGCCGGTAGACGACAGGCGAGGGCGAATAGGAGCAACCCGACAACGATGCTAGTGGAGATGGCTTGTAAATGTTAGTGCTGGTTCGGATCCGGTAGACGGTTCAGCTGCGGAGATGGTACGGAAACGCCTGGTAGTGGCTTTTGAGTTACAGCTACTGGGAACTTGTGATAGGTTCATACTCATGTCGGCTGTCTCTTCTCGGCAAACCCAAAAGCCTGTTTGTACATGGTGGCTATCATATAGGTTTGCGCTAGATTTAACCACGTGGTTCTATTAAAGCATTATATGATATAAAAATGGCAGCCAAAGATCTCTTGGCTCAAGTACTTGCCATCCACACGAGCGCCGAGCTTAGTCTGGCGTTCGATAATCACTTCCAGAAGGCGCGCCACTTTGAGAGCCGTCTGCGCCCCCTTTTGGTCCAGTCCTCCAATAGGCAGCCCATCTTCCTCATTATCAAATGCTGAGGCTGGTCGTTTATCTGTCATGCCACTTAGCCGACCGAGAGCTCGAAGCTGTAACACCGCCCATTCCTGCTGCACGGGGTCGGACACTTCACAGCCAAACAAGAAGCATACCCACATCAAGCCTGGATGAATAGCGGTAGATGTCGTGCGTGAGATGCTTGCGTCAAAAGCGTGCTGGTGTATAGGTTGGCCGACGCTGCGACGCATCATATTGCCAGTCTCCTTCAGAGCCTTGCGCGCAATTGCGGTGTGCTGTAAAGTCCAGTAGGCGACACGATGTATATATATGAAATGAGCCCAGAAAGTGGCAATGTAGACGCTGAAAAGTTGTTCAAGCCTGCGAGCAATATTCTCACTGACAAAGAGCCGCAGCTGTGAGGCGTCTAAATCAAGAATACTAGGACGACGTCGCCACAGCTCCTCTAGCTCCTCTTCAAAGCCCATACATGCTTTCATTACCTCCATTTCATCTTCAGGTGTCCCGCGCGAGCGGTGATGGCGATCGTGGCAGCCAACCCGTCGCGAATAGGCTTGAGATGCCATATGAAACTCGAAGGCGGGCTGTAACAATATGTTGAAAACACCCATACACACTACATTCTTGGGTATTGCAGGCGGTTCGGTAAGTAGTGTTGAGAGTCTAGAGCCACCATTACGAGACTTTGCACTGACATTTGTGCCCCTTTCATCTATTGACTTCGTGGTAGGAGATATGCCGTCGATATTGCCGAGAGGATCATTGTCTGATACTTCCATGCTAGTTGAGCCGGCAACATTTGGACGCTTTCTGATAATCTCCAAGGCAGGTTCCGATAAGAGATGGCGGCCGCCCATGTGAGACATCTTGGCGTCAAACGAATCAAGCCATTGGAAAAGACTAGCAGAGCCGGTATCCCAGCCCCGGCCGTTGACGATGACTTGCTCCGCCATATCTTCTGGGAAGCTGGGGTGGACCTGATCGTTTCCATCATAGGCGGTTTCAAACCAAGCCAGCAAAAATATGACCACTAATAGTGCTTGGCTGCTTCGTTCCTCCCATCCCGCATGCGAAAGACTCAGTTTGAGTGCCGCGCAAGCCACGTCATGTAATCTTAGGGACAAGAGACCAAAGTCATCCCGGCAGGTAGATACGCGACTCCCCAGTGCAGCCAGAGCAGCTGGTCGGCTAGGCTCGAATAGCATGGCACTGAGAGCCGCAAGGGCATGCATGACGGCCCCGTATTCGATCGAATTGTGTTTTCCATTGGCCATTTGAAGCACATATTGCTTGATCTTGGGCCATCCCAAAGGGTGGATGCCGGCGAGCGAAGCCGGAGGTTGGATGGCGCACTCAAAAGTTCGAAGCAGTAGCTCTTGCTGGGAATCTGATAAGAGCGGTGGGGAGAAAGCAAAAGCTGGTTTGTATCCTGTGCTGATCTGTCCGGTGCCCTCTTGGCTATTGATACTGACAAGCTGACCGTCGTTTGTGTTTTGGGTGATGCTCTGGATCTTTGGACTGGTGTCCACGTTTGATGCTGCCAAGGTCGCGTTGCCGTCCATGTGCCAGCCAGAGGATTGATCAGAGGTGAAGAAGTTGGGGCTGAGAGCGCTAGTAAATCCTAGTGAAGTAAACGAAAAAGCAGAATCTGGGAGCGGCACCCTATCAAACCAGTTGGGGCTCCACGGCGATTGTGAAAGGTCTGCTGAAAGATCTGCTGGAGGTATGGATGAAGAGCCAAGATCAAGTGCTGCCGCTGTTGTAGGTGTTATATAAGAAGCTATTGAGCCGGTAGATAGTCCATTGGAATCTATATCTGCAGTGATGGCTCCGAATTGGCCATTGACGCCGGTAGAAAGAGTCTGGGCATCGTGAAGAGCAACTCCTGGCTGAAATGAAGTCACTCCTGAGAAAGAAGACGAAGACTCATTGGCCTCGTCCGTCACCATGCTGAATCTTCGCGATGTGTCCAAGTTGGAATCAGCATCAGCATCAAGATCTTGCCGAGAACTGACTGAGCTGTCGTCTGGCGAAGGAGGCCGTCGCTGACTGCGTCGTGGCCGAGGAGGCTGATATTCGCATTCAAGTTTGAGTCGATCACAGTGGCCACAGGTTGGTCGCCTCTCATCACAGCGAACTCGTCTCAGGCGACATGTCGAGCATCCATTCTTGGACCGTGGGCCAGAGCGGCCGAGTGCAATGCTTTGACGCCGAACAATTCCTGCTCGAGATGGCATGTTTGCCTTGATTTACTGATGATGAGTAACAGTTGATAACCTGATCTTCTGGAGACAAATGAGGATCCATGTAAGAAGAGGGTGCTCCTTCCATGGACCAAGAAATGCGGGGGCGGAGAGAGGCGCCATAGCGTGCCACTAGAAGCCACTAAACGCACTATCGCAGCCACATTTATAGCGCACTCTCTCCTCATGTTTAGTGGATAGGTCGGTGTAAGCAAATTCTAAGTTTGAACAAGCATCGAAGTACATGCCATCGCTCCACCATTCTATACCAGAGATGATACAATATCAATCATTTTAAATGAGTATCTAGTTATAACAAGCGATTCAAACTACAACTTGGCTCTGGCGCTATACGCTCCCGGATTCAGATTCCATGGCAACTCTGCCGCTGCCCACGCCGAACTTGCTTCTCCCTCAGCAAGGACGCTCTTCCAATCTTCACGACTGATGGATCGGGCCTCCTCAGCAGGATTATAGCCCATGCGACTGCGCCCATCTTCCTTTGGCTTTGTGTCTTCAATGCTTGGAGCTACCTCACCGTCTACCCTTTTGTATATCGTCACGACTGTGGCGCCTCCCATGCCCATGTTGTGCTGCAGACAGTACTTTGTCGAGGCGACAGATCGACGCTTTGTCCATCCGCGAAGATGCCAGACTATTACATAAACTCATATTAGCCATGATCCTTTGTCTCAGATCACATGTATATCGTGATAAACTTACCCAGTTCTGCACATTGTGCCAGTCCAGTGGCCCCCAGCGGATGCCCCTTGGAGATGAGTCCTCCACTCGGATTCACGATCCACCCTTTCCCCTTGTTCGGATTATAAGTGATGAGACCATCACGAACCAACTTCCACCCTTTGCCTTCCTCGGCCAATCCCAAACCCTCAAGAGCGCACATTTCATTCGTGGTGAAGCAATCATGCAGCTCAATGACTGATACGTCCTTGGGAGTGATGCCCGCTTGTTCATAGGCGCGTTTTGCAGCGTTTCGTGTCATGTCAGAGCCTATAAGCTCAATCGCACTTTTCGATTCATAAAGCTTGCAGGAGTCAGTGGCTAGAGACTGGCCGGCGATCTGAACGGCGGTGCTGCGGAGATAAGGGTGAGCAGCCAAGAAGGATTCCGAGACAATCACTGCTGCTGCTGCGCCGGTCTGTACAAGCAATTGTTAGCTAAACCTAGCAATCTATTAGGAATCAGATGCTTACGGAAGAAGGACAGCATTGCAGTCGCGTAATATCCCCCGCTATCACAGGGCTAGACAAGACATCTTCAGCCGAAACGGCCTTGGACAGCTGAGAGTAGGGATTGCGAGTACCGTGCTCTCTGTTAACAGCAGTAATCTGTGCAAAATCCCTCCTCTCAGCACCACCCGGGCCTCCATATCGCTGCAGATACTCTGCCTGGGCATTGCCATAAAGCTGAGGGCTCCATCCCGGCGACGGCTTGCCTCGCTCAGATTCGGGAATCTGTGTCTTGGACAGGTCTAGAACACGCGACAGGGGATTGGTGCGATCTTTATGTGTCTGTGGCAGCACGCCCGGATACATCTTGTCAAATCCAGCGACCAGCACACAATCGGCGTCGCCAGAGCGGATGGCTTGATTCGCAAGCCATAGACCCGTGCTGCCAGAGCTGCAGTAATTGTGAACATTGAGAATGGGGATGCCCGTCATGCCGAGGCTGTAAAAGACGCGCTGTGCGCATGTTGAATCGCCAAAGACGTAGCATCCTATGCCTTGATCTACCTTGTCAAAAGTGAGGCCTGCGTCTAGTAGAGCTTTGACGCAGGCTTCGACAGCGAGATCGAGATAATCCGATTGCGGGTTGGCTGCTAGATTGGCAGACTTTTTGGGGGAGAGGAACGGCGTCATGCCAACTCCGACGACAAAAGACGAGTTTGGCATTTTTGCTGTGGTTGTTGTGTCCTAAGTGAAACAATGTTATACGATGATGTCTTGTAGGTGATGGTCTTGCAAAGAAGCTCTCGCTATAGCCTGGAAATGGCAAAGCTTATCATCATGGCTCAAGAAGGGCAAGTCTTCCGATCTCGCTACTATTTCCATGATTTACTTGTCAAGTATTAGCATTTCCAATTTTGGCAATATGATCCAAGCGGCTTCAACCCCTCGCAGGTAGCTGATGCTCACTTTGACGATAGACGACAGCCGAGACCCACCTACGGTGAGGGGACTGGTAAGAATCTCTACGCTTGTTGATCAAGTCAATTGCGGCGATTGAGATGGAGAAATGTCATCATCATTAAGAGTGAATAGAAACCATCATATTCGACTGTTGATGTAGGGTCAGATTATACAGCGAGACTACCACAACGTACCATAGGCAGTAAACATCAGTATAGAGGCGGTGAAGATGAACATCTCTTACAATATTACACACAATTGAGTAGGAAAGAATTAAGGTACTCATCTATAATATAAACCAACCATCAAATTTCAGATTCACAACCGACTCGGCATCCTCGCCGCCCCATCCAGCCGAATCACCGTCCCATTCAACATGCCATTCTCAACCACACTCTTCACCATCTGCGCAAACTCCTCCGGCCTCCCCGCCCTCGCCGGAAACTCCAGCGTCTTGTTCAAGCTCTCCCTCGCCTTATCCGGCATGCCCTCCACCATGCCCGTATCAAACATGCCCGGCGCGATACACACCGCTCTGATCCCCCACCGCGAGAGATCCCTCGCCAGCGGAAGCGTCAGAGATGCGAGGGCGCCCTTGGCTGCGCTGTACGAGACTTGGCCTTCTTGGCCGTCGAAAGCGGCGGCCGAGGAGACTGTTATGACGACGCCGCGGGAGCCGTCGGGATCAGCAGGTTGGGTTGACATGTAAGGCACGATTTGGCGGATGACGTCGACTGTGCCGGTGAGGCTGATGTCGACGACCTTTTTGAACGTCTCAAGTAAAAGAGGTTTTCCGCTCTTTGAGAGAATCTGCAGCAGTCATTAGAACAAGAAAGAACAAATAGCAACGAAGAGCAGTAGTAATCTCACCTTTGCCGGCCCAAGAAACCCAGCGCAGCAAACCACCGCAGCAATCGGCTTCTTCGTCTCCTTACTCCAAGCAACAACGCCCTCCACCGCCGCAGCGACGTCCTCCGTCTTCGAAACATCAACCTTGAAGTATTTCTGGCCCTGCAATTCAACGGCACTGCTCGAAGCGCTCTTTGGGAGCTGCAAGTCAAACACGGCTATTGACGCGCCGAGGCTGCGCATAAGCTTGACTGTCGCTGCGCCGAGGCCAGAAAGGCTGCCATTTGGTCAGTTTAGCTTCAACGAATTGAAAAAGTTGTTTAATTGTACTTACCCTCCTGTAACGACGACAATTTTATCTTGAACGTTCATATTGAAGTTGTTGTTGTGTTCATCTGAGTAGAGTTTGTCTTGTCGCGAAATAGCATTTATACTACCTCAAAATGCCCGAGGTTAATTCACACGGCTATTTTGTTCCGTCATGTAATGCCTGCAACCCGCCTACTTTAAGCAAAATCAAGGGAGAAGTTATGCAGCACCCCAACTATAGCATAATAGGGCATCCAGTTGATATATTAAATATACAGCTTCCAAATACTTATTAAAAAGCAATAATATAATTGGGGTGCTAGATAACTTCTCTCTTTACTTTTGGCGTGTTGGATAACAGAACTGGGGTGCTGGATAATGGCCCCAAAATTAACGGCTCTATTCCCCAGATTCCGCCATCGCCGTTTGAGTGAGAAACCCCGGATTCCCCTTGTTTAGCTTCTTCAAGCTGCCCCACACATCCCCGTCGTCTCTCGTCTATCGCCTTTCGCTTTCAACAATCATCACATCACACAGCACTCTTCAAATCCCGATATACGACCAATCCCATCTATTGAAAACATTTATTGAAAAATCATCATGCCAAAAAAATCGTAAACTCAATAGCCGACATGCAGCAGCTCACATTCCCTCCAGCACTTCCTCATCGGCTCCCGGCCCCGAATCGGCCCCACACCGGCCCCGGCAGCGCAACACCATTCTCCTCTTATCCTTTCTCTTCACATTATACCTCCCCATATCTCATCAAACTTCTCTTCCTCTTCTCTCCCCTCACAACTCCCTCTAATAGACACTCACCATGGCAAACCGCAAAGAATCCCCCACCATCAAACCCTCCCTCTCCATCCTCCACGGCCCAGCCCAACCCGCCCCCATCCACAAAACATTCTCCCGCCTCCTCCGCGAAAAAGCCCTCTCCCAACCGTCATCCCTCCTCGTCGCCTCCGACCACCAGCAGAAATCCCTCTCCTACGCAGAAGCAGACTCCCGCTCCGATGATCTCGCCCGCGGACTGGCCGCCCTCGGCGCAAAGCAAGGCGACCGCATCGCCATCCTCATGGGCAACGAAATCGAGTACATTGAGACATTCTTCGCATGCACCAAGCTCGGCGCGCCCGTCACGCTCGCAAACTACGCATACACCGAGCAAGAATTACATTCTGTGCTTTCGTCGTGCGGCGTCTCTATGCTGGTCATGGTCCCTCGCTTCGACCGCTACGACTACCGCGCCTGGATCCCCAATCTCAAAAGGGGCATCCCTTCACTTCAAAACATCGTCGTCGTCAACGCAGACAAAGAACCCACCCTCGTCAAGCTAGACTACACAGACTACGAAGCCGTCGTCCTCCGCGGCCGCAGCAACACCTCCCTCGACCTTCTCGCTCTCGAAGCAAACATCCACGCCAGAGACGTCATGAACCTCCAATTCACCAGCGGCTCAACCGGCCTGCCCAAAGCCTCGGCCCTCACCCACAGCGGCATCTACAACGCCGGCCGCTACATCGGCAGCACAATGTACCTCCAGCCCTCGGACCGCATCTGCCTCCCCGTGCCGCTCTTCCACAGCTTCGGCCTAATCATCGGCCTCGCCGTGGCCACGGCATACGGCGCATCGCTCATCCTGCCCGCCAGCATCTTCGACGCCGAGGCCACGCTGGCCTGCATCCCCAAGTACCGCTGCACGGGTCTCTACGGCGTGACGACAATGTTCGTCGCCGAAATGGCCCACCCTCGCTTCGGCGACTTTGACCTCTCCAGCCTGCGCTTCGCCATCCTCTCCGGATCAGCCGTGCCCGAGCCGCTCATGCGCAAAGTCTGGGCCGCCTTCGGCATCACGCAGACACACACCAACTGGGGCCTCACCGAAGCCTCCTCCATCGTCACCATGACCCGCGACACCGACTCCATGGCCCAGCGCACCGTCACCTCCGGCCGTCTCTTCCCCGGCTTCTCCGCCCGCATCGCCGACCCTTCCACCGGCCAGACCGTGCCCCGAGGCCAAAGAGGCGAAATCGCCCTCCGCGGCAACGGCATCCAGGCCGGCTACTACGGAAACCCCCAACGCACCGCCGAGGCCCATCGCATCTCCCCCGAAGACGGCCTCGAGTGGTTCCACACCGGCGACGAGGGTTACTTCGACCCAGACGGCTTCTTCGTCATCACCGGCCGCATCAAAGACATGATCATCCGCGGCGGCGAAAACATCTCCCCCCTTGAAATCGAAGAGCGCCTCGTCGCCCATCCATCCATTGCGCAAGCATCCGTCATAGGCGTACCCGACGCAAAATACGGCGAGCAAATCTGCGCATTTGTCGAGCCTACTGCGGGCACACAACGGCCTTTGGACGATGAACTGCGCGCGTGGGTTGCCGAGACGTTGGCGCATTTCAAGAGGCCGCGGTATATCGTCTGGCTGGGGTCGCATGCTGCGTTTCAGGCGTGGCCAAAGACGGCGAGCGGGAAGTTGAGAAAGCCTGATTTGAGGCTTATTGCGGCAGAGATGATGAAGGGTGCGGTGGAGGAGGTGCGAGAGCAGGAGCCTGTAAGGGCGAGGTTATGATCTGAAGTGTTCTGTACAAGTAACCCGGATTGATGATGGTTTTGCCAAGAAATTCAGCCAATGATGACTATTTTGAACTGCTCTTTATACTTTGCTGTAATTGTACAATGCAGTATCTCTTCTCCCATCACCTTCTTTCACAAACGCCAACATCACGAAAAGTCAACAATTAAAGCCCAAGTCTATCAATTCCCAAAAGCCAAAGCGGCAACATAAAAATATATATACAACAGAACGAAACCAATTATCAAGCAAAAATCGCTTGAAACAGAGAAATCTTTCTCTGTAAAAGGGGGGGCCATCTATCTATTCAAGAAGCCGCATGCAATCTGTTTTCCGGCAAACTTCTTTTTTTTTCCCAAATGTTCATTCCCACGCTATGCATATGCCTTCGTAATTCCCTTCCCGTATATGATTCGTATAATCCATAATTCCGTGCTTGTCATTTCTCATTTCTTTCTTTTGTGATTTCATATACATTTTTTTTTCATCATGATTTTCTGAACAAAGGAAATAACGAGTGTAGTTCGTGAAGACGATGAGTCGCTAGTCTACGGAACTCGTAAGCTCCGTAGGGCGAGATAGTAATCGAGACCGGAACAAAAGAAAGAGATTAGAGGCAAAGTGGTTGTTCAAAAAAGAGAGAGAGACCCAAGCGCCATCGCAATGCTTGAAAAATCAAATCGCAAAAGACCTTGGATTCAGGGCTGAGATTGCGCGTTCCGCCTTCATTTCGTCGTGCACATAAGATTCGTTCGCTCCCCACACTCTTCATTCTCAATCCTTGATACGGGGTTTCCATCAGTGCGCCGCAGTGGTAGCCTTGGAAGACCACCCACCCGGGCTCAAATGATCCCACATCCAGGAGAAAATGCCGACTACAGGAGGCGCCCAAACGCCAATGCCCTCGCTCTCTTCGACCGCCGCGGTGCGGGTGGCAGCGGGAGACGTGCGCAGCATCATGTCGTGCGACGAGCTCGAAAACGAAAAGACCTGAACGTCGTCGACTTGCAAAAAGTCGTATCCGCTCATGGTGTCGTAGATTACCTGTGGCTCTTGAGGCTCCACATCTCGCCAAGATTTGCGACTGAAAGGAGGAGTATATACCTTGGAAGGTTTGCGAGGCGGGACGCCGTTGGCATCGACCTTGATGTCAGACTTGACATCTGCCCTCGCATTCAAATCACCGGTATTTGTCTTCTGATCCGTCTCGGCCTTCTTCATCTTGGTCTTGGCGCCGGTCTTGGTCTTCGTTTTGGGTTTGTCGGTCTTGACGAGCGGGGCTTTGCCCTTGGAGCGCGGCTTCTTCTCAGCCTTCTTCACTCTCCTCTCCCTCTTAGTCTTCCTCTCGGTGTTTTCGTTTGCATCATCCACCGACGAGGCCACCTCTACTATTCTGTTGGCAATGTTGGTCTCGATATGAACAAAGCCATCATCTCTCTCCTCCTCGACAATGTCGCCCTCCCGGACATGCTCGACAGGATGGGGCGTTGAGACTAATACAGCCTGAGGAATGCCTGGCGCGACAGTCATCTCTATCAGTCGGTTGTTGGGACCGACGACCGAGTCGACCTTGCGCACCGCGGGCGAAGCCGCTGGCAGGAGCCTGACTTTCCTCTTCTCGAGCTGTTTCCCAAGATGCATTGTGAGGGCACGGGTTGAGATTCTGGCGGATCCGACAACCCATTCCCGTACGGGTTTCCTTCCCTTGCGAGTGCGAACCAAACTACCATTCGTGTCGTGAACCGCTTCATCCTGATGCTCTCTAGCCTGTGACATAAAGAACACTTCCATCATCCCGTCTGGCCTTGCGGCCTCGAAAGGAGAAATTGTCGCAGCGAGGATGATTGGCGAGTGGAAAAGGGCAGATGTCAGTTGTTGAGCGTTCTTGGCACGGCCGGTCATCAAATACTGAAGCCAGTTGCCGCTATTTTGTAGGATGAAGTAGGCTGTCTGTGTGTTCTCGGGAGACAAGACACAGTTCATCTTTCTTCGAGTCGCCACAACGCCTGACGAGGAAGCAATACTAGTACTTGTAGTGTCGGCAACTTCCGCCATCATCTCCAGGCATAATGCTTCTGACGAATCGGCGGTAATGGCGATATCAGGGGTCTTGGCAGCAGGAGTCTCAACAGCGGCACTAGTATCGTCGGTTGCACCAAGACTGGGGGCCTCTTCGGCATCCGGAGTCGTCGTGGGTACTACTCCATCTTCCACCGGGGTCATGGACGACTCAGAAGAAGGCTCCTTTGCATCTCCATCATGTGTCTTGGAGGAGCACTCCTCGACAATGACGGAAGATTGGGTGGTTTCGACGGAGCACGTGGAGCCCGCGTCAGAGCCAGACGCATCAGTGGAGCCAACGGTATGGTCAGAGGCATCCGAGGCCTTTCTAGGGCGGAGAGACTGCTCGGGCTCGGCAGCAGCAGTCACGACAATATCCGGAAGAGGCAATGGATTCTGGAGCGGTGTGGCAGGCAGGAGGTGGGGGTTGGAGGCGGGGTCTGAAAAGTCGAGACATATGTTAATGCTGTCGCACTCCCCTAGGTCCTTGAACTTACCTGGACCTCGCCTCGCGATGAACTTGGCCGCCTTGAACACCGGCTCCGGAGAAGCACTGACAGACCTGGAAGACGTGGGTTAGCGGAATGCCGGTGATGGGGGTTTTGTATAAGATGGAGGCAGATGTATAACGTACAATCCTTGCACAATATCACCCCACGCATCTCTCTTGATGGCTTTCATCGCTCCTTGAATCCTCTCCTTCAACTGCTTGGAAGACTTGACAACCTTGAAGTCGGCCAGAAACGAGTCCGACTCTGCGCCCTCGGAATAGGCATTGAAGAAGTCGAGCGTCTTTCGCAGTCTAGTGATGAAGAAGCTCCTTGCAATGGACGGATACTCTTTGTTACGGAATTGGAGAAGAGCTCGCTTCGCGTCCATTGGGTCTTGTCCGACCTTTGCAGCACGGAGTTTGACGCTGATCTATATGAGTATTGATTAGTCTTGTTTCTCTCTTGTACTTTAGTGCCCAAGTGCCACTTACAGAAACAGGCACAACAAGGCCAGGTCGTTCCTTGGTAGGCACGCAGGCCTTGACAAAGAGCCATCTCTTCGCATCCGGGCTCAGATGTTGCTCGACAAAGTCGGCAATCTCCTTATTTTGAGTCCATGTCTCGGCGCTCACAACTCGGTTGATGTGCCAGGCCTGAAAGTAGAAAGTTCCATCTGAGCTTCCACTTCTCCGGGTCATAGTAGGATATAAACTGGGCGAAGGGACGAATAAGATGGGCCGTTTTAGTGAAAAAACGGACTCCCACTATCAGACACCAGAGGCAGGGCCGTCCAGTAAAGAAAAAGACAAGAAAAGACAAGAAATGTTGAATTGTTCAAGTCAAGTCAAGGTAGGGTCACCGTGAAGATGGGTTGACATCTCGACCTTCCAGCAACGACAATGGGAAGACTGGCCATGCATTATATCTCAGCCATCAAGACTCGTCTCACATCTGATTCGTATGCCTCGGCCATGGCCATGCATACTTTTCACCTGCATCGATACCTCACGGCCACGGTGTCTGTCGCCGCATCGTTGACATGACAAAACAGAGACGGTTACAATGCCGTCGCCCATAGCACCCTGGCCACGTAGCAGGAATACGCCATGCACATGCATACAGTATATTGCTGGAGCGTCATGATTGGCTGCTGCGTCTCCATTGGTACGGATCGATTCGGCCTGCCTGCATTGCAGCCTTACGTGAAGACATTGGCCTGTACAGTACACGGCCACGACCGGGTCCCGTTCCGACGGCTGTGGCCCAGCTCACGCGGCAGCGCTCGATTTAGCATCCAGGAGGCGTTGTCCGTGGTAAGCGATTGCGTGTTGAGGCGGGTTTCATAGCCGAGTCGCGGCTGATTGGAGAAACGTGGGCGCAATCAACGCATCCTCTTTAAGCAAATAAGCCTCCCTTGGGCATCATCTCCTTGACCCCGCAGACGTAGCGCTCAAGTCATTTACTGACGGCATGAGAATAAGCCGGAGACACCAGAGGCGGAGCTCAGGTATTGCTGCGTCTCGTAATAGCCCGTCCCCCATGTTCTGGCATCTCGATATTGATCCGTCACGGGCATCTATTCATGGATATGTGCATGTCCCGTAAGCTGCTTGTCGGGTACGAGTGCTGTCTGCAGTGCTGCGTGAGACGAACGAGTATAAGAAGCCAGGCTGTCCCAACGCGCCTCCCGCGCGCGTACACGTTGGAATCACATCATCAATATCATCACTCATGTTGTCCTTCATCTAGCTGCCCATCTGTTGTCTTGGTCTGTCTTGTCAATTTGTTTCAGATAGCGTAATCCTCTTGTCTCTGAATCCACCTAGCCTATCGTCGTTTGCCCTCTGGCAGCTCAGCCGAGACGACGATGGCACGAGCACCATTTTGCCCCGGCCGTCCGAAGCTGCAAGCACGCACAGCCCAGGACAAGCCGGCCAACACGCTGGATACCCAAGGAGGAAACCGGCCAAGAGAGGCATATGAGAGATCAGAGATGACGTGAAAATGAGGGAAGCAAAGAAGAGTTCTGATGGCTGTTACCAATCAATGGCCACGAGCAACATCGGCTTCTCCATTACTCGTCCTCGCAAAGTGGACAGACGCCATCCTGAAAGAGAAGAGCCCGAGCGGCGAGATGAGGCAGACACAAATAGGCAGACGCGCGCAATTTTGATTGTCTGATGCAGCGTCCAGCCACCAAACGCAGGCCACGTCAAGCCCATTCATTGATGTGTTTTGGGAGAGTCGAGATTCATCGGCGCCCGACCTCGTGACGCCCGAGCTTGTACCTTGCGCTAGGCACTGGCCACGCGCCGAACAGGTATCGGTACAGGCACCGCTACCCAACGGAGCATAGGCGCGCCGGTACCTGAGAAGAGGGTGGTGGTATCGAGCTGTACATCCACAGGTACTCGACTGTCAGAGTCGCAGCAGACCCTTTGTTGCTGGCTTAGCGCAGACAACGCAGCACGGTTGAGCCCGCTGTGAGCCAGTAGCATCACTTGCACGAGGCCCCGTACAGCGCCATGACGAAGCTGGAGAAGCATGTGCTGCGCCCCGGTAGTATGAAGCCTCAGTAACCATATCAGGTGGTTTGACAGTTGGCAAAAGAGCTCCAGCCATTGATACAATATTCCTGATGCACTGGACCCAAGGCATAATTGTGGTACGATCCGCTCCCGCCAATCGATATCCATCCCTGTCAAACCAATGCACTCCATCACTCTTATCGTGGATAAAGACTCCAACGCGGTTACTAAGCCTCTTCACCGTCAGTATCCGCAAATACCCATCCCAGACCCGAGCCGCCGAAGCGCCGGATCCCCAGACGGCAGAACGAGCTTCATCCATCGATATCCAGGGCTCATCTCTTATCCTCCCCTAAAGCGATCTGCCATCTACTCCCAGCTAGCCCTTCCGCGTCGTCCCGCTAGATCTCACCTCCTCTCCAGGCCTCCGAAATCGGGGCCATCCCCACCGTCCGGCCACTCACAGCCCGTACATTCGCAACGCAGCGCACGCCGCAGCATGTCATTCGACGAGCGCCGGAGGTCCGTCCACCGCCTCCGATGCTCAACCAACTTCGCTGTCAGCCATGAAAACCCCCGGTATCGATAGTATCCTGTATCTACTGACCAAGTTGTTTATGCTTACATTTTTCACTTGCCTTGTTTTGTAATATCACAGCCTGCATCTTTTTGCTCTCGACTCTTATTTCGTTATCGTAGGATTCAAACGGTGATTGATGCTTACGGATGCTGCTACCTGCTGCTTATTCCAACCAGCATCATCTCGCCAGGCTGCGTGCCCTTTCCCCCCTCAAAAAGAAACTCAAAGATCGATTTTCTTCTCTTTCTCTCTTTCTCTCTTTCCTTGTCCCTCGCACTTCACCTCAATTGGCTAGAAGAGTGACCCCAGTAGCAATTCCACCAGTAATTCCCACACAACAACCGCCAATAAGCGCGCCCTCCTCAACTCCAGCTCAGCCTCCTGTATATCCTCTCTTCTCACCTCAACTCGTACAAACAAAAAACAAAACGCTTTCAAGAACCAATGAAGACGAGCGACTCTGCATCGCCGCCATTGGCCCCCGCCATCGCCATCATGCCAACAGACCTCTCCGTCGGCGCAATGACGTCGCCTTCCTCTGCCGCCCAGTCACATTCACAGTCGCAGCCAAAGCCGAGATGGAACTCCAAGCACCTCTCCTGGCGCATGGGAGCGGATGCCTCGAGCGCTGCATGCGCAGGAGCACTGATTGCGCCAATCATAACCATAATTGACCGGTAAGTCAGCACATGTATGCTCACACTAGCACCTACATCTTCACATGCACATCACATGTCACATACACACATCCAGACATATCACCACCGACCCTCCCAAACACCACAAAGCTAACAATTCCCAGCTCCATCATGGAAAACGCCTCCGGCCGCGCCTCCCTCTCCTCCTCCATCCGCTCCTCCCTGCGCACCCTCCTCCTCCGCCCCCAAGCCCTGCTCCTCTCCAAACCCTGCGCCCTCGTCTTCGCCCTCTACTCCGGCACCTACATGACCGCAAACTCCCTCGACACCTTCTCCTCCACCGTCTCCAACAGGCCCGCGTCCAGCATCACCTCCGGCCCCGCCAAATTCGCCGCCTCGTCCGCCGCAAACGTCGGCCTCTGCGTCTACAAGGACCAAGTCTTTGTGCGCATGTTTGGCCCGCCCGGCGCGGTGCCCCGTCCCGTGCCGTTGCCCAGCTACATCCTGTTTACGCTGCGCGACTGCTTGACCATTTTTGCGTCCTTCAACCTCCCGCCGTTGTTGGCGCCTTGGATCGATTCCAGAACATCTGAAACGCTGCGCCGGCATGTCTCTGGCTTGACGACGGCGCAGTTCATCGCCCCGGCGTCGGTGCAGCTCTTTTCGACGCCGATACACCTGCTCGGTCTGGACATGTACAACCGCCCAGGAGGCACCTTTCGCGAACGCTGGCAAGTCGTGCGGTCCAGTTGGCTTGTTAGCACCGCAGCGCGCATGTGTCGCATTATCCCGGCCTTTGGCGTCGGCGGCGTTGTCAACTTGAAAATGAGACGGCATCTCATGGAAAAGCTGGAATGACGACTCTTCTTTTCCCTTGATCATTCTTTGTTTTGCATACGAAGCGACAATTCACGTATAATTCTGTTTCTTTTTTTTTTTCTTCTTGTCTCTCAGTTGGGGGACATTAGACATTAGCGTTTTGTGCGTCTCATACCCGACGCATCATCATATATATATATATGACAGACTAGATAATATAGACGCATCACTGCCAATAGGTAGCCAGCAAACTTGGCTCAAGTAATCATAAACAATCACGCAAGACATAAATGCGCACTATGGTCAATCGCCATCTATATCAGTCACACGCACTCATTCATCCTGCATCTCTCACATCAGTCAACTATCCGCCTAATGCATGTTTTCGCCATTTTCAGCCTCGCGAATCATCTTGCCAAAAGTCTCTTTTCATCTGTCCATCTGTCCATCCGTCAATTCATTCATACATACACAATTCATTCCGTCCTTCTACCAAACAAACACACAAAGCTAGATTTAAATTCAGGGCCAAACCCAAATACATCTTCCATTGGCTTTTATGCAGCATCCACTCCGCTCCAGGCATCTCATATTCTCCTCCCCAGCAGCCCCATTCGCTCTCCTACAAAACTTCTGTCAAACATAAAAAAAGCAAGGTATAAGTTTCCCGACCCGTCGTCTCTCAACACAAATGAACAAAAGAAAAAATTGTAGAAACAGTAGCAACACACAAAAGCACAAAATATTTCGGTAGACCGATATACATCCGACGCAAGGGACCGACTCATCCATAATGGAGGTCGTCTCCCTTTTCCCAAACGCCCTTTCCGAGGCTTGGCCAATCAAAACGTATCTGAGAAAAAAAAAACAATCGTATAAATGCCATGCTTGAGGGGGCACTTCTTCGTCCGCAACTTTAGATGGCGTAGGACAACATGAGCTTGATGCTGAGAATAATAGTAGTCGAATATAGAATAGGTAGATAGGGGCCGTCAGTCAGCCTGCCATCTCCATGCATCGTCCAGTTTACGTGAGTCAATTCGGATCTGCATGAGAAAAAGATGTTCCTGTAGATGTTGGTTGTATCTCAGGGGAAAAAAAAAGTTGAAAAAGAAGGGGAAAAGGAATCCCGGCTAGTTGAGGCGGGTATCAGTAGTAAGTGATGGCACATGGCCCATCACATCATGATAATGTCTACTCCACAGCCGGCAAAGAAGAGTAGAAGAAAAAAAAATATAGACATCGAAGAATTAATAGGCTCCAAAATGCGACTATGCCACTTCCACAAATAACATGAGCTTCTCGTTCCGCTCAAGGGCATAGTCGAGATCGGCATCGTTCGACAGGCTAGGCTTCTCTCCTGTCGACTCGTCCTTGTAAAACAGCTGCATTTGTTCTGAAGGCGATACCTTGAGACGGTCTTGAATCTTGTCACAGAGCTGTTGGTACTGGATGTCTGTGGGGACTCGGATAGCAATGAGATCGCCGTTGTAGGAAATCTTAATCTTCATTGCGGCTCCAGGCTGGGCCTGTTGCTGTGGCTGGGACGGCATCGGCTGCTGCATATGTTGCTGTTGCATAACTGGCGGTGCACTGTTAATATTTGTATAGACTATAATTACCCAGGGGGCATGGTTCCATGGAAGCTTACCTGACTGTGGATTGCTCACTTGGCGTGGCGTGGCTGAGAGACCAGAGTATCCGTTGCCGCTCAGATTGTTTCGCGAAGACTGTCGCGAATCAGGGTTAGCATGTGACCCAGAGGACTGAGAGCCCTGGGACAGTCGGTATTCCTCTTCAATCGTGGAGGGGTCCATCTCATAATCGCCTTCTCGGGGGGCGAAGAATTGCTTGACAAGCGTGCAACGAGCAATGTAAGAGGGCTGGTTAAGTAGGTTCTTGACATAGGCATCCAGGTTATGCAGCCTTCCCTCTGTGATGGCATCTGTCACATAGCTCACGGGGCCAGGCATGTATGGGAGTGATCGCTTCTGGGTACCAGTGTTGCCAGCCTCGGCGGGGAATTCGGTGAGAAGGGCAATCTGGAAATCATAAAAGTCCTCATAGTACCTGGACAATTCCCAGTGTCGCCCGTCCTCGAGCTGTGTTTCAATGACAAACCAGTACTTGTCCTCTGCAAAGCAATAGCGAGGTATCCGGGCAGAGATGGGTGCATAGAGTTCCGTTGTCGCGCTCGACACAAACTCGTTCTGTTGGGGGAGGGCAGCAGGCTGAGGGGGCATGCTTTGAGTAGGCTATCCGAGGGTTTCTATTAACGCCTGATCAAAGGGTAAAGCTGGGGAAGATGACGGCAGGGGAGCAAGGGAGTGCAGTAGAGGCGGGTCTGATGAACGGATGGAGATGTGACGGATATCAGATGGGAGCGGATGAAATGGGATGAGATGAGGTGAGATAAAAGAGCCTGCAGAGCAAGGTAAAAAGAACGAGGTTCGCATATAAAAGCACAAAACTCACCTGAGGTCCCGGCTGAATGCTCATGCGCTCCATGCCCTGCTCCAGCGGCTGCGACGGTCCTCCGCCCTCAAACTTGCCCAGCGTAATGCTGCTATTCTTGTACGCAGTCGCCATCTTCTTCCACTCCTCAACTTTAGGGACGCCCGCCTGTCTAATGGCGGCATCAGGGTTATCAATGGCCTTGCCCGTGCCCATATCACGGAGCTCAATAAAGGACACTGGAATCAAGCCTGGACCGCCCAGCCGACCAATAGGCTTAGCGACAAACCACTCCGGGTTGGACTGGGCGATGACGATGATGGCCTCACCGGCCTTGGCCTCCAGCTCGTCGGACCTTTCGGCGTTGAAGTCGTACATGACGACACCGTACACCATGGCGCCCTGCTTGACCTTTGACGCGCGCTGGCTGCCCGGCCCTCCAGCCGTGCCGGGAGGGGATTGGACTTCGCCGTAGCCAGAGTCATGGTCAGGGTTCTTGTTTGCGGTTGGCGGGCGGCCTCCGTCCGACTGCTGGCTGTCGCGCTCAGTCTTTCCAAGCGCTTGAAAGAAGGCAACGGGCACAAGACCACGCGCATCGGGCAGCGCAGGGTTGCAGGCCTCGTACCAGTCCGGATCGTCTTCTCGGCCGATGACGTGGAAGAAGTCGCCTTTGGAGAAGCTCAGCTCCTGGGCTGAGCGAGCTTCATAGTCGTAGAGAGCGCGGATGACCTGCGAATAGAGAGTAAGAGGAGGATTATCAACAGGCAACGCTATAACAACTAGGAAATCCGGAACAACATTTTTGAAAGACGTAATGAAAAGCCATATTGCAAACGCAGCTCAAGGGAAACAGAGAGGAGAAACAAACGAAAGCAAGTGCAAGTTGTTTGCGCGCGATGGTGTCATGCGACCTTGTCGATTCCAACACAAACGGCGCAAACAGCATGGAAAAGTCGAAATTGCAAACAAGGGCAACAGAAGGATTCAGACGCAGCACACTGGTTTTCACGAACCTTCTTGGGCGGAACGATTGCGACTGCAGCTTTGGGGGTGATGGAGATGCTGTGCTGCTTCTCCTTGTCGCCTTTCATAGACCGACGAAGAGCCTGTACCAAGCCCATGGCTGTTAGTCGCTTTTCTTCTTTTTCTTTTTCTTCTTCCTCTTCTTCTTCTTCTTCTTTTCGGGTATGCTTCTTCTTCTTCTTCTTCTTCCTCTTCCTCTTCTCCTTCTATCTCTATGCGTTCTCTCTCTCTTTGTTCGAAGACTTCGTCGCAAGGGAGTTTTTGGCAATCTTTTCTGCGCGTGACTGTGAAGAGACGGTGATGGTGACGGGTGTGAAGAGCAAAGGCAGCTGGGCATGCCCGGCAGCATCGATATACGGGAAGAGGCCATTGGCCTGGCCTGGTGTGTCGCCGGTCCGGCAGGCTTTTGGGGAGGGGAGCGGTTTGCAGCTGGCAGCGCATGACTTGCGCCGTTGGCAATGACGCACCTTCATCTTTCAGCGTGTGTAACGGGTTCGTCCGGGCGGCGGCGTGGGAGCAGCGTCTCGCAGGGCAAAAGGTAAACAAGAGGCAAGCAAGAGTTGAGCTGTATTCTCGGCGATGGGATCGAAAGGGCCGCGAGGGGTCGCGCAGAAAAACTAGAGAGCGGCAAGGGAGGGGTCTCGGTCCTGCCTGTCTCGACGGGGAAAAAACAAGAGGCTCGGTTCGATTCGATTCGTGCGTCGGGAGAGGACGAGAAGCGGCCGCAGGGCAGATGGCAATGGAGTCGTGGCACGAGGTGGAAGAGGCGAGGAAGCGCAAAAAGAAGCGTCTCGGCTCGGGCTGATGCACAAGAGCAGCTTCTCCTGTGTTCTGTCGTGCTTCGCTGTCGGGCGCCACAATCTGCGCGTGCTGTGCTGTGCTGTGCTAGCACTTATTAACTAACTAGTAGCGACTACTAATACTAGCCTCCTCTGCAATCTGTCTGTCGGCTGCGCCTCGTGCTTCTTCTAGAAGAGGTCGAGCCTCGCGCGCGCGGCTGCAACGGAGCTCACGGGAGCGTTTCTATATTTTTAATTTTATTTCTTCGCCCTCTGCCCCGTGCTGCAACCTCAGATTTCGGCGATGCGGGCGGCCGTGCTGGAAACGTGCAGCTGCGGCGGGTGAGCTCCCGTTGTGGTCGTCTGCCTCGTTTTTTTCGTGGTTGCGCCAATTCAGACCAATCCGGTGCTATGCGTAGGCTCACGACAGCGCAATCGCTTCTGCTTTCTGTGAGGATGATTCAACAGTGTCGCTCGCGCGCGGATGAAATGAAAGAATAACGACAAGTGTTTAATATTGAAGCAACAATTATGAGCGACGGCAGTAGAACGGACCGGGAGAAGCGGCTGCGGATGGAAAGGATGGGATGGAAGAGAAAAAAGATTGATGCGTGGCAATGTCACGAGTACAAGTACCACGCCGTCCCTACCGCTGCGCGCTCGCCTCCATGAGACAAACAGCATGGGTGCGGTACTCCGTCGTATGCTGCCATCGCATTATTGCGACCACTTTTGAGTCGTATCGACTCCCAGCTTCTTCGTACGAGTAAGCCCAAGCCCAAGCCCCGACCCGTCTTGCTGGGTCCTGGGGGCCTGCTACAGAGTGATGGCAGAGCCTACAGGGCCTGGCCGGCGCTTTCCAGACGGGCTCCCGGTGGGTTGCCGGTGGGGTCCGCCAGTGCCCAGGGCGCTATCCATAGGCTGGCGACGGCCCTGTAGAAACAAACAGGCTGCAGACCGAGCAAGGGAGGGGCACAGCCAGCAAGGGTTGCGTGAGCGCCTGCACGAAAAAGAGGCCGATGCACCGTGATTGCAAACCACATCCGTGATACCCAACATCAGTATCTGTAGCAGGCTCTGTATGTACAGTATCCACTGAAGCCTTGGGGCTACTTGGCATTATGGGACGAACGCCTAGCACTTGAGCTACAAACTCACGGCTTGCTATTAATAAAAGGTCGATCATCAAAAGTCAAGGTACAGCAACACTGTATACATACAGCCCCGGATGCTGCTGAGCGCCAGCCTGCGCCGAGGAGGCTGAAACAGGGCATCACAACACGAATGTCACCTCTGTCGGGCATCAATCTGTCTCGCAGCAAATTTATTCCACTTTGCTTCAATCACTGCTGATTCCATTCCCACGCGGTTATTTCCCTGCTGTTTGTTTTAAGCATGACTCGATGCCCCATGTTGGTGCATACGCCTAGCACATCCCACTGTGCACTTACAAGGTGCATGTAGCAAACTCCCAAAGCTTTTTTCTCTTCTGGGAGGGAGCCCATATCAAAGTTCTGTCTGCGCTATTAAATCCAAAGCTGGCAAGGCAGTAGAGTACCATTGGGGCCTTTCAATATTTTTTTTAAAAAAGAAATACATCCCACCCTTCTGCCTGACCACCAGCCTTGTTCAACTGCAAATACTTGTACTATTTTCAACAACTTCAAGGCCTGCTTCCACCTCCAAAGCCGACTCCAACACGTCGTTAGCCCCCTCCACCACCTCCAACTAGCCCCATCACCAATAACCGCCACAAAGTCCCCCATCCGCACAGATCGTCCTGGCCTCACCTCGCCAAAGCCTTGCTGCCAACCTCTACATGGTGAAACAGACAACAATTCAGGCCATTGACAAGACCAGTTTCACCATCCGGCAACTTATCGATTACGCCAATGCACATCTTGTCTCCTTCGTTTCAACAATGTCGTCATCTCCTCTTCTTCAGAGTCGCAAAAGATGAAACGAATCATGCTCGTCAAAAGTGAGAGCTGACAGACCCATCGAGGGCCACTTCAGTGACATGCACTCGGGACTTACCCTGTTACCCACTGATCGTCCCCTCCCTATGGCAGAACGAGTCGATTCATGATGAAAGTCCTCGTCATCAGCAGAATAGATACACTTTTATGCGTACTGGCTATAGATCGCATCTGTCAGCAACGCCATCATTGTCAAACTCATCTAGATCAAACCGACATTGCCCCTTTCTCCATCTTTGACTCGATCCTTCCGTCTATCCCATATCAAGCACTATTGAACACCAGATTAAGAAATGCTGGAAATCTCAAATCTAATCAATTGATGCTGCTTCGACTATGTAAATATGTACAGTAAAAGTCGAAAAGTGCCTCATGCAAGCTGTCATAACCCAAGTTGACAAACTCGTTGCTGGCCATGCGAAAAAATTATTACCAACGCCAAAATTCCGGCACCCTTCCACAGCTTCCATATGATCATGACCTTGTGAAATCGTGAAAGAGAGAATGTCGGAATTGCTCTATCAAAAGAGAAACTTGGCCCAAAACATCGCGTCGCACATCGTCCAAATCCATCTCAACATCCAAGTCCGCTTTGGAGTTGCTACTATGAATCAAGTGATATCCTGCTTTGCAACACAAGCAGAGATCTGGTGTATCAAGTTAGAGTAGTAAATCGCTCAAGAGAGTACCGTATCAAGGTGAATGCCTGAAGTTTGCTTCATCTCTTGAGGTATCAGAGAGTAACAGTACTATCCGATACGGAATCGTGTCTGGCGTGGGATGACGAAATCACTCGTGATCCGAAAGTGGCTTTTTACAGACGAGATCCAAAAAAAAGAAGAACAAAAAAGAAGAATGCTTTTAGCCTCGTCCGAGGTCGGCAAAGTACTGTCGTTAGATGTCAAGGCAGGCTGGTCCTTTTAATAAAAAAATAAAAGTTGGTGGCTTCGAGCCACATGCAAGGTGTGTGGGAGAGAGAGAAAAAGGTACTTGGTGCGACGTGGCAGAGAGCAACATCACCAAGTTAGATCTGGCCTTTAATGTCCACTTTCTGGAAAGCTGAGGATCTGGCGCTCTCAAAAAGGCTCCCGGCCTTGCCAGTCAGGAACGCAATGTACTCTGTGCGATCTTCAAGAAGGTGTTGCCCCTGGTAATCAATGATGAACTGGGCAGCATCAGCATCGGATTCGAAACCGAGCTCCTCAGTGATGAAGCGCAGCTTGACGTCAGGTTTATATCTGTTGATGAAGCATTAGCATCAGAATCTCGATAAAAAATAAAAAAGAGTTGTCCAACTTACCCTCTGCAGATGTTGCACAGAGCTGCAAGGCGCTCCCTCGTGACAAACATATCCATGAGATATGCACCCATGTTGGGTGTGTCAAGATACAGCTGGAAGAACTTGTGATAGTTGCCCAATGCCAGCGTCGACCGTACGTCGAGAGCATGCTTGATCGGCTTCTCTTCCTTCTCCGCTGCGGTTAGATCTGCCAGGGTGTCGTTCAGGCCGGTTCGATTGGCAGTGTGGATGAAATAGAGGATACGATACGCCTTAAATTCAATGGGGTTTCCCTTCAGGCCCATTGCATACAGTGACCGCAACTGGGTCTGGCACTGATTATACTCACCAATATCCCCCTTCTCCAAGGCAATCCGGGCGTGGATCTCATAGACGGAAACAGTAAAGTCGTTCTTGATGCGCTGAACCGTGAGATCCTGGCGCATCGACTTGAACTGGTCGCAAATGTAGGAATAGTTGCTCTCCTTTCTCCACTTCTTCTTCAGCAAATCCAACGTTTGACGGAGAACTCTCTCAGGCCGCACGTTGGACGCTACAGGGGGGGCAGTGAGGCGGAGATACTTCTTTTCAAGAACTTCAGAGGTGCCGACGATAGGACCAGTCGGTGGAGTTGGGCTGGGCGACGAGATATTGGCCGCCTTGTACTCATTCTCGAATCGGCGTTTGCGCTTGTTGGCTTCTTTTTGGAACTTACTAGACTTGGGGTCATCGAGGGACGCCCGCTTGTCGGGGGAATACGAAATGCGATCCTCGAGGGATCGGCCTGAGTTAGTAGAGTGCCATGGTGGCGTGGACGTATCATTATTTGCAAAGTCATTGGACTTTCGCTTTCTAGGGTTGAACGTGTCGTCGGTATATACTGGCGTTGTCAAGGACAACGAGGCAGCGTGATGGTGCAACTTCAGCTGGGCATCACGGTCAGCTCTCACCAAAGCTTGGGGCAAGGGCATGCTGTCCCAATCAATGGTGTAGAGCGAGTTGTTTTCTTTGGCGCTGCCGATGGTGTCTTTTAATTTCGCTTCAAGTTCCGCACGGGAGACGGAGGCATCCTCGTTCTCAGGATGGAAAGACCGCTGGACATATCGACGGACTGATTCCGGCCATTCGGTCTTGCCTCCTTTGGGCTGTTCTACGGGTGCTGGAGATGCATTTGTTGTAGTCCCGGGAGCAGAGGCTTGAGCCTGAGCGGCATTTGACGCGTACATGTTATATGCGGGTGGTGGCGGAGGAGTGGTGTATTGGCCAAAGCCTTGTCGTACTTGTACTGGAATGAAAGCAGGGTCTATGAAGAGGGTTAGAGATCACGGGTCAAAGCAAGCAAGGGAGATGCGAGACATACTAGGTGGATAGGCATAAGACGCTGGAGGAGGGTGCTGAGGGACGACGCCCGGCGGGTGCTGGGCGCTCGACCAACTTGGCATCATCGTGGCGGCTGGGAAATTGCTGGCTGGAGTTAGTTTTACGAGGTGCGAACGATGAATCAGGTGCAGACAGAGAGTCTGGCGAGAGCTCTGGCAACAGTTTGATGTTGTTTGTTGCGATGCGTGGGATGAGATCAGGAGGCAACAGGTGCGTGTTGGGCCGCAGAGGGAAAATGTGCGAGGGAGAAAGCCCCGTGACGAAGCCAGCGGCTATATGCCGGCTATTCTCGCTGGACCCTTCGTGCGCTGGCAGTGATGAGCCTGCGCGTTATCCCAGATGTGGCAAATAGTGGAGTCAGACCAGATGCGACTCGCGGTACGTACCTCTGCGCGCGGGATGCCATGCCTCGACGAGAAGCTTAAGCTGCGGTGGTGAAACCTTGCATCTGTCATTATCATCACTTTATATTCACTGCCGCCTGAAATTCTCGACCTTTATAGCATCCATTATCCCTTCACTCACTACGCTATTATTATTCAAAATCTCCCAAAGCCAAAAGTTGTATCTCTGCCTCTATTCACCACAGCTCCTTTGGCACGTGCTATTCAGCGCATCATCGATCCCGCAGCGACTCACCCGCTCACTCACCAAGAGGCTGGCTCTTTGCCACAGCCGCGGGACGAATGTTCCTGAAGCATCTTGATCTCACTACTGCACTGCGGCCTTTGTATCTCCCGGATGAGGTACTGCTCTTTGTCCAAGACAATGTCGGCTTGTACGAGGGGTAAGTCATCTGGCGGGGTTCAAGACCTATGGATGTTTGAGTATGAGTATGATGCTGATGCGACGAGATATAATGTAGCAAGTACAAGCTTCCGAATCAGCAAAATGGCCAGGTCTACCTAACATCTCATCGCATTTGCTATGTCGACAAAGTTGAGCCGAGGAAGCAGTCCGCCGCTCTCGACCTGAAGGAGGTGGACCGGTATGAGTTCTATGCCGGCTTCTTCAAGTCTTCGGCCAAGGTCACCATTGTGCCCAAGCCTCTGAGACGATCAGCCCTTCACAACCGCGTAATGTCCGGTACGGGAGTCAACTCACGACACAGCACGCCATCTCCGACATCCTCCAATGACGCCTACGCTCCTCCTTCTGGGCCTCCGCCAGCTTCAGCCACCTGGGTCTGCAACATTTGCAGCTTCTCGAACCCTGTCCCTTCCAACTTTGATCCCGCGGCTGCAAACGCTCACACTCCCCTCCCCCCTTGTTTAGCATGCGGAATCAAACCGGCGCTATCACTGGTGCTCAAGGCGGCTATTAGTAGTGCAAGTCGCCCATCACCTTTGCTGAATCCCAGCCAACCGGGAAATATTAACAACTATACGTTTTCGTCAGCATCAGCAGTGACGCTGGGGCTTGTCGATCCCTTTGCAACGCCTAGCGAACAAGGAAAGGCTGATGCGGCCGTCTTTCAATGTCCTCGGTGCACATTCTCCAATCATCCATCGCTGTTATCTTGCGAGATGTGTGGAGCACCTTTACTCTCGCAAGATGCACCTTCTACCATATCCACTGCTGAGTACATTAGGATATTATCTCAGTCTCCAGGACCAATCAAGGATACCAGCCAAGGTGCCGTTGATTTTGCAGAAAGCGTCAAAATCTCTTTTCGAGGTGGCGGCGAGAAAATCTTTTACGAACGCTTGAAGAGCGCCATGACGCAGCGGAAATGGCTGCTTCAAGATGCTCCTCCCGCTCCAAAAAGCAGTCGCATGGCCGACGATAACTCCTCCAGTGGCTCACCAGGCACCCCGACCCAGAGAACGAAAACAGCCGGCATTGCTGGACTGGAGCAGCTGGGCTTAAACATGCGGAAGAATAACGAGATTCTAATCGGCAGTGCCTTTGAAGACCTCGAGGCCTTGATGACCTCTGCAAAGGAAGTCGTTGCACTAGCAGAGAGATTTGCACAGCAAGTCAATGGGGCCAACGCCGACGTTACCTCCAAGGAAAACACAATCCTAGCCGAATCCGCCCACCAGCTCGGCCTCATCACCACCAAAGACATCGTCGGCAGCGGCGGAGGCTCCGACTCCCTCTACTTCTCCGAACTCGCCCGCAACCTGGCAGAGTTCCTCACCGACGACGCAAGAGGCGTGCTCAAGCGCGCCGGCGGCATCCTCACCCTCGTCGACCTCTGGGCCATGTTCAACCGCGCCCGCGGCGGCGTCGAGCTCGTCAGCCCCATGGACTTTGAAAAGGCCGCCCAGATGTGGGAATCGCTCAAGCTGCCCGTCCGGCTACGCACGTTCCGCAGCGGCGTCATGGTCGTCCAGGCACGCGACCGCACCGACGACGCCACCATCAGGTCCATCCTGGCCTGGCTGCAGGACCTGCACGAGTTCCCGCCCGATCGAGAGGTTGCGTGGGACTGGCGCGAGTTTGGGCGCGGCGTCACGGCGCAGGATACGGCGGAGCGGTTTGGTTGGAGCTTGGGTGTGGCGGAGGAGGAGCTCCTCATGGCAGAGGAACAAGGCGTTTTGTGTCGCGAGGAAGGGCTCGAGGGGCTGAAGTTTTGGAAGAATTACATTGGCAAGACGGACATTGCGGTGCTGCAGAAGCGGGAGGCTCAGGAAGAGGCGGATGCGATTTTGCGGCGTTTGAAGGACACTGGTCTTATATAGGTGCTTGTGCTTGCATCTGTTGACGTAATTCATGACCTTTGTGATAGAAGTACGAGGACATGCTTTAAACTGGGACTGTCTTGGAGTTGTAGATGGAATTTGCGCCATCAATTTTGAGATATATTGTACATGAGCAGCTTAGAGCCTTAATTGTTCTTGCTTTTCTGGCAACACGTTGCTTCACTCGGATGCCGTCTGGATATAATAAAAACAGTCATAAAATGAAACACCACAACTCCACAATTCCCTCTTGTCGTTTGACAAACTCCATGTTCGCGTAAGTGAGCGTGACCTGCATTTCCCCCCCGCCGGCCAAGCTCCCAGATTGTGAAAATAAATTAAAGAAAAAAAAAAACAAGGCATCAAATCATTTCAAAATCAGATTTGATACCTGGCTGGCTAAAATCACAACGCCATTCAACTTTCATCATACCACGACATGTGTCGACATGTGTTCCACGGCCTCCTTGATGGAACGGAGCATTCTCTGGTTGACACAAAAGGGGCATCGCAGCGGCCTGTCGTGAGTAGCCATGGGCACCTCTGACGAATGAATCGGCGTGAGAGTCAAGTCGTGGGAAATGTCGTGGCCGGGCGTAGCATAGCGGGTATCAGAGGGTGCGCGGGCAGCGGGCGGTGCGGCCATCATGACCTGCTGCTGAAGCCCCGCGGCTCGTTCCTGGCGATCTCGCTCTTCGCGCACAGCCGCGGCCTGCTCCTCGGCGGCCTGTTCCTCCTGCTGCAGCTGCCGAAGGGCGTTTTGGAGCACCACCTCGGGGTCGTCGTCTTCGTACATTGGCTGGTCGGGCGGGGGCTGGGCGAGCGTGGGCTCAACGGGGGCCAGAGCCGATAGCGGAGCCGCGTGGGCGTTTGCCAGTCGCCGGATGATTTCGTCTCTGACCAGCGCACAGGTGTTGAGGCTCGACTCAACGCCCACGACGCGCAGGACCTGCTCCCGGATCGCGGCCGGGCTCGTGTCGGACTGGATGGCCATGAAGCGCGGCACGCAGTCGGCCAGGTAGTCAATGTCCTCGGCGGGGTTGATGCCTCCGTCGCCGTGCCGGCGCTGGCGCCTGATCAGCAGGCCGTATCTCTTCTTGAAGCGATGGATCCAGCCCGGCGAGAACTCGGGCGGGCTCTCCTCCTTGTAGCGCGGCAGCTGGCTGAAGATACTCTTGGCCTTTTCGCCCAGCTCCTCGTTGGTCGGCTGGCGGCCCGCGGCCTGGACCTGCTGGTACCACAGCAGCACCAGCTTCTCGACGTCGGGCCAGTTGCCAAAGCGCAGGCGCGAGCCCGACAGCTGCGGGTTGTCGCCGTCGAGGCGCGAGTACTTGGGCGACAGCGAGTGCGAGACGGTGGACTGGCTGATCTGCTGGCCGTACTGCGCAAAGAACCACTCGATGCAGGCCTTGTGCGACGGCCGGATCGTCTGGTTATTCGCCCATCGCCGCAGCGCCCGCCGCTGGTCCAGCGTCAGCGAGTGCCGCTCCTTGGGCCCGGCCACGGACGGCGAGAGGTCGCTGCCGTCGGCGCCCACCAGCGAAGGGTCAGTCGCAGCGGCGGCCATCTCGTGGTGGTTTTTCCCTTTAGCAGGTTGGCGGCTTCGTGGAATTGCAATCGTTGTATCCGATGGATGCAGGATTTGGTGCTGCTTAAGGAGATGGTGCATGCGCCAAAAAAAAAATCGCGGTGGCGGGGCGCGTTTATTCGGGCGGCCCCCAAACGCCCCAGAAGCGGCGCCTCACGTGATTGCATTGCGACCCTTTGTGCGTTTCCAGAGGCGGCAGAGGCTGCATGTTGGCTCCGCGATGCGCTGGATTGCCAGCGGCGGCAGCCCGCTGATAGGCGGCCTTGTTGGCTGCTGCCTCTGCGCTGCTTGTTGCACGGCCATGGAGGGCGGTTTGCAGCAAGTGGCTCTGTGGTCGTTGGATACGCGGTTCTGCCGGCTAAGCAGCGTCTTCGCATTAACGGGGATGGCGAGACAGCTCGTCTTTTGTATATGCTTATATCCCTTAGACGCCTGCCAATTGAAGCTCAAGTAAAGCCACCAGTCAGAAGCTCCGAGCATCAACACCCTCCTGCCGCTAGTAAAGCAGTAGGTGATTCGGCATGTAATTAAAGATGTGCCAAATCCCTTTATTATGCTATCAAATGCTAGATAAAATGCATCTGGAATAGTTGCTTCGACCGTCTTGGACACTCGGTGTATTACATACATACAGCCAATCAATACGAGGCTTCAATAATTGCCTACCTAGGCAAGTAGACAGTCGGCCAATGGCTAGCGGAATCATGGGAATATGCGGGATCGACTATGAAATAAAGCAATTCTGAGCTGACGGCTTCATGAGCAACTATGCTCTATTTGGGATCTCAATGTAGTCATGTCAGCTTCTAGAGATGCTTCGGGTCTGTTTCGTGAGGCTGATATGGTGAGCTGTAATTTGGTAGTCACCAATTCCGTTATGCTCCCGGCAGTCTAAGCTGCAGTTTGAAATTAGTATATACTATCAATAATAGAACAAATGCGTTCTCCGGTATCTGTGTTAGCTATTACACCGCTGATATATGTATGCGTACTCATAGAGTAACACGTGCAGTCAGCCATCGCCATGACGAAAATTCAACATCAATGGAAACCAATAACAGCTCCGTCACGGCATCACTTGGTTATTGCGTCGTTTCCCGTCGCACTCAAGGCAACGCTGGGAAAAGACAAGGTAGCAATGTGCATGTAATTGCGCAATGAAGGCCGTCTTGCTAGGGAGAATAAATTGTATCGCATCTATTTCGAGACATTCGCTCTCCAGGCATCTATTATGTACAATACAATATACACTGCCACTCCGCAACCCCAATTTTTCATATTTTGCAATTTAGTGCTTCTTGTCCTGCTCCTCAAGGAATTTCCTGTCAAGCCGTTAGTCGGGATCTCGTCCAGCGTCGCCCACAGTAGTATATCACGCACTTGATAAAGTCGGCCTCGTCAGAGCTGGAAGCGTTGATCGGGGGAGCAGCGGTGGCAGAGGCGGGCTTCTTGGGGCCAGAAGCAGCGTAGTAGGCACCGCCGAAGAGGGTAGCCAACCAGCCCATGGCAAGCTGTGGTTTTTTGATATCAAGTTAGACACTGGCATCCCAAAACGAACTCGGCGTGCGACTTTTTTTTCTCGGCGGAACATACGTAGTGGCCGCCGACTTGTCGGCCAGCAATAGTGTAGGTTGCGATACCAGCCATTGTAACCTCGGGATATGCGTCGAAAGGGTGGACGGGAGGGCGAGACGGGAATCAATGGATTGCTGCAGAGTTGAGAATCGTTGGCGGGCGACGAAAACGGAGACTCGACTTGTGCCTGGAATTGCAGGCCCGGCATCTGGCGGCTATTCCTCGGCGGGGCTTATCGCGGGTGGGTGGATGCCCGACTCAATTTCGCTGCCGACGTCACTATAATCATGGCCCAAAGGAGCTTTGCGGGAGTTCCTGAGCTATAAGCGCGGCCATCTGACTAGCTTCGGCGTCGTCGTAATTGTTAGTCTTTCATACTTTGCCGTTCAGAGAGTGAAATTTCTTTGAGCGGTCGATTTCTTGTCTTGATCGCATTTTATTTCTTCCCTTGGACACAATTTCATCATGGGTTGGTGGGGGAAATCTTCAGAGGCCAAGGCCGAGGACCAGCAGCGCAAACAGGCGCAGAGCGAAGGCGCTTTCGATCCCACACTCCCCAAGGCCGAGAAGCTGCCCAAGGGCCTGCAGAAGATTGTCGACAAGGCCGATAAAGACGAGAGTTTCTTTGACAGCATCAAGGAGGGAAGGTAATTGCGGGCTGCACCTAATCTGGATCTTACAAGTGAGAGGCTAAACGAAACGCATTCAGCGCCCCCGACTCGACGGAGAGCAACTTGCGATATGCCGCGTATGCAACCCGACTTCGAACAATTCTGCTGTCTGCGCATCGATACGTCGCCTACACGTCTGATATTGGCGAATCGTTCCGCCCCGTTGCGCACCCGGGCCTCGTTCGCACTGCCTACGGAATCTCATGGCTCTATATTCTGGGCGATGTCTCGTTTGAGGGATACCGCTCGTACTGGCGCAACCAGCGCGTCCTCAACCCGCAGCTTCTGCTCAATTCTCACCAGCAGAGATTCTCTGGCCTCCCTGAAAAGGAGACTCAGAGCCTTACTCCCGGAGTAGTTTCTCCACTGGAGGATTATCGAACAGTCATGGTGCAGAGAGCCATCTTCCAGAGCTTGGCCAGTATGGGACTGCCTGCCTTTACCATTCACAGCGTGGTCAAATACTCCGGAAAGGCCATGAAGAATGTCAAGAACGTTGCTTTGCGAACATGGGGCCCTATTGGCCTCGGCTTGTCCGTCGTTCCATTCCTGCCCAGTCTCTTTGACAAGCCGGTCGAAGACGCCGTCGAGTGGGCGTTCCACAAGGGCTTTTCGCAGTTTGGAGGCCACAAGTACGTCGGAGACTCGCCGGCTACCGGGCGGGAAAAGCTGATCAACAAGGATCTCAAGGCCAAGAAGGATCAATGAAGCGTTCTCTACTCTGTATATGGGATAAGGCGTTGGGGCATTACTCTACTCTTGGAGCATTATATCATGGGATAATTTCGTAATTACCACAAAGAAAAAGAATGTCTTTGTTATATACATCATGTATAAAAATCAATCTGTTGTTTAAGTAGTCTGATGTTAAGATACTGGTAGGGAACGCATATTGGGCTCTAGTTACCAATTCTGGTATCCAAACTCGTAGCGGGGCCATCCATGGATAACCAACCCCGCGATGCCAGCTGCAGCCTTAATCTCGCCTCGTCTTACTTGCGCTTGTACCCCTTGTGCTTGGCAACACCAATAATTTGCTTCCATTCCCTAATTGCATATATCGATAAATATCGAATTTCAAAAGCCAAGGCGCGATTGTTAAGCGGTAGCACAAAGCGCACGTCCTTTCACCGGACTTTAGCGGACAGATTGCCAAATCCAGCAGACGTTTATAGGGGCTTCCAGACGCTTCCTTGCCACGTTTGGTCAGCCGACTGAATCACTCAGCCGCGCCGACAGTTCCAGCGCAGCCTCACTGCTTTCCAAGGCTACGACATTCACTCTGCCTGGCAAAGCACATCATTTTATCAGTTAGCGAGATTGCAGCGGCCGATCTATTTTCACAGGCCCCCCCAAGATGGCGTCAGGTTCAGATTCCGATGCTCCTGAAACGAGCTACATCATGAAGGACAGAGAAGACGCCAGCCTAGTCGGCACCCACTGCCAGTACGAATACTGCAACCAGCTTGATTTCCTGCCCTTTTTCTGCCAGTCGTGCACAAAGACGTTTTGCTTGGACCACCGCTCAGAATCTGCGCACAAGTGCTCGAATCCCGGGGCGTGGGCGCAGCGGAAACGACAGGCTCAGCTGTCAAAGCCGTCCATAGGCCAGGGGCGGACGCTGCGAGATAAGATCTCGGAGAAGCCATGCGCTGCGGACTGCGACACGATTGTCGGCACGTCGTTGACGCCAGGCGTGCACTGCGATACATGTAACCGGGACTACTGCTTGAAACACCGCTTCAAGGATGACCACAACTGCAAGAACTTGACGCCGCTTGGGGCGCGGCCCATGCAAATCGACGTTGCTCAGAGGACCAAATCTGCTCTGGATCGACTTCGCGCATGGGGAACGGCCAAGAAGGAACAGGCTGGCAGGGCGCTGCCCAAGCCCAAGCCCAGCTCAGCAGCAGCCCGCCTGGTGGCCGTCAACAGCCTGAAGAAATCCGCAAAGGGCGACGACAAACTGGCGCCGGAGAAGCGCGTCTACGTCTATGTGGAGGCTGAGGCCGAGACGGCAAAGGCCAAGTTCCCCAAGGGCGAATTCTTCTATTCCAAGGACTGGGTCATTGGCAGGGTGCTGGACGCAGCGGCACGGAGTCTCCAAGTACAGAATATCAACAACCAGAGCTCGGATGAGCGAGACAAGTTACGCGTCTTCCATGTCGAGGGCGGCAGGCTTTTGGAGTTTGGCGAGAAGGTTGGGACGGCGTTACAGAGCGGGAATACCTTGGTGCTATTGAGAGGCGTTGGTGCGCCTCCGGATTTGATTGAGGCGTGAGGACTCCTGCGACTGATGGGATTTCAGGATATATCTTTTTTGTTTTCCTTTTTTTTTTTTCATCCTTGAATTTACAGATAGCGGTTCTGTGCAATGGGCACAATGAGGCATGGATAGAGGGTGTATGTACATAGACGGCATTAATATCACGCATTGCAGCGAGTACTAAATTCTAATTCTTAGTCAATCGTCCCATGATGCCACCATAATTTAGCTGTCGCAAAGCAAAGACCGTCCTTAGTGGAATTGACCCATTTGACCAGAGCCAAAGCTTTGAATTTACTAATAGACGTATGAATTGCCACTCATTTGATATGTCATCCTTCAGGGTAGTCAAATGAAGCTCTCCCTCGCACGTGATCCCGCGTACACTTTCGCGTTAGTGACGACATCGCTGTTTCTCATCTCACTCCAATCCGCAGCCCGTGAATCGCGTGTATCAAGAGATGCCTCCGTATGTGCCTCGCAAAAGGCTAAGAGTGTCCACGCCCGAAAATGCAGCCATCGAGGAAAAGACGGCCAGCGGAGTGAAATCCAGGGCGAGTAGCAGCCGAAGAAGAACGCTGTACGACGACCTGGATTCGTCACACACACCAAACGGTTCGGATTCACTGCTTCACGGTCTGGGGGGCGATGATAGTGATAGCCCTCTGTCTTCTCTGTCAGAAAGCGATTTCGAAGATGTCCCCATTGCGAAACAACTGAAGACGAAAAATGATGGCGATGCTGACGAGGATGACGAGGACGACGACATCGAGTTTGAGGATGTCGAAGCTCCTCAGCAGCCCATGACGGACGCGCCAGTACCGTCAGGCGACCTTGAGCTGACTCTGATCCGGGACACTCGAATATCTCTGACGAACCCCTTTGGTGACAAGAAGGGACCTTCAAAGCGAGAGCGGAAAGTCCGGAATGCGACCCATTGTGTTCACGTTCTTTGTCTTTTGTGGCACAATGCGGTTCGGAATTCTTGGATCTGCGATCCTGAAGTGCAAGCGATCATGGTTTCCCATGTCCCGCCTAGGCTCTGGGATGAAGTTGACCGATGGAGGCGTAATAGTGGCTTGGTAGAGAGCCGGCCGACACCGAAACCCAAGGCATCGGCGAAAAGGAGGAGAGGCACGAAGCAAGAGTCTCGAGATTGGGGCGAGGCTGCCCAGCGGCTTGAAGAGGGGGCTATCGACATGAGCCACGGCGATCCTCTGTTTCGATTTATGAAGTCGCTAGTCGCCTGGTGGAAACAGCGATTTCGAGTCTCGGCACCTGGCCTCCGGAAATGGGGCTACATGTCGCTGGAGCGTCTCGATAGACTCACCAAGGCGTATGTAGATCATGAGGACGACTATGAGGAATTTGGAGAGCGATTGGAAGGAATAGATGATTTTCGACAATGCGCCATCAACTGCAAAGGAAGTAGAGACGTCGGAGCTCAACTATTTACGGCGCTTCTTCGGGGCTTGGGAGTCGATGCTCGTATGGTGGCCAGTCTGCAGCCCCTAGGCTTTGGATGGAATAAACTTGAAGACGCGGATGCAGAAGAAGATGAAAAGCAAGAAAACACGCCTGCCAAGTCTACGAATAAGAAAAAGCTTGAGAAGAAGCCAGCAGCAAAACCCACGAAAAAGAAAATGGCAGAGAAATCAGCAGCCAACATCACCCTGTCACGGTCACGCTCAGCTCGTTCATCTACGAGGCTGTCTACTCCTCCAACCGAAGAAGCCGAGGATGATTTACAATTGGAATTCAAAGATACAGACGACGAATTTGTTGAGATAGATCTTACCCCAAAACCCAAATCTATGTATACGAAGAAATTCGATAACGACTTGGAATATCCACATTACTGGACCGAAATATTATCGCCTGCTACAAAGAAGTATCTCCCAGTCGATCCAATTGCAAAAGGAACCGTCGCAGTAAATAGAGACCTTGTCGAGACATTCGAACCTCGCGGCGCCAAAGCAGATCGGGCAAGACAAGTCATTTCTTATGTTGTGGGCTACTCAGGAGATGGAACCGCGAAAGATGTCACCGTACGCTATCTGAAACGACAAGTCCTTCCTGGTCGAACTAAAGGCGTGAGGATGCCACTGGAAAAAATTCCAATCTACGATCGCAATGGAAAAGCAAAGAGGTACGAAATGATGGACTGGTTCAAGACGGCCATGTCCGGATACAGGCGAGGAGACAAGAAGCATCCCGTGACGGAAATCGATCAGCAAGAAGACGCAGTAGACTTGAAGCCGGCGAAAGCAGAGAAGAAGGAGGTAAAAGAAGGCGAGGAGACACTGCAATACTATAAACAGTCAAAAGAGTTTGCGCTGGAGAGGCACCTCAAACGCGAAGAGGCCCTAAGACGAGGGGCGGAACCAGTCAAGATATTCAAAAATAAAGGAAAGAGCGGCAAAGCCGAGGAAGAAGATGTTTATCTTCGACTGGATGTTGTCCTTGTCAAAAGCGCGGAAACCTGGCATAAACAAGGCCGAGCTCCGCTTGCTGGTGAAGAGCCGTTGAAGAGGGTCCCGTATCGAGCAGCCACGTTGAACCGGAAAAGAGAAATATTAGAAGCCGAGGCAATGACTGGGCAAAAAGTCCTGCAGGGGTTATACAGTTTCGACCAGACCGATTGGATCATACCGCCGCCTATCAAGGACGGCGTGATTCCGAAGAACGAATACGGGTATGTGTGCCTTTTAGTCTACCAAGCTCATGTACTAATATTGGTATAGGAACATTGATCTGTTTGCTGAGCACATGTGTCCTGAGGGAGCTGTGCATGTGCCATTCAGGGGCGTCGGTAAAGTTTGCAAGAGGCTTGGAATCGACTACGCAGAAGCTGTAGTAGACTTTGAATTTGGCCACAGAATGGCTGTCCCCGTGATCCAGGGAGTCGTTATTGCGCAAGAACACCACGACAGAGTGATGGTCGAGCTAGAGAAAGACGAGGCTGAACGAGTCAGAAAGGAGGATGAGAAAAGACGCAAAGCAGCACTTGGGAAATGGAGAAAGTTTCTCATGGGAATGCGCATCGTGAAGAGGATTCGTGAAGAATACGGCGACATCGATGAAAGCGTATCTGTGTTTGGCCATTCCCGGAGCAAAATGCAAGTCGATGAACTACCAGCGGCTCACGACGAAGAAATGGCCGGAGGATTTCTTCCAGAAGGATATGAGGAAGATGGCGAGGACCACCGGGCGCACGAGACGTCGAACTTCTTTCCCTCGCTCGAAGAGGATGATCATGGCGGAGATGGAGATCTCGTTATGGAAGACGATGGCGGAGCTGGCACTAGCGAAGCGCAGACCGAAACGGAGACGCTGGTGGAGGCTAAAGGGAAGAAGCCGGTGGCGCCCAAGGGGCGTAAGCCACGAGCAACACGGCAGAAGAAGCAAGTTGTTGATAGTGAAGATGATGGCGAGGACGATGAATGGTGAGTTCTGCAATGTTTGGGTATGCTTTGGGATATTGAACTACATTATGGTGACGGGACATGGAGCGCGGCATCGGTTTTATCACGGAAATGGCAATACATGTAAAAGTTGGTAGTCAAGCCACGATGTTGGCGAATATTCTGGCTACAGGCTATGGACTTGATATACCTCGAGCTTGAAATTGCTAAGAGCAAATAGTTGCGTCAAGAATCTTAAAATGGAGAATCTTATGGCAGGAGGCTTTTCTATAAGCTTCGTGGTGCGGTGCTCCACCGGTGTAAATTTACGCGTACTACCCTCCACTTTCACGCTTTGCGGAGCACCATCTTTTTCTAGAACTTTACTTTATAGAGAGAGATTTTTTTTTATACTGCAAACAGCCTGTAAAGGCAATTCCATGACTGCATGGATAAGGATGTCCAAAAGTAACAAGAGTCAGCCAATTAGCCATGTCAAGGTCAACCAAAGCCAGATCGTCTAGATTACTTGTCAAGATTAAGGTTCAAGATAAAGTACCTTGAGGACTCAACGACGTTGGGGAGAAACAATAATGAAGAAGCCAAAGGTATGTAAAACTCTTATGATTGCTTAAAAGATGGGTGGAATTCAGCTCTCAGACAAGGAGATGAAGTTATGATCCAACACATACAACTCAAGTAGAAAAGCTCTGTATATAACTGTAGCTAAACAAGGTAGCTTCACCATGCATTATAATATCATTACTACTGCCAAACTGACTTGGAAGTAGCATCAGTAGCATCAGTAGCAGCAATGGCTGAAGTGCTGCATAATAGAACTGGGGCTGGATCAAACTTCTCTGTAGAAAGGGTCTATAGTTGCTTTTGCCCCAGCTGAATGCATGGGCGCAGCTTTCATTACAAGAATGAAAATACTATTGTCGACATCGATACCGTCGGCATGGATTATAGACATTGATACATAAATCAATAGTATCGATGTCGACAACAGTATATTCCTCCTTGTATCCCTCCCAAGACGCCACTTGGCCCATTTTCCTTTCCTTTTTGTCCTATCCACTCTGTTCTATCAAGGGCCTATTTTTTCTTCTCAAAGCCTATCTAGTAGTTTGGTCATTTCAGACTCTATAATGTCGTTACTTTCAGACGGGCCGAACAAGGTTCGTCTACTTTACATGTATTCTAGCGAGGCTATTTTTTTTGTATCCACCCTCAAGCCGCAAAGCTGCAGCTGATTTCTCTGTGTCTGGCGAGCATTTCCTATATAAATGGCTCATTTTTCGCCTTCTCTCGCTGGTATATTCTTCTCATACGAGTCCTTAAACATCCTCAACCGTTACTGGGCACTGTCGGTGTTCTAGTAGTAGTCACCCAAAGAAGTGACATTCGCCGATCCAAGTCCGTCATGACTTTGTCCACTCCTATCCTGGTCTTTTTGGTGTCATTGTCTGAACCGACGCCGGAGAAAGTTTTCGGCATCATATACCTATCAATCATTCTCATTTACTGCCCCGAGATTCAACGCCTCGCCGAGCAGAGAGGGGATATCAGATGCGTCTTCTACCTCTTCTGCGTCTACCTCTGCTTCAACTTGCGCTACTGTATCCCCCACGCCTACATGTTCTATATGAACATCCTCCGGTTGGGCCCTGCGAATTTAGATCCAGAAGATATCGAGTTCCTTTTTGCTCCATAGACTTGGCTTTCTCACATACTCGTATGCTCGATATGAATACATACAGAAACGAATTGCTCAAGAGCACTAAACTGCACGAATCCTCGCTTTTGGATATTTATGGGGGCTGGTAACACAGCCAAAATGTTACTGGAGAGCAAATCCCCACCCTTTTATGATATGGTCACTCCTCAAATCGTTTGGGATGCTTCTAGTGGAGAATAATTTGCATTCGGAAAATCTTGCCATGGGCCTTGCAGCCAGTGTCCGAGATGCTTATCGGTAAAAGGCCTTACAAGCTTTCCCAGGTATCGCCCTTTGGTATCTGGAAGAGGCTATACCTGGGCGCTGATACGATGCTATTGGCGCCATCAAGCACGCCCACTGGCCTCACGGAATCGAGAATGGAATACGCGAGATGGAGAAGAAGAGAATCGGTACTGATAGTTTATATATGGAATATGGCACATTTGAATTTCTTGATTTACTGCAGTTTCTAGGCAGCTTCTATAGGGAATATATCTGATCTTTTTGGCTATCGTCCCTTGCCAAACATTTCGTGCCATTTGCCCCTGCTCCCAGTGTTCTTGAGCTGTCCGCTTGCAGCAGCAGCATGTTCAGGCACCAGCTCCAGCTCAACAGTCTCGTGGATCGTGGAGATGGCAGCTATACCTTGATTTAAAGCCGTAGATGAATCCAGTGGAGAGAGCAGTATGACGGAGTTTGACGTGTTTTTCTGGCGGAGAGAGTAGGTTCTGTCGGGAGACTTGAGGAGGGCTGAGGTCTCGGAAGATTCTAGGGTGAGGCTGGAGCAAGGGGAAAAAAAAAAGAAAAAGCGTTGTGAGTAATAGGAGGTTTCAAGATGAGTGAGAGAATAGACAGCGGGGAGAGACATACACTGGAGGATTATCGGATTCGAGGAGAGATTGGAGCTCGGGGGGGAGTTCGATGAGGCGGTAGCCGATGTCGTCTGGTTGGTGACGGAGAGGGATTTTGAAGTCGGTGCTGGACATTGTGACTTGAGTTTTGTGAATCGTTTGAGGTTTAATGGTTGTAATTATGTTTTATGATCACGAGAGGATAAGAAACAAGGATCAGTAGGGTTGGAGTTGGGTATCTAGTAGAAATTGAGAAAAAGGGTTTAAATCTTTGGTGGCCCTAGCGTTTGGTTGCGATGAGGAGATTTTATGATGATTTTGTGCAGATGAATTCAAAAATGCTGAGATGAGACTCCAGGTGGATTTGTGGATGTATGTGAATCAGTGAATAAGTGAGTCTGTCATAAGTTGGGTGGATGAGATGAGGTTGGAGATGTTTGGAAAAATTATCGATAACTGAATGTACGTCATGTAATGTGCGTGCACAGCTAGCAGACAGTTCAATCCGTTGGAGCTGAAGAGAGCACTGGAGCAGCAGAAAAAAGGGCGCCAACTGCGGGGTCCAAATCTTAGGCCCAGGCTGCGAGTCAGCAAGCTACAGTGGGCTTTCATTACCCAGAACGGGTACTAGGCGCTAGCAGCTCCATCACGGGCTCGTGCCTGTCCATCAATCGATAGCTCCAGGTCCAAATTTGAGCTGGAGCTTCAGGTGCTGTGCCGCCCCTCATCCCCAGCGGTTATTAGTGAACGGCCCAGCGCTCTCCAGCTCTCCAGGGCTGTCAACCGGCCGTTCCAGCGGGGTCTTTAGGGGACCAAGGGGGCCCCTGGACGTTTCACAAGCAGCTTGCCTTCATTATAAAACAGCTGGGGGGGCCCCGGCGCAGAAAACGCTCAGGGGACCCTCCCCCCTTCTTAGGCAAATCAGTCTTTCAGCTGGCATCAGTTCGTGTTTGCGGCGATGGAGATTGGAGATTGGGGACTGGGCGCTGGGGATTTTCGGGGGGGCGTGCGTCGAACAATTTGGTAGGCGCCCGAGAGCGGTATCTATTTTCGAGCACCTCACCTCATCTCATCCTGCCGGGCTCGAGCAATAGAATATTGCCTGCATATTACATATTTCTCATATGCCTCCTGCATAGGGCCGTAATGACTAGTGCTGCTTCCTGGATAGTTTAATCAGGTCTTGCGTAAGACTCGGCCTTGTCCATTTTCTCATGTTCAATCTTATTTCATTCTTCTCGTGAGCTTGGTCCCGGCCGCAGGGATCACCGAAGCCTTCTGGAAAAGGCTCCAGACAAATCTGTTTGGCCACAAAACAAACATACATTTGAACTCTATATTCAACAAGCCCGAAACATTCCCACGGCAACCAGCGTGTTTAGGGTGCGGGAACTAAGCTTTGCAACTAACTTCTCAACGCCTTTTTGTGACTCTTTTTCTTTACTTGGACTCCCGCGTTTAAACTCTTTGACTGAAGAAGCGCTCAAGCCACAAGCGCCCCAAAAAAAGCCTCTGTTTACTTTCTGCCGGGACCTAAAGAAATATAGCCTGCGCTGGGCCCACCTCGGCTTCGTCTCCCTCACCCCTCCCCATGCAAATCAAAGGAAGAGCAGAGCAGAGCAGCAGAGCCAGAGCCAAAGCAGGACGCAAAGCCTTGACTCTTTTCTGTTTCTGAAGACGCATCTCCAATCCCGCATTTTCTCCATCCCACATCGCATCACGCAACTCACACGCTCTTTTTGCCGCTGATCCCCGACTCCCTTTGCGGACACACAAAGACGAATCGCCCAGACAAAGACACGAAACAGCCTAACGATTACGATTTACGGCGAGCAACGAGGGATCGAGGGAGACTGGGCAGCCCCCATCGCCATCCACCGACGACGCTGCAAGGGCAGCAACGCCTGCCGCCAGCCCTTCCCTGGACACGAAAAGAAACACGCTCTCAGCCTCGACGCAGAAGAAGAGACACGACCACGCACGTCAACTTGAGCCTCGACGAACACCGCCCGACTCCAGCACCAGCATCGCCAACCGCCGGGCTATGAGCGCCGCTGGCCATTGAGCCCTCGATTGAGACCTCAGGTCCGGCCCAGCCCCCAACGCAGAGCCCGCCATGGTGCGTGTCACGGACGAGCTGGCGCTCTCGCCCGAGCACATTGCTCTCTACCACGCCGCCGACCCGCTGCTGGGCCAGCTGCCCGTCCTCATCTTCCACGGGCCCTCGACCACGGCCAACTACACGCTCAACAGCTCGCGCGTCCAGGTCCACGTCTTCACGCCCGCCGGCTTCCAGAGCTTCCCGCGCATCACCATCTCGCCCAGCTCGCCCTTCTACAGCGTCGTCAACCACCTGCCGCGCGAGTTCCAGGGCGACGAGGTCTACCGCGGCCTGGCCTTTGGTCTGTTCCGCTACTTCAAGGAGCTGCCCGACAATGTCAAGGCGCACCTCAAGGCCGCCTACCCGCCGCCCAAGGGCAAGCGGCCCAGCAGCGCGCCCGCCCTCTTCAGCGAGCAGCATGCCGCCGACCTGGTCAAGGAGATGGTGCGCAGCGAAAACACCGCCGACGTCGTCGCCACGCTGGACGAGGCCCTGCAGACCCAGCACGTCAACAACGTCGACATCGACTTCATCCTGCCGCCCGGCTCCATCGTGCCGCAGTCGGCCGAGCTCGACGACATGCCCGACGACGAGGACGACATCATCGACCCGACGCTGCGCCAGTACGGCAGCTACACACCGCTGGTCAAGCTGTTTGGCGAGCCCGTCTTCCTGCCCACCAGCAAGCTGCGCCGCGCGCCCTCAAAACCCACCCCGCTGAATCGCAACAAGACCTTTACCAAGGACCAAAAGATGGAGCTGCGCATGAAGATGAGCGAGCTCGTTGACACCGAGGAGCGCTACGTGCTCAAGGTCCAGGAGCTCGTCAAGACCGTGGCCAACGACTTCCGAAATAACGCAAAGAAGCGGTCGGTCGAGAGTCTGAGTCCGTCCGAAGAAGAGCTGGAGAAGCTGTTTCCCAAGTCGTCAGACGGGATTCTGCAAGTAAACTCGGCCTTTATCGAGGAGCTGCGCAAGATTATGAACGAAACCGAGGAGGACGCCGTCAAAGACATGGAAAACCCGACGACGAGTCTATCGTCTTCGATGAGGGCTGGCAACAATGCTGCCCCCAAGAAGGATCCGCTCGGCGCGTTGGCCATGGCCAAGCTGTTCCTCGAATGGTTCCCCAAATTTACCCAGTGCTACCAAGACTACATCAAGGCGAGTCAGCACTTTCCGACACTGCTGAATTCATTCCTAGACCAGCAGTCGAGTTTCCGACAGCGAGTGAGCAGAGCCGGCGAGCAGACGATTCGCTCGCTTCTCATTGAGCCCGTCCAGAGGCTGCCGCGATACAGCCTGCTCATCGACCAAATCATCGCCTCATTACCCATCACGCACCCGGCGCTGCAGCCCATGCTCAAGGCGCGAGACATCATCACCAACATTTGTTCCATGGATGACCCCCTGCCAGACAAACCTCACATCGCAAACCGCCTTCGAAATATGGTTGAGGCGTGGCCCGCAGATCTTGAGCCTCAGGGCCGCCTCATCCTAGCTGCTGACTTCTTAGAACTCTCGCCACCGTACCAGGCCACAATCGACTCCGACGATGCTGGAATATTCCTCTTATTCTCCGACTACATCGTCATGCTGAGGAAATCTGGCGATAACAACATGACGGGGCGCGACTTGCTTCGCGAGATCGACAAGCCCTCGGCGGCAGAGCTGCTCATTTCCATGACGAATGCTGCCGGCGGTCCCAGCCATTACGAGTTCATTTTCACGGGCTGGCATCATCTCGCAGATGTTCGTTTTACGGAATCGGCCGATGGCCACCTCATCTGGATGACGTCCAGCGCAGAGATGAAGGGCATGCACCCCGGAGAGCACAAAGTTCCCAAGGCCATCACATCACGGTGTTTCCTGCTGCAAGAGGCCTTTGAGGGCAAAGCCGCAAAGTGGAGTGAAGATGTCGTCAAAGCCAGGATCGAGGCACGTTTCCCCGAGGTAGAGAGAGAAGATCCTAGCTGGACCCTGCGATCAGTGCGGATGCCTGAAAACAACCTGGGACTGCACGCTGCGTTATTCCAAGAAGGAGCTGATCAGCTCATCGAAGGCCGACGCGAACCGGCTCCTATCCGAGTGGTGGTCGACCATGAAAAGGGGACCAAGGGTGCTCCAGTCGGACATTATGGCATCGAGATTGTGATTAACGTGACGAGCAAGAATATGAAGAAGATTTCTCTGCTCACGGTGGGACTGAATGGGAAGCAGTACCAAGACGACGTGGCTCTGGAGGATTTCCTTCCCACCATGTCAAGACGAAGTAAGCCCTTTTTCTCTTATCAGCCCTTTTTTTTTTTTTCATTCTGCTTTGTATTTTTCATGCTAACCCATCCTCAAGTCATGCAGCTCTTGAGCGTCCAGTTCAATGTCTCTAACCGGGCCCTCACTGCTCCCATGGTTTCCTACCACTCCAAGATGCTGCGCACCCTGTGTCTATCCAACCGCGCTGAAAAGACACGATCCTTCCTGGCGGCGTCCCCTGTCAAACTCTTCACCAGTCTATGGAGCGGCTCCAACAACGCTTCCGAGACTACCCTTTCAGAGGCCAAACATCCACACCAAGCCTCTATCCAGCGGGCCGACAGCCATCACTCCATGTATGGCTCCATCAGAGGGAAGAACAGCACCAATAGCAGACAAGCAGTGGAAGAAGTGATGCCGGAGAATCCTCTTGTTCGACTGGAGCAGACGTTTGAGGCCTTTACCACTGCTCTTCAATACCGCAAGGGCTCCATCCACGGCAGAACATTGTTACACCGCGCTTCGGCTGACGAATTGCTTGTCAATGATTTGTACAATAGGCTCATTGAGAATCCGCAAGAGGTGGAAGTGGCCAACGACGTGGGAACTGAAGTCGTCTTTACGGCATTTGAAAACTTCCTCCACATTGCCTGGACTGAACAGATAGGACCTGTGACGACCATCAAGATGCTCGACACTCTGCAGGAGCGAGCCAACAAGCGTGTCCCGGGCGAGTTTGCCGACTTTGTCAACTTTTTGTTCAAAGAGCTGGCTCCACAGAATCGAAGAGCGTTTACAGCACTGATTAAGCTGCTGGCCGACCTGCTCGATGGCTGTAGCAATGACAGCGATCGTGGTGCGCTGACGTTGGCGTTTGCAGAGATGCTCGTTACCGACGGCACCGCAGCAAATTACATCAACTTATTGGATCGTCTAGTCGATGATTGTGACAGGATATTTGGAGAGGCCACGTACGCCGGCTTTAGTCTAGCCGAGCTGCAATTGATGGAGTCGTTCCAGACGCGCAGTAGTGGCGGCGTCGCGAGCGGCAACAAATCTCACCAGGGCTCCGTGACATCCAACACATCTTCGCTACGCCGCAAGTTTGGCCTTGACATGCTGATTCGACAAAACTCAAACTCCAAGGAGGAGCGCACTTCTGTCTGGCGGAGTCTGGGCAAGCATCGAAACCCGGCCACCGGCGAGAGCGCGAGCATGTCTAGGGCGACAATGCAGCAAGCTCTGCGCCAACGGTCAACCGATGACAACATCATCCACAAGAGATTTACTCTGGGCAGGCCGGGATCCGGGGATAGGCCTCACGTAGCTACTGCCTTTGAGGACCCCGTGAGACCGCCCAGCAACCATCGCATGGAGTTTCCGCTCGACACCATTGGAGAGCCCGCGTATGAACCGTCGACACCCGGAACACCCAGGAGGCATCACAAGAGGAGAAGCTCCCTGTCTGATCTCAAGTCGCTGATAGATACGACTAGCATTGACGAGGATCGAGAGGGAGAGGAGAGGGAGAATGCGCTGCAGCCTCTTCAAAACACAAAGGAGACGTCGGAGAGGCTCAATGGTAGTCCCAATGTGCTTTCTCCTTCCAAGATGCTCAGTCCCAATGCGTCACAGCTCCTCCGGTCGCCCCGACAAAAAGAAAACTTTTCAACCACAGATATATATGGCAGCATACGGGGATTGAGAGCGGCGTCACCCATCAAGGAGATCCAGGCCAAGCTGGAACAGGCAATGCGGGGAGAATCTCCAAACAGGCAGGATCCACCTCCTTCTAGGAGACCGAGACCGACACATAGCAAAACTCTATCGACGTCCAACATTCCAACGCTGCTGCCGCCGCGGCCGATCCGGCCAGGAAGCTCATCCGGCGAATCGCCGAGCCGACAATCTGGCAACGGCGGCAACGGCAGTCCTACGCGAACTCCGGCACAAAAGCTCCGTCTGCAGTCTCCTCAGAAGCTGCGGGAGAGGCTGCAGACGGAGAAGACTGCTGTGGGCGAGGTGGATGCCATGCTGCAGTCAGAGCTGGTCAAGATTGGTGAGGAAATGGCCATGGTCAATAGTGGTACCTTGTCCGAACCCCAGACAATCAGTCTGCAACGGTTGTCTCAGTCAGTAGCATCGCTGGAAGATCGAATGCCGGTGGTGATGCAGGACCTTCAGGATAAGCAAGATGAGCTGCAGCGGGATGTGGAAATCACTCTCAAGACGACAGAGTCCAAGATGCGCTCCATTGATCAGCTGCACAAGGAGGCCGTGGCAGAGAATGAGCTGCTCTATGAGCGATTCAATACCGAGCTGGCGAAGATTGTCAAGGCCCTAAAGGGTAAGGGCAAAGAAGACAAAGAAGAGCTCATTGTCAAGCTGAAGAACCAGGGAGAAGAGCTGGCGAGGATGAAGAAGGAGAATGCAAAGTTGAAGCGTGAGATGATTAGCCTACGGGCGGCGCTGAAGGGGACAGAGTGAGTGGGGGAAAAAAAAAGGGGTGTGTGTTTTTGAAGATGAGATTTTGTGACATTTCTCTTTTCTGCTTCTTGTTTTTTTTTTTAATTGTTACCAGGGTGGCGGCTTTTGATCTTCTCTTTCTGGGTGTTCTTTTAATTTTCTATGATGATGGATGGCCATGGTAATGTCGCCTTTTTTATAATTTTGCTTCTGATGTTGTATTTTTCTTTTTTTTTACACTTTTTTTTCTTGTTCTCTTATAAAATTTCTTGTAATAGACGCAGGACGATGGATGGTTGGATGGAAGGTACGGGATGGAATGGGATGATGGATTTCTTGATTGACTGAATGGATGGATATACAAGCTGTATAAAATACCTAATCTGACACAAACAGAAAAGAGAATAACTACATTTTTTTTTCTGTAATAAAGAATGGAAGGGAGGGGGTGAATGGAAAGGTAGAGAAGGGAAGAGGTTTGGGGGATTTTGAAAATGAATAAAACGTGTTGGGTTTTTTTATGGGGAGTCTTGGGGAGGTGATTTCTTGATATTCTTCTGTTGTTATTAACCCTATGAAAGGGATTATAGAATGGGATAGCTTCTTCTGCTTGTGGTTTTTGAGTGTGGATAGGTAGATGGTATGGAACAAGTTTGAATGAAAGATGTTGTGGAGTATAATCATTAATTTCTTCCGAGTATAATCATTAATCGTTTTTGCTCTATTCCATCCTTTTCCCTTGGTATCATTTTTCATTGCCCTCTCTATCCATTATTCATTATCCATTACCTTTATGACTATCATCAAGGGATGCTCCCAGATGAGGTGCCCGTTACAATCCCGCCACTACTAATATTAGAATTATGCACAACTTCCGGCTCCGGCGAGCCCTGTTCGAGCCAGCACTCGAAAAACAGCGGATCTACCCTCACGGAGCGGACGGGCTTTGTGGCGATGCCCTTGAGAGATTCGCCTTGGTGGGGTTTCTGCTTGGTAGGGGGTTGGAGATTGGGCTCTGATGGGATCCATGGCTGGGGATGCTAGAGATGATTTATTTGTTAGTTGGGGGAGCCTTTTTTGCTACGGTTTGCCAGGACGAGCATTGCTGCGTCTTCCTGGTTTTACTTGTACATGCTTACACCAATAGGGGCTTCAGCCTCGTCTCTCAGCTCCAGGGCGAGCGTAAATGTGCATCCTGGCGGCAGCTTCTCGGCGGCCTGCGCGGCATAGGCAAGTCTCTGCAGCGCTCCTCGGAGGGCTTCGTGGATGTCGGCCCAGTTGAGCGCATCTTGCACCTCGGCGGCGGTTTCTTCGTCCTCGCCCTCTTCGGAATCGTCGTCTTGGTCATTGTCTTGCTGCTGATGCGAAGTCGGTGCTCCCGACTCCGCTGCTGTTGCCGCTGCTGCGGCCTCATCTTTCAGATTCCACGCTGGGAAGCGCTCCACGTCAAAGACCCATCGTTCGCGGACTTTGCTGTCGCTGCTGTGCACGACAAAGACGATGCGCCTGGCGGTGCCGGCGTTGAGCTGGTTGGAGATTGCCGAGACGGCGTCGTTGATCCAGGCGCAGACGGCGGGGTGGCGGGACTGGTGCACGGCGAGGTTGAAGGCGCGGGCGGTGAGGAAGGATGTCGGTGGGTAGAGGCTGCGGTGGTAGAGCAGAGAGTGGATGGCGATGGTGAGGAACGAGGTGAAGGTGGAGAGGAGGGGCGCTGCGGCGAGGAGGGGGAGGGAGAGGGAGGGGGAGGGGCCTGCAGAGGGAGAGGAAGTGGGCGTGGAATGGGCTGGATGGGGCTGGTTCTGGTGTTGGCGGTGTGTTGGCGGCGAGACTGAGGCTGACATTGCGTCGTGATGGCCGAGCTTGTGGTGTTTTGGGAGAAGAAAGCGAGGGAGACGTGTTGGGCGTGTTCGCGTTGATGGGCGAGACGCCAAGTCATGTGATGGCCTTGAACTCAACTGACGACAATCGCCAACAGTGCTAATACAGCTGGGCACACAGCTGGACAGTCCACTGGAGCTTCGAGCGACCCCGCCTGTAGGGCTGAGCTCTAGCTGTAGAAAGAGCTCTTGCCGAGGCAGCAGTGGCAATGACGCATCATATCATCCCGGGTTGGACTTCTCCAAGCTCAGCGTCACTTGAACCTGCATATACATCAACTCCAAAGTGCTCCATGCTACGCATCTCATCCCATCAAGAATATCCATCGTAAAAGCTTCACTTTTCTCTATAACATACTACCAATCACCTTTTACTGATACACATCTTCATCATCACCATCATCATCATGGGTGATACAACAGCTCCTCCACCTCTCAGCGTCAATGTCGTCCTCATGGCCATGGCAGACGCTCTGCCCACGCACGCCCGAGGCGACGAATCATCCGATCTTGCGTCATCCTACGAGGTCATCGCCTTGCTCGTCCATGCATATTTCGCCGCTCTCGATTTCAGGCTCTGCGGCTTTGACGAAGATAAGCAAATGCGTATGTTCTCACCCAGCCTAATTGGCATCGTATATACCCAATGCCAAAGACACTCACCAACACGTTGATGTAGCTGAATGCGCTTCTCTCGCCCCTCGTCTGCCACCCCAGTGGAACAACGGCTTCGGCTCTCTATCCTTCGTCTACAAGCACAAGCAGTCCTCCATGACATTTGTCGTCCGCGTCGATCGCATGGGCTCAAAGGTCGAGATTCGGGGCCTCGCTGTCGGCGCCGAGAACATCCATCGTTTCGAGTACACCGTTCGAGACATTGTCCAAGCTTCTAATCTGCCCCTACGCATCCCCCTCGATGCCCGCGGAAACGAAGACCGGAGCAACCTCCCCGATAAGCTAAAGAAGCTCTTTACTTCAGACGGCGCCATCGAGCGCATCTTAAACGACACTAGAGTACAAATCGTGCAGAAGTTGATCCCAAGGCTGCAAAGGGAGGGCTACGTCGAGACCGAGGATGCCGAAGCAAATGCCAGAGGCGAGAGACGCGCGCAGGAGGCTCGCGGCGATCCCAGCCTTCATCCCTGGGGACCCAGACCCCCAATCGGCCCCAGTCCAGGACAGATGCCAGGACAGATGCCCTATCCTCATCCTGGACTGCTGCCTGATAACGCTCGTCGACGACCTCCGCCCGCTGATTTCCCTCCTCCTGACTTTGAAGACGAGCACCAAATCAACAGCCCTCCTGGCCGTGTCATGGGCGGGCTGAGGATGCCTCCGAGCTACATTGGCCACGACGACCTCAACCCTCCTGGCCTTGGGCCTCACGATCCGTTGCGAGGCTCATTCGTAGGCGGAGGTCTCCCCCGCCCAGGCGGCTTCTCAGGAATGCACCCTACGTTTGACGATCCGCTATTCACGGGCGAAGGCGGGTGGGGAGGAGATGGTCCGCACGGAGCCGGCTACAACCCGCAGGCTCCTCCAGGGGCTAGATGGGACCCGGTTAATCCTGGTGAAGGGCCGAGATTTCCTGGTTCTGGAGGACGAGGTGGTAATAGGGGAGGATATAACGGAGGAAGAGGAGGATTCGGCGGCTATGGTGGAGGCTTTGGAGGTGACATTATCTAAACCAGAGCTTTATGCTTCCGTTTGTTTTTATTTTCTTTAACGAAGTGTATGATGGTTATGAATCGAGTCTGAGTGTACGAGTATCAACGAAACGTTGAATAAGATCCCAAGGGGTTCGAATGACAGCAGAGCTAAGAATATCCACCATTGAATTAACAGTGGACAATTGAATTACTCAATTCTTATTTTATCCCAGATAACCAGTTATACAATTTTTGCTCCATCTCAAATTACCAGCGAACCAACACTTATATGTCTTATTCTCTATACTATCAAAGGTATCTATCGCCACCCGCCACTCTACCATCGTTAATGCTTTCATTTCAATCGTAATCTTTTAACTTATATTTCCTCTCTTTTACCCATCATGTGGCTTTTTTTGTTTTCTCTTCCTCTTGAATTGATTAAACTTCTCTCTCTCTCTCTCGCATTGCTGTAAAGACAGAATTTCCCCTCCCAAAGAATATTTTTTTTTCCTGGCCCACCTACCCAATATAGAATCAATCAGCATCACACCATCTTCCGCAGGGCCTTCTCCCGAACAGTCACTCTTGTAACCCTCTGCTGAAGCAGAATCGTTTCGGACATGGCGCGGCTCTCCTATTGGCTTGCAGCATTGGCCACCTCGTTCAGCTTCGCCTTTTCGTCGTTTGTTAGCATGTTGTACCACTCCTGGAAGTTGGCGACGTTCTCGCGGCCGCAGCGGATGAAGAACTCGGTAAGGTATTGTTGGGTCTCGTCGTCGCGCTGTCGTGCGCTAGAATCCATGCCGTAGGCCATGAGTTCGGCCTTTGTCGCGCCCAGGGAGAGGTCGAGCGTATCGTCTTCGTCTTCCCACCCTTCCTCCTCGTTGTCTTCGTCATCGAACTCTGCAGAAGTGGTGACAGCGGCAGAGGCGGCGTTCGCAGCAGCTCGGGCGCCCGAGGCGGACAGGAGCTCCTCGATCAAGACCTTGACAATCTTGAGAGTCGCAGGAATGATGGTGTACTTGTCGGGGTCTATTGTTTCAGTTGGTGGCTTATTAGTCTCTTGGTCTTCACTTGTGTACTGGTGGTACAGTCGGTCCATGATGGCGGCCGTACTGTGAATACTGAAAAAGTTTGTTGACGTACTCTTCTTGGCGCGGGATCGGGTCTTGATCATTCCGTCGTCAGCGCCGACAATTAGATCGCCCTTGACCGAGGTTTGTGCTACTCGAGGGTCGTTGAGCGAGTAAAGCTTCGACAACGCAATGACGCTATCGACGCGTTAGCAAATTCCACATCTATTCAAAGCAGGGCCCGGTGTGTAGATTTTTTTCAACGAACTTTTGTCTAATCTCATCGTAGCCGGCAAAGTTGACGGAGTTTTCGAGCCACTTGGCCAAAACAACTTGAAGGCCGCTCTCGCCGTTGATCTGGATCTGGCTTAGGAACTCAACAACATCTTGCGCACCGCCCAGGGACAGTCGCGCAAAGACAATGATAAGAGACTGGATGAAAGCGGCGGCCTGCGCAGTGGCCAGTCGATTAGCAACAGCCTGCAGAAGCTGTGGCAAGAATGGTCCCAACCGTTCCTGTCCAGCCTTCTCTACCAGTTCAGCAGCCAATCCTCCAACCTCGGAGGCAGCATTGTCTTCAATGGAAGGACCCAAGAGCCGGTCAATAATGTGCAGGCAGACTTCCAAGCCAGATCGGCCGTTGGAGTCGTGCCAGTTAAAGACCTGCTGGTGGTCGTGCACCAGAATCCACTTGACTGCCTCCGATCCAGGTCGCAGAACGTCACCCTCGGTCGATTCCATGAGCAGACGGTTGAGCTTGGGGAGCGCAGCAGCCACGAAGCCCTCTGGGAGAGGCTCTGAGGCGTGCTCTGTCAAAACGACCAGCAACTCTGTTGCGACCGTGACAAGAGGGTTGTCCTCTGTGAGGTTGGCCACGTCAAATGCACCAGTCAGTGTTGGCAGAATGCGAGCGCACAAGGCAGCATATGAGGAGGCGTCTGAGAGACTGCCGACAATATCCTCAAATGCTTCTGTGACCAGCATTGTGACTTGGAAGTTGCTGGCTCCCAGCTTCGCCAGCAGGAAAAGGAGATCCACGGACGGAATGTCGCTAGAGATGGCAATCTGGCTGTCCATGCCAATGGCGGCTCGGAGGGTCTCTGTCAGGGTGACGAGGAGCTCGTCAGCCGCTTCCATTTCCTCCGGGTCCTTGCCGTTCATGTAGGCCTGGATAGAGGCAATGATGGGCGTTTGGCGATCAACGGGCACACGTCCCGAGTTGATCAGACCTTCAATGGCCTTGATACACGCGACTTGCACAACCTCTGACTCTTCGGTGGTAATGGAGTGCACGATGCGATCAACCAGGTTGGGCGGGGTCTGGTGCGAGCGGCCAATGATGCCACCCACGAGATATCCTCGAGCACGCAACAGTGGCTGCTTGGACTGGTTGATGGAAAAGTCGACGAGCTCCAGGTATGCGCTGGCGACAACGTCGGGGAGAGGCTTGCTCAAATCCTCAAAGTCGCTGACGAGCATGACGAACAAGTAGAGCGCCGCCTCCTGGCTTCTCCATGCCGAGGGGCCCTCGCCCGGGAAGAGAGTCTTGGTGTATCCAAACAGACCATCGACCGTCTTCTCGTTGAACCACTCGCCCAGCTTGATGAGAAGGTCACCGGCAGCAGTACGAGCAGTGTAGTTGGCCGTGACCGATGTTTCCTCTGCCAAGTACAAAGAGCAGTCAAAGTCCCAGAGCTCCTGCTCCTCGCGAGTCACTCGAGAATATCCAACAAGCATCTTCATAAGGTCCATCATCCAGGGGACTTCGTGGCCAGAGGCATGGGCCTGCAGATGGCTGTCGAGCTCCGCTTGGACGGGGGGTGCACGGAAGCACTGGTTCAGGAAGTCAAGCTCCTCCAGGATGAGAAGGTCGAGGGTATAGGGGAGGTTATCTGAGTCTTCCAGGCGAGACTGCACCTCGTCAATGATGTAGAGTTGCTCGTAAGCGGCTTGCATAATGCTGAGCTCTTCCCACACCGCGGTGAAGAAGATGGTGCTCTGGGGGAGAAGGAGGTTGGGAAAGACTCTGCGAATCCGAAGGAGAGTCTTGACGACTTGCAGCTTGAGAGCAATAATGCTATTCCAGGCCTCGGGCTGGGCGCCAGAGCTGGAGTCGCCTTCCGGCAGGCGGCCCTTGAGCACAGCAATGAAGAAAGGGTTCCACTGTGTCAGCAGCTCCTCTGCAAAAGACTTGACCTCCTTGTTCTCGTCCTTGACCATGTTCATCAAATCGAAGCATCCTCGGAAGACGGAAATTGCAAGCGCGCGCAGCATGGGCTTTCGGTTCTCGTTGAGGGCCACCTCGGTAAGCGCCTTGGCAATGTCTTGGGCCATGGAGAAGAATTGATCCTCGCTCAAGCTTTCGTCGACCAGGTCGCTAAGCACCCTCAAGGCTCCGTGGAGCTGGGCATCGTTGCCCGTCGGGATAACGCCGAGGATGGTGGGCAGAAGGGCGGGCCATTGCTCGGGAAAATCGTGGATGGCGACCTTGCCGACAGCATAACTAAAGTATGAAGAAACCGTTTAGCTTCCCATTTCTTAAACCCGCATATAGACTCGATGTAGGCTTCGAACAGGCTCTGAATCGAGGCAAAAGCCACAGTGGTTGAGAGAATCTTACCTCGCTGCGATCTTGACTTTTCTGTCGTCCTCGGGGCTCAAAGCCACCTCCAGCAAGGTCTGCTTTAGGATCTCTCTCGCTTCGTCGGAGATGGGGATCTGGGGCTCCTCGTCCAGCTCCTCGACAGACCAATTCTTCTCGATAAACAGTCGCAGCGTGCTGAGAGCAGACTGTCGGATGGCCGTGTCGATGGACGAGTGGGCGGCGATGCGAGCAAGCGAGATGGGGAAGGCAGGATTTGTCTGGGCTCGCTTGATCTCGATTTCAGCAGCTTGGCGGGGTGCTTGTTCGGAAAGCTGAGCGTTGGCCAGGAGCTGCGCCAGTTGATCCTCCATGTTGGGCGTGGGCGATGGTTAGGACGAGCAGTTCTGGCGCGAAGATGGTGTTGGATGCGTCGTCCTTGGGCCTCGTTTTCTTCGGCCTATTTGCTTCGTCTTTGTTGTATTATTCCAAACGCGGGCCTGCAAATGAGAGACGCTTCATGCCAAAATTGGTGTTTAGGAGGGGAGATTGATGGTGGGGGATGAAAAGAAAAAGGTGGGGTGGTGACTGGCTGCGCGTCTGTGGTTGGCTGGCCGCCGCCAAGAAGCGATAAGACGCAGCTCTCGCGATAAACACGTGTATCTTGAGCGTGAACGGAGGTATCTCGGCTGGGCAGATGTGTGGGAGGGGACATGCTTGTCCATCACGGTACTTGCAGGCTTGATTATCTGCGTGTCCAGGGTATGCTAGACATGCGAGATCTGAATGATGAAGACGATATTTGACTTGTTGCTGGCGGGAATAGGATTTATTTTTGAAGAACGGCCTCTTATAGAAGGTAACAGCAACTATCACATGTTGTCTTGGTGTCGACATGAGTTACCGGCAAAGAGCTGCCCGGCGTGCTCCATAACTCGATCCATGATCACAGCCAGCTAATCAGCATGATTCAACCTATCTGATTGCTGGCAAGCTACATGCAATTAGCAACCAGCTTCAACGTCTACAAATTCGACAAAATTTGTCGTTTCTGTCCCTTTAATAAATGGGATTTTCACCACCATCACACCTTTTCCCCTACACGAAATATTTTACTTTTATACCCGCTGTAAGAAAGCAGTCGCTGCTTTCCAAACAAATATGAACCAACCTCGGCGTCAACGCGTCTCTCAGCTTGGTTCCCGTCGGACGCGTGTCACAAGCGGAAACCGAACAAGATGTTACACGAGTGACGACGAAAACGACGCGTCGGCCTTGCTATGCGGCAGTATAGAAGACTTGGGCGAAGATGCCAAATTTCTGCTGCAGGCTGGCGACCATGAAGACTGTCAGATAATCATGTCGAGCGCAGCCAAGCTTACGGCAATGGAGAGGATGATGTTGCCATCAAGAGTCGTCAGCAGAATCGTCAAGGCGGACAATAGGCTGAGGGCAAAGAGACGAGCAGTAAAGAGACGGGAAGAGAAGAAGAAGCTCCTTGCCGAACTCAATCGGATAATAGCTGCCCCCCGGGGGCACACCGTTACATGCAGGCACAGGGACCAGCTCCGTGTGAGCAGTGAGGCTTTTAAAAAGGCCCTTGAAAGCCACAAATCTCTGGTTGAGGAACACGACGAAAATTTGGCAATAATACAACTACAAAAACAGCTCCTACAACTACAAGAACAGGAAGGCGAAAGCTTGGCAACAATACAACTAGAACAACAACTCTTACAATCTAAATTACAGCTCATACAACTACGAAGACGGCTCCTGGAATGGTTAATAGAAGATGGTCTAAATATACTGGCGTGGAATGCCTTACCATCTAGAGAATATCGAGACGCTTGGCTGGCAAAACACTTTTCCTCCGATGTTCCAGGCAATGGACCATCTCCCATTTTGTGAAAGATGCTGAGCAATAGAAATAGAGTAATATATAATGTTTTTGTTTTCGAAACGAGACTGGGGTTTTTGTTAGAAACGTAGACTTCCATGTATCTTTTGGTCGGTTGTGCGGGTTGCCTTGGCCCGACATGTAAGGAGATGAATCTGAACATGTAGAGTGCATGTACGTGCATGTGCTGCTATTCCAACGACCTACTGAGGCATTCCTTTAGCCTTCTAGAATTACCTACCTAGGTAAGTAGATGGGTAATTCTGCATCTGCATCTCTGCAAGCCCAATGATTGATAAACGCTGCAGGGCCTAAAATGCGTGCAGACCAGATCTCGCTTCATGTCAGATTCGCCCTTGCATTGACTCCCTCTCGTGTCGCATTTCCCCTCATTCAGACTCTGTAAAACAGATTGAGGTGGTGACTCTTCTAAAACAAGCTTATTGCTGTCTCACACCATTATTTGAGAAACAAAGAAGATGGCAATCTCCTGTATCCGTACACCGTAAATCATCAGGCCTCGTTCGTCTCCGCGCATCTTTCCGCTATCTATAGGTGCCGGCTACTTATCTCCCGCGTATCTCCCCCCAGAGATAGCAGATAGCGGCGGTGGTGATAGCGATAGCGGCTCAATCACCGGTTTATCGGTCCAGGCACCGGCATTTTTGCTCCAACTTCTGCTGACTCGATGAGATGGGGTAATTGAATTGAAACCCATCGCCTCTAGCTGTGCGGGATGGCGGGTCCCTCCACACTTGCAACCCGGCAATTTTCTCCCTCCACCCGCTATCTGCCACTCAGATCATCCACTCCATGCGTCTTAGTCTATCGCTTGTCGCTGCGTATCACCATCCAATGGGGGCCAAGCAGGGCATCATCAAGAGCCCCGGCCTTCGCCTTTCAAGACAATGAACAGACTGTATCACCACCGACACTACGTCGTTTTCGTACTAGAATTCCCCAGACATGGCCTCTGCTTGTCGTCCTGCAGCAAGATGTGGCGGTAGAGAGGGCGCTGCCTGCTGATAGCGGCAAACACCTCCGAGGGCCAACATCCATCAACATCAGCAGTTCGCCAGAGCCTGGTCTGCAACTCCGCTTTTCGCGCATCTCAGCATCTCGTTTTATCTGCGGAGCAACGTCGCCCTGCCCGGATGAGGAAATCTGGTAGATAAAGCCTCTGGCCTCTCCCGTTTTCTGCGCCACCCGCTGCTGAGAGTTCAAGCCTCTGACGATTTCTGCGCCGATCTGTCCAGCACAAACACCGGCGCTGGCTCTTGAGCACAGGCATTTCTTAGCTGTCAATAGGAACCCGGCTCGCGTGCTCATCCTCGCAAAAGTGGTGGATCGCCGGCCCCTCCATATTCGAGATCAACGACCAAAACTTCTGGGCTCTCACGTCATTGGTGCGTCGGCCATTCCATTGGCTGGTGTGACTTATTGCGACCGATCCTTTATATTCGATAAAAAGAAAAAGACGACTCTTTATGACCTCAATTGAGCAACTGCATTCTTCCTCGTCTTGAGCAGCTCATCACCATGTCGTTGCGACAGAGATTCAGATCCCTGGCGGATAAGCTGGCCGTCGAGGCCGAGCCCGGCCTCTCGACCACGCAGCTGATGGTGCGGTCCTTGCTTTTTTCCTTTCTCATCATCTCGTACCTAAACTCGCCTTTGCGTGATTCGTCGTAATGTCGCATCACCTGTCATATCCTGCTGTGTCCTCCAGAAATACCCGAGGAATACTCCATGAATTGCAGCGAAATCGAGAGACCGCCAGAACAAATCAGGCGAGGTGGGATGAGACGGGCGAGACGTGGTGCTGACTCTCTTCCTAGCTCGTCAACTATGACCTGAAACCCGTTGAGAAAGAGCGTCGGCAGTGGGGGCCTTGGAATTTCGTCGCCTTTTGGATTGCAGACTCCTTCAACATCAACACGTGGATGATATCTTCCTCCATGATCATCGCCGGTCTGTCATGGTGGCAGGCGTGGATATGTGTCTGGCTAGGCTACTCTATATCCGCCTGCTTCATTGTCATGACGGGGCGAATTGGAGCCACGTACCACATTGGTTTTCCAGTCATTGGCCGTGCATCTTTTGGAATCTGGGGGAGTCTATGGCCGGTTTTCAATCGCGCCGCCATGGGTAAGTGAATAAGATTACAAATATGCCAACTTTTGCGTCACTTTCAGTCCATTACTTGCCACATCACCTGCTGACATCTTTTCATTCAGCATGTATTTGGTATGGTGTTCAGTCTTATATTGGCGGTACCTGCGTCTACCTCATGATTCGCTCGATTTGGAAATCCTGGGACAGCTCCAAGATGCCAGGAAACTTCGGCACCAGCGCCACCAATACGCCGGAATATGTTTCTTTCGTCATATTCTGGCTGTGCTCCTTGCCAGCTTTATGGTTCCCTGTGCACAAGGTTCGCCATCTATTCACCATCAAAGCCTATTTTGTGCCTGTCGCAGGTATCTCGTTCCTCATTTGGGCCTGTGTCCGGGCTGGCGGTGTCGGTCCCATCATCAGACAGCCCAGCACTCTTCATGGGAGCAAGCTTGGATGGCAGTTTGTTAATGGCGTCATGTCTTCCATTGCCAACTTTGCCACTCTTGTCGTAAACGACAGCGATTTCACTCGATTTGCGCGTAAACCCAAGGATGCTCTCTGGTCCCAACTCTTTACGATTCCTCTGGGCTTTGCCATTACCTCCTTTATCGGCATTATCGTTTCCTCGTCATCCACCATCATCTATAACGAACCAATCTGGAGCCCCCTGGATCTCCTCGGAAAATTCATTGATGATGGTAGCTCTGGACAGAGATTCGGCGTCTTTATCATCGCCTTGGCATTTGCTCTGGCTCAGCTGGGTACTAACATTGCCGCCAATTCCGTCTCTGCCGGAACCGACATGACTGCGCTGCTCCCGCGCTACATCAACATCCGCCGAGGATCATACATTTGCGCCATCATTGGTTTGGCAATGTGCCCGTACAATCTGCTGAGCAGCTCCAACCAGTTCACGACCTACCTGTCTGCGTACAGCGTCTTCCTTAGCTCCATTGCTGGCGTTATAGTCTCGGATTATTACCTCGTGCGGAGAGGGTACTTGGATACCAAGGAGTTATACGATGGCCGTAGAACTGGTCCTTACTTTTATACCTGGGGAATCCACTGGCGTGCTTATGCTGCCTACATTTCTGGAATCTTGATCAATGTGGTTGGCTTCGCCGGAGCAGTGGGCACAAAAGTGCCCATTGGCGCTACATACATTTACAACCTCAATTTCTTTTGCGGATTTCTGGTTTCGCTTGGTGTCTATTGGCTGCTTTGCAAGGTGTCGCCTATTCCTGCTACTAGCGACCGATGGATGGAGGTTGGTGACCATCTCGACGATGCTCAGCCCGAGTACGACACGGGCAGCCAGCAAAGTTATGATGAAGAGAGAGATACGGCGGTCAAGGGGCATGACAAGAAAGACGCCGTGCGAGTAATGGATTTTTAGACGCATATTATGAATTGCAGCCTTGTACAATTTAACGACCATTTAGACTTCTTTTTTTAACAAAATTTCAAGTTCGATCCAACTATACACCCACCTGTCCCCCATATGTAGACCCATTTGACACTGTGCTAGTTGCCTGTCCTGCTTATTTGATACGATGTTGTTCTCATTACCGCCGACGGAAGAAAGCATGCCTATATCACCTTGTCTAATACCTCACCTGAAGCAATAGTCGAGAATCCAACTTGCGGATGGCACCTGGCCAGCGGTAGTGGTGATGGCAACGGAGATGGAGGCAGCAAAAGTACATGTAATGTTGGCACCAGCAAATATCTGCTGCTACATCTGCTACATCTGCTACATCTGCTATTTCTAGTATTTCTTCTACTTCTACTGCTGGTACTGCTGGTACTGCTGGTACTACTGCTAAGTCACTCGTTGATAGCTGCTGACGTGACTCTTCGCTAATTGACAGTGCGACGGTACCTAGGTGAATGCAGCTTTTTTCGCTATAGTGACGCGTCGTGGCTTTATTTCCTCTTCTCTTGCTTTTCTAGTTTACCTTTATTCGTGTGGATATTGACGCCACCCAGCCTTGACCCTTTAGCCAGATAATCCTGATGTCGACTTTCCACAATTTCTCTGTCTTCGACTTCTCTCTTTTCGACTCCCCCCTTGTCGACTGATCTCTAATCGTCGCAAGCAGAACTAGCATGGCCCAATCTGCGGTTCCTGAAGAGGCTATGCTTCGTCTCATTGCAAGCCTAGACGATGATCAAAGACAGGCATTAAATACATTGTGCACCCAATTTGATGGCGAGATCTTCAAGGGCCTTCTTACTTCATATAATAAGCAACCGAGTGTTTTCAACAATATTACTCTCGATGACCTAGCCGAGGAGCCTGTTTTGGATTATATCACCGACCTGGAAGTCAGACAAAAGCTTTTTTTTCGCATCAAATTCATCCTGCAAAAGGTCCAATCGAACTTCGAAATAGACATGGCATTCGTGGCAGTTTTTATGGTTGCCCCGATCGATGTACTGCAATCCAGACTCGATGCGTTAAAAGAGAATATTCGACACAATCACCTAGACATGGTACACGAATTCTTTTCGGACTGCGAAAAAACAATATTGCCAAGTATACTTGGATGTATGTTTAGGATTCGGTCTTTTCATATCCTTGTACTAACAGCCTCATCTCTAGATGTAAATAAGAGAGGACGTCGATCGACATCGCAGTCCAACTCAGCCAAGTCTTTGTCTGTGCAGTCGACATCGCCGGGGCCGCCTCTTCCAGTCCAAATCTCCGCGCATACATCTCCAGACATCTCGAGTCCGTCCTCAAGCCGAATATCTGCTGCTGCCCGACTAGTAAGCTTAGCATATTGACCGCCTTCTATTCAACGCGCATCTAACAAGCCTTAGTGTAAAAGGCGGGACTATGATAAATGCATTCTTACAAAATATAACAATCCAGAGGCCGTAAATATTTTCCCCATTGCAGCAGCAAACGATCCGCAAACGCTGAGCCGTCTTGTAGCGCTATTGGCAATATTCTGGGGAGACGATGCGGCCAACCAACTATTAACGCTAGCCCAATGTCGGGACACAATAGAATCTCCCCAGAATCTTCTATCTCTAAACCATCAGCTACACGCGTGGTTTGACAGTGCTAAAATGGCACTCAAGCCATTGCGCAAACTGGATGATGGATCAGTAGTGGTTCAATTCCACTGGCTAAAGGCTGGGAGACTGAGGCCGGCACAACGGCAGAATGATGTTGATTTAGATCTAATCCTCGCTAAGGCCGGCCTTGGGAGTATTACTACATGGGGATATATGTTGGCGCATCGTGCAAGTGGCCTACGTTTGAAAACTGGCCAGGTTTTCACATTGACAGCAAACGACTCAGCACACATGCCAAATTTCGATCTTCTACAGCTATCGTGGGACCTTCGTCGCATTATTTCCATTTGTGGTGTAGTTGTAGAGGAAAATGTAGATGACGACGGTGACAATGACGATTATTATAATGACGATTATTATAGTGACAACGATGATGGCTCTAGCATTGGAGCCAGTGAAGGTATATATGAAAATAATGGCGCCCAGATATACCAATGGGCAGCCGAGGTTGAAATGGAAGGAGGAGAATAGTAGTAGTAGTAATAAAAGCAAGAGTAAGAACAAGAAGAGAAAAATAACAATATTCTGCTTATAACGTTAAGTCCTCTGATAGGCTAATAGTAGCAATAGCAACAGTAATAACAGGACTAGTGCTTATACTAAAGTCTACTTTTATTGCTATTACTATCACTGCTACTGAATTTCTATAATACGTAGAATATATAATAGAATTTCAGGAATTGCTTTATCACATAATAGTTATTACAACTGTAACTAAACACGTAAGTTATTATTATCTAGCTAGTAGGACATTGTTAAAATACTAAATGAATGAATTTATAATCTAGTTACCCTGACTTGCATTGTTTGTACGCAAGCTCGAGTGTTGATTATACCAAAACTAAGTAAAGGGGCTAAATTAACCAGGACTGCTATTAAACCAGCTGTTGAATCTGAGTAAAACACATATGAGTAACCAAAGTTCAATGAGACTTGGAGATTTTGTCCTGAGATAGGCTCTGGGATGAAAACGTGACCGGAATATTTGGGAATATCGTTAACCTCCCAATCAGTTCAATGGAGGCACTCAATCACGGAAAAACAGGTCGAACAGGGAGTCGAGCCCACCGTTACGACCCCTAGGACAGCGACAGTCCGAACGATCACCATACGCCTTGCAACACTTGGCAAAGGCGCTGAGTTTCTTGTGGATTTGTTGAGCTGGACATTGGTAACCACGGGGAATTCCGCCAGCCTCTCGGCAGCAATTGTAGGTGGAGGCCACATTGACGCCATCGGCAGAAATGCACTGGCAGGCCTCTGTGGAGGCAAAGAGGGCAAAAATGGCGATGATGGAGGTTGAGAACTTCATATTGGCTTGATTTGAGTGTTGATGCGGATAAGTGTGTATGATGGGATATCAATTTCAGAACTTGGTGGAAATGTTGTTTTTGTTTGTTGATGAGGAAAATAGATAATTCTTCGGGAGCGAAGCCTCCTTTTATAGTTTTGCCATGGTCTCACTGCCTTATATTCGGGTAGATCATGTCAGCAATGGGTTGTTTACTAAAGTTTTGAACATATTCATGATTTGAACCAAAGGGCTGTTTACTAATGTTTGAACACATTCATGGTGTGAACATTCCTTCTTATTAGCCAACTCTTCACGGCGTGTCAGATGGTAGAGAGGAAAAAGTTGTGCCGCAACTGTTTAGAACTTAGTCGCCACAAAGAACGAATATGTAAAGGAACAAAGCCCTAACTTGATGAAAGAAGGGCAGAGATGAATACAGTCCTTTCACAAGACCTAGCTGCCATCTATCAAAAAGACCGCATTTGCTCCAATTGATCCTCTATCACTCTTTTTGTGATACACCGTCCTGACAAGTGAGAAAGGAGCGTGTGCCTAAAATCCCGTCTGATGCGGTCATATCATCTGTTGGACTTGAACGGGCTGACTCTCGACTTGCTCAATAGGAGCATGATTGTTCGAGCATGACAACTGAATGCTGGTTCTTTTGATAATTCCATTGCAATATTGGTGCTGGCCCGACTTCTGTCTTGAAGTCATCAAGCACCGAAGAGCCGTGGCGAAAGGGATGAGGGGGTTGAACACATTTCTTGACCCTTTCTACTATAAATCTAATTCAGACTTTGATCCCTTTGCCTTTACAGTCTACAACGGCAGAGAGTTAGACTACTTGGATTTGGACTTCTTCGCACTCTTGCTTTAGATTCGTTTGTACCGCGGATGAGCCCATTGTTGAAGGGGAAACAAACACGCTCAGGGTTTAGCAGCTATCGTGGCGCACTTTCATCTTTCGCGACTCACAGCTATTTCTACCCACGACAAAGCATTTCTGGGCTCAAAGCCGCAAAGTCATGTCTACCATTACTCTACAAGATTTCTAGTTCAAAAGCTTCAATACAGATTGGCCAGCTGTGCAAATCGTGCATAGCTGCCTTCACTTATATTGCGGCGTGCCAAACTTGGTGCTGACAGACTGCAAACCTCCCCGTAACAGATGGTGCTAAATTAGGATGATTAAGGGCATGGCGTTATATCATGCTGCTTTCACATGTAATACAACGCCGTCAGGAATTTGGACAAGACAAAGACAAACAATGAGTGGACGGGCGATGGCGATCTAGCCATGCAGGGTCGGAGAAAGAGGCCAGTATCAAACGCCTCCGAAAGGCCCGTGGCTTACTCTGAAAGAAGAAACAAAGAACAAAGCCTGCAATGTTAGGTGGAATACAACCTCTTGTGGTGGGAGGTATCCACATCACTGGGATGATCATCACTAACAACCAACAGATGCAAAGCTGTCAGCGTTAATTTACGAGCTTGCCACTAACAAATTTGCTATAGGTTGAGCTCATTTCCGTTGTGTAACGGATGAGTTTTCATGTCGTACTTATAAGGAATAATTGGGCGCATGGCCCCAGAAAAACAAAAAGCTTTCTGAGTCGAGATCTACAACCATTTGTCTATAGGTTACGGCCTGGGCAAGTAATAAAAGCTCTGTCGCTTTCTTGTCCGCTGCTGCCTGTTAAGCCGCCTGCAAGAGATGAGTATACCGCGAGAAAAGTCCTGACAACCAACGCCGATTCCGAAGCCATCACCGCCATCATCTCCCCAGCTACCCTTTAGCTTTATAAGATACACGAGCATCTTACCCAGCCATTTGGTCATCCAAAATACTATTCCCTGTTTGTGGGGTTCATCGGACCATGTGGCCATCTCAAATCGATCGCCTCGGCCACCCGGATCGCCTCGTGGGTTACATTGCGGGTTGTGTGTTCGCCGCTAGTGCAGCACAATTCTGGACCTCTTCAAGATCGATTCAGATTGAATCTGATGCTTTGAGCTGGGTTCTACTTTTGTGTCTGTCGAGGTATATCCAACGACCTAGAGGCAGAGCCAGAGCAAAGGGCTTGACCTTTCCGTTTCCACATGAAGTCAAGCCCAGAACAGGTTCTTGCTGGATTGTCTGTGTGGCTATAGCTGCGGCATCTATTAGCTCTGCTGAGAATAATGCACCCGGTTTCTTACAAGTTAGACTCTTTCATAACCCGTAACTTGTCTGAATCTATGCTGACTGCTGCCAGCCTGTTTTGATACCACTATTACTTTTCATCGAGAGACGGCTGAATCTCAAACACCGGCGCTCACAATCGGGACAGTCTGATGGATGGACAAGTTTAGCGATTACTGCCTGGGGTTCAGTGGTGATTTCTTTGTTTGGGGTTTGTTCATTGGCTGGTTGGCAGTTACCGAACTTGCTTGGTTCAGTCTTGTCTTCCATTGAGCTCGTCGCTCTTATCATCATCTATGGGGCTTTGTTACCAAAGTCGGCAGCAGTATCCTCTGCCACGCCCTTTGTTGATATGGAGGCCGATATTACAGCGCTTACTCCGCGGATCACTAGCACTTTGCTAGTTGTGTTGGCCGTTCAGCGTGTGCTTCTTGGATCTGTGCCGTTTGATATCGGTGCGGTACTACTTGATGGTGCCGCGAAAGCTGTTACCTGGCTTCTTGCTATTGAAACGGTTCGTCATGTCTTGTCTTTGCGCCGAGTTCCCGACTCTATTCTGACATGCCCAGGCCCGTCAATCTTCATGGACCGCCGTCGCGGCTATTAAAACTTTGGCCATTTTTGCTACACGCAGCCCATTCATACAATCTTTTGCATCACAAGCGTTGGCTACCATCGTGGGCTCTGCTCTAATGCTAGGACAACTCATTGCGTTAACCTCAAAAGTACCCGACCAAAAGTTTCTGTGGCTGATTTTGGCTATCCCTATTGTTTCTTACTTGGCTAATATACTTGCTATCCGAACTGCGCATTTAAGAGTGGTGACATTCACCAATGCGCATGAGCATCCCGTTGAGACCTTGATTAATCGAGCAAACGCCAACTTTAATGATTTGCTACTTGGACAATCCCAGTCTTACGCTGCCGCTTGTGACGAATACCGTCGTCGATATAATTATGAGCCGCCGCCTGGCTTTGAAGAGTGGTTCAACTATGCCAAATCTCACGACTCACAAATCATTGATGACTTTGATGTTATTTATGAGTCTATTAAGCCACTGTGGAATTATAGCGGCAAGGAGATCAACCAGGTGATGAAAGATGTGCAAATCTACTCAGGAAATGAACTCTGGTCATGTAAGTTTGCTGGCCAGACAGGCCATACAAAATGCCTTCACAATTGGCGCAGTTTTGACCGGCATGTCAGTCAGTTGTTCAACCAACTCATGAGCGACGTCAAAGGCCTGCCAGATGTGGAGTTTCTGGTCAACCACTTGGATGAGCCCAGAGTTGTGTTTCCCGGAAAGCATGAACAGTCCAATCATAGGACTGGCGTCAAGTTGGAGAACCTTTCGCGAGCTCCGACATGGAGCGCTCTAACACAACACTGTGACGATACCGAGATTCAAAGTGCCGCCGATGCCACACCTCCAGTCAACTCATTTGGTCTGCCATTCGTTCAAGATGGGGCTTCCTCCAAGGACATTTGCAAACACCCTGATTACGAACACATGCACGGTTTACTAATGAGCCCAACCTCCTTTCAATTGATTGAGGGCATGATTCCTGTGCTGTCCACTGGGTCCCTGTCCACTATGGGCGACATTTTGTTTCCAAGCCCAGCATACACTGAGTCAGAGTTCATCTACAACGACACCCATGACCCAGACTGGTCTAAAAAACGCAACAACGTTTACTGGGCCGGTTCTACATCTGGGGCATATGCTGCAGACTCGCTCTGGAAGAATTATCACAGACACCGGTTCGTAAACCTGATTCAGATGTTGGATAAGAAACAGTTTGCATATCTTGCCGACAAGGGCGGTCTTGTACAACGGGTGGCGTCTTCGTTTTTGAATAGTCGGCTATTTGATGTTGCTTTCACCAAGATTTACCAATGTGCAAAGGCAGAGTGCCATGGGCAGTCCTTCTTCTACCACTTAAAGGCCTGGGCAGATAAAGACGCAGCGTTTCAATCAAGGTTAACATTTGACCTCGACGGCAACGGTATTAGTGGCCGATGGTACAAGATGGTGGCTTCTAAATCGGCCCCATTGAAGCAAACTATTATCCGTGAATGGCATGACGATCGCCTCTTGCCGTGGGTACATTTTATCCCAGTCAGCCTCGGCATGGAGGAGCTACCCGAGTTGGTCATGTATTTGACCTCAACGGAAAAGGGTCAGCAGATGGCGAAGGAGGTTGCAGGCCGCGGCAGGAAGTGGTTTACTCAAGCCTTGAGAAACGTGGATATGAGTGTGTATGTATATCGCCTGCTACTTGAGTTGGCGAGATTGCAGGACCCTGAGAGAGCAGTGTCCTCGAAATCTAGCTCATAATTTCGGATGAATGAAGAATCGAATGGCCATGCTTGTTGTGTATGTAATCTACGTGCATTCAAAGTAGAGGCACTAGAAGCAGTAGAAGCGGGTAAAACGACGGTCCAGAGTACAAATATATTCTTCATAAATATGAAGAGCTTTAGGGTCTCTTATGTATAACACTGATTTTGGATTTAGCATGCAACTGGACCCCGTTCACCTCAAAGTCATAGATAAAACATGACTGTAAAGAGAAATATCGCACCGTACTGCTCCGATTGATTGCGTCTAGGCGCGGTTGCTTCTCTTCTAAGCAGCTGCCTTCAAATTCTAAGTACATCAAGTGATCACAAGGGTCGTAACAGTGATACTGTGATGAGCCTTTTCTACTCCCCCTCGCCATTTGACTACCCAACAACATTGAATCTCAAAAGCATCCAGAAAAAAAGCACATAAACTTATGGTTATGGGCCTCTTCTCCTTCTGCCGTGGACTGGGCCTTCGGGACGTTGCGCTAGTACGTCACGGAGGAGCGGATCATCTTTGTTCTTGTCGACGTGGTGTACGCGAACATGTCTACAATGTCGTCCAATAGTTAGCTTCTGACTATCAAGCTCCGGTTGAGAAGTCTTACCGCTGTAAGTTGTCTGGTCGTGGATATTTAAGCTCGCTACCTGGGCAGAATGGACAGGCATAGCCTGGAGAATCATGTGCCAAACCATGACGAATCAGCTCATTCTTTCTTTTGAATCCCTTTCCTCCTTTGCCTCTTGGGCACCCCTGTACTGGGCAAAAATGGGGTCTCGCATAGGAATGCAAATTGGCATGTAAGTTGAGATGATATTGCGTTGGAAAAGGTGCAGCCGTGCACCCATCAAAGGTGCATTTATAGCCACCATCCTGCGGCCGTGCTATACCATTGATGCTCACGCAGTCGGCAACCGCGGCGATGGCAGCAGGCGGCGAAGCCGAATAATGGCGACTGAGACGATTGGTCACTAACGTAAATGAACTCGAAAGTTAGACTCAGGATGCGGCGTGGCCAAGATGATACTAGTTGAGGGGAGAAACCACTTGCAAGCCCCAACAAATCCCTGTTTCCAAAGAGTCTTTAGCATCACAAGAAGATACTTACCTGATTGAGATAAACGCATGTTTTCATGAAATGCTTGGGTGGTCGCATTTTCAAGCTCTTGTGCTCGTTCTCTATCAGACACAGAAGAATTCGCAATCGTAGCTCGCGCTTGCTCCCGCCGAGCATTTTCTCTTTGATCAATGTCATTTTGTGATGCAACAACAGCTTGATTATCTGAAGTATGTCAGTTTCACAGAATAATTTTAAGTCTCTTCACCAGACGCACCTGATGTGCTATTGGTAAAACTGTCCTTAATCTTCTTCCATATCGTCGTGGCGCCTTTTTCTATGCTTCCGATATGACGGATAATATTGATGTCCGACTCTCTCAGCCGAGGGATGCTAGGAATAAGTGAATCGTTGTGCAAATTAAAAACCTCCAGCTCTTCGATAGTATCTTGCCCAATAATTATGTCTGCAGTAAGGTTGTCTAGCACGAAGAGGTCAATATCAATTGCTTCTCCACAAGGATGAAACTCTGATGCACTCATGCGTCCCACGACAAACGAAGTATTGATAACGCCAGCAGTGTAACCCACACTACGGTCAGCAAATTCAACCTTCTCAACTCCTGGCTCAATCTTGTAAGCTCTTGACTTTGCGAATGCGGGACTGACAAGATCTAGATCCGATCCAGTATCCACAGTAGCACAGCCAACGAATCTGCCAAGCTGACACATTAAACCTCGCTTAGACTCTCCTACACTGTTCACCCTCAGCGACTGCATAGCTGGTACGAATTCCTCGACAAGCCGGTCTTTATGCTTGTCTAATGTCTCTGTCTCTTGTAAAAATTCAACGCCCATAATCAACTCGACAGCAAGAGTGCGGAAAACATGGAATGTGCACTTCAGCGTTGAGGGTTCTGAAAGAGAGCCATTGACAAAAATACAACTCGTAGAGACTTGCCCGAGTGCTGTGATGATATTTCCATTGGCGATTGAAAATTGCCTTGGTTCATCAGAGCCGACCTGTTCTATCTCAAGTCCCAGCTTATCCACCAGCTCTAGAGATATGATGTTATCATCTGAGCCGCTATCCGGGCATGCCATAACGGCGGTGAATGTACCGCAAGAATGTGCTAAGAGTAAAGGAAGAACCAATCTTTTGTGTCTCTTTCTTGATCGACGGCGATTCAGACCCGGGGATGGCGTAGGTGAAGGCGGTATAGCTGAGGTAGAGCTAGGGGCTTTTGCCCTGAGTGATACCAGTGAGTCGATAAGACCATTATTCGTGTATTGTCTAAGATTTAGGATCCCAGGCATCGTGCTATTATAGGGTTTGAATCCGGAGGGATCTTCCGAAGCTATTCCTCCCGCCTCGTCTACCGCAACCCAGAATCCCGGAACCGATGTACTTTGAGGGTCTTCAAAATTTCGGTTCCATGTTGTACTCTTACAACAGCCTTGGATTAGCAGGTAAAACAAGTACAAGATGAAATGAAGAGTGAATATCTACAGAAAATCGAAAGCCCATGACATCTTCAAGATCTTCAGGGTCAAGCATCTTCAGGGATTGTCTCCTCGCCGCTCAAGCTGCCAATCGGTTCTGACTCTTCCGTTGCTGTGGTGCCGGCGGGCTGAGTCCCACCGTGTTCAGCGGCAATTCCACTATATTTGCTGTCACTTTGGCAGTAGCTGAGGTATTGTCGTCATAGAATCAGTTGTCGAGACGCCGAGCGATAGAGATATTAACTCATGAGAAAGAAGGAGATGGAACAGAATGAGACAGGAACATGGGCAATTAACAAAAATGCCCTTTGAGATAGCTTAGCCACTCTGGTGATGCAAGGAATATCAGAGCACAGCCTTGGATTATCGAGCCAATCAGGTGTCCGCACGTTGCAAGGCATTTCGCTGGGCTTTATACACGTCAGCGTCAGTACAGCATCTGCGAGCGCATGCAGCCCAACCTGAACTTCTTAGGAAGAATTAAGGGTTTTCAGGCTGTCAGAAAAGAATACGTTTAGACTCTTCGCGGGTATTTTATTCTGTGGAATAGATAGAAGGATCGTGACGTGCTATTTAAATTAATATTTCCACCTCATTGGGTAGACGCAATTCGGCCTAATTAACCCCGAATCTGACAAAGAGTGGAAAGCTTTTTACAATTAATATTCAACCAAAATGAATTCGAATAGTCGACAAGTTTACGTCGATGGGTTCCCATCTCTTTCTGATTTTATTGCGAGTGATAGAGATGGAACATCTGCAATATTCAAAAGATTCAATCGCTTAGCAGCAAGAAACTTGCTCGTATTGCAAAGCGAACTGGCAGAGCTAGAAGCGAAACTTGATAGATATGATCACGAAGACCAAGCAGATCGCCAAGACAAAGCGGACAGACTCAACGCGCTACAATCGCTACGGAATTGGGAAGACTATAAGGCGAGGAACGATAAGAATTCGGATCGAATGAAGTTGCTAGAGCAGATTCGGACAACGTTAAAAGAGTACAGTATGGGGTATAATCTTTACAGCCAAGTACATGTTAACAACTCGCTTAGGAGAAGCCATAATTTTTGAGAGTACTCTTGCGAAAATACCAACTCCAGATAGAAAGATATTAAAAGCGTTTCGCATTTACTTTTTCCATGGGAGGCCTGAAGAGAGTAAAGATTGGCCAATGCTTGGCGGACATAGCTCCAGCCTCTATGAAGACCCAGATGACTTGTTGGTTTTACACACGACAGAACCTCCAGATAGGTTGACGGTTTTCGTACAGGACTATCTTGGCTTCTTTTTCAGAGTAAGAAATTTGAACTACTCGTTTTCCTTTGAGTTAAGCTAATAATAACATCAGGATGAAAACACTCATGGGGCTTCCGCGGGGCCTTTGGTAGGATACGCATCCGGTAAAAAGATATCGATCTTCATCTCATATCTAAGCGCTATATTGGCCGCTCTGTTGCTCGTTGGCGCCATCATAATACTGTACAGGACAAAGTCAAATGACGTGAAACTAGGCTTGCTTGCTCTTTTCACGACCCTGTTTGCAGCTAGTGTTGGGTTATTGACCAATGCGAAGCAGGCAGAAGTGTTTGGGGCTACTGCAGCGTAAGTGAGCATGCTGATTATCATGGATATTGCTAACAATTCTAGATACGCTGCTGTTCTGGTTGTATTTGTGAGCGGAGGTCTTGGAAGCTAGAATCATGGAGTCAATGTGGCACTCCACCGATTCATGAGCGACTTCTTGCCCTTTCATTTCTTGTCTTATGTCGCTTAAAATGAGTGTGGGCTATTGCATATAGGTATAAAACGCTAGGAATATGACTCTTCCATTATTGCTAGTATTGCGAACTGCCTGATGTTGATGTTGAATTATAGAAGAAGTAGGAGAGCTATAACTGGGGACATTAGCTACGATTGGGGCACTAGACGATGAAAATTATATCAATAACGTTGATGAATGCCTATCGATGGATCAGTTGCAACGTTGTTTGTTGTAAATAAAAATGGTTGTACATTGTCGCCATTCCTCGGCATCCTTTCTTTCAGCGTCGAGTAATGGGGCGTCTCTTTTTAATGGCTGAGATTATACGTGATCAATATTGACACCCTACCGTCGCGGACAAAGGTCACCACAAATCATCAGATCAAGCCGATTTATGCTGTAGATTCCTTTAAAACTAGATAGACCATGCATAGGTAGCTATTATATACCATATCGTACACTATTTAATAGAAAAATAAAAAGAAAGAAACACCCTTGATAGCTTTAATGTCGAATCCTGGCAGCAATGCATCCATTCCCTTTGTGCCTTGCGACTTTCTATCTCGATGATAATGGCACACACAAATAAAAAAAAAGGAGGAAAAAAATCCCTTGTTAGCTAAATCATAAACGAAGCAGGTAAGCTTGTTGTTACCGCATCTTCCCGGATGCGTTCCCTCGCTAGAATGCTGAGGCTTTAATGACGCGAAGTCGAGTCGTAGTTTCGGTGAGGGTTGCCAATACCGCCCGGCTTGAGAAGCGGCTGGTTCTCTCTGGCAATGGCTCGTTCCTCTCTTTCTTCCATATCGTCCAAGTCTTCCTCAGTTTCGGCATACCGTTCTGGGTGGCCTGTGAAGGGGCCTGGTAGGCCGCGTTCCCAGCCCTCAGAGTAGGTACGAGGAGCGTATGGACGCTGCGGCGTGGCGTGATGCTCGATGGGAGACTGAGGGGCACTGCTGGTGTAGCTGTGCGCGTATTCTTCGTTGCGTCTCGCAACTTCGTAGTAGATGGCCATTGCAAGAACACTACCTTGCATGAAGGCCGTCAGAAGGTATATGGCCCATGTGCTCCAGCCCTCCATGCCAAGTCTTGCGAAAAGACTGGCAGCAAATAAAAGACCTCCCGGTGTCTGGATGCACATCATGGGGATGCTCAAGCTGCCGACGTGCTTGAGGTGGTAGGTCGTCCATATCTGAGGAACGTATTGGATGGCGGCCAGAGCTGCAGACATGACACCGAGGAAATTGGCCCAGATGTTTAGCTTGTTAGGCAAGGCAATGGCAAATACGCCCGTCAGTGCAATCACAATCAATCCGTGAAGGATGCTGAGGCCGCCCACGGCGAGAGCCGTTTGCCATCTTGGGCTCTCTCCGCCAAGCTCATCTTGAGGCACATTGGCTTCGCGATAGCGGAAGAAGATGAGGAATAGAACAAGGCTGTAATTAAAAAAAAAAGAAAAAAGAAGAAAAAATTAGCGAGAGTTCTTGGAACAAACGTGGGACAAAGCATGGGACAAAGGGCAGTGACTCACATGGCAGTGAAGCACAGCCATTGTGTTCCAAGCTGGGCAACACCAAGCAGGCCGGCAGCACATTCGAATGTCTCCAGCTCTCTGCAGCAGCCAATGGCGTTGCGAGACGGTGCCACAGTCAGGATGTTGGCGAAACCAGCAGTGGCGGAAGTGGTGCCCAGCAGGACGAAATAGGGAGATATGCCTTCGGAGGTGCCGCGAGAGATGATGCGATAGTGCTGGGGAAGGTACGAGATCAGAAGACCGATGAGAATGATGCTGCCGTGGATTGTCAGAATCGGGGTCAGGGAGAAGCCATACAGGGAGGAGGGCAGCTCACATGGAAACAGTCAGCTCGATATAGGAGGGCGTCTTGAGGCTGTCGCAGGACGAGGCCGTGGCCGTTGCCAAGGGAGAGGCCTCCATGATGTTTGTTTGCAGCGGTGATGCACAAGGTCTCGAGATTGTTCTCGGTTTCGAGTTTGAGTCGGTCGTAGTGGAGTCGCGTAGGTCGGAAAGGGGGCGCTGAAAAGGGAGACAAGATATCTTATGTCGAATCTCGCGCGACGTCGATGTTGATGGTGGTCAGGCAGTCTTTTGGTCAGGCAGGGCCGCAAGGATTTGGCTGGAAGTTGGGGCTATGCGGCAGTCATGGTTGTCGGGAGCGTTGTGGCCGAGAAGGAGAGAGTAATAGTGATAGTCGGGGGTCGAGATGCGCTCAGCTCAGGGTCAGGCAAAAGTGAGCAGCGAGAGACGAGCCAAGCGAGGCAGAAGCAAGGCGGTTTCTTGGGTTCAATGTCACCGAGAAGATGGAGAGTCAGAGCATGGATGCTGGAGACGGGGCAGCACTGAGTAAGGCGGTACCTACTGCGGTACGTCGCGGTACTAGTGAGTACGGGGTACGGGGCGGGTACTTGGGCAGCGCTAGAGCCTAGCAGCGATGATGGCGCCAGCTGTGGCCGCTGTGGCAGCGCTGGAGAGATTGGATTGGATGCAGTACCTGAGTTTATATCGTCACATGCAACCACGAGAATGCTTTTGAGCGTCTTTTTACACGAATTGGGCACGAATCGCTGAGTAGAGTCTCCCTGCAACCTCTCGCAACACCGGTCAACCCCCACTCACGGGTCCATGTACCTCTCGCTATCGACATCTGGTATCACATGTACCTGCTCGTATGAGCACTCACCTGGACATTGCTTGCGGGCGGTCCTCCAGGCGAGCCCTCAGCCCGCAGCGGCACGCGCTGTAACTCTGCCCAAGAGATATTTACCTCATCCGTCGCCCGTAATAGGAGGTGGTAGCAGCAGCATTGCGCACCTTCATCTTACGCTGAGCAACAAGTCAAGTGCCAACATGTGAAAGGCACAGCCAAGAACCGCTAGCTGCACCCATCATTATCACGCCAGCTCCAACGTCGTCGACAAGGGCATCTGCAGTGCGACCCTATGCTGCTGGCTGGCACTGCGCTGGAGCCACTGGGCAGCTGTTCCGTCCTCTGAAAGCCCCGAAGCTAATGTACCCCGTATCCGAAGCCCAGGAGGCGCACACATTAGCACTTTTGAAGTGCCACCTGCCATAGGGGATCAGAGGATATGTTGAGCATTAGTTTATCAATTTGAGACATTAATCAGCTCTAAGCCCTTGTTGACCATTGAGAAGAAGCATAGCTATCCATTGAAAGTAGGGAGAGCTGGCCGGGCGCGGGATCGATAAGGCGCGAGATCACGGTATGCGGCTAGTATCGAGTACAAAATGGACGCCAGCGCTACGGCCGAGATGACGTCGTTTGGCGGCGGGCAATTTAGATCTAGGCACGGCCCATTCGTACAGAGTACGCGCTAGATACTTGCGCTGGGCAGTTTTTCCTCTCAACATCTTTAGCGTCCGTGTTTTTTGCCATCTGCTAATCTTAAGCAACCCCCTTGCATATAAATCCAGCATCGCTGCCAGGATCTCAATCTCAACCGGACCTCAGTGCAGGTATACGCCAATCGATTAGAGGAAACGCCTTCTCTTCCATTGACCATGCAGCGGTGAATGTGGAGTCGGACAAGCCTTGCCTACCGGGGCAGCAATGCCAACACCAGCGGAATCATGACCCAAGGAGACGCACAAGAGTCTTGTGTCGTAGACCGGCACGATGAGCAACAGAATGAAAAGACGGCACCTTCAATCGGTCTTCTGGCTGAGCGACTCGCCAACGCCAACACAAGCGTGATCGCCGCAGTGCCGGATCAAAGCAAAGCGGAAGATGCCCGTCAACCAGAGAGTCAGACGTCCTCTCCTGATCTCCATCCGACCACCCGAGCCCAGCGCTTTTACACCTCCGCCCAATGGACAGCCGATGGCACCTCCATCCTCGCAGCATCCTCAGACCAGACCGTGGCCTCCTTCATTCTCCCCGCAGACCTCCTGCACCCTGCAGGAGAACCTCGCCATCTGGCCCGTCAGGCCAGCATCAAGCTCCCAGAACCCACCCAGACCCTCGCCGGCGCGCCCTACTTCTCCCTGGCCAACCCAGCTTCGCAGACCTTTCTGGTGGGATGCCGAGATCACCCCCTACACCTGTACCACGCGTTCCCTCAGCTCGACGATGCTGATGCCCCTGAGGATGTCGCAAGTCGGCCCATCTACACCTACAAGCTCATCCGCATGGAGTCGGAGCAGTACATCTCCCCCGCTTCCCTGCTGTGGGAGTATCCCGGGACGCACTTCATCTGTGGCTCAGCGAACCGCATCGATCTCTTCGACGCATCCGGCCACTGCGCCGACGGGCCGACCTTGACCATTCCGACGATTCCATCCCGGAGACACATCTCCAAGGGTAGCGGCGTAGGCATGAAGGGCACCGTGGCCGCCCTGGCAGCGTCGCCTCCCGCCGATGCCAGCGGCCACGGCTCCATCTTGGCCGCCGGCACCTGGACCCGCTGGATGGGGACGTACGATATCCACCGCACTGATAGGGTTGTTGCGAACTGGTCGATCGCCGATGCGGATGAAAAGGCGTTTCGCATCAGCCTGGGAGGCCAGGGCATCGTGCAGACGGCATGGAGCCCCTGCGGGCGGTATCTTGTCGTGAATGAGCGCCAGGCGGACGGGCTGTTGGTCTACGACATTCGAGGCACTGGACAGCTCTTGGCGGTGCTGAATGGTCGCAGGGCAACTACCCAGCAGCGGCTTCACTTTGATGTTTTCCAGGGAGAGACTGGATTCGAGGTCTGGGCTGGGACACAGGACGGTACTGTGGCTGTATGGGAAGAGGTGGGTATGAGAAATGATGTCGTAGAGCCTTCTTGGACGTGGAAGGCGCATGAGTCTCCGGTAGGAAGCACGATTGTGCACTCTAGCGGCTCTGTTGCAGCAACTTGTTCTGGAGGCTGGGGGTATCCGCGAGAGAGCAGACAAGGCCATGCAGCGGAATCTCACCATAGACAAGTCTTTGACGAGTCCTCACTAAGAGTTTGGTCCATTGGCGGACCAGAGCCAGGAGCCTGAGCCAATCCCCTTGATATCTCTCCATCGTTTTGGAAACATTCATCGTTGGATGATGAAAAGAGCTTGTAAGATATGGCAATAGCATATTCATGATGTATTATGTGAGTTTTGTCCAACCGTATCTTTCAACGCCTCTCTGCTATGTACCTATGTACCATGCCGATTCCTCTCTCTTCAGGCCGTGTCCAATGAACAAGACAAAAATGTACGCAGCGCGCAGAAAAAATAAATAAAGTAAACGCAAAAAAGACGGCACTTTCCAATACACTCCCTCCAATGCCAACCGGAATTATTGTAAAAGCTTTCAAGGGGAGACGGACTTGGATAAAGGGAATATGTTGAAATGTCGGAGAAAGGGGGAGGTATTGAGATGTAAATATTAAGATAAAAGTGGTATTCAAAGTAGCCACCGCCGCCTTTTATTCCAGGTTTATACAAAAGGAACGTTTGTTGTTTTGTTGTTTTTGTGCTGGGGGGTATCAAAATAAGTCTTGAATCGCTTTGCTTCCTTCAAACCCACGGCCGTCCTCGAGACCGACTCTCTGATCTTGTCTGTGACCAGAACGAGGTACCGTCGCCATCGCCTCTTCTCCGCGGGTTATATGGGCGGGGATCCTCCTCATCCTCTCCAACGGGCTCTGGCGGTGGCTTTGGCGCAGTTTCCGTGAGGGGAATCTCATCAGAGGGCCTGCCGTAGCCGGTGTCCATGGGCACGGCTAGGCCAAGCTCGCCAAGCTGGGGGGCGGGTTCGCTTGCACTTGGTCTCGGGGGCCTCTGGGGCATTGGGGCGAGTTCAGACTCATAGCCGGTAAAGCCCCTTTCTTCCGTCAAGAGAGCCGTGTTGGGGGGAATGGCGCGGGAATCGGGGTTGTCGAACTTTTCAGTCGATGGCCTGTTTGTGGATGCAATGTCAGCAAAACTTGATCTATGAGCAGTGTTGTGAATGTTTCTTTGTGTTTCTTACGTGATGTATTGGGCGGGTCTGGCCTTTCTCTTGCGCAAGAAGAAGAAGATGAGGGCGGCGATGAGAGCAAGGCCGGCGAGACCTCCGACTACGCCTCCTGCGATTGGGCCTGCCTTGGAACTGCCGCTGGAAGTCGGCGCTGACGGGGTCGAAGTTGAAGTTGAGGTTGAAGTCGAGTCGCTTGCCGTGGCTGTACCCGTGTTTGTAGAGGTATCCGTCTGCGAGGTGCTGGATCCGCTGGTGGTCCTGGATTTACGGCGCGAAGAGGTCCTGCTCGCGGTCCGCGATCCAATCGTCGTCGGCGTCGATAGAACCGTTGGTGTTTCCGTCAGGTGCACAGACACGCGGCTCAAGTCCAGAGGAAGCTGGCTCAGCGCCGTGGCCGCCACCGTCGTCGCCAGCTGCGAAACTGAGCCGCACCCAAACTGCGAGAAGCCCCCCTCAAAGTGATTCAGGTAGCACACCTGCGCGCCGGAGCACGTGAAGACGTACGGGTTGAGCTCCGTCTGCGGCGGGCTGTTGACGTCGACGCAGCCCGTGAAGATGCCCTCGGTGCAGGGGCCCGAGTCCGGACAGCAGCCAATGGCCTTGTTGACGGTGTCGGCGGCGCAGTGCGAGCCCGCGAGGCAGGTGGCCGGCAGGCTGGCATCGCCCCCTATCCAGCCGCAGATGGTGTTGAAGTCTCGCTGCAGCAGCTGGTCCGCGGGCGACGAGGCGAGCGCTGGAGACGGTGCCTTGGGCGCTGGAGTTGTTGCGACGATGGGCCATGCTACGACGTTGAGCTCGCGCACGGAAATGGTTTTTGTTTCTCGGGGCAGCGCATGGCTGGAGGCGAGCTGGAGGAGCGTGGACGAGGCGAGGAGGGCTGCTGATCGCGGCAGAGCAGCCACGATCATTTTCGCGGGCGTTTTTCGTTGAATGGAGGGTGTTGGTGAGAGTTTTGGCGCAAGAGAGACAAAAGAAAGAAAAAGGGAAAAGAAGGAGACAGTTTCGCAAAGTATTTTGGAAACCGCTACTGAGAAGGAGTGAAAAGAGACAAACAGAGAAGAAGCTTTGTTCTGGAAAATGCTACAGTGTTTTGGAAATATGGCGAGGTCGGGTAGCACCAGTACTAGACTGCTCTGCTTGCTGGTTAGTCTTGTTTGGTAGTGTGTGCCTTGTTCGTATTGACCCCTGCAAGGACCCAATTGGCATACATTAGTCGTGCAATGCGGCCAATTGAGGAGCGGCGGGACGATTGAATCTCGTTAGGGACGTTGATATAAATAGTAGGAATACGCGCAAAGCTGGTGGAATCGGTGGGCGTAAGGCGATGGCTGTGCTTGGATGATTGTGTGAATGACTGCATATACTAGGTACTACTATGGGTATTGTGTACGGATTGCGCAGAAACAATAGGCAGGCCAAGGCAGTTTTGAATTAAATAAGCTTGAAGCGGCTATTGACGTTTGAATGGCCCCAACTGAGGCCTCGACGTTTCGGCCGTGGCAGTCTCCGCGCCTATCGGGTGATCTCCTTGCATGCAAATGCTGCTTCACAATGTATGCACAAGTAGCTAGCTGTGGGATTATTGTCTAAGATGTCAATGTCAAAAGTCTGCCCAGTTCAGTTCTTGTTCAACTTTGATCAAAATTGATGTCTCTGATTTTCGCAGCAGCCGATTGGTGGCCCTTGTTCAAAACGGTCCGTAGCGCCAGCAGCTAGGCCGAGCTGGGTAGCTGGGGACAAGAGAGATGGAGATTGATGCATTGATCTGGGCCGTTGCGATATTAGCACTATTATGGAGTATTTTTTATGTTTAATATCAGAGAGTGGGTATCGCGCGTGTTGCCTTGGCGAGGTTTGTGTGCTACGGCGCACTACTGGCGGTAGTACCGAATTATGAGGATTGAACTGAAGATTGCACCGACATTGCATGCGCTTCAGTGTTGTTTTTTAGAGAAAGATTAAAAGATGGGATAGACAAGGAGATACTTGTACAGATGAGCCTTGCAGTGGCGTGGTCTCAGAATAATCTGTACTAACAGACTAGGCATATCCGTCTGTGGAGCAATGGCGATGAGATTAAACAGATAGACTCGTCCATGACGTGCATTAAGTCGCATCTCAATCGCCATGGCAAGTTGACTCTTTTCATCATCTTGTACGACTGCAGTTTTTGATATCGATTGAACCCATCCCCAAATGACGATTTTGTGGAGAGAACCCCCAATCCAGCAGCTTCTCCAACTCCGGCACACACCGTGCCCCCCAAAAAGAGGCGCCACAGGGGTCGCTCAAACAATGGCTTGGTGGCTGCTGCTCTCATTGGCATCCCGACGAGACCCCTAGACCCAAGGGCGGATCAGAGCCCCGTAGCGGCGACTGCAGCAAATACCGGGCCTCTGTTAGTGCCCCAGCGCCCCAAACGCCGTGTTTGTTTACCAGCCGTGGCGCGTGAAGCGAGGTATCGCCCCAGATGCAGCAGCAATCGACAGTCACCTGCGCCCACGCACAGGCCACGGGGCTGCGCTAAAGCCAGAAGCTCCATCGCAGCATCATCGTATCAAACACCATCGGTCCCCTCTTCTTGGCTTTGGATATATCCGTGTCTCATCTCCATCTCCGTCTCTGAGGTGATTGTTTGTGTGTTTGTTTGTCTGTTGGCTTATTCCAGGCGCGCTGAGACATACAGCAACACCGCAAACGAGTCCGGCTTCTGATAGTTCTGATAGCTGCACGATGCCGATCCGCGTCAAGCTCAAACCCCAGCCGGTACGCGAGGGCAGTCCCTTCTCTGCTCGATATGACGCCGTCGAGCTGCCCTACATTGGCCCCGACGACTCGTTCCGCCTGGTGGTCAAGAAGCTGTCGCAGTACTTCACCGACGCCGTTGAGCTGCCCAGCACCTTTGAGCAGCTGCGCACGACTTCTGCCGGCGACTGTCTCCGGCTCTTGGTTAACCACCTCACGGACACATGCGCCAACCCGGCCATTGTCAATGCCCTCTTGTAGGTTTCAGCTGCGTCTTATTTGCCTGCTCTTGACTCATCATCAACGCCTGTATAGGGCTCTCAAGTGGCATTATGCCTTGGATCGTGACAACCAGGGCCTTGGGGAAGCTCGGTCCAACGCCTGTGAGATTGTAGCCTGGCGATTCCTGACCCGCCACTCAGAGCGTGAGGCCGTGACATTCTGTCTCTACGAGATCCCGGACCGTAAGAAGACCAAGGCTCAGCAGCAGCAGCAGCTTGCCAATGACCCCGAAGCTGGCGAGCGAGCTCCCTTGCTGCCCCGCGTGCTGGCAACTTTTGATGGTTCATCTCCCAGCGCACCCGTGGGCAGTTCATCCAAGAAGATTCAGCTTCTCTCATCTCTTTCTCGCCTGACCAACCTCAGTTTCGATGACGACGATGACGACGATGAAGAGGATGACCCCACCGCTGCTTTTGAAGGTTTGAATGCGCTAGAGATTGCTGCCGTCGCCAACGCCAAGCGTTTCCTCAGCCAGCATGTCGTACAGAAGATTATATCCGGCATATGGAACGGTGACATTGTCTTTTGGGATACCATGGCTGTCAACTCGTCCAAGCATCCCCATTTCTATAACCCGACCACGTCGGATCCTTATTCCCGACTCCGTGTGCCCAAATACCTCAAATGCTGGGAGGTCTTATTCTTTGGTGTGTTTCTGTGCTTGTACTATTCTGTTCTCATCGTGCGAGACGAGACCCGTCTCACTGGCCCTGAGATTGCTCTGTTCTTCTGGATTGCCGCCTTCTTTTATGATGAGTTGAGTGAATGGGCGGATGCCGGAGCTATTTTTTACGCCACTGATATCTGGAATTTGTTTGACATGATTATGATTCTCATTGGCATCATCTTTGCTGTCTTGAGTGAGTCTATCCAACTGTACATGACAACGAGGAAATGTCAAACCATCTCAATACTAACCGTGATAAAGGAATCATTGGCATCCTGCAGCCAGAAACGCGCTGCAACGACTTAGCATTTGACGTGTTGGCTCTGGAAGCCCTCTTTATGATCCCCCGTATCTGCTCCATCCTCAGTCTAAGCCCTTACTGGGGAACCTTGATCCCCTGCCTCAAGGAAATGGGCAAGGACTTTATCAAGTTCATGGTACTGATCATCATCGTCTACCTTGGCTTCCTCACTACATTTTCACTCGTTGGCCGAGACAGCTTCAGCTTGAGCAAGATGACGGGCATTCTGACCAAGATCTTTTATGGCTCGAGCTACGTTGGCTTCGAGGTCATGGACCAGATTGATCCTATTTTCGGCCCTCCCTTGATGGTCATTTTCATCACCCTGTCTTCTTTCCTCCTCATGGGATCACTTACCGGTATGCTCTCCAACAGCTTCTCTCGGGTCGTCACCCACGCCAAGGAGGAATATCTCTACGTGTACAGCGTCTACGTGCTGGAGGCGTCGACCAGCAACCGACTTACCCATTTCTACCCACCATTCAACCTACTTTCCCTGGTTCTTTTCCGCCCGTGGCGATACATCTTTCCACGGTACCACAAGTACCGCGCAGGTAGAATCTGGCTTCTCAAGGTGACCCACGCACCCATTGTTGCAGTCATTAAATTCTACGAGTGGCTCAAGTACAAGGGAGACGACGACGACGAGTTTCGCGGCTTCAAAGGCCCCAAGGAGCCCAAGGGCCGGCGGCGAAGATCGGATATTGGTCCGGGGGCCGTTACGGGCCGTCCTGCGCTTTCATCGCCTCGTAGATCTGGGGCGGCGAGGTTGCTACCGACTAGCCGAATGAGAGGGGAGGACGACGTTGATGCGCCGTCGTCGGTGGAAGTCCAGGTTATGGAGCTGCAGCAGAAGATTGACCAATTGACTGCGGTTGTTCTTGCGATGAGGGAAAGTCAGATTGTGAACGACGAGAATGAGACTGCTGCTGATGGGAATAACGTTGGCTCTTTGTAGATGTTGAGTATCAGATTGAAGCACCAGCATTGTATATCATGATGTTTTACTGAGTATAAAGCTTTTCAAACCATGATGTTAGGGGTTGAGTATTGCATACTGCTATGAATTTACGCGAGTTTTACCGTTTAGCCTGTTAACATGACTCCTTTTCTGCGGCATCAGTATAGTAACATGATACTAATCAACAAGCTGATAGGCGTCTCATATAGCGGATGCTCTTTTACTCTTCACTCTCAGTTTCAACTTTGTCAACTGTTTTTAACTGTCATTCATGTCATCACTTTGTACTTTCCAACTACATCTGAGTGTAGCCTTGAAGGCTCTGCCACAAATTACATCTCGCTATCTGATCCGAAGGCACAGGCTCCATGGCCGTATCATTCGTCTGCAGTCGGATCCGCTGTCCCGTGCTCTGGCCCCAAGGATCCCAATTCGGCGCCGAAGCATACTTTGCCGTATTAGGATTCAGCTTTGTCACAAAACTAATAAAATAATGCATCGTTACTGGGACAATGGCTGCGTTTGTCGTGTAATAGGACGCTGCTGCTCCGCCGGCGTACCCGGGTCCGAAAACGGCGCTCGTCTCGAATGTGTGAGGCACGCCGAGGCCGCTGGCGAGATTATCTGGGTCCAAGACGTTGTAGTGGTAGTTCCAGACGCGACGGGGATCGAAATGGCGTGCTACGGAGGCGGCGACGGTGTTTCCGGGACAAGTAAAGGTCGATTCGCCGTATGCTGCTTGTGCGGAGGGGAAGTAGGCTGCGTGCTGGGCCATGGGCGCTGCGAGGGGATAGGCCTGGCTGATGGATTCGAGCTGGGAATCCTGCAGTAGCGGGTAGTTGTTCTTGATGAAGACCTGGACTTGGTCCGCGGTGGAGGCGTTGTAGCCGAAATAGGTGCCTTCGTCGGTGTCGTCGCCGACGAGGACGGGCACGCGGATGAAGTGGCCGCGTTCAAAGTTGTCGTAGAGGTGATCTGTGATCAAGTCGCCGTCTACGACAGGCAGCCAGTACCACAGCGGTAGGGGGTTGTTGCTTGCTGCTCCGGTCAAGGGCGCGTTGGGGGTGACGCTGATGAGAGTCTGCGTGTCGAGGCCGCGGAGACAGTCGAGCGATGAGCAGTTTGCGTTGGCGAGCAGCTGCTGGTACTGGAACTCCATGTCGGCGACGGTGCGGAGGGTTGGCCAGAAGGGGCTCTCGGGGATGGCGCCGACGAAGAGCTGGTTGTCCTTTTTGGCGGCGTAGGCTGTGAGGTGGTGCGTGACGGAGCCGCCGCCGGCCGAGGCGCCTTGGATGACGACGTGGTTGGGATTGCCGCCGAACTGTGGTCTGTTAGTGATGGAAGTTGAAGGGTGATGAGGGAAACATACCTTTCTGATGTTCTTCTGCACCCAGTGCAGGAGCTTTCTCTGGTCCAACAGCCCTGCGTTGAGATCGCCGTCTCTACGGACATGCTCACTCGCCAGAAATCCCAGTGCACCAACACGGTAGTTGAAGTTGACGAATACGAGGCCATTGTTGGACTGCTGGATGACTTCGGTGCCGTTGTAGTTTGCGTTTGAGTTTGTCGAGTAGCCGCCGCCTTGGATGTAGACCCAGACGGGGAGATTGGACCATTCGTTTGCGCCGGACGGTTTGAAGACGTTGACGAAGAGGCAGTCTTCTGCGTGGCCGGAGTCGAGGGCCTGGCTAACGCCTACGCATATTGGGCCGAACTGGTTAGTCTTTTGTTAATATTTATTATAATTATTCATTTTACTGTCTGAGTGAAAGTTACCTGTGAGGCATCTTGAATGTCCTTTTCTCGAGCTGGATCTTGCGGCGCCCTGAACCTGAGATGACCCAGAGGCGCTTGGGCGAATCTCATGCCGAGGAACTGATCTACTCCCGCATCGAGCCTTACCCCGCGGTATTTGGCATATCCTACGTCGATGACTGGGGAGTTGCTGATGTCATTGACGCGGTGAAGTACAGCGGCGTTGGCTAGAAGCGCCGAGGCGAGCAGGAGAAGCTGCTTTGTTGAAACCATTATTTTCTACTGAACATCACCATAAACAGTAGATGATGAAAATAAATATAGAGGCCATGATGCTCGAATCGACTCTTCTTTATAGTCGACTATTAGGCTGCTGCTGCGGCACATTGGACTGATCCGACTTTCATCTACCCCTCACTTTCATCCATGGCCCTCTCGGCGGTAGTTTCTGATGCAACATCGCATCGTAGGTGTTACCGGCTTTTGGGTTGGAGTTGGGGTTTTTTTTCTGCCTGAGCGTATTCCCCCACATTGCATTGATCGTCCCGGGTGCGTGGTCAGGTGTGTGTATGTCGGCAGTAATGGGATAATGGTGGGTGGGTGAAGCTGGGTTCCGATAGGGCCGGATGAAGGGCATGTGCAGCCTGCAGGTGCATGATCCAATACCCGACGGGATCGTGAATGGATGAATGGTAAGTTGTTTGCAAGTGTAATTGCTAATGTGGGATTGTTCGATCGTTGATGACGAATCCTTTTGAAGAACAATTTGTAAGACTTGGTTTAAGTGGAATGCGGGTGTGTGCATGAGACTGTCACGGCTTGACAGCAGATACCTAGTCAAAAAGGGTCAATATTTGTGTTGAGTAGAATGCTCTAACCAATTATTGGCTAAAAGTATAACGCTTTATATATAGCATCCAAGACAAAACAGCGGCTTCTCCCATGCCATGTTTGGCTGTCTCAAAGTCACAAGGTCCGCGTAGCCAAGCCAAAGATGTAAACAGCCCGATAGAAGGGTAGATTTGCACGTGTGGAATGGCGACCACAAGCCAATTTCTTGACGTAATGGCAGAAGAAAGGTGAGATGACAACGACGTGCGTGACTCTGCCTGGCTGGAAGAATGCTTGATGTGAGACATTGTGGGAATTTGCCAGAGGGCGTAGCTATGAGAGGCAGTTCTAAGAGCGCAGCCACAGTTCGCGATAGCGAAACTAAGATTGTACAAGTTTTTCCCATGTTCGGCTTTTATAAGAATGACAGAACGATACTAGACCATGAATTGTTAGCCGTGGAGCATTAGCATTGGAAAGTTTCATTTGAAAAGTTGAGACACTATTGATCACATAGACTGGTATTTTAGCTCATACGGACCTGGACGTGTGACTAGAGTCACTAGACATACCTCTCCCGTTATGACTTAAAAAAAGCAATGTCTTGCCTTTTCCGTTCTGGAAATTACTCATCTCCGCTGTTACCCATGGCGCTATAAACATGAGGCTCGCTGCACAAATCATACGTGATGCGAAACTTGGTGTGATGTCGGCGCATTTCTGCTGGGAACGCCTCCCAACACTTACACCCTAATTCTCCCGTATCAACCACCAGAACTCCCATCTGGCTGGCCGAATTCTGTGCAGCATGGTTTGTTTAAGTTATTGGCTGGTTATATCCCTAGCCACTTCGGCTTCCGGGTTCTCTGATTCCAGCAAACGGCGTTCGCAGGACTACCAGGAGGGCTTGCTTCCAAGCGAGGATCCGTTCTATGCCGTCCCATACAACATAGGCTGGTTCTCACCGGGAGAAATAATAAACTACAGAGAGTCACCTTCTGAAATTTCCTCCTTCGGATTGGTGCCAACGCATTTGAAGAAGGGTTACCAGATTCTCTACCGGACAACCAACAGCCTACAGCAGCCTACTGCCAGTGTCTTGACGGTTCTCATTCCGCCAAACGCACATTACGACAAGGTCTTGTCTTTGCAAATGGCTGAAGACTCTGCAACCATTAATTGCGGCCCGTCTTATACAATGCAGCGTCCAGCGCAGCAGAGTCTGCTTCACAGTTCCAACATCACTCAGCTCCAGCTGCTTTTCGCAGAATCGGCACTTGCTCGTAACTGGATTGTGATAGTACCGGATTACGAAGGCCCCGAGGCAGCATTTACTGCAAGCAAAATAACGGCTTATTCCATTCTAGACGGAATCCGAGCCGCGAAACACTCTGGTTACATCACCGGCATTGCACCGAATCCCAGGATTGGAGTATGGGGTTACTCTGGGGGTGCAGCTGCTACTCAAGCAGCAATCAACATGCAGGAGCTCTATGCGCCTGAATTCGAAATTGCTGGTGCTGCTATGGGAGGCCTGCCGGGCATTTCACAAGCGAGCGATATTTTCACTCTCAACAAAACGCCGAGCTCAGCTCTCATAGCGTCGGCAATGATTGGCTTGTCCAACCAGTACCCAGTGCTCAAGAATCTTATTTATTCGTCATTGAAGCCCCAGTTTCGAGATCTCTTTTACACCCCGTTGCACATGTGTTTGCAACAAAGTACCTTGATTCTCACGTCTCAAGATATTCTAGGCATGTTTTACGAAACATTACTACCAGGAGTGATCAAAGAGCTGGATATGGTTTTCCAAATAGAAAATACGCACCCACCAACCACGACAAAGGCTCCGTTGTACATATACCAGAGTGTCCGTGATCATTTATCCAGCATCGACAAGATAGATGAGCTGGTACGAGGGTATTGCGAGCAGGGTGCCGTAGTTCACTATGAGCGAGCCGGCTCGCCAAAGTTAAGCCACGTCTCGTATGCATTGATAGGAATACCTAATGTGTTGTTATGGATGCAAGATCGGCTTGATGGGAAAAGAGTCGCTGAGGGCTGCGTGACTCGTGCAGATATGACCGCGACGCTTGACCCGACGCTTGCAGCCATTTTCCCCCAGCATATTAGAGATGTGTTAGCTTGGTATCTGAGTGTATCTTGATTAGTTTGTTCAATTCTGGAAAATACTGATTCAGCATAGATAATTGTTGCTGATGTCTAGAAATATATATTCATTCTCCTACACAAGCGGCCACAAGAAAAGGTTTATGCTCTTAGTCGTTTGGTAGCAGCCGCTCAACCCAGCATGCGAATCAAATGGGGTTTGAAAGGCTAGAGTTATATGATCCATAGATAAGCAATGAATCCAAGGATTTTGATGGAGCGGAGCCCCACGTTCCCACTTACTCGGCCACGAAGAAATTCACGGGCGGAGTTCCGCACTGATCGCATTTGATCATTGAATGTAGATATTAGGAGATAATTTCGTAAGCACATCATGTTCAGAAGTTAGATGAAGCGGAATTCCGAAATTGGTTTGCAATCTAACAATGTGCGGGCATACCGTCACGATGGATTCTACGAGCAGAACGTCAGAGCGATTACGTATATGAAACAACATCCCTTGGAGAAATTGTTCATCTATTTAAACTTTGTAACTTTTCTAGCACATAAGGTTTCACTTATCATTAACCCATCAGACTTTACCAAATCGTTACAATGGCTCAGAAGGTCACCGAATTTGGATCCTTTGTGGACAGCATCTTTTACAACATCTTTTTCCAATCCGACGATGAGCTATCGGCCAGATATGCAAAGGAGCATCTTTCACCTGATTTAAAAGTTCGGTACGTATCACTTCCTCATTATCAAAACCTTCATGTGCTTTAGCCTAACAGTAACAGCATCAACGGCAAGGGCATACCAGGGGATTCTTTCAAGGACAGCATTGTTGCCGCCCGCGCTAAATCGTCATTCCGGGTTGTTCAAGTCCAAGAGATTCTTGCCAACACGGATGCCAACAAGGCTTCTGGGGGGTCGGTATCGCATTTAACAGTGTTTTCCGTCAAAGATAAGGATACGGGCGATGAGCGGCATGAATCTAGTTTAACGCTCGTTACGTGCGCACTGGAAGATGGAGCGGTAGTCATCACAGAATTGACTGAAATACATCGTGGATAGAACGTGGATATGTAGTATAACTGTAAAGAATACTCAAATTTTGCCTTGTTTAATAAGACATGGTTTCTTCAGCGAAATCAATAAGCAGCAAATGTCCAGATATACAAGCAATAACAATCTGTGGTTTGCTAATAGCACATTGTCCTCTGCCTCTGTGATACTCTGCTGGCATCCATATTATAGACCGGTTATCTTTCATAATCCAATAGTCGTGTACTCCATAGTCTTGATAGACAACACTCTCTTCTTTAGATGTAATCTGGTCCAAGCTCAGATCAAATTGATCCAAGTCAATAATTTGCAGTGACCCTTGAAAAAGTCTACTGTCAATTGCAGCAGAAAACATGCCCCACATAATATGAGGACGCGCTGTCAAAGTTCCTTTCCAAAACACGCCAATCATTGTATTCCATAGATATATGTTGCCATTGTCTGGGGTAGAGACGGCCGGCTGGTTGTCATAGAATTTAAGAGCACAAATTTGAAGAGAATGCACCTCAGAGACGGTAAATTGGTGACTCCAAAGCTGCCGTTGCTCATGCCGAAAGCAAGCCTTGTACCATCGGACGAGAATTCGGTGCTTTCCACCTCTGCGTTAATGGTAAGAGAGCGCTCAGAGTTACTTGTCTTATCCCGCGGTAAGATTTCGAATTTATTTTGTGAGACGAGGGCGAGCTATTTGCCATCTCTGGAAAAGGAAACTCTTGAAACTCCTGCACTCGTATAAACCTTTCGTTCAGTTGTTTGCATCATCTCAGAGCTCTTAGCGCTGATGTCCTAGATTTATTACTGTGAGTAACTTGTATCTACAAAGCCCCGTTCTTTTTTGGGGTCTGCTATAGAGAGGTGGTGGCCTGATAGAGTGTCCCCAAACATTTCCATGAGTTTCTAGTCGTCTTGTGCATTTATGTTTAACGGTCCTGGGTTGTCCATACAGGTAAGCTATATTATCATAAGCTTTTTAAACTTCTTCATTAAGTCAAAACTATGATTCTCAAGATTAGTAAAGGCTGTTTTCAGAGTTCTTGCACTGCTAAGCATTTCATATATTTAAAGATAGGTACAACTACCTATGAAAGAGAATGGTCAAATCATGTCTAATAATTATCCCTGCCTGACTTTCAATGCCGTTTAGCACCCGTCACACCTGGTCGTTGATTGCAACGCGATGTCTATCTGAAGAATGGTCAGCCCAAAAATTTCCAACGTTGCCGTGAGTATCATAAAGGCGAATCCGGCCCCTGTTATACCAGTCCTTTCCTGTGAGCCAACCATCACTCTTAAACCACACGCAGGTCAGACACATGCTGTGAAGTCTCTGATTGACACGAACTTCGCCCTTCGCCTGCATTTTCCATGTTCCCCAGAAAGAGTGGTCGGTATTTATGCCTACTTCTTTAATACTTGAGGAGCCGGTATTCCACATATAAAATATACGGATGCTGCTGTCAACACCGAAGAAGAAGGCGTAGCTGTTAGCCAATCGGACATAATCCTGCTGCCCATTTTGATTGCCATCATGATCATAATCGAACATCTCGGCCTTTATAAACGGCATAGCAGTGGCTGATGAGATATAGCAATTTTCCCCTCCCCATCTCCACAAAAAGGTCTTGTTACCCCAAGTCCCTCTTTCTATTTTTTCTCGATTGATCTGAATATTTTGGGCCGTGGTATACACGACGGGTGAGACTCCGCTGAGAGTCACTTGAGAATAGAAGTTACCCCCGTTTGTTGTAATGTAAGAATCGTCTGGTTGTGTAATGCCTGCGGCAATCGTCCTATCTTCCACTCTGGTCGTGGAGACCCAAAAGCATATGGACTGTGAGTCAGGGCTGATTTCGACGGAACCAGTTGGGGCGGGTCCATCCAGCCTGTGGGAGAACTCATTCTCTACAGTACTGTAGCTCCAGGAACCAGAGAGCCTGTTCTCCGCATTGTAGAAATCAACCAGTTGAATGAGACAAAGGTCATCTTGGCTGAGACGGTAAAGCTCATCGTTGAGACTCGCTTTAATGGAGACGTATACGGGCACCTGCATATTGCCGTTGGCAAAGAGGGCCGTCGTTAGCGTCTGTATTTTGAGGTGTTCCACAATCCAGTGCCCAGCCATCGTATTTGGTGGTAGAGAGATTGCTTTGTTGTTATGAATTAACTAAACATGCTATAGCTCTCTAGAGATATAGTAGCAAAATAATTAATAATGATGATCGCTTATGAGCTTCTCTACAAGGTGGGGTATATATACATATACTTGCAAGGTACAACAATATCCTTCTCCCTTCGGCCGTGTTTCTTATTATGACTCTGCCCTAGGTCACCCTCATGCAATTTCGATCGCTCTGGTCAAACACATTTATTTTCTCGCTTCCTTCAGGCATTCATGCATATATTAATTTATACACGTCATCAAAATTAACACGTCCTTGACTTATCTGCACACCCCATTGGAGGATATTTTTAGCTCAAGGTTGCACACCGGCTGCATTAACGCCTGATTGGGTTTGGTTGCCGTACATAAATATTATAGCCTAATCCACTGCATATATACCATGGCAACTGTGCTTTCTTTCTGCAACATAACCAGCGACTGAGAGCCCAACTCTCGTCGGTAGCTACCCTGCCTACGCTTTAATGCCTGATTATGAAGTACGCCATACGAATACGTTTAACACCAGAAGTGTCAATTAAGTCATTAGTACACTATATTTTAAGGGGGGTTGATAATACCAGTGGTAAAGTTTATTACCAAGCGCTCGTCTAGAATCTAGTCGCACACTTTTAGCACACGTCTCGAGCAGTCTTTTGACTTTAGTTTCATCATCAATTCTTACAACAACATGCCGGCGGATAAGGACACTCTCTATTCTCAAGGCGTCAACTTTGACAGCTTCATCCAGGATGGAGTCGACCCTCGCACTGGCCAGTATACGTGCTCTATTGATGTATACAATACGCCGGCAGAAACCCGCAATTGCACTCCTCTGAAGCTTTCCCTTGGCTATAATCCCCTAAAACCAGAGAACATTGGTTTGGGCAAAGGCTGGTCATTCAACCTCTCTTCCTACCACCATCGCGTATCCAAGACTCTTTCTCTTTCCACCGGAGAGCATTATAAGGTTAAAGAGAGAGGAAACAATGTATCTGTCAGAGACCAGAAACTCAAAAGCTTCCACTTCAGCAAAAAGGGACACGACGAGTACAAAGTCGTTTACAAAGGCGGACAGGTTGAAATCCTATCTAACCTTAACAATATGTACAAAGTCACCGTCCCGGTTGAGCTACGTGCTGTCAACGGCCGTTCACTGAAGTTGATATGGACCCGCTCCAACGAACAGCCGCGTTTAAGCAAAATTCAAGAAGATTCCCAATATCTGGTCGAATTCCGCTATGCGGACCACCAGGTAGAGATTATCCGGGCACCAGGGACGAAAGAGGCCAGTACGTTTACTCTGATACTGAAAGACAATCGATTAGTTCAACTTCAGTTACCACTCCAGCATGGAAACAGCCAAGCCTGGAAATTCCGCTACGAAGACTTCGGCCAATTTACTTGCCTATCGAGTGTTACCAGCCCTCTCGGGCTAGTAGAGGAAGTAGAACATAGAGCGGATGGGCATCTACTACCACATGGGGCACCCTATCAGGCGATACCCTACGTAGTGTCGCACATATCGAAGCCCATGAATCAACAGCCTCCAATAAAAACTATCTTCAAATACTCAGCTGAGAACTTTCTCGGCTATAGAAGCAACTTTGACTGGACGCAGGATGAAGACAATCTCTATCATGCACGTCAAGAGTATGAGTATTCATCAATCGTTCAGGTCGTGGGTGGCGCAAGAACAAAGTATATCTACAACAAATTTCACCTCATCCTCCGAACTGAACGACAGCAGGGCGCGAAGATGGTCACGCAGACAACCACATATTATGCCATGGGCGTACCATTTGAACTCCAGCCACCGCAATACCAGCTGCCCAAGAGCGTCCGGACGGAATATCTTGACAAAGCCAGCAAAGGCCTCTTGTCCCGTAGGGAAATATGTAACTATGTCTTCGATGAGTGGGGAAATCCAACCCAGACAATCGATATGAATAATATCACCATTGATTGGTCATATTACCCCGCGGCTGAGACGAGGGATTCAGATACAGGCAAAGTGCTTTGCCCAGCCGATCCTCATGGATTCCAGAGATATATGAGGAGTGAAACTATAACACCGGCTGCAAGTCTACACGAAACACAAATCCGCTACAAAAGATACACGTATCTTGAGTTGCCGTCGGTGGCAGATGCAGGCTATTTCGTGGTCGTGAAGCAGCTGGAATGCTTGGAAGAAAGCCGGTGCTTTTCTAGTGTGTGTTATGCATACGTGAACCAGCCTGAGATGAGGGATCACGGCCGCCTTCAGCAGGAAATCATTCACTTATCGGGGCAGAAATCTATAACTCATGATCTCATTTATTGTTATCCGAACCCTGACCAACTGACGACAATCGTCACAGCCAGGGGCTTTGATGAGCACGTCATTGAAGCCAAGACAACCAGTTCTCTGTCTTCCGGACTCACTCTCAGCAAGACAGATGAAGAAAAAGTCGAGACTCAATTTCAATATGATGAGATTGGCCGACTAGTCAAAGCAACAGTTTCTCCAGGGACCCTCTACGAAACAACTAGGGCGTATAAGTATAGCCTCCGAAAAGACAGTACTGGGTGCATCCTGACGATCACTGACGCCAATGGGATAAAAACGCGATACACTACGGACGGCTTACAGAGAGTGGTTCTAGTTGAGCAACAAGATTACAATAGTCAATCTAAAGGAGATTCATACAGTGAAAAGTTCCGCGACGTTCAAAGAAACGCTTACAACACGCTTGGTCAACGCGTGAAAACAATCGACTTTGACTGGCTGAAAAATGAAGAAAATCCGACTGAACAAATTCAATGCTTGGAATATGACGATTGGGGAGGAGTTTGCAAGGTCACCAAAGGCAATGGTGTCGTTGTGCTCTCTCTCACCAACCCAATCGATCTGACCCATACAGTAGGCATAGAAGGCCAAGGGCTAACGAAGACGTATTCTAATGCCTTCGGCTCTCCCTTACGATTGGAACGGCTTAAAGCAGATGGAACTGCTTTTAGCAAAGTCACTTACGATTATGATGGCCTGGGCCGCCGAGTTACACATAAAGACAGTTTGGACCGAGAGACGCGGTATCTATACGACTCCTTTGACCGTATCGTCAAGACCATCAGGCCCGATGACCATACTACAGAGTCCCAGTACGCGGCCCACAGCGCTGCACTCTCTCCCGAGTTGATCAAGGCCTGTGGAAAGACCGTGGGCGAACAGGAGCTTGACGGATTGGGCCGCATTACGAGTTTGACGGTCGGTACACGCACAACCACCAAAACCTATGAGGGGAGTGCTCCAAAACCCTGTAAAATCACAATGCCCAACGGAAATACACGTGGTTTCACTTATGATCCCCAGCTGCATTACGCGCTTAAAGAGCAAAGGTCTACCGATGGGGTGGATGTATATGACCATGACAAGCGGACCACAGCCACAGTGAAGCTTCAAAATCGCTTTGGGACAGAAATCCGGCAATATCTGCCTTCAGGTCTCTTGGAGAAAGAGAGTTATAAAACCAGCCAGCATGAGATATTTTCCGCCAATCACGTCTATTCAATGGCTGGCAAGTTTCAGTCATACAGAGACGTTCACGGACAATTGCACGACCTGCAATATGATGACATTGGCAGACCTCAGTTATTGGATCAAGGGAAAGTGAAGGTGGCATTCAAGTATGATACAGCTGATCGCCTGTGTGAGACTTGCGTGGAAGACAAGGAAACAAAGGAGAGTCTGACCACTCATCAAAGATATGACGATTTCAGTCGGGAAATCGAACGCAACATCTATCATGGAGCGAAGAAGCTTTATAAGATCAGACAAACCTTTAACTTGATGGATCTCATCACTCAACGCCAGACATGGGACGGTAATGGAACAATGCTACGGAAAGAGATCTTTCAATATGACAATCATAATCGTCTCGTCAACTATAGCTGTGACGGCACGCAATTACCGGTGGATGAGAAAGGGCACGCAATCCAAGAGCAGTGTTTCACATTTGACCACTTTGATAATTTGGTTCAGACTTCAACGACTTTCCAGGACCAAACCAAGAATGTCACTCTCTACACCTACAACAACGCAGACCCCAACCAGCTTATCGAATTGACAAACACGAACTCAAGCTATACTGATAAAATTGAGCTCGAGTATAACAACAATGGCTTTTTGACACGAGATGAGCAAGGACGGGAGCTAAGATATGATGGCCAGGATCGCCTCAGTGCTGTGATCGATGCCGACGACCAGATTCTTAGCGAATACCAGTATGACGCCTCGGGCAGACTAGCTTGCCAAGTAGTACATGGAAGGCCAACATACCTTCACTATCGCGGGGATGCCCTCATTGCAACCACCGGAGATTTCAAGATCAGCTACATTTCTGATGGAAAGACATACTGGGGAACCTTGCGACACGAGGGAAGTGAAAATAGCCAGACCCAGATCTGGGCTTCAGACGCAAATCAATCCATCTTAGCGGAGGTTGATATGCTGAAGCCAGACAACGTCCGTCATCAACAGTATACACCTTACGGCTGTAACGGAGCAGCGTCCTCTGCAATTACATCTATAGGCTTCAACGGCCAATGGCGTGATCCCGTGACAGGCTGGTATCATCTCGGAAATGGCTACCGCGTCTACAATCCGGTCTTGATGCGTTTCCATAGCCCGGATTCATGGAGTCCATTCATATCTGGGGAGATCAATACTTACGCCTACTGCTTGAGCGATCCGATCAACCGCATCGATCCTAGTGGCCATCTCAGCATGAGCGAGAGGGACTGGACTGTCATGGGAGTCGGTATCATTACTGGTCTCTCGGTAGGGTTATTAACAGCCGGTGCAGGATTTGCCATCGCTGCCGGAGTGGGCATCGCTACTGGAGTGGCCTCAGCTGTGATTGTCGGTATTGGTTATGATTTATCGACAGGCAAAGCCCCGACTGCAAAAAGCATTGGCACAGATGCACTCTACGGCTTCATTGGTGGCGTCACTGGTGGGCTAGCTGGCAGGGCCCTTGCTGTTGGGATCAAATCTTTACCAGGGTCGATGGCGCGGCTTTTGATCGGCGCGAAGAAGTTGCAAAATGCTGGTGGGAGCCCTGGGAGAGGATTATATCTCGACGTCGGAGACATTCACTTTTCCCAAAGCAGCGTGAGCTCTAAGTTTAAGGAACACAAATCGCTTTTGGAGAACATTCTTGGGATTCGGAACACAAATTCAGTCAAAACGAAGAGTAGGGCATACCCAACAATAAACGTGACGTGGGGATCAATAGGGGGCGATAAAGCTGCTTTGCATCGGCATAAGGGCAGCCAACTCATTCCTGTAATGAACGTATCAGGCACTTACAATCAAGCTTGGAAGTTTTCTGTTACCCTGTTACAGTAGCTTTGTTATGGTTATTAAGTTCTCAGTCGCAATTTGTATTTATAACTAAATTCTTAATAGATAAAGAAATGGATCAGTTAGCTGCGTGAGCTGCTCATTTTCCGACACAATGGCATATATGAGGCCACGGATAGCCGTAGCACTGTAATCTGTCGTCTGTGTTTTCCAAATTTCGCAGAAGAAATAGAATAATGGCTTGTTATGGCTGGTTTCTTCGAGCCACTGGATAAGGTCGCACATGAGCATTGTTTTGCCCTTGCCAGCTTTACCCGTAATCCATAAGATATTCTGAGCAGGGTCGCCCAGCCAATCAAAAAAAGAAAGATTCCTTGTTCTGACTCTTGTTGTGGTCGAATCCAGTCGCAGCAGCTAGTAACTAGGCCTCCTTTGTCTCGAAGGATACGCTTTCTGTCATATCTCGGATCAGGAACTCCTAACGCATTAAGACATGCGTTTCGAGTTTTATTCGTTTGAAGCTGATTTTTTCTCTCTCGCTCCTCCCTCTTTTCGAATTGTTCAATTCTGTTGTCCAAACATGTCTCGGCATTTTGGATTTCTTTCATATATTGATCCCAGTCGTCAAGCTTCACTGCTCCACTGAAAGCTGCGAGAATACTCTTGGTGCGTAATAGCAATATGCTTCGGATTTGTTAAAGTAGAAGCCCCTGAAAGTAGTCAATCATTTTTTCTCGAAGCAGTTCCCGCTGCCGCAAGATTGAGGGCTCCTCCTCATAGTTCTGGAAGAGATTTCCAGCAGTTCCTTGATACCAACGGAGATTTTCTAAAATTGTCTGAGTGCCATCCAGGTATGGCTTGCGTTTTATCATCGGTTGGGAAATTAACTTCAAATAAATTAGTCACTCATACACTTTATATTACGGTATAGATAAAACTTACTTACTCTTACAGCAATGTTCACGCCTATCCATGGCGCGGCTGCTTGGGGTATGAGCTTTATAGGTTCGTTTACCATCTCAATAATCCCTTTGAGAACCCTAAACGCATGGTCTAAACCGTTACAAGACTAACGCCCATTAGCAGGGAAACAGCCCAGGCTTCGTCAAATGGCTCAAATTAAAGCTTAAATAACAACTCCATAACCGGCGGCGTTAACATAAAAAGCCGTGTTGTAAATTGATTCAATTTAACATACACATCTTAGTTAAAGCTTACGCACAGGGGATGACAGTTGTCTTTTTTCCTACTGCCATCTGACTAAGGTACCGCGCCACTCAGCCACAGGACTCTGCTTTGAAAAGGTGCTCGTTACCGAGGGATAGGGGCCTAATAACGGCTCCCTTTTTTTAGTGTCTCGACTTTTATTGTCAGATCGAATGGGTAAGGGTCCTTTGACAAGGCCATTGTTATTTTCATCTTGGCTGGCATCGTCTTCATTTTCTTGATCATTTTGTCTTTGATGTTTGTCTTCTTGAACGCTGCGATGCTGGCTGTTATCCCCTCGGTTGTGCTGATTTGGGCTCAAACTTTGCTTTTTTTCTCGCCAAAAGTCTCTGGGAATGAAACGGCAAGGCATGGTGAATAGTAAACGAATAGCGTTGAGTTACCGGCGTATAGTTGAAAGGCGTACAGGTGTGAAATATAATAGCGAAAAGAGACTGTCATTGTTTGATCAAGAAGTGTTTGGGAGAGATCAGGCTGTGATTTGTATACATGTATGTATGTTTAGGCAACAAGTATCTTGCGGGGTAGCAAGTGCTTCTCTGCAAATTACGTATGTAGTCAATAATCGTCCAATGGAAATTAGGTATGTTGTCAAAAATTATCCAATGAAAATTATACCGCTCGTATTATACTATGTGTGTAACAGCCCAAAGTAAGTTTTCTATTTAGAAACAACAATACATAAAGCCCTCGAGATAGCTACACAAATTGATAACTCTCGACCACAGCCTCAGCCAAAATACCTTCTTGATGACCAACGATAGCTCATAATGACATCCACGCCTTAATACATAACCGTGATATATGTTCACGATAAAGCTGCTGGCATTAATGCTCCGGAACCTCTTTCACTCATCTGAACCGCGTAAATTTGATACTTCCAGCGTCGCCTTTGCACACATCTCAACAAACTCTTCGTTTGTCATCTCTTGTGTGGTCGTGTATTTGAGCTTCAGCACGCTTTCTATCATACGACGCAGCCCTTCTCGCCCTTCGCGCGGTGCAATTTCCAACTTCTCTCCGTCCTTTAAATTGAAAAGCATAATGCGCGGCGCCTCCTGCGATGATGATGTAAGCAGGTAGGCATATATGCTTGCTTGCAGTATGTGCTCATTGGACAGCTTAGACACGAACTTGATTTCCCAGACAGATTCAAGTCTTTTGTTATACACGGAGTCTGAATTGGCCGAAAAAGCTACAATATCAGCTTGATCCCGTAACAGTGTTTCTTGATTACCAATTTTGAGTTGTTGCTCAGCATAAACTTCAAAACTTAGATTTGGAGCCAGATCACCTAATGCGCTCTGGAGCCGGCTCTGGGCGAGGGCTAGATGCTCGGGCTTCATCCAATCGAATGCATGATCTTTCATTTGGATAAAACGCGCTCGGTAGCCTGATGAGTCGGCTTCATACTTGCATGCTGCTCGACAAAGCCATGAGACATATTGTTGTTGAGTCATTGTAAGGTTTCCGTCGGTTGGGGTTTTGTGACCTTTCAGTATGCTCAAGGTTCCAGTAAAATGGTGTTCGAAGGCTGACGTAACTGCCAAGCCATTTATATCGCCCACGGCTTCGTAGAATCCCTTTGCTGGATTCGAAAGGACGACGTTGTCTATACGGATATGCTCATCTTCGGGTAGGGGCGGTGATAGTTTTTCGATCTTCAAATAGTCTCTCAAGATTTGGTCAAGAGGTTCGTCTGGCATGTGGCGAGTTAGATCTCGAACAGAGACCGATTTTGGCAAATTAAACCCGCACTGAGGAGATCGACCAGGGGCGCTAGGCGGTGCAATATTTCCTTCTTTTCTAGTCAAGTTGACAATATCTGCCGTTTCATATAAGTCGTCCACAGATACGAAGGGCATCAACTCTTGATTCTCGTCATGGATCACCACAAGTTGCTTTGCAGCACGAGTCAAGGCCACGAAGATGTCGTTAGGGCATCTGTCGTCTGGAAGGTCGCGGCCATTATACTTGAAATATGACGCGTCGATACCAAAGAGAATAACAAGATCGCGCTCGCTGCCTTTGAACTGATGTATGTTCGAAACACGCATCTTCCCATTAGTCGCCAGTTTATCTAAAGGGACCTCATCATCTGTTTGTACGGCAATTGGTATGCGGTAATCTTCTGCTAATTTGTTGGTCAAATATTTCAATGAATTGTTCTTGCGTATTGATGGCGATAGAATTGCGCTATTCTCGGCTCCGTGGACCTTGATTAGATCAAATATCTTTTTAGCTAACGCATTAGAGCGATCAGGGTAGCATCTCAGAACAATAGGCTTTGGGCCAGGTTTGGAGCCTGTGATATATGGCTCACCACCAAGAAAAGCCTTGTTGATGAAATCGACGGAGGGCTTTGATAGCCGAAAACTTTCGCTTAATGGGATATTAGCAAACGGGTAAGGGCTGACAGGGCCGAGTAATTGATCAGCCAAAGTAAGATAACGTTGGTCGGCGCCGCGATATCCATAAATAGACTGCCGCTCGTCACCAACTACGACGAGTCGAGCAGGTGGGCGTCCTAATCTTGCCAGCTTCTGGTTGTTGGCCCTGGTAAAGCAGTTTATCAACCAAAAGATATTGTTGGTGCAGCCTTGGAACTCGTCTAAGACTATTATCTCAAACGGGTCAAATTTCCATTCTGGTAGCATATTATAAAGGCGAGCCCTTTCTATATGCTCTGCAAAGATAGCGTCATTGTGCACAGTGTCTCCAAAGAGCAAGGTGGCCAACTTGTGGAAAGTAAAGGTTTTGCAGTTGGAATATTCATAAAGTCGACGAGAGTTTGCAAGTTCAAGAGACTTTGAAAAGGTCACTACATCGACCCGCGACTCTGGATAGGTGGCAATAATAGCTTCTGCTACAGCTGTTTTGCCGGATCCTGGACGTGCTGATACCACAACATTCTGCACAGCGCAGAGCTTCACGACCTTCTGTTGCTCAAGAGACGGTTCAAAGCTGGGTTTCTTTTTCCACTTTCTATTCAATGCCGAACCAGAGTCGAAGGCACGAAGAGAACCATGATGGCAGAAACCCGTAAGCTAATAATTATTAATAGTGGCGTTGGTATTTTTCTCTCTCATCATTTCTATTATGGATTATATAAACTTACGGGCCGTTTAATGAGGTCTGAAAACCGCTGAGTTGGTAGAATAGGTTTCCATTTCGATGGAAAGCGACCGATCATTTCGAGATTAACTCGTCGAAGCTCCAGTAATGCAGTGAGATTTCGGTGATGCGCTGTGGTTGAAGATTCTAAATGCTGTCGTATCAAATTAAATAACTGCAAAATATAACGTGCACATCTAAAGAGCTCTGCGTGTGACATGATGAGAGTGAATTTGCAGCTAGAGACGCGAATCGAGTCGTCAATGTGAATAGAACTTGGGTCTAGCGGCATCTTGCATGAGATTATTTCTTCAAGTGAATAGCAACATATGCGAATTACATGAGCGAATGAAGATCAATCTATAGATCATTGGCAATGATGCAATGATAACGGTAGGGTGCCTACAGCTAAGTTTTTGTTGCTCGAACATTTGTAATATTCCTTCGAAATATCGCTCGAGATCTGCTATAGTCTGACTCCAATTGTAATAGGTATTCACAACAAGCCGCGACAAAGGCTGAGGCGGAGTTATTACTTGGACACGCCTGTATACAAATGAAGAGTCAAACTATACAAGATGGATAAAGATAGCCTGCCATTCAAATTTAAAAGAAGAAAAAAATCTCTACGCTCTGTGTAAGACAGCCCTTATCACACTGCTTCGTGCGTAGCCTGTCCTCCAGGGGCGCAATTTCGTGAGATCGTTCTTGAAGAGAATAATGTCGAGGAATTCTCGGCTTACAAGTAGATAAAAGAGCTTAGAAATTGATTGTGGAAAGTCTAGTGACTTGTAGTATTCTCCTCAGTTTGCACTCTGCTTAAGATGCCGCGGGCGGCTTGTATAATTCACTTTCAGAGCGTAAATGAAGTAACAACAATAACGGAGAACATGTGCGATTCGCATGGACAGTACGAAAAATTATAAATTGCAACAAGACAAATTAACGATGTCTTTAATAATATAAATGCACGCACAGATAGCGATGCGGAATTGCACGAAGCAATAAATTAGTAGAAGCGGAATTCCGCATCTTCAATGCCCTCATTGATAATACTGTCCCACTTTCTTCAATGAGTAATAATTCACGCAGATGGTTTATAATCACTCGCTTTATGAAAAGGTAGCCATCTAATTACTACTTCGGATGATATAAAGCCATATAACTTTTGCTAAACATGCTCTTTCTCAACACAAAACATTCGGCAATTATACACTTATCTGAGATTTTCCATCTTTTGCAACCGACTCTCCTGCAACTATTTTTGTCATATACGTATAAGACCTCGAATAATCGCCATGACACTTTCCGAAGAAAATCCCAAAACCATGCTTGCAGTATATGCTACCAGCGGTAATGACGAGACTCCTCTCGCAGGTCTCAAAGTTGGTCAAGTACCTTTGCCTACGCCTCCAGAAGGCTGGGTTCGGGTTAAACTTTTGGCAGCGAGCGCCAATTACCATGACATATTCACCCTCAAAGGCTTTGGTGTCCATCCCATCAAATTTCCACGCATCATCGGTTGCGAAGGTGTTGGAATGTTGGAAGATGGAAGCAAAGTGGTTGTTTATCCGTTTATGACTGCGCCAGATTACATCGGCGATGAAACACTTGATCCGGGTCGCCATGCTCTTTCAGAACTCACTGAAGGAACTCTTGCGCAATACTTTATCATCCCAGCCAAGAATGTGGTGCCCTTGCCAAGTACAGTGGATGTCACCTCAGGAGCTGTGCTTGGAATTGCTTGGCTCACTGCCTATCGTATGCTCTTCACAAAATCGGGCTTGCGAGCTGGACAGACGATGCTGGTCCAAGGAAGCTCGGGTGGCGTCAGCACAGCTCTTATCCAGCTTGGAGCGGCAGCAGGCATGCGTGTTTGGGCTACCGGTCGCACAGCCGAGAAGAGGCAGCTCGCTCAATCGCTTGGCGCAGAGAAGACGTTTGAACCTGGGGCAAAACTCCCTGCTCAAGTTGACGCCGTCTTCGATACAAGCGGAGCTGTGACCTGGAAACACTCGATGGCTTCCGTTAAGGCAGGTGGAACGATTGTCAGCTGTGGTGCCCATGGCGGATTTGAACTGCCCACGGATTCGTTGCGTCTATTTGTTGACTCGCTGAGCATCCATGGCGTGTATGCGGGATCATTCCATGAGTTTCAAGATCTCATCTCGTATGTGGCTGCAAAAGGCATCAAGCCTTGCATTGGCAAAGTCTTGCCACTTTCTCAGGGTGAAGAAGCATTGAGATTAGTTTTCGAGGGTAAAGCTCAGGGCAAGGTGGTGTTGACAGCAGACAGCGTAGCCGCATAATGGTATGGTGGAGGTAGGGCAGCATGTTTGTACCTTTGGTAGCTTAACAACGCCTATATACTCACAATACACATGTGAAAGGCATCTCTATTATGAACATGGACATGTCTGCAATCATTTGCTATTAATGTTACTGCCTCAGTAAATCTATGAGATAGGACACGCTAATGCTGTTAAAGGTTGATCTTTCTTAAATAAAGTTGAACAGTATTCCACTGATGCAACCGATCAGAATATAGACCATCTATTGCTGTCACTATACACTAATAGCCACGCATGACGTGGCTTTTAACATGATGAACCATCGCTACACGCTAGAACAACATCGCGAGCATCCACACAGCCCATGAAATACCCGTCCAAAGCCATAATAATATATTCATTAGCCGATTTCTAAAGGCTTTGAGTATGAGAAACAATAGATGTTGATTTTGCTTTTCCCTCAAAGCTCTCATTAGATAGTAATTCTGCAGCAAGCCAGGCGAGGGCTAGTTGCCGAACTGACTTACAAAAGGAGCATAGAGTTTTTCAGCTGCACGATCAGGATTTTTAGTCCATCTGCAATTATTTGTAGGATCATGGATGTCGCAAGGGACTTCGACAAGTGTTAGAGGAAGACAGGCCTGGCTGCTGGAGCTAACAAAAGCGAGCAGCGAAGCCTTGGAAACCAGCCCTTGCTTGAATCCCGACATACAGTGTTTGCCAAGCTCCCATTTAGTTATGGAGAAACTTCCTGCATTGTTTGATGAAGACGTGGTTCCAAGAGGGTCGCCACGAACACCCTTGTCAATCCAGAAAGCACCGATTTCGCCATTCTTGTATTGTCCATGCATATCAAGGATATGGATTTCCTCGTCGGGGTTAATGGCAGACTTGCCATCGCAAACCATGGTTTTGCAAAATCTGAACTTGCCGAAACTATGCGCATAGCTGTCTACTGAGGCCGAGTAATATCCGTTTTTATCTTGTCCTAACAGAAGACCGTTGTCCATTCTTAAGATATAACATCTCCCTATTGATTCACAAGGTTAGCAACAGTTCAGTATTCAACTATTGACAAATGAGAAAAGCGTGACTGGGATTATGCGGTTATATACCTTCGTAGACGTCTGGCTCACACTTCACTGGCGAATATAGAGGTCTGCAGTGACCATCGTGAGTTTCAACCATAGTAGAAGGGCAGACACATTTGCCGTTCATCAGTATCTTGCCCTCAATGCAGTTTGGTATCGGGTCATGACAGGTGCCGTCATAGATTTGGCCTTTTAGACAGCATCTGTAGCCCGTCTTGTGCGATCCAGTGAGATGCTGATCTGGGTAACAGCAATCAAACGCAGTATCTTCGCTTCCGAGAAGGTTTTGATCTCTAGTGCAGCAAGCGATAAATTCCTTGTCTTCGGTGTAAGTGAGCTGTTTGCCGCTGTCTTTTTGACAGCGGAGCACATCCTCAAAGGAAGACTCTCGATCGATGAAGACAATTTCTTTAGCGTTGTAATCGATTTTGTACTCGCCGTCCATCTGAGCGACTTGGATGTTTCTTAGGTCTCGCCGGATGCTCCCATTGGCATAGTTAGGAGCTAATAGCCACACGGCTAGAAGACTAAAAAAGTATGGTTTCATGTTAAGGAATGCTCAGGCGGTTTATGGCACTTTTGAGGTAATTCAGAACAACTGCAAAGATATGATTCCTTGAGTTCTGGTATGAGCCATCAGAAGGGCTGCTAGCTCTTATATAATCACGGGCTTTCTGCTATAAGTACTAGATATTTCATATTGTGCGCAGATTTGATGCCTAATGGGGTCGTCATAGATACGCGCAGGGCGGTAACGACCTCGCATTGGACTTTGCATCAATATCCATATGTAAGGAGAGAAGAAGCCAACGAATCGCAAGTATTTCTCGTTGAGGGCGGATATATCTAATATACGATATGCCCAGCGGTCAGCCACTTGAAGCAGAGCTCTCAGGTCACAAGATTGAAGATACAAGGCATATCAACGCCTGTTTTATTTTTACTTTTAAGCCGCTTGATTTGAGCCGAATGCATACCGGGAGTTGTTCTCATTTGCCAAGATAAGGTAGCATTGCAGTGGCGCCTTTCATACTAGCCAGTAATACGCCGTGACTCACGATGCATCGGGCAGCATTATAGCTTGGGATACTGTTAATAATTGTATTTGCCACTCGCAGATAAGGATCTCAGCCTCCGGTGGAGTTTTTGATCAGCTGCGCTTACACGAAAAGGCAACACGAATGCAACGCGGGATGCCAGCGAAGAGAGAAGGAAAAAAAGAACTACGTAGATGGTGTTTATTGGTCAAAGAAGGAACTTTCTAATCTTTTCGCGTATGCAGCTTGTTGTCGAATATGACATGCCTGAGTCGGAGAGATCCGTATCTGCGACTCATGGCCGCATTAGCAAATATGTCGCATTTCACAGCTACATCTACACCAATGCATCAATATTGCATTAACTCTTTATGATGCAAACTAAAGTACTAGCTTGAAAGTATCCATGATCATTAGGAAACGCCGTATAAACAAAAATCCAGCCTCGCGCTATATACAATACTTGAGCGATGCGTTGCAGAACTATAAATTAAGCATATCTACAAAGCTAAAAATAGATGGCTCTGCAGTCAGTGCGTCGATGAATTCAGCCTTGGAGGCATTTGAGCCGAATAGCTCTAGTTGGAGAGGGGTGTCTGCAATAGACATTGTAGGTGGCATTGGCTCGGGAATGGCAATGATATTCGGCTCGGGGAGGGAGTGGGACAAAGAAATGCTGGCAGCATCGTCTGGGAAAAGCTGCTGAATGGCCTTGCCGAATATACCTCGGCAAACCGAGGCGACTGAATATGTTTTTTGTAGCTCCTCCAGAATCATCATGCACATGTTTAACATATTTAACCCAAGACGCCTTGATAAGGCGTCACCGAATTTACAGTTGAGGAGGTAGACTTGCATCGCTGGGACCAATAAGGTTGGGCTGCATAGCAATCGTCAGCATCTCATCCTACTAAACATATCTCCTCGGTAGTAAGGGTGGCGCAAAGGGACAGGTAATCTTGTACAACTCACGTCATTGGTCCGGCATAAGAGAAGTAATTGCCTTGGGCGAGAGAATAGACGATGTTGCAAGTTTTTGAAGCAGCAGACATTGCCTTTGCCTGCATTTCCAGTTGCCAGTCTCTCTGTCGGTACGGAGGGAGATCTGAAGGCGTTTCTATACTATACGGTCGATAGTATGTGATCAAAATGGATCTCAGGGGGAGGTTAGCATCAGATGCGCTGTACAATAGGTACGAAGTTATGGGGAAGAGAACTAACTGGTAATGGAGTTGCAGATGGTAATAATAGAACGTAGCTAACGGAGAAAGGGTGGGATCCGGGTAGTCTGGCAAAGCAAACTGCAGTATTTCCGCCTCCAAAGCGTCAATCTTGCTAATGGTTGGCCTTGGTCTTCGGAGCTGATAGCATGTTGTGAGCGTCTTGCCGAGCAGCTTCGTCATGTGTATAAGCTGGACCCAGTATTCCGCCAGCTGCGGCAAGTCCCTCGGCAGAAAAGCCGAAGTTGTGGATTCCGGAATGCCTTCCAGATCTGCCGCCATATCTGACACTAATGGATCCGGGGTATCAGATTCGTCCAGGTTGAGTCGGAGGGGTCTTCCAAGGGCCATGGCCAGCCAACGGTCCCGCCAGAAAGAAGTCCACCACAATCTACGGAATAGGGAGCGCTGCCGTTCGGTTATGGACGTGTTGTATCCGGCGGAGTCTATATCGCGGTGGAGTCCAAGTATTTGGCAGAGATTGATGGCTCGGCCGCTCCAATGCCACGGCTGCATGTGGTCTTCTTTTTCGGAATTCCAAAAGCCTAATAGAAGTGCGCCCTGTAGAAGAATAAAGTTGTTTTTCTCGCCACCGTTGTTGTATATACACTGTGCTCAGTTAATAACCCTGCATTACACAGGAGAAGAAGACTAAGTCGAAAGGATACCACTTACGGCTGCACGAGAATACATTTCGGCCTTCATAGTTTTTCGAGATGTAAACCCTTCTGCTTCATATATCTCTGCAGGCAAATACTGTGGTTCAAATTCAGCTACCGTATTGAATGAAGGGGGGCGGATAAATGTACTCACATTACAAGCTATAGAACACATCGACCACAACAAAATCAGGTTGTACTCATGCATTCGCTTGGAGCGGTAGTGTCCAAGGAGCGTATCCGCCTCCAAGACTGGCATAATTGTATGGACATGGTGAAAATACGCTCGTATCATGCAATCCATGGTTGTATCTGATAAGAAAGAGTAGACACCTTTACTGCGAAGAAAAGCTTTTTCATCCTCTGTTAATGCAATTTGTTTCGCTTCCGGCAAAAGGAGATGTCTTGGTATAGCATGATCTGTTGTGCATATGTGCATAATAGACGTTGGGCCTCCGGTTTGTTCACCTGTAGGAGTTTTAGTGTCATCAGCGTTAACTAAAGCTCACGGCTTACATACCAACATAGTATGGTATCTGGCCTGTTCTTCGTGGATAACCCAGAGCAACTTCTACCATTTCAACGCCGATTCGCTCTTCGTCAGCAGCAATACTTTGTTCGCTAGATACAGCCGAAGCTCGGGTATCAGGCGTATCCAAAGATGACCGAGAACCACGTGGCTCCCCAAGATCATCCTTTGGGCTGGAATCTGGAGACAGATTGCTTGGCTCTTGGGTGCTTTGGTTAGTGGTGTCTGGCAAAGCCGAGCTTGCAGCATAGTGACGGGGCGCCGGAAACACGGTGGTGTTCTGCCGGAGCCTGTGAGACGTGTGGCTTGTAGTCAGCAATTCGGCTCGATGATATCATTCGATTTGATTTTATTAGTAATGAGTGTTTGCCTTACCGTTTGCCTTGTCTTGGCTTGAGGATGCATTCTGTCTGGTCCTGCTCGCAGCTTATACACGGAACTCCCGTCATCGACACGCTGCATCGAACCTTGCGCACTCGGCAGGTCTGGCAGGCAATGGCAGAACGATAGCGGCGAGTCGACATGTTTACGCGTTTGGTTCCCTGTATTAATTGGACTAGCGCTGGATGGGCATCTGTCGTGTTAGGAAAGAGAGTCGACGAGCCGCTGAGGCATGGAAACCTCGGGATATTAAACCTCGGACTAGCATCACGCTCAAGTCCGAGGTCCAGATGCTAATTGGCTGAAGCTTTACATCCGTCCCACTTATATGACTGGACCAGGCATTGCCTGTGACTTGGGGCGATTAGCAATTGAGAATCGAGTTGAGTAATCATGAGTTCCAACGAGGAGGAATGGGTTGTTTACACGTATAATACTTGGGGAGCTATTAAGTCTAAATATATGTTGTTTCAAGAGCTTTCAAATCGACAATACGCGGATCGCAACAACCGAAGGAACAGGCTTCTACTAACCGTGATTAGTATAGCTAAAGATGATCGACTTGATAGTGGGGAACTATTTGCCAGCATTAGATTGCTCATGTTCTAGTTCTCTACTGTTGGTTCTTCTGACGTTAAAGCTTAGAAAGAATTTCCTTAAACTTGAATAAACGAAATAATATCGTCCTGTGATTGGTGGTAAATATCTCTTGCTGTGGCTAAGAGGTGCCTCCTGGCAGCATAGTTGCTTAGTACAAGGGCCGTATGTAGCGTAGCATGCCATGTATCTACATCGGCACGAAAAGTGCCATTGAGGTGGGTGATCAAGCCTTAGTGGCAAATCAAGACCTGCGATATTCCATCCACTCTTAAGCGAATGCGAGATCGATGCACTCCGCAGTGAAAAATACGTCTTAATGTCTCAAGCACGGACGGCTTCGGGCATGGCATCCAATTAAACCCCGATCCGTCGGCAGTGCTGCATCGAGCAGATTCAGGGGTACTGGAGTTACTGTGGCATTAACTCCTTAATGTGATACCAATTTAGCTTCTATTTGTGAGCGGAAAATTCCAAGCCCGCCAGCACCGAATAGTTACCCGTTCATAATCGCTTCCTATTCTAGTAACGAACGTAATTGGAATCTGGCTATCAAGTAGGATAAGAATGAAACAGAACACTTTCCAATTGTGTGCTCTAAGTGATCGGTTCCATGCCTCTTGAACCAAAAAAATTCCTACTTGGGAGCTTTAGATACAAAAGGATGATAGCTCAATATGACTATTTCGCAAGGTAAGGCTGAATACTGATGTGTATCAACAAGGTAAAATCCTTCACGTTATTCTATAGACATCTAGCTTAGAACTATAGTAAGTGAATTGGCCAAGACCTACTCTGCATGTAGCCACGGAGACGGAGGCCAGAACTTTAGTCTAGGTCAACTGTAAGCGCACATCCGAATGAAGCAGGTTTAAAAACAATACATACCGCTCTCCTGATTCTCAATGTTTGTTAGGGGAGACTTGAGAGCTTCCTTCAATTCGCCGAAAGCTTTCAAGATGTCCTCCTTATAATTATCCGTCCAAACCTCGCGCGACTTTTCTCCGAGCTCTCCCTCATGCATGGCCGTGAAAATATCGGATACTTCATCATTCTTGAAAAATATCAGCTGAGGCCTTGTAGGACTGACGCGCATCTCAGTTCCCTCAAGTGACAGCTTGACTTGCTCAGAAGCATTTTTACCACCCGTCATCCCGTAGCTGACGATGGCTGCGGGCTTGCCCATCCACTCGTTCCTCAGGTAATCAATCGCATTTTTTGTGCTTCCAGCCATGCCATAATTGTACTCTGGGATAACGAGAACATAGGCATCATGCTTGGAGATCTCGGCACTCCAGCGACGACTGTGTTCATTTGCATAGGTTGCTTGAGATGGCACTTGGTATGGAACAACGGTCTCATCATAGATGGGCAACTTGAAGTCTGCAAGGTCGACTAAAGAGAGCTTCGTTTCGTTCTTATCTGCCTCTTCGACGATGTCTTTGACGATATTTGCGATCTTGGGCCCAACCCTGGGGGTTCGAGTACTGGTGACGATGATGGCCACGCTGGCCTGAGAGACCTTGGAGGCTGTCATTGTAGTTTGAAGTTGAGAAGAGCAGCGAAGAAGTATGAGTCGTTGTAAGTATAAGCTAAACGAGCATTCCTAGAGGAAAAAGCGAGGGATCCCTATATACTTGTATGCTTTCGATCGCCGTATAACTTGCTCAGTGGAGCGAAGAATGCTAGTAGCTATCGAGCAGAGAATAAACATCCGCTGTGAATGTGAGGCTTGTAATACTGCTATATGCCAAAATGAGAATTTTCTTCGGAAATATCTCCATCAAAAAGCCTTTGAAAAGCCAATATTGCCCGAGGTTTCCAACCAAACGTGGTGATCTATCTAAGTATCATCATGGCTCTATTCCTAAATTAGAAAGAGTACTTGAGTACTTCACGCTCAACATTACACATACATTGATCCGCAGCAAATCGCTACAACGTATTATGTATAAATGATTAATAATTATCGAATTATGAGCAATGAAAGCATGCATACACAACGCAAAGCTGGCCTTAGTTTCTCGTCAAAGAACCTCGCGACAGTCTTTGTGGGACAGGGCATTTGGTGAGATCCAAGACAGGTAATCTATTCCCAATCAGGAAAGAGTACAATGTACTTAAATCCAGCACGTCTCGTCCATACTTTCTAGTTTGTAAGCCTTCCCGACTCTCGGGTTGTGCATCCATCATAGGCACAATTCGTCAGTCAATTGCCGAAAAGCCACTTTCCTACTTCTTCAAAATTTCACGCTGCTATACTCATCCGTCTGCCAACTACTCGACTTTGATCTCCACGTCACCTAGTAAGCTGTCGGGGTACAGCGGGATCCGTATGATAGTCTTATTGTTGGGCTCTTGGCTTTCATAGATACACGAATTCTGATTCGGTGGTTGCCAGCCGGCTCTTCGCCTATGGCAAACAGAATTGAATTCATCAACCTATCGTATCCCTCGCAGGGATCTTCCTCAACCTTACGGCGACGGGCTTACTCACATGCCGCTCGAGTAAACCATGCTAGAGTGAAGCTTGCCCGGGAATCGACCAGCCAGATCAACGATAAAGAACCACACGCTCCGTCTACAGAGGAGATTAAGGCTGGTACAACAACGGAAGCAAAAGAAGTCCCGGTACTACTTCCCGAACCCATCGACCCGCTTACATCAAGCCGGAGAGATCCCTTTGGGTGCTTTGTGAGGCCACTTTCACAGTTGGAGCACTACCTCTTTGACCACTGTAAGTTAAAACATGGCGTTATCCGTAATCTCGTTAGTAACGTATTCACCGATTCAAGTCTGTACTAATTGGTGTGCTATACTGCAGATGCAAACGTTGTCACTACCCAGTATGACTCCCAGTGTGTGATACTCAGAGATACGAGCTTTCACCACCACCAGCTTAGGACAAGCTGGATTCAGATGGCTATATCATATGTGGGCCTATTACACTACGCCTTGCAATTTTCGTGCAACAATATTGGTGAAAGCCATCATTTCGTACAATACGCTGCTTTAGCGACGCAGTATAAAATTCTGTGTATAAGTGCTATCAAAGAGGCTGTTGGCGCACGAGATTGCTCCGTGAGGGACCCGGTAGTTGCTACAATAATATCCCTAGCTCTAGACGAGGTGAGAATAAGCGCTCTCAATATTATACATGCATGTATATGTATGCCGACTTACATGCATCACTCTAGCTTCGAACGGGAAATATTACTGCATCCAGGCAGCATGTGCGTGCACTTGCCAAAATGGTACAATTTTCCGGAGGGCTACAGTCCCTTGGGATGGATGGGCTGCTGAAGCATATTTTTGAGAAGTTGGCCTATGATATGGGGCTGCTTGTAGACGACGAAACAAGTCCTTCGACGCTGATGGATTTCGTCAATCAAGGAGGCATCAATATGTCCAGTGCTTTTGGATCAGCTGCGACCTACTAATACTCTATGCATTTTCACGGGCTATTTTGGAAAAAGCAAAAGTGATGTTGTCATTATCGTTGGAAAAAGAAATTTGTATAATCCCCTGCTTGGTTCAATCGCTTGATTACAGAATTCCCACGTCGTTGCACAGCGTCTCATCCCACCCTTCGCCATACATGATGCCATGAACATAGCACGGTCCTATAAGCTCTCTCCTGTCACCTTGCCCTATTCGACGAACAATAAACGGCATTCTACCACCTTTGTATAAAGCAATATGGTCGCCAACAACAGTTTGGCTGGGAATAACCGCCAAATACCCCTTCTTAGTCCTCGCCAACCGTCGCCATAGCGTCGTCTCCGTTGCTGTGGCATACACCCTGTCTTCAGCAACGTTGAACCCCGAGCTTATCCCCACGGCCGCAACCATTGTCTTGTAAAAGCCGCCATTGATGCCGAGATTCTTGAGGAAAGCCATCTTCCGAGGTCCTCGAAGCGTTTTGCGCCACTTTCGAAATCTTTGAAGCGCCAGCTCAGGCGAATCTATACTTCCGGTGCACATTGTCATGGCAAATACAGTTTCTGCGTCTTCGCCAGTTGGGTACTTTGAGTGTTTTTTAGGCATGGCTAGAGTCTCCCATTGAACCAAGATGTCAAAATATGAGCCAAGGCCGAGAAATAGCCTTTTCATGAAGCCTGTGAGATTTGATATAGAGCTTCCCATTGTCGCAATATCGTTGTGATCCATAGCGGGAACTGTAAGAATATCTTCCACTTGTATTATTTCATCAAATTCGTATCCAGATAGCATCAGAGTTTTCGCGTCGGGGCCGGTCATCGGCGCCCATTGGGTAGAAAGCGAAGCGCTGAATGGTCGCTTTTCCTCTTCTCCTTTGGTATCGTGTGAATGCGGATCTAGAGATACGGGGCTAGGGGCTGGCAAATTTCTCCAATCTACGACCCAAGATGGTACGTCCAGCGTAGAGTTAAAATTGCGATCTGTAAAGAGAATGTCCAAATTCTTCATCTGAGACATAATGAGTAGCGAGGTCTTCTGGTAGCATTCTGCAACCGATTGAGTATAGTCGGGCACTATATTTAACTCGAGAGACTCTTCCTCGCCAAGAAGGCCTAGGATGGAATAAATTTTATCGTGGGCATCTGTCGCATTCAGTGACATTACCCTTCTCAAGAGCCATAAAAGACCGGCGCCTTCGTAAGGTGAACTCGCATCGTTTAATTTCGGCCGCAGGGTGCCAATTAGTATCAAAGCTGTTCGAAAGAGCTGCTCTGGCCTGCCTCGGAGTCCCTTTTCACTCATAAAAATGGTGATAGTGAAGCCAATATAGAATAGATCCCAGTCGATTGCCTGGGTGCCACACACTAAAATCGCCTCTTTTGCAAGGCAGACTTCTTGGAGAACCCAGCATCGAGTAAACCACGGGCGAGCAATCAGTCGCAAGAAGGCAGAAATTTCTTCGTCGCTAGCATCAGATACGTCGACTTCCTCATCTCCTGCGTCGGCAACATGGTCATCAACCTCAGGCGTCTGTAGGGCTAGGCTGGCATCATCGGAGGCTGTCTCCGAGACGTTTTCAAGTTTTGCTTCTTCCCTTGCCTTCTCTGCATTCCGCTTTTTTGCATCTCTCATCATCTTTTCTAAAACCTCTTTTCGGTTCGGGCCCATTACGACATCGAGCCCAGAGTCCAAGTCTTTTAGCAGGTCCAGTCTAGTTTCAATCATCTTCTCGCATAGTGGGAAAACTAGGTCGCTGTCCGCATCGGCCTCTCCTAACCAGATAACAACGAGACTCGCCATGCGATAAATGTCCTTCATGAGGCTGACCTGATAACCACGCTCTAAATCATCTTTCTGATTGATACAAATGGCGTCAATCCAGAATATCCTCTCGTTGTCTTCGCTGCGCAGGTGGCGCAAAGCGGAATCCAGATTTTCAGTAACATCAAATTGTTTCCCGTTGCAGGTGATTGACAGCTTTGTTCATTGCGTTAGCTAAATTATGACAAGATGTTGTAGCGGAAGAGTTTCCCTTACTTTTTCAGTGCTAGTTCCCCATACATATGAAAGAGCGTTGAAAGCTGGCTTGTCTGCCAGCTTGACAACTGACAACTCGACGTGAATCGGATCAGACAAGTTTGCGCTCGGAGCTAGGCTCAAAATTCGAATGTGGTCGCCGCCTGGCAGACCCTGGATGGGTTCATACTCCATGTCCAACGCTTATAAGTGTTGTAGAGACTTGAATCGTTTGTCAGGCCTGGAGTAGTTGCGCAAGTCGCGAATGAGATGACTGAGAGCAAGACTCAACCCGCCATTTTAACAACCAGCAGCTCACTTCATATATAATTTTCGCAACGCTACACAACAACACAGAAAGCCTAGTCTAGCTACATCTAACTACGTGCATATGATAGCGTCTAGCGCAACCGAGAGAGGTGGAGTGAATAGGGGCCATAGTGTGTAACCGTGCATGCGCCGAAATTAGGGCGTGAAGACTATTCCGAATAGAAGCTTCCATGTATCACAACTACTAACTCAGTGAAGGCTATAGCCCTTGTGTATACTAATCAATAAATGTTAAGGTTCCTTTGGCAGTATGACGGATAGAAGGGGTAAAGAACCGTTGAAACATGTAAGATTCTCCCACTTTTCTTGCCCGCCTTGGATCCTAGAGGGAGAGAGTAGCCCTGTAGGATCATTTCAACCTCACAAGTGGAACGAGTGTGTCTCACGCTGAGACAAGCACTTTTTTCTTGGGCTTTCAGTCTACAACCAGGTATCCCATTTCACCTTGGCATAGACTCAACTCAAGTTTAAAGAGCTCGCTCGAAAATGACAACTTGAGCAAAGAGCCAATTACTCCATTTTTGAAGTAGCGTATTCTAAGTATTACATCAATCTATGATAGTATTTGAACAGCAAGGGTGCGCGTGTTGAGCCGCATTGCAACCAACTAGGGTACCAAAAACAATAAGCACTATATCCCATACAATCTTTTCAACCAACCAAAACAAAACACATATCAAGTGTTGAAGCAAATCCCTTCCCTCCATATTAGATGCCAAATGTGGTGATTTATTCAGTGTCTGGACTAGTAGGCAGCTCAGTGGACTGAACGCCCCAGCTGTCCATCTTGGTTAGATTGCGCCGGCTGGGATCCCGGCTCCAGATGCCGGGGAATATCATCGGATCGCTGCCCGAGATGTGCGCATCGGCAACTGAGTTGGAAGTGCTTCGGGGAGGTAGCCCTTGTTCAGATGTAGAAGTCGGAGACGTGATGCTTGATGCAGGTTCTGTGGCGCTTGAAGACGGTAGATTTCCGCTTGGTGTCTGTGCTGTCAAGTCACTCTTGGCGTTTCTCTGTTCAGCATTGGTGTTGAACGCAGCGTATCGACTCAATCTGTATGTCAAACATTGTCAGTAAGTCTTCCATTGTTATTAGGGCCATCGAAACATACACCTCCCGCTCTGTAAGCAGCGTGTGATATCTGAATTCCTCCCTCCTATCAGGGACGTTGGTCTTGGCCATAGTGTTTCCTTCCTTGCCTGGCTTGTCAAAGCAGGGGCCCAGCCAATGGCGTTTAACAGCCGCCTCGTAGCCACTCTGCAGGACCGAGTTCTTGGCCAGCTCACACATGTCTGTTGGGCTAAGCTTATAGATCTGAGCGGCAACTGCGTATTCCTCCATCAAAGGCTCCTTGGTAAATGCAAATTGCAGTGGGTCGTCAGTTGAGAGAGACACGTTGAGGCCTCGTTTAAAGTACTGCGGGAACGGATTGCGATCATATGATAAGAAGAGTGCGTTGTTGCTCAGTGGAGACATGGCAACTCCAATCTGCTCCAGGTAAAACACATACTGCAGCAATGGGACTTTGCGAAGCAAGACTCCGTGGCTAATGCTGTGGCAGCAAAGCGTCGCAGCCGCCAAGTGCTCTGGATCTCCAGCTTCGGCACAGTGCGGTCGCAAGATGAGAGTGTTGAAGCCTCGCTTCTTGCGCAGGAAGTTGAGAGACGCTATGTTGGAGAAGAGGTAGTAAATCCAATAGTTGTATGGCGGATTTTGCTTCGTGGACCATTCTCTTGGGACGGGAAACTTCCTGTACAGCCTTCTCTCAATCTTGCTTTCATCATCAACGGTATCGATACCGACGACGCGTTGAAGGAAGATGTGCAGCTTTGGGTGGCTGGAGGGGTCTTTGGTAACTTCAAAGAGTGGCTGGAAGACGTTGGTCACAATTTGTTCAAACGACTCCATCAGGCCGTTATCTTTGTACACATCGTATAGACGAGGAACCTGGATGAGCCAGCGGACATTTTGTGAGAACAGCTTATTGTCAACAACCCAAGCTGCCAGTTTATCCCACTCATCGAGAGACCTGCCGTAAATCGAAAGACGCCACTCGGCCATTTGGTACTTGCTGGCTTCAAGATCCGAAATAACCTCTTTAGTGAGTTCAGCTAGATACCTGCCCTTGATGAGGTTATCCGTCTTTAAGAAAATCTCTCGAAGCCGGGATTCTCCAATTGGGTTGTATTTCAAGTTGAACTTGTCGAACCGGTGGAAGGAATCTGTGTGGGCCTATTTAAAATCAGCTATACTCGTTATCATTGCAAAATCCAACCTAATAATACGTACGTGCATATCCAGCGTATCAATGCTCAAGTCGTAAGCTGTGAGATTGATACTGGCAAAAACCTCCGCAAGCGTCAAATGTTTCCCGTCACGAAATAGAACAACCTCGTCAGGATTCTTCTTCATCCGGCTCTTGATGAAGCGCAACAGGTGCTTCTGATTCATAGACGCCGAGTGGTGGACGTGGGTGTCTACCTTTCGGACATTGTAAAAGTCTCGGTGAGGAACCTTTTTGCTATCCGCGGTTTCCTGATACTCGTTAAGGAGCGCGTACAAGTTAAATTTGCCTTCCAAGTATTGAAGGCGGCGAAAGGCAAAACTTTTGCTTGGCCCGTCCGAGGAGGCAAGCAGGATACTGTCAAGATCCATGTAAAACTGTCGAATAGTTGGGGCTGAGAAAGCGAGTGCCTGGGAATCATCATTCTGAAAGATTTCATAAACTCCACCGTCGCTGAGCTTATATGTCATGCTATCGTCGTTGGGTGGCAGTGGCATGCAATGCTCCATGTCGAAATCGTCTCCTGATTCATCGCCGTACGGATAAATCTCCCAGTCAGGACTGTTCTTCGGGTCATCTTCAGGCCGTTGCAGCGAGAGAGCCAAGTACTTTTGTCTCAGAGCGATGATGTCTTCTATGCTCTTGGAGATTGAGCTTAGCTCTGCCGTCACTTGTGGCTGAGAGTCCAGGAAGTTGTTGGAGATTCCTCTGCTAGCTTCAGCTGCGATTCTCACGCTGTCTACACCAGCTCTGGGACTCTTTCCAAAAGAGCCTGGAAGTTCAGTATCCTCGTCATGCTCGAGTCCCGATCCTGTTGCCAAAGCTGCAACCGGGTCGTTGTACGAGGCTGACGGCGCCGGTTCACCGGCTACCGAACTCCGAGAGTCATCCAGCTGGCTGCGCTGGTAAAAGAGCTTGGCATCTGCCTGGGACATTTGCCGCTCAACGACAGAGTCGTAAAAGGTGGTGCGATGAGGAATATCTCTTGGAAGCACGTCATCTTGAGCATCTACCGGCAACTGAGGGGTATTCTCTCTATCACTCTCTTCTCTGTGGTGAGAACACATTTTGGGCAGGGAACCCGGCTGACACAGCCTTTATTATACTGCAGAAGTAATTTCTTTTCTAGAAAGGGAGTAATGTTAATTAATTTGCATTTATCCAATTACAACTATGTAAACTTATTTTAAAACGTTGGGCATTTAACAAGATATTCAAAGTGGCTTCCAAGCAACAGCTAAAAAAGAAAAAAAGTTTGTAAAAAGTGCAAACCCACAAAAAACAAGGTGAACGCTGAACGTACCAGAGACAATAGAGTCTTTGTGATGAATATAGAGGAGAGGAAAAGACAGCAATGGTAGTAGCAGCGAATTGAGGCAACAAATTGTGAAACCTTTTTAAGAGTTGAAAGTCTCTAGCAAAACAGAAAACTCTCCCATCTTTATATACTCGTGCGGCTGGGACGTCATCTCGGCGTGACTCAAACTCAATTCTCACCAATTTAGCCATGACACATTATATCGATTTTCGCTATCGGGGCTCCGCTTCTACGCGGCCGGCAGCCACCGAAATGGTAGCTGAGTCGCGGAGGGTGCCTATAAGCGGGGATATGCATCAATCCGAGAGATGGCCATTGTTGCTGACGAGTGTTATCAATATGTCAATTAATCGACGTTATTACGAAAGCTGGGAGATAATTTTATGATGAACGTGTCTTGACTTGGACCAATTTTACTTTCATTCATTCTATCCAAGAAAACTATCGTAACAGCGCACAAATGCCTTTTACTTTGCATAAACATGCTGGCCCTAGACAGCCACCCAGATAGTACTGTCTCATTAACAGTACATGTTATCCTTTTAAACTTGTTTACTGGTCTTGCTGGATCTTCTGCAATGGTTGTTAGTTTTTGAAGACGAAGGATATTTCGGACGAATTAATTACCTTGGCGCTGGGGGGAAGTGGCAGCTTGACGCCAACAGCAGGGCCGACATTGGGTCGTCCGGATGTGTCAATGCCCCAGGTCTGAGTGATGGTCTTGCTGTTTGACGCAGGCAGCTTGCCGTAAACAGTGTTGGCTGTCTCACCAGTTCCGTCCTGGAACGCGGTGTAGCTCGGCTCGTTGGTCAGGACAGTCAGAGGTTGAGCGGCAGTGTAGACGATGGTGCCAGAGCCAGAGCTGAAGACGCCATCGTTTCCGTTGTAGTCGCCGACGATGTTGAGTGTCAATGCAGAAATGGGAGATTCGTAGGCAGAAGTGATTCTCTTGTTGGAGTCGTAGACGTCAAGGCTGGTCAGAGTAACGGAGCTGGAAACGGCTTGGCCGCCGGGAGGAGTGTAGATGTAGGTGATTCCGGTGATGACGTTGCTAGAGCTGAAGGTAGGGACAATGTTGATGACGGCGCCGGCGGGGATCTGGTTGGCCTTGGGCAGGGTGGTGATGGTGGACTCGTCGTTGATGATTTGGGCATAGGTGCCGGCAGGAACGGTGCCGGACCAGTTGTCAATGATACCGTAGAGAGTCTTGTCGCCGGGCTGGGAGAAGACTACATATTGCTGCCAGTTGGGAGTGGTGCTTGGGGCGCCGGCAAGCTCCTCTGAGAAAAGAGTTAATATTTTCCTATACAAGAGCAAAGGCTCAGGGTCACTTACGGGCATAACCGTTGAGCTGGAAACCAAAACCGTTTTCGGTAGAGATCAGAGGCTCGGCAAAGGTGATCTCAACGTTGAGGCCAGTAATGGCATTACCTCCATCCGCAAGGAAGTAGTTGAAGTTGCTGCCAAGGCCTTGTGAAGGGGGTGCCACAGACATTGCGAAATAGTTTTAAGCTGGGAAACCACTTAAAGACTTTTTGTGTTCTAGTTGATGTGATAGAGCTGTTGGAAACCCTTTGAGACGATTGCAAGAACTTGATGGATCGAAAAGTTTTGAGAACATGCCTATTGTGCACCTATTTATGTATTTGGCAGCATCTGCCTCATTCTGCCTCATCTGCCTCATCCTCTGCCTCACCTTCAAAAGTTCGAGTCCAAGTGCGGTGAGTTGCCTATTACAGAAGCCTTATCAGAGTGCCGTCGGGATCTAAACATATCTCAAGTACTACGTTCCTAATCGAGATACCCCTCCCGATCCTTCGGCACATACGAACCGCTCGACTTCAGAAAAATACGATCAAAAACTTGGATAGTTGACGCCCTGGTTGATTCGACATCCAGTAGCGCCGGAGGGGCATACAGAGAGGGGGTGTATCCCGTACAACGCTAGTAACAAAGGTCCCCTGTACAATCGGTAGGTTTATTAGGCCGCGACATATCATATCAAACAGGATGGCGTCTTTCCAAGTATAAATGAGCTTGTGATTATGGGATCGATGAGGAATACCGAGTCTAAGTGCACCGAGTTGCCTATTCTGGAAGTCGTATCCCGGTGGCATCATATTCCATACAAATTTGTAGTAAAACTCTCTCTCAACACGCTCCCGGAGAGATTCCGAGCATAAACATCTAAATCGGCGATTCGACCCCGCGATGCTAGCTAGCAACTTCCGGTTTGAGTACATATAGATGGTGTGCTCTTTAATGGTCGTGTCATATGTGACTGGGCTTGATATGCAGTTATGGCCATTGAGAGCTATGAAGGGTTGCACTTTGAATAGTGCGAAACGAGAGGAATTAAGTTTAAATTTAATAACTGCAGAACCATATATTTCTTCGATGTCTTTCACTAGCTTGCCGGCGATCCTTTGTTGCATCCAACGGTGGCAAAGCAGCCTGTAGTATCTACTTGTCAAGGATTCTACAAAAAAGCACAGAATGGAGAAAGGATCGGCACACGAAAATATCTCACATGCACTTATCACTACCACCACCATCATCATCAAGACTGCTCCTATTATCCTCGCATATATTCATTTTGCGGTCCCTATGTTTACGCTGATCGCTTGCTTGTCTTTCAGCGGTCTTGATATTTCTGATTATATGTAGTTAGCAGATCGCAGCCATGATCTGCCAAGCTGCTTGGCAGATGCGCGAGCGGCTTTTGGAGCGGGAATTATTTTTATTTTTAGCATGGATTATAACGCCATTCTTGCAGCCGCTCCCAGTCTAGCTCGCTGTGTATTTTCTGTCCACTTACAAGAAATGGCTCCAAAACAGCAGTGAGTTTACAGTCAACCCTACACATCATTAGATAGGACGTGTATTCTCGATACGCAGTGTAAGAGTTTTATATCACACGTATTTCGATACTACTACTGTTTACTCGCAAGCGCTGCATGCAGCTTACCAACGCAAATTATGAGCCGTATTTAAGCATCAATCTTTCTGGGGTATTGGTATTAATTAAGCAGCACCATATTCTCATTCAGCGCGCCCCAATTCCGGGAGACAGCCTATAGCACCGGTGTCGGCACCGCCTGGTTATTGACTATGTTGTCCTAAGAAAACAATACAGCGGTGTCTATGCAATTAAGGCTGCCGGCTACGCGGAACTTGACCGAATTTGAGGCTATTCGCCGGCTATCTTTACACAATGGACTTGGCTCCTGACTTTTTCTTTCTTAATCCAGGAAATGTTGACAGTGTTAAGTAAAATGACAATAGCATTGTCTACGGTGCCAACTTCTAATACAGCCTGGGTCTGCTATTAGTAGTAGTTTGAATCGCATGAATTAGGCACAGAAACAAAGTTCTTACTTAGGTACCTATTAACAGTCCATAGACCGGCTAGGGGACTGGGTTGACGTCAAAACCGGGCTGTACAGACGAGGGCTTTGACGAGGCTACTGCCGACAGCGGCAGCAGGAATATAGTTACGGTTATAATATGCCAAGTGGGACCTCTTTAATCGAATGCAGCAACTTATGTTGTGGTCAACTGACTGAAAGCCTTGAATGGTTATGAGCTGGCCAGAAGGCGGCGGTGGCGGTGAGGTTCAAGACGAAGTAAAAGTATGAGGAAATATTCATGTACTTTGGTGTGACTAGCTTGCGAATAGCTTCACAAATGATCAAGCTCTTGAGGAGTGTGAATTTCGGTGTGTGGCAGTACATGTAGCCTTGACCGCACTAGATACTATTGTCTGATGTTACCGGCAAATAATGAGGCGGAACCGACGCCGGCGTCGTATATGTCGACAGGCTGTCTTCAACCGCAGCTAGAGTATCACCTGATCAAACCAAGGGTCCCGCCTCATTTATCTCTTCTTTTGGACCCAAGTTTGTAGATTTCCGGATGTACTACGTGGCGTCATAGTATCTTATCGAGCTGCCCTCATTCTGATAAGCCCCAAGAGTCTGGTTCTAGTTCCCATAAATCCCCAAATGCTTGGCACCAGCGGGGACAGACATGTGGCGTCTGCCGGCGAAAACTGACAGATGCAGCGCCCACAAAGAATATATTACCTCGCCTATCGGGCACGAATGAGGATCGACGACGCCTAATGCACCGTTATCTCATGATGTGTTTGAGATGCATCCATTGGTCCGTATTGTACTGCCCTGGCCAACCGGAGTCTATCGGAGCACAACCCGGGGCTTTCTTCCCGGGTACAGCCCACCGTTTTCACCGTCTATAAAACGCCTTAATGCTGTACCACCCATGGATACATCATATGGTCTACTGAATGCCATCATCAGTTGCGTAGAGCGCTTTCGGAGCGCATCAAGCAGCTTCGTAGAATACATCAGAATAGTGTGGCTATGTATACTCTGTAAATCTAGGTATAAATTGTTTACACGTCCACTCTGAAATAAAAGGAGAAACAATTTCCTTCTTTAGTTCCGAGATAACTGTGTACAATAAAGATATTGTCGCCACCCTCATCTTGGTCAAGAAGACAACCGTATAAGTAGCTCGCATTTGTGTACTCTTCTCAAAAGATGATCACCGTCGAGCTTAGGGGCCTTATATCAGGCATCATCATCATCATCAACGCCTCTATACAATTATGTCAAGCCGTTGACGACGTATCAGGCTTGCCGCCGTCGTTTCGCGACGTGGCCAATCGCCTCCCCGCAATCCAACACACGCTGGAGGAAGCACTTCGGAGGTTGGTTGAAGAGGAAGACAATACATGTACAATATCGGCTGAGCGATACGTCGGGCTATATCGGATGCTGGAGAGCTGCCGCAACAAGGCAACTGCTATCCAAAACATTCTGCAAAGTGTTAGTCCTGATGCCAATACCTCGCTCATCAAGCGCTGTGCAATGGCGATGAAGGCCATCTCCCTTGCGAATAGAGTCGAGGGCTTGATGCAGAACATTCTTCACGACCTTCAAGTGCTGGCGGCGGATAACGCCGTGCATAGAAATTCCAAGTCGCAGATCAAGTGCCTATATGTAGTGCTCTTCAGAGCTGGAGGCATTAGATGACGACGAGACACAGCCCACAAGAGTGCAAACTCACTAGCTTGACACAAGGTAACTAGGACAAAAATGGTTCTGTATAAGATACAGCTAATAGTATACGTCTAGTCTGCAGCGAAAACTATTCCACGAACGAAGCTGGTGTGAGATTATGACTTCGAATGTCATGTTTCCTATTACAGGTGTTTCCCAAACGAGACAGCTGAAGATCGCTAGCCAGGCACGAACTGCTAGCGAGCGGGCGCTAATCGTCCCCGCCATCAGCAACCCACTTCCGCTACAGCACCTGCGGCAGTAGCGATCCACAGTGTATTCCTGCTACAGCAAGAGCCCAAAAGTCGCGATGCTTCAACTCCCGTTATACGTCAGTACGCTATTGGAAATTGATGAATCTTCCACAATTATGTCTTCAGTATTGATGAAGGTTAGGGGTTGGAGGTTTCTTTTTTCTTCTTCCTTTTTTTTTTGTGGAAATGCTGCGAGCAATGAGAACTAGATATGCTGGGGGCTTCAAGTTTGAGATTGTCTTCAACGGGGCTGATCCAAGGATATGTCTCACATGAGTAACAGATGAGCTGAAGATTGAAGGATGTTCATTATGTATAGAACCGCAAGTATACAAGAGTTTCTGTTAGACCGATGAATGACTTTATTCCATTACTATCATCGAATACCATAATATCTTCATCAATCCACAACACGTAACAAACCAAAAGGTAACAACGACGAGCAATGCATAGTCAGTTCCCCTCCACCCAAACCTAGTACCGACAAGATCCTTTACTTCCTCATAAAGCAGCCACAACCAGAATATCTCGCTCTGCACATCTTACTAAAAGACAGGACGAAGAAGGAACCTCAACAGCGCGTTACTCTTCGCCTTCTTCTTTGGAAAGACCTTGCCATTGTCCTCCGTGTATGCTTGAAACTTCCGCAAGTTTGTAAACTTTCGAACAGGCTCGCCAGTTCGCTCGGAGTCAATAAAGTCGTAGATATTGACGTGATACTTTTGTATGGCCTAATAAACAGTAAAAAATGTGAATGGCTAAACTCATTTGGCTTGCTGTGTCTAATCGAAACATACCTTTTTGCACGACGTGATGGTGTTTGGAACAGGAGAGATTCCAATCTTGCCGCAAAGTATCTGCAGCACGTCCAGCTTGTTGTCGTCGTGACCATACAGCTGCTCAAATTGGTCTGCAAGCGCCTTTTGAAACCCCTTTCTGGCTTTTCGTTCCTTTTTGCTATCCGTCTTCCATCCGTAAAAAGCAACGAGGCGGCTGTAGGCGGTCGCCGATGGCTCTTGCGGGTCGTAATTGAATTGACAATAGACGGCAAAAAAGCGGCCGAGCTTGTCTCGGTCGTTGTCATTCATTCTGTCTGAACAAGCGAAATCAATAAAGCAAGAATTGTCGTATCAATCACGGAGGGTAAAACTGCAGTAACACTCGAAAGCACAAATATTGGATGGAAAGCTAGAGGTACAAACGAAGTTTGGGTAACATAGCAAACGAAACGACTTCAGGCAGCAATATTTCTCATGTGACGACATTCACTTCACTGTACATGAGCTAGGCATCAGGCGTCCAACCAACGTTGAGGCTGGGCGGTTAGCAGGGCGGCCTGCATAATGGCCTTCACTTGGCGGTTTGGGGCGCAGCTGGCGTCAGCTGCCTTTGTGGGCGGCAATGTAAAGCCAATGAGTCTCTGATACTTTGACAATGTAACAAGATCGAAATTTAGAGAAAACCAAAAGGAGACGGCTGGATTCCAACTTGCATACGCGCAACTATCTGGCGGGAGATGATAATTTCGACGAGCTTCTACTTAGGCCTACAATTGTCTACTCATAGAAAAAACAGCACATCATAGAGTTACAGTGTTAATTCCATCATTCAAATCAGAATTAATCAATTTACAACATATGCTATTTTCACTGTAACATCTATTGGATTGGCTGCGCAGCTAACAATGTATTATGTACCAACCAATATGTAAATGTAACCTGGATTCGTCGGAATTAGGTTCGAGGCACTGTATAGGCATGGACATTCGTTGGTCGTGGATTCTTTGTCCTGCCTACAGCAAAAATTCAGCCTTACATGAGCTACATGTGCAAGGCTGACTCTCAGCGACCAGTTCCACTTCCTCGTGCAGTAAGTCACAGTTTGTGCGGCAAGATTAATCTTCATCATGGTATATTAGCAATGGTAAACTGTTATTACATGTGGGTCAAGACCAAATATTCATCCGCCCCAAACCCCTCTCTTTTGTTTTTCCCTTCTGTTGCTTTTATTTTCATTGCTATCATGCCACGTAAGAGTAGGAGTCGTGTTTACACCTACTTGGAGTATCCATTGGCCTTGACCCAGTCGGCCACATCCTGTCGGTCTCGCTCCAACCAGGAAATCTTGGATCGGATAGAGTCCTTGCTCTGTGCGAGCGACTGGTCGTATCCGTTGTTGTTCTTACCGCTGAAGAACTTTTCGATTCTCTCAAGCTGCTCTGGAGTGGTGAAACCAGACGTCAGAAGAGACACCATGTGGCTGAGCATTGGCAGGGTAGGTGGGTGTCGCTTGTAGAGCTCCTCCCAGTTCTCAGTCAGCCAGGTGAACAGCGCCTCGATACCCTCGGCATGGGTGCGCAGTCCGGAAGCAGGCATGTAGATGTCCTGATCCTTGACCTCGCCGCTCAACAGCAAGGAGAGAGTTTTCTTGATAAGCTCGGGCTCCTTGGCTCGACCAAGCGATCTGAGACAGGTGTTGCGCTCGTCACTGTTGGTCGATGCATGGTACAGCTCCAAAATTTGATCGTACTGCACACAAATCATGTTAATAGCGATTTCTTGCAACACACGGTGCGGGGGACCAAACAAAGACTTACTTCCTTCTTGCCGCCAAACTTGAGGGCAATCGCAAACACGCTCTTACGAATGTTGGGGTGAATAGCCGACTTGTCACCAGCCACAAACTTGGCAAACATTTCTTTGGATTCGGAAACAATCTTCTCGTCGCCGCTCAGACCAGCGCTGCCAAAGAGCGCGGCCTTGAACTGCTGCTCGACGTGGCCGTCGGAGTCGGAGAACTGCCATCCAAGCTGGTGAGCCTTGGGGCTGACGATTTCTCTCAAGAATGTTCGAACACCATCGCGAACGGCCTCGTCTTCAAAGATCCAAGCAGCCTGGATGGAGCCAATTCGGGAGATGATTTCGTTCCAAACAACGAACTCGGTCTCGGAATCAAATCCCTTGAGGAGGTTGAGGACACCAGACGTCTTTCCGTAGCCGGAGCTGGCGAGTGCAGCAGCATCAGCAATCATACCAGTTCTGTCTTCAGTGGTCAAAAGACCCTCCTTGGCAGCCTGGCCAAGCTTCTCCAAGCGGCTTGGGGAGTACAGGGTTCGGAAGATTCCAGTGTGGTTAGCGTTGAGCTTGAAGAAGTCGGTGCTAGGCACTTTGTACTCCTTCTCTCGCTCATTCAAAGCCACCGTCTCATCGACACCATCTTTGGTCTTGAGACCCAAAAAGATTGGGTAGAGAGTCTCATCTTCCTCAGGCTTGACATCGGCAGTTCGGAGGAAGCGGTTCTGCTTTACGTGAATGGCGTTCTCGCCCTTCTCGGTAACGGTAAGAACGGGGTATCCGACCTTTTTCGTCCATGCAGTCATGACCTCGTGCACGGGCTTACCGCTGACGGCAGCCAAAGAATCCCAGAGATCGCTGGTCTGGGTGTTGCCATAGGCGTACTTTTGCAAGTACTGGCGGACACCCTCCAAGAACTTGTCTTCTCCAAGATAGGTGGAGATCATACGAAGGACGCAAGATCCCTTGGAGTAGGAGATGGCGTCGAAGATTTGGTTGATCTCATCAGCACGCTTCACAGGAACCTCAATGGGGTGGCTGCTTCGGAGAGAGTCTAGAGACAGGGCAGACTGCAGGTCGTCGGTGACGTAGGTCTGCCAAACGCGCCATTCTGGGTAGAAGATGTTGCAAGAGTACCATGAAGCCCAAGTAGCAAATCCCTCGTTCAGCCAGAGACCCTCCCACCAGTCCATGGTAACCAGGTTACCGAACCACTGGTGAGCCAGCTCGTGCTGGACAACCTCGGCAACACGCTGCTTAGTAGCAGCGCCGCTGGCCTTTTCATCAAGCATCAGGTCGACAACACGGTATGTGACAAGGCCCCAGTTCTCCATGGCTCCCTGGGCAAAGTCCGGGATGGCGACCTGGTCCATCTTGGGCAGAGGGAAGTCAACACCGAATGCTTTTTCGTAAAAGGCCAAAGTCTTGGCCGCGAGGTCGACGGAGAAGCGACCATGCTCGATATCCTGACCAGGAGGAGCATAGACTCGCACGGGGACGCGGAAATCTTTGGACTCGATGTAGTTGAGCTCGCCGACAACGAAAGCAACGAGGTAGGTGGACATGAGAGGGGAGGTGTTGAAGTGGACAGCCTTTCGGGTTCCACCAGTGACCTTGGACTGGACCTCGGTCTCGGAGGAAACATCCATGTTGCTCAAGCACGTCAAGTTCTTGTCGGCAACGAGCGTGACAGTGAACTTGGCCTTGAGAGCCGGCTCGTCAAAGCAGGGGAATGCTCTGCGGGCATCGGTGGGCTCCATCTGGGTGCTCGCCAGGATGCCCTCGGTGCCATCCTGTCTCTTGTATGTGGAGCGGTAGAAGCCCGCCATCTTGTCATTGAGCTGGCCAGTGAAGTCAATCTCCAGCTGGACCTTGCTGTCTTTTGCGAGAGTGTGGGATCCGCCAAAGTCGAACTTGGTGACCTGGGTAGCTTCATCGTAGGTAATGGCGGGGGTGGCGCTATACGAGAATGATCATGGCTGTTAGCAAACCAAGCTGGAATGAAGAATTGAACCCAAAGGCACAAAGGGAAAAAGACGGGAATTACTAACTTGACAGCCTGGCCACCAGAGGAGAGCTTTGCGCTGTGGATTTCCAGCTCGAGGGTGTGGAGGGAGACGGAGTTTGAGGTTTCGGCCACGTCCAGGTCGATGACGACGGTGCCCTTGTAGGTCAGCTTGTCGAAGTCGGTGTCGACGGTCAGATGGTAGTGGCGAGGCACGACATTGGCGGGCAGCAGCTCACGGCTCTGGACCGCAACCGACGAGCCCTCGAGGCCAGCTCTGGAGCGACACATGGCGGAGCAGAATCGAGCTGAGGCAGCAAGACGACGAGGAAGACAGAGAGGGGGAGAGCTGGTGAGACGAGCGATGCGCGGGGATGGAGAAGAGGATGAAGTATGAAGAAGAGAAGAAGAAGCTGGCGAGGACAGAAGAAGCCTCGGGCCAGTGGTTGATGATGGAGAGTATGAAGAAGAAAGAAGAAGCGGAGGAGGAGAGATTGAAGTAGAAGAAGAAGCAGTAGTAGTAGGAGTACAGGTAGCAAAAGCGCGGCAGGCGACACAGGCACGTCTCTGGCTCTGGCTCTGGCTCTGGAGCTCCCACGGCGGGGTTCGTCTCCAGGCCAGGCGCATCAGCGAGGGTGGGGGGCCATTGACGGCCCGGAGAGGCTGCAGCCACCCCATTTGACAGCAAATGATGCTGTGCTTGATGCCAGGAGGGATCAATGAGTCAAAGGACCAATGTCAGTCAGAACTTGAATATTCTCAGTGCTCGCTTGACTGCTAGCTGCTGCGTTTGTCTCACTGCAGGGAGGGAGCTCTGTTCAGTTGGCGCTCAGAGAGGAACAAGTGCTGAATGACAAAGAAAACCCTGACGCGGCACGGGCTTTTTCTCCCAGCCACTAACAGGATGCTGCATGGCATATACATATGCAGCTCTATCTGAGCATCATGATGCAGCAGCTTTCAACACAGCACGCGACGGATACAGTGCATTGCAGTGCTATTATTACATAGATTCAACTAGCCCGAAGAAAATTAAAATGCATCAACAGAGCTCAAAGTGCATGCGTTGCTGTGTCCATCCATCGTCACCACCACCAAAAGACCCCGAGAGCTTGGCCACTGCCGAGGTTTTGCCATGAGGGGTCGAGTCCCCAAGCTCCCGTTTGCAGCGGCCGCCATGGTGGGGTAAACCGCGCCATGCCGAGATGGAACTTTTGCATCTGCGTCACCGAAGAGCCATTCTGGGAAGGCCGAGTCGCATGCCAGCGTTGAACCGAGCACCGAACTTGATAGCCTGAGGACCTTTTGTATCTTACACAAGTACCTGCAGTAATTGTATTTTAAATGATGCAAACGTTTACTACTGTAAATACCCCTACATATACTAAAATGGGTCTCTTGTATTTTCTTCATTTCTCTTCTCCCCTTTGGGAAATGTCAAATACACGTGGGCAGTATACATCATTCTTGAGCTATTATCTGTAATACACAATCGGTAAATGATGAATATAACAGTGATTCTTCCGAGTCCACTACCTAGGTATAAGGAAGGACATTTATTATTACAAAATGAAAAAGAAAGATTAGTTTATGACAGACAGGAAAGAAAAGCTCCAAGATGCATCTAATGAAGGGAAAATCCAGCAATTTCTCAACATTACATGGAGCATTTCAGATTAAAGAGGGAAAAGAAGGTATATGAACAAAAGGAAAGACATGACTACTACCAAGATGCCAAGCCATCACACCATCTGTGAAAAGATATCCGTCCTAAACGTTAAGCAATGCACTACCCGCCCGCAACCTGTGAAAATGAAAGAAAACCAAGTCAATGTGCCATGGTTGGTTGGCCTGTGAGTATGTCTAGCTGCATAAACCAATTTGCAAACTCTGGCATGATACACAAAGAATGCCAGTCAGTTATAAAAGCAAAATTAGCCAATGAAGGAAACTAATTGCTCCCAGGATCTAACAGTGCTGGTGTTGCTGAGCAGTGCCTTCGCTATACTCTAAATGAGCATATGGTTCACGGACCGCTGTAGCTGTCGTGGAACCGTGCATTCCTGCGCCATCATAATTGGCGGAGGATGGGTTCGATTCTGGAGATATGGAACATGTTGCAGAATCAACGTAAGTTGTGGGGTCAGAATAAGGCGCGGCAGTATTGTACAACGAAGGAGCGACATATGACTCAGAATACGGGTAGCTTTCAGGGGATGACTGGGAAACAGAAGTCGCAGGAGTGGCATGAGTCATAGGAGCAGTACTAGACACGAGATCTTGAGGTCCCGCAGAATCATCATAAGACACGTACGTAGTGCCGAGTCCAGTACCATCGAAGCCCGGAAAAGGTTGCATTTGATAGGCTGCAAGATTGTTGTACGCTGTAGAAGCAGAAAAGAGCGGAGTGTTCGCAGTAATGTTGTTTGCAGCCATGACTTCAGTATTCTCGAGGTATGCAAATGCATTATACACGGGAAGCATAGCGTTGGTATAAGGAGGCACAGTTGTAGAAAAGCCTAATGGGAGAGATGCATCATAATTTGAAGAGGCAATTGCGCCATAGCCCACGGGTAAGGTATTCCCGTAGAAAATAGGTGCGATAGAGGCATTATTTGAGAATGCGACTCCAACATCACCTGGAGGTGTGGCAAAGATTTGGTCTGAAGCAACAGGCTCAACGTAAGCCGAAGCTGTTGCGAGATTGGTCAGAGGCGCGGACGTGACATAATCCAAAGGTAAAGGCTCATTGTAATTGGTGATTCGACAAGGTTCGACATAAGAGGAAGTTGTCGCAAGATCAATCGGGGGTGCAGTGACAATGTAGTTGGCAGGCACAGCTAGATCATACGTTGAAGGCGTTGGCAAAATATGCTCCTCGGATGCAGCCACATAGTTGCCAGGCACTCTCTGCCCATCGTAATCAGGGAGTGTGGCCGTGGCTATCCCATAATGAGCAGATTCAAGCGCGCCATTCCCATCATGTCCGTGGCCTTCATGGCATTCATGGCAGTCATCATTATGGCTGAAAGGCAAAGACTGCAATCCGGGTTTAGCAGCATACACCTCTGTGAGAGCTTCTCTCGCTTTCCGCCTTTGTTTTCCAGAATCTATACGATTTTCCGCAGAAAGTGATATTGACTCCATCGCCGCTCGTAATACTTCTTGGTCAGTATCGTCTTTCCCATCCGGCAGGTAGACGTAGTCCTCTTCGGCAGCTTCCTTCATCAATTTCTTGAAGATCTTGGAAACGATTCTGAATCCCTTGTCTGCAGATTGCGAGAGGCATTGGAGTTTGCCCTGCAGCAAGCGAGCCTTTTCGAGCGTCTGGTACATTTCGTATCGGCGAGTCGCAGTCCCGGCTTTGTCATTGCGGATGACATCGGCTAGCATTGTTGCCGCATCAACAAGTGAGAATATGATGAAATGGAATCGTCCGTCGCGAAATGTAAGATAGTTTACCCAGTCGTCCAACACCTTGACTAATCGTATAGACAGGTTTACGGCGATGGTACGCAGCTTCAGTTGCTCCTCTGGAGTATCCTGTTCGAAACGTTGCTTCATATGCGCTCGAAACGGATTGAGCAGCATCATAAAGCCCATGGTATAATTATAGTAGCGGTGATATTCGATCCAGGTCTGCTCTTTGTCGTGTGATGTGTCGGGACTTTCCAGCGCAAAGATGGCAGGAAAATTCCGCATCCATTCGTCAATCATTTCCTTGTATTCCATTACCTCACTAGGCGTAGTAATTTTGGCAGGAGAATGAAACCGTTCGGCCAATTTATGCACCAAGTCTGACTGCATATTCATATGCATCAAGGGAGAGAATTGTCCGTCCAGTTCCAATGTTAATGATGGGCGCTGTACATTGCACATGCTATGATCGATGAGAGTATCTCGGCCGAGTCCGGAAGCTATTTGCCTAGAATGATATCAGCATGAGCAGAAGGGATCAGGGCATATGATATGACAGCTATCAGGACTCACCAATCCCACGAATCGATAATACACCAAGCTCTCCGCCGCATCTCGCGCTCAAAGCTCGACAGGTGCTCTCCACGCTCCTCTCTATTGAATCCTACCACCAGTTAGCAATAATTGTACGTCTCCATGACTGTTAGGCCTTGATTAGGTAGCGATGTAGACATACCGAGCTCTTGAGCCTCTCTAACGGCCGTGATGAAGACGTGGCAACATTCAGTAAACATAGCCTCGGCTTTGTACCAGTACGTTGAATGCAACATCCACATGACATTATGCCGGTAATACTGACCCTCGGGAATCACAGCGTAGAGCATTCGTGCATGGTAATGGTACTTTTCTGTGAGGTCTTGGCACTTGGCGTGGAACATTTCTTCAAGCTTCTCTTGTATGTCGACAGGCAGATGCTGGCACGCGCACGCACATAGAGTCAGTAAGAGGCAGGTCCATGGTACTGGTAACGGTTCGTTCTTTGCTCGCTTTTCCCACCATGCTGCATACTCGGCGGCGAACTCGGCCTGGTGAATCAGACTGTAGTGGGGGTTCACGTTTTGGAAAAAACTCATAACAAGCGCGTCTGTATTGAAGCCACAATGGCTGGTTAGCTCAAATGCAAATACCACCACATCGATGAAAGAAAAAAAGTCGAAGCGTACCCATACGATCCCGTTTTTGAGGGAGAGCTTCCAAGGCTTCCCGGAGCTTCTCACAATCCGAAGCTAATCTGGAGTATTGGTCGTCATGTCGCTTTTCAAAGGGCGGCAGTTTCTCCTGCATCAGATATTACATGTCAAAATAAGAAACCTTTGAACAGCAAATGCAAAAGGCAAAAGGGACTTTACCTCTGCTTCAGCTTCAGGTGTCGCGGGATGCTGCTCAGGGAATTGACAATCGGGGCAGTGCGAGTCGTCTGGCTGTACGGTAGTAGTGCTCCTGCTGATATCTTGTCCATGACATTCGCCGTCCACGTTTGGGCCATGGCCTCCATCAAGACGGCCTTCTTCATCAGCTGCCTGTACTACGGCTGTGGTGCTGGTTTCTTCTGTCTGAAGAGAAGCTCTCTCGGCCGCAGCCACAAGTTTCCGCCGGCGAATTTTACGTGCTGCCTTTGAATTCTTCGCAATGGATCGACGTGATGCGGCACCAGTCCCAGAGAACGAGCAGCTCATCGACTCGGTACGTGTGGCGCACGGCGTGCAGGGCCATATCCGGTCACACTACATTGCACCACAAACAAAGGACAAGTCAAAGATTAGCGTCTCTGGCACTGTACAGTATTATATTGGCTGCTAACGAACCTTTTGTTTCCTCCGCTTGCACTGGAAACAGGAGTTTCTGTGCCGTTTAGGGCCGGCAAGGGATTCCTCCAGCGCAGTCATTGGGGGTGGTTGATCTCATTTGCCCATTTTTCAGGATGCAAATCCGTCTGATTCGCAGCTAAACGAGCATGTAGCTTACAAGTAAAACGAGGAAAGGGAAGAAGGAATGCCGAAAGTAGTCGTGGAAAGGCAGAAGTGGAACTGAATATTTGGAGAAAAGGCCGATGGGAGTAGAAAAGACAGTGTCTTGGAAATAAAGGGGTATGCCAAACCAAAAGAAAAAAGGAAAAAAAGAGAGAAAAGATGAACCATAAGCTGAAGAGGAAAAAAGAGAAAATCACAGCCTCCCACCCTGCCAAAGCGGCAATCAAACGGTGCCGATGGGCCAGGACCGAAAAGCAGAATCGCAGATGGAGATCTCAAAACGGCGAAGGGATCTGGCAGCCATTGTGGCCGCGGTGGGGCAGCTGAAAGAGTCTTGGCCGAGCGGTGGGTCACGTGGGTGTTGACATTTGCGTATGTGATTGGCCATAGGCAATTAGAAGTGGCTTAGCGGCCGTTGCAGCTACCCCGCACAGTGGACCCTTATCAAGATGAGATGCGCTCTCGGAATTAGAGACGCACTGTGTACGCCGAATAGCGAGTGCCTCGTAAAGTCTGTGACGAGAGGGCGCTATATTTTCCGCTACAATTTCCCGGACACCAGTACGAGTGCTAACAGATTTTGCTCTACAGCTGGGCAACGCGAATAGCGCGTAGACTTATTTAGAGAGACGGCTGTGTCGATCATCTATCCATCTGTCTTGGAGCAAGGAGGATGTGATACTGCATCAAGCCACAAAATCACCACTGTAAAACTGAGGCGCAAGCAATCTAATTGTCAGCATCCGCCTGCTCATCTGTCTCATCCCATGGATGGCACTCAGGACCTCCAATAATCCCCTCCAAACTGTCTCACCTCACCCGTTAGAACCACCAACCTGGCTGGCGTCGCTGCTTAAACAGGCCCCCAAAACCCAAGACAGCCTCCGACCCTGGCCATGTACACAGTAGAAATATCACCCCCTGCTTTCAGCCGCAGCACGCCGGCACCATTGGCCAATCTTTCGCTCAAATCACGGGTAGATTGGCGATGCCGGCAGCGTTTTGCTTGTGCTGTCCTGAACCTCGGGTCAACGTCTTACCCACTGGCTAAACCTGTTTGTTTCCTAGCAGTTCCCGAAGAGGCAACAAGAGATCACTGTCTAGCAGACCCGGCATATACCTACATGTAGCTACCCATCTGAAGCTGCATGTAGTCTACTACCTGTTTCTATCTTTCACTTTTCGGGGCACTAGCATCGGTATTTCAGCTCACCTAGCCAGTTTAAAATTAAAATCTACCGGCGGTCCAAGTGCATTGACAGCTCGGCAGTTGTAGCTTTTCATTCGTTACAATCAAGATGCAACGCTACTCCACCCATAAACAAGAAAAGAGAGGCCGAAAGAGCAAGAACCCGAAACAAATCCCAAGTCGTTTGCCACCCGATACAAATTTCGCCGATAGGGCCCTTGTTCGGTGGCGTTTGCTTTCTCTGATTGCAGCCTCACTTAAACCACCCAATCCCTGCTTGGGTTGCAAACATTACAGGGTTTCACTGCATGACCGGGCAGGCTTTTCTTGACTTGCAAGTACACACATCAAGCCCCTCCAGTGACCTTTTGAACGCTTTTCGCGTAGGCGTTGGCATGCCCAGCCCAGCTGAAAAGGAGCACAAAAAGCAAGGAAAGGAAGATGGAAATGTTGATGAATGGAGTTTGATTCGCCGGCCTGGTGGTCCAATTTCGTCCTATTTCTGCGTCTATTCCTCATCTGAACTTCCTTGCATTGATGCTTGTATTTCAACATACAAGCATCAATTGACGCCCTGCGTTTCTTTTTCTAATTCAATAGTTTCTATTACGTGTAGCCACGCGCAGGTATCCGAACTCACTCGGAAAACAGCCAGTCTGGGTCCAACACCGAATCTGGCGCCATCAGCGTCCCCAGCTCGGGCGCCAAAAGCGTATCCTCCAGCGTAACGTTGAAGCCGTCGTTAGCAGGCTCCGTAGCTGGCCACTGCAGGGCTGCATCCATTCTTGTATCATCCTGGACCCGGTCTCGACTCTGACTCTCCGAAGGCGCTTGGATCTCGCCCAAGTCAATAATCAATATTACTTCGAGGTCATTGGCCGACGGGCTTGGTGACTCGGTTGTAGCTCGGGGTGAATTATTCTGGCTGACACGTTCCGGCTGCTGTGCTTGGCGCAGTCTCTCGTGGTTTTTAATATCGTCCAGAGAGAACAAAAGATTAGGCAGCGTCTTCAACGCCATCCGGGGAACATCAAATCCTTCTACCCCTACTACCTGTTTGAAAAAATCTTCCGTCTGTCTGGCGTAGAATTTCAGGGCTAGCACCTCCTCAGTCACAAACTCAGATAGGTATCCCTGGCGGTTACGAACAGCCTTCCATATGGTGAATAACTCTTGTAATGCGTAGAGAGGCCGTATACTAACGACGGTGGGACAACAGCGGTACGTTGCCGTGTCGAAGAGCACCAGCGTGTCCAGAGCGGAGTGGCTGGACTGTATCAAAGACATGATTGTTCGAACGTAAGTCATATCCCCAGCAATTGCCAAGGACGGTGGCCATGTCTTTGGGTGTGATGCTGACCGGAATGGGCTGCAGGTCACAGCCAGCTCGTAAAACTTGATGCGGCAGTAAAAGAAGTGCATGCGGAGTGAGCCTACGCAGCATGATACGAGTCAGCCGACAGCCACACGATAGTACATACGGAATATTCAAGTCAGCTTACCGTTGAAGACAAGCTGAGAATCGTCTCGCCATCTACTAAACCTGCTTTCAAGAGACGACAGAGTATGCTGGTCAACGAGGCCGGAAGGATCAGCTTCGCCTTGCACCTTGGCCACCAATGATGCCTTGGCCCTCAGAGCCTCGACCTCTTCCGCTATCATCTGCAACCTTACCCATGCAGCCAATCGTTTGTCATTATCGAGCACACTATTCTTCTCAAAGGCACCCACACCATTTCGCATGCTCTCAGTCCATACTAAAGGCATGGGTCGGCGTAGGCTGACAGCAGCACTAGCTCATCCATTAGCAATCTCGTTTACAAATGACAAACAAAAAGAAGCAAAGAAAGAAATAGGGAGAGGTCGTGTTTCAGTTGCTTACGTTGACAAGGGTAGATACGTCGCAAAAGAGATGCGCCACTGAGCCATAGTAAGGTCCGCAGATGAATCGGTGTCCTCGCTCCACGGCCAAAGGCCCAGCTCGCGTACCATGAGGCCTGCGGTCTGGATCCATGCGTAGAAGTTTAGGCGTCTCAGGTCCTCAGGCACATCGTACCACTCCACCATGACCAGAATGGCCTGGACCAGTTCGATAGATCTGTTCCCCTGGACCATGACCTGCTCTGATAGGTCCCCTCGTAAATGGACACTGAGCTTTCGGAAGAGGCATGGGTTGGATGCTCTGCAGGCAGCAGCGATAATGGCAAGGAGTAACGTAGGCTGGTGTGCTCTGAACCAATCAAAATTCTCGGCTCGGGATAATGTCAAGATGGGATATTGCGGTAAGGCATTATTGATGAAGTCGTTGAAAAGACGTATGGCGGCGTCCGTTGACAGCAATCCTGAAGCAAAAAGCCTCTCCAAAGATGGCTGGTACCGGGAATCGTGAAATGAGTTTTCATCTTCTGCTTCAAGCGGACATCTTTCGGCCCCAATTGCTGTCCTATTCTCATCGCGATATCCTGGCGGTGGCGCAAGCGCAATCTCGCTGGCGGTGACATGCGTCGCGCCACCATCGTCCTGCGCCGGTCTTTGCAGATCCACCGCTGCTTGCAGCTCTGAGAGCCGCTTCTCCAATACCGTTACACGCGTATCAGTTCTTTTTCTTCGTTGCCTAGGCGCAATGGTGCTGAACACGCATTCGTTGTTGGCGTTGAAGCACCGCTTGCATTTGCCATGCTGGGCAAAGGTATCCAGCACGCAGCGAATTTTGGCCGTACGGCACGAAAGACAGGCGCTCTTTTGTATCATGATGGAAAATATGCCGCTTGTTTCTTCCCTTGTATCATTCCCTTTGGTGTTCTCTTCTCTGTCCTTTCTTTTTTAAGAAGAGGTGATGAGTTGATGCCTCAGGGTGTTAAAAATTCTTACTCGTATATGCCTCTTGGCTGATCTTACCAGACAAGAGTCCGAACCGCGAGACGGTCAGCGGCTTCGGATGACTAAGTTTGTCCATGCCGTTAGTTTGTACTTTTCCCATTTGCTAATCCCGGTCATGAACAATTTGCTGGAACAGTGAAACAGATGGCTTGTTCCTTATACGTAGATGGAGGATTCAGCAATGGAAGGAAGCACAAGATGAGCTCCTCATTATGACGATGCGTTCCAACACGCTCTAGTTTGACAGACAACATTAAAGTTGCACGCCGAAGGAGCGAAGAGCCGCAGCCAGGCACAATGCGCTAGTTCTCGGGATAAAGAGCAATTCCCGGTACCCGCCAGTAAGCACTTTGAAATCCAGCGCCATGGAGATTCCATATTAGACTTGCAGAAACTCGAGGCGGGATTCTATTCCTTTAACAGATTGTTGTATTCGTAGTCTCCTTGAGCCGGCTAACAGCATATTATACAACCTACAATTTGACATGTATCTGTTCCACCGGCCCCAGAAACTCGGATGTCTCTAAGATAGCGCCAACCGCTTAGCTCGAGTTTTATTTCCGCTTAGTAAGGGGGGGAGCTCTCACTCATTTTTGGTATTTTGAGCGGCAGTTGACCATCTGCGTATTTACCCTACATCTTGAGGTTAATTACAAGTCTGTATGGACGTCTGATCTCTGTAATCAACTAATAGCGTCAGACCCTGGATGAGTAGCTGGGAACTTCTATGAGGTTTTATTTAGGCTCGTTAGATTCTATATAAATCTGTTGTCCGCCCGGTTATTACGTTGCTCTTCTATTACCGGAAGTGGTGGTAGTGTTAGCTGCATGCTAGTGACGCCGAAAA